TACAGGAAATAGCATAAAAGGAAAGAAGCAACCAAGACCCAAGATATAAAAATGATCAAAATGAATGAATATGAAGTGCAGTGTTGCTCCACCCTTGTCTTACGGACTGAGTTATTTTATTTTCAAGTTTTCCACATATTTTGTTTTGATATTGTTCTCATGATATACAGTGACCGTGAGGTGAAAATCATGACAGCTAGTGTGTACTTGTTTGCCAGTAGTTTGTTGTGTCATTGTAATAAACGCTGAACCGAAACTAAACTCTATATTTCTTGTAAGGTCATTGGATTTCTTTAAAATCTGTCTTCAATTACAGACAACACAAAAACACTGTGACATGACATAGCATCAATATTTGGACCAATATCCATCAATTGCACTTTGATTCATTAGCTCAGACTCACAGCTGTATACTGTAATTTTTCTGGTACTAGCCCCAGACCTCTCCCCATCTCCCCGGAGGCTTTAAACATTGCCAGGTATCTCTTGCTGAGAGTTTGTTCTTGGTGATTTGCCTGGTTAAATCCAGGTCAGATGAAAAGCAGCATCTCGTTTGAAACTGCAGCACAAAAATAAGCCAAAGAAATGTTTTGAAGCCATTATGCATTGTTTATATTGTGAGTTTATGTTTCAGCTGTAAACCATCGTCAGGCACAACCTCCTTAATCCTCAATATTTGGTTGGTTGCACAATGTCAACATTCCTGTGTGAGTGACCATGATGTTGAGTTTACATAGTTACAATATTTTGAGTGAACACCATGAAGTTATTATTCAGGCAGTGGGCTGCAACCAATTTAAGTATCAAATTTCTCTATTGCTGTTGCTGGAGTGTCGTGGATTTTACTGTAAGACCTTTAAAGGCATTCTGGGTAAGAGGTATTCACAAAATTACATGCAAGTATGCATGTGAAGTAGAGAGAAGTACCTAACCAAACAGTTTAATAAAAACAGAGAGTCACTGAGAATCAGTGTGGAAATTTCCTTTAACTGCATCTGAGCCAGACAATGTTTACTGTATTCCACATGAACATTAAATGCCATAAATCTAATGTGCGTGCCAGCAGCTACAGTATGTTATCTTCCTCTTATACTTTGCCTTGAGCTTTCAACTTGGCTTAAGTCCCTGTAAGATTTCACAGCAAATAACTTCTCAAAAGAGCTCTGTGGTTATCCCGTTTTGCCAAACAGCTGTTCCTTGGACTCTAGAGACGAGTGAGAGAGGAGGTCCAGGATAGGAGCCATGTTTCAACTGAGAGACTGAGAGGCACAGAGATGGGAAAGTACAGAAAGGGAAGAAGACAGAGATAGTGGACTGGACAGAGATAGAAAGATGTAAAGAGAGAAAGAGAGATTTAAACATTTGAGGCACTCCACACTTGCTTGATTGTGTCTGTGGCCAGAAGCGAGAGGAGGAGAGTGGGAGGAATAAAACAATTAACATGAACAGTACTCTGGGGAATGTGGGTTCCCTTGACAACAGCGGGCATAGCCAAACAAACGGGCCCTTTCATAACAATTCAAAACAAACAGAAAGGTCTTCCTATTAGCACCCATGCATTAGGAATAGGGGCATCCCTTCACGTTGCACAAGTAATTTTAAAAAATCTGACCCTCTTTTCCCAATTTTTTTAATCTAACATGCACATTCCCCTTTGCAAACATTGTGCATCAAAATGTGGACCGGCTCAGAGAAAAAACTGATTATTTTAACACAGAGGTGCTGGCAGACTCTCCTGCCCCAGATTCTGCTAAAAAGGGGAGAGGTGATTGTGTGTGTGTGTGTGTTAATTGTACTTTTGTGTTGTGGGATGGGTGGAGTTTTTTATCGAGAGCAGTATTTGATGAGCCAGCAGGTCCACCCATGTCCTGGCAAAGGTGCTGATCGGTAATCAGTTGCAGGAAAACTTGAAGAAGATTTGAATCTTTTTGCAGCTAAACTTTAACACAGTATTTGCTTTACTGCAGAGAGTAGGAGGAAGAAGATGGTACAGAGTTAAAGCAAGCAGGTCGTAAGTCTCGCTTAGCATATAAACAGAAAAATAGCTCGACTAGTTGACAAAATCACCTATCAATCTGTTTTAAGGACTTATTTCAACAACAATTATGTTTTAAAAAGGTTTGATCTTTCAAACAGATTTCTAGGATTTGAATCTTTCACCTGTTGCATTTTACATTTTGTCTTACTGATTTCTAAATGTTTCTAAAAGGTAAGCAGCTCTTGGCCGGGTGAAAATATGTCCTTTTCTTCTACTCACATGCAAACAGGCAACAACTTCACATGACTGTGAGAATATTATGTTAATTTAGGATCTAATTAGGTATGTTGAAGCTCCTGTTTTTGGCTGGTTATGAAGATTAGGGACGTGCTGATTCTGTTGATTCAATCAAACAGTTGCCATTATAAAATCATAATTACAGGTCATATGCTGTGGCCAAATTGAAACGTAGCTACCCATTTCCCGTAATGTGAGGTGATTTGTCAGTATATGTGAAGCTTTAAAATGGAGATAATGCAAGGCTGTGTCTGGTTAAACTGGCATATAGACACTCAACTGGTTCAATACATGACCAGCACAGGTATGTGGATGTTATCCTGCAAGGAGGACCAAAGGCTGGTGGTGCTTGTCCTGTTAAGTGCATACAAATACTCCTACTTTTGATGCCACAAGCAACAAGATAATTCTTCTACATAATGAATTTAAGGCATCTAACTGCTGCTATAGAGGAAGTGATGAACAGTATGCTGTAGAAACAGTTTTTGTTACGACTTTGCACAGCAAAGATTCACAGAGAATCCAATACTTGACTTTCAAAGAAAGCAAGATGAGACCATTTTCCCTATAAAAAAACATGACTTATAAATGCAGAGAGAGAGAACAGATGTGCATAAAGGATTTCTTTCAGAGTGCTTTTATGTACTCAGTGTCACAGGACAGAGTGAGATGGGTGGAGGTTACTGTTAACTGTGTAGCCATGCATGATTCCCCACTCACTGCTCCTATCCCAGTTCTTGCCCTGCTTTTCTGGTGGCAGTTTAGCCTAATGAAATCATTACATGGCATAATATCTAGCAGCAGCTTGCACATTTTCAGCATGGGTGGGTCGAGTGGAAACCAAACTTCCAGCGTTGGCATAGAGACAACACCCTGCCCACTGAACTAATTCCTCACAAGGGACGGTCACCATAGCAGAGAGGTCACTTCTGCATGTAATTGTCGTATTTTACAGAGAATAACCACAGCTCAATAATGCCAACTGAGGGAGTTTTTTTGTTGTTGCTGTGAAATATGAAGTCTTGCCAAGAGTCAAAAGGGTGACGAAGCCAGTGAATAAACAGCGTGAAAGCCTTTGGACAAAACATTCATGTATGTGAGCGACATAATTATTTAATGAGTAGGTTAATGGCATCCACGGATGTGTTTGTGTGAGCAGGGAGGGTGATATAATGAGAGGGAGGAGGGTTGTGGTCTCATTGCATGATCTACAGAGTGAATATGGGCCAGTGTGCAGTTGATGAGTTGGTCACATATCGTGCAAAGTCTCCATTTTTCAAGATACACACAGATACACTGCTATCACGTTCCATTTCCACTAACCTCTCTGTGCTCTCACATTTCCTCTCTTCCTCTCTCTGCTTTGGACAGATATCTCTCCGCACAGCTGTTCTGGACCTTCTCGCTCATAACAAAAACATCACATGGCCAAGCAGATGATGAGAGTTTCATTGAATATTTCAATCAGATGACTAAATCAGAGCGCAATATTTACCTGCTTCAAATCACAGCCTCAATCTGTCGGACAGAGACTCACGTCTGTCTGCTGTATAGTCTATTTTTAAAAACTCTTACCACAGCACATTACTGAGCACCTTAAATTGTTTGTTTATTTATCATCCCATCTGTGTATTACTCATTTCATATTTATTACTCATTTCATATTAGTACTACCTGTGGATAGCCCACTTTTTTCATATCTCACTTTTTTCTCTTAGGATGTTAAGTATATTTAGTCTGTATTTATTGTGCATATTTAGTCTGTATTGTACATACTTCTTCTTAAATTTAATTTAATTTTGTGTTTTTATTGCTGCTGTAACATGAGAATTTCCCAGTTTGGGATCAATAAAGTCTATCTATCTATCTATCGATCTAATCTGTAACAGAATCGTTATTATTTCCACTTGAAAAATAGTTGATGCAATGGTACACAATCACAAGAAATCAATAACTACTTTTATACATATGACAGTTATTGTCATGGATAATTTTGGGCTATTATGAGAAAAAAAAACTGTGTTGTCAGGCTGCACCATCTTTCATATGATACAGAACCAAAGGAGGTCATGAGCAAGATGGTTTTTGTTATCGAATGTATTCCAGTTTTAATCTGTGTTTTTTAAAGCAGGGAAAAGGTACAGGACACTTATTATATTGTATATGGGTATGGTACAAATAAGAGATTTGAAGTATTCTAGATATATATATAAAGTGCATATTTATGTGTGTATACGTGTATATAGGTATGGATGTATATATGTATATATATAAGGTCTTTGTTACAGTATTAATGATTAGTTACATATTCATGTTAGACTTTGGAGCTTTGGTTACTTTTTGGCGACTTCAGAAATTCAAAAATTCTAGAGACATGTAACGGGTCAACGAATAAGAAGCAATGAGGGTAAGTACAAATAAGCTAAATAGCTTCGACCCACTTCTTATTGATCTCCAAATAATAGGGAATTTCTTGTCTAAAACTGTACTGTATGTATATTTGATCGAATAAACAATCTCTCTTTCTCTGTCTCTGACTTAGCCAAGTCTCTGATAATAATCATAATATTTGTGTGCAACAGCCAAAATGCACTGGTTGTCATAAAGTGCAAAATAAATTCAAATAAAGCCTCAAATTCATTAAAGACAGAGCAGATTCTGACTTAAGGGAAAGGTGTGACCTTGAAACAACACCATGTGCTGCAGCAGTAAGTTATTAACCAGCAGCAGTGTTGTGGTGGTCACATGACCGTGTCGGGGTCGGACACTCTCACTCACTGTGCGTGTCGTTGTCTGCAGATGTGACCGTGAGCACAGACGGACAGACGGCAGACCTGCTCTCCGCCTCCAGCAGCGCACCATGAGTCAACTCCTTATTAGTTTACGGACGTTTCTGAACTTTCACGGATTACACAGAGCCGTCATTTCCTGAGAGAGACGCCGAGAAGTTTCCATTTTTCAGCACTAGTTAAAACCGCGCCTGTCCTGCTCTGACGGGATTTCCCTCTCGGTGTCAGACAAGGAGCTCGTGCTCACCTGCAGAGGACAAACCATGCGCTCGCGGGCTGCGCTCTCCTGGTAAGTCACCTCTGTGGCAGGTTACTGTACTACTTACAATGTTGAACTACTGTTAATGTTATCACTATTAAACAGCAAAGGCTTTAAGTGCCACTTTTACCGTGACTATTTGCTTTTCTTTCTGCTGTTTTTATATGCCTATGGAGTCAGGTGTGAAGCTATCAGTTTAAAAGTCAACTCATGAATTATTGTGAAATGAATAATGTTAATTACAGTAAGAAACGTGGATAATTAGTGCAAATTTTAGACCAATAAAGCTGAAACGAAACCATAAGAATAAGTGAAAGGGACATTAAAGAGCGTACAAAAATAACCAAAGTATGAAAGTTTAGCCACATGAATCTGTAAAGACAAGGCAGAGAGAGGTGTGATTGAGTGTGAGATACAAATCTAAAGGATAAAATAAAAGAGATTGTACTTTATGCAGCAATTGTCTTGAGCCAACCCCTCAGGCCACTTGAAGAATTTTCCATCAGAGCCTAGTAAGGCGTGATCTTTGCCCTGCGCGTCATATAAAAATGGGGAGATCATAGCTGCCAAATTCCTCCGCAGATAAAAATGCTTCAAGTTGAATTGCACTCCCTCGACTCTCATGCTTGTAATAAATCTGTGAATACTGGTTTGAGGAATGAGAGGGTTTGTCATTCAGGGCCAAGACATCCGGTCACGTTCTGAAGAGCCACTCCAGAAGTGTGGTCCAGTGGGTCAAGGAGTTCAGAAAACCACACTTCATCTTTTTAAAGAAAGACTTCACTTAAGATTCTTTCCTTCTCTGCATCCACAGGTTTATCTCCCTCCTCTTTCTCCTCTTCCTCCCTCATGCTTTCTCTTCCTCCCGCCCTCAATGGATCCTCCAGCGTGTCCCTGTGGTCCTCCCGCAACAGACAGACGTACGACCGGCCCCTCACTTCCTCTCCCCAGCCCGCTTGGATGTCAGCTCTCCCTGTGACCCTGAATGTCACAAAAAAGCTCCTCGCCTCAACTACTGGGACTTGAGACAAACTCTGGCCTACGAGACCCTCCACGCTAATGGTCAACTGACTGAGACCGCCATTGGGATCTACGGCTACAACCCCAACTCTGACACCAGCCTGGCCTACTCCTCAGGGTCTTCAGGGAAGTCTGAGCGGTCACATGTGAGGAGGAAGAGGCAGATCTTTGGTCATGATGGGCGCTTTAGCATTGCAGGGCAGAACTTCCTCCTCAAGTATCCATTCTCAGTCGCTGTTAAGCTGTCCACAGGGTGTTCAGGTACATTGGTGGGGGATCGTCACGTTCTTACAGCTGCTCATTGTGTACATGATGGGAAAAACTATGTGAAAGGAGCCCAAAAACTCAGAGTTGGATTCCTTAAACCTAAACATCGAGACACGCAGACTTCCACCTTTAACGTACCCTCCAACTTTACCAACCACGTTGAAGGTGCTTCTTACGCCCCACCGGTCACTGACAAAATGAAGTTCCAGTGGATCAGAGCCAAGCGCACCCACGTTCCTAAAGGTTGGATTAAAGGGAACGCTAATGACATCGGGATGGACTATGACTATGCTCTGCTCGAGCTCAAAAAACCCCACAAACGCCGCCACATGAAGTTAGGGGTCAGCCCCCCGGCTCGGAGGCTGCCTGGTCAAAGAGTACACTTCTCAGGATATGACAATGACCGTCCAGGACAGCTGGTGTACCGCTTCTGTCGTGCAGGTGAAGAGACGCCCGACCTGCTCTACCAGCACTGCGATGCTCAGCCCGGCGCCAGTGGCTCAGGAGTCTACGCCCGAATGTGGGATGGACGGCGCAGGCGATGGGAGCGCAAGGTGATAGGTGTGTTTTCTGGGCATCAGTGGGTGGAGAAACAAGGGGCGTCTCAGGAATTTAACGTAGCTGTGAGGCTCACGCCTCTGAAGTATGCTCAGATCTGCTACTGGATTAAAGGGAACTTTGTGGACTGCAGAGAAGGGTGAAGAAAAAGTGAAGACGGAGAATGAAACAGGAATGAGGCTATAAATCCATGGGCCAACTACATCCTCATACATTACAATGAAATATTTAGGCCACAATAAACCACAATTATCACCCCATCACTTAAAGCACTGATGCCAAGTCAATACGAATATCAAACTTCAGCGTGTTGCCCAAATTTTGAGACACAAATATCAGTCATACAATCACAGAATACAGACTCAGGTCCAGAAATAATACTAAAATATGTAAACAGGGCGTGCTCTTTCTTGTGTGTTTTGGTTTTGAATCCTTACCTACCACATCTCTAAACTACGAAAATGAGAAGCACTGCTGATTGGCTGGTAAATATTTTAGTCATGGGGTTTTCCAGAAGAGAATCAGCTTTTAGTTTTTCTTTTTTTTTGGGAGGGGGGACAGTTATGGATTTAAGTTATCCAGAGGGCCCTCAGATCTGCAAAAAAGGACTGATGTAAAAATGATGTATTGAAACAACAGATCCTCAGATTACAAGGAGCTGGACTGATAAAACTGTTTTACTGCATTATCGCCTTTTATTGTGCTAATACTAAAGATTGCACTGTTAAAAACTTTTAAGTGTTTCTACTGATGTTTTTATGTGGATGAATGTACAAGCCAGCTACCAAAGTTGCAAACTTTTTTTTTTTTTCTAAACTATCATATCTCCTCTCAGTGGACTTCAGTTATCATGAAACATGGCGCGCTCCTTCAGTTTTTAAGAGCTTTTCATTGTGTTACACAGCATGACTTCAAATGTTTGCAGATGACTCTTGGTAAGGCTGGAGATAACTCAATGACAGAAGCAGGTTTGTTAAATGTTATATGTTGATGCATAGCTCCCTCTGGTGGCAAACATAAAACATTGCAGGGGTCAGCGTTGAGCATTACGCTGACTTAGCCATGGCTACATATGCACTTTTTTTTTTACTTTCTTTGTTTAACATTTGTGCTGTTGCATTTTTTTGTGTTTAAAAATTGAAACCTGTGGAAAAATAAACTGAAACATGCTTTAAAATGAGAAAGTCTGTGCCAGGTTTCTTCTCAGTGTGCTCATAAAACACATCACACACACACAAAACAGTCTGCATTTAAACACAATTTCTTTTATTTCTGATGTCAAAGAGCATTTTCAGAAATGCTGCGGGGAAACTGAACACTGTCAAAAGCCGAAATATGAGGACCAGCTCCTTAAACTTCTCCAGCACTGACACATTCAACAACAGGCTCAACCAGAACTCTGAAGCTGTATCCTGAGATATGGCACATAGAAAAAAAAAAAAGAAATTCAGACTTTCTGCAACCAAAGGGACTTAGATAGATATCATCAGCACCAACTTAAACTCAAGAACCTGTTTTAATATTGCATGTGGTCTAAAGAAAATCCAAGTACACTTCAGAGCAATGCAATCAAGATAAAGCAAAACCGAGAATCTCTCCAAATTGCATCTTATTATTAAAGGGGGTAAAACTGAAACTTAATAAAGCAGACAGAGCAGGCATCTTCGAGCAAAGACAACATTCAAGTAATAACTGACAGATTTAAAGCTCATCTTAAAGTTGTCATCTGACGGCAAGTTGGAAAGGACAATTGTTGAAAAAAAATACAACTTTGGGTTGCTCAATTGAAGGCTCAAACATGCCAATTCAAGTCAACAGCAACATTCACTAGATGCATTTGCTACATTCAAGAGAAAAATGACCACAAACAAAGGCGCTGATTTATGGTCTGAGTCTGCAGAACTAGCCCAGTAATGAAAACCTGTCCATGTATGTGAGTCTAATCAAATCTCCCTCTCAGTTGTGCTGAGGTACAGAGCAGCTACAGTGATCCAGGCGTACAAACTCATCTCAAAAGTACTTTTCTCCAACTCATTCACACTCAATCTGAAACTCGCCGGAAGCAGTCATTGTGAAATTCAACACAGCAGATTTTCTACTCAGAGTTTTCCAGCTGACAGAAAAGGCTTTTCTGGTCATGCTGTATTGATTTCTTTCTCTGAATACTGAACACTAATCCTTAATACTGCCTGAAGTTATGCAGCAGCTGCAGACCGGAGCCTGAGCTCAAGAGGACAAGGTTCAAAATGAGGAACTTTGAGAATTTGAGTTTGCTCACCGAGTGTGGCTGAACAGAAAGGCAACAACATGCAAGGCAACCAGTTTGTAACACCATCCTGGTAACTGAGAATATACAAGGTGATGATGAGGTGACACAGAGCCCCTCACCTTTAGCTGTCTACACCCTTTCATTTTATCACTATCAAACATCCTCTGCTTTCAGGTCCTTATGAGAGAGTGATGACAATCATAGATTCGCAGTGAGTGAGGGGCTAGATCCTGAGATGAACCAACAGAAACATTTATAATTTGCTGCAATTGTTGATATTTAAGTCCAATCCACAGACACACAGATCTGATTAATATGGTTCCTTGTGGTTAAAGAATTTAGGCACCAGAATAAAAGTTTAGAAAAACAGTGACTGGATAGTTTAAACACAAACTGGTCATATCTTACTAAAAAAACAAAAAAAACAAGATCAGGACCTTAATGAACCCATCACGGTCAAACAGTTGAACATTTTCAGGTGTACTTTGTTTAAATTATTTCTCCCTCTCATGTTGCCACAGCGGTTTTCAGAGTCTGCTGCTCTACCTGCTCTCCAGATGACCAGTGCTGTGAAAGAGCAGATACTGATGGTAAAAACAAAGTCGATGAGTAAGAATACAGCTTTCTATCCAGAGCAGCGGATAAGAGCAATGAGGGTGTGTTTAAGCTCAAAGAACACTTTGTTGGTAAAATCCACTCAGAGGCCCAGCTTCAGAGAAAAGGTTCAGAATCAGGCAAATACACCATTATTCACTTTCTAGCTTTAATACCATTGACCTATATCTGCTCATCCAACGAGCAGCTGGAGCAGGTGAGCCGAACAACAAACTACAGGAATCAGGAGCTTCCAATTCTGCCTATCAGCACCTCACACTCTCTCTCGGCAACATGTTAGATCGATTTTACAAAAATCAAATTATAAAAAAATACTCCATGTTTTTTAAGAGGGTAATATGCCAGATTAACCTGCCAGGCACAGAAACTTGCTCATGTCTCTGTGGTAGCAACTATTAAAGAGCCAACACTCTATTAAACTGACTTAATTCAAATGAAATACAGAGAGCACTGATGTTGGACAGAGCTCTGTTACCTGCAAGCAGTAAGCTGACAGCTTCTGTGCGGTGCTCATATTTGAAGAGAGAACAAGCGTATTTCTCGACATGTTTAACTCTTCAAGCTGGAGATGTAGAGAGCACTGCTTTAGTTTCACTGGTTCTGGACTGAAGCAGGAAAGTAGCCCCATCAGTGCTCTTCCCACTGCTCTGGATCACTTTTCTGGTTGAACTGACCCTCAGAAGTCAAGTCCTCTTGCGGTTGGCTATTTAAAATATCTTTGGTGAAAGTCACCTCCTGGCACTCCCTGACTTCTCTGTCGCCTGGCAACAACATAACACAACATGCTAATGTCATCAGCGGGTAATGCCCGACGTAACTCGAAATAGTATACAAAATAAAAATATTCTTTTAAATAGGTTTATATAAACATTGTGTTAAAAATAGAACCGTATCAAAACAGGATAATGAGTTCACAGTCTGTCCCTTAAACTCCGTTAAACCTCCAGTTCTCCACGTTATCTCCACCCATCTCCCCTCCACCTGCAGAGTTCATGGGTGAGGTCTCGCTGTGAGGAGGCCTTCACTGCGACTTCAGCCCCAAACTGTTGGAGGACAGAGGGAAGGAGTAGGCTTTGCCTAGCACTATGCGGTCCCGCAGCAGTTTAAACAGGACGTAATAGTTGCAGAAGAGAATAAGGCCCAGAGACAGAGTGTGGTTCCAGCGCTCAGAGCGCAGCAGGGAGTATAACTGGTACAAAACCACACTGGACTCGATCCAGATCAGCAGGTTCAGGATCCGCAACGGCTTGTGGAACAGAAACTGAAAGACCAAAAGAAAAGGAAAAACATAAAATGTTTGAAAGCACGTAGAAGGTCAGGGAAGAAAAAAGATTCACAGGAGTGGACCAAAACAAAAAAGACACTTAATATATTTAAAGCAGCATGAAATGAAACAGATTTATCCAACACATGAGTGAACAACATTTTGCATTAAGTATTCACTTAAGAAAACTTGCTGACTTTGAGCGTTGACACCACTGACACATACCTACTTGTTTTAAAGTCAATGTGGAACAATAATTAGATATTCATCTATCAGCTGATTGACATTAAATCATGTCCAACCGTCAATATGTGGAAGATCTAATTTTCTCTGTAAAACCTCAAAGGACTTCATATCTGAGAAGTATTGGTTCATAAGACATTCACACTGGAACTGAAATTAGACATCTTATTGGCTAAAAAATTCAGATCATTGTAGGCCCCTGTTTGAGGAAATATCTGCCTCCTAAGCACTCACTGAAAACACCTTTGGCTTTTGAAATTAAAGCCTTCATGTGATTTTTAAGTTTTGTCAACATTAATCACTGTTCTGTACATGTCACACAATCATTATTCATGATATTGTTTGTTTGTATTCTTCCAAAACCCGACTTTGATGATGTTTGATCTGTAGCTTCACTTTACACGGGATGAAAGTTTGAAACTTTTTCTCACAAACTGCCGACAGATTAAAGAAATACGATCAATCCGCCACCTGATTGAGTCAGACATCATTTATGGCATCAGACTGATCCATCCAGATATGAGCATGTCATAGATGATGGACCGAGGCTTGTGTATACTTCATATGTTACAGCAGAGCAACACAGTTCATACTGTGCTCTATTATACTGGATATTAGCGATTTCAGATCTCCTTTTTGGTAAAGAGGTAGTTCTTTCAGTGAGAAAAACCTTTTATTTAGGTCTTATTCACTGTTAAAGAGAGTTTTTGGGGAAGTGAGGATGGAGGGTTTACAACAGTTTATGTGTGAAAAAAAGGAGACACTGAAGCCTATAATTCTATAAGCATGCTTCAGTTGTTTTTCCTTTTTTTGCTGACTAATCACAGTCCTTTAGGTTCTGTGTGGTTTCTCCGTTTTAAGACGCTGCTGCAGGTATAGAAAAACTCTTAAAACAAACACCTAAATCCAGCTTTATTCTGTGTGTGGCTGAGCGGCAAAGATTACTTCTGCTGTTGTTTGTCTAAGTTGACTGTTTTTTATGTAGGGCTGAATTTGTGTTGCTTTTTCATGCAAAGGAACCAGCAGATTCATGGTGTCATTGTTTTACCCACATGTATGTAATGTGTGTGTGTTTTACAAGTAGAGGATAGATACTTACATAAAACCTTGCATGGGAAACATCAGAGGGTAGAGCGACATTGTACGGACCGACTGCCTTGTACAGACAGCGACTGTGACGTACCAACACCCCCTGAGGCCAAATGGTGCTTTCTGACCACCTGCAAAAATGTGAACACCAGAGTTACACACTCATTATTAGAAGACCGTTTCTTTGGTTATATTTGTGCGGGAAATGTTTGCACGTTGCACAAAAAGGGCACTCACACGTGCTGAGGTGCGTTGCTATACGAGCCATGCTCCAGTTTCTGCCAGCGGCCCAGGTGAGCTGCCGAGCGATGGAGCAGGTCGCAGTAGCTTGGGGGGAGCAGCTGACTCATGAGCATCACAAACGCATTGATCCACACCATGATCAAATGCTCACATGACCAGCGCATGTCATAGTATTGGGTGCTCTGGTATAAAAGAAGCAGAAACTTGGTTAGACAACAAGGAACAAAGTGTGGCGGAAAACAAAATCCTGAATCAGGGCAAAGTGCGAGTCACGGGTACCAACCTTGACGAAGCAGAGAGGCAGGAAGGCGACATAATAAGCACTGAACAGCGAGTTGAACAGCACTTCCTTTATTCGCCGGTTGAAGTCGCTCTTCAGCTCCTCCACCTCCGCTCGAATCAACTCCGGCGTGTGTGAGTGTGTGTGTGGCGGGCAGGTGTGTATGGGCATGTGAGGGGGGCTGGAAAACTGCTCTCTGAGATTCTCCCGTAACAGGAAGAGGAAGTCACGTGGTCTAAAAAACGGGGTCTCTGTCAGGTCAGTCTGCTGGTGGTCAGCTGGATAGTCGCAGTCGGTCTGGGGTGTTTGGCTTTTCCCTCCCTCCTGATGGAAACAGCAAAGCGGGACGTACACGCCAAATCTGACGTGGATGGGTGGCAGGGACAGAAGAGCAGAGCAGCCGCTTTTAGTTTCAAATGACGGCAGGATGAAAAGGAGATGTACGATGTGAAAACATCATGCATATTTCAAAAGATGGGACAAATTAAGGGAGGGTGGGGCCGCACAGCTTCCACATCCATTAGCAGGCAGAAGAACCAGACATAAAAACCCCTCCACACAGAAACATGCTCACCTTAACAGCTTCTCAGTATCAGTATGACTAACCACATTAAGCACTACCTGAATCATTTCCTCTGAAAATCAGATTCATTTCTGGAAAGACGGTTATAAGAGAATATGTCTCTTACTGGAGATTTGTGCGGCTAAGTTTGGATTTTTTTCTGAAATGGTTTGTGCATGGATGTAGTCTTTTTGACGGTTTCACACTTAAACATTCGCAACACAAAACCTCAGATTAGGATTTTTTCTCTCTGCGAGAGTTAGCAGGGACAATGATCCTTCCTGGTGCTGTTCTGTCAGGTGACGGGGAAGTTGTGTTGTTATTGTGTGCATCAGTGAAGTTGTACAGACAGAGTGGCGACTTGACTCTGAATTCTCTAAGTTCACATTTGAGCTCAAACATAACCCTGCTACAAGCAAAGGGCTAAGTGTGTGACTGAACGAACTCCCGCTGCCACATCAGTACAGCATCGAAATCAGGGGGTTGAATCAACAGCTCTGCAACTTTCAAATCTAGCAGACATTGACACTTGCTGCTCAAGGTGATAAGAGAAAGTGAGCAGGGTCTGAACTCCCTCTAGAGCTGTTTGATCCTTCTTTACACAAGTGCTTTGGTGTGCATGACAGAGCGCTGCACTGTCAATGCTGAAAAGAGAGAAAGTGAGCCCCATCAGTAAGATCTCAACCCTCAATATGGTGGCAGTTTTTTGGTTCACCTTTAAGAAAGACCATCCAGAGCAGAGATAAACCACTCTGCTTTGAGACTTCGGGTTACAGCTTACATGATTATATCCTTTAGGGAATAAGGGGGCTGTTAAAGACTCACGGGTATCCCAGGAAGAGGAGATTGAGCACTGAGTGGTTCTTGCAGAGGTTGACAAGCGTCCAGCAGAGCACCCAGCCACACATGGTGAGCAGGGAGAGCCGAGCTGTGATCAGAAAGACGTATCTGAGCAGAGATCCGCCGCTGCTCTGAGACACCTAGACGAGACAAATGACAAAACAACGACGACACTTAGTCAAACGATTCCTGCTTCTGCTTTAGGTAGGAAACAGTTTTTCAGGTGATTCACCTCTGAAACTATTGTCCAAACCAGCCTCCGGGCCAACATGACTGTGATGAAGATAGCCAGGTGGTAGTCCATTAGATGGAAGTTCTGTAGGAGGAGAAAGTTATTGTCATTTTCTGTGACATATTTTCTTAATTATGCATTCTAGTAAAAGCTGAACCTCAGCATCTACTTTGATATCTGATTCCTAATGAGACTAACTTAGTTTTAAGTGATCCATCACAACAAGAGAGGGCTATCCCACTTCCTTTTGCAAAAACAAATGCAGTTTAAATTCTATCAATTGAAGCTTTTGGCGTTTAGAATCTTCATTCTTAGTTTAAAAATGGAGCTTGGTTACTCAAACTTTTTAAAAAGAACCTGTGTTACGAACTCAACACACACGCTTTACTCTGAACGGTTGGATGGTCTGAATGGAAAGTTAATTTGAGATTGCAGTTTACACAAAATAAGGTCTATTTCACACAACAGAAGAGCTATTAGTAACTAAAGTTTGTGTATATTTATACCATTGTTGTAATTCCATAAGTCTGACAAATAAGGGCCTGCTTTGGATTATTACAGTAACACATTTCAAGATAACAACAGAGTGTGTGTGTGTGTGTGTGTGTGTGTGTGTGTGTGTGTGTGTGTGTGTGTGTGTGTGTTCTTACAAGCGAGGTAGAGGCGGCAGGGTGGCTGTATGGGTACCACCAGACCGTCCTGTAGATGTTTATGTACTGAACAAACAAGGCCACCAGCAAATAAAGGAAGAGCAGGAACTCAAACAGTAAACTGCTGTCCAACGGCAGCTCAGGGATCCTCGAGTGACGGACCGGCTCTGGAGTGATGAGGGCCGAGAGGGGGGAGGACAGACCCACCGAGTTACTGTTTCTGGAGGAGACGCACACAAAGACAAGACATGTTAATCAGGGTGTTCAGAGGATAGGTTTACTGGCAGACAAGTTAAACAAAGAGTTAAGACAGAAACTTGAAAATTAAATGAAGATATATACAAATATATTTAGGACTTATCACCAAAGTTTGATTGATCAACTTTTGTTTTGTTTCATTTGTTAACAAACTGTTGTAAAGAAAAGGCTGAATCAGGAAATGTGTCTACAGCTGTTACAAAAATAAATACTGACAGAGAGCTGACAACCCAGGGGAATTTCTGAGGTATGTACAAGAAGACTAAAGCCAAAATGTCATTTAAAAAGTGTTTTATTCTCAAACTTTGAGAGAAATCATTCAACACTTTGAAAAAAATGTCTTTATTCAGTTTTCACACACCTGTTCCTGAGGCTTGTACCATTGCCGAGGTTGCCTCCGACCAGAGTCTGCAGGGAAGGCAGAGCAGAGCGACTTAGCTGCTGTCTGCTGGGACCCCTGCGGCCTCCTGGCATGGTCGCCAGTTACCGTGGCAACCACGGATGCCGCCCACCAACCAACAGCCACTGGGACTCCTCCCCTTCCTTCTTAGTGAGCCACCATGTACAACCAGGCCACTGTGGAGGAAACAGAAAGATAAGTCTGAGTCAGATCAAGATGAGTGAAACACCTAGACAGAGGGGAGGAGGGAGGGGGGAACCAAAAAAAAAACCAACAACCCCGGAGCTTAGACAAGTAGGATTAGAGCATTTACATGACCCAGGGTATTTGCTGTATACTGCATGTGGAATAAGTAAACAGTGGTGATGTTATAAGGAAAGAATGGTAGGAGCTGGGTCTTGTTTTTCTTCTCCACCGATTTTATCTCGGCTTTTTAATTTCATTTCTGCAACCATAAAGTTTATTAGTCAATCAGCGTGCTGGCAGGAAGGCTTATCATCATCTGGAAAGGGGAATTAGAAATGCTGAACTTATTAGAGTAAATCAAGTATGACATTTTTTCTCTCCAGTAGCATATGTTTGACTCTTTAACACAGTATTCTTCTTAAAGATAATTCACAGAACAACTTAAGACATGAACTATGCCACAAAAGTTGACATTGTGATTAAGACTGAAAAAACCCCCATAATAACCTGGAGTGGCAGCAGCTAGCAGCTTTGGGGTTGTGTCTTAAAAAATCCCCAGCTTTCGTAAACTACTTTCTGGGTCAAACTGGTTTAGTGTGGTAACAGCTGTGCTCTGAAACATGAAGGTTTGTAGACGTTTAAAAGACACAAAAACTAACAAGTATAAAAAAAAAACAGACTTTCTTATTAGACTCAAGACCGAACTGTTTCTATTTCTGGCACCGCTTTGACCAGTTCTTATCACTCTGCATTTGGATGAGAGACGTGACATGTTAAAATGACACAGCACAGAGTACTAGCAGCTCTGTTTTAAAACTCGTACAGCTGCCAGGGTTTTCCCCAGGAAATTATTCAGCAGAGATGGAGAACCATCCATATCCTGAAATGTCGTGTTTATGATCAATTTAGTTTATAGATGATAGCTTACAAACAAAGAATACAGTCAGAGAACATATAGTATCATCAGTGTTCATCTGTCAGAAAGCTGCTGCCTCTTTTCTCAGCAAGCCGATGATTCACTTTAAAGGAGTTCAATAATCTGTAAAGAAGGCCTCTAAAGATTTAAATAATTAGAAATACCAGTAGGTTTGCTTATCTCTACAAGTTATCTGCATGTGATAGATCAGAAAAAAACATGTTTAAACGGCCTCATGGAGTTTCGATGTTAGGCAAAAATCTAACAGCCTTGTTCACATACATGGACTGCCCCCATATATTTGAACATCTTTGGTATAAATGGGATGGGCAAAAGTTCCTCTGAGTTTTACACAGTGCAGCTCCATTACAATTAAACAACCCTCAAATTATCATACAAATCTTATTTTAAAAACTCTCTCAGCATAAACTAACCACAACATGACTGAAGATTTTTAAACTGGATATGGCAGCAGTGAGGAAGCTCACTGGCTTAGCAGCCAATCACATGACAGTTCCCTACTTTTTTGTTTTTTTTAAACTCTGGGATCATTATTTACAAAATTTATATCATGCTATGATAAAAAAAACAAGTCCACATGGGAATTGTGACCATATACTACAGTAATTTCCTCATCTAATAAAGAGCCAATGATCATGACCTTAGTCATTTGTTTTAACTGGCTCTATCTTATGAACTGACAGCCCGGCGTCCATAAACTGAGGCGATAAGCTATCACCCAGAGGTTTCACTTCATAGAATTATGAACAGACTCACTTATCACCAACGCTACCAGAACTCAGTACCATCCCACAGCCTTTTTAGACAATCAAATAATTGCTTAACAGAGCAAACAAAGCTGTCACTGATCTCCACCTACAAACAGAATCAGACCGGCTGTTTAAAGGCAGTGTGCCTGAATAGACTGACGCAGGATTGAGCAGCCACATGGAAGTTTGTCAAAGGCAATGAGGAATTTCATGAGTAGATCTACATGAACAGGCTGACAAGGAGTATATCTTCACTTCATTATTAAGTAGCATGTGTTTGAGGGTGTTAAAGCTGTCTGCAGTCACATTATAGAAAACACGTTTGCAATGTTCATTCAGACAGCTGTACTCAAAGTGATACTGTCAGCCAAAACTCCAACAGGTTAAGAAACCTAATCCTCTTTTCAGCTCCAAGTATACTTGTTAAAACTTATCACCACTGAATAATGTTTAATCTTCTTCATAATGATAGAAAAAATAAAGATCTTTCCCCCTCGGGTCAAACTTATTAAACCAGGATCAACACTTAGCAGTGACACACCTGGTGTTTCCCATCTTTAATACTCAGTATGCAGGCATGAACAATTCTGACACACCTGAACCAAATATAGAGAAGACATTTAGTAAAGACGTTTAATTACACCTGGATGTCTTCTTCTGCAACTTGTTGAACCAGCTGCTACAACAAACCCTAGTTGTTTGTCATTATAACATCTACAAAGTGTTTGGGCTGATGTGATCAAACTATGCACATGTAGAAACAAACTGCCCAGATGTGAAGTTAAAATAATAGTTATAGTGGGGTTTTATCTTGTTTAAATGACATATTTGGTCAGTGCACACTGTACTCATAAAACACATCTGTTTGGAGATTCAGACTAGACCTTTTTTAGGTGTCAATTGAAAAAATTTATGATACAACTAAAGCGTTTGTTATAAGTGGAAGATGGCCAGAAAAGACATGTTAATGTAAGCCACGTTCAAATCGTGTCAATCCGTGACTTGTTTTCATGAATAAAGAAGTTATTGTTTGAATACTTGATTTGATTAGGGAGTAATTTCCCCTTTTTGGCAGTTTAGAGAGAGAGATAGGACATTTCCCATAGCTGCACACCACTCACTCCATTTACTCGTTTTTATTAAATCACAAGTCCATAACTACAAAATAATGAAGTTTATTATCAAATGTGAAAAAGAAATTTGGAATATCTGCACTCAGTGTGACTTCTTGACTGTGTATCAAAGTTTAAAATCACTTTTCCATTTGACTTATTGTCAAAACGCCACAGCGTAAAATCTTACTTTTGTATCAGGCTGCATTCTTCAAAATAAATTCAGTTTTAATACAAAGTAGCTCACAACAACAAATGCTCACTGGTACTGCTGATATGTCTCTTGATTATTCTCCTGATAGCTTTTTTCTCCATTCACAGTTCAGACAGTGTTGTTGACAGTTTATGGTATGTTCTTTAAAACCTCAGTGATAAATTCTGACACTCATCAAACACAATCTCTTAAATATTAGTCAATAATTAAAAAAGTGGAGTCCTGTTTGAGCTTGTGTAGTAGTAACTAAACTCCATGAACAATTGTTTCTTATCATCACTCGCTCAGTAGGTTAAAAAGTAGTCCTGCTTTCTTTACTGTGTATTAATTTACCTACTTTATCAGGGGGAGAAGAGATATTTTACAAACTAAATGGAAATGCTGAATTTATGAACCGAAGTATGAATGAGTTTGGATATTTGTGTAAACAGGGCAACCACAATTTATTTGTGTATCCATCTTTAATAGGGGCCTAATGAATTATATTATTATTTTCAGTATAAAATTTATTTTTGTTACTGTTTTTTAATGAACTGAAGAAGGAATTAGAAAAATTATTGGAAAATTTGTGTGAAAATGGTTTGAGATCGAGGACACCCACAAGTCTGCCACAATGCTGTGCACATTGGGTGCTAGATATTTATTTTGTTTTGTTTTTTGTGTTTTTTTTTTCTTTTCTTTTTTTTCTCCTTGTGTGACTCTGATTTTGTTTATATTATTTTGTGAAATTTATGTTCATACAGAAAATGAAACTGTTGAACTCTGTGGCAAATGGAAATAAAAACTAAATATGAAAAAATTAAATAAAATTTAAAAAAGTAGTCCCGCCTCAGCCAGGACTAGACTCCTAAAACGATACACAAACCAGAACCAGACATCATCCAAACTGTGTGTGTGTGTGTGTGTGTGTGTTATTGTGCGTGTGTGTATCAGTATTTCCTTCATGCAGATGTGACTTATGAGACAGGATGGACATGGTAATACAGCATGCTCTGTGGAGTATCCAGAGTATATTTCCAATATTCAACAATATTAAAGTTGAAGAGGACAGAACAGGAAACAGACGTTCACTCACTCACACACACACACACACTCACACACTCACACTCACACACACACACACACACACACACACACACACACACACACACACGCAGTCACAGGCAGAGAAGCATGCATACAAAAGTGAAAACAGGAACTGTGTGAAAGAGAAATTGACTACAGAGGAGGGTTTGGAGGATAATGGTATTTTGTAATTTTGTGGAAGTGCAACACGTTTCTAGATTTCTACACCACAACTTTTTAAAGTGTTTTTTATAAGCACTAAAGAAACAAAGAAGGAATAAAACCCCACTGAAATGATGTGTTTGTTGTACTGAGCTGGCTTTACTTAGGGAAACTCGTCGTTAGAGTTTTTTTTTTTCCTTCTTTCTGCAGACTTGCTAAGACATGCACCAAAGGCAGTCTGCCTGAACCATGACACCAGGCAGGGCTGTCAGATCGAGGAAACTTGTGAGCAGAGATACTCAGCACAGAAAGAGCTGACTTTGTAGCAGGCTGCTATCCTACCTAACCAAACCCTGACAGTTTAAACAGCTTCGTAGAGACACTCTTACTCACACGACATCGACAACATACGGGGGGTGAAGTGGACGAGGATGCATCAGTCAGTTTTGTGGCTTCCAACCTGACGAGTCCAGACAGCACCGAGCATTTCTCCGCCTTCCAGCTTCAATATTCACCACTGCAGCGGTTTTCAGATCTTCAAAGACGGTACGGACGATGCTGGGAGGTCGCTTTCACGCCGAGCAAACACATAAAACGGCTCTAAAAGTTAGCCCCGGGCTTCAGGAGCAACAGTGTAAATGCGCTGCTGCACAGAGACCGACGTGGCAAACCCGCACCTCCTCTCACCGCGACGTCATCACCGTGCGACTCTGGCAAGAGTCTGCGCTGCACAGTCGCAGTCTCTTCAGGAAAGACGGCGAAACTTTTGAATAAAAGAAAAAACACTTAATATTTTAACGTGTATATTCAATTCATACATTTTAACAGGTACAATAAAAATAAAATTCATTGTAACGCTCATATTTCTTACCCTGGTTCGGCAGTAGCCTATCAGAAGTTTACCACATAAAATTAAACTAATTGTCCCGAGTTATATCAAGCTGAAGATTTAATTTTTGTAAAAACAAAACAACAACAAAACATATGGATGATATATCTCAAACATATGTGAACATATGTAGGGGAGAGTGGAGTAAGTTGATCCTCCCCCTGTTGCTTAGAAATCGTAAAAGAAATTGATCATGTGACCAATTATTTAGGAAATGGGCATCAATTCATGGGGTCTGTGGAGGTTAGAAGCACGTGGGTGAAGGGGTTAGACATTTATTAAAAAAAAAAAAAAAAAAAAAAAAATCATTTTTCGCGCTTGAAAGTGAAATTAGTCCGTCGTAAGTTTTATTAGAATTGTATTCAGTTTAGAAAGATCATTTTAAATTCGTTTAATACATAAATTGTGGTATCTATGAGCTACAACATGATGTTGTAACATAACATAAAAGTCCACTATTTTAGCTTAGAGGACTAATAAAGTCATGAGAGTAGTTTAGGGGTAAGTTGAGCCAGTGACTCAACTGAGAAAGTAAAAGAATCTGATGAGAGGATCAGAGTTTCAGTTCAGATTGTTGAAATGTGTTACTTTTTCTTTCCAATTTACAACAATAGCTGGAGAGGCTCAACTTACCCCGCTCCTATGGTCAACTTACCCCGTGTATGGGGTAAGTTGACCATAGGAGGCCTTTTTTTTTGGCATGCTATGTTATCAAGACAGTTATGTTTACACTCATTCTGTTGGTTTGCAGGGATGCACAACATCTTGAAATATATGCAGATACACCAGTTAGAGACAAAACTATGATTACCTTGATGTAGTGATCAGAAATATGAAAAATGGTTCATCTTACCCACTCTCCCTATGTGTATATTTTTTAAGTGTTTTGATTCAGCTGGTTGACAAAACTGGCCCATTAAACTGGGTCTAGGGGGTCCACTAGTTGAAAGAGGCCTTGAGAGTCGAGGTAGCTCTACTGATTTGTTTTTGCATAGGCTACCAAAGACATGAAAACTTAGTGCAGAGACCCACATCAACGACTAGGAGGTGCCAAACCAACACAAGGATAGGCAATCAACAAGAGATGTAAAATACCAAAAAGTCCTTACAAATGTGAAAGGTATTTCTGTCTGAGCCATAAATCTAGTGTCTCCTGATGTACTCTTAAATTATGCAGCTAAAAGTCAGTATTTTTTGTGTAATAAATTCTAATAAATTTATTTCTAGAGGAGGTAATATTTATATCTTAGGTGTTGCAACCTCTGAACAGTTTCAACTTCTGCATTGGAAAAGTAAAAGTTAATCAATTATTGAAATTGTCCCTGGCTGATTGTGTGTTGATTGACTGATTAATTATTTAACTAATCCTTTCAGCTCTACTCAGACATGACTTGGGCTGTTGTAATAGTTGTAAAAAGGACAGACCATACAACTCTTGTCTTCAGACACAATTTTGTCACACTTAAGTCACAGTAACATCTGGAAAAAAGCGAAAACCTTTGCCAAAACACTTCAAAAATATATTTTACAGTTTACACTGTTGAATTACATACATGGGAATGAAAAAAATGCATTTGTTTGGCTGACCACTTTTGTAAAACGCAACATGTGATTCAAATAGACAACCCCTGTATTAGTTTCAATGAAAAGTACAACTCTTTTTTTTTCTTGTCTTATGTAGTTCGAGCTGAAATATGTAAACAAATGCTAGCCAATCATGTGTTCTATACGCTGAATAGAAATTGTAACTGTGAGACTTCAGACAGAATTAAGAATAAACATTTTTACACCCAAAAGGTACAAAGTTTATTAAAAACACTTAAACTGTACAGTGTAAAAAGGAGATAAAAATCATTAAAAACATAAATTCAACCGTTCAACTTCTCAGTTGCATTTGCCTTATCTTTTGCCTAATGTGTATCTGTAACATACACCACGAGGACAAGGTGAAAAATAAAACAGATTCCTCCAGTTTTAATGAAAAAAAGAAAAAAAAACAAGCAAACACGCATCTTTACATTGTGTTGTTAAATGTAGTTTTAAGGAAAAAAAACTTTGATCCTGTAACATTGTTTACATTAACTTATTTCCAACATTAACTCCATCCTACTTTAACATTCATCTTATTTACACACAGTGTTTGCAGCAAGTCAGAGTAAATACTTAACTCATCTTATGTACAAAGGTTGAAACACTATCTATCTAATGGCACATGCCTCTTCCTTCAAAACATTGAAACAAATACATTAAAGCCACTTCAATATGTCTATAAAAAAACAACTATGTACAATTTTTTAAGACTTAAAACTAATTGCTGCATTCACAAGGCTCCTTTCACATCTATGTGAGTTCACATAGTTGTAAGCAAATGCTACAAAACATGTCATTTTTAAAAATAAACTAGCCCTGAGAGTAGTTTTTCTTCACCTCATTGTTAACTTTTTAATGGCTTTAATAATATAATTTAAAAAACTGTTACCACAACACAAAAATTGTTTAAATATGTCCATTTTATGCCACAACCAAGATTATTCTAAAAAGAGGCTTTAGATGGAAATCACCTCTGAATATTTCCATGACACTTTTGAACCAGCAGAGGGAGACATAAACCCATCAATCTTTTCAGTAGTCACAGTACAGCTCTGTTCATTTTTTTCACATCGTCATTCATATCAAACTATGCAGCCTGCACACTCTGAATTTTAGATCTTACAATTTCAAACTTAGTGGATCCCTTAGCCAGCTTTTCACCTGCCCAAAAAGCAGCACAGGAGCTCTTTCGTGACTCATTTTGATCCACAAAGGATAGTATTTAGGAGTTTACCAGCAGGCGGTTCTAGTGAGGTATGTTTTTGTCTCTGACACAGAGGTCACAGGGCGTTTCACAGCTGGAGGGGCTCAGATGACGACACTGGTGCCACTGCGAGAACTCTTGTCCTGAGAGAGACACACTAACTTTAGATCACTGGCATTTATCACTCAGGATGTTTATTTGTTTGTTTATTTGTTGGATATGTGTGCATTCATCTACATATAAGTGCATTAGAGTGTGTTTATCAACTACAGTTGTGTGTGTCTTACAGTGTAGCGGTCATGCCTCCGGCCTCCTGGTTTCTGTCCAGGTTCGTACTCGGTGTAACCAGGGGGTTTGTCACTCCAGCCTCCGCCTCCGCCTCCTCTCCTTCCTCCTCTCCTACTGCTGCCTTCATCATCAGAGCTCCAGGACCCTCTAGAGCGCCGGGTTGCAGGGGGAGAATAGTTTCCTCTGGACCGGCTGTCAAACAGATCATCCCTGGACCGGGAACGGGGTGGATCCATGCCTCCTCTTGCCCCGCTGCGACCCCGTCCATCTAGTGACTCCTCACTGTAACTCCTGGGGATGCCTCTGGACCGAGGGGGCGAAGGGTACCTCCTGCCGGCTGCTCCTCGATCAGGGCGTCCGAACCCACTGCGGCTGCTCTCGCTGGAGCTTGGGGGGCGAGTCTTGGGTGGAGCAGGTGGCATTCTGCCTGATTGGGGCTCTCTTATTGGCGGGAGTGTGATGACACGGCGCTCCATTGGGCCATCATCCAGGGCGGAGATCATGCTGGGCGGGCCGGGGGTAAATGGGACAGCGGGGCGGATATTCTGAGGAGGTGGGATCTGCTGCATATGTTGTGGTGGAGGCATCTGCTGCATATGGTGAGGTGGAGGCATCTGCTGCATATGGTGAGGTGGAGGAGGCTGGGACTGCAGGAAGAGGACACCACAAGAAAAATCAAGTTTAATGTGAATGCAACCAACGGCAATCAAAGTACAACACTACTGCCCTGTTAGGATTTTGGAGACAAAAAAAGAGCTCACTGTTTGGAAAGAGATTTTTTTTTATTGCTGAGATGTTTAATGTCCAATGGTGGTGTATAGCCTCTCCTAAAATAATGATTCCTGTTTACAATGCCCATATAAGTTAATACTCTGTGATAAAACACTTACCTGTACAGTTAAAGATTAAAGGCACTATAAAACAGAAGCCAGGGTCAATAATCTTCTTTATAGCTCTACTTTTTAATCCTTGACTTTTATTGTGTTTGTTTCACTTTTCATGTCAACAACCATGTGGGACATTGAGCAGTATACTACAAAAGTTCTATGTTATGTCCTTAACTTCATGTCTTTGTAGCTTTTATCTTGTTTTTATGTCCTGAGAGTCGTGATTCATATGTATGTTACTCAAGAAGTAATGCATTACAGAAACAGAAGTATTAGAATCAGCATTGACAGCAGTATTTAGGGTTTACATACAAACAAACAAATCAGAGTGAGACTAAATAATCTGATGCTCTTTGTTTCCTTAAACAACACATGAGAAGATGGGAGGTTACATACCTGCAGCAGGGGAGTGTTCATGTCCATCCCCCTCACCTGGCTCTCAAGGTAATCAAGCATCTGATTGGTGTTGGCAGGGGTAGTGTTGCCATGCATGCTTGGAGGGGGCATACTGTAAGCAGAGGACTGAGGAGGAGGAAGGGGCATCGGCTTCATGGGGATGCTTTTACCTGACACAGACCCTGAGGAGGAAAAACGTCACGTAATAAAATTAGGATAGAGAAACGTTTTACTGGAGGTTTACCTTGGTGTGTGTGTGTGTGTGTGTGTGTGTGTGTGTGTGTGTGTGTGTGTGTGTGTGTGTGTGTGTGTGTGTGTGTGTGTGTGTGTGTGTGTACCTGCGTAGAGCAGTGGGTTCATCTGTGAGGAGGATACGTGGCTCATTGGTCCATAAACCGGCTGTCCTCCAACCCAGGGAGCCATGGCCCTCTGAGCCTCCTTCATCATACGATGCTGCATGACCGCTGAAAGATGAAAACAGCATGTTCATGTTAACATTCATCAGCAAAGGAAAGTGAACAGTCTGTCTCTCTGCACATTAAAGGGTCTTTTATATTACGTGGGAAATTTGCTTTGTATCACACAGAGGAGATTTCCAAAGCATTCATCTGCACCTTGGTGAGAAGAGGGTTGAAAACCATCAACTCCACATTGGACATTTCTTTCTTTCTGCCGAAGGTCATCAAACTAGACAACGTTGTGGAGCAGCTACTCCTTAGAAACTCTTTCCTGTCTACAAACCCTTGAGGGAGCAACAGTAAACACTGCAGAGCAAAGGAGTTGCTGAACAGCGGCTCCTTGACGGACTGGTTTATGGTCTTAAACAGAATTTATAAAGTTAAAAGTGCAGAGAAGTTATTTGTTAGTGCAGCTGTTCATGTGACCAGGAGTCTTCTTCCTCAATCTATAAAAGAGAACAATATATCTAAAAACTCAGGAAGTCTGGCAAGAGAGCTACAGCCAAAGTTAGATTCAACTAAACTCCAAACTCAATTTGCAAAGTGCTGAGCTGCAGATTTTATCACACTGTGACTAAAATGCCTGAGAGGGAACTTGTCTAGACCTGCACGGCCAAGAGCAGTGACACTCTGTTAAAAGTTTTAAGAGAGTAATGTTCATTTTCAAGTTAATTAAACTAACCAATTGAAAGACTCAAACCTCTCTAAGCTATTCTGATTACACCTCATTTTGTTAAAAGAAAATTGTGAAAAATTAAGGTGACTTGTTGATAACCTTTTCCATCAGATCACCTGAAGCTCAAATAGAGACAGTTTTATTAATGCTTCTTGCTATTTACCCTTTTCAGGACAGCAGCACTGCTGAGGGCAGCAGGGACAGCGAACGTAGCAGCAGCAGACATGAGGGCAGCACTGGCAGCAGCAGATACAGATGAGGAGGATGAGGAGGAGAGCTCCGATAACGATGAACAACACGGTCAACCAGTCTGAAGGAGGAGAGAAAGAGGCACACTTGTGAGACAAAAGACACAACCTGTCGTCAAAGTGTCTGTACTTGATTTTGGGGATGACCCGCAATGACTTACAAAGAGACATAAAAAAGCACAAATACAGAACGGTTTCAGAGGTATTGTACATTTTAGTGATTTTTGTTATTTTAGTTCTGTTTTCTTACGGTAAACGATGAGTTTGATTTCTTTGTCGGAGTCCCCTGATGTGTCTCCAGGAGCTTGGACGGTGCAGAAGTACACCCCGTTGTCCCACCACATCACCTCAGTGATCACCAGGTCCGCACCTGCTCAGACAGACACTCCAATTCTTAAGTTCAAGTTACATTTAAAGCAATTTTTTAAACAACCCAAGTGTTGCCCTGAACTGATCAAAGCCACATTTAATCCCAAGACTCAAACCAATTCTTCATCTTCTTCTTGTCACAGCAGCTTTAAGGCTGACTGACAGTGTTTGCATAAACTTACTGTTTTGGATAGTGATCCTGCGCTCACGGTACTCTGCTCCCAGCGTCGGCTCATTGCTCCCTTTCTTCTGGATCACTGTGCGCACTGTGCGCTGTCGATCTGGACAGTCATTGGATGGATCCTGTCCCAGCTGGAGTGCAGACTGGTACGCTGCATAATAAGGAGCAAAATGTTTCATCAAGAAGATTTTATGCAACAATACAACAATGCTACATCTCTTTTTTTATATATACTGTAAGGTTAATTTGATAAAGATTGAAGCGTCTTCATTTTGAAGCATCATTATGTGCACCAGCCATGCAGGATAAACTGTTTTCTGCAGACCATGTACTGTATAGTTATCAGTGAAGACAGGGAATTATGAGAAAAATTATTATGAGGAGAGGGAAAGCTATTCAAAAAAAAAAATCAGGTTATTTCCAACCGATCTGCTTTATTTATACAGCACATTTTAAAAGACATTCAAGTCTTTGCAGAAATTTAAAAAAAACATCAGGAGGAAATAAATAAAAGCGAGTAAAAAAACATTTAAACTGAAATAAAATAAATGAAATAAAAACACAAAAGCATAAAAGAAATAAAAGTGGTAAAAGGACCATAAAAGCAAAAAAGGACAAAGATCACACAATTCTCATGCTGAACTAAAAGCGAAAGCATAAAAATAAGTTTTAAGACGTGATTTAAAAGTGGAAAGAGTGGGGGATGTTTTAATCTCCAGTGGCAACTCGTACTGTATCGGCATACTTTATAACTTAAATACAAATTGGCAAAAGGTCTATAAAACAACGAAGGTAAAACACAATCTTGAATCTTTGCACGATTTAAGTTTTGCTTCAAAAATTCTAAATAACATAACTTTTCTCGCTTCTTTTCCTCTCCTTTGTGTTTTACCTGTGGAGTAGTACTCCAGCACAGGGTCCTTGCAGAAGGACTTGTACTTCCAGGTGACCAGGACATCCTGAAGGTTTGCAGAGGTGGAGAAGTCACAGCGAAGGGTCACTGAGGCAAACAGAGCTGTGCTGCGCTCCGTCTGGGGGACATTCACCTGAATACACTCGGACACTGTGGGGAAGAGATGGTTTCATACATTAGTTTGGTGCTGAAGAAAAAGACTGCATTTGTGTTGTAAAAGACCCTGAAAAAAAGACACAGCAAGGGAGGAATTTCTTTAAAAGTTTGCTTAAAAGCGAAACAATGCATGAGAGGGTTTCTCACTGTGGAGGAGTCCATTTCAAAAAGTGGCTGAACCAGAAAAACAGGTGTCACAGACAAAGACACAGGAAACAGCTTACTGTGAAACTACCTACCACACATTCAAGAGCTGGAATGAAACCTGCTGAGTTTAAGTGTCCCCAAGTGTTTACAGATCTCAATTTAACACTGACCACAAACAATCAATAAAATCTGAGGTCTACTGTAAGACTAAGAGTGAGTTAAAAACAGACAGGGTGACATTGTTCCTGTGGAAAAGCAGCGTAAGAGAATAAAAAATTAACCCTTTATATTTTTTAAAAGAGTGAAACCTTAAGAAGAAAGACTTTTAGCTTAAGCTGGACTCCATATACAGTATTTAGGCCAACGAACCTGACATGCATCACTGTGTCTGATAAACAAAACCAGTCATGTGACCGAAACCTCCTATTTGGTTCATTTTTACAGCGATTTTAACCAAATAACAGCTTCACTGTAAAAAGTGTGTCGAGACAGCTTGTTTTTTTCTTTACAGCATGAGGTCCATATGTATAAGAAAATGGAAATTACCTTTCAGAAGCGACAGCAGGAGAACCGCAGCAGGTAGGCTCAGCATGATGACGGTGCAACACACCTCCGAGAGAGAAGTGTGGGACAATCCTCCTCTACAAGAAACAAGTGCTCTGGAAAAAAAAAAAAGTAAATTAAAAATAATAAAATAATAAAAAACACTGCCGTTTATTCACGAAAAAACACTACACACAACCGTTCAGCGTTTGTCTGTGTGTGTTTGCCGGAACAGTATCTACCTGAGACTTCTTGACTCATCTCTGGCCACACCCCGAAACAGGTGCCTCCGTCATGACGTAGCCACGTGCACCAAACTACCAAAATCCCCCTTTAGACCAATAAATAAGCGGGTACACATTAGGAGTAGTGTCAGTATAAGGATGAGCCTACACAAATACATGTTATCCTGTCGAGGTTATTGACTATGTGTATTTCTCTGATTAGTGAGGTTGTGCTATTTCTAGTTGAGTAACCTCATTCATTAGTGTCAGGGTTACACAATAAAGGATGTTGCAGAAAGAAGCTGGGAAGCCACTTCAAATTACTGAGTTAAGACTTTATTTATTATCTCTCATAGCAGATAATTAAGGTCAATCCAGGGGAAATCTTAAACCAGAAAGACCATTTACAACAGGGGTGTCAAACTCAACCACTGCAGGGGCCATAATCTGGATTTAAGTCTAACCTGAGGGTCAATGTTTAACCCAAACTGTCAGCCTCCTTTTTAAAACATATATAACAAAATCAACAATGATTATAAACCACTTGGAAATTCAAAAAGTAAAAGAGATAAATTCAAAGAAAAAAATCCAATAGATTAGTTCAGAAGATCAGAACACGATATTAATAATATAAAAATAATGCTTTTAAAGAGAAAACACATGAGGAGAAAGTTGAGATCATAAGTTTGAAAGGTCAAAATGTGAGATCATTTTGAAATCAAGAGTTTAAAGTCAAAATATGACTTAAAATTTAAAATTGGAATCTAAAGGATTAAATGACATAAATCTAAATACTGATTTGAAAAAAATCAAAGCACAAAATAAAAAGTAAAATCATATTTGACTCGTAATCCTGAGATGCAAAACTGGAAATATGGATAAAACACAATTTTTTCCCTGCATTCTTGACTGTTTATCAAATCTTCCTTACTCTTTACTTTCCCAGATTTTCATGGTTTATTAAGGATATTTTAAATAGTGGTGCTAAAGTTAACATTATTATCCTGAAGGAAATCTGCAGACTTCATACTGGTGGGTCAATAATAATACAAATATGATACGATCTCATGGGCCAGATATAATTGTTCCGCAGGCCAGATTTGGCCCCGGGGCCTTGAGTTTGACATCTGTGTTTTACAGTGACAAATGGGTTTCAGTGGGAGAGGCACAGAAAGTATGTGCTTTTTAAAATGTGGTGACCTATGTTTTGGTTGTATTCACATTGACTTTTTTGAACCTCCCATAGTTATGTTCTGTATTACTGTCACCAACTGTATTTCAAAATTTCTTATCGAGGCCTTTACTTTTTTTCTTTTGTTTGCTTTTTAGGTCCTCGTTACTCTTTGCTTTTATAAGAAGTATTAGCTCTGTTTTTACTGTGACAAAAATGTGTAATGCATGCTGGGTAATAAGGTTTAGTAGGTGTTTGACAAAGGCAAAAATTAAGAGTCATTAAAGTCAGTATCTGAACTCAAGCAGGTTAAAGCTCCAGACTACTTGTGCTGCGGTTTCTCACAGTATTTTAAAACCCAGTAGCCTCGTGGACCAGGTGTAGGTAACATGAGAGTCTGAGCTTATTGACAGATGTCATTAGAGGGTGTTGTGTTTTGTGTTTGTGTCAGTTGCCTTAAGGCAACAGACCACTCAGTTTACATCTTTCATAGCCACATGTTGAGTATATTTTCTTTATACAAAAATCATTCACAATGTTAATTTGTCAGTTTAATTGTAGCAAATTGTCTATGAAATAATTGATCATGCTCTGAAAATGTATAATTAGAGTCAGGAGTTTTCTACTCTTGCATGTGACCACTAGATGTCAGCCTAAGGTTGATTTTCTTCTCATTTCGACTCTGGCTCTGCAGATTCTCAGAAGTGTTTACAAACTGTTGAATCTCTGAAGGATGGAAAAGCTTTTGAAACATGTCCTTGCCCAGAGTGTATCTTTATCTGCATGTAAATGTGAATACCTCTGTGTCGAGTTAAATGACTTGTCCGAGTCCTTCAAATCGTCTCACATTGTTTTACTTGCAGGCCAAACACACTGCGCACCTCCAGCCCCTGAAACATTTTTTTCCCTCCACTGGAAATCCAGCCAAAATCCACTCTGAGCTTCCCTCTTATTCTCTCTTACATCCTGTCCTTCTGCTGAGGCCTTTAGGCACAACCTCGGCTTCATTCTCCAGAATGCTTTCATGATTACAATGCAGGGTAGGTAGATTAGAGGCGAATGAGTTCAAACTTTGTATTCACTTGCACTAAAATTATTATTTGCATACTGAATCACTGAACCTGAATATAAATCAAACAACTGTCATAAAAAATAACTGAAACAGCACAGCAAAAATAAAATTGATCAGGAATTGAGGATTATCTGCACCGATTATGAACAAATGAAGTTCAAATCATGTTTCAATACTGTATAACTCTTCTCCACAGCTCTTTAGCCGCATATGTTGTACTTTTAATTCCACATTGTTCTGACATCTTTGCAGATCAAAGCTTTTTAGTAAATATTAGAAAATGTAATCGAAAAATGGTGTATTTTTTTTTTTTTTACATTTTTGCTACTTTTACCTGCTCAAACATCAAAGTAACACGTACACCTTTATGCATTAATATTCCAATCATTCAGATTAATAGGAATCATTCTACATGATGAGTAGTTTTTGCTTTGATACTAATATTTCTGTAAAACTCTGTTTGCATAACTTTTGCTCATAGGGGAATATTTCTACACTGTGTAATACCATTTAAACAGAAATCATGTCCAAGTACATCTTCCAACAGAGCTTTTTAATGTGTAAATTTTTCCTTTTATGTCCCCAAATAACTTAATTACTTTATCACTGGTATTTTAACTGGATTTACTTCTACAGTCTCCACTAAGCTGCTGGATGGAGTCTTAGGTGCTGATTTGAGCTCAAAAATCACCAGTAAAAAACGGAAACAGGAGCAGTTTCAAAGAAAACACACCATCACACTGCTGTACGGTGATGTCATGTCCTCCTGCTGATTTTTCTGTAAAACTCAGGAGGGAGTTGTTCCACAACATTCCTGACATTTCTTCAGCTATGAGCAGTCAGTGTCTCAGCCAATCCTCCCATTACAAACATGAGCACAGATACACAAACAACCCCCCCGCACACACAGATACTACAGGATGACACATAAACTACAGAAAGACCCAAAAACTGTGAGATTTTTTTTCCCTTTACAAGCTTCATTATGATAGAAATATTTCTTTAAAAGGCAACCACGTCCAGTCTGAAGAATTCAAGCTCCAACTTCGTAAAAAAAAAAAAGCGATTCTACAAAATAAAAGTCCTGCCTTTAAACATTTGCTGCTGTCTGTTTATCTCCCCTTAGTTAGTTTAACTGATCCCTTTGTAACGACAAAAAACACAGTTTAGAAAAAGTTTCAAATGTTTTTTACCGGGCTTACTCCACTGCCTCTCTCTAGAGTTAGAAAATCAATAAAAGTGAAAGCGCTCATCACTCAAAATCAACAACCCCAGGAGTCTTACATTAAGGATCTACTATTCCAAATGATGCTGCTATATCTATAAAAGTTGACCATGCAGCTGTCTCTGTAATAAGATTTCTTAAGCATGACTTGATGAAAAAAATTAAGACTATTTTCATATGAAACCTTCTTTTATTAGTTCTGCTGAAGTTCGTTTGTTGATGAACAGTTTCGCTCCTCTGGTCGTGACTCCAAACAGCACACAGGCTGTTCTTAATAAACAGATACTTTGTGGACAAAAGTTGTGTCACATATTATTTGTGTGGATGACAGAAGTGCTGCGATGCAGAAATATGTGTGGTTGAGCTGGCAGAGCTGATGTGTGAGTTTTGACGCAGCTGTGTGGCAAAGACAGGCAGTCTGTGACTCCAACAATGAACAAAGACGTGAGTCATACTGCATTACACATTGTCTCCTTTACAGAAAAGTAAAGAGTCATCTCTCTCTCTCTCTCTCGCACACACACACGCACACGCACACACACTGTTTAGTACCAGACAGAAGACAACACAAAAGATAAAAACTTAACACTGACTTTTAACTTCTCTTAAGATGATCCAAATGAGAGGCAGGATTGAAGAAGTTGTTTTAACGCCGTCATGGAAGAAAAATTAAATGATTAGACTGATGAATTTTTCAAAACTCAGGTGGCTGATGTGTTTTGTTACCTGTTATGGGCCTGTGACTGATGTTAAATCATTAAGGTGTTGGTTAAGTCCTGGACTCAACAGAGATTAGAAAAGGCTGAATTACAGAGGTCAGTAATAAACTTCAAGACTTACTCTTCTGTACACAATAACACTGAAAGGCTTAGAAAACACAGTTATTTACAAACTATAACATCCATATTACAGAAAACACATAAATAGTTCTCATTATAAAAAATGTCCCCATGCTGCAGTACAAAAATCGATCAAAAGCAGGAGGCAGATCAGGGTTTGAAAAAGTATAATTTTTACTGGGTCTTCGACTCTCAGTGAAAATTGTTACTCACTGCAAACCTTAATGGCAGACTGTGAACACTGACACACACAGTGGGACGAAATAATGTCACTGCATCATGATTACTGCAAATGCTGCAACAAATACCGGTCATACTAGGTCAGAGGCAGGTCTGCAGGATTAGTCTGAACCTTCATTAGTCTTTCACATGTAGATTTTTTCTTCTTTTTCTTGGTATTTTTTTTTGTGCTTTTGCCTTATTTACTGCTACATACTCAGCTATGTTAACCAGCTGATATTTCACTGTTTTGTGATGCTTTTGGAGAGGTGGGAGGTCAGACATTTTTTACAACTAGTCTACGATCCATTTCACATGATAACTTAACCTTCTAAGTGAAGGTCTTGTGAAAATTTGGGGCCTTAAATGCAGACTGGAAAAGATTGAGAAACTGTACTGATATGAGAGAGACAGTCATGGAGCTGCAAAACCGACACAAGAACAGAGGTGCTGCTTTTTTATGTCTGAGGTACAGCTTTAGTGCTACTTTATCGTACAGTGACTGCCTTAATATTACTTGAATGGTACAACAATAACAGCAACAATGGCACCTCTTTGGCTTAGGCAGAGGAAGCGATGTCAGGTGGAGAAAATGAAATATTTCAAAGCTTTAAGCTGGAAAGAGTTTAATAGTCTAGCTTCAAAGCTGCACCCTTAAACTGCAACTGTATTTTTTAGAACATAAAAAATACTATGATAGGAGGAGGTATTTTTTCACTACAGTAGTCACTTTAAATTTGATCCACAGCAAACAAACATAATCTAGGGCAGGAAATCTCCTTGCCCTACCCCCTCGGGCCAAGCACCAAATTTGGGGGGACAGAGCCGTCTCCGCTGCCGCCCCCACCCTGTGGAATTCACTCCCCAAACCCATCCGAGACTGTACAGACCCCCATACTTTCAAATCACTCATAAAAACACACCTTTTTAAATTGGCTTTTAACCTGTGAACTGTTCTTTTATTGTCTTTTCATATTGTGTCTTTTTTAACCTTTTGCATCGTTAGTTTTATTTCTCAAAATTTTCTGAATTTTAAAATTGTGTTTTTTATTTTATTTTTTTCTTTGTAAGGTGTCTTTGAGCAGCTGTAAAAGCATATTTTAGATAAAATTTATTATTATTATTAAAATGCTCAATGCAGCTTTAGGAGTTACTGTCCCTGTCCACCGTCTCTGTAAGCATCAACATCCAGCACCACTTCCAGCTTCAGCTAACGTTTCAGTCTCAGTCTGAGTTAGGTGCATTAGTCCCTGAAAATGTTACTGAATGACACACTGTGTTTATTGTCAAATAACTGAGGCTACAATATGTCCTTGATAGTAATGGTGTTGTCATACACCTTCTTTTCAACAGCTGAGCTGTTTTAATGCAGATAGTGACTATCATCAAATGGAAATGAATGAGCTCATTGTTCCGGGAGCGTAAAGCGCGTCTCATCACTTCAGGCCTTTTTCTAAAGCGACATGAGGAGACAGACAGTGTCCTGCAGGGAGGGACAGTCCAGGTCATACACCCGGCCAGCATTAGTCCAGTGTTAGTGCAGCTGAGAAATATACGAGGCCACCAGTGACAGAAACTGAACGGGGATGACTTCATCACTCAGTGACGTCGCAGGCAGGAACTCCAGTAACAGTCTCCAAAGGAAAAGCGTCCTCAAAGTGTTCATTTCAGCTTTCCTCCAGGGTCAGTTGTATTTGCATAGATTTTCAGTCCAAACATGTTTCACTCATTCTTCCATCAGCTGTCATGTAGTTTCTCTTAAGTGTGCTTCAAGTGCTCAGTCTGTGTGGCTTCATCCTCTCCCTCAGACGATGAGGGAATCCCGGCTAAGGAGAGTGCTCTGGTGGAGACAGAAAAGTGTGAGTGATTAAAACAACAGACAGTTTATACATTTGGACACTTTTCTTTTTTAGTGAGATGAGATAATAAAAGAGATAAACATTAGCCAAACAGAGTTATGTTGGGGAAGTAGAACCTGGGACAAAATGCATCACAGTGTCTTCTCTGTATAATTTGAGGATTTGATTCAAGCCTCTCTCAGCTGGTTCTGCTGGATAAATTTCAGCACTTCATGTTGGAAACATTTTTGGCCCAGGTTTGAGAGGGAGGGACAGTTATGAATGTTACTCGGGGTAATTATATACAAAACAGAGGGGTCTACCTAGCTTTCACTGTGGTAGCATCTGAACCTGACCTGTCAAAGGCACAACAACAACACTTACTTCAGGCCTACAAACCTTCTTTAAACGGTCAGACGCATTTCTCAACCTCAGAGCTCAGAAAACGTGGAGAGATCGACAAAAAAGGTTCAAGTTTTCTGTACCACACAGCTTGGAGCTCCTTCCAAATGTGCCCTAATCCAGTTCACATGACACCTTTAATCTCTGAGCGAAGGGGCTGCAGACATTTTGGGTCGTAAAAATGAGGTCAGAGGCCTAAAAGGTTGAGAAACTACTGCGATGCAAACAGCAACAGCACATGCTTACTGCACAAGCTCACGTGGGGCTTTTTTCATTGTTAACGGGCAAGAATCATGACATCTTACTGATCTGTTTCTTTTAGCTTTGTGTGAGAAAAAACATCTCTAGGAACCTTAAATAAAATTTCTCCATGCCATCGAGAAAAGAGGATTATTTGAAGCTTAATCCAGGATCATAAAACCCTCCTAATAGCCATGAATTTGATATTTTTCGGCCCAGTTAGTTTAGGAACCTCAAGAATAAACAGAGGATGAACTAGAGTTCCCTTTGTGTTCATGTTGCGTTACACAGAGCATTGAAGATGGTGCCAATAAAATCATATAAACTTACTTTAAAAAGACGCAATTTGAAAGACATTTTTAAAAAACAACAGTCCTTGTATTTACAAATGTGATACCAATTTAATTTTAAAATGAGAAACTTCATTTCAACATTTTTATACAGCAGAGGAAATGTTAAACTTTTGCCCAAACTGGGATTGTAGAGCCACCCAGAACATTTTGTCTGTGTTTGACAGATAATTTATGTTTGACCCTGCAAGCTAAGCTAACAGTTCAAGGAAAAACGACCTGAGCAAACTTTCCAACCCTCTCGGGTCAGGCTGCTGAGCACCTCAAAGGTTGTAGGAAAATGTCTCTCTGTTTAAAACACCTTGCTAGAGTCCTGGAATAACACACTGAGCACCAAACAGCATGTTGTTAGCATTTATCTGGTAGACATCTTCATAAATTTCCTGTACCTGATATTAAACTAAAGGTGATGCTGTTGATCTTCGACCAGGATCATGTTTAGAGTGATTTATCGACTCAAACGTCACTCACCACTTTACGGCTCTTGTCTCTGGGTTCTTCTCTGCGACCGGGTAGGGAGTGAACGGGGGCCGGAGAGGAGCGAGCGTTAGCAGGAGGTGGCCGAGGGGATGGCCTGTCAGTTCTGTTACGATCTGTCTCTGAATAAGAAGGCAGTGATTCCACCTCGGGCCTGTTACTAGGCGAGCGGCTGTGCTGCCGGCTGGATTCCCCGCTGCTCTTTTTGGAGCTGCCTCTTGAGGGCGTGTCTGAATCCTCCTCGCCTCGGGCCCCACCTTTCCCCTGGCTGACCCCTCGCAGCTTCGCCTTGCGCTCCAGCAGCTTGTTCAGGAAGGTGCTGTCGTAGTCCTTCTCTTGAGAAGAACTCGACGGAGGACTGACTCTGGGAGGAGGCGGGACAGGACGCTCGCTGCCCCAAGTGCCCCTCCTCTTTTTAGGTGAAGACAGCGGGCTTATGTTGTGTCTGTTCTTCTTGTTTCTCCTGGTGTGATCTTCACGGTCGCTGCTGTCTTCAAGCTCATTTTCATCGCTGTGATAATACTGAGCAGGACAGTCCCGATAGGAAGGATACCGACTGAACTCCTGAAGCTCCATCTCGTACTCGCCTCTTTCTGCTTCTCGTACGTCTGTCACTCTGGTTCCTCTCTGCTTGTATGAAGCAGCAAACTCCTCCAGCTCATCCAGTGAGCCAGTCCGGCCTTCAGGGCGGTACGTCTTTCTGTGAAGATGCTCTGATCGGGGGTTCCACCTGCAAAAGGAAACACAAGGCAGAGAGAAACAGGGAATTGATGCACTGTATATGGAGTTTTCTGCAGCCTATTAAGTATTACATTAAACAGGCCGCAGCTCTTCTTCCTTTGTGAGCTGTTCATTTGACTTTTATTTACTTCATGCAGAAAAAATTTGGATGAAAAATCCAATCAGAAAAACTTTTATTTCCTAAGCTAGAAATCCTCTGCAGAGTGCGAAGTCCTTGGTCATGTAAGGTTTTGAGTAATCTTTTTATCACAAAGACTTTGCTCAAAATAATCCCACTCAAAGTCCAATAACAAGAGAAACCATGGAAAAGAGGTCTGATCGGAACAGTCTGATTCAAACAAAAAGCAGCAGTCCTCTCTGAACATGAAGACGGAGGTAAGAAAGAAATCAGTAAGCTTTTCTCCTGCCTGTGTGATTGTAGAAACAGTAACACTCAAAAAGAAGTCTCTGTACCTCTTGTGGTTTTCATCATCGCTGTGAGTCTTCTGCCGTTGATTACGAGGAGCTCCCTGGGACTGTGAAGAGGACGGAGGGTCATCACTGTACCGCCGTGGAGGAAGGGGCTCATCCTGACACCGTCGGGGCTCTGAGTCGGGGTCATCGCGATACCGTCGAGGTGAAGGAGGATTTTCCCGGTAACGCTGCGGCTCTGGACTGCGGGTGTCATGGTAGTGCTGACGTTCAGGCTCAGGCTCGTGGTCAGGGATGGCCGGCAGAGCTTTCTTCTGGACGTTTCGGTATGTTTGACGAAAGCCAGTTTCTCCCTCATGGAGGGAGCTCAGCTCAGACAGGTTACAGGCTGGATGGGTCAGAATGAAAAAAAAATGGTTGAGGCAAAGAAATGAACCATGAAACAGATCATTACTCCAACAGGAGAAGAACAATCATTAGGAAGATCCTGCAGTGCAGAAAAAGGAGATCAGAGTCATCAGCTGCAGGAGAAACTGTTGAAGTGAAATGTGTGGAAACATATGCTTTAGTGTAAGTAAGCATGCACACCTATTACTGAACAACTTTGAACAAAAAGGAAATCTAATATAAAGAGAGCTTGAGCAGATACACATGGCAAGGGAAGATCGAGAGAATACAAAGCCTGAAAGAAAGAAGAAAAGGTAAAGATCATGCAGCATGCGTTGTCTAATGATCGGATGAACATGCTCTGAGAGATCCTGGCAGCAATTTGAAGAAGAAATCCACGGCACGGGTTCGGGAAGCTTACACTGGTGGCTGATGGACCTGGCAGGGTTGAAGTGAGCCAGTTGTTTCTCTACGTACTGGAGCACTCTGAGGGAGTCCTGCTCCTGAGGGGTCGGCACGCGGTAGGGAACCCCTACAGCATGCATGGGCACTGCAGATACACACCTGACTCATGAGCAGGGAAAACTTCAGTCTGTCTTTGTGAAGGTTCATGTGCTGTGTGTGGACTTCTAATGTTTCTAATCAAAACTGGTGAATCACAAGAACTAACAGTAAGACTAAGCACAAAAGTACAAAACATGACCCAAAATCTTGACCTACAGCAACTTCATCGAACACTGACACTGAAAAACTGATAGGTCACTGCTCCTGAAAGAGACCTCACCTGTTGCGAGTATGCTGCCATCAGAAGGAGTGACAGTCGACATCTTGTCCACCAGGGACGGTGGGGCAATAGGAACCATTGTTGGGACGCCAGTGACAAAGTATGGAGGGTAAGCAGGTGACTGAGGGGTGGAGGTACCCGTCTTTATACCCTTACCTGCTTCATATACTGTAAAAAAAAAAATCAAATTAACGAGAAACCATTTAAACTTTTCAGTAAAAACAAAAACACTCTCCAAAATGAGTTTGAGTTTTTGTCCGTGGATCTGTACTCACAGTGTCGAGGGCAGCAGCATGTGTCAGGGCAGCACCAGCAGCTGACGTAGCAGCAGCAGGAGTGAGGACAGCACTGACACCAACAAACTCCAACCAGCAGCAGGAATAAGACACTGCCCAGTGCCACTGCAGCCACAAACACCCACTCTGGAAATACACACGGAGGGGAAAACACTTCAAGTAAATAAAGACTCATACATACTGACACGAGAACAGTTTGGTTTGATCAGATCATACCAAGGATGTAAGTATTACTTCAAGGAAAAGATAAAGTAATGATCATAAATGTTCTTCCTTGAGCTGCGTCACCCCCATAGCAGTCTGTAATGGACTGGTCTAGGTCTCGCTACAAACAAGTAGCTGCTGGAAGAGAGTAGGTGAGATGTGTTTAGTCTCTTTGCTAAAGAAATTAGGCAAAGCTAAAAAGAGGCTTGGTGGGTAGTGCTGTGGCTTGGACCCTATATGTACTGTTGATGAAGTTAGGTGCTGTTCTGAGCATTATTTGTGCCTACAGAGTGGCGTTTTGTTTGAGGTTTGTTTATAGCTCCTCAGACCGCTGTGTATTGCTATCTGCGGTCATTACCAAAGTTGGTCTAACTAGAGAAGCAAGCGGTCGGCAACATTCATCTCTCAATGGGGTGTCTAACTCGATGTTTTGGTATGGTTGACCCTAATTTAATTTTACGACGGAATATCCCTTTAATGTGATCTTTGTAGGAAACAGGAGGCTCAAACTCTGACTAAACACAGACAATTACCCCCCCAATACTTGAGCTTCACTTGTGGGGAGGAGGCAGCTTTGTCTGCAAACATGTGTCTTTGACAGGACACAGAATAAATACAATCTTTACAAGAGAACAAGCGAGAAAAGAAAAAGGATTTTACTCATAATGTTGGAGCATTCAAGAGAGGAAATCAGTGATACAGCAAGTAGAAGAGATAAACTAGATGTATCTGTCTATGGGGACGAAGCAAAGGAAAAGGAAGGAGAGGGCAGATAAGGAAATCTCTAACAATGTAAAACCAGAAACAACATCTTCTCTCTCTGCACTCACATACACAAACTCTCTCACACACACAGGAAATCTGATTCTGCCACAGGAAGGAAAGGGACAGTTTACATAGCTCTGTAAGATACTGAGAGTTTGGCTGTGACAACAAATTAGCTTGTAACGTGATCTGATTTGTAACCGTTATCACCTCTACAAATACACAGACACACACATACACCACGACTGCAGAAAGCACTTTACTTTTAGACTTTTCAGGGAACTGTGGGAGTCAGTTTGGATAACAAATGGTGCTGCTGCTCCACGAACACCAGAGATAAGCGTGCAGAAACCCTCCTGCATGAGTGAATCATTTCTTCTTATTGAAGCTTCATTCATCCATCATATTCCCACAAACCCTGATAATTAAAAAAAGTATTACTGGAATTTGACTTGACCATAAACAAACCTCCCTCCTTCTCATCACTTCTTTTTTACTGGGTCGTGTCCAAATAATGTAGGATGACATGCTAACCACAGCCATAAATAACCATAATGACTATAATAGCTGTTTTCCAGCACAGGGAACTCATCTAAGAGGGAGTGATGACCATCTCATTATTAGACAGGGTGTGTCGATCTGTTGAGCTGAAAACCACTCTGGTGTCAACATTAGCAAGGGTCATTGTAGCTGTTGTATTACATTTGCTTACATATGAGTAGGGAATGTCCGACAGTATCAAAGCTGTTAGTCATTACCAAAGGAGCACATGTTTAAGAAACAAGGAAAGAAATGTCAATATGGTAATCATCCTCCTGATTCATGGGGTACAGTTATCATATCACTTGGACATTTTGATTTTGAAATAATGCAGCTCTTTATAAAAAGATTCCCCTTTCATATTGACTCGCTCTGTGAATACTCCATTACCCAGCATGGTGGTGCTAATGCTATCAACTCTGCACTAAATCTTCTGGTGTCAGCTAAGTGCAGAATTCCTCATCCTATTCTTATTTCAATGCTAATCAAATGTGGTACTGTAGCATATTGTGTCATAAGATAAGATAAGAAAAAAAAACTTTATTGATCCCTGAAGGAAAATTCAAGGCAAACATATCATAGTGTACAAAACCATAACAAAATGTTCCATAAAATAACAAATGGTATGGATTAGTATGACAAGTTTGTATTTCTCATCATCTCATCCTACTGTACAGTATAATATAGAATTTCATTTTATCATATTGAATCTTATCATGTTGTATTATGTTGTGATGTGTAATAATGTAATGTATTGTATTGTATAGGACTGTTTCATGTTGTATAGTATCATAATGTTTTGTATTGTATCTTGTGGTACTGTATTGTATAGAATCAAACTGTATGGTATGATAACTTCTCCCAGTGTTTCATGTCATATCGTGCCATAATCTCATGTATCATATTGTAACTTTTCATATCATATCATGAATTGATAATCCATAAAACAATCAACAATTTTAATCTCTCATTACAAATTATTGAATTTCCCTTTAGGGCTAAATAAAGTTCTTCTTATCTTATCTTATGTTAATGTTATGTATCATATTGCACCATAAGGTATCATATTGAATTGCATTGTAACTTAGTAAAGTTTTACTGTATTGTAACTCATTATAATTTACACTACTGTATTGCTTTTAGTTGATGTATGCTATGGAATCATATCATACCATATTATATATTGATTGTATCATGAGTGACTCTGTGATTCCCACCCCTATTAAAAAGGGGGTTTAAGTCTAGATTTAATGTTTGGCCCTATTTTGTTAGAACAAGGTTCATGACTGAAATCTCAGGTGACACTTTTCTCAAACTGTGAGGGAGAATCGTTCCCGGGGACTAACCCCAACTACCGCCATCTAACATGGTTGAAGCAGTTAGTAGGGTTAGTGTAAATAGGAAGCACAAGGTTAGGGGGAGAATACATTATGCCCCTACCTGGCATAATCTTCAAATCAAAGTCTGGCAGGAGATCTTCAGGCACCCAAGAAAAACCTGGAGAGAGACAGAGCAGAGGAGGACAGGAGAAGGAATGGCGTTGACATACATGATTGATTCAAGCTATCGCAGCCGCATGCATGAAGAGAGAATCAAGACAAAAGAGCGAGACGCAGAGAGAATAGAGACGTAGATAGATAAAGAAAGCAGACAGGTCCACAGCAGCATGCATCAGAAAACGTCCAGGTCATGTTCCAGAAAGTCTTCATATCAGAGCGCTGTGTCAGCAGACTTATCATCTGATTCCTGATATTGAAAGCTGAGGGGTTGTTTTTTCTGGTAAAAAGACAGACTGGAACATGAATCATTCTCATGAAGAAAACATGAGGAGCTGTGAGTAATGTTACATGCAGAGCCGCCAGAAACACAAGATCTGAACATTCCCCACATCTACAGCCAGCGAACAGACCAGCGAGAGACACTCTGTTCTCCAAACAATAACTTTGTCTTCGTTTCCCTGCTATTTGGATGGGATGATATCCCTTGAATGAAACCGGGTGTCCTTTTGTCTTCTTTAGAATAACACTCCATTATTACAAATCATCCTGCTTGTCATTTCAGACACTGCAGCAGAAAGACAAGCAAGCAAGCAATCAATCACACTCCTGAGTTTACTGATGGTATTTTGATTTAAATTAGAAATAAAGACATAAATGTTCACATTGTAGTAAGGTTTGGATATTGTTATAATGCTGGAAATTGACAACACTTGAAATTTTCCACTCATAGCTGTGAGTTACAAATTAAGCAACAAATATAACTCCATACCCTAAAAACCACCATCACCTGTCTGTTGTTATTCCTAATATCACATCTGGTGTTTTGTCTATCTTATTTCATTTGCTAACACGAATGTAAGGAGTTCCACTCAAGGCCAGCGGATGTCAACTTACGAGATAAAAGGCAATCAGTCACAAGCTGAGTCAAAAATGTGCGTGTGTGTTTTGTTTGGGAGTCTGTGACTGGGTGGTGCAGCCAGTAGGTGAGTGTGATGTGAGCAGACAGTGTTTTACGGTGCATAGTGTGATAAACTGCAGAGAGTGGGGATAAGTGCTGAGTAGAGGGAAAAAAAGACTGAAAAACAGAGAGTAGGCTGACCATCTTCGCCTGACTGTCTGCACATACCTCACGGAGTACCTTTTACCTTGTTCTTTCACTGGTTGGAAACAGAAAATTACAGAAAAAGAGCTGAAAAACCACACGGATCAAACAACAAGCTGCTGATATTTACTGTACAGGTGTTTGTACATAAAAGGCCGACTGTTGTGTTGTCTGTGTCCTTCATGCTGAAACACATGAACTCAGCATGCTTGTAGAGTCTCCAGCCTTTTATGAGTTTGCCTGCAGGCTGGTGATTTACCAAGATTTACCTTTCATATATTATGGCTTGCTTGTTGTCCCCTATATGGTTTTGTACTTCTACTACTGAGATGAACATGAAGGGGAGCAAGAAAGTGACCGATCAGCCCTTAAAAACTGAAAGAAATTTTTGTGCTTCCCTTATAAATCAAGAGTAATTTTACTAATATTCTCTAAGTTCTCTAACTTTTTTGCTACATTGTTAACAAGATGAGTAGATCAGGTTGCCTCTAGCGATGCTATCACTATCCACGATAAACTACAGCTGTTTTGGGCTTTTGACCAATCAGGAACAAGTATTAAACAGAGACATTTGATTAGTGAGAAAGCTGAGTAATCGTCTGTTTCTAAGAGAGGCAAAGTGTTTTTGTTAATTCATCTCTGGATCCCTGAGGAATCAAACAACAAAAATACTAACAGAGTTTTGTAAGAGTTTCATCCGTATAATACAAATTGTCAATTTTGAGTTCATTCTTTAATTTTCATCTCAGGGATTTAATCAGAAATGGGCTTAATTTAAAAGGCTGATACAGTCGCCAATTTCGTATGATTGTTAATCAATATACATCGTAAACAATCTGGATGTCTGTTAAAAAAAAATTGAATTACATCATGCTAATGAGTTACTTTACAGTCCTTGCTGACTAAAAAAATATAGAAACAGTGACTTAAAATCTCTGAAATATCCTGCCAAGTTTTATTGGATACCGATTTCAGCCTCTTAATTCAAGTTTTAGCCTGACATATGTTTGTCTAAATGCTAAAATGTTTTAGGATAATGGGCCGTCAAAGATGTGACCATGGATAAAAGGGTTTTATTTAAGCTGTGTGCAAAAAAATATTGAGAGGGATGATTCTGTCCTACAAAACTTCAAATAATAAGAAGCAGAAAAGTGCTCTCTATCTAGCTGCTCCTACAAATACCAGCAGTCCACGCATCAGCTGAGTGTCCCATTTGGTGTAACCTCCCATCCTTTGTGTCACAGTGCTCTGCTGTCCCTCCTCCACATCATTATATCTTCCCTGTCTTCTTTGCTGTGAAGCCCTTCACTGTGAAAAGACAAAAGACCCCCACCTCCACTCACAGTGGCCCCAACTGTTGTTATGGAAACACTGCAAGTGCCTCACATGCCATATTAGCTACACCCGGCCCGGGAAATACAAAGTATGCTGGCTCAGTGGTGGACTCCCCTCATGTTGGGAGGAAGACTGTGAAGGCTGGCATTATTTAATCCTACAATTATTTTGATAAAATTATTATAAAGAAGCTAAAATGATCATTTTAACACATTCAGAGTGTACTCAGAAAAAGTACTCAGAGCTTTTGGAACGGTTAAAGCTTGTTGTTCTGTACTTGTGTGTGTATTTGTGGGTACTTCCAAGTGTGTGCGTGTCTTTTTGCACACACATTTGTCTCTGAGTGCCGGCCAAACAAAAGTTCAGACTCAGAGTGAATTAGAGCACCAAGAGCCAATAGCCTCTCAGCTGTTGCTATGGTAACATTTGTAACTGAGGGCACACAAGTACACTGACAATGCGAAGGTACGACACATTACAACATGGGACACAGGGAAGCCAAACACTTATACACTGACATGCCACATACACACACAGACACACACAGACACACACAGACACACACAGACACACATGCACACACACACTTTAACGGTAAATATTTGTGTGAATGACTGCAGTGTGAATAGTCTTTTAACTTTGTTTAATACAGTGACATACAGTTTGAATACAGCTGTTGCCATGGTTACTGATTAGGCGAGCCTGACCAGGAAGCGTCACCTCTTGTTATAAATCAGCTCATAAAGGGGACTGTATTGTACTGCTGGTGATGAATGGGTCAGTTTATCAAGGTCTTGTTAAGTTTGAAATGTGCTATAAGAAAGTATCATCTAATAAGAGATACTGTAATGTGATGCCATCGTTGCTTGATTGTGCCACATTTTTTACAAAGTCATGTTGGGAAATTAGAGCCATCTTACCCAGAACCAGCAGCTCCACAGAGGCCTCGTTTTGTCCCTCCAAGTCATCAGATATCACCACTTTACAGATGTAAACTCCACTGTCTCCCCACTGGACCTCTCCTATGCGAAGGTCTGCCTCTACAGGACATCAAAAAAAAAGAAACAAAAATCAAATCAAAGTTTATCCTGTTGTTATGTTTGTATTAACTTTTATGAGATGACTATGGCATTGAGGATCTGTTGGGTTTCAGGGGGTTAAGGTCTGGTACTTGAAACAGTTTCCTTATACTCAGTAAACATGAATTCACAAAGAGTTCCTTAATAAGGTTTGAAGTATAGACTGTATATACTATGGACAACTTGGTTCCGCCTCCCGCCTGTATATGGATTTGAAGCCAAAAAGCTCTCAGTATTTCCAGGATCTTTCTTCATTTCTTGAAACCAGCACTGCGCAGTAGCGATGTGCCAAACCAGTCTTACAATAACTACATGTCAACATCGCAATCAGGGGGGAGAAAAATTTATGTTCCGTGTGATAAATTTCTAAAGTTTGCCCACAGCCCTATGTTTATGGTTTGAAGTAGCGAAAATGAACAAGGACTATGGTTGGATTGAGAGACCAAGATCTCTACTGTCATCTTCAACCTTTTTAAGTTCACATCTCTGTAAATACTATCTTTTTTAAGCGTCACTACTAATTTTCAAATGGCCTTCTCAAGGTGAGCAGGAGTCCTTTAATCAAGTTTGAGAAAATGCTGAATTTCTTTGTGCAACATGCATGTTCAAAAGCAAAGGTACGTTGGTAGTTTACTGTAACTACAGAAAACTCAATATCCACTGTAAGCTGAGAGCATTTCTGCAAACTGTAGCTACTTTAAAAACTCCCAAGATACGGTAAAGTCATCTACATGAATACTAAACTGTGATCATTTCTTTGCTGCTATATTCACAACTCTGGACAGACTCTCCATATAAGGTTAATGTGGTGACTTTGTTCCCATTCAGTCAGAAAAGCATTAGTAAGGTGAAGCGATCATGTTGTCTTTACTGCACTGCCTCACAGGTGTCTCCCAGGTGTTAAGACGGGTTGAGATCAGAGATATGAAGTCCAGTTCTCTTAAAAAAAACCCAGACCACTGAAATACTTAATTTATAATGCAGACAACTGTTGTTTTGAGTGTTTTCTAAGTCTGGAAGTAGGATACCAACATGATGCATATCCACAAACCCAAATATAGCCTGCCGGAGAATCCAACAATACTTGGCTGCTGACTCCATTGTGGGTCAGACATGTAGATACAGCGGACAGGAAATGGGTTGTATAATTCACTTCCTTTTCCTGTTGGTGAGGGAAAGGGAAGGAGAGACGGGCCCGTCAGAGCTCACCACTTTGACCTACCCCTCCTCAACAAATGGTGCCTCCAGTCATTCAGTATAGCTATACTTTATTCCAATAATAATTGTTACTTTTATTTGCAGGGACACCATATTAAAACGTTTTTGTGCTTCTGTGTAACTCCCACTTTCTACACACATCATGTCAGTTGAATGGGTGCCAACTTGAAAATGAAGGAGAAAGTAGGGGGTTTAATCTGTGTTAGCCATGTGATTTACAGTGCACCCCCTGCCTAGTGCATGCTGGGACAGACTCCAGAATCCCTCTGACCCTGAATAGGATTACATGGGTATGGATGGCTGGGCGTCTCTACAGGCAACATAGTTAAAGCTTTCAGTTTTTTTGTTCCTTCGCTGCACTGAGCTGTTTGAGAAGAGATAAAAAGAAAAAGTGACAGACAAGTCTAGCACTGTTAACAACATGTCTGTGCGTGTGTGTGTGTGTGGATGGTGGGATGTGGAGGGATGTGGAGGGTCATAAATAAAAGCAGGACATTGAAGTACATCAGAGAGAAAGACCAGGGGTCAGGATGAATGAGGGGACAGCGTGAAAACCGTTTCTTTTGTCTGCGCTCCTGGCTGGTGAAGAGAAGCTCGATTCTTCAGCCTGAGTTAGAGCTCCATAAATCTGAGGCCTGCAAACAAGGCTACACACTCATACACACACAACCACACACACAGAGGTAGTGTCCTTCGAATGATCCTTGATGTTAGATACTCTCGGTTTTTATGTTTTATTTTTTATGCCTGAAATTGCCTGAAAAGGGGGTCAGGTGTCAGCTGGGTGGCTGAAGAAACAGCCCAGTTTTACAGTTCCCAATAATCACAATCAATGATACATTTGAAGTAGTTACATTTGAAGTATGTAGAGGACAAGGTGAAGCAAGGATAGCTTTGTCCACAGGGGGCGCCAAAATGGACACTAACCAAAAGTTCCTCACAGGAGCTTGAACTGAGTTTCGTGTTACTATATTTTGGTTTCTCGGCTTTCTGAAACTGTAGTACAGGTCTCCTCCTCTTAGACACAAATGAAACTGATAACTAAAACGTTACAAAAACTAAATAAGGTTTTTAAAACGTTCCATACTGCCTCTTTATGTTTAACTGAAAGATATATGCACAGTCATCTTGAATGATCCTGCTATGATCTGTGTCTGCTGCTGTTGTCCCGATGCTCTCAGGACTCTTATAGAAATTCATCTTCTGGAGCTATCACAGCCTATGTCACTCTCCCATCACTGACCAATTAAACTCAAGAGGAGGCGGGACTTCTGATACCAACTTTGTCAACAACAGCAGACACAGAAAGTTGTAACCCTGTTATATTTATATCCTACATCTGATATTTTTGATCCTACTTCTGTACTTTGTACTGACTGATCTTACATCCATCATACTTTTAAACACTGACTGCATTATACTTGGTTTCTATACCATGCTTTAGTATCTGGCTGACTGGTGATGTCTGACTAAATGCCAAGTGCTGTCTTTTTTCTCCCCTCAGAAACAGGCTCACTGTCTTCAACACGTGACACTTCTCTCTTTTCTTCTCGTGCCAAACCCTAGAATGAGTAGAGTTATATCACCTGATTGTTCAGAGAGCTCTTAAACGCTCAGTAAAGCCTCGCCTGCCTCTCACTGTCCTCTACAGATATGCAGAATCACTCCGGGAATTTTATCAGAAATCTGTGTGCAAGGTGGGCAAATGCTCAGATTTACAGGTAGTAGGAGAATGCAAAACTTGAGTCCACTAAACCCCAAAAATGTGGAAAAAAGCTTGGTTTAAAAGGGTCTGGTCTTTTGGTTTTAAAGTTGTGAGTTGTGTTATCTTTGATGTCTCTTATCCCTCATTGTTTTTTTCCTCACATGTGAATTTTGCACCACTTTTTCAAGAGTTTTTAATATATAGAAAACCTTACTGTTGATGATGGAGATGTCTCTGTTCTTGTAGTACTCTGACAGTGTGATGGAGGAGCCAGAGATGGAGGCCACAGTTCGGACAGTCCGACTGCTGTCAGCACAGTCCAGGTAGCTCGCCGTCATCGCGGTCTCGTATCCTCCAACAGCTCCCCCTGCTCCGCCCGTCAGCCCGCCTCCTCCCAGGCTTCCACCCAGGCTGTCTGGGTAATTGAATGAATCCCGCGTGCGGTCTCGGCAGTACGACTTGTAGACCCACTGCACCACTGGGGTCTGCGTGGACACGCTGTTGTAGTGACAGGGTAGAACCACAGACTGGAACAGCACGGCATACCTCTTCTCATCTCTTACGAACACGTGAACGCCTGAACAACCAGGAGGGAGGACACCTAAGAGAGGAGGAGGAGAGGATGATTGAGGAGGATCACTGAAGAGTGAAATTAGAAAGGGTTAAAAAACAACAGAGTCAGGTTGATCTTTACATTTTAAGTGTTTGTGGGACTCTAACAGGAAATACTCAGCGCCAATCAGTGACTGGAGTTCATTAGAAGTGATTAATGAGGGATTATTTCGGAAGGAGACCAGCAAACGTCTTTGCTTGGGGCGGAAGGTTGTAAACAGGAGAAGGAGATGAATGTAAGCTCAGGAGGTGCATGCTGGTGTTTCTAAAACAACAGGAGGTGGGGAACAGGAGTTTGGCTGGTCAACAGTCAGAGCAGCAGCACTGATTGTAACTCTAAGCTGAGGGGCACCAGAGAGGTACTTTTGAATGCTTTACACCTTATTGCCAGGGTTCAAAGATCCACAGTTTTCACATTTAAACTAAACGTCTTAAAGCTCCTGTGAGGAGGTTTCAGTATGCATGCAGCCTGAGCAAACACCTCAAAGATGTGGCAACCAAAGCAGGTTTAGGTAATAACAGGGACTGTGCAATGAGGGAGATCTAAGGATTACCACAGCAGACAGCAACACAGTGATTCAGATACCTGCTTTAGCTCTAAGGAGACACCTGCTCTTATTTACTCACTTTAAAAACATCTGACAAATCATTGTTTTCCTCTCAGAAGATCCATCTTGCATTTTGGCAACTGTGTGAGCTAAGGCGACCTGCAGTTGTGAAGGAGCGCCTGAAGCTGCAAGACTCTGCGTCACATGATGACCGGGAGCTCAAGCTCCACAGTTCAACAGCAACACACACTAGAGAGGTGACCATGTGAGGAAAAACACACCCACACACACACACACCCTGAAACATCTGTGCATGTGGATATCTGTGTGTGTGTTTCTCAGGCTGAGCAGTGGGAGGTGGGAATGAAGTGGACCAGTGATCAGGGATGAGAGAGAGCTGCTCCACGTAATTCAGACCAGACCTGATGAAAGAATTTCCTCCCTCTCCTTAAGAGCGAGCAAACCTGAACAAACACCTTCAATGGGTTTCTGAGAAGTGCTTTTATAAAAACACCAACACTGATATATTCACAGCAGCATGTTTTTACTGATACCTGCTCTGTCCTTATCACGCATAAATATAAAAACATTTTTGAGGAAGGCTGGTCAAAACAAACAGTTGATTCATGAGTAGAAGAGGCCTGTTATGATGTAGTGTTTCGAGGGACAGGAGACATGTTTAAGTGCTGAATATTAATCATGAATAGTGATCTTCTATCAATAAAATGAAAGTAAAAATAGTCCGAGAATATACTTGGGGTGGCCAAAAAATGCATGGTCGGCCCACCCAGGTATCGTCTATGTATGGGTAAGCTGTAGATAATCAACAAGTTGAATATAGACATGTTTGTTAATTCAATAATAGACAGATTTCTCTCCTTTAGATATTTCTCTGTGTAGTTTTTTTAACTGTTGTCTCTAGTTTAGACAAAGTTTTTATTTGAATGCAATATTGGAAACTTTTCTAGTTGGTGATACTTGTTTGAACTTTTAGTAATTCTTGTTTAATCCTATTATTTCTCCTTTAAAATATAAATCAGTTAAAGGTCATACTTAATGGCCTCGCTGAGCTACAAAAAAAAACAAAAGTCAACTAAAAAGAAGTTAACAGGATGAAAGTGTGACATCTGAAACTAGTTTGGTTCTGTTTTAAACTGTTTGCCTTGGATGGTGAATTGCCCAACATATCATTGAAAGTCAGACAAAGAAGATCCACGCTAACTCTAACATGCATTCCTGAGGGAGAATATAACTCTGACTTCTAGGAACTGAGACCAAAAGAAAAAAAAAGGTCTGGGTCTTTCTGGGATTTCAGGCTGCAGGGCAATCCAGGTTTTATTAGCTATCTGACAAAACCATCTCTACAGGAGAAAATGAAAGCAAGAGAAGAAGGAGAGAGCATACTGACGCCTGCATGGTTAAAATAGTTCTATTTGTGGTATTCAGTGTTTGCTGTTCTGATTTCACCGAAGAAGACAGACAAAAAAACTGCATGACGTTCAGTCATTTGCCGTTATACAGGCTATAGTCATGGATGGGAAGATGAACTGCCTTTTTTTCTTCTAGTCCACAAAAGCTGTTCTCAGGAAAAACTCTGCTCTATAATCCAAAAATTCTTTTAACTTTATGTTTGGTTTATTCGTCTTGAATTGAACCAGTTGCTGGCACAGTCTCTCGCCAAGTGGTGAACCTCATCCCATCTTAACCGCTGACAGACTCAGCCTCTTGGACATGTCCTTCTATACCTGCTCATGTTATTCACTTGTTGCAAACTGACTTCATTGTTTGGAAGATTTTCTACCTGTTTTCTTATTTTATTTCATTTTTTCTTCTCACAAAGCACATCTTTTATAGAGTTCTGTCTGTTGAGGCTGTTTTAAAAAGTGTTGCCAGAATCAAACAGTTTTTTTTAACTTATTTACTTTATCTTCATTTAGCCAGGAGGAGATTTACCATCTTTTTAAGAGTTATACTTTTCATAAAACTGTAATAATGATGCATTAATCACTTGAGAAACTGTCTCATCACTATTTTCAATTAAATTCAGACCTTAAATCATTTGCAAACCATCAATTTTACACATTTTACAAGGATTGCCTAAATTTTAGGCACTAAAATCTTAAATTAACCTAAATATTGCGTTGAAAAATCTGTCCATCTGAGTATATCCAATAATGTTTTCAAAGGTTTGAGACACAACAATGAAAGGTAAATGTTTTATACCAGCTAAGAGGTAACCAGCTGTGATTTCACTCAGGAATCTTGTTAATCTCGTAAATTACGCCTCCTAATCCACAGCTTCACCAAGCTTCTAGCCAGATTATTCACACATGACTGAATAACAGTCAACCTTAAAACCTGTGAGTATAACTTCAATTTACACAAACAAACAAACCAAAGCTGCAACCGTACTTTTGAAATACTTCAGAGTAAATACACGGAGTAAGTATTACTCTTTTAATAAGCATATATGTAGACAAAAATTAAACCCAAATGTACTAACTGTTAAGAGCTAAAGAGGTCATATTGGTGTGTAAATTTCCAGATACATTTGTTCAGACTGCAGTAAACAGCAGCTGCTTCAGACAGAACCCAGAGTTTAGCAACCTGTTACAGCGCCTCATACAAAGTCCGGCAACATCTACAGAACCTACCTGACAGGAAAAACATCCAAATAATCCACCACTTCGGCAGCAGAAACATCTTACAAATCCCGGAGGTGAATTTCATCAAACTCGCAGCATAAACGTCGTCCTCTTTTCTCTTTCGTCTCATCTCTGAACGGAGTTACAGGCTCCCGCAACAAACTGACAAATAACGGGACGGGACAGCGCCGCTAACGGGACTACTGTCGAGTTACAGGAAGTGAGTATTGGTGTATCCGGGACAGGCTTTCAAAGTAAAAGCTCAATCGACCACTCTTCAAAATCGTCTCTACAGGGTAAAGGTAAACAGCAAGTGGTCTAGTCTGGAGGTACTGGCGTCTATGTTTTCCCACGGTTCAACATTAAATGATCCAGTAAAAATGTCCTAACTTGGGGAGTTTGGATCACACAGGAAGTACAGGAAATTTACAAAATACTCTTAATTCTACAAAGATTAACAGAGTCTTTTAAGAATAAAGCATTCATGACTAGCACAGTGAAAACATGACAATCATAGAATAGCAATTTGAACATTTTTCCTCATGTGTTTATAGGGTAACTTGTTATTAAAACGTATAGGGACAATATCACGTGTATGTGCACTAATCCATTCAGCTATCCCTATGTGTTATGTTGCTTGAAAAGAAAAAAGTACAATTGTTGATGGAGGGGCGCCAGCATAATTATTCTGGGGCAATCCTATAAAAATTATGTGTCAATACATGAATAAAAGTATATGAAATGTACTATATGTGGTCATTATATGTAATGTAGTACTATATGTAATAATATATGTAAGTTAATGTAAATGTACATACATATATATGTATATATATAAATAAATATATAAAATTTTAGATTGTACTATATATATATATATATATATATATATATATATATATATATATATATATATATATATATATATAGGGTACAATCTTGAAGTACTTTAGATTTAAGGTATCAAAGGAATTAAAAGCAAGAGTGGTTCCCATCTGAATTTTGAGACAAATCGACTAGTAACTGGTAAATGTAGGTTGTAAATTTAAACACTTTGCCTCTTAATATTGAGACTATTAGCTCGTTAATTAAGAGAAACAAAGCAGATATGTATTTATTTTTATAAAAAACATCTCTCAAAATGTCGAGATAACCATACAGTTAAGTACAAATGCACTGCACTCCAGAAACTTTTATTTTGAAGCCTAAATTAGCCCATATCCGGTACCTGTTTTTATTTGTGTACCTTCACACAGCAGGATGGGGGCGCTAAGACGCTCTGTCCAGAGACAATAGATGGCGGAGATGATGGAGGGAATAGGGAGGGTAAAATCTAAAAAATGAGACAGAAAGTTTCAAAGATTATCGAAAGGTTTAAATTTAAGGCCCACAAAATTAAGATAAAATACATCCAATGATTTAAAGAAACGATGCAACTTACACTATTAGTGCTCCAAGGAAGCTCTTTCTCGTTCAATAATAGTTATTGTAATATTTTATACTTCTTTTGTTTCCATTTTTATCAACAAAAGTGTGTGATAATGCAATGTAAGGTTTACTAGAGTTTTCAATTTTTATTTAATCAACATTATTTACAAGCAAATTTGATTAAATGCAAACATTTTTTTACAAACCCAAAATATAAAAAGATAAAAGAGCTATTTGCATACAGAAAATATCAGAATGCATGCATGTCCATCTTTGCATTTCAACAGATTTTTGGGTATATAGTAGTAAACATCAAAGCATATATGAAAGTTGGGGGAAAAAAACAAACCCTGAGAGATCTATGGTATTGCTGCAGGTCCTAACAATCAGGACATGTGATTGTAAAAATGAAGTAAAACAAACTTAAAAACCAGAAGAGTGAATTTAAAAAGGACCAAAGTCTGTGTTTCTATACAGGGATACAGAAGACAGTGGTCTCATAAATGAAAATAATTCAAGGTGATGTAAAGATGACACACAACAGGAGCCCTTCTCTTTTAGCATGGAGCCAACTAGAACAAACTACCACCATACAAACCCACCAGCAGACGTACACACACACAGTCAAAGACATAAGGCCTTGTACGCCAGTGTAACCAAGCCAACATGCTAAATTTAAGCTTTAAACAAAACAAGTTATTTATAACACATTTTATCTTATCTTAAAAACATGGTATCTTAAAAACATTTTTTTCCAATAAGGTATAATTGGGTATTTTTGAAATGTCTTTCTGCTACCTAATCTTTGTATGATGTGAATTTTGTGCTCAAAAAGTGTGCCATAAGCCCCCCTTCCCCTGCTTTTTAAAAGGATCAGAAGGACATTTTAAGGTCCCTTCCCATCCTTGATGTTTGCCTAACACAAAAAAGAACAATCTTCAAATGAACCTGCAAAATGATATGTGAAAAGCTAATAAAGGCACAATAATGTCCACACTGGTCAGGTCAGGTCTCACCATTTCTTCTAGGTAAAAATCGTTTCATTGTTGGAGTAAATTTGTAGCTAGAGCTAATTTCTAGATGGAGTTGATAGGATGCAAACAATAGTTGTTTACTGAATTGTTTTTAAGTCTTGTGTTTTATCTATAAAAAGGCCGCAGAGTCCATCTGGGTTTTCACAGTTCACGTAATTTGATCATTTTCTAGATTTGTGAGATTTGCAACCTAGATTACAGCCGAGAGATATAATAGCACTTAAGGATCCTGCCATGGGAGTGACATCAGAAAGGCAGCCTGGTGAATATAGCTGAAGGAGATAGTATGGAGAGAGAGGAAGTGGAGATACAGGTCATGTCAGTCGTAGTCCATTCTTGATTTGTTATTTGTTGGTGAAAGCGATTGGTCATGGTTTCATCTTGGTAGGGCTTGTCATCCAAAGTGGTCAACATCACATCAAGGCTCACTCTTATCCACATATCAGCGATCTCTGCGGTCATCATAACGGCTCTCATCCTCATTACGGCGGTCTTCGTCGTAACGCTCGTGGCGGTCGCTGTACTTGTCCCGGCGGTCGGTGTAGTCACTTCGGCGGTCATCATAGTCACTTCGGCGGTCATCGTAGTCACTACGGCGGTCGTCGTAATCCCTGCGGCGGTCATCATAGTCACTGCGGCGGTCATCATTATCCCTGCGACGGTCATTGTAGTCACTTCGGCGGTCATCATAGTCACTTCGGCGGTCATCGTAGTCACTACGGCGGTCATCGTAATCCCTGCGGCGGTCGTCATAGTCACTGCGGCGGTCATCATAGTTGACCTCACTGCGTTCTTCATAGTTTTCACGGGATCTCACAGTAGAGTCTTCATAACCTCGAGGGTCCTCTTGGCCATCAGCGCGGCGACTCTCACCATTTTCAGCCGGCTCTTTGTCGGTGAACTCCTGTCCACGAACCCTGGAAAGGAAGTGGATAAGAATGAGACCAAAGGATTTATTTTATCTTTTAGCATAGCTGAAATGCACTAAAGCTTCCACCCTTTGACCTGGTAACTTCCCCACTGGTGTTAGTGGTTGGCTCTTTTACTGCTGAGTTCAAGTACAAAACCAAAATTTGCAGATGAGGTTTGCCTGATGTTGATATTGTGGTCATGTGATGGGCAGAGCTGTACTACCTTAAAGGTGGGGTAGGCAGGAATCCGATAAAGAAGCATCTTTTTTTGTGGTGTATATACAAAAAACTTTTAATATCAGTCAATAGCTATTAGTCATTGATCACATTTGGTAATACAATGATATCGCTGCATTTTGTTATGTCTGTGTAGTCAACATTTTAAACTTTCTGAGCGGCCCACTCTTTGTGACTGTAAACAAAGCCATTCTCCACCTCCCTAAACCTGATTGGATGTGAGGCAGACACTCTTCCCCATGTCATTCACAAGCCCAAACAAAGTTAGCGTGCTACAATATCAGACAGTAGAAACCAACCAGAAAGTACGAGAAATTGTCAGAATCCTCTTTTAGCCACGACTGCCAACACAAGCAAGAAAACTAACAAAATACCTGAGACTCTGGCGGAATAACGGGCGCTTAAAAAGGAGGTAGACCGCCTGGACAAGAGCTAAAAAGCCAGGTCAACAATGATGGGGGACGTTTCGGGATCTTTCGGACCCTGTAACCTTTCTGCTGGACAGGTAAACCTCTTTAACAAAGTAAGCCAAGTGTCTGTAACAGAAGTGTTTCTTGTCAAACGGGACCTGCTGCATGTCGTAGCGCCACTAAACTGTTAACCTTGGGTCTTTGAGTATGTCACTCTATGCTAGTCATAGAAGTCCTGCAAACATTGTGTTTGCTGGTAGTCTGTTGGCATCTACAGTAGCACCAATGCTTTTACTTTCACATTGACTGGGCCCCATGTGTAATTATCTGAAGTATTTATCTGCATTATACCTGAATTTAATTGAAACGATACGATCAAGCAGGAGCGTCTGTTTGTGGACGGGGAAAAATTTGATTTAAGCCAAGAAACAATACCAATAAAAAGATGAGCCACATGATCACAACCCAGCTAACTTAAAGGAGGGCCCGAAAGCAAATAACATCAGTAAATATGAGTCTTTTCTCATGAGTGTAGAATATGTACCCCATGGCGTATTCTTCATCCTTCTTCTTCTTCCTGCAGCAGCAGCAGTAGATGATGACGATGAGTACGATCAATGCAGCGACAACTCCACCGATGATTCCTGCCGTTGAGCCGATATTCATGGAGGCTGCAGCAGATGAGAACAGTGCATGTTATGACGAATTTTTGTAAAAGTGTATTTTTTGTAAATGCAGTTTGATACAGAAATATAGCGATAAGAAGGTCTCCCTCACGTGGCATAACAGCCAGGGTGATGTTGCAGGTAGCAGAGCGGATCTTGTTGCTGGAAGTGCAGATGTAGTATCCTGATGTTTCTTTGGAGATATTGTACAGGGACAGGATGCCTCCCTCTGTATAAGATAGAAAGACGGGCACATATATGCATCACTGCTGTCATGATTTATTGTTTTCTCAGGCTTTAAATCTTGCAGTGTAGGTCACAAAAACCCAGACAGACTCAATTGATTTCATCGTTTTAACCCTGAATCATTGGCATTGTGGCGGGACGAGAGGGCCCTCTGAGTATTGAGTATCTTCAAACTGACAGAAGTAAAAACAAACATAGAAAAACATGTATACTTCAGGCTCATCAAGAGGCCCTCCTCACCACTAGGGATTATTTTGTTGGTCCCACTTTTTCTCCCCACTCTGACGCCCCTGTGGACATCTGTATGTAAGCTGGATTCCTTTAATGACAACAGCAATTACATGTTTTGTCCACAAGAGAGCACCATAGAGGAGAAGGAGGGTAAAATGTCCTGATCAGTATGTCAGTATATGTAAAAAGATATACTGTAATACAGAGGTTTTTCAGGACTGATGAGTGCTTCATATTTTTAGCATTAGCCAGGCACTTCATCTGTTAGCCCCTGCAGCTACAAAACTTGAAAATTGACACTAACTGATTTTCACACAGGGCTACTTCTGTGGAGGGTAGGAAACCTTTAATGCCTCCACAGCTGACATATATTCCAGAGCAGAAAAACTGTGTAACTAGTACTCACTGCTTGTGGTTCTGGGAGCAAAGACACGAGGCGTATTTCTGACATCTTGACTCTTCCACTCATATGTGGGTGGTGGGGAGCCTTCCTCAGACATACAGGTCAGGTTGATGTTCTGTCCATACTCTGTTTTTCCCTGGATCTTACAGATGGGCTTAGAGGGAGCCACTGAAAGCAAATAAGCCAGATCAAGCAGTCAATTTTTCTTGAAAATAGCAACAATCAAGTCTAGTATCTGGAGTCAATATGTACATGTAGATCTGAATAATAAATGGAGATTATTCAAAGAGTCAACAAGCCATTTCACAGAAATGTAAACTAGTTACTTTTCTGTGCACTTACATGATTTTTACCATTATGACAAATACAGAAGTGATATTTCAAGACAGATGGAGTTGTACCTAAAACAACCAAACGTGTCGTGTCTGCTGGTGTCCCCTCATCATCTCCTGGGATCAAGACTCGACACTCAAACATTTTGTTGTCTTGCAGGGTGATTCTGTTCAGCTTCAGGTTGGCTCTTCCTTTTGCAACATCCACATCTATAGACACCCGCCCTTCGTATATGGATTTGATGTCAGTTATGGTACCAACAGAGTAATAGGTGAGGATCAGAACCTACGTGACAAGGACAGCATTAGGGGAAGAAAGCAAAGGTCCTCTAGGTAATCATATTTCTGCTGTAGCACTGTGTAGGAATAACACACAGAACTCTTACTTCTTTAGCATTTGCCTGTGTTCCCTCAACAGACCACGAGATGATGACCATCTTGCTGGTAGATTTGGTGGTGAAGGTGCAGGGCAGTGTGATATTGTCACCTCTGGCATGCTCATAGATTTCCTCAGGGATCGTGACCACGAGGGCGCCAACTCCTGACAGAACTACAAGATTTTTCAAACAAGCATAATATGTTGTAAGCATCAGGCTGCCATGTCCAAACATTCTCAAACAAACAGTGATAAAGTCGATCAAGATATCATGAGGAACTGGTGGCCTTATAGATGGTAAAATTTTGGCCTGAGTGACTCAGCAGGGAGACCTAAAGTCTGCAAAATTACACCACCTGTTTTTTCAAGCTAAACCCATGTTACAGCTCATTATTTGCATGTTTACTTGTTAGAAAGGAAACTGTTTTTCATTGGGTTTTTTCAATGTTACAAAGCCTGACATTTTGAGATGCCACTATAGACACATGTGAAAGAAATTTCATGGATCTTTTACCCACAGTAATAAAAGAAAGTCAAAGTGACAGAACTTAACTATTAAATACACTACAAAATAGCTTATTTATAATGCTAGTGAACTATTATCTAAGGTTGTGCACATGAAAAAGGAAACAAATGGAATTTAAAGTCCGCATTTCCTTGTTTCTTATTCCACTACACCTAAAATCAAGAATTATTAAACTAATATTATTTTCTAAAGAAATTGGTCACTGGAAAACATTTCAAGGAGACAGGTCGCCTGCAAACACAGGTTTTAGGCCTACTCGGTCCAAAAACCTGACGGTGCATAAACAGGTGTGGCAGCTCAGTAAGGCCTAGGTGAACAATTTCTCACAGAAAAACTTACCCAGAAACAGCAGGGCCACGCTGCAAATCCTCTCCTCCATTGCAGGGACTTCAGCCTCTCAAACTAACCACCTTGAATCCTACGTGTGGCTGTTTTGTTCAAGATAAAACAAAGATCAGGAGCCGCCCGGCGCGCATTTGCATCGAAACTTGTCACTGTCTCGGGAGTGATGCCCCTGATGGGTGCGTCCACCGCCTCTGCGAAGACTGACGGTGCTCTCAGCCAATCAGCGAGCTCCTGTCGTCCAGGAGACATTCTTAGCCCGCCTACCTGGCGTGTTGCGGCTTGCTCTCTGATCCCACTTTACCTGACTTCACAGGGAAACATTCCCGTGTGAAACCGAGCTGTTATGACAGTAAATGGAAAGACAGAAAAGACCTCTGTTTACTTTGTCCAGCAATTTACAAATTTAAATTAACAAGACATCATTAACTGATGTGTCTGGAATAAGTTTATGCTGTTATCCAAACACATTCAACAGAAAAATGAAACAGTTTTGGATTAAAAGCAAAAGAGTGAGAGAGAGAGAGAAACCAGGGGCGTTTGAGGATCAACAAAACCAATGAGTCTCAGTGTGTGGGTGGTGCAGCTCCACACTGATGTGTGCTGTTGGAACAGGAGAAGTGTTTTGTCCTGTCAGACTGGTTAGACGAGAAGTTAAGCCATCACCTCAGGGTTCACACATACATACACACACACACACAAACACACACATAGACAGACATAGAAAAGGCAAAGAGAAACAGTGAACGACACACAGCATTGGTTTTAGGGGCTAATTTGATCAATATCGTCCTCTCACATCAGATTGAAATTAGAGTAAAGTGTCTTTTGGTAAGTCAAGAGGCCTTTAACCCTGAGCTTTAATATTTGAGTGGTTCAACCTTGTACAAGTTGAATACTAGTGTGTTTTATTGCAGCACCACTCAGTGGATGTGTTGGGAAATTACCCATTGAAGAGCTTTCTTCTGTAGCGTGATATGGGGAAACAGTCAGTCCATCATTTGTTAGTCATATTTTCATTCTTCTCTGAACTAATAGACTTATCGAGAAAACAACACATCTAAATAAAGGTGTAGTCATGTTGTTCAAGGTTTTTTCCCATTACTCATCTTCTTAAGGTTAAAGGGATATTCCGGCGTAAAATTCATTTAGGATCAAACACACTGTAACACCGAGTTAGACACCCCCTCGAGAGATGAATGTTGCCGACTGCTTGCTTCTCTAGTTATACCAACTTTAGTTAGAACCGCACGATAGCAATACACAGCGGTCTGGGGAGCCATAAACAAACCTCAACCAAAACACCACTCTATAGCCACAAATAATGCCCAGAACAGCACCTAACTTCATCAGCAGTACATATAGGGTCCCAGCCGCAGCACTAGCCACCAAACATCTTCTTGACTTTGCCTGGCATGCAGTCGGTGACATTCATCTCTCGAGGGGATGTCTAACTCGGTGTTACGGTGTGTTTGATCCTAACTTAATTTTACGCCGGAATATCCCTTTAAGTTTAAAAGTAGGACTGTCAGGGATAAAGTCATGAATTAAACTTTCTCTCTCTGAATCTCATGCTATTTTGTCCACCCCCCTGCTGCTGCTGGTGTGACGCAAACACTGACACCTGTGCACTTTTGAATGGCAAGTTTCACTTAATTTCACCCAGGTGGCACAGCTGATGAGTCAGAAATAATATGTTGACATCGAGACAAACAGAAACACATCACAAAAGCTGACAGGGAAGACTTTTTCAGCAATCCTTTGCATGAGGACTCACTGATCCATTCTTTTTGAACAACAATCCAAGTTGATGGAGTTGTTGCACACTTACTCTGAAATTCGCAGCACATTTTGTACACACACTTCTGCATTTATCTAAATGTGTTACACCACAACTACTGCTACTGCTTCCTCCAAATCTAGGTTTCAGACCACAGTGTAGCATTAATGCAACAAACAGCTAAAAGTCATGATCATAGATTGTTGATTTGTCAGAATCATTACTAATGTGGATTTAAGACTGTTTAACCCTTAAAGCCAGTCATTTTTGTTTGGTTAACTCTCATATTTCCTGATCTCTGCACCACTTCACAAAAACATCACTGCAGCATTACTGATCATGTGCCACACCACAGGAAGGCAACAACACACACCTGTGATGACTGTGTATTTCCGCTCTGTGAGATTATACAGCCTGTTTCTCACATCTTTTGCTTGACATTTACTCAACATTTTCTAACCTTTCCTATTCATTAATGATTTTCTGATTTTTTTTTATTTTGCTTCAGAAAGCCAGAAGCCCTTAACCTGAGGAGCTCATGATCCACATGCATGTATGTTATGTGGGTCTTGTCCAGCCATGTCTTTGTACAAATATTTCTACATATCTTTGAATGTATGTGAATCGGTTTCTTTCCATCCTCTTCTTCATGTTTCTCCACGCCAGCTTTGTCTCTCTTTGCTCGCGGCAGTCTGCCACACATTTAATCTGGACCACAGGACATCTTTTGTGGGCTATCTCATACAATTACAGCACACAAATTGTCTTGCAGCGCACAACCCAGGGATAAACAAGGATTATAGGTGCTCTTTCTCCATGCCATATTACACCCTCCCGGATTATAGGCATTGCATCTTCTGTTTGTATTTGCGGTGTCTGTGAAGAAACATTTCATTGCATCATCTGTGAGAGGTCTTTCATGGATCAGTTTGCTTGTTGAGTGCCAGCTGAAAGCCTTTCTTTCCATTCTTCATCTCTGATACCTGTGAAGTTCCATTACCTTGATGTGGCTGAGGGTCTACAGAAGCATTATTTTCAACGAGGGGCCTCTGGTGATTCTACATAATACGGGACATGGACTCACCAGAAGCATTCAGCCAGTCACACTGTGTGAGCACATATCTTACAGCTCCACCTTAACTTGACTGACTCTTAAGAAGAAATGTTTTATAAATCACTCAGAAGCAAATCCCACTTTGCACTGAGCAGTTTTCAAATAAAGTCAGAAGTCTGGAGACTTTCAATTGGTGTGAGCATCACAATCTGTGACCCAGAACAGCAAAGAAACTCTGAGATACTGTATGGCGAGGGGAACAACACCTACATCGTACTTTCTATCGCTTTATCATCCATCAAGGCCAAAAAGCAGGTGTTCAAAGACGAAATGCACCAAGATCTGTTATGACTGTGTTTCTTAAGGTGTCAAGGTTTGTCAACATCTTAGAAAAAGCACAGGAGAGAAGGTGATAGTCTATACGTGTCTTTGAAGGTTTTAAAGTTTTAACATCTCGGAAGAAGTACACAGGAAAGAGGAGTACAGTTTAACGGCACATAAAAAGGTTCAAGTCATCTGCCGAAGAGTTTATGAATATTTCCTACACGTCCTCCCTGCATTCTCTCTCAACAATGTGACGGTGACAATAAAGCTTTCCTATGAAGAGGAAGGACAAGACTGAGAGATCTCTGGTTTTAATACCTCAGACACTATAGATCCAGGTGACTTCTGACAAATATGTATGGTAGTATGGATGACGGTACTTTCTTGACTTCTTAATTTGGCACAGTGCTAGCTGTGAGGCTGCATAAATAGAAACGCACAATATTCATATGGGGGCTTTTTTCCCACCTGCTGCTCAAGTGGGGAAGCTGGACTGCTCTTTTTATATCCTAACTCTTTGTTCCAGGTTGCATGTTGTAAACTCAAAACTATTATACAGCTTCAGACTGCAGCCACAGAAAACAAAACAACTGACTTCGAAAGTGTATGTACAGGAGGGTCATATTTCAAGTTAATCCAATCTGACTAAATGACCCAGAGATGAACTAGCTGTTTTATAAACCGGTCTGTAAAGGTGTTCACTTTTTGCCCCCAAAACTGCGATTTTTAGTGTGTGTGGTTTCTGGTGCTTCTGTATCAGCCTCAAGTGGACACTTGGGAAACTGCAGTTTTATCACTTCTGCATCAGCTTCATTCCTCAAGCTTGGAAATTGCCATTCAGTGATGGGAGGGGCAAACAACAGAGTGCTTCAGTCAATCTGATCACTAAATATCGCAATATAGTTCCCTTTCTGCACACTGTGCGTTTAAAGCAACATTTTTAAACCATCAGCATGGACCAGTGAAGCACACAGCATATCTAGTCTACTGTAATGAGAAAGGGGGAAAGTGACCAAGCTTTAGGTTCTGGTCATAACAGATAAAAATGATGGGCAGGACCTTCAAAAGGTCTACAGTGATTACTTAGTGTTTGGTTCAGTGGGTCATGTAGCTCTTCCAGGTCTTTGAATGAGAAATTATTGATTTAAAACAATTTAGATTATTCTGTTATAAATGTTTGCACTTCTTCTGTAGTGCTAAAAAGCTCAAATTTAGCTTGCTATTATGCAAAACTAACATATTCTTGAATCATGCTTAACATACAGTACGTGCTGAACATCAGCATGTTTGCATCACTATTGTGAGCAATTTGGTTGAGAGCACTGCAGTAACAGTCATACAGATCACGGTTTAGAGAATTAATTTCTCTGGCAGTACACAAGAGTATTTCAGTTCAATGTTATCAAAATCATATCTATATTTATCAGAGTAATTCCTAATGGCAGCTTAAATTCATAGTCATTCAAGGAAAAAACACTAACAGTAAAAGGGTTATGGGGTCTCCTTGAGACACACTAACACTTAAGATAAACAGCAAGATAACAGAAAAAGCAGACAAAACATTTTGAGGTTCACTCAATTTGTGCAATGATTAATAGACCGCATGTGCATCAATTTCTCAAAGATCAAAAATAAGTCCAATCTCTCTAACTTCATTCCAGGCATCTACTCACCTTACCAGATCTTCATTCAGCCATTTTCCTCTCCTGAAGACAGAATTTTTGGCTGAAGTCAGTCAGCCAGACTAGCAGATGGGCAATTGGTGAGGGGCAGCATATCAAACATTAACAATATCTATGAACAAGATGTTTAATGAATATACTGACTGAAATACTGAACATTGAAAACTATGTAAAGCAATAAAAAGCTTATTTGTTCAGGATAAAGGGATAAAGAGGGTTCTTTTTTGAATGGGTTACCATTTCTCCTGTGAAGTATAAAACCTGATGAGTAATCTTCCAGGGGACAGGTGGCATGATGTTTGCTGGCTCCTGGAAGATCTGCTGGTAAAAGAAAAGATTTGATATTAATTTGGACCTTGATTTTCTCAGAACAGATGGTTACTTTCTGGAGGAGGCTCTTAATAATAACAGCCTGATTTAAAATAACCAAATATGCCATATCCCTTATTGTTTGGCAAATTTTGAACGTTTGAGAATATTTAATAAAACAGCCTATGTACTTATTACCTTCCCTTTATATTTTCCCTTCAATTTAGTGCCACAGGTAAACATATTGATTGCGTAATGAGCAAACGTGCTTTCATTCAGCCTCCTTTCTAACACTGAGAGAGAAGTTGGACACAAAATTATAATTTGCCATCCTTGAAACACAAAAGGCTCCATCATTCGCACGCAGTTCTAAGTCATACTAAAATAAAATATTCTGCTCCTCAGCTGGTGCCATTGTGGTCGAGATGGAGCATCTGTGTCCAAACGCGTCGCGCTGCGTCACAGCTCTCCAAAGCTCGGCACGGACGATGTGGTTCACCGGCGTGGCCATCGCTTCTGTTTATGGTTTTATCAGCGTGTTTGGACTTATAGGCAACATCACACTCATCAAGACGTTTTGTTCTGCCAAATCCATCCGTAATGTGCCAAATCTGTTCATGTCGAGCCTTGCTCTGGGGGACGTTTTGCTTCTGGTGACCTGCGCTCCGGTGGACGCCAGCCGCTATCTGTCTGAAGAGTGGCTTTTCGGGAGAGTGGGCTGCAAAGTCATACCCTATATTCAGCTCACTTCAGTCGGGGTGTCAGTGTTCACTCTCACAGCTCTCTCTGCTGACAGGTATGATACAGATTTAATTATAACGACTAAATTATCCGCCTTCTATTTTTAAAACTCTAAAAGTGATACTTCCTTCATCCTTAAGACGCAGACACATGATTTTGTCATTAAAAAATAAGTTAAAGACCACATGCTTTGTAAAAACTCTATTTTCACTTAATGGAAAACAAATATTTAAGAGTATGGATCAGGACTGCTTTACGCAGAGCAGTGAGCTTCTGTTTAATGTAACAGACTGGATTCAAAACCATAAATGCAATCTGTTGCTTCTGAGTCATCGATATAAAACATCATTAAGAAATATTTACTTGTGCTGTCAAACACCATCGAGGTGGCATTTCCCTGCAGCTGCACGGCAAACAGAAGAATATCTATTTAAGTCTTTCTATAATGCATGATCTCTTTGAGCTTCATCAGCCAGTGAGTTTGTGTTCACTCAAAAACATGTATCAGGATTCTCATTTTAACAAAACTGGTGCCTGACATAAAACCCACATTAAGGAATCTGAATTATTGTTAGCTTTTGCACAAACATGATCACACTTACAGCACAAATGGTTTCAACATCAAGTATAATGTTGTGAATTGTATGGTTATGTTGCTGATACTCATCTTAAATTTACAGGGAACATTTGATGTAAATTTGCACGGTTAATGTGTTTGAGTGCAGCTGTTCAGAGGGAATTTCTGCTGAACCTGTGCCCATTAGTTAAAGCAAGCTGAATTTATCGTTTATTTCCATATGTGTTTTGTGGTGTTTTCATTTCACATTTGGTACCATTTGGGATAATTTAAGGCTACAAGTAGTGGATAGATAAATTTGCACACCTGGGGGGATAGCTGAGCTGACAGACAAGTGTGCATCAGGAGGGAGAAAGCCATCCTCAATTCCACCTTTTTCTTCTTTTTGGGTTCATGGAAAGTTAAGTTGAGTAAGCATTTCCCTGGATCAGAGCCATCAGGTGACATACAGCATCTGAGTAAAAAAACATAATTGGATAGTTGATGGGTGAAATGAAAACTGCTGCACAAAGTGACAACAAGAAAAGTGTGAAAACAAAGGGATGTCAATTAAAAGTGTAACTGATGGGGACTGTGTTGGAAGTTGCAGACAATGCAAGTGTCAGTGGGGAGTCCAGAAAGATCCCACCAGTCCACTAACGTCAAATCAGTGAGTTAAGCTGCTTGATGGTCACTGGCAGGAGTGATCTTCTGTGATGCATGGTGGATGGATCAGCCTGTGGGTACAAGTCTTTGTTGAAGAAGCTTTTCCTTTTAATCAGCTCATCTTTGGTGAGAGAGAAGTTGACAAACACAGTTTAGGATGCTGTTCAACACAGAAAGCAGCCTTTCCTCTGCCATCCCTTCATAGGGGCTCAACTTCCACTTGAATCAATAAGCTGTTTTTTGTTACCTTGGGATAGGAGCTGTTCTTCCCCTTGTTTTCACTCTATCTTGGCCAGCTGCTGGCTCTAGTTTATGTTTATTTATAGCAGCTTACAGCTGTTTCCTTGTCATGAAGGGTCTCAGTCAGTTGGAAAAAACATTAGCTTCTATTTCTCTGAGGGAGCACTTAAGTCAGAAGCAACATCCATGGATTCAAGGGTTAGTGGTTATTGACATTTACTGATCCTGCTGGTAACAAAGCTCGCTGATAACTGCAGCAGTCTCCTTTATGGATGAAGGAATGTGAATGTGTTGTTGGTATTTTTCTTTTACTTTCAAGAGCTGAAGGTTAAAACTGAAAACTATTTGTTGTACTGCTGCAGCTGACAATAACTGCTTCTTTTGTCAATCACTGTGGGTTTTTCTGACAGGTGTAACAGAAACAGAAAGTTTGTTTCAGCTTAACTTGCAGCTTTTTTATTTTATTTTTTTAGATGTTTTGGGATTCAGTGTTTCTTAGACTCCAAAAATAACCCCTGCAGTCTAAAGTGCATCTTTAAAAATGAGAATATATAAAATGCAAGATGTTGAAAATGCAAATTTTCATATATTTTATATGTATTGGATGTAAAGTGAAATATTTCAAACCTTTTATTGGTTTAATTTGGAGCATTTTAGCTTATGATAATCAGAAAATACGCCACAGTTATGTTGAATTACCACCAATTTATTAATTATTACTCATATGGCATGAAGATGATCAGCCTGTGGTACTGCTGAGGTCTTACTGAACCCTGGGTTCTCTGTATTTTTAGACTGAATGTTTTTTGTCTTATGCCTAATACCTCAGGGATCCTTCATGGGTTTCGGGTCAGGTGAGTTGGTTGACCAATTAGTGTCAATATCATAGTCAGGCATTCTTGTAGTAGGAGTTTTGGCACTGCAGGCAGGTGCCAACAAGCATCTCTGTGAAACTTGTAAGTGGATGGAAGGATGAAGTGCTCTAAAATCTCACTTCTTTGATTTTGTGCAGAGTCAACGCACAGTGGAAAAACACCAGCAAAAAACATTTTACCTCAAAACACCAAGACTTCACACTGGTCTTCAAAAACCTTGGAATCTATGCTTCTCTACTCTTCCTCCTGACTCCAAATAATTTCCAAATAAAAAGCAAAAATTACCGTACTCAAATCTTAAAGGAAAATTTTGGACCACAGAGTAAAAATCCACTTTTTCTCCACAGGATCAGACCTGAAGATATCTTATTGGCTTTTGATGCAATAATACCACTTCTTATGAAGCTCTTTCAAGTTGTTGACCTGAGTTTGCTCAACAGTCCTCTGTGGTCTAACCCATTGATTATGCAGCTTCTCCCGCTACACTAACCTTAAACGCAACTTTCCATCAATATGCTTCGAGTCAGAGAACTCCCTGAAGAACCAGCCTTTTCAGCAATAACCCTCTGTGACTTAACCTCCATATAGAAATCATGATCATCATCATATGGACAATCACATCAATGCAGTTCCTTAAATGTCCACTTGAGGCGTAGTCAAGTTTTTATTTATTCGGAACAAGAGATAAATTCATATTTTGAGATATGGTTTTTAATTTTTGAGCTGTGAGCCATGATTATTGAACTAAATGAGTAACATTTCTCGAAACATTTAAGTTTACACGTAAAGAGTCTAATTTATTTTTACTAAATAATATTAAACTTTCAGTAACACTTTATTTGACGCCTATCTCTATAACGCATTATAAATATATGTATAATTCGTCATAATCATGTTATAGCACCGTATAACTATAGTTATAGACACTCATAAATGAACATAATGCTTTATAGCAATAATCATAACACATTATAAAGCATTTTATCATGACTTACAAGGTCAGGTATTATAATGTGTTATAACTGTTAACAACTCACTGACAATGCCCACATAGATAAAGCAATGCAACTGTTGAACAGTTATAACACATTATAATACCTGACCCTGTAAGTCATGATAAATGCTTTATAATATGTTATAATTATTGCTATAAAGCATTATGATCATTTATGAGTGTTTATAACTCATAATACATATATTTATGAGGCGTTATAGAGACAGGCGTCAAATAAAGTGTTACCAAACTTTTTTTTCCCCAATACTCTTGGATGCACCTCTATTTCCTTCATAATAACTCTTTTGAAAGAAAATTTAAATCACCCAAGCTTTAGTTTTATTAACTTTTTAATTATTGCCACTCATACGAACAAAACATTCTTGTATTTTTCTGTAGAAGTTGCCAAATTACGGTCTGCTTCACATTTTGAAATAATGGGAGAAGGCAAAGCAACCTTTGGGCTCTGAGACTAAACGTATTCAGTTGGAAAACATTCTCCGTGTAATCAATACTTTTAATGAGAGCTTAAAGATGCCCAACACGGTGGAGAGTGTCGATGCATCAGAGCACTCATGCTCAGTGAACAGTGAGTGCTAATGTACTGGCAAACACCTCCTAGTCTTGTGTCCATCAGTTGCACACATACTCCAAATGTTCAGTGTTCAGCTGTGGTTTTCTTCTCAAGATGGCAGCATGCTAAGCAGGATCACAGAGAAAAGAAAGGTCAGTACTCAAATTTAAGAAGAAAAAAAAGATCATGCTGCTGTATGTCACTAACATGAAATTATTCCCCCGAATAAGAACAGCAGCTTGACCCTGTCTTTGCTTTTGCTCTTGAAAATTGATTACTATGGTTATGGGGTTCTAACTATTCATCAACAAATATTAAACATTGTCAAGTAATTAGCAAGAATGGCGGAAAGGTTAAATGATAGTGGACCTATAACTGAACCCAGAGGATTCTCTGTCCCCCTAATTCACTTAGACTAATGGTCACCAGCAGAAAATTTAAAAAAGCAAACAGATTTCTGATATTTACTGATGTATTTTCTAGAGATGGACAATACTGATTAACAGATACTTGACAGCTTTTTTCTGGACAGAGATATCTCTGCAAGATTGAGTCCTTATCACAGGAGAAATGATTCAGGTTCAATCCTGGCCCTCTTACATAAACATGACAATCCCTTTCTATGTGCCTTTCAAATTTGATCTATCTGTAGGTGGCTTATTCACATCAAGGCTGACATTAACCAAAAACAACTATTTAGCGTTTTTATGCCTATTTTAGGGTTTAGAACTAAAAACACTAATAGTTGAAGTCCTACGCAATTTTTTTTACTACTGAAAGTGTTCTCAGTTGTTGTAGGAACTAAGTTGATACTATAAGCTGCTGAGATGCTTGACCCAGAGTAACCTGGTTGACGAGCCGTGCTTCTGGTTCCTTATACTACCATGAGTTTTTGATAATCAGTGAAAGTCCAGACGCTGTTCCTCAGACGCAGCAAACAAAAATGTATTGCGATGAACATTACCAAAATCCATTTTGCAATTAATATCGAGCAACACTGAACAAAGAAAAATGCTGGCATTTAGAGCCACAGCGGTCAAAAACTTTTTGCCCTTCTGGGTCAAACACCTACCCACAACAGTGACTATGGCTGTGTTCCCTAACCCCCATTTAGGCGACTATATGGGGGTTAGCGCCATTTTGAGGGATGTCTGAAACCTGAGTGATCAATTTTAATGCCCCATATAAGGACTCAAAATTTCCCATAGAGCATTGCAAAATGTCGTGACCATCCGATGGTCACTCACTGGTGGTGGACATCCCGTCATGCATTGCGTCTTGCCATGTAGTGTAGTGATTGAGTTCACTACATAGTCAGCTATATAGTGAAAGCCCATCTGGGGGGTAAGGGGTTGAGTGATTTATTTCGGACACAACCCTGGCTACCTTTATTCCTGAACCCCCAGATAACAGGACAGTGACACCTAAGGCATACAAAGTGAACTGCAACTCATTTTATGGTATCACTTTAACATATCTGTTTTTGGACAAAATCATGTTACCTGTCTTTTTCAAGGGCTCCTCTTCTGCAGAGCTCCAGTAGCTCATTAGCAATTCACCTCTGAGTTGTGGGCGGAGACAGCGCCGCTCTGCACCCTCCTCTTCACGCTAGCTTGTAGCCGAGCATTGCTGGTGTAGTAGAAGTGGCAGGTGGGTCAACTCTCGGACACTAATGTCTAATGGAGCATGATGAAAGCTTGAATGCAGAAACACTTAGAAATGCAATTTTGCGCTTATTTTCTCATGATATGTCCTGTAGCATCAGAACACTGTCATATGAACATGTAGACAACAAGAAAAACTTGATTTTCATCGGAGTGGGTCTTTCAGGAAGTTAAGTTTGTTCAGACTCATCCCAGGGCTCATCACAGTGGAACAGGTTCGAATGAACGAGAAAGGATAGACGCTAGAAATAAGTGACCTTGAACTACAACAAGGGTCCCTTCGATGCTGAGAAGGAGTTGATAAAAATTTTTGGATTGTTCCTGCACACAATACCAGTGGCCTTTCTAGTAGATGTCAACCTACACACACAAGGTTTGATAATGCCTGGAACCGTGGCAGGGAAGAATTATTCACATATTTGACATTTAGACACAATCACTGCTATAAGGGAACTGCTGAAAGATGATGTTCAGGCATAAAAATATATTTCCATCTCGTGCAGTTAAGTTTGGAGGACATGTGCGTTCACCTTGAATAATGAACAACCAATCAGCATCATCAGAACATTTCTTTGTGGTTCAAGGCAATAATTTTAATTGAACAAAGCATCAAAGAAATGGTCCTTGAGCTGAGTGTCACTGTCAAACAGTATTACTTAAATGCTTCGCTAAAACAATAAACCGCTGCCTTCAACACAGACAAGATGCATCTTTTACTCCTTTAGCCTATGTAACTGTAACAGGTCCCATGAGGACACAAGGTCCCCACACAAAACAGGAGAAAGGATGAGACCGGCAGCAGTGCTTCTTTTCAGTGCAGCTTCACCCTGCAGAATTTATGCATTCACGTGCAAATTAATGCTTTTTTCCAAACTGTTTCTTTGCTCTGTATAGGCTACTTCAGCTTTGTTTCAGTCATACGAAATTCTGAATATCACAAAAAACCAACAGAGAAAGAACTCTGTACTTATCTTAAAAATAAAACACATATCTCATTCAAACACCTCTTTCAATGTTTTTAAATTGCTCAAAGAAATCCTTTTACCCTTTAAACAATCATTAAGTTGAAAACTAACCCGAGGTAAGCCACTACTATTTCTTGAAGTGCGTATAATGTTGAATGAACTGAGCTAAAAATGAACCAGGGCTCTTATTTTGAAATCAACAGGAAGAAGTTAAAATCGGTGGCGACATCTTAGCCCACAGTCACAACAGCCTGTAAATACAGTCATAGCTTATCCACAGACTCTTATTTCTTTACAACCTTTCACTATCAGTAAACTGTGTTTTTATTATTAAAAAACATGTTTTTAGGGCTTATTAATCAGCTTCAGAAGAAAAGACAGTCAGCTAACAAAAGGGAGATCCACAGCGCCACACTGCCCCCTGCTGGCCAGGTGCACAGGTATTTTTATACTGAGACTTTTCAGGAATAAATAGTGTTTTTATCAGCCGTCACGGCCCATGTTACTCTGTAATTTCTACATAAACATCATTACAAAAACAAAACACACAGACAAGCAACACAAGATGCATCTATACATTTTCTGTATGTCACAAAACCACAACAGCTGTATGTCTACTTCACTGCAGCTAGCTGCCTCAACAAACCCCATCACTGTGTGTTTTATTTAGGGTAATAAGAACAGGGGTGTTTTTCTGTTTATGCCACTATCAATTATTTGAGTAGAAACAGAAAAAGTAGCTGCTGGTCAGTCATAAAGTTAGCTCCTCACAGCAGCAGCTCACTGTGGCAGGATGGCAGCTGTAGCTAGCTGGCTAGTAACTATACTAATCTGTCTCATATCACAGTAAAATCTCCACAAACTCACCCAGGACTTATCTCAACTCCAGTGGCATTAATTGGGGATGCATTTTTAGAGCATAGGGCGACAACAGAAAAAAATCACACGCACAAAAAGCACACAGTACGACACTAAGCAACTCACCTCAAACATGGCACTGGCTAAGAATTACAGCTGTGGTTCCACTTGCAACCAACAGAGGGCGACCTCTGGGTTAAAGTTTCAGGGTTTGGCTTATTCATTCCTCTGTAGGAAGCAGCTTGCTTTATCCCTTTGGAGTTTAAATATTATTCAAATACAATCCTTGATGGACTATTTATCCACAGAGCTGTCTAACGCCTGTAATAATTGTATGAATTATGTAACAATGAATAATGTAATGATTCATTATTGCTGCTCTTACCTACATCCTCTTTCATTAGCCATCTGTTTTCAAAAAACATAACCACAGTTTCTGGCAATATTCACCTGTACAAAGGGAACATAAAAAGGTTACACAATGGGGACAAATGAAAAAATTAGGAGTATACATGTAGCCTATCATTAGCAGGGTACAAAAAATCAAGAGTAAATGTAGATATTTGCTGTTAGAAATGAGCAACAGTAGGTTTGAGTGTTGAGAACACTGCCTGCACCAATTATAAAATAAATTACCATTGTGTTCGATAAGCATCACTTCAGTGGTAACATGGACTGTGAAAATACAGCTTCTCATACTGAGGTTTTCTTTCTTTCTTTCTTTCTTTCTTTCTTTCTTTAGGTACAGAGCCATTGTGAAGCCTTTGGAGATTCAAACATCCAGAACCACTACCAGCATCATCCTGCGGGCGGCGCTCATCTGGCTCTTCTCGCTGGTCCTGGCTATACCCGAGGCCGTCTTCTCTGACCTCCACACCTTCAACATCACCTCTACCAATGAGAGCTTTGTTACCTGCGCTCCTTATCCTCATGCTGGAGATCTGCACCCTAAGATCCACTCCATGGCCTCCTTTCTCATTTTCTACGTCTTTCCTCTGCTGGTCATATCGGTGTACTACACCTTCATCGCCCGCAGCCTGATGAGGAGCGCCTCGAACCTGCCTGTGGAGGGGAACGCTCATGCAAGGCAGCAGGTCAGTGTGCTCAAACTATGATTAACACAGTCATAAACAGAGATTTTGGGTGACCTGAACGCACACCCCAGTCTCACAATAACAAATAGTTTCTTAAATGTTAACTATATAAACTTTATATAGTTACCATCTGAGAAACTTTAAAAGTTCTTGACATTTTCTGTTGATTTGCAGCTTGATAACACTATCATTTATTATGTGGGTTTTGTTCTTTTATTTATACTTTATAAGTTCCTTCATTCAGTGATGATCTTTAATTGGGGAAAATTTCAAATGCAAGGTGAATCTTGAAAACACTGAAAAACTAAATCCCACCTTTTGATTCAGTGATTAAGGGCCCAAAGCAGAGCACATAAAACTAAGAATCAATACAATAAAAAAAACAGGCAATCTTAATTGCCTTTGTAATCACTATTGTCATTAATGTTTTAATGTTAATGAATTGGTGTTAGGTACCAAGAGATGTTTTAAAGGGATGATGGAAGTAACAATAGTTTAAAAAGAACCCAGGTTAATTAACGGCATCAAGTTAATTTATAAAAACAGGAATAATGTTTATTTTTAAATGTAAACAACCAACTTAAAGGGATATTCCGGCGTAAAATTAATTTAGGGTCAAACACACCATAACACCAAGTTAGACACCCCCTCAAGAGATGAATGTTGCTGACCGCTTGCTTCTCTAGTTAAACCAACTTTAGTAACGACCACACGATAGCAATACACAGTGGTCTGAAGAGCCATAACTAACCTCAACCAAAATGCCACTTTATAGCCACAAATAATGCTCAGAACAGCACCTAACTTCATCAACAGTACATACAGGGTCCTAGCCACAGCACTAGCCACCAAACATCTTCTTAACTTTGCCTAATTTCTTTAGCAAAGAGACCAAACACAACTCACCTACTCTCCTCCAGCAGCCGCCTGTTTGTAGCCACACCTCGGGCCAGTCCATTACGGATTGCTGCGGGGGGACGCATCTCAAGGAAGAACATTTATGATCATTTCTTCATTACTTCAAGGAAATGATAAAGCAAGCGTGATGCTGAAAAAAAAAAAAAAACACGAGTATAAACACAAGGAGTAAGTTAAATAACAAAGGAAGCAGCTAAGGCACTGCAGGCTCCACCGCCACTGGAGGCCTGCTCAGTTCAGCTAGCAAAGTCACACTCTCTTTTAAACAGGCCCACACAGGATTGCTGACAGAGGAGGGAATGAGTGAGAGACTGCAGCCCTCTCCTCCTTTATATAGCCTCCTACTTATTAGCAGATCAGCCACACCTGCCACACCTCCACTGCAGCGGAGGAACCTTCAGGGAGAGAGAGAGAGAGAGAGAGAGACAGAGAAACAGCACCCAAACACCCAGGGCATGTAACTATTGGTTTTAAAGTTAGAGCAGTTCATCTGTGAACTTTATTACCTTGAGTTCCTGTGGGGAGTCTTTAGACCAACTTAAAGAAACGCAGCTGCCTTATGTGACACACAAAAGCAAACAAGATTGTGAGCAGCAATATTGATTCTTCGTTAAAGGTCATTTTTAGTGATTGCAGTCACTGCTGTGGTGTGGGCGTATTGATTGAACAGCCTTTGTATATTTTACACAGAAAAAGGTATAGTCGAGTTCAAAAAGAAGGTAAGGGTGGGATTTTACATCAGAGAGCAGACTCACTTAGGAACAGGATTAATATGCAGAGAAAGAACACCTATAGCTCAGTCTACGGGGGACATAAAAATCAACACAGATCCTAATTTCCTCATGCAACACCTCAAACTAATTAAAACAGCATTTACCTTTGCAGTGATTTTACTTTCCCTAGTCTCATGGGAAACAACGTGTTTAGGGAACAGATGAGGATATCTGGGCACGCACTCTGTGAACTGTCTTGTAGAGCAAAATAACAGCCAATCAGAAATAAGAGAGCCAAACAAACACAGCCATAGTTACAATAGCACACACATAACATGAAGATAGATGCAAGAGTTTGAAAGCTTTACAGTTTTACGAGTTGAGACACTGGTTGTTGGTGTACGGTTTCATGCAGCGTGATGTGTTGACCATGTTGTTGCACTAATCTGCACCATATAAGAACAAAACTGTTCAAATTGCCATCAGACTGAAGTGTGGTCCAAGTTCAGATTACTCTTTTTTTTCAGCAGCAGGAGATTTCTGCAGGCCCCTGATTGATAATATATGACAGTGATTGAGATCCTCTCATAATACGGCATTAAAAGATGTTGCAGATTCAAAGTTTTACGTGCATTTATGGACTGAATAGAAAAACGGGGTCATTGTTGGACTATTTTGCCTGTGTACTCTTACTATTCTTCTCTAACAATACATATAAAAAATTTATTCACAATTCACCTTCCTTCCACTCATGAGAAGATAAGAATACCAATCAGATAGATAAATCTCACAAACACAGTCTCATGCAGTGATGGTCTGATTCCTTATTGATTTATGACGGCCTGGGGCTGTCAATTCAAATTTAAAGTTGCTTCACTCACACATTCATGTAAACAGCATAATGAGCTGTATTTGAACCAGGTTATGACCCGACAAGTTGTAACCGCATTTCAATTTTAATCAAAATCTTTGAACTTTGAAATCATAAATGCACTTTTAATATTTAAAGCCAAGGTTGACGAAGCTTTGAATCACAAACGCCTGATATCTGTGTGTTATCTGCTTTAATACCACAAGATGTGGAATTACCCAAGGTTAAATGCTCAAATATTAAAAAGCTCTGTTAACTTCATGCGCCAAAGGCACAAATATAAATCCTAACACACTTTTTCTACAACCAACAGATTGAAGCAAGAAAGCGCCTTGCCAAGACAGTGCTGGTGTTTGTTGGTCTCTTTGCACTGTGCTGGCTCCCCAGTCATGTCATCTACTTATACCGCTCCTATCACTACTCCCAGGTAAACAAAACACACTGATTTTTAATCTATTTATTTTGTTGTGTTCATGTCAGAAATGAGGCTCTTACTATAGAAAACATGAGAAAAATGTCATCAAACTCTGGAGGTCATACAAGGATGAGGTCATGATTAATCAGGTGTTGATCTGCAGTGTCTGATAAAACAAATGACACAGCTTTAGGCAAAAAGGGGTCATAATTGCTCTCTGGAACATATTGCGTAATTCTGGGTGAGTGCATGTAATTGAGGGCTAATGGAGACCAAGACAAAGCACGGGGTAGAAATCTTCAATCTGTGTGTGTCTGCTTAGAGTGCATTTGAATGATGTTTTTTACTTTTTACTTCTCTAATTATGCATATTCTCAACCCTGCGCTGTCTTCCAGGTGGACACGTCATTGGTTCATTTTGTGTGCAGCGTTGTTGCTCGAATCCTGGCTTTCACCAACTCCTGCCTCAACCCCTTCGCCCTGTACCTGCTGAGCAAAAGTTTCCAGAAACAGTTCAACCAGCAGCTCTGCTGCTGCTGTCGCAAGGTCTTCGAACGCAATTCACAGAGTCCGAGTCATTATAACACCCGCATGACTTCTGTCCGCAGCACTAATAACTCCATGGCGAGTGTGAGCATGGTGAATGGCAAACGGTGTTATCAGGAGGATTATGTGTAAAGGAAGTGAGTGTGTGTGAGAGTGAGAAAAATAACATGAATTGTCCATGCGTCTTTGCTTTTCACACGTTTCTTCAGTTATGGACATAATCAGTCTGACAAAGGATGAAGGCTAAAATTAGGACTCTTAATGAAGAAGCAGGGGCTCTAATGATGCCAAAACCAATCTCTGATCTGACCATTTACAAGCCTCCACTGATAACAGAGATGGCACGAAAAAAACGGCAGACTATTCATTGAGTTACTCATGCCTCTAACCCAGATGGTATAAGAGGTGGATGTGGCCGACAGTACCTGTTTTTTTTTTCCTCTCTCACATTAACTAAGAGCTGCAATCACGTGGAGACTAACCACAGGCTAGTAAAATCATAATGGCTGCTATTAGCAGTTATTGTTAAACAAACCAAGGAGCTCCTAATTGAAGTTAGAAGCAGTCACGTTTCCTTTTTCACAATACAAAATTATTGTTCAGCAGGTCGACTAATTCAGTTAAATATGAAACCATGAAAACACTTGTTCATTAGCACCAAACTCACATGAATGTAAATGAGTTTTTTTTTACATGTTGACTGTCAGGTATATAAATATTTGTGTCTTTATTAACAGCAACACTGCCAATCAGTATCATATGAATCAAACCTACAGTGAACAGAGGGTGTGTGACAGACAGTGGATGGACAGTGTCAGACGTCAGGGACATTCGCTTAAAAGAGGTGTAGTGATAAGCATGGGCTGATCAGGGGAACCTGGTACGCAAAAGTGCAGAGCCCCCAGTATTGTTCATTAAAACAGAACCAAGATGTCAAGTAAAGAGATTTTCAAGTGTGATGCTCGTAAATAAGGGGTTAAAAAAATCAATGTTGTTTTTTTTGTCACAATGGGGGAAATTAGACATGACTGACCAAAGGGTTGTATTTTTTCACTTTTCAATTTATTTTTTAATTAATCTGCTGTAAATAGAGTGTCTCTACAGGACTCACTCAGACCCAAATAGTTAACCAATCACAGGTACCAAGAGAGATAAAAAGACACATTTTAAAAAGTTAGTCAACAAAAGGACAAAAAATTGTGAGTCAATGACGCTTTGAGCTTTACAGAGTGATTTCAGTGCTGCTAAAAAAAATAAAAAGACAAATTTATAGTTTTTATCATGAATAAGTTGATGTGGTTTTGCTATAATGTTGCAAAAAATATCTACTCTAAGTCCAACCAGCTAGCTGTAAAGTGTCATATCTATTTAGATTTGTGCAGATTCTTCTGTCTGTAAATGTGTACTGTCCCATCTGGACCCGCTGTCTGTATGTGTATAATATTTATATGTGATTCCATGAGCTTTGAATTTTGAGTGTTGCTTCGAAGATGTATTTTAAACGTTGGTCATCCTCTGATTACAGAATGTCCACTGAGCCGTGGTGTATACACTGTTTTAAAAAAATGAACAGCGAATGTAAATGACTTTATCATAAAAAAAAAGCTTATTTGCAAATAAATCAAAGAATGTGTTTCTATCTTATGTCGGTGTCTGTGCTGATGTGGCTTTTTTGTGTTTGAACACACATAAAATCAATTTCTGTTTCCAGCAGTAAACGTAAGAATCGTACCAAATGATCCTCATGTATTTTACTGGTACACCAGATAGTCCCTACAGTGCACATCTGTGCTCACTTGACATGATTATTCTGCACTTATACATGTTAGATTTACAGCCCCTGTATCACCCTAACAAAGTCCTGATTTGGTGTTTTACTGTGAAAGAGGATAAAGCAGAAGAGCCCATGAATCAGTCTGATAGTGTTTGTTTTAGCCTGCTGTGTGCGCTTGGCACAAATTTCTGCCCTGCACGGTCTCTAGCATCTACTTAACATGTTGTCTGCATGAATATGCTTTCTCTGTGAAAAATGTCAAGTGTTCATAAGAAATATAATTATCTTTAAAACTTACAGAGTGATAGAAACAAGAAATAAGGTCATGTAATGAATATTAACACATCCATGTGTCAAAAAACTTCTGAAGGAATCCTGCAGAAATGTAAATGTCACTTCAAAGTCCTGCAGTCTCCTGCAGGGTTTAAAAAACAGGGAGGGAGTTTCAAAGAAATTAAGCATTAATTTTGAATGATGACGTCCTCACTGTTACCGTAGGTCCTGTGATGTTTTCTTGCTTCCTGAAACATTATCGGAAAGTTTCGACATGAATCAAAAAGATGTTTTCCATTATAGAACATTGAAAACAGAATTTGACCGTCATACTCTGCACATGTTGCTCAAAAGGTAAAAGAATTAAAGATATCGTACATTTCCAATCTGGTTTCTTCTGCTCTTAAAAACAAGAAATAACCAGTTTTATTTAAACTGCATGTCTTTATTCAATATGATTAAATTCAAAGAGAATGCAGTGGTCTTGATATCATTCACTAAATATTTGCTGGATGGATGAATTTCTGCTCTTACTTTTACTGCAAAATCACAAAGAAGTTTAGATGATATCTAAAAAACCTTGCTCACAGCTTCCAGATAAAATGCCATATAGTGCAAGGCCTCTGACTTTTGTGAAATTCTAAATTAAATTAGGTAAAAAAGTTATTTTAGATAGAGACATTGCACACTATATTAATATTTATGTTTCCTTTGGGCTTTGACAAGTGTGCTCCAGATATGAGGTGACATCTCTGAATCAAATAATGCCAAGTACATCATGCAGCACGGCTGTGATTTTGGCAGGTCACAATTAAAACATCACAGTAAATATGAAAAACACAGCAACAACACAAAGTATACCAAACAGACCAAAGCCACTGTCACTCACATGTGTGTGTTACTGATGTATTCCTTCAGTCATTCTGTGTTATGTGTCTTGTGTTGCAGTTGTCATTATGTGATGTTTTATCTGTGACCTGCCAAAGGACTTTAGATGTAATTAGCTCTGAGCTAATTCTGCCACAGAGGATGAATGTGAGGGAAGTGACCAGCATGAATTCAGGAGGACGACTGGAGTGACTTTGAAAAAATCAGGTGCAGTGCAGAAACATGAAATCTGGTATTTATGTTTAGTTTCACTGCATACATGTACACGTGACCTCATGAGACACTTTTCCCTCAGTGTAGAAAAGCTTCAGTCCTGACCTTACAAGACTGCATTTAATCACTGAATGACAAGCTAGTTTTTAATCTTCACAAACTTCAACCTTATTCTCAACATTTTGACTCTTTTCTCTGAATGTGTGATGAAAAAAATGTTTTCAATATTTTTCCTCACCTCTGGCCCTGAACACTCTTCAGAACGGTGGGATTTGCTGCTTTATTATTTGAATTTTGTGTGAAGATGTTTTTCTATTTGTCTCATAATCCTTTTGTTGATAACAGGGTATTAGTCATTCAAGATTATTAAAACTGTCTCAAGATGGAGGAAATACATTCAGAGGAAAATATGTCACCTCTGAAGGTAAGTGTTTCAACAAGTGTTTGACCCTCTATTGATCATTTTTTTGCTGTTGCACATGTTTTGCTAAAGGACGTCTATTAGCTATGCCTCGCTCATTCTTAAGGGTCGAGGAGGAGACGAGAGAAGTGCAGCAGACAATGGGTGAGAGGTCTCAACAGGTTCTTCAAGGCTGACTCATAAAACCGTTTCATTCAAACTCCTTCATATTTTCCACATTTTTTTCCCCAAACTCTCAAACTGTCTCATTCATTGTGGATATTTCAGAAAGAAAGGTAAAAACATAGACTGTATAAAAAAATGGACGCCGTCTGCCTCCTTGCTGGGTGAAGCCACTCTGAGAACAGCACCCTCTGTTGACGGACTGCAGTATAGGCCATAAAACACACTTCCTCCAGCAAAGCTTATGAACCTGTGGACAAACTTTAGAAATTTATTACACAGAACATAACCTTCTCTCCCCCCTGCTTGTGATGTTGACATGTAGTTACTGTAAGATTGGTTTGTGCTCAAGTCCTCTTTTTTCTGTGAAGCTCCGTTTTTAAAAGTTATTAGGCGGTTCATGTTTTCTATGATTGACACCTGATACAGCCTATGGGTGTTCAGGGATTGCATAGCTCACCCGGGGGATACGCTGTTTGAGCCGAGTGTCATCACAGCGACTCTCGGTGACTCTGCCGCCGAATGCGCACAACGCCTCTGCGCAGCGCTGGTTTCAGGAAATGAAGAAAAATCAAGGAAATACCGAAAGCTTTTTGGCTTCAAATCCGTATACAGGCAGGAGGCGGAACCAAGTTGTCCATAGTATAGACAGTCTATGGGTAAAAACAGGTCTGTTTCTATAGTGTTCCCGTTGCAACTGTTTGAGGCTTTAAAGCTACAGTATAAAGATTGTCAGTCTTGCCACTGACGGTCTTATTTGCATTTAAATATCATAAAGAATCAGTCTATTTCATTAAAAACTTTCACAGGAGCTTTAACCTGCAATAAAAGTGTTAGAGTTGATGTTGGGATGACATTTTTCTATGGAAAATATTAAGTTTAATTTGATTTAGTTTACTTGAAGCTCTGTATGACAGATGACAAAGCTTGATAATTTACATTAAATTTTGTGTGAAAAAAAGCAACACAAATTTCAAAGGATCGGTGAATTAAATTGGTAAATCTACTTCTGGATTTTCTTGCTCCAACAATAAACATATTTCACATGGGCAGGCATTGTTGCCCTCTGGATCTGAGGTCAGAGAGCTTCATTTTTTCCCGTTTTCTTGGTGTTTTGATGATGGTGTACGAAATTATTCAACAATACCTTTTATTTGTCTGTGGATACTGCAGAAAAACAAGAACTGTGTCGACTTTGAATGGTGATTTTTACTTTTTTAAATTCCTGCCTTGTAAAATGTTACACAGAAGCTGCAGTGAAATTGTTTTTCAGTAAAGAGAAATTAGGAGAGGCTTCAAAAATTCAAATAGTGTCAAAAAAAAGAGCAGTATCATTTATTTATTTATTTATTGACCCCAGTGTTACTTCCACAGCTCAGTAATTAGAATTTGTGCTAACTCTAATTAGTTTGTTGGCAGGGAGGAAAGATTGCCTGTCTTTGCATTGAGTCTTTCATCATTTTAAGCTTTTAATGCATTTTTCAGACCTCATTTTATAATGGAAAGCTCATTTTCTCTTCATGCTTCACTGAAGAAAAAATTAAAGATGATTGTCATTCAACACTTATTTCCCAAATACTTACCAGCATGTGCCTGATGGAAATATTTGACTGAGGATGTTTTTACCTTGAGACACGAGGTAAAATGTTAATCGTGTCCTCTGTATTCTTACTGGCTGAAAATATAAGAAAGTCCTCCACAGATCGTTTCACTAAGCTGCTGACACATTTTAGAAACAGTCTTTTTGAAACTGCTTTAGTAAATTATGCAGCAAAAATGGCAACGGCCATGTGGACACAGGGCTCCACACTGGCTCTGTTTATGATAAACTCCAGTCCTAAGAAAGGACAGACAACCTTGGGGTTTGAAATGTTTAAGGCACAATATCATGGCTTTAGGATGATGACACAAACAGCTCTTTCAGTACGCAAACCTACCTGCCCAACAGGTACACTTCTTCTGGAAAAAAAAGGTTTGATTTAGGTCATTTAGGAGAAATGATCGAAAGTTGCAAAACCAGAGAAAAATCTGCAGAGAAAGCAGAATGACTCACTGGCACAGAAGGCAAAGCAGACAAAGTGGGAGAAAGATAAGAAGTGAGGCCAACAAGGGTCATCAAAGAGGCATTTATTTGATGGAGCTGTACCCAGTGTTGAAAAGAGAACTAAAATATTCTATTCAAGTAAAAGTACAGCTGCTCGGATTAGATTTGACTCAGGTAGAAATAAAGCTGCTACTTTGTGAGCCTGAGGGAGAATAGAGAGCTCACTTTGAAACTCATGGGCATGGGAAACGTAGGACCCCCAAATAAGGTTAAAGCATATTTCCTCAGACTGATTACTGTGACATAAACAACAACATTAATGTGTAAAGTGATGTTGACTAAAAGTAAAAGTACTGATTTTAAAAACTACTCAGAAAAGTATAAAACGACAGATACTAAGCTGACAGTTTTGGTACTGATCAAACAAACAACATCCGATGAGGACTACAGTGAGGATTTATTGCACTTACAGTTCAAGGCACTAAAGTGAGAAAATATTCAAAAGCAGAGAGAAAATGTCCTAACGAAGAAAAAATAACACAACAGGTACAAGGATATCAGCACAAGAAGCAAGGACAGCCAACAAAAACAGGAGGAGAAACAAAACAAGAGTAAAACCTGAGGGAAATTCAGGACACAGGTGTGAATCACACACAGGTGAAATATTAAGAGTATGGCAGACAGGTTTGGCATTACAGCCATGCTAGCCGCCTTCAGGCTGGAACTATCCATCAGATGTTGTCTGATCAATACCAAAGCTAGACTGTTAGAAATCAATAATGAAATAAAGCGATTGGTGTCTATAACTTCTGCTTCATCTTATCCTTATATCTTCATCCACTCTCCCTCTTTTCTTAGCTGTAGAGAAAAACTTCTTCAAATGAACGAAAGGTGACAGTATACCCATAACTTTTTTAGGTGCTCTTTTTATCTTCAACCTTGTTTAAAGCTCTAAACATTAGAAAAACACAGATCTCACAGCTATTTTAAAAGCTGCTGCTTCAATGAGATCCTCAGCTCTGTGACGCTCTTTGTCATCAATTCTTTACAAAACTTTCCCCGTGATATTAGACATAAGTAAAATATTGTAAGAAGTGTAATAATTACAAATCAATGCATATATGGTATTTGTAAAAAGGACCTGATCAAGGGTGAGTGATTTTTAGGTCTTGTCAACCAGGTCAGTAAGGAACAGTCAGACAAAAGAAGTATGAATTAGTGCAGCAAGGGGGAGACATAACTCCTTGTAACTTCAGGCCTGATGAAGAATTTGAATTTCTGTCTCAACAGGATATGGAGTTTTTCAAACCCTCAGTAAACTCTTTAAAATATGTACAAAATCAAAGGTTATTTTAAGGAGTTGGAGGGATAAACTCACAGAAATTCTGTTGTCCGTCTTTTCTAACTGTTTGAGTCTTTTTTTTTTCCAGAGCTGTGAAGCTTTGTTCAATAAAAACAATCAGTTTTAATACCATGTACATCGAAGTCTGAGTAATATCAAAACAAAACATGAGGTATTTCGCCATTTTAAGACCGTAAAAAATCCATTCCATCGCCAATAAAAAGAGGAAAAAGTACGCTACCCTGTCTTGTTTGTTCAGTGTTTTCATTCCAGTGATGAGGACCAAAGCCTGGAGGAAATAGATTTCAGCTTAACTACATCGGATATCAATATAATCACCAAGCAACAACAGTAAATGAGCCACATCGTCAATAATGCACCTGTTTAATGACAAGCCGCATTTACAGTCCACTTAGACTTCAAAAAGGCTGCGTTATTATTACTGCAGGCTTTTGTGTTGTATTAGAAAGGATGGATTTTTGACCTGGAAGCTATTTAACTTCATATTTATTAAACACAAAACATATGAAGGCAAAGATTTCTATCTCCTCTGCCATCTGGATGACTATAAATTCTCAGACGCTTGGACAAAGAAGCAGCAAATCTCTTGTACACAAAGCAGCTGCTTTTACACCCTCTTTACATCAAAGTATGTTTTCTATGTGCGTTAATGTTGCATCAATTTGGGGCTTTTTTCTGCAAAGATCTGCAGGAGAAAAATCTCTTCGAGTGAAAATCAGATTTTATGGACACATATTCTGATATTTTTGTTTATTCCAGTATCTTGTTGATGGACCTTGAGTCTGTACCGCTATTTACATTGTTGTTTTCAAGGTTTTCCTCTTCGTCATTGAGAGTGGGCCCAGTTTCTTGCCGAAAACACATCTTTTTTCCAAGTGTCCTTGGTCTTGTCAAGACGTATGACATTTTCTTTTGTTGAGTTTTTCACTGTATTCCGGTGTGGTTATTTTGTCTATCCAGAATTCAACAAAGTTTTATTTATCCTACGATGAATCAGAACTGTTTACTCATGGACAATCTTTATTCTGTAACTTCACTTCCAAAAGCTTCCACAGCAATGATGACGAATCAGGAAGGAGGCAGAGAACTCGTTCAAACAAGTGTTCAGTGTTTGAAATAAATTTAAAACACTGTAAAAATCTGGTTTTTATTTGACTTTAGAGCTTGTCCAGCTTTCCCTGCTGGATCAGACACTAAACAGGCATCAGAAGAAAGGCCTTAATCATTTTTTGTAGACTAAATAAAATACGACTGGATGAGTTCATTTTACAAGGTTGCACTGCTCTCATGCAGGGGAAAATATAACACATAATACTCCACTACTTCACCACTGCAATTGTACTTCTGATTTTTAAGAACTCTTTAAATCATCTTAAAGATCATGTGAGGAGTTTTTGGCTGTCATGGAAAAGGCTGAAATTCATGTTGAGGCTTTAAAACGTCATAATTGATACCTGAAACTGGTCTGAGGGGGTCAGGTTTTAAAGGGATACTCCGGGGAGCCCTGACGAGCCGATCACCGAGTGCAGCGGAGTTTCACAGCTCAAGGAAGAACATGTACGATTATTACTTCATGGAAATGTAACCAGAGTTCTTGTGTATCTTGTATGTGCACTTCAGACTCTGTAGTTCTTCTGCCTTACAATCTCCGGCTGATTGCCTTTCCATGAAGTGATAATCATAAATTTTCTGCTGCACTCAGTGATCGATTCGTCAGGGCTCCCCCACAAACAAGCAGCTGCTGGAAGAGAGTAGGTGAGTAGTGTTTAGTCTCTTTTCTAAAGAAATCAGGCAAAGCTAAGAAGATGTTTGGTGGCTAGTACTTTGGCTGGGACCCTATATGTACTGTTAATGAAGTTAACCCTAACTTAAATTAACTCTGGATAATCCCTTTAATAAAGCTATTGTTTTTACATTTTCAACATTAAATATTCACAGTGAATAAAACATCTGACCCACAAAAGTCAGCAGGATGAGATTTTCTGTTTGTTGATTCTACTTCTGCATTTGGAAGACAAGATAAGCAGAGACTGCAGCGGCCACAGGAGGCGCCAAAACTGACACAAACCAAAAGCACTTCTCTCACTGGGTTTTTTTTTTCACGGAGCTCTAAAAAACTTAGGATGTGTTTTGCAGCCTCTTTTCACCTGGGTGTAAGAGGAAGCTCTGCACCTAATGATACTGATTTAGGAAACATGAATGCAGATGTCATCTATGTATTACGATGGGCACCTCTACGCTCCACATGCTGTGAGACTGGTGCTGACATATTGTGCATCTTGAGGGTTACTGGCTGCTCAGTGTCACATCCCTTTCTCTGAAGGTTAGCTTACCATTAAAACACTGAAGATCTCAGGTTGGTCTTGTCCACTGCAGAGCAGATTCCTATGTTGATCTGACACGCTGATGCACTGATTTTAGAAAGTTCAATGACTCCTGTGAGCGTTGGTCACATCCTCTACTCTGCTAATCCTGTAAAATCAGTCTGAGGAGCCCACAGAGCTGTCAGTGAATCATCTTTGCTGAATCAAATGACTAAAACTGATATTCTCTGATTAATGAACACTTGAACTTGAGTATGAAAAAGGCGGGTTACACTGAAAGTCAGTTGAAGAGCTCTAAATATTCTGGTGAACACTTGTGGTATCCATTTAATAAACAGTCTATAGGGGAAAACTAACAGAAGTGTAATGTTGGGTTTTCTGATAAATTCCAAAAAGTTCAAATCATATAAAAATAATCTTTAATCTTTAAACTACATATTCAGTGCACAAAGAACAAATGTACAAATCAAGAACTTTACAAACAGATTGGAGCGTAAAGTATGCATGTAAAAAATCAAGAACCTTGTCATGTGAGTTAATATCATCTTCATTCGTTAAAGTGATCAGCATAAATAGGACTGTAAATAAATTATGAGTCTTTTTTTCTCTGCCTTCAACATCCAAAACATCCTTGGCGAGCAGGTTGTCGTTATTTTTTCTTATGTGGAGATCTACTTGGGCCATCTGCATCTGTGAATAAAACAGAGATCATTTCTATAAGTCTATGAAATTAGACAAAGCAGGAGTTACAGAAAACACTTTTTTTCCAGGGTTGATTTCCTTGCTATCGTTTTCGTAACTTAAGATAAAGATGGCTTCCATTTTTAAAGTATAGATTTTTATACATAAGCTTTACCTGCAGGAGTTTTGATCAAAACGTTGATGTCTGTGGGCGCAGATGGAGGAGTTAAGATGACAGCGTTGCCTTGGCGGTGGAGTCGATACAGCTCTTGGAAGACAATCACAGCGATCGATGTCTATCTCACAGTCAGGCATCAAAGAGCTGAGTGGGAACTCTGGACAAAGAAATTATAATGAGGACGTTGTTACTGTAAAGTATAGAAAGTCTGCTGATGTATCCTTACAAATACAATGCCACTCAATAGGTGTGTTTTTCCGTGTCTAGTTCACTACATCAGTATGTTTGCTGATGAACAAATTCACAAAGTACGGCTAAAAATGATATGAAAACAAGATTCTTATGCTTTAAAAAGTGTTCTCATGCTACGGGGCCACTCTCACAAATACAGACCTGGTGTACTGGAAGGGTAGGGTATACATCTGTCAGCTGAACAATCCCAAATCAGCCCACTGGCACAAAGTCTCCTGGAGTCCTCTGTGTCTGACAGCTGGCTCATAGGGGAGCAGCTGCCAACAAATCAAAGGGATTAGAGCCGTAATTTGAACATCTTATCAGGTCTTTGAAAAACAAGACTGCCTCAGGTTTGAACTCACCCGCTGCCGCTGCTGCCAGGTTGAGCATTACGCCGTATTATGGCGGGCTCCATGCACCTGCACTCTGTGTGATTGACTACTTTTATTAGCACAGGCTCTGGGACGAACTTGAATGGAATCACACTCAGGACCTGGATCGCACAAAATCCCACAGACACACACAAAGTATGAGACGGGGTAAGACCACTGACAACTGAGGCTGCTGTTGCGGGTTCATCAAAGAGATTTGGTCACTCACAGTTTTGTTCACATATTCAACAGTTGTGTTTCTGCAGGTGACGCCCTCTTGGTTACAGCAGCCACCGCATCTGTGGATGGAAACAAGGTTAAATCTGATGGTCATGTGTGTGGCAGAGAAGTTTACCTTTTTGACAGGGTGTCAGGTGGGATGTTGTCATAGATTCTGAGGAGTTCAGGCCCTATGAGGGTTTTTAAAAATGTGTACTGGGCCAAAGGTCAAATAAAGCTCTTTTCACAGGGTGACCATACACCCTCTTTTACCCGGACATGTCCTTTTTTGGGGGGCTGTCTGGGTTTGTCCGGCTTTGTCTGGAAAAGTTTATAAAATCCTTCAAATGTCTGCAGTTTTATACGTAAGTTTCTATTTTGTGTCACATGGACTTACTGAGTTAGAAGTGCATAAAAGTCACTCGATCAGACGTGAAAACTCTCAAAATTAACTTTGTGCGGCTTTGTGACTCTGCCCTTGTGTAGTCGCGTCCTCTTTTTGGGAAGTCAGAATGTGGTCACATTTTGGAAACATGTGCATTTGCCTTCTAAAATATGTGTCTTATCGTTTGATCTGTTTGATGGATATCAAGAAAGTAATGTGGTGCGAAGAACTGATCCTAGTTTAATGTTAAACAAACCTGTGGACAGACACACAAGGTGGCTTGAAGAACATGGAGGGGTCTGTGCCCAGCTCTTTGGCCACATCGACACAGGTTTCCCTCGGCATGCACTGAGTCCTCTGCCACTCCTCGTCTATTGCTAAACAAGATTATCACACAATAGTTATAACCAGAAAAGTGGCAAAAAAAAACTTAAATGTAAAAAACCTGTAATTTTCGGTCAAACCTTTCAATATCTCCAGGCTGTAAGACTCAGCAGCATAGCGTGTAGAGCGATGTGAGCCTGCTAACGGTGGAGATGAGAGGGTCTCTGGCTGCTGCAGACTCATTCGACACTTCCACAACTTCCAGTCGGGAAAGTCTGCGAGCATCAGCAGCTCGTCAAGGCTGGAGGCTGAACGCACCTTCCTTTCCCACTGCTTCAACCCCTGCACACATAAGAGGAAGAGGTTTTTCACAGACATAATTATTACAAGAGTCAGAGCCTCTTTGGCTGTCTCTTAAAACCACCATAAACTACCAATACTAATCATGGATAGTGAAATACATACACGTGTGTGTCTCTTATCAAAAACCAAAGTCATGCATCAAAAGACTGAAGAAACTTTTTGTCTTTCTAGCTCAGGGGTGGGCAATCATGTGCCATGGAGGGCCGAGAGGCTGCAGGTTTTCTTTCCAACCCAAAACTCCACCAGGTGATTTCACTGATTTGTCCCTGCTCTCTGCTTGGAGGTAAGGTAATCAGTGAAATCACCTGGTGGAGTTTTGGGTTGGAAAGAAAACCTGCAGCCTCTCGGCCCTCCATGGCACATGATTGCCCACTGCTGTTCTAGCTGGATGACTCAATGGTCCCTATTTTTTTCCCTATTTGATCACCTCTACTGCTTTTGATGATTTCTCAACTCAAACTCAAAAGTCATCTTGATGTTCATATTTCTAGTTTGAGCACAGACTGTGGAAAACATTGATGGCACAACAACCTTCCCAAAGTGAAGCCAAAACCTTTAGAGCTTCCCCTAAAACTGATTTTATCTGGGTGAAACAAGAAAATTAGACCACATGGTTTCTGTTTTACACATACTGATGTGTATATATATAATTATGTTGGTTTCTTAAGAAGCTATGATTTAGTTAGCTATTTTGATTGACAGCTGTGTTAATGAATGCAGGCTCCAGCAGTAAAGGAGGTTCAGCAAGAGGAAACACACAACACACATTGAGACAAGACTCACTGAACTCTCCGTAAAGACAGATTTCTGCTTCGAATCAAGACCAGGATCTGAGGGGGCGTCACGCCAATCCAACTGCCCCGACAGTAAACTTTTGGAAGTGTCACACCTTGACCACCGTCCATTCAAAATGAAGAGGGGGTGTCTTGATTCTGATTGGTCTTTGTCAACAATAGCGAAGGTCCGTACTGATCAACCTTGTCCTAACAAGGTACAAATTTAGTGTTTAGAGCCGCTACTTCTGTTATGACATGAGTTACATCATCTTTTTTTTTCCAGTTTTCTTTGTAAAAACTCACTGAATGAAATCGAGAGTGGAGCAAACAAAGCGCTGTGAAACAGACAGCAGACTGAAGTTCGGTTTGACCCTGTAACTCAAATCTCTTCAATTAGTTTTTTTTTTTTTTTCTAATAACTCCAAAAACAACTAAATTATCGTTTGTATAAACTTTTGTCTCAACGAGGCAAAGGATTACATGCCAACAGGTTGAATCAGATTTTAAAGAGGGTGTCCTTTGCAATAATTTGCTACTCCATACAGATTAGACTATAGAATTAACTCCTAATAAGTTGAAAACTTCTGTTGCTGTCGTTTCGTTTCATAATTGGCAGCTAGGTAAGGACTTACATAATTGTGTATTTAATGTGGAATTTTATGGAGGAAATTTCAGAAACGAAATTCATGCATCCAGCTAAGATTGTGAAGGATTAATGAAGTGCAATATTTAGAGAGGAAGATGGAGCATTTGGGGACTTGTTGCATACATCAGGCCGCTCTCTAAACGACTGTGGCTTTTGGCCTGGAGCCGATGTCCTCAGACGGTGCCCAACCTTCTCTCGGTGTTTCGACCCTTAACCGCTACACCCTCCAGTTGGCGGGTCAGCAGTGGTGGCCAGGTCACTGCCCATCAGCTCCAGGCCTGCAGCCCTCCTCCTCCCTTTTAAACCACAGCCAACAAGAGGAATACTCTTGTATATGTAGTGTCTTAACAATAGCATAAGTCTTTTAGCATCATGAGTGCATACAACTCTGTTGTTCCTAATGTTGATGGTAATGGTATGCTTTTACATTAGCCAGAGTGAGATATATCTGACTGAACCAAACACCATTAAATGCATTTAGAGCTACATTACATGCATCATTTCCTGCTAACGCACCTCACACTGAGGCTCAGCTGACATAATGCATGGTGTGCAGAGATGTGGAGCTCTCAGCCTCAAGTCACAGCTATTAGAGTGTGATTATCAACAGCTGCTGCTGCTGCTGCAAATGTGAGTCTGCTCCACTCTGCCTGGATACTTTTTGTTGCTGCTCATTCTGAAGCTGCATGTCTCTGTCAAAAGTACAACTTACATGTGAGGGGGACGACAGCAGCAGGATTTAAGAGAAGGTAGTCATGCCATCCACTTAAAGAAATGTACTGTATGTACACATGCACGTATACATACCAGAGCATAAAATATCAGATTATGTTTGGCACCTCTCCATTAAAAGAAGAGGTGCTGTGATTTAGAGCTGGGGGAAACTGTAAAACCACCTGTCAGGCTGCCACAGTGGGGCAAAGTTCCCACAGTGACATAAACCAGAACTAAACAGAAGCAGAGAGGAAGCAAATACAAACGTCTATGTTTGTATTATGTAAGCATTATTCCTTGTCATAGTAACCCTACAGTAATGTCCTGTGTGAACGATTTTTCCTGTTTGGACTTGTAGAACATGTGATAAGACTAAAGATTCAGAGACAGGACCTTCCTGAGAACCAGAGTGGAGAGGAAAGTAAAGCTCAGGGCTCCTCAGACACTTTTCTTTTGGCGATTAAGGCAGACACGTCAGAAAGGACTGTCATGGAACATTGCACTTGTCTGCACAATGTTCACTTGATTTTCTCTGAACAGCCGTAACAATGCGAGCCCTCTGATGTGTTCGGTGCCTTGGAGAACAGAGGGTGGGGCAGGTTGGCTGGGTAACTGCTTCCACTTAAATCAAAGAAACAACAACAGAAAACAGGGAGGTTTCCCCATCATAATTTCTACCAGGGGATGGACCAACTAATGGGAAACAGAGGCAGAGCGGGCCTGAGAAAGAGATGACAGACGTGGAGAGGGAAGGTAAAGACAGTTGATTAAACAAAGTCAGTTTTAGTACAGAGGTAAATATTTGTGTGAAACTGTCCTCTGATGCTGACATGATGTTGTGCAGTTCCTCTTCTGGCCACATGAAAATACAAACGTAATAGGTTTTGGTTTTGGCTTGGGTGGCATGCACGTGAGCGTACTGCACTGGCAGCAACTGGGCAAGATTTAGCGGTAAAATATAACAACACAGGGAGAGAAATATACAAAACCAGAGTCCTGAACACACCACAAGTATCTGAAACTCATACTGTGGAGTTTTTGCTTTTATTTTGTAACAATGTGGAGCAAAATCTGTCAGATCACTGAATAAAATAAAGAATTACTTCAAGATTAGTTTTTTACATCGCTGCTTAGAAATTAATTTTCATATGACAAATGAACTTGACATAAAACTTACCGTAGTCCCAGCCTCTCTGTGCATGCTGTGGCCAACATTTATCGAGCTCAGCTCCACTACCAGAGTCACAAAGCAGGAGAGTCTGCACAGAGTCCGGCTCATCTTCATCCCTTGGCTGTGCTCGCTTCCTCTGAGCAGTAACCTAGCAGTATGAGAGCCTCTTTGACTCAGTTTCTCAGACCAGTTGAGACCCTTGGACCACACACACTCTGTCTCCTAGTGCCGGTGTGTGCAACACGAGCTCTTGATCTTCCAGCTGCACAGCAGTGTGTGTGTGTGGGTGTGTGTGTGTAAGCCAGACACAACCTGTCAGGGAGATCCAGACACACCAAATGGAGGAGGCTAAAGAGGCTTTAAAACATGCTCCTCTTACTGGAGAAGCTTTGATGCAGAAGCAGAGATGTCCAGTTAAATGTTGAGGAAATTACCAAAAACTAAAGTCAAGATTATCTTCCCAACGTATTAGAAGAAAGTGACTTTTAGTCCAAATTGATTCAAGGCCTTTGAGAATATCCAAACTACTTCCTCTGAGTTTAAACTCTTTTCTTCTTTTCCACCCTCCTTAAAGTCTGCAGACTCTAGGCGTCAGTCTTCTCCTAATTTCAGTGATTACAATCTATGTAAGTTTCACTCCCCCTCTGCATCCTCAAATCTCCAGATCCTGCTGCTGTAAGTCCGTGTAGAAAAAAAAACTCTGGGGTTCAAAAACTGCCACAAAATTTCTTCCTCTCAGTTGTGGTCAAACTCTAAAAAAGCTAAGAAGTTAATAAGTATGTCTGTTAGTCCTTCTGGTCCAGCTGCGTTTTTATTTGCGTGTGTGTTCCCGTCTTCCTCTTCAAATGACTGTCTGTCAAGTGATCAGTTAAATCCCCTATCAGCGTCTGCAGCCTCTGGAGTTGCCAAAACGCACACAGCCGGAGAGCAGCAACATGTGTTTTAAATGTGATCCAGACCTCCATTAAGTGTGAGGGGAAATAAGATGCCAGCACCACCCCTGTCCCACCAACTCTCCACCCACTTGCCCATCCAGCCACATTTGATTAAAGATGCTGCTTAATGGAAAACAATATGTGAACTGATTTTAATGATTTTCTACACAGACCAGGCTACTTTTTCTGGTGGCTAAAAAGTGATTTAATGGTTAAAATGTGCAAAAATCTTGATTTTACAACGTGTCATGTGATCTGTCCAGAAGTGTAGGTAAGCTGGGAACAGATTCCTTCAATTTCACATCAACTGAATAAAAAGGGTTCATGTAAAACTCTTCAGTGCTTTTAAAAAATATAAAATCGAACACAATTATGTTTATCTAAAAAAAGCTGTATATGTTCTTCATGTCAGCAACATGAGCATCAACTCACAAAACTCCACTACAGTGTACAAACAAAGTGATTATCACAAAACTGTGATAAGGCTCAAATTAAGAAGGGGTGTGGAGAGCAGTTAGGAGCACATTTTTCCCTAATATGTATATTTTCAAAGAGAAAGGGAGCACTGCAAACACCACTGCAATTTTCCACTGTGCACTTCAACATGGAAAGTACTAGATGTGCTGTAAACACACACACAAAGCCGTCACCTTGAGAATAAGTATCTGTGTTTTCAAACAGCTGCAGTTTTCATGTTGTGATGAGAAAACAAATACCCACGTGAATCTACTTCTTATAAGTGAGAAAAACATTTCAACAGAGTCAATAGTGCATTATGTAGTGTTCAGACAGAATCTCGAATCTTTGACCTCCAGTTTACGGCCCTTTCAAAGCCGTTTGTGCCAGTCTTGTAGTCTCTGATCGCTTGTTGGATTTCCTCTTCTGTTGTCATTACAAACGGACCTGAAAGGCAGACACAATCAGAAATGTGAATATGAAGCTCTGTGTTTGGCCCTCTGAAACCCATCAAGGATTCAATTTGGCATAGAGGAATATAAAAGTCTACCGTGTTGCACCACAGGCTCTTTGATTGGTTCTCCAGCAATCAGCACAAAATGGGAAACGTCTGAGCCCTGATGAGGAGGTAGAAACTAAATTTACATCTTCATCTGTGTGTGTGTGTGTGTGTGAAGTGGGCTGACTGCTGTCTTTCATTTCTGCTTTTCAAAGTCATTACTTGTCTAACTATGGACCTGGATATGACTGTCCAAGATTAATCTGTGGGGTCACATTGAGAACCACAGGTCTTAATCAGGAGAGGTGACACATGCTGAGAGAAAGTCCTGTGACAGATACAATCTAACAGCAAATCATGATTGAAAACACGGAAATAGGGAATGTGCACAAATTAAAGCAATCAAGCGACATTGTGATGTGTTTTACAGAATGAAATATTGTAGTCTCACCTTGTTCTCAAGTTTGATGCAGTCTCCATCTCCAAACACCACTGTGTGATGAGGCTCTATCTTCTGCTGCTCCTCATCTGGGCCTGAAACAGAATAACAGGTTTGATATTTTCTTTGTTCTGAATGACTTTATTTAACCCATTAGCTGTCATCTGGTGATACGAATACAGCCAAAGGTTGTAGTGACGGCTAATATCAAGAGTCTCTAACAGTGGTGGCAGATCCCTAGACGATAGGGGCCAAGAGTCCAATCACCTCTTACAGAAAAATATATATTTTTTCCCATTTGAGCTTCTCTGCCATGTCAGGCTTAAATTTAAAATCATCTTTTAAAGCTATGAAGCTCAGTGTTTGAGCATCATCACATCTTAAAGAGCTCCTGTTTCTCCATCATCCCTCCATAACTTTGTTACAAGTCAGTTTGATACAAGTCTGCTTAGAGTCCCTAAAGTCACCAAAACTCAGACACCTTCAGTAAACAGGCTCCTCTCAAATAAAACAACCAGTTTTGGGGTACAGGACACAGACAGCTTCTCTACTTTTCACCATGGGCTCAGCCAATATCAGTGATGAACTTTTTAAAAGCTCCTGCAAGGAACTTTGGGTTTATCTTAACTTCAGACAAAAAAAGCTTAACTCCTCTTCCACATACAGAAGTTCAAAATCTCATCCTGTTGACGTTTTACTGTGAAATTTATTATTTATCATGAATATTTAATGTGGAAATTGTCAAAACAAGGCTGTTATTTCAGCTGCTTGAGTGACACCTTCTCTCTTGCACTGACTTAAGGCATTAAAAATTAGAATATAAGAATTGTCAGTCTCGTCACTGTGGTCTTGTTTGCTTTTGGATGTCATAAAAATGCATCAGTATTAATTCAAGTCTATTTAGCAAACATGAAAACCTCTTATAGCTATTTCCCAATTCCAATTATATGCAGGAAACGTTGTGCAAGCTTATGCATCTGAAGAAAACCACATCCATAGTCAATTATGAATATGCACATTAGAGACTGTTCGACCTGGAATAGCACTTTGTCTGCCTGGTGCAACACTTATCACCCATCATCCAAACCAGCTGTTGATTATTGTGCAGACTACATACAGGGTTAAAATCTCACCATTCAAACAACTTATTCAATCTTAGCAGCCACTTTTGGTCTGCCATGCCATCAAAACATCTGCCTGCAGTTACAGCCAGACTGAGATTCAGCTGTGTAATGAGAGAGCGATCAAGTCCTGATAATAAAGAGTGAGAAAATCAAAAAGGGAAATCCTGATTGAAAATAACAGGTTTCAATAAAGCACCACAGCAACTAAAAACAAGTTAGCTGTTCAGAATTGTTTGTTCTCATGCGAGGGGAACTCCCTGATCACACAGTGTCATCCAAAAGGCAGGAAATGCATCATTTTATAGTATCATTTTCTTACAACAGGGTGTAGCTATAACTTGTCCGTGAAGTGACTGATGGGAATCCAAACTCTGAGACGGTCGTATTTTAGAAACAGTAGCACGATAATTTATCCCATGATGCTGGGAGCATTTCAAATGAACTGGAGTAGTCAGAAGTCTGAGGAGATTTCACTTTATGGACAGTATATGAATCCATCAAGCTTTAAAGAGAAACACATGGGTGTCTTGGCTGAACGTAGAAGGGAAGTTAACACTGGACGGAGATCACACACATTTTTGAAACGTAGATGTAACAGCAGGCAGGGAAGGGAGGGAAGCAGGGGAATGATCAAACAAGCCGAGGAGAGAGCACATTTACAAGTCAAGAAAGTTAGTGTTACCTCGGTTATAACTCGTGTTTTCTTAGTATCAAAATAATAAAAGTAGGAAAGAAGGAATCATTTCTTTCTTGAAGCAAAGGTCACATAAATATGTGCACAATCAACTTGGGATCAGCATTGGCAAACAAAACTCACCCACATGAACAGACCCTGACAAAGTGTAGATGAATGCAGTCCATCCTGCCAAACACAGAAACATTATAATACGTTTGTGCTGTTAAAGTTGTAGTAGTAGTTGTATCTCTCATAAACCTGCAATCAAAACTTTGGCCAACTGTCATGTGAACATCATCAACAACAGCATATTCTTTTATTTATAGATAACTTGACACTCGTATTGGCAACAGATGTTTATGTTCATCCTGTGCTGTCATCTGTTCAAATGTTAAGTTTGTTTTTATTATTTCTGGAGCATTTTTCTCTGATTTCATGTGTTTTGAGGCTCATCTGGAGACATGCATAACACATTAGTTTAGGCTGTAAGTGCTGAAGTGTATGGCCTTGGTTTATTTGCTTCATACTTGTTCCTACACAAAAGAGATAGTTTGGTTTGAGGTACTTGACAAAAGTAGGTTTATCACCCTCAGGGGTTCCAGTCAGCTGGAGAGGCTAAGCTATCAGGGGTGAACTCTCCTACTCATAAAAAAGCTCATTTCCAAAAAGTCAGATCCAAACTCTGAAATTGGTGCGGCAATATTTCAGTGCTTTTCTTTGTAATCAGAAAGCCTTTCCAGTTTAGTACAATTTCCAGAAATAACACACACATGCTCTTCCTCTCGCACTGATCAGCCAAACTGCATCATATTTCCATGTTAAGATACCAAGTATGACTCATTGGTCTCAGTAGATAATGCAAGTTGTTTGTGACTTTTTTTGCTCCCTCTCTATGAAACACCAGGAGAAATTTAAAAAAAAAGAGGGATATTGGCTGATAAGACAACCATTAGATGAGACTCTTCTTAGAGATAAACTGATTTATCGGGCTGATTAATGGTATCAGCCCTAATAAGGTAAATAACACATGGCTCATTAAAACTGTCACTTACAGTATTTAAAACTATTTCTTTTATGATGTTTTTAATAATATCATTGCTTCTGACTCATATATCATCCTTATTCTTAAATATTGAGCATAGTGCTAGTTCAGGTAGGACACAAAGTCAAGCTAAAGGCTTCAGTCAGCTGATCTTAAGCCAGCCCTCAGTCAGCTGACAGCTCAGCTGATCGCCCTCTACACATCCTATTGGCAAATGTCAACATGGCGCCCTATTTAAACTGCTTCTTCTGCCTACTCTGCAACCCACCTCCACCCCAGCTCCTCCTGTTTATGTTGTGTCTGATCTTACCAGTGTCATATGTATTTCACTGATGCTCGCTCTGTTCTGTGGGGGGATTTTAATTTATTTATCTTAGTTTTATTTATTTGCTGCTGCTTTCTCTGCCTTGGCTTTTCATGTATGCACATGAGCCCTTCCCTGCCCTTCCATGCCCTCCCACTGGCTCTGTTCTCAGAACAGAGCCATACCAACAATGTAAAAATGTTTGCTTGCAATAAATTATTTATTTTGACTAAAGTGGTCCTGACTGAACTGTAGCTAACTTGAATCACTTCACTGCAAACGGACACGGTGCATAGCTCAAAAAAATCATTCCTGATCCCACTCACCTGCTCACTCTGCCTTCCAGCTACTGCCTTCTGGGAGACGTTATAGGACAAAATAACCTGCTTTAAAAACAGTTTCATCCCCAGTGCAATAAACCCTCTGAACTCTATGAACCCCCATGCATCATGAAACGTGTTTTATCCGTGTTATGTTTAATGTTTTATATTTCTTTATGTCTAATGTCCTTCTTGCTGGAACCTGCACCTAAAAGAGCCGTACTGAAACCACCAGCCTGGCTGTGTGGTTATTAAATAAAATGAAACGTGTTTGTTATTTTAGTTAATTCATAAAAATTTAAAACTTGCTTGCATATCTACATACATAGAATATTGGACTCAGAAATTGTTTTCTTACATCATATTCACCACCTTATTTAGCGTGTGTTGATGCCAGGGACAGAACTACAAAATCCCTTTGCAATATTTTACTGAGCCAAATATTTGTCCATCTACAGTTATATATTAAATATTCAAGTTCAGTCGACCTTTTAATCTTACAGGTGCTTTTTGAATCAACAAACCACATAAAGACACATAATGGTGTTCTCAGAGATGCTGCTCTCTTACCTGAGGGGACAGGCTGTACATGCAGGGCCCCCCCCTGCAGTCTGAAGTCCAGGTACAAAGTTGGTGTCCTTGTGTAAACCTTTGACTATCAAGTAGAAAAGGTCTGTTAGGAAATAAATTTACTTTCTGTAGAGGAAATATTTGTGCACATTTCAAAATAGTGGCACTGATCATCATCATCATGTGATTATAACATCAGAACCATCTGTATTGATACCTTAAGTCAAAGCTGTGCTAACGTAACTGCTATCATCTTGTTATGAGGTTTGTTAACAACATCAATGTGATGTTTTTTACGGAGGGAATGAAATCTGTATTTTCATTGCCAGGGGACTGGAGATAAAAGTCTGACAATTCTGGCTCAACCTGGCATATCTCTACAAACGTTATTAAAATTCACTATCCTTGTCAAGACAGTGATAGATAAAAATCACCCAGCACTTTGTGTTATTGCGTCTAACAATAGGGTTGTTCTTGGTGCCTGTTTTGTCAGCAGGATTATGGAAAAACACTGGCCTATTTTGGTGAAACTTGGGGGAAGGGTGTAACACAGTCCAAGGGAGAATCTATTAAATTTGGGATGCAGATGCTGATTCAAGCATCTGGGGAAAAATGAGACTTTTTCATATCTCTTTTGAGAGCTGAGTAATATTAACTATAAAAACCAAAAGAGTTCAATGAACTCTGTTAAACCCAAAGCTTTGGGGTTATAATTCTAGACTAGAATAAAACTTTATCCCATGCTCCATTGTCCTGTAGTGACCCTGTATATTGTGAACACACAAACACACAGTTGAAACCACACTTGGCACAATTTCCCCCTCACGCTCAACCTCACAATGTCCCTTGTTTATCCTCAGTTCTCACTTCATTCTGCACGTTAACTTCCTCTAAAGGTTCACAAGTGTAATAAAAAGTTAATAAAGCACACAAACACATCCCACGCTAGTCACGATAATCTGCTCTTCATTTGTTTCCTCTTTTCAAACCGACTCTCCACACACATCATGGTCAAAACCATGAAATAAACAGCAACCAGAAGAATAAACATCAGGTTCTGTTTTTGCAGCTCTCTGCTAATTGTAGCTTCTGACTCATCTAAAGCTGTAGTGACATTAAATCTTTGGGAGTGAACATAAAAACAGAAGGACTCAAACCTTTGCTCCTAAAGCCTCTCCAGAAATCACAGAAACTTTCACTCCATCTTTGCTGGGTTTGGGGATCTCAGAGCCTTTTAGCTCCTGGTATGTTGGTTCCACCATCTTGTCTCGTCCGGGCAGGTTCACCCACAGCTGCAAGCCCACCACAGGCTCCTCTGACACGGGCATCTCGGCATGGACCACGCCTCGTCCTGCAGTCATCCACTGATGTACAAGGAGAAATATTTTTACAGAAACATCACAAATGTTGAAACTATAGGTTAGAAGTTCTCTTTGAAGCCCTGAATTTACCTTAACAGGAACGAGGTTACTAACTGGTTTGTTTTTAATCTTTGTTTTTGATGAGATACGACAAGTTAAGATAAGAAAAAACAAAGTTGAGTTGAGTTTAGCTGAGTTAAGTTAAGTTAGGATAAGACAGTCAAGTTAAGTTGGGTCAAGCTGAGTTAAGTTAAGTAAACATAACATTACATAACACGACACAACAACATAACACAACAGAACATTATATTACATAAGTACAATGTAATTTTATTGTCCTTGTGGGGACATTTTTTTCTGGACTCTGTTCAGCTGCAGTTGGGAAACAAGAAAAACAGAAAAAGAGCAGAGCAGTGAAAAATTCCACAGGAATTGCACGCACACACACACGCACACACACAGTAGCACAATATACTGCAGACAGTGAAAGTATCCCCAGTGAGGACTGTATTGCACAAATGAAAGTCTTGTTGCACTCGTGTTGCAAATTTCCGTACAACCACAAAATAGGCTTTACTGTTACACTTTCATAATCCCCCCATTTTTGGTGTAGTGCTACAAAAAAGTATTTCATCAACCTGAAGAATCATCAAGATTAGATGGATTTATAGTGATTTCTGGTATGAAACTCTTCAGTTTCTAGTGTTTGATCCAAATAAAGATAAAGAGAATTTGGTGTGTAAACATGAAGCTACAGATTAAGACGTCTGTGTCCACCTATCCTCACTCCTCTCTTTGTGATCATCTAGATTGGGATACCATTCTGACATTTTCAACTTCTTCTCATACGTCTGATACAAATGCCTGTGCCTTACTGAAGTCAATTACTATCAGAGAATTTCTGAATGCTTCATAAAGTGGTAAACTCATGTTTGCATACAGATTAAAACACCTGCTAGAAAGCTAGCCACAAAGTCCCTTTTATACTCTCATATATTAACTGTAAAGAAATATTCAATTAAAATAAATGAAATGTAGTTCAAAGGCTTTAACCCCATCTTTGGACCTGAACTGAAAATTTCCACTCTCCGGTTTTGTTTGGAGAGCCGAGGCGTGATGAAGGCATGGATTACTGTCTAGAAGTGCTCTCGTGCAAGAAGTGGCTCCACCTTTGCCAGCTGCCTAAGGTAGAAAAAGCTGGACTTAACAACTGCACTGATCTGTCGGTCCAGGTACCTAATGACCCGGTGACAAGGATCTCCACACTGTTCAAGACTATAAAAATCCTTGGGCCTCTTATATGAGACCATTAATCCGCTGTCTAACTTAAATATAAGTCTCCAGTCCAGGTCTATCAAGTGGTGATAAAGATGGAAAGTTTATAAAAAAAAGAGAAACTTGATTTTCTTCCAAACTTGATAATAGCTTGTTACATAATAAAGTGAACACAATTTCCACACTTTATGTAAAAGTTGCTCTTTTAGCAAAGTTATGGGGGTTTATCATTTTCTCTCTTTTCTAAAATGAGAGATGCAGAATTAATCCAAACTTCTCGAGCATTTTCTCCGCTGCCATGCCGTCTTCACCACTTCCTCTAATAATGAGACCCTGCTTTAATCTGAGACCGTGTTTGAGTTTTTTCCCCTGAAGACCGACATGACGTCTTTGTCTGCCGAGGGTGCACAAGGTGGTTTGGAGCAAGTTCAGCTAAACTCTGCTGCGGATGCAGGCTGAGTCAGCACACTCGGTGATTGTGTGTGTGAATGTAACTTTACTACTTTAAAAACACACAGGAAAAAACCCACAGGGTATTAGGCAATTAGTGGGAGTGCACGACATTATCATGCATATGTAATATGTTTGTGGGGATTTGTATGCCCTCATGCTCTCATCACTTTTGTAGTTTTTCTTGTGTTATTTTAACACTTTTGTTTTGTGCAAATTAAAACAAGATATAATCTTTGACCTTGACAGGGACAGGTAGGGGTCTTAATTTGGGACAGAGGTGTTTAGATCTGTTGTTTTAGTGCAAAGTGAAGCTAACAGTCTGTGGCTTTAGGGGAGCAGCGTCAGATGGGTCATAATATTGAACGCTGCATAAAGGTAATACCTGCAGATCTCCAGGTTTCAGACGTCCTGAATGGCCACAGAAGTCTTCATGAGCTATGGCTCCCTCCAAAACATATGTGACCTGTTTAAGAAATAAAGATATGTGTGTTAGCAACTTCTGCAAAACTCATGATTTACAAGTTTTATTGCAAGACAACTGAAAATCATTACATCTATTATTTACTCATTAAGTTAATGTTAATCAGGCCATGAGCTTCAAACAAGAACTCCTTCGACTCTATGAACCATGAGCACGTGCGCACTGGTTTCACCGCCCCAGTGGTCAAAATGGACAGGAAGATGAGGCTGAGTGTGGGGTCAAGGGTTCAAAGGTGAACATCTGTCTTAGGGAGGAAGGCTGGAGGCCCTGCAGTCAGCTCCCTGTGATCTGTCTCCACAGCTGTGGGGTTTCAAAAGTCATGTGAGTGTGAGCAAACACACCTGCTGAAAGGCATGCTGGGAGTGTAGCCTAATCCTGTCCACCCTCACCGGGAGATTTGAGTTGCATCTGCCAAGTGAAATACGCTAAGAAGAATGTCTGGCAATCTAAGGACAATATCCGGGTGTATTTTTTTTTGTTTTTTTTTCTTTTAAAGCTTAATTACATGAAGTTTGACCCACAACAAAGCCTCCATTCATCTGCTGCTTTTGCTGCTTATACAGAGTAAAAACACAGAGTACAGTCACACAGGTCAGACTTGTGCTGTAAGCTGCTGTGGGGCTTTCAGTTTGTGACAACTTTGGCGCCCCCTGTGGGCATAGATGTATATCTTATTGCTTTTCACCTAGCTCTCTTTATCACTGACTGAATAGTTGCCATTGAACTACGTTCAGAAAGACTGTTTCTTCAGGGTGCTGTCAATCATCTGATGTGACCAACGTTGACAAAAGCCTGATGAGCGATCGGATCTTTCATATGATACCAGAACTACGTGATTTATCACAAAACTGGCTGTAAAATGCATCAAATCACTTTTTTGGACTGAAATCATACTGAGTCAAATACCTCTCAGTCAGATTACCAGATATTGCAGAAAAGAGGTGATTTTCTCTTCCATTTATGCCCTAACCAAAATAAAGTAGCCTCACCTTTACTCTCATACTCACCCAAACTCTCAATGATGAATACACATGAATGCAGACACACATTATTATTTTTTTTTTTTCATCAAGGATGCACCCTTTGTTCAAAAAATCCATACGCTGTCTTTAATAAACAGCAGAGATAACTCTAACAGAAGTTGCTTTATCAGACTCCCTTTCTCCGGATATATAGCAGACACAGTCAGGACCGATATAACATTGAATAACTTTCAGCTCCTTACGGTTTCACACAATCACTGCAAGAAAAACTGGCACGCATCATTCCACCACATGTGCTGCTATAGCCGACATGCTGAGAAATACCAGAGCAACATTATCTTTCACTTAGAGCCATGTTTCCCTCCATCAACTTTTGAGAGAAATACCTGGTTCATTATCTGATAAATGCTCGGCTACGTTCAGCAGCTAGTCTCCAATTTTGTCGGGTATTATTGTGTCAGGAGGTAGAACGAGTTGTTTTTTTATCAGAGCTTCCTGCTGCTACCTGAAATAAAATCGTCAAGGACGTAGTGTATAAAAAATAACGTAAGCTGCCACCAATGTATTTGTTTCTCCACTTTTGATTGACTATGAATAATTAGATTCAAACATTTCCATTATTGCTGTTTAATTTTGCCATATTTTCTCACAGATAACATGTTTTTTTATTTTTTAATCAGGTCCTTCTTTGTCTTTTTGTTAACCAGTTGTTCATTTTCAACACGTGTGACCATCAAAAGAGAAAAAATTCAGGGAAATAAAGATTCAAGGAAAGCTCTGTGCTGTTTGGAGGTGGGCCATGACCACTGCACTACACTTAAACTAAGATAAACTGCAGTACGGACACCTTTAAAATTTACTTGGGAGCAGACAAACATTAGAAAAAGAGACCATATTTGTTTTTATTTTTTTATGGTGAGAAGGTTCGTGAAATACACTTTAATTACGTGTCTGCACGTTCACCAGAGGAGAATCACATAATCTGGTTTTGAGTGTACATTATCAGTCAGTAATAAACTTGGACAGAAAACATGCCCAAGTGTCAGAAACTTTGGTCAATGAAGACGCCTGGCTTTGGTGGAGACATCATTTATACATTTCAAATTCTTAGAAGAATAAAAACCACAGACCAAAGATTGTTCTGCAAAAACACGGCAGAGGCCAATTCCTCTCTTTCAACACAGGGGATTTTTATGAGCTGTCAGCATTTATTCTTTCAAAGAAGGCTAAACCTGCCAGCTCAACATCAACACAAGACAGCACATGTTGAATATACCTGGCTCTCTATTATTTTTATTGAATTCATTAACATAAATCATCAGCTGTGGAAGAGCATATGGCGCTCACTGTGAAAACACTGTCCTGTTGCCGCCCTCTTGTGTTTAAAGTAGGAATTTCATCCCTTTGAACACCGGTTGATCTAAAATGATGTTATTTTGAGAGGCAAGAGTGTTGCACTCCTCTGACTTTGCATCAGTGTGTGCAGAAAGTGTTTTTGTGTAATTTAGAAGTAAAAGTGTAGCTGAATTTATTATGTAAGGCAGAGAAGCAGCTTCATTTAAGTTTCCATCTTTAAATTGTTACACAAAGTCCAAGCTGTGGTAATTAGACCAAACTTAGTGACCCCCAGCTGAACACTAGAAATACACCTAAAGCTGATAGATTTAGCTGAAGTTTGGATGGTCAACTCTCAGCAATAACAATAAATTACAAAATATTTTCCCAGGTACTTCGGCTGTAGTTTTCTTCTTTGTATTTTTGGTTGTTCATCAGTCTGTGAGTGGTATTAGACTAAACGTTGTGGTTTATTTTTCTTTCTTTTTAACCTGTAATCATTCTGATGTTTACACACTCTAGTGATTTTCAGGTTAGCTGAAACTGTTTTTACTGGTTTCTTTTGCTAAACCAGATATGTTGGTTTTGAAACAAAGGAAAATGACCTTTGGCACGATTGCAACATATAAATGAAACTATGTTGTCATGCACAAGAGACAAATGTTTGGTGTAATGGCAAATAACCAGTGACAGAGGTAATTTCCCTTTTTATTTGTAACCTGAAATACTCACCGTCTCAAATCCTCTGTGAGGATGGTCTGGAAAACCTGCCGGCTTACTCACTCTGAACTCATCCAACATCAGGAAAGGATCCAGGTTCCTCAGCTGTCAACAACATTGGTACAGTTAATCTTTTAATAAAAGGGTTGTTAACTGAACTAGTGTTTGATGCCATGTTGACGACTTTACCTCCTGTCTTCCAATACTCCTGCGCACTCGTGCACCCACTCCCTCTGACTGTTCCACGCTCAAAACCGTTTTTTCAACTCTCCTCACGTTCATCCTGCCGGTAAACTTCTCACTGGTAACTAGAACAAAATAAAACATACACACCTAAACTTAGTTATCAATAACTAAAATACATATTATCTATTTATAATAAGGCAGCTTGTTAGGAGTGAAACTGTGCAAAGGTTACCTGACAACTAAGTAGGCCTAAAATCCAAGTTAATAGAAAGAATTGTGTTTTTTTTTTATTTCACCTTTTAACTCAATGTTTGAGGTGGGTCTGTCTACTATTAAAACACAGAGTGTGGTTAACTGTGGCCTGTAAACAGTCACAAGAAATGTATTCATTCCACTAAGTTTTGTGCCATACTTTATTGTAACAGTCAAGTCCATATAGGCAATCCAATCACTTCATCATAAAAGTAACCCACTAAAACCTAGTTTACATTAGGTGAAAGGCAGGTGAACACAGTGGACAGCAAGAGTCTCAGAGTGAGGGGGAGAGTGGGATTCACTACCTTGGGTCCCAGTGGGGAGGGGACCCCTTGGAGAGCCTGAGATATACATGTTTTTCTTTTTCTTTTTTTTTTCTTTAAATTATTACTGTGACAGTAAAACTTAAAGGGCGTATTCCGGCGTAAAATTAATTTAGGGTCAAACACATCGTAACACTGAGTTAGACACCCCCTCAAGAGATGAATGTTGCAGACTGCTTGCTTCTCTAGTTAGACCAACTTTAGTAACGACCGCAGGATAGCAATACACAACTTAACGCAAACCCTAAATTAATTTTACGCCGGAATATCCCTTTAAACAGACTGATAAAATGAACAGAATTTCTTTCTGGAAATCATGTAAAGTTGTAAAGATAGTATCAACTTTGAGGCAACAATCAGCTCATTTCCAAGTCAACTACAATGACATAGTTGTTTGCTTCTTCCTGATTTAGAGATTGTAAAGAGAGTTACAGTTATCTAAAGCTTTAACTTAGTTGTTTCCAAAATGGTGATATGGTTTTAATAACCGTACAGGGTTGACTTAAGCTGTGGTGATGGAGCCCGAGCAATAGTTTGTTGGGGCCCAGAATTCCCAGTGAAGCCCCCGCCTGCTGCTTCCCACGAGGACAGCTGAGGTAACACCGGGCGACCCCGTGTGACCCGCGACAAAACGCAACCGTGCGTCTGAAAGAGACGTAAGAGAGACGCAGCGAAACAAACCACAGGTAGGCGTTAAAGGATAAATCTGCCACTTATTGGCCAATGATTTGTTTCACGGCATGACTCGACAAAACTTTACGCAACACAGTTTTTCCCCACTTTCAGAATGCTGTTAATAATAAAGAGAAGGTTTGGGTGGTGAGGGAGTGAATGTGAGTGTATCGATCAGCTGTGAGTGTATCATGAGAGAATCAGCTGATCTTGGTGCAGCTGATATACCACCAATGTCTCTAATTCGCCAATTCGCTCCACACACACGAGTGAGTAAAACGTACCCCAGAGTGAGTATCAATGAACTGGATTTTAACATTTGATAGATGTTAACATCAGAGCGTTTGCATGTCAGTGTTACCTGGAGAAATGTTGTCTTTACCACCTGACAGGAACAGCGCAGTCATCATCAGTGTGTAAACCGCCTGCGTAAAATAAAACAGTATGAAATACAGCCCCACCTACCTGTAGGTTAAATACAGCATCATCCCCACACTCTGCTGGTGTGTTCGGTTTTTTTTTCACCGTTTTACAGTTGGATAGTTTATCACTGACTGGAGCTCTTTTTCACTTCCTCAGGTAAGATTATAAATACGGAAGTGAAGAGGACAAAGGGGGCGTGGCTAAACGGATCTCCACTGTGGACAATAGTAAGGGCGAGTTGAGCCACCCCCTGTTGCTTGGAAATGGTCAAAGAAATTGATCATGTGACCAAATATTTAGGAGATGGGCATCAATTCATGGAGTCTGTGAAGGTTAGAAGCACATGGGTGAAGAGGTTAAACATTTATTTACAAAAATAAAACATTTTTCACTCTTGAAAGTGAATTTAGTCTGTCATAAGTTTTATTAGAATTGTGTTCATTCATTCATCATTTTAAATTTGTTTTATACATCAGTTGTGGTATCTATGAGCTACAACATTAGATCAAATTTAACATAAAAGTCCACCATTTTAGCTTAGAGGACTAATAAAGTCATAATAGTAGTTCAGGGGTAAGTTGAGTCAGTGGCTCAGGTGAGAAAGTAAAGGAGTCTGATGAGAGGATCAGATTGTTGAAATGTGTTACTTTTTCTTTTCAAGAATACAGCTGTGAATGTTCTGAATCACTTCAAGACATTCTCATGTTAAAATGGCTTTTTATAAAACAGCTTTTTAGCAGTTATGTGCAATAATAATAAAAAGAATTTTGTACCGATTGAATAGCGTATAATAGATAAAAAATACACATGAATGTGAAGAAGTGACTGTTTTTTAGGGAGAGAGGAGGTGAGGGAGGGCTGGGGTGGAGAGTGGGGATACAGCTCAACTTACGCTGCTCCCATGGTCAACTTACCCCATACACGGGGTAAGATGACCATAGGAGACCACTTTTTTTGGCATGCTATATTATCAAGACAGTTATGTTTACACTCATTCTGTTGGTTTGCAGGGATGAACATCATCTTAGAATTTATGCAGATAAACTAGTTAGAGACAAAACTATGATTGCCTTGATGTAGTGATCAGAAATACGAAAAATGGCTCATCTTACCCCACTCTACTCGACTACCTTCTATTCATAGATCATACATTTGTCTGTTGTTAATGTGTATAAATCCGTGGAGGTTGATTACTAGTCCCTTGATGTGGTTCTTTAAGATTTAATTTGTATATCACAGAAATATTGATTCATCACTGTAAAAAAAGATGATTCCACAAATGTAACTTTTTATTATTTAAAGCCACAGCAGTCCCCTCATCTGTTGAATATAGTCCTCTGTTTTGGATTTCTCTTCTCTCAGTTCAGAAAGGTTTGAATCCTCCCTCTGTCGACGATGCATTATGTCCTTGGTGATTCTCATGCTGGCAGCCTGTCCACCTGCCAGGTTTACTGCATGAGGTCCAACCTTAATGGTGGTAAAAAATGAAAGAAACAAAAAATAAAAGGTAATACTCAGGATTTATTTGCAAACTAAAACACCAGAGAAGACCTACCTGGAGAGCAGTGTACTGTCCCATCAGGTAGAGAGGGCAATCTTCTTCCCATCGTAGGCTTTCTGATATGCATGGCCAACCATCAATCACCTTAATGAAGACAATGAGGACACATTAATTAGTTCATTGTATGATATTGTCTTACACAGTTTCTAAACAAATATCAGACTTCCATTTAATGCTTAGACAGCCTTCAATATCTGCATCATCACTCACCTGAATGGGGAATTCCCTCATCACTTCAGAGAGCAGCGGGTCCTCTTTAACATCCAGTTTGCACCCAGTTGCGAGCCAGATCATGTCTCCACTCCAGTGGCCCCCAGTGCTGAGCGACACACTCCAAGCCTGATTCCTGTAGCACCAGCTGGCTTCACTCACCTGAGCAGGTCCATGACATTCAGGTAAGAAGTGTTGTCTCATACTTTGTTTTACATCGGCTGCATTCTCACCAAATAAACAGGGACTGCTCGCATAACAAAGAGTCTTGTGAATGTGACCTGATCAACCAGGTATATTCAGAGCAAAGGTATCATGCACCTCATTTACAGAGACCACTGTCCTCAATGCAGCAACCCTGAACTCAACTCCTGTCCTTGGCCCTTTGCTGCACACCATCACCAACTCCCTCCTCTTATTGTTTGTCTCTCCTCAGCTGTTCTATCAATTGAGGTGTAAACAGACAAAGATCTTTAAATAAAGCAATATTCAGCTCTGTAGGTCTAAAATTCAAGACCTTTGGATGGTCAAACAAGTCTTGTTTTAACTCTGATCCTTGCAAAACACACTCTTTTACTTACACGGTAAAACTTATCCAATGCTGTAAGATTTTCAATTTAAAAAAGTTTTAAAAAAGAGCTAATACTTTTATCTTTTGTCTTTATCATTAATGATGATGGTGGTGGAGATCATCATTAATAATAATAATAATAATAATAATAATAATAATAATAATAATAATAATAATAATAATAATAATAAATCATCAATAATAACAATGGAAATAAAATAAATATTAATAGATAAAAATACATTAAACATACTGTAAATATCCTGTCATTTATTGTAAAAAAAATATGATTTCCAGTATTTTACTGTACATTTGAAATATTTAGTTTACAGTAAAAAACTGTAATCAGAAAATTATACCGTAATTAACTGTATATTAGTTTACAGTATTATATTGTAATCTTAAGTACAACAAAATACTGTAAAAACTTACAGTATTTTACTGGATCACTGCTGCCAGTTAAATACTGTCATTTTTACATTAAAAAGTTTTACTGTGATAGTTAACCGAGGAAACTCTGGCAGTGGATCACAATCGTATCACCTGCCCTGAGATGATCTTTCATGTTCTATTACCTGACAGTACGTCTTTACCTCCACCTGTCCGCTCAGGATGAACGGCTGGAGGTGGATGTAGGCCTCTGGGGTGACAGCGCCTCCTTTCCTTGCCTGACGAATCATAGCCAGCCGTTTGTGGAGACTTCGCTCGTTGTAAAACTGTCGTAGGTATGCCTGACCGTCCATCTTGATGCCATGCTCCACATGAGAGTAACGACCCACCAGGCTCTCCACATCGCCCACATCAAACTGTTTTAACTGTTGAGGAAACGCCGTAGGTTGGTTTGTGTGTTGAGAGGCAGACAGGTGTATGTGCTGTAATTCTTAATGTTTGCAGTTTCACACTGTTTCTAGACCTGGAGGTGCTTCCTCATGACCCATGTCACATGGCTGGCACCCTGCTGCAGGGCAAGGGAGACGACATGAGCGCTGGTCAGACCTCCACCGACTACCATTACTCTCTGCCCTGCATCACAAACTACACAACATTTTAGATACATAAGGAAATAAAACCTTAACAGTGAAGTGTTGCAGTAAGGATCAGGAATCAATCGCTGCAAAAGAAATCACGTTTATTATCCACTTTTATTTGATTGCATTAGGTACTTCCTGTCAAAGCAGAAGTTTGAAAGGATGTGTACTCTGGAATTGATGGTTGACTGACAAAACCACAGAAAGCTAACAAGAAGTATTAGAGAAACAGTGATTATATTTAAGGAGGTGAACAAAATTTAAAAATCCAAACATGCCCACAGATTATTGCTTTCCAGTGTCGTTGAAAATAATCCTCAGATGAAAACTGACTTACCTGGAGCTGGAAAAGCCTCTTTCTGTCCCTGACAGTCTGCAGCTTTGCATTCCTGTTGAGAGTGTGTGAGGTGGTGCATAAGGTGCACTGTGTGTTGTAGTCGCTCCTCTGGGTAACTCTCTCCAATGTTTGTCACCCATGAGGGGATGTTTGCCATCTGAGCCCTGGTTGGACCTGTCGCCATGATGACATTGTGGGCCTTTAAGACGATGCCTTCTTGGACTTGGACTTGAAAATATTTCACTCTCCTTCCTGTACATTTTTCCTGTCTCGTGTCCTCCGCCTCTGTCTCTTGCTCCTGTATCCTGTCATCCTCTTCTTCCACCTTTCTCTTGTCTTCAATCACAGGTGTGATACGCTCCACTGTTCCTTTCAACAGCGCTTTGTCCAAGTTGTATCTCTCCACCTGGTGATTCACCCACGCAGCAACTCAGAAAGGGTCTGATATAGGTGTTCATGCAAGAGCGATGCCATCATTTCCCAAATTATATCAACAAATCCTACTGAAACCAACGCCAACAAAGTGTCAGTCTATCTCAGAAGTTTTTCCTGCCTCTGACAATAATTTGATGCTGACAATAATTCGTTTTTTTCCATATAAAAAAGTCAGGCAAAATATATTGTTAAAAAGGCACTGTGCTCGCTATGCACACAAACACAAACACACAAACTCATGCTGTGTGCCTGACCTGATCTTTAAAGAAATCCACGCTTAATTTCGTTCCCGGGAGACTGAAGGATAAATTTTTCTTCAGTGTTGAGGTGACGTTGAGGCGTTTCTTCTCCTTTTTGCCGAGCCTCATGTCGTTGAAAAACGCATTTTCATCCAGAATATAAACCTGATCTGGAAGACTGTGAAGCTCTGAGGATCGATCTGACTTCACGACAAACTCCTGCAGTGCTTTCTGCAAAAACATATTAACATGTGACTATTTCTTGTCAAACTGATGGAGTTACTTCCTCGTTTCCACTTCAGGGGGAACCTGTGCATGTGTTTACCTTATCGTGAGGGTTGGTGTGCACCAAGGTGTGTGAGCGCAGATGAGGGATGTTCAGAGCTGTGAACTGGCTCTCCCACAGAGTCGTCCACTCACCGTAAGAATCTACCACTCTGAGACTCAGCGGAGGGAAAACAACCTTTTCTGATATGTTTGTCTTTCCTTCCTCCAGAGCTGGGCCTGCAGAGACTGATCATGTAAACACCAAATTAAAACTAAATGATAAGGAAGACAGACATCGAAAGACTGAGTTTGATAAGGCACAGGTAATCAAAACAAGAGGAAAGCATTCATTAATGTTGTACCAGTTGTGTTCCTCCTCCTCTTATTCTTGCTGCAGCGTTTGTTGTTTGATTTCTCTGGGTTTTTTTGCAGATCCAGAGAGTCAGAGCTGCAGGAGATGATAGGGAAGTCTGGACCTGGGTCTGACTTTCCATTAAGGTTGGGGTTTGATAGCAAGCTGGCCAGGGTCAGGGCATGAGGGCCGGCTCCGATTATTAACACGTCCAGTATCACCATCTGAGACACCCACGATGACAAACAGGTAACACAGAACAGTCTGGTGTCTTTCACAGTCAGAAAATACAAATTTGTAACTCAGACAGGTGACTTTAAACTGCGCTGCATCAGTTTGTTTCTGAGAAATCAGATGACAGTTTAATCCTCTATAATAAAGTAATCGTGTTCAATTCAACCCTATACCGAACCAGATTTAGATATAATTACATCACTCCAAAATGGTTCAATCCAACATAAATAAAACAGAAGAAAGTTCCTTTTAAATTCTCTTATTTAGATTTACATTGAGTATGTCAGTCTTAGTTTTGTGTTGTTGATTGTATATTAAACACACAACTAAACATTAGAGTCTGTAAAGCTATTCCTATGAAAAGTCAAAGCTATTGATTATTTCTAACGATAAAATGCAGCTTTTATTGTTATCAGCAGTGTCAATCAACAACGCTATCAACTACCACGACTTCAGCTGATACATTAATACAATACTGTTAACATGCAGTCATGTCACACAGTGTATCACAGTACCTTCAGTTTGGATAGTTAGTATATGTCGCCCTCTCAGACAGTGGAAACGTGGTTGGGGTCTCAGCTCTGCAGTGTATGTCAATAGACCTGAAACTTTGCGACAGTGGCGTACATGTGCCCCTCATGTAACCCAATCCACCTCAGGGTCTACAGATTTAGCTGGACCTCACTGGCTCAGCGGGGAAAGCTGGAAATAGCTGCAGTGTGTGTTTGTTTAAATTTAGTAACACAACTCATCACAGCAGGGAAACAGTAAATAAGTTGTATTATCAGAAATCATAGCAGAAAGATCTGCACACCAACTTTTTTCCTTTTTTCTTACCTTAGACAAATCATTTATATTGACGTTTAAACCTCAGGGAGAGATGAGTCTCATATCTGTTCTGTGAGCAGCCAAAGAGATGGTTAACTAAGTGTAAAGACTGGGGGAAGATCAGGGTTTTTTTCTGGTTCATAAACCGAGTTCATAAAGTTAGTTACACACAAATTTACTCAACACTGTTTAATTTTGTATGTTCTACACATAAGCTGATAATGAAATGTACTCATCAGTATGTGAATAAGCTTAAACAGACTCAGACTGGCTGTTAATCCTTGTTTTAGTCTTTATGATGAGCTACACTAACCAGTACTGTAGTTGTCCTGGCTCTGAGGAAATAAAACCCACATCCATATGATTTGATTTTTTTTATTTTGATTTTATTGTCCGGTAAGGAAATTTGTCTTCACTGATGGTACATGACATATCTCAGATGACAACAGACACTACATACAAATCAACAATAAAGCTACATTAAGGAACTTTATGCTGTTGTCGACTTTACAACATACTGTGGACAATACAGTCTTATTTAGCCCTCTATACATTCTAAGAGTGTACCGACAAACATTTCATCCTGCTGACTTTTACATTAAGAATACATTTATAATATTTTACAAGACAATGATAAAAACAGGGCTGTTTATTTAGCTGCTCCCCTGACATCTACCCCCTACTTTGTCTCAGGCATTAAAGATTACAATATAGGAATCATCAGTCATGCGGAAAGACACAAATAAAGATTTTAGAGAATTTTATGGATGTCAAACAACAAAGTTTTGATAGTTATGGCTTTAATTTTGTTATAATGAAGTATGTAGAGCATAATGCACACTCTGTTCTAAAGGGATAGGTCTTATTTTATTTTATTTTATTTTATTTTAAAGTCTATATTTAAGGTTAGGGTTAGTGTAGGAGGTGCCTGAACAAGTGCTGTCCAAAAATCCTTTCACATTTCCATCGAATAGAAAGTTGACAAACCATTGTTTACATTTAAACTGTCTTTTCTGCACTTCATAGTGACTCAACGACACGGGGGAAGTGATTTTCTCTCAGTAGTTCCTATATCCAATGTTATTAAAAAGACAGCTTGTCACTGCTCAGGGTTTTATGACTTTATTTGAATATTTGACTATAAACCGGCAAAGATTAGGGAAGTGTGCCTCGAAACCAGAAAGAAAAAAACTCTGTCAGGTGGCAAGTTTAACTGAGCTGTAGGTTCAGCACAGGCTGATATGAATGAAAGAAAACTTGATGTTTCATTGAGGGTCTATTTAATGAATCACACAGTTACTTTTATTTATAACTCCAAATAAAACAAAAAAAATCTCTGGTCTCGTAAAAAAGGGCTGCTCCAGTGAGTAACATAATTTGGATAGACCCAAGACTGATTGAGAGATAAAAACTTCAGTTTAACCAGAAGGATACTTGAGCAGAACTAGGCTCATTGGTGGGCAGCCATCTCCTGTTTATGGAAATAGAGATATCAAGTATATGTAAGAGTAATATTATGCAGAACAAAAAGCATTTGGACCAGCATAAAAAAGCAGATCGAAGCCTATAAGAGTATGAAAAGAGCCTGGGAGACAGTGAGGCTGGGCCTGAACCACCATATAAAAAGTATAGTTCAGAGTAGTCTAAGTCTAAACCATATAAACCAGAGTAGTCTAAGTCTAAGTCTATACCATATATACCAGAGTAGTCTAAGTCTGAGTCTATACCATATACACCAGAGTGGTCTAAGTCTAATTTTAAGTCTATACCATATATACCAGAGTGGTCTAAGTCTAAGTCTATACCATATGTACCAGAGCAGTCGAAGTCTAAACCATATAAACCAGAGTAGTCCAAGTCTATACCATATAAACCAGAGTAGTCAAAGTCTAAACCATATAAACCAGAGCAGTCTAAGTCTATACCATATAAACCAGAGTAGTCTAAGTCTAAACCATATAAACCAGAGTAGTCTAAGTCGAAGTCTATACCATATATACCAGAGTAGTCTAGGTCTAAGTCTAAACTATATAAACCAGAGTAGTCTAAGTCTAAGTCTATAATAGTTATACCAGAGTAGTCTAAGTCTAATTCTATACTATATATACAAGAATGGTCTAAGTCTAAGACTCTACTATATATATCAGTGGTCTTAGTCTAAGTCTACATCTATATCATATATACCAGAATGCTCCAAGTCTTAGTCTATATCATATATACCAGAGAGGTCTAAATCTAAGTCTATATCATAAATATATAAGTCAGGCCAGCAGGTCAGAGCCCGTCCTTACTGTAAACTTGATTAAAAAGTAAAGTACTGGACCCACTCTATCAGGTAAAGACAGTGTTGGGGTTCAATATGCAGACTGTACCTGTCATACTACTCTTGGCGGGACTGACAGTAAGTATTTTAGACAGTACAGGACTCTGACTTGTGATGGAGAAATTGGGTCTGTTTTCATGAATCTTGTTAGACTATTACACAAATATGAAACATATTGCATATATGTAATGTTTTATATTATAAATATTACATGGTCAGAAAATGAGATATTCACAATTCTTGCCTCTCTTGTGAATATTTTTACAGTTCTCAGTTTTCCCCCAAACCAAATCCCACATTGTCCTTTTTCATCGTAGATTAACTATTCTTCAGTCACTTCCTCTCCTGACATCAGTTCCCCTTTAATGACAGCGCCGGGTGACCCCTCACTCTTACTTCTTCTTTCAGTCAGGCAAAGCAGAAGCTGGCAGCCTTAAAAGAGTGTCACTTCCACCTGTGCCGTCTCCTATTTTTGGTATATTCAGCTGAGGACGTATCTGGCAGCATGGATCATACGGTGGGTGACAAAATACACAGATTTTTAAAACAAAGAGTATTTGGGATTTTTATGTTTTGTCACCTGTTTTTTTTTTTTTTTTCTGTTAATAGCAGGGGTCTTTGGTGAAAGGAGGCGTGTTCATTGTCCACCAAAACCATGAAGGGAAGCACCAGTACAAAGTAGAAAATGTGATGAAGGGCAGAAAAGGAGAGAAAATGTTTGTCAGGTAAAAGTCAGACGCTCTGTCTGTTCCTCTCTCACAGCTCAGACTGATTAGTTTTAGTGCTCAGACAAAACATGGTTGGAGGTTTTGGGCAAATTTTCTCCCTTGGGTCATTTTGTTGCAGTGTTAAGAATAAAATCTAATGTTTAAAAAAGAGAATATTGAAAGGAAAGAAGAGAAAAAAAACTGTCATTTACATTTAAAAAGTCTGGATCATCTCTTTTCTTTCTTAAAGTCGATCAGAAGATTAAAACTCCTCTAGTAGTTCCTCTTGTCAGATTAAGCAAAAACTGTGTTTTAATAGTGACTATGAAGGTTAACAGGAACACAACTTAGTGATGTTTCTCTGCCGTAGTGAGTTCTGCATTTGAGACACTTTGACTCTGTGGTTTGCTGTAAGACAGGTTGCAGTGAGGAAACATTGTGGCTAATACTGGCACCAGTGGTTCCTTTAATTTGTTTGTTTTCCATCGCTGTCTTCAAGCATTTTAAAGGACAAACACACAGAGATGCTGCTGGAGAACTTAAAACCCCAGCCAGATCAACTTGAGTATCTCTCGTCACGTGTTGCATAGCCATTATTAACAGTGAAAATGATAATGAGCTACGTTTGAAACCCCGAAACAAAGTATTTTTGTTTTATTTTATTAATTTCTCAGGAGAGGAGACAAACTGATGCAGATAAACGGCATGGACTTGCACGATCTTACACCTGAAGAGTTGGCACAAATGTTGGCAGAGGGCAACCCTAAACTTGTGAGTTCACCAGCTTTTTACAGATTTCTCTGCAGCATTTCTAGGATGTGAAGTCTACAGAATAAACATTCAGTCTGACTCTATATCCACGTCTTTCCCTCCTCTTTCTGATCTTCAGACAGTGCACAAAGCTGAAGTGATGAAGGAGCGCGCACAGCAGTCCCTCCCGGCTGAGGATACTATACATCCTGTCTCTAAGGAAAACATAGTCCTCAGTTTCTGCATGAAGATGAGGAGGGAGGAGGACTTGGACTTGGATGAGAATGACATGGGGCTGGGCGGAGAAGAAAGTAGGAATGAGAGTACAGAGGATGAGGTCTGTCAAACTGACAATGGAGAGAATGGGGAGGAAAGGGATCTGCTGGTTGTTACCATGGTAAAGACCACCATATCTGTGGTGGCAGGGCGAGGCTGTGACATGAGCAGACCCTGTGGGGGGTGTCAAGGGTCAGGATGCACCTACGATGATGTGGTGGTGGTGTCCGAATCCAGCGAGGTGGTGCTCGGTGAGTATCCTTACTGTGTTTTCTTCTTTTACTGCTGATTATTGTAAACTGTTTAGTAAAATGTTAAATTCACAAATTCCAACCTGCTCTAGATGCCCGTAAATTTGCTGAAATACATCATCTTTAACTTAAAGTGTTTAAGTTAGGATTTTTAGCAGAGTAAAGAGAACAAAACCAGAAAAAGAAAAAAAAAGAAGCTTTTCTAATTGATAGAGGTGTAAGAAGTATCAAGACCTTTTACCCACAAGAAGTCACAACATTAAGTAAGCATTAAGTAAGGCCTTTGTTTCCTAATCAACTGGTAAACCCTACATGTTGTCTAGTGAAAAACTTAAACCAGGATCATTTGGATATATATATATATATATATATATATATATATATATATATATATATATATATATATAAGCAAAGCTTTTCTGAAGTTTTTTCTCTCTAAGGTTCAGGAAATGATGACATTCTTCTGTTGAATCAGCCATCAAACATCAAACAAAGCCTATTTGAGAGAAAGGTTTAGGAAATTGTGAAAATTGAAAATAATATTAACAAAAATTTAAATCCTTAATCTACAAAACTTTATTCCCTGTATAGTAAAACCTGTTTGAATTTTTATTTTCTTATTTTTCTATTTTTAAAAAGTAAAAAAAATGAGATGAAATTAATCACTTTATTTTTTCAGTGGAATTCTCAAAACTAGCATCAAAGGGTGCCACCCATGCTGACATGTAAATACAGGGGGTACAAAACAGTCAGGCAAAACTTAGGACAGCTGATAAAAATGTTAAAAAGATTATAATAAGACAGACAATATAGAAAGTAATACAAGAAATAAAAGTGGCACACCTGCTTTATTCAAGTGCTGCGGTATCTGTGTGTTTTTATAATCTCTCACAGTTGCCAGAGGAGGCGGACAAGGTGGAGGATGCTTCAAGCAAGAAAAACAATCAAACTACACCGTCAGACATGCAGCCTCTCACCAATACCTCAGAGGTCTCTGCATACAGAACAGCGTCTACACTTCACCCAATCCAGGTCTGTAGAAAACAGCAGCATGTTGCATTGACCAACCTCTACAAATATCTACCTTGTCAGCGATCATCAAGTTTTGCCTGACTCGGTTGTAGCAGATGGCTGTTGGACATGAATTCTGGTTTCTGCCTGGGTGTTTTGTTTTTTTTTTGCTGTTACTCCCTGCAGAGTGGTTTTTCCATGACGGTTTAAGTTAGGGAAGTGTTGAGTCAGCTATAAGCTATCCTTATCTCACCCTGTCGAGGGCACAAGTATTGATTTAAAGGTTATTTTATTTACATTATTCCTTACAATACATATAATGTTAAATTAAAAAATTTCAGTCATTTTTTTTAACAGCCCTTATCAAGGGGCTTGTCAAAGCCCTTATCGCATTGCAGTTTGTGGTTGTTCCGTTTTATCACTTCTTGTTTTCTTTTTAGCTGCTGGTTGTTGTTCAGCCAGTAACCAAAACTTCCTCCATGATGTCCACTGATGCTATCATAAAGTAATGATTTTGTTTTTTTGCATACAGTGAGAGGTGAAATCATGAACAATAATCTAAATGTTCTGAATTTTCTTGGATTGATTTCATGTGTTACATGTGCGATCTGGTTGTTCATCATCTTTGCACCTCAGAATTAATAGCTCTTGTCAAGGGGTTTTGACCAATCAGAATCAAGTACTGAGGTTAAAACTCATCCTACCTTGAGTTTGGGTCAGTTTGTGAATAATATAACAAAGAGTACAGCACAGATTGAGATGACATTCATTTAATTTGCAATAAAACTTGACCGGTTGGGGTTTTATTGATGAGTAGATTTTCTGGTTATACATATATTTGAGTGTTCAGTCTATGTTTGTTTTTTTGTGTGTTCAGAGAATATCACCATTTACTCCTACAAGTCAACATGCTTCAGCTGGTTCTCCAAAGGAAAGCCAGTCGTCCTGAACTTTACTGGGTCCAACTGCTTCCTCAGGTGCTGCATGGAAGGAGAGCAAGTGCTGCTGCGAGTGGAGGTAAAGACATCTACTGTGTGAATGAAGTCTCATACACTTTACAATCTACGGCACCTCACAGGTTTGTGTCTGTCATAGCCGTGTGAGAAGCAGAGGCTGAAGCAGATCTCTAAGAACGACGAGGGCACCCTCTCCTTCGTCTTCTTCATGAAGTCCAACAGCTCCCATCTAAAGTTTGAGTCGGCGCTGCACCGAGGCTGGTTCATCCAAGTCATCAACACACAGTCAGTGGGGATGGCAACGCTGGATGGAGGGAGTGAAGAACACTCCTTCTACTTCATCATTCAGAAGTGACACAGAGTCACTTTCTTCAGGAGGATTCTCAGTTCGCATTCAAACAGTGAAAAGGGAAAAGAAACTTGTGTGCTGTTTTAGACTTGTTATTTCTAAGTGCTGAACTAATTCTGCCATTGTAGAAGAACGTAGATATGTATCATACAGAAATATAGAACTCATACTGTTGTTCATTTGTTTATTTGTGATAATTGAACTTTTAAGGTGACCTCTTCTCAACCCAGTTTTGTAATCTGAATTCAAACAACACGGTTCAATACTTTCAGATTGGACCCGCCCACTTTAAAGCGTCATGATGTCACCAGGGGGCGCTCAGTTCTGCAGCTCACAAGCAAGTTTGGAAAACAAGTTTTTCAAGATTTCAAATCATGGTGTTGAATGTGCAAGTTTGGTCATTTTAGTCTTTAAGAATTAAATTACATGTAAAGCAGACAGCTGGCTGATGTCTACACTGCAAAAAAACTCAAATCCTCTCAACTGAATTTGTGTCAAATGTGGTCAAAATGTCTCATCACATGTAACTCAAGCTACACAGACCAAACATCTCCAAATATAAGTCTTATTTAAAGGTATTTCAAGCCAAAGTTTTCACGATAAGTTCCTTTAAGACATTTACATCTTATTTTGAGAAACCGTTCTTAAATGTCTGAACTTAAATGTCATAAATCAACGGATAGAAGATGAGATGAGCGAAGAACTAACACAAACTATAAGTTTCTTAAAGGATCTTTAACTAAAGTATCAAACATAAGTAGAATATTTTAGTCCTCTTTTCAACCCTGTAAGTAAGGCTTCATTGTATTATATTTGAGGCTAAAGCTAACTTTAACTGTATCCTGGTGTTTTGGTTTAACTTGTGACCTTGCTAACTGGTGACTTTTACCCAAATGTACATTTATAATGAGTAAAAAGACAAACAAGTAACATGATAAGAAAAACTTTTTGGTACATTATAAAGCATGATTATGTGTTCATGTGATGTAAACCTCAAGCTATGTTTTGATTTTTATCATGCTCCTGTATCGATGCATAAACTTACATTTTTACCAGTATGAAACTATGTCGCCAAATATCCAGTAACAGAAACATTCATGGCAAAGAAAATAAAGCACTATGCATTAAGTTTGAGCTGCATGTCACTTAAATAATCTGAGTGTCCATCATAACAACAGCACATGAAACTTATTCTTGATTTCAGAAAGCGTCAAGTTCTGCAAATGACAAAAGATGAACTGAAAGCGACAAAGAAAAACCTCTGTCCGACCTGACCTGCACTGTAAATAAAACCTCAAACCATCATAAGATCAAGTATCGAGTGTCTCTAGATATCCTGCTTGTGCAAAAGTATCTGATAAATTTGTGCCGTGACTTCTGTGTGTAATTGAAATACTGATGTATGTAATGGTGCATTAATGGTGCAAATTATAACGACTAAAAATACTGCTGACTTAAAAGTTGGTTGGTGTGAACTTTTTTGCTACACCTTTAAGTTATAAGATCATACCACAAAATGAAAATTTGGCTAAGACAGTTAAATAATATTTATTTGATATTTCATTTATAAATTAACATATAAACTATATAAAGCAAGGTTTTGCATTTAATTAAAGTAAATTACATTCTTCATAAAGACATTCACAGTTTGGCTCATCGAAGTATACAAAAAGTACAAGGTAAACATCAATCATTACTTCAAGTACACCTAAATACAAACAGAAAATCACTTAGGTTAAAAATAATACTGAATTAAGTTTAGTAGGCTTTTATATATTACAAAGTTCATATGTATAAGAAAATGTAAAAGAATCTTTCACATACACATGACAGTGAATTTTAATTTAGTACAATTGCATTTACATAAGAGTACACTCTGCACAATAACTTTCTAAAATTCACTACAAACTAAATCTTTCCCACATATCCACTTTCAGCTGTTATGATGATGGTTGTTTAATGTAGTGTTTTTATTCGTGGTCTGTAAGTCTGTTTTGGAGTTTCTCTCCCTCTCCTTCCTTGACAGTGTTAGACTCAAAATCCAGTCTGTTCGTGGTCGCTGTCTTTCTCATACGCTCTGTTAATCTCTCCTTCAAAACCTGTGTCGTAGGGATTCTCCACCGTGGTCTTCACCTGAGATTTCCTTCAAATAAAGCAGAAACATAAACATCAATCTCACTTATACCGGGGACATGGTAGACGTGGGGTTTTTGCCCGTAGAGAAAACTCACTTCTTGCGCTCTCTGATTCCAGAAATGACCAGGTAGACGCCAGCTAGGACCACAATTCCCATGAGTACCCCAAACACCACCAGCCAGACCTCCACTGGCTGCTCCACAGGGGGGGCCAGAGTTGGGGGGATTCCCAAGAACTCAAGTGTGTGGTCATCCAGCTGGAAGGCATCGTTGATTCGGCCTCGGCTCAACCTGGAATCAATTTGGAATTACTCACATCTGTTGAATACTTCTCAGGAAAGGTGACATAACTCTCAAACACCAAAATCAAGCCTCTTGATCTGTGTTTAGGAAAAGAAGAGAGGCTATAATCTCACCGAATGGCAGCTTCGAGATCACCCTTTGGGACGTATGTGGAGACCGAGCCTGGATTTGTGACCAAGATGAAGAAGGAGATTCGCTCAGTGTCATTGAACGTGAGGACGTTTTCAGATCTGCAGGTCCAAACAGAAAAACACTCATTAAACTCTGATAATACGAGTCAGTCAAAGGAGAATTAAGTATGGTGCATCTTTATGTTTTCAGGCTGGAGTCGCTGCTTACGTGAAAGCCATTGTCTTGTTCATTTGAGCGTAGTACTGCCTCAGAGCGTACGCGATATTGGCCTTGAAGAGGAACTTCTCATTGTCGTTCCAGGTGTACTGAAATACACGTCGGCTGATTAACATTTAAAATAAAGGAGAACAAACGCATGCTAACCTGAGAGGTGCTGTATGAATTTTACATGGAGTCACTATGGAAACCACTTTAATCATGATCAGTGATACTCACAGCATCTTCACCCAAAGCAGCCTTCAGACTCAGCCTCACTTTAATGGCATCAGCTGAGTCTGTAAAAATGACACAATCAGACATTCAGTTTGAGTCATTTGTCCTGAGTTTAGCACAGTGACACTGATTACCGGGGAATTAATGTGGCTGAATCATAAAATTGTTTGGCATGTGACTTCTGTTGGTGTTTTTCCTACTTCCTTAAAATTCTCTTTTCAGGGACTTTTTCTACTTTTCTTCAGAGCCCCTTTTCAAGTGACACAGCAAAAATTTCACTGAAAGGAACATTTAGTCCCATAAATTATGTAATGGTAAGAGTGTTGCTTTTCCATTCAAGTGGTTTCAATGCCTCTAAGGAAGCTTCAACACATCCATAAAGAGGATTTAATTGTAATTGTTGTGAGTGTTTCATGTTGTGAACAAACCCTTGATGAACTTTTCCAGATCATTTTGCTCGGCAAGAAGCTAATCAGCAGGTAATAATAGTGTTGCATGTTTCATACAGACATGAGGGAGGATTAAACTCCAGCTAAAGATGAATAAGCACCTTTATTCTTGTTGTAGTGATAATATTGTGAGCCTCTGTCATACTCACATGGGTCTATGTCTGCCTCCCAGGCCGCAGTCCTCCTATGTTTTATGTTGTCCGCCTTGAGCCACACATGAAGCTTGTCGAAATACTCCAACAGGGGGCTTGCATCCATTCGTGAGACACCAGATATCGTATGCAGAGCCCTGGTCCAGGACTTAGACCGTCCCAGCTCCAGCATATCTCTGAGAGAGAACGATGAGGATGATGTAGATGGTAAAATACTGTTCAACAGGATTTCAGATCATAAGTTGAAGTAAAATAGAGTCCGAACCTTAATTTAGTTCCTGCAGCTGTTGAACCAGTAATGTCACATGAATGCCAGTTTTCTGACTGACCCGCCGCTTTGCAGAGAGCTTTCTGGAACTGGAACTGGTAGATGGTTCTTGTGAAGTACCTGTTTCACAGCCAGAGACAAAAACACACAAAAAAGTCAAAGTTTAGTTGCATATTTGAAAGAATTTGTCTTGAATTTTTCTTTTTTATCCTAATTCCCAATACTTCTCACATCTTACTCCGCTGATGCGCTGTTGTATGAGTCTTTATTATTGGCCTAAAGGCACAACCAAGAGTAAATCAAAAATGTACAAATACTTTTTAACTAATCTAAACCTTTTCTGTGGTTTTGATGAGTATTTGGACAAGGAGGTAATGAGCTTGGTAACTGAGCGTAGTACAGAGGCAGATCAGATAGGTGGTCAGTGATGGTACAGCAAAAGACTATTGGCAACAGTGATAACACAAACCCATGAAAGTCCTTTCAAATTAAACCGTCACATGTGAATGAAATCAAATGTGATAAGGTGTGTAAATGAAGCAACTAGGGTGTTTTATTTTAATCTTAAAACTACAGTGTGTGGAAATGGGAATAGTTGAGGTATCTCACTGTCAGATCCTACAGTAAAAGGCTCCCTTACTCACCCCTCTAATCGGTGAAGGACAATCTTACTTTACAGACATTTGTTTTGTTGAATATATTTAAATGTAAATCATGTCTAAAGGTTCCTGGTTCATTGGCTTACCAGGAAAAATACATTTCTTTAATTTGAACTTTTCAACAGAGCATTGTTTCCACATAGAGCTTATTTAACCAGGAAGTCTGGGGAGACCTGGTTAAGGTAGAAGCCATACAGCACGAAAACAAAAAAGGGACACAATCTCAATTCCAGCAATTAGTATTTCTAAATAATAAATTCAAATACACGGCGGGGTTCCATGAAAAACAACCTAATAACTCTGTCACCACATTCTTAAGTTTGTTATCAGATATAAAATGTTCAATTTGCTCTTTTCCAGGATTATTCCATGCCTGTGTTAAAATTACTTTTCTTCAGGATTTGTCTCCCTTGTGTAGATAATTCATCCTGAGATTTTTACCTGATGAAAGAATAATCTCCAGAGACGTGGAAGAGAGCAGGGGGGTCACAGTAGGTCTCATCTCTGGGTACTGGTTCCACCACACCGACCAGATCCCTCCTGATAACAACAGAGTCACAATGATGTAGACCAGGGGCTACATGATATAAAAAACACAAAACTCACCTGTTGTGTTCACTTTAGATTTCTAATCATACTATCAGACCTCAGAATATTAACCTTTCTTTTTCATAGACTTCTTTAAAGGTGGATTGTTAAGAGAAATATCACTGAGGTTTCTGCTTACTTCATCTCCCACCAGCGCTTCATCCACTCATCCTTAGTGATGTTTCCTGCAAACACCTGCCACCTCCACTCCTCCAGCATGTAAGTGAAAGGCAGCGTGGCCACGATGGTCAGCGCCTGTTTCAGCAGGAAGTTAATCTCTGTTTCTGTAATTGACAATCACAAAATAAAAAGGGACAATAATCATTTTTCAGCATCTTACAGCACAGAAGTTTATGGCATGCTATAAAAAACTATTTATGAGACTCATTTCAGACCCCGTTGGTAAAAGACAGTTGTATAACAGAAGGCAGAGGGCCAAAGGTCAGGTTATCTCAGCTATCAGCTTATCTGCAGTCAACAACTGGAGGTGTGTCATGGTCTGTGCAGGTGGGCCGACATGTGCTGATGCTATTTTAATCCTGCACGCTACTTAAGGGGAGCAGCACATCACTCATCCCTCCTCTGGTTTGTACAGGTCACTGCATGGATCTGCAATAGCTGTGTAAAAGCTATGTACGGAGTCTTTAGTTGAATGAGTTCAAGACCACCATGTTTAAGGCTTAAAGCTCAAGGAAATCAAAAATTTGTATCTTAGACCTTTTAAATCCTTAACCATGGTTCTATTCTTACATAACTGATGAAAAAAAAACTGATTTTTTTATGATATTAAATTTTGTTGGGATGCACCTGTTAAGCACTTCTGGGTCTCTCAAAATTAACACCTGTAACTGCTCCTTTTTGTCCACTTGGGGGCAGTAGAAACAAGCTCCGACTATAATTTTCTAAACTGAAATGATGAACTTAGTTGAAAAAATCAGTTGCTTAAAAACAAATTTAAAATTAAAACAAGAACACTTCCAGAGGGGAGGAAGATGTATTTTAACCAAGTGTCATGCTAACCTCTTTTTCCTCCAATCTTTGAGTTTTCTTCACTCCCTTCTGTTCACTTCTCAGCTAACACCAGCTAAACTATCATTTTAACTAATCTCATCATCATCTCATGTCCTTTTTTTCCAACAGCGATAACTTCATATTTACTATCAACTATTTTTGACCCCTTTTTGTTTATGGCTCAAGAAACCCAACACAGGTCTTATTTACAATCTGGTTTAAGACAATTAAAATGATGTGTTTCAAAGGAAGAGCTGCAGTGATTCCTTTCCTTCTTAAATGGGGTTTAGTGCCCTGCCCATGGACAGTATCAACAGCCTGGATCAAACCCCCAACCTTCCCACAGCCACCCCTTTTATAAATGTACCATTATCGTCTTTGAAGTCTGCCGGCAGGAGGCCCAGGCTCTTCAGATGTTTGGGTGTCGCAGCAGAGAGGGACATAATCTCTCCAACCGCCTCATGGAAACCCTCATTGGCTCCGTCCCTCAGCGGGTAGTTTAGGTTACGATACGCCATCTGGTACTGGTTGTGGCCCATTTCGTGGTGTACTGTCAGGAAGTCGTCCATGTTGACCTTGGTGCACATTTTGATCCTGCAGGCGTCAGAGGAACAGTGGTGTTGTCAGCAGATATGACGTGGCATGATGCCATATCAGACACTTTATTGATAACACAGCCCACACAATCACAGGTTTGTGATGAGTGATAGTCCAATAAAAAATACGTCCTGTCCTTCAGAGATAAGAGAATCGATTAAGTTGAATGGAGCAAAAGCTTTATTTGGAAATTAAAACACAAACTTAGAGAGCCTTTTGATTTGATTACCTCTACCTCTGTATATTTGTTTTTACCAAACACTTAAACTCCCAAATCAGTCAATGCTGAGGCAGCTCTATGGATTAATATTTGACAACATAAAGACTTTGGTTATCTTTATCAGTCGGAAAGAACGACTCAGAGATTTATCGATACCATTGTTCCAGCAGGTTCACATTTATGGCCTTTATGGACTGATCTACAGACAAATTACTCTTATCAACACAGAACACAATCACTAACAATTCCCCACAACAAGTGATAAGTTCTCAAGACACTCAAACTGTTGATGTTTAATCTGACCGCTCTCTGGCATTTTTTTATGCATTAGTGGAAATGTTTCAGTGTGTGGATTATACCTGAAGTCCTCTTTGTTTCCCATGTCCCAGGCTGTGGGGTGGCAGACCACCTTGCGTCCGTCTGTAGGCTTTGTCAGCATGGAGTCATTCCAGAAATTTGGGAACATCTCGTACAGGCCGATAGACATGAAGAACTTCTCTGCCTCTTCAAAAAGCTGACGCTCTGTCCAGCCCTGGAATTCAAAATTGACATTTATTTCTATCAAGGACTGAGATATTTTTAATATTTGATCTCTTCATTTATTTACAGAGCAGTGCGTGCACTCAAGTTTTCTGTTTCATAGTTACTCCTTCTGTACCTGTTCCACCATTGCGTCGCTGACATCAATATCAGGTTTGTCAGGGTAGGGGATGGACAGAGAGTACAGATTGGTCCAGAATCTTCCCCACATGTCACCTGAAAAATCAACAAGATCAATATTTCCATTCAAAGAGTATTTTTCCAACTCTAGACCTGAAGCCAACACTTGTGGCTCCCATTCTTGTCAAGCTTGTGTATAAGGCAAGGCGAGTTAAGTTTATTTATATAGCACCACTCATACCCAAGGTAATTCAAAGTGATTTACAGATGCAAGGAAATATGTTGGAAATGAAAAAAGAGATTAAGACAATTTAAAATCAATAAGACAAACACATATATATATTTTTTGCATCTGTTCCATGTTTGACCTCATTATTTATGAAAGCCGTTGTTTCCCAGGAACGGAGCACTCCAGCACTCAGCCTGAGTCTCCACAGTTGAGTCTCAACAGTTAAGCAGTCAAACAAATAATAAAGGCTAAACAAATAACATCAAGTGTAAAAATTGTGAACTGTTATATTTCTTCCAATAAAGTGTATTATTTTTTTTGTATTGACACTTTTGATAGACAAAAACAAAGCATTATAAATGCTTTCTTTTCAAATCAAAGTTCTATGTTTACAATGCTGTATTAAGTTAAAGTCATTATTAATACATTAGGCCCCTAGAAGTTGATGAGCATAACTCTCTGACCATCAAAGTTACAAGAGAAAGGTTTTAAAACAGTTATAAATATAAGTAGTAGGGGATGATAAAGAGAATACATGAAAAAAAAAGAAAAACAAACTTACTTTAAAATACCTAAAATAAGTTTTTTTTTTTTTTTTTTTACCAGTTCTGTGTGTAATCAAAATTTCAGTAAAATATAAGTTGCACTAGTAAATGAGATGCTGTCTGATCTTGTGGGAAAACATTTCAACTATCTTTCTGCATTAAAACTCTTACTGGATTCAGAAATGTGTTGATTTTATGCAGATGTGTAGCTCTTTCTAGCAGTATCTGTTATTACCATGTTATAATCTGTTATTACCATTGCCATAATCAAACTGGCACTCCACAATGTGTTTTCACTTTTATTTATTTATTTTTTTTAACGTTTTTGTTTCATGAGTTTTGGAGTCCATGTCATACTTGAAAACTCCTGATTTCTGTGTGGCAAATGAGACAATTATTTGCCAATCGTGGTTTAGGATTTCAGGGTGGTACCTGGGGAGGTAAATCATATCTTAAGAATGGCCCACGCCACCCCTCTTGTCAAGTCCCTGATTACATTACAATAAGGATCAAGATCTATTTCTCATGACAGAGAGCCTTTAGGGTCCAACGTCATTCAAAAGAAATTAAAAAAAACACATTCTTATTCTGAACTGGATCATGAACCTACCCAGCAGGTGGGCGGGCAGAGGTCCGTTTGAATTGATGTGACCAGGATACGTCTCCATCAGTTTGGCTCTCACATAGGCATGCAGCTCTTTGTATAAAGGCAGGATCTATAAAATAAAACCATATTTACTGCGATTAATTAACATCCATTAAGAAACTTGGATACTGTAGAAACACTGTTTCAGGGCATACCTGTTTGTACACAGCTCGGACATCCTCCATCAGCTGATCTCTGGTGTATTTGAACTGAGGATCTTCCTCGATGGTTTCATAGTTGTATCTCCAGTAAGCTCCATAGTCCGCAAAGTCTGTCAGTTTGTGGATATTTGTGTTTGGAAAAAGACAGATGGGTTCATGTTAAAACAAAATTATCCACAACTTTTAATCATTTTTGTCATTTTGAGAGCACTATTGCTGACTTCCTTTTTTATGATTATTTCAGCCTCAGACTAAGCACAGATATCAGTCAACCAGTTTAAGTAGCTTCACAGCACAGCAGCCCTAAATTTATATCATATCAAACTTAATAAATAAAATTGTATGTAATCTAATCTATTTTACCACATCTTATCAGCTCACATTATCTCAAATCTTTATATCAACTTTTTTATTGTACTGTGTCATATTTTTATGACCGTATTTATATGCAGAAATGTGCTCAAATCAAGTAACAGGTGATCAAAATACAGTCTTTAGATTCATCCGCATTTGTGCCTCTAAATTCATGTAGTTTCTTTATAAAGTTTAGAGTCTTTCTGCTGGGATATGCAAGGATGTAGGAATGATCTGACACTTATTAAGACCCTCTAGAGTTAACAACACTACTACAACCCAGCAGTTTGATATATCCTCACTCTGTCATTCATTTAAGGAATTTACAATATTTTACATCTTCATAATGAAATACAAAATGCTCTAATGGTGGAGCTGCAACGTTTTTGCCAAATTTACGGTTAAGTTTGGATGCTTCATTCTTCAGATCCACGTAGTCTTCGTACAGTGGCCTCATCCTCTTCCCGACTTCTCTCCTCCAGCCCTCCCACACGTGCAGACGCTCGTTGTAGTCTTGGCTGTAAGCCATCACGTTCTCCAGACCTAGAAGCAAAGAAAACCATCTCAAGATTTTAAAGTTTGCACTTAAACAAGAACAGAAGCAGAGACTCAAGTCCATCTATTATTTTATAAAAACATGATACCTCTACTCTGTCAAAACATGAGAAAGATAACATTGTCTTCCATGATCGAAAACATTTAAATGCTGTTTACACTCGTCAGGTCTGCTGTAATTATCCTATAGTTGTATGAAATGTGATACTGAATGGAGCAGTTTATCACAATTATTGCTTTTACTTTTGATTCTCTGTGTACAACACTCAACATATACGTCTACAAATGTGCTTCAGTGAGATTCTGAATGTTGGACTTTTGAGCATAACTATTTGTTTTAACTTGAGATTTGACAAACCTTTTCTGTGATTTATTGAAAAGAATATGTAGTCCTGTCTGAGTTTCCATACTCTGATAAACTGGAGAAGTTAAAACATGATTAAAATAAAAAGGGCCAAATGGAGGAGAAAAAAGTTCTGTTACATAAATCAGTGCTCATTTTTTGGATTTCTTTTCATTTTAGTAAAAAACTGCATAAATTTTTCTCCTTGTTGTCAAAAGATTATTAAATGAGACAATCTGATCAGTTCAACAAGCCAGTCTAAGTTTTGTGGAAATGACAAAAATAAAAAAAGTCTTAAACTTTTATAACTTGGAAAAGTAACTGGTATCTACATATAAAAATGTTGTTGAGTTAAAGACTGATACCGTTATCGTGAATATAGTGGATTTTTTTGTGCGATGATATGTAACTTTCTACACCCAGAATTCTGTCCTTTTGATGCTGTTACATACCACAGAGTTTTGGGGCCACATTGCTGAATTTTTTTTTCAAATTTCTGTATTTTTTTATCACCAGAAAAAAAATTTTCTGACTGAGGAAACAATATGTTTTAGTTTTTGCACATTTGTTTCAAAGTCCTGATACCTGTAGCAGTGTGGTGCTGAGCTGCCAAATATGAAGTACAGTTTAAAAAGACACTTGATGTTCCCTGTTTTTGCACAGACAGTGGCTGGCTGCTCACTACACACCAAAATGTTTTTTCAGAATCTTTGAAAAACCATTTTCCTATTCAGCGCTCTTTGTTCATTATAAACCTCTGTCTCTGACTTTGGCCCACAGTAGCCGGCAGCCACGCAGGTATAAGATTCCCCTGTGAACAGTGCGTACCTGGCTCCAAAGTCTGGCAGTTCAGAGGGTCGTCTTTGAGACACACTGTGGCTGTGCTGTAGATCGTGCTCATCTCGCTCATCACCTTACTCAGCTGCAGGAAGGTTTTAAAGAAAATTTGAGCATAAAGAGTTTAAAATTCAAGCTCTGAACCTATGGATTAAAAGATATTGGATTAAGACTGGAGTAGTTTTAAAAGTTTTAACTTAAAACATATGAAGATGTGAGAAAGAAATCTCATATTAAGCTGTTGTCTTACATGTTCAGCTTTATCTGTGGGGAGAGCACCAGAGCCTTTGTCTTGGAGGGACATGAGCTGTAATTTGATTAGTGGATCCGTCATCTGGTCAATGGGATACTTCTCCGACTCTTCAGACATCTTTGCGTAAAAAGCACCCCAGACTTTCCCCTCTTCTGACTGGAAAAAATATAAAACACACGGACAAACTTAGACCAACTCTACTTCTACATAACAGAGCTAAACTTTAAGGCGTCTGAATGCTCACCAGTTTGTTTGAGTTCTCCTGTGTGATGTCTGTGTTGTAGGCCCATGACGCCAGAGAATAATTGTACATTTGTGCCGAAGCCTCCACATCGAACCTCGCCAGGAACTCCTTCGCTTGTGTCTCCAAATCTGATAGTACAGGAACGAAGCTGGTCACAGCCAGCACCGCCACAAGGACCCTCACATACATCTTGGCTGCTCTGCAAAGTGACTCTGAGGGCTTTGGACACTGTGCTCAGTTATACAGTATCATTACCTTCATGCTGCCTTGGCCTTTGGACAGAGAGCCATAACCCAGGGTGTATCTGAGTTTTCATTTACAGATAGGAAGTTTTACAGGATCAGTCTTAACTTGGAAGAGAGAGTGTGTTACTCTTTGATACATTATCATCAGCAAAATAGACACTAAGAGTCTTTTTTAGGGTTTGTTGTTGTGCGGTGAGTCATCAAGTCCTCTCATGATAAGGTGTCTCACTGATATCAGTCTGCCAGCTTTAGACGATATCTTTTCACATGAAATTAAAACATTAGTGAGCGGCAAAGACTTGCAAAAAAGAGACATGAATATAATGTAAATAAAGATGACGAAATGATGAGGACATCTTGAAATCTGCCTTTAGTTCACTGTCAAAGAAGTCTATTACATTTCCTTCCTGAAAGTGTAAAGCAACAGGATACATTGAAGACATTATGACTAAATGTGGGAAATGTTTTACATACATATTCTGGGAGTTTCCTAAACTGAGTTCAAATTGAAATGGCATTTACAAAACAATAAGCAACATGTTTTGAGACTCAAGTTCCCGTGACCTTTTAGGATCTCTGTTAAGGCTCAATTCTGTGTCTGAAAAAGAGAAGCGATACGAAACTGCTTCAATTTAAAAAAAAAAAAAACTATCAGTAAAAAACATCGAGATCCAGCAGCACCTAAAGTTAATATCTGATTTTTAACATTTTAAAAAGAAGAAGTTGACTCAGTCTTTCAGGACCCCAAAATACCATTTTTATTAAATTGAGATCAAGTGGGAGAAATTATAAACTCAATACCAGACATGTGACTCCATCAGATATTTATGCTTACTTCCTTTTTTTAAGAGGATCAGATCAATTGTTTTGGTAGTCACGTAACTTGTGTGCAAGGCGTATTCAAGAATACTCTTCTTTTGTGTTTGCAGTCATAGTCGAAGCAGTTATCAGTTTGTATGTTAAATACTTACTGGAGTGGTGGTTGTAAATTGATATATATGACTGTAAAAGTGAGTTAAAGAATATAAACGGATGTAATGACCTAGAAAAGATGAAGGAAGCTAGAAATTTTTCTGATACTGACGTGAACTGATTATTTCTTACTGCATTTGCACACTTAATTAAAAAAATAAAGACAGTAAAATATAATATCAAAGTGTTTTATTTTTGTGTTCTCATCTCTTAAAAATAAAGATGAAACTATATAGTAAGATAAACATTAGGTAAATATGTATCAGGAATAAAAAATATGATACAAGCAGCCGCTGATATAAACATGAGGGGTGTGAGCAAATATCAATGCAGTGAAATACGGTGATGTTTCATGACATGATACTTATGTCCACACATGGTCTACACTTGTAGGCTACTGTAAGACTGGGTCCATTACTTATTTTGTTCAGATTCAATAGAAAAGAAAATTAAAATGAACTTTTAGTCTGTAGCTCAGGTTTAAAGTCTTGATCCTGAAAGTGCAGGTCCACCTATTCTGAGTGAATTCATATAGATAAAGGTTATTCATTTATTTATGTATGTATCATTATCTACTTTTTAAACTATGAGATTTTTTCTGTAAAAAGAATATTTAGGGGATAAAATCACAATATTCTGCCTTTCTTATAGCAACCAGAATAATTGCATTTTATCATCACATCACCAGCTCTGTAATGGGATCTGTATCATACTGCCAGATTCTTGCTAATTCACAGCCCTAATGGCTGTTTAAATTCAATGTCCTTATTTATACTTCTTTATCTTTAATATTTTAGCTTTCTTAATTTTTAATATTCAAGTTTTTAAAGTTTTTGACGGACAAACTCAAACCTGTGGACCAGAACTGTAGGGGTCAAAAAAAGTTTTATCTCGTTTACAATCACTACTGATTTTCTCCTGGTGTCACCTCTAAAGAAAGCATGACCCTCTGAGGTCATAAAAGTCAAATGAACAGGAAACTACAGTCATGTTCATCTAACCACCGTATCAAGTTGTGTGATTCCAAGCAGCAGTTAAAGTGCAAGTCATGCACTGTTGAGAAACGCTGATAAGAAATCAGCCGTGAGGGCAAGGAGTGTCATTGAGACTTATCAGCAACAACACAAGATTATCTAACACCCTCTCTCTTTCATTTCAGTTTCTGTGACAAGACAGAAATCTACACATCAACTTAAGAAAGATAGACTGTAGTTTAAACATCCAGCCAGATCAAAAGCATTTTAAAACACAGATCTGAGTGTAATACTTCAATTTATACAGTAATGTTTGCATAAAAGACTGTTTTTGTCTGTCTTTTGTGGGCTACTATGATAGTTGATCAGAGCTGCAAACTCTTTAAAGCTGTTCACCTGTTATACATCTCTGGAAACATCAACTGTGCAACAGTTCCCCCTTGTGGACAGAGTTGATACTGCCATGGTGCTCATTAAACGGCTGGTGCATACTTTTCCTCCAGTCTGACACCTCCCTCACTCTTTTGTTAATTTCGTTGAACCCGTAGACTTTTCTATCGCTGCACACATTATGAATTGTCAATATTACACGAACAACGCTCTGTTGTTTTTGTCCTTCCAGATATTTCAGTAAGCAGTGTGACAGTAAGCCGGCATACACACGGGAGCCTGAATATAGGCTTTCAAAATATACTTTATGTATCTTTGTAACAAAAGCCAATCTGAAATGTAGATAAGTAACGGTATAAGGCATGGAAATAAAAGTCTATGTTAACTTAGTTTTCTGGCAACACCTCTGAGCTAACAGTCAATTCAATATCCTTGTGCAACACACACTTTCATAAGATCTGGAGAAAATGCTCATATTAAAATTATACTCACCATGCATCCATCCATTCATATATATATGTATACTTTAAAAGAGGGTTTGGTCTGGGATAAATGTCAATGCATGGAGAGTTTTCCACCACTTATAAAAACAACTGACTATATCACATGATTTCATTCAGCATTCGACAATTTTCAGCAGGTTTTGCCGTGGTGTCAGCTCTGTGAGGCCCATGACGGGTTACAGTTCGTCTATGCTGCCTCACATTTGCTGGACCAGCAGGTTTACAGTGGACATGTCTATATACAGACTGAGCCTGGAGGCTACAGGCTAATCACGGGGAAAGAAACACACAACAGACGGGCTTAAGAAAACACAGCATCAGCAAAAAATAATCTGTTCACTGGACATTGTCAGATACAGTATAGAGTCTGCTGCAGGTGAACTTATCTGACAGGTTTACTCAAAGTTTAATCATACAGGAATACAGACTGCACAGTAATATGATCGATGCACTTTAATTCTACATATGTGATTTATAACCATGAGCTGCTAAACAAATCCTCTGTGCAGTTTAAGACAATGTGAGAGCTTTCTTGGAAGACTTTTTGCAGAGGCACAAGAAATACAGAAATGCATGGCAGTAATTTGGACACCAATTGTACAATAAAGTGCAGGTGACAACCAAGTGTTAGTAGAGAAGAACTCCTAAGTTTGTCTGATGTCTAATGTGTCCAAGATGATGTGTAAATCGTAAATAAAAACTACAATAAAATACAATGATTTGCAAATCCTTTCCAACCTATATTCAATTGAATACACTACAAAGACAAGATTTTTAATGTTCAAACTGATAAACTTTGTTTTTTTTTGCAAATAATCATTAACTTTAGAATTTGATGGCAGCAACACGTGACAAAGAAGTTTGGAAAGGTGGCAAAATATGCAGAGAAATTTGAGGAATGCTCATCAAACACCTATTTGAAACATCCCACAGGTGAGCAGGCTAATCGGGAACAGGTGGGTGCAGTGATCGGGTATAAAAGCAGCTTCCCCCAAAAATTCTCAGTCATTCACAAGCAAGGATGGGGCGAGGTTCACCACTTTGTGAACAACTGCGTGAGCAAACAGGCGAACAGTTTAGTCTCCTCAGCTCCCAAACGTTTATTGAGTGTTTATTGATGTAACACAGCGGTAAACATGCCCTGTCCCAACTACTTTGGAGCGTGAAATTCTAAGATAATTATTATTTGCAAAAAAAAAAAAAGTTTATGAGTTTAAACATTAAATATCTTGTCTTTGTATTGTATTCAATTGAATATAGGTTGAAAAGCACCTGTCGTATTCTGTTTTTATTTACATTTGTCACGATTTCCCAACTTCAATGGAACTGGGTTTTGTAGATCTAACTATGAATTCTGGGTTACGACTGATCTCTCCAACCCAAACAAAGCAAGATGTCACTTTTCTGTAGTTGACTTTGCACATTTTATTAGCTTAGAGAGAAAATTCTGGTGTAAATTCTGCTGATATTTTGTGAGTCAGAATGGATCAAGTAGAAATTAATACTAGGAACACATTTTCTAAGCATGACCACATAAAGGTCAAAGATGTTAATTTTGTCAAATTTTCAAAAGATGTCTCAAACTTTTATCTGTAGTTGACTTTCTGACTGTTCCCTGTCCGTAAACATCCACATCTCCGGGTTTTCCCTCAGTCTCCTCTGTCATCCTCTCACCCTGCTCGCTGTTCAGGCCACAGAGCCAGTCTGCGTCAATTTCCTGAAGTGTTTCCACAGCAACACCGGAAATAAAGAAGCTGTGTTACAGATGAAAGGCGCAAATCACTCAAATCAGACTTGGAGACATTTTCAAGATGTGCATTCTCTTAACTTTTTGTCAATCTCTGCTGTTGTCCCGGGATGTTTTAGCACCTCAGTGTCACGTATCCTCTGCAAATCTTTTCCGCTATCCTTGTTTTAAAAGAATTCACCCAACATCGAGCTCTTATTTTGAAATTTCTCAGCGGGACTTCCTTTTCGTTTGAGCTGGCTTAACGCTGCACGGAGGCAACCCATGATCGCAGACGCAACACGCATCCTCACACCACTGACCTGAGCTTAGCTGTGTCCTGCATGTGTGTGCATGTGTGTGCGTGTGTGAGCGGGAGTGTGAGTGATCCCCACAAACCAGCAGCAGGATGGAGGATCTCAAGGAGAATCTGGGAACTTTGGATTGACGCCCGGGGATAGCGCGCGCTCGGCCTGAACCTCATCGGGGTTTCTCGTGGGATTTATATATTTGGATGTTGTCTGTTCCCCCTTTTCCCTTTTTTCTTCCAGGCAGTGGGAATTTATACTTGGCTTACAACTCCGATTATTCACGGCGTGCAAAATGCCGTTCGCCAAAAGGATTGTGGAGCCGCAGCTTTTGTGCAGGCACCAGATCCCCAACGATGAAGGTCTGCTTTTCGAGGACCTGTGTGCCATCAGTAACGTGGTTCTGTCCCGGACCTTGCGACAGCTGTCCGACCTGGCCCGGCACGCCTGCTCCTTATTTCAGGAGCTGGAAAACGACATCATCAGCACCAACCAGAGGGTCTGGGTCCTCCAGAACAAAATAGGCCAGATCCAGCAGACTGCCAGTGCCCTAGACCCGAAAAAGGAGGCAGTGCGTAAGTAGACCACCACAAGTGTATCCATAACCCCCTTAAAAGAGACAGAAACCCCCTCATGATTTACAGCGGAGAAATGTGTGATTTTATTCATTCATACCCCACATACATACAAACATACATGTGCGCCTTCATGCTTCGAAGGGCGCCCACCTCTAAATTATTTTTACCCAGCTGCACGCACGCACGTAAACCCGCACGCGGCCGCGCTCTCATCATCCCCCCCCTCCATTGAAATGTGTCACACGGTTTGCATTCGCACATTTGAGCATCCAGCAGCATCGAGACGCGTTTTCACAGCGCAGGATGTGTTGACTGCTCATTCATTTGGCGGTCCAGACTCGGATGTGTGTGTGTTTGTGTGTGTGTGTGTGTGTGTGTGTGTGTGTGTGTGTGTGGATGTCCGTCGACGAGGGGAGGTGGGGAGGGGGGGATCTATATATGCATGTGTGTGTTAGTGTGTGTGTGTGTGTGTGGAGCGGAGGGGCGTGTGTTGCCGCTGCATTGGCTCAGCATCGCAGTCTCGTTACTGCGGGTAGCGCACACCTGAAGCATGTTGGGGCGGTGCGTTCAGGGGCCATAGAAGCGCGAGCGAATCATACATCCTAATATGAATATTTTAATTCAGGGTCGACTGTCTGTTAAAAGGATCTCGAGATGTGTGTGTGTGTATCTGTGCGAGAGTGCGTGTGCGTGTACGTGCGTGTGTTGGGGTTTTCACAGGCGACTCCCCGTGCGCCAATCCCACCCTTTCCACATGCAGCGGCACCAACACAGCATCAATAATGAATCCAGATGTCCATGTTGCAGGGTAAATATGAACTGGTCATGCCCAGACATACTCGTGTCGCTAAAATTGCAGTGCACGCGACAGTGGAAGGATAAAAAAAAATAAAACGAAGAAGAAAAAAAAATCCGACTGGTATCAATGGGAGTCTGCAACTGCATGTAACGGCGCGTTCTGTTCGGCAGCTTCATATTATTTATGTCCTCTGCAGTCCCTTCAGAATGAGCCTTTTGATTTTAAGACGACCTGATCTGTGATTTTAGTCCATTTTGGAGCTTTTTGATCCTCCCTGCTCTACGTTCTCATAATCTGGGACAATCAAAGAGCATTTTGGGGCCTAAAGCAACTGTAGGCTTGTGAACTCCCTCTTTAGATTCACCCCCAACCCCCAACAACAACACTCACGAACAACACACATATCAGAGCATATGTGGCAGCGAGGATGTCTTTATTACATAAAACTGTGTGCTGCTCTGTTTACTCTTGTTTGCTGTGGATCCGGGTGAATGAAAACCCTGATGTTGAAGGCTGCACGGTGGTCTCTTAAAATTAAACTGTGTGAGAAGGACTGTTTGCATTTGGTCGAGCAGACGGGGGACAGATATTTGAATTGAAGTCCTTGTAGTGGCTTTTCACTACTCTGAATACATTAAACCAGTAACATTAATCCCAGAAATCTTGTCATCTTGTTACACCTGTTTGTGCTCAGAAACCCCTGAAATATTGATCGTCAAGAGTGGATTGTGAATCCCTGCAGCCAGTCGAGTTATAAAAAGATGAGTATCGCTTGGCACGTGCTTTTCAAAGAGTTTCATGACTCCCAGATCCGAGTGATGAGCGGATGCAATCAGTTAATTTAAGGATCCTTTAGAGTGAGCAGATTAGTCCGGGACAGAAGTTCACAACCTGGGGGTCAGGATTATCAGAGCTTGTGAGATAAATTTAGCCCACGTCTCCAATAAGACATTTTGAATATTCTGGATATATTTTCTTGTACTTTGCAACCTGTCAGAGAAATCCTGTATTTGTAACCTTGATGCTTTTAAATATCATTTAAATATATCATTTCCAGATACTCAGAAATCACCAATAATCTCCCGTTTGGGCTGTTTCACACTTGGAGCTCTGTTACTTTCCAACCAAACTAATATGATATCAGAAATGAAGTATACTAACCACTAATCAATTGAGCCAATCCATCTCAACACATCAACTACTACACAGTTTAAAATGATGAAGAATGAATTGAAGTGCCGGAGTCACACCAGTGCAAATCGGAAAGCACAAATTCTCCTTAACAAAATAGGAATTTTATGTCCTCAATGCAGCCGGCTTCTTAATCTCCTCTTTTGAGTGTTTTTGATACATAGAAACGCAAACGTGATTCGGCAAAAGCTTAGCAAAGCAGATGGATAATGAAATGACATGTCTGTGCTTGGATATTGGGTTTTGTCTTTTTTTATCGAAGCAGCGGGATTTGACCAATATTCAATCACAGCCTGACATTTCTCCAGATGAATCATGTTCTCTGACCTAGATGGTAAATAAAACTTTCTTAGACCCATCTCTTACAGTCCAACCAACACGATTCATCAGACTTTGAATGTACTTTGATTATATACTTCAAAGTGACAATCAATATCTGGTACATATATTCATTTTTTATCACTATTACAGTTATTTAATTTTTCATTCAACATATTCTGGTGGGAAAAAAAAGAGTCAAAAATGACTGAGAAAAAATCTCTTTGGCTGTCTAGACTTCAACTTGGTTGCAGGGAGAGTTTGAGTCCTCTGAAGACCAACACTCATACTTGGATGCCCACCAAAGTTTTTGCTATTTTTATTCCACTTTCAAAAGAGCTATTATCCTCTCTCTGACTCAAATGGCAGCAATAACCCCGAGGAGCTGAATATCCGTGTGTGTGAGAGAGTGTGTGTGTGTGTGTACACAGACAGATACTGAACGTCAGTGACGACAGTTTCCTCACTTCATTGAAGAGTGTATCAAGATTCAAGGAAGTCAATATGGAGCTGACACAGATTGATCCCGAACATGGCAGCAGGCCGTGTTTGGATGGAGATGAGATAGTTTGTGTCTGTCGGGTTCACAGAAAACAAAGTTTCTTTGGGTTCTTCAAATCAACCAGAATCTGTCTGTTTCAGCTGTCGTCTGTGTTGGCACTTGGTTGTAATAGGAGTACATATTTGTTGGCACGCAGAGGTAAATGTAAGAAAAAATCATTACTGTTATTTGATGATGTTTTTCTGCTTCACTGTTACAATAACTGTCTTGTTTGCCAAGAATTGGGACATTTTTAGATCCAGTTTTCACACTGATACTGGGTATCTGATTATATCTAATTGTTCTGAGACAGGTTTCTTTATTCAAAGTTCTTGTGATCACATATTTCATGTAGTCTCACAACCTGCCGTTGCTCATCTGGGTTTAACTGTCAACTTGTTTAACCAACAGCAGGATCTCTGTGCAAATGTATTTCAAGGGACAGAGAATATGACATGATAGTTCATGAACTGATTTGAAAAGTCTGGAGGTGAACCTCAAGGAAAGTTGATTGTAGTTTCTGGAGCCAAAGGGACTATTTTTTAGATGCCAGCATGTATTCATATCTATATGCTCAAGAAAAATACTTTCCTGTTGGGCTGACAGTGGAGACTGATCACCTTTCTTCTTCCATCATTTCTTTCTTATTCTGTGTCGAACTATGTTTTTCATATTTGTTAAACAGGCCACAATGCTTCCATCACCATTTTCCTTATAATTTTTATTGGAGTTGATAATGCGACACTCATTCCTGTTATACTGATACTGTTATGAAAGCCAAGAAGAAAGTCTGATGTAGATTCCACTTTATAGCAAAAACAAAAAAATGGAGTGAAAACATTTTGGTTTGGAGGTTAATGCTTATGAGTTACAATTCTGCCAATCTGGCTACAATAAGACAACTTGACAGCTAATTTAAAAAACAAGATGGCACATAAAAATGTAGCTTTATTGCTTTATTAAAGTGTTTCGACATCTGTTGCATTAGCGTACTGATAAAATTTGTTACATATCTAACCCTTAGGTTGGGTCTGTACGATTTTATGAACATAGTGGTGTAAAGTGAACTCATACTGAGTCAGGCACAAGCAGAGCTGTTGCAGTCATCAAAGTTTTCTTTGAAAACTCCAACATACAAAAGGTGATGTCAAAGAACAAGATTAAGATCATTAAGTCCAATTATCACCTTTGTCAGAACTTTGCAAGAGTATAATTTCTGATAGATTTGTTTTATTGGAATGTAGCTGACTGCAAATGTAGTCATAATGTTCAACTGATCGTTCTGTGAAGTGTACATATTAGGGGTGGGAGAAAAAAAATCGATACAGCATAGTATCACAATATTTTGTCCGGTGATATTCCTATCGTCTCATTTACCAAGAATCGTTTTTTCAAACTAATTGCTAATATGAAGTCAAATCTATGAAAATGGAGAAATAAAATTAACTGTTTGTTCAGTGAGGTTGGCAAAGGTGACATCATAGAGTAGGAGAAAATTACTACTGAAATATAGCAGCACTGGGGGAAAGACATCCGAATGAGATGGACCTGACATATGAGGTTTGCAAGATGTGCTACATGAAAATAAAATACTATGTATATAAGACAAACATAAAGGAACGATACATGCTAAATTAGCTAAACAGTTGAAAAAAACGGTATAAATTGCAATATATTGTATAGCAATACTCACTGTATTGCAAAATTTAAAAAATCACAATATCGTATCGTGGCCCAAGTATCTTGATGATATCATAGTGGGGGCACTAGCGATTCCCACCCCTGGTACACATGATGCTCTGTGTTGCCAATGTGCTTTCTGACACAGGCGCTATCAGGACATGAGCCCTGAAGTTTGGGAATCAGCTTGTGGCTCTGCTTTCACAGTGTCACAGTCTGCTGACCAAAATTTCAAACTAGCCCAAAATTCATCTGACCACTCAGAAGCAGCTGATTTGACTGAAGTTGCACCTTTATCACCTCCTGTACACTACACAGCAAACAATGCGTGATCTGGCTGAAACTTTGGCCTCACTTTCAAATCAGTGCAACCAAACAATAAGGTTTCAGTTGGCCTCAGCTGACAACCTGGCTGTAGAGAGTGACTTAAGCGACTGTTGAACTTTTAGACTACATTAACGCGTGCCCGGCTATTCTCATAAATGGACATTTAACCCTCTCTATTTACAAAAAAACTGCATGCACACCACTATGTTTTCAGAAAAGTTTTCGTTTATACTAACCCGTGCTTATATTCTGTCAAGAGCATATCAAATGTGTGGTTAGCAGTGTAGCGAGAAGCTCATGCCCATGTTAGCCAATCAGAATCCTGCATAGCAGCAACAACGTCTCTTCCTTCTTTACTGTGCACAATCTGCCGTCGGCTACCTAAGTCTCCATTTTCCTCTGTTTTTTCTCTGTTTACATTAATGTCTCAGTTTTTAAAAATAACTGGGTACGTACAAACAGGGCCATATTATCAGCGCCATTTTACGGTCAGAATTTCAGTTTGTTCAACGCTGTGGCACCTAAACATTTGACTTTTACATCAAGCATGTCAGCGCTGGTATGGCTGTCATACTCCAGTGCTTAGATTAGCATTCTGCTAAATGTGCATCTCTGCCTCTTAAAAAGGGTTTTACAGCGGGTTGTAAAAGAGGTGGGACAAAAGAAGAGCTTATTTTAAGTAGATGTATATTGTATGAGGTTTTACTTATTAATGAAACTCTAAAAATATGTCACACGGTCATAATTCAAAGTCTACATGTGCGCTATGACTACAAAAGAAAATGAAACATGTAAATATTATAAATAAACCTTGCCTTGTATTATTTTTGATGTATTATGTTTTAGGATCAAATCACAGTGACATGTTTGGGTTCAGGAGCAGATTCAGTAGCAGCTGTACTGGCACAGGACACACACACATTTACACACAAAATGAGGAGGGAATCGTTAATATGAAAATATTGGTCTGCAGCAAATATATTGTACCGCTCTGGAAACACTGGTTTCTTCCTGGTATGCCATTAAAGCAAATTTGACTTTGAATTTGAATTTGAGAGAGTATGGCCTGTGGCAGTGGGGGACGGCTCTATCTTACTAGTCTGCATAGTAACAGGAGAGTGAGAGAGAGACAGAGAGAGAGAGAGAGGGAGGAAGAGAGAGAGTGAGTGAGAGAGAGGCCTGCTTTAACCTCTTAGCTGAGTCAATCCCTTTCCCTCTCTCTCTCTTTCCTGGTCATACATTTTTACTCACTATTTTTGTAGTACAACTAGCTACAATTTCCCCGGCCCACATCATATTGTTGAATCAGTTTGTCCTAGACAAAATGAGATGAGAGAAGGAGCGAGAGAGACTGAGTGGGGACCTAACAGAGTGTGAGCCTCAGTGGTGTGGAAGTAAGTGTGATTTTTCTGCCTCTCACTTGCAAACAAACAAAAACTTCCGCAGTAAAAGGAGAGAAAGAAACATATTTACCTACTGAATATTAGCCAACAGGATAATCTGGTCAGTGTGTGTTCCTGTGTTTCTCTGTGTGGTTCAGAGGCCTGATTTCAACCACACCAGGCAGGTTAGCATACACACACACACATGCACACACCACAGAGCAGGAGCATCAGTTCAGATATTTCCAGAATTTAATCTGTGAGGTGAATCCCGTGCTCCTGTGCCTCCTTTTTGAACATCTTTGCCTCCATCTTTGCATTTTTGTGTCCATTCTCCCCCTCCTCCTCCTCTCCATCCATACCTCTTCCCTCACTGCCCTACTTTCCCCATCATCATCAGCATGGAGAGACTTCTGCCTCTCGACAGCATGTTTAATGTTTAATGCACTTTGATTTCCACCCAGACACTTACAAGCCTGAGAGGAGAAAGAGGGAGAAACTTTGACAACGGAGTGAAAGGGAGAGAGGCACAAGAATAAAAGGGAAGGTCAAGGTGCTGTAGAGACTGTTGTTTGAAAAGGAGAAAAAAATGATATGATCCTGAAAGTCAGTACTGCATGAAAGGTGTAAAAACAGGAAAGAAGGAATTTTAAAGATCAACACCTGTTTTTATTATGCTCTCACCAAACTAAATCTGATGTGGTGGGTGTTTCACAGATTATTTCAACAACATCCAGTAATTTGTGCCAAAAGATCTGTGTTGTGATATTTTACCCAGAAGATGGCGCTCTGCAAAGCAAACGGTTGGTTGGCCTTGCAGTGTTAATTTTGAACAGCTTTCTCCACCATGAGGTCATATTCATGCATTTGAAGAAAACAGATATACTTATAGGTATTGCTGGGTGGTGTGACGGTATAAACCGTGTGACGGTATAAAAGTCTTGCTGGTAGAAATTTTGCTATATCGTCTATACCAGAGAGGGAGAGCAGATGTCTGCTGCATCTCTCTGATCAGTGTGTAGATGTCTGCGCTCACTAACAGGAAAGACGGAGCTCATCCACATGGGTGTGTTTCCGTATCTTCACCAACGGGTCGTGCAGAGTATGTTCGCTCTGTTTGATTGGTCAGGTTTGGTTGTGCTCTCTATAATCACCAGCGTGTCCAGTAGACTGCTTGTCATAGTTTCAACAAAGAAGAAACAGCTTCACTGATGGTGGTCATGGCGGACATGGAGATTAGTGGCAGTACCGAGCAAACGGAGGCAGCCCGACCCACCCAACATGAAGAGGAGGAGGAGGAAATCATTTCGAAAAAGGGTGCGAGTCGCGATATCTGCTGTCTGGAGATTCTTCAGATTTAGAAAATCCGACAATGTTCAAAAAACAATACCACACAAAGAGTGTCGTGTGGCTGTCATTACTGGAGGTGGAAACACCACCAACCTCTTCCACCACCTAAAGATGAAACACACCAAGCTCTATTATGAGAGCCAAAAGTTGGGTGGCGCACCTGCTGCACCAAAGACTAAAGTTGCAGCAGCTCCTGTCATACAAAAGAGTTTGGCAGAGTCTTTCGCCAAAGGAACGCCATGTGATAAAAAAGTCACCAGACTGGTCTGGCATTTTGTTTGCATTTGTTTACAAATCTGAGATTAAAGATAAAAGGAAAATGAACAAATGTGACAGTATGGTTATTTTTAATTTTAATTTACAGGGGGAAAAACATACCGTCATATATACCATTACCGTGATATGAAATTACTCATACTGTGATATAAGATTTTGTTCATACTGCCCAATACTTCTTAAAAGAAAAAAGCCTCATGGTGTGTTGCTTTAAATGAAAAGACGCACCAATTGAAGCTAACGAGCGTCCAATGGAGGGGGTGGTGCATTATTTGCTGGCCGTGGGTCTGTCATAGTTGTCAATACGAACAACAATGAAGTTTTTCTATTTCTATACACCAAATGACTCAGAAAGGAATCTGAGCTTTTTTCGAACAGTGATTGTTTTTAGAGCAAATCTGATTTAATGACCAAAATCCACAGTGCAGATTCATGTGACTCACACATTCAAAGTGCGTCTTCCAAGTCTTTTAGTCACAATTGTGAACCTTGAGTCAAAAGAGACTATTCAGCCATGTGGGCAGTCAGCCAATCAACGCCAGCAAGAGACACTGATCTGTGTGTGCTCAGTGTGAGCAGCTTTAACCAAAATGAACAGGGCACCTGATTTAATGTTTAATACATGCACGGAAATATTTAAGAAGGAAAGGCTCATCCCTAGGTGAGGATGAATGTCCTGGTTTCAGTGGAAGAGGGTGAGGGCAGTAGATTAGGATTTAAATCATAAATGCTCTTTTTTAACATATTAACGAATTTTCACGAAGAATAATAGAGATGAGAGCTCCTGTCTGTCTTTTTCTCTGGAGTTTTTTTTTGTATTACTGAACAAGAAAAATAAATATGAAGTAATCATACATACACATTCTGGCAGAGCTGAATCGAAGCATATGGTTGGCATATGTCCATTTTTGTTACCACGGAAACATGTAGGCATAACATATAGAGGGGTTACGAAGAAGGGATGAGATGGCGTTGAGTGTGCGGTGATGTAAACTTACTCTGCGAGTGACACACTTTGTTGTTACTGTTGTATGAGAGCAAGACAACAAAGCAGCAGCTTGCCTCACACAAATCCATGTCGGCACGCATACACACACATGCATTCACACACAGTTTATTTTACTCAGCTCCTTTGAGTCTCTTATGTCATAGAGAGTAAAAATCATCACTGCACGTTTTCTGTTCTCATGGCCCAATTACCTCTATGCTAATTTTGGCTAAAGTGATTCCTTTGACTTACATACGCTAACATGCATACACACACAGCTGACAGCTTTCCACATCAGCAGGTTAACACAACTCACTCAAACATCAACACGCGTGCACATTAAATACAAGCACGCAGACACACACTCCAGGGCATCTCATGCACACACAACCCGTTGAACTCAGTCAAGCCTCTTCTTTCCGTCTCTCATGTTTTCATTTGAAATTCTGCTTTAAGTGCCCCTGTCTCTGTTGCTGTTGCAGCCTGCAATAAAACATGCATGCAGAACTTCTTGGTGAGTACATCACAGCAACTGGCTGGCTGGATGGCTGCCTCACTCGCCTCTGGCCTCTGGCTTTGTTCGTCTTGTTGTAGTTGTTGCTAAAGCAGAGGAACGATACCGAAAAGAAACAAAAGACGAAACCAAAGTTTGGCTCATATCCTTAAGGAGGAACATTTACTCTTTAAAGAAGAGACTAAAGCAAATACTTCTCAGGGCTGCTGAGAGTGCGGTACATTACACTGACATGGAAGGAGAGCTAATGTACGTTTCAATTAGTTATCTTGATTTAAATAGTTTATAATAATCCTTACATGCTCATGTATATCTACCAATTTCTTTTTTAAATATTTGTATTTCATTTGGTATTAAGTGATGGTTATGCATAGTGTATTCTAGCACTTCTTTTTGGATGAACTGCACAGATCAGAGCCTCACACTATTATCCGTGATTTTAACTTTTATAATATTGTTAAGTGATAATTATTACAATTATTTTTCATTTCCAGGAAGCTTAAATTTAATTGAAACCTGTAGGAAAGTGGTTTGAACATGCTAGTTTTAGCATCACAATAAAGGGTGATAATAAGGAGGGGCTGAAAGCTCAGTTTCCCCTAATAAATGGAAATTGAATACCTGTTTCTTTGATTTGAAAGCTCTAATGCTCAATTTTATTACATTTATTTAAAATCCAGGATATTTGACTCTGAGATTTTACACTAGTTAACACGCACTGACAGCCTTTTTGCTTTACAGCTTAGATCTTGCTAAAACATGACACTGCAGCTCAAAGTGTTGCTCCTTTTTGTGTGTCTCCTATGTGTCTGTCCATGCATAAGTCCCTCACTGATGTGTGTGTGTATGTGTGTGCATATTTGTGTGTCAGCCTCCTGTGACATGCTAAACTGAACTGTCCTGAACGGCTGTCATGTCTGTCCGGAGACCCCATTATCATCACCATTCCCCCAAAAACCTCTGACAGATGGCTGGGGACCAAAAAAAAAATGCTCGTACTCAGCATCTCTCTGGGTCAGTGTGTGTGAGTCTGTGAATGTGTGTGTCGGTCAGTGTCTGCAGACTGAGTGGACATCTCTGTACTGTAGTAACTCCAGGACATAGCACAGTGTACAGTGCTGTATTTCCACAGGCATCAATGAGTAACTGTGTTCCTTGTGTAGTATTACGTAACAATAGACTTCAATAGACTCTGAAGTCACTGTACCCAGGAGTGGAGAAGCCGTCAGCAAGGCGCAGATATAACAGTTCCTTATGAAGCGTTACATGAACAGTACATACAAGTGTGTAAACAATGGGATTGGGTATTGGCTGCGATAAAGTGATTTTTTTTTATGCCTGAAACTGCAGCTGCTGTGTGGTAGGTGTCAGGAGATATGATTAACTCAACAGCTTTTTAAAGACATTTCTACAGCAGAGATTCACTGAGTGTGATCTGTTAGAAGAAAGCAGGACAAGATTTTCTGTTGAAAGCACCACTTACACAGAGGGCTGGGTGATAGAATGATAACAATATATATCGAAAATTAATTTCCTTCAATATTAATATAAAACATGGTCAATTTGCTTTTTAATTGTCGGCATTCTGCCATGTTTTGGTAGACTATATGAATAGCCAATGAAAAGGGGAGTTGCTCTGGGTCCGCTTTGTGCTGAACCAATCATGTGCTGAATTAGAACCAAGTAGCAAACAACTACGTAGAAGCAGGCTGCAGCTACACGCAACCATAGCACTTAAACACGTGAAGCCGACAGCACTGTTGGTGATAAAAAAAGAAAATGTGTGCTACCCCTGAGCGAAATGCAGATGCAGGCTCAACAGATGATGGTATCGTCGACAACACTGGCATGAAAACATCGGTGGTGTGGAGGTATTTTGGTTTTTGGAGGTCAGACATGAAGCAGAGTAATGTGCACTGCAAATTATGTCAAACACGTTCTTGCAAAGTTATTAATTAATGGATAGTCAGTCTAAAATCTTTTTTGTTTCTGGGTATAACGAAACGGCAAGAAAATTTATTTAAGTCTATTTCATAAACATCAAAAAACTCCTAATTGGAACTTTAAGCTATCTTGACGTGGATTTTTTCTCACATTTACATGAAGCATTTTAATTTTAAGTTTTCATTACCTATGACCATGTGTGGTCCAGTATATAGTGTTCAACTACATTTTGAGAGCTCTGACTGTGTATCTTGAATCAGTGTTGGCTCATTTTTACTGACTCTTTAGTCCTTGAAAGTGTTGATTTGCATAGTTTAGGTTTACACCTTTATTTCAGTTATCTTTTAAACATTTCTCTCTCAGTAAAAGATACTGGATGTTTGAATTGAGATTTGTAAATTATTTTAAGGGCCAAACTGTCACTGGAGGAACATAATGTAGACAGACACTCTCTCTTTCATTCTCTCTCTGTCTCTCGCTCACTCAGAGATTTCCTCTCTCAGCATCACAACAAAGTCCCACGCAGAGGCTCTCACAGACGGCCGTGTTTGTACTTTGCAGGGGTGCTGCTGGCAAAGAGTAGTCATGTTAAAACAGACAGAGTTAAAAGGAGAAACTGAAGAAAATAAAGTAGAAAAATGGAGATCCTGATCAGTGAGCACAAAAAAAGAACCTCTTTTTGTTCATCTTCACATAAGACGCACAGATTTCACAGAGATATTAGACAGAGAATTTTTAAACCAAGTCATTTTTAAGCACTCCTTGAACTTAAGCCTGATTATCTCTCTTAGCTGGTTAAATTCTAATCTACTGGGACTTGAACCCACAGGTTTTTGAGACATGATTATGTCTCCATTGGATCAGCTGGGCTGTTAATGCTACCCTATAGCCGGAGTGACTCCGGCTGTCAGTATGGCATTAGCAGATGACAAAAATAGGATGGGAAGCCAATTATATCAATAATGTTGTGACCAGCAGGGTTCAGAATATGGACAGCAGAGATTATGAGTATCAACTGAGGGATTTAGGGTCAAAGCGTGTAGAGTTGAGATGGTTTTCACCAGAAGAGCTTGAGTGTGGACTTTGTAAAAATCCAGAATAAGATGGAAACAGATGGAGTGAGAAAAAGCTTAGGAGAGGTTGTCTGCTGGTTGTTTTAAGGACTGAGCAGCTCTTAAGGAATCCTTCCCAAACAGATTGTCTTTGTAAGAACCTTAACATGCCATAAAGAACAGTCCAGCTAATTGGACTATGAGAAACCCCTGCCTTGCAGAAGTCAACATGCTCACGCTCCCAAGAAATGAAGCAAAGGCTGCAGTACAGTCTTCAAACGTGAGCATAAGTGAACATGCAGTGCAGATTTTTAAGTATGTTCTTCACAAATTGGAGACAGATCTGCTCTTATTAAAGAATATGGCAATTGGTTAAATTCCATGGCTGAAACAGAAAATTAAGGGAAGGTAAATTAATCCAATTTCACAGTGGGCTGGTGAGAGGTGAGGACAGCCGAGCCAAGGCTGCACTAATTAGCCATATATCTGTCACTATCAATGTATCAGTGAGCCAACCAAAGCCAAACACTTTCTACTGCATCGCATACAAGCACATGCAGTTACTGTACACACACATTCACACACACATAGACTTTACATCCCATTTTCCATCACAAAAAGGCACTCCTATGCTTTAGAGGCTCTTGATAGCCCGAGCCAAACAAAGGCTGACTGAAAAGTGACATGCAAAGTGGACATGTGTGAGTATGTTTTCTGTGCAGGTCATGCATGCGTGTTGTACGTACTGTTTCCTGCTTGATGAGTGCACTAATGCACCTCTGCATGACAGACCAGAGATGCGTAAGCTAAACGCTGCAGGCTAGCACAGCTGTTACAGAGGAGAGGAGAGGAGAGGCAACGATTGAGAGAAAGTGTTGAGCTGTACAGTCACAGGACAGTCTTGATACACTCCAGCAAACCTTTGACGTTGTGATCAGGCTGATTGAGTGCTAAGCTACATGCTAAAGCTAATATCCCTAAAAATAATTCTTTTCAGAGTCAAACATTGTGCCTTTCAAAAAAGTCTGTCTTTAGCACAATGTTTGACTCTGAAGACTGGAGCCAAACATTTTTAAACATATCAAAAAGTCATTAAGAAATCTGACTTAAAAAATCCAAAATGAAACCCTGTTAGTATTATTAGCAAAAAACAAAAGCCTGTTTGTTGTATCTGCACAGTAACCCTTTTTCTTTAGCTCTTTAAGCCCAATTACTGTCTTACTGTGTCTGAATAAATTTTGTGTATCGAAAGAGATTTTCTACCACTTTCACAAATTTTGACAAAATTAGGAATAATTTGAGAGTTTCTACTTTGTCCACAGGGGGCACCAAAGTCAACACAGACATAAAATTCCTCACAGGAGCTTTAATACCTCTGGTTGGATCAACTCCAGACATGATATAGGTGTAACTGAGGTTACCAAGCGGTTTCATTGGTGAATTCTGACTAACAATTAGCAAAACACATTTGTTCTTGCAAACTTGGTGTAAGCAAGGACTTTGTTAGACGCTAATATAAGCTGCTGTTTAATAGTTGGAAACATATGATCAAATTTGTTGTTTAGTTTTTAAATATGGCTCTTTTGAACAGCTCAGATGCCTTAACCTTCAAGTTTGCATGTATCCTGGTCCATAGAGCACTAGGATTACACATTGCTCCTTCCTCTGTTTTTTAAGTTACCGGGAGATCAAGCAGATTCTGAATTCTTTTGACTATTACCAAAAGGGAAAGACTTTATTGGGGTCTTTATTTGATGGACTGAGCTTTCTCATAAAGGCACCATGAATATCCAGAACAAATCTTGAAACAATCATCCCATGGTTGTTGAGATTCTGCAGGTTTAGCAGTGGTTGTAGTTCAATTATCAGACAACCGTAGAGGTTACAGCCCTCCTTGGAAAATAGGGTAGCTTCAGGATCGACAGACAGATACATCAGGGGTAAAAGAGAGGAAGAGTTGTTTATCTAAAGTTATATAGCACCGATTCTCCAGATACAGCACGTAAAAATAATTACAGTGCCCTGACAGATTCTGCTCCCATTCTATGATCGAGTAATTATCACCGCACAGTCGAATAATTACAGTAGATTGAAATTACAATTAACCAATTGTGTGACTTACCGGGGACTTCCCAGCACTATTGTGTGTGAATGTATGAGTGTAAATGTGTGTGTGTGAGCGTGTTACCCATCAGATTACTCCACTGAGGCCAATTCCCTACAGATGACATGTGATAGCAGATTAATAGCCTAACGTATTAAAGTCACAATCCCTATTATTTCCCCTTGTATCGGTGCTTAATCAGCTCATATCTAACAGCTGAGGACTTCTTCACCACGTGCAGCCCCTGTGTGTCACCATCAAGAGGATTCAGGATTAACCACAGTTGATTGGTTCATTTTTTTTATCTGCAGTTGTTTTCCAGTTGAGGGAAAATTTTACTGAATGTGCAATAAAATTTTACACAACCCTGGTAACAAAAGACTGATTTTGCACAAAACCTAAAAAACAAAGACCTCCTTCCTATGTTTATTTTTGACCTTATGAGGGAGGGTCTGAGAGGCCCAGCACTGTGAGGAAAACTGGTAAAATGCTTCTTTTTTTAAGGCATTTTTTTTCTATATGCGTGTGAAATTGAGACTGAGAGTGATGTGATAAATCTGTTCCAATCTCCTTTAGATTTGATTAGGTTTCAGTGTGTTTGTTGGATAGAGAAAACCCCCTAATTGGATTGACAAACCATCAGTTTCTATTTGTAGACCGTTGTGAGGCTCAGAAAAAAGGCTCAGACTGTGAATGACAACTGCAAACTTCTTATGTAACAATTCAAAGCTTGTTTGCCATATTTCAGAAAAAAAAAGTTCTACACTAACAGAGTTACTGACAGATTCATTCCTAGTTTTCATCCCTGTGCAAACCAGACCTTTAAGCCCTGCGTGTTAAAGTGAAGCGGAGCCATATGGTTTGCTGTGGATCAGAAGCAGTGATCCTGAGGATGATACGGCCCCGGCTGAACCTTTGTGCGCCGCATTTACACCATCTGATGTTTATCGTTGCAGCGTGGTCACAGCCCTGATAGCACTGATCTCACACAATCACAGCACTCATTATCACATATGGTTAACGGCTTATGCATGTTAATGCAGCTCTGGCATTTTAGTGCTTGTATCATGTGCACTGCTGAGGCTCCAGGAGGAATTTGGGAACATTTTAATGTGGAGAAAATCACAAAATATACCAATACATGTGATGTTCTGCCAATTTAGGATACCTTTTCAGATGTTAGACAGTCTTTTTTTGTATGTCACCAGAAGAGGCTATAAGCTGTCTCCTCTGTACACAGGTGTATAAAAGATTTCACACAAATACACCCAAACATCTACAGGTATCCACACACACACACCTAATCTTTGCTCTCAGACAAACACAAAGATGCACAAATCCATGACCAACACTTGGACGTCCCACAGAAACTGGCCCTCCTCTCATCCCTGGGATAAAAGGGGAGATAATGCATTATACATTTTCTCCTCTCCTCAGCAGCTCATTATAGTACAGTCAGAGCCTCTGCCTGAAAACAGGTCCTTTCTAATGAGACGTAGCTCGCCACATAACCCCGTCGCTTTCATTCAAGTGTAACGCTAAAATCACTTTTTAGGGTGTGTCCTGTTAGTACCACTGATGTTTAGTCACGATGACCAAGTGTTTTATTGCAGCTTTTTGAGTGGATCCCTCTCCTTCATTTCGCTTCTGTTTGAGATTAATATTCATGACTGCAGCGAACAGAGTGCTAATTATTTATACCATATTAAAAGTGAGTCTATAGGCGGTCAGGGTCTCTTTCTCACTCTGTAAAATTCACTGATGAGGAGGTGAACTCAGGTAAAAGCCATTAAGTCTCCCTGGTTTATCACAGTAAGTCTTCACCCGTCAGCTGGGCGCTGATAAAGAAGTTGAAGAATAAGAGGAGGATTTTTAAACTTTGGGATTATCAGAATTAACTTTTACAAAAGGGCTACAGCTCAGTATCAAAAATGTAATGAGGAGTTGAAACTTTCTTAAAGAGAACAGATTTTACACGACTTCATGATGTGCAAGTTTTTAGTCGATGTTACATTAAATCATTTGTGGAACATGTATTTGTGCAAATTGAGACTACATAGACTTTATTTTACAAGTATTTACTTTTTTTTTATAACTTAATACTAAAGCTCCACTTTATCTCTGCAACTTTTTACTCCATTGCACTTAAAAGAGTTTAGGTTTAATTTAGGATTACAGTTGATCAAATATATCCTGAAAACCATGAATCTCAAATTTTGGGGATTTTGATTTTTTTTTAAATAAGAGTAAGAATAACAAGAATTTTATTTATTCCTTAAGGGAAATTCAATATAACCACAACATGATGATTTTTGGTTTGGCTGGTTTTATGGTTTGCTTGTTAGCTAAGGATCTTAACAAAATCTTGATACTGGGGTGCAGTGAAGCAGTGTTGTGATGGCTTGAAGAGACAGTCCACCTGTGAGTACATAAAAGTTGGAGTCCAAGCATTTAGAGACACAGAATTATTAAACCAAGACTTTTTTCACTTTCATACTAAGAAGTCAGTGTTGCCTGTTTAGCTCAATTGTGAATGATTGCATTTACGAATGCCTATGGTGCCACAATGGCCCTCAATTCATCAATCAATCAATCAGTCCGTCAATCAAATTTTATTTATATAGCGTCAAATCACAACAGTCGTTATCCCAAGACAATTAAAAAAAAAAAAGATCAGGTCTAGACCACGCTCGTTGTTTGATGAATTACCAAGACCCAACTTTAAGATGGGACTTAACTCCCATGAGTGACAGTGGCGAAGAAAAACTTCCTTTTAACAGGCAGAAACCTTGGGAAGGACCAGACCTCAGTCTTTTATATATTTGAGAACTCGTCTTTGCACTGTATGATTTGTGTAACTTCACTGTCCTTAATTTTAGAGGCAAAGACAAAAAAAGTTATCCTAAAAAAAGTTCATACACTACAAGAAAATAATCACTAGCCTCAGCCAATGCGCGCTAAACTTCATTCTTTGAGAAAATTAAACTCCTCCTCCTAAATTGAGCAGTATGTTTGTGTTTTGTCACTTTTTTACTTGCTTTTCTCAATGAGACGTTGACCCTCGACCCTCCAACCAGGTATTGACGATAACCGTCTTTTGAAGAAATGAAATATTAATGTTGTGGTTTAAATAAGCCAATGGTAATATAGTTAGGGATGGGACATCATCAAAGTGCAACATCTGTGGCTGCGTGATTTTAAGTAAGGGTGGAGACACTAGGACAAAGCATGCAGGCCAGGCTCAACAACAGACATGCCATTTCTTTAAGTATTGTGCTAATTTTGTTACAGTGAATTTTTTTTAGCCACAATAACCATGAGGTGAAAATCTGACAGTAGCTCCACTTCCTACATAGCCATATTTAAGAAGCATCTCAAGTGTCAGTATTTAGCTTTTCTTTACATGAATTGATAAGGTTAAACTACAAACATTCAGGGTGAAGTGAGTTTGGCTCCTTAAAGCTACGCTGATTTCAACCAGAGCAGTGCTTTCAAAGCCTTTGAACAGATTTAGACAGTAAATACCTTGCTTAGCTCCTCAGTAAACAGATAGATTGGATCGGGCTGACACTGATCTCGTTATGTTGCGTCCTTTGGTAGGAGAAGCAGGATTGAGGGAAGGATTGACTTTAGAGCTTGTTAACAGAGCAGCATGAAAGCTGGCTGTGTCAGGTTGGAAATCATTATCTTTAAGACGTTACAGTGAAGAACAGTTATGGGGATACTTTGAGTTTAAAACTGAAACCAGCCTTAATTTCTTTTTAATCTATTTGTAGTTTGTTGTGACTCGGTGTTCAGGGTTGCAGAGGTGTTTAGTATCATTATTTTGAAGTTACCTGCAGTTTAGGGCTAAAATGACAAGCATGAAAAGCAAGCAAGTTCTGTAAAAAGACCTTTTTTAATTAAAACATGATAATTACAATTTATCAGGGAATGTGGAGAGCAGAGAGTAGGAGAAGACATGCAGCAAAGGGATGAGGCCAAGAATTGAACCCTCTCTTAGCCATCAGCACCCCTTATTTACTGCTTATGCACTGCTGTATGATCTCTGAAGCTGTATTTTTATGAAACTCCTGAAAAGTCCTGAAATGTCATGTGTGAATGCAAACAGCTGGAATTTCACCTAGACTTTTTTCTGTCTCTCGTCTGGAAAAACTACTCTGAAGTCAGAGTGAGCCAATGTGACAATGCTTCAGGAAATATTTGAGAATATTCAAGAGAGCGGTCAGAGGTGATGCAAGCGGTGCAAACATGGAAGAGGGACACATGACAGGATGAATAAAAGCGTCTGAGGATGAAGAAGGGGGAAGATGTCTGCAGTCTGCCTGTTTATACGTAGCATTGATAAAAATGTAAAAAACATCATAATAATGTGAGTCTCTGTTGATTTGTCTGCCCTCATGCTGTGAGCATTACTCTGTGCGCCTGCTTTCAATGTCATGTCCTGCCTCCTGACACTCATCTCACCCCCTTCCCACTAAGCCCTGTCCAATAAGGAAAACTCCACACTGTGAGGGACATGTGTGAACAAGTATTCCTTGAAATCATCAGGCAGCAAGGGTCCAAAAATATTCAGGAAAATTTCAGGAGTTTATATGAGACAGAGGCTTAACACACAGCTTTGTTAATACGTTTTTTTCTATTTGTGTAACAAATATAACCGAATGAAAGCACTGCATTTATAGTCAATAAAAGATTTTTCTGAATCCCAATTTCAACACCACGCTGTACGACTGATTAAGGCTTCGCAGACGGTTTAAATCTGATCCCAGATCTCAGTAAAAGATGATTCCAAGAAGCATTCAAGACAAACAGAAGTCTGATGCCATTCGAGCCAGATGTTTAAGAGGCGTAATTTCATCTGTCTCCCCAAGATGTACGCAGCATCATCACGCTCTCATGCTGTAACTACATCAACACTGTAAGTAGTCATTTGAAACCCACTCACTGTCTCTGAATACATCCAAAGTTTGTCTTGTCTGTCTCCTCTTTCAACATCTTAAGTTACATAAGACATACACCAAAAGTGTTCAGATGAAGACAGAGAGAAATTGGGTTGCAGTGTCAAGAAGTAAGTGAAAGGCCAAACTGATCTGCAGCCCTTGAGTTTATTACTTTGAATACATTAAGACCATATCAGACTTAAGATCTGCAACATTAGAAGTGAAACTGTAAACTTGATGCTCATGTTGGACGTTCAGAAACCATGGTCCAATGTTCATGAACTTTCAATCTTAAAAAATGTAACCATGCATTTAGCAAAGCACTCCTATTACATGGTCAAACTCTTTCAGAAATTTGAAAAAGGACTGCCGTGCTCAAATCTGCAGCAGACAGGGTCTAAAATGACAAACATTTAGATGCAGATTGTGGCCAAATGACAACCTCTGGAGTTAAAAACTGAAACCAATGCAGGAATGCACAAAACTGCAGTTCCTTGAGTGTTCACTTGAGGCTGTCTCAAAGAGTGAAGGATTTCCTCAAATTAACATAAATGCCTCTTTTTTTTCTAGTTTAGTATGTTAATTAAATGCCAAGAGTTCAGCATAATTGAGCATGGCTGATTTTGCTAACAGGTGGGACACCAGCAGACAAGGCTATTGTCCCAACACCACCATTGTGCTTGTATCTAGCTGTTTCTAAAAACTAACATGAGAAGCAGCAACACCATACAGTCTTAAAGGCATGGTTGACGAATGGAGAAATTGGTAATTATTATGAACCTCGTTTATATGGTGATCATGGTCCTAGAGTGTGATCTCCACAACGCGAAGAGAAAAAAGAATGGAAAAGATGACCAATGGGAGCCATCTGTCCCAGACAGCTCCTATTGGTCAATCTCCTCTTCGAGTGGCTAAAAGTAGCATAGCAGCTTAGCTACAGGAGCTGTGATGGAGAAGGACGGGAATAAAAACCCCACTTCTGCTTGCCCCACCGCCAAAAGTGGGAAGAAAATGCAAGCCGACAGAAAAAAAGGGGCAGAGTTGGAGAGGAAATGTGACCAAGCGAGGAATCCAACTCGAATAAACATCGGGTCATCCTTCGAGCGGTGGAGAAAGCTCCGTCAGGATTTGGGCCTGAAAACAGACGCCGAGACAGCAGAGTTTTTATTGAACAGGTAATTTTTGCCTTTTATCGTGGCACATGTTACATAAATAACTCTGCAATGTCAACACAGTAGCTGTCCAGGCAGCTGCAGATGGCTGGCGTTTACTGTTGCTAGTCACTAGCATTACGACATGGTGAATCCTATTTGAAGCTAGCGTAGGATCTTCTGCCGGCCGGCTTCTTGCTCTGCCAGAGGGGGTGTGTCGTGGGAAGGTGGGCCGCTTTTTCCAAATCTGCCTCAACGGCTCAGATTTTTTCAACTGCTTCTCAAGTCGTCAACCATGTCTTTAATCGGGTTAATGTACCTGTATTGTTAGACTCAAACAGAGATGAGCGAGGGTCTACAGTAACCTCAGCTCCAACTGTTCATCTATTTCTAACTTGACCAGAAAATTATCGAGTCAGCTTTCCCAATGCAACTGCTGCTACTGTTTGGCTTTAAAACCCTCTTCAGAAACCAAAGGGAGACTGAGACTAAGTCCAAACAGAACTTTTTATTCTGTTTTCTCCCTTCTGTCTTAAGACGCCCTAAAAGCTTTATACATTTTGTATTTATGCAGTAGTATTTTCTAAGATCTTTAATCTGTGAAATGTCTGGAGATCCCTTTTAAAACCAACTCAGAAAAGCCTCATCTTCAGAAATGAATCAACAATTCAGAGAAGGACCTGATGAATGATCAAAAGTCTTCAAAAATCCACTGACGGACTCTTCAATACGATTGTTTTTTCAAACCCTTGTAGACTTGTCAAAGCTGTGTTATGACCCCAAGTAGCAGCCAGATTAATTCCTCAACATTATGAATACTCTCACATGGACACACACATTTTACTTCCCTGACATCTAACTGAACTCTGGGGAGATTAAATGCAAGTCAAATCCCCTGCTGGGGTTTAAAATCTCTGTTTGGATCTCCAATTCCTTCAAAGCTGTCACAGCCCTTCAGTAGATTCAGGAGGTGATTATCCGTGTGGCTATCCTCTGCCACCTCCTCCCAAAATCAAAATGCTCACTTTATTTTTTATCAGAAGAGGACTTAATATTTTCATGAAACAAAATAACTTTGAAAACTTTGATCAGTTCGATCTGCCAAGGATGAGACACAAACATTTTACATGCATTAGAAAGGTGTGTGACAGTTGGACTGATGGCTTTTTGAGGCCGTCACAGCTCCATGTGCTTCTTCTTTTGTTTCTCTGGACTTAAACTACCATGCTAGCCAGTTAGCTGATTATGCTCAAAAGCTCAGCCTCTTTCACACATGAGCCCCTGACATTTTCTTCATGATTTTAGGACAGTCAAGCTCTGTGTTCTTGATGTTTCTGCAGCACAAACAGTCAAAGTCATCATACCACTGAAGTGAGTATTAAGCAGTAAAACTCCACTCAAGATGAACAGCATCCCTCCAACTTTTGCTCACACTTTAGTTTCCCAAATTTTGCCTGTTGCATTCACACATGGATAGAGTTGGAAAATTCTGAGGAGTTTTGAGCATAAAAAAGCTCTGGTGTCTCCACAGCTCGTCACAGAGACAGAAAAGACATCAACTAATACAACCGCTCATATGGACCTTGTCCTGACTGATAGATAAACAAACACGTGGAGTATTATTACAGCTACTTTCTAGGTGAATGTCTCCAGTACAAATACTGGTATGAATTTTGCTTGGTTAAATAGGATTGCTTCAACATTGAATCAAAAATATTTTTGCCACTTCATTTGGGTTCATATAAAAAGCTGTGACCAGATTTTGCGACACCAAAGCATCAAGGTAACAAGTTGTCTCGCACAATAAGAACACAAGACGAAATGTCCTGCATTTTAAACAACAAGGCACCTGCCTTGTCCTCATTTTCATGTACTCAATATCGTGTAAATTATTCTAAACTCATGGTTTAATTCATAACTTTGTTTTGCCTGTCTTAAAATATGCATTTTCTGAAGCCCAGAGAAATGTCTTATTTATCCAATCAAAAAGATATTCACTCACTATCAAAAACACAGAGCAGCAGTAAGTCCTTGGAGAAGGAAAACCAAACTTTAAAACATTTGCTTAAAAAAGAAAAAATTACACGACCTTCTTCAGGGAAAAGACATAACACGGAACAGAAGCTAAAATTGCAACACACTCATCATCTCGATGCACCTCAAAGAAACCTGAACCAGCATCATTTTCTGACTGTTAACAGGTCAAGAAAAAACTTCCACCCCAACCTTCTTTTAGTCTGTCTTATCACTGCATGCTCATCTGAAAGCTATTGGTATTTGGTGAGCCAGGAGGGTAAAAACAGAGACTAACTGATTTCTAGAGTTGGTTGGCCTCAAGGCTGCAGCTGTGGTTGAAGAGCAGAGGGAGAGAGAGAACAAAGACGTAGCAGTTAAGAGAGCATGAGATGAAAGGATGACAGGGAGAAGGAGATGACAGAAGGAGATAGAAGTGTGTGTCTTTGTACGTGTGTGTGTGTGTGTGTGTGTGTGTGTGTGTGTGTGTGTGTGTGTGTGTGTGTGTGTGTGTGTGTGTGTTGGGATAAGGGACAGTATACAGTATGTTATGCGTGTGAGGGGGCAGTGTGTGTGAGCAATAAGGCCGAGCTGCCTCCAGGAGATTCACTCTCACTGTCACTATGATCAGACTGCAGCTTCACAACAACAACAACAACAACATAAACACACACACACACACACACACACACACACACACGTAAGCACGCTGTCTTTGATTTTATCAAATAGATGTAGATGGAAAAACATTTGGCTCAGTAAAATACTGACACAGAGGAGCTCTGGATTTCTGTGCAGCAATGTGAAATTATTCAACATGAAAAATTAGAAGGTCAAAACTGGAGAAAAAAAAGAAAGTCATGTGCAGATTCATTATCTCATGCACATTAAAATCTAGTTAGTATCTTGGCCAGTAACATGTTTTTGAAGTTCCTTATAATGAATCAGTCGAAAGGAGAAGATTTGGGATTGTGCTAAGGATTACAGAAAACAGCTGATATCGCTGCCAGACTGCTTTATTCTACACATCATAACAGAATCAGTGACTGTTGCAGATTTGATATGCTATAAATAGGTGATGAGAAAAATATGTTTTTAATTGGACAAAAAGGTCCTGGTGATATCAGCCTTGTGGGGGCCATTTCAAATAGGGCCAGAAAAGCTGCTTCCCTCTTCATAGAGTTTCTCGACCAGGTGTCGGCTCCAGTTAAGAGTTGAAGTTTTTCAGATTTTTATCCACCAAAGACTAACATGCTCAGAGTCAGCCTGGCTGCCAGTATAAGCTGGGCTAATGCCACTGTTAGGCATTGAGGCCAATTGTCAGTGTGAGTTTTAAGAGGTTTAAAAACACCAGTGGTTTCAAAGTATCACTGCAGATCAGAGAGTTGGTTGGTTATATAAGAAAGACACAAAATGAAACCTAAGATCTGCTGGACTACTGTGTTTTATTTTTCTGTGTGAATTCATGTAGTGTTACATCTGCCAGTATCCACCATTGTTGCCCAACATCTCTACCATTTGTTGCAGGAATGGAATTAATCGCAGTGAGGTGATAATATTGAACTTTTCCTGATATTGCAGAACCTATTTTCTTTATAATTTTGCCCCTGACACCTGAATCTATAGCAAGAGCACGCAACTCACAAAGATAAGCCAAGAAAGTCAGAATCAACAGCATCAAATAAGAGTAATCACACAGGTTCACAGGCTTATGCAAATAAAGCCAATGCAGACATGTAATTTTTAATGCATGTGTATAGAATATATGGAGGTTGTTGTCTTTGTTCTGCATCAGCTCGCAGGATGAGTTATAAAAAGGGGGGCAGGGTGGATGAGAACATAAAGAAGCAGGAATAGCCATATGTAGTTTAAAGAATAATTTCCTCTTCCAAAAATGCACACGAATCTATAAATTACCACAAACCAAGCACACACATTAATTTTATAGGACCTGGCATGCACACACACCCTCCTAGATACACACACTCTCGTGTACACATACACACACACACAGGGCTGCAGGGTGTGCCCAGCATCAGCGAGGGTACTCTCTGTGCCTGCTCTCTTCCTCCTGGTGCCCTCATTGGTTCCCTGCCCAATCCGGCCATCCAATCACATCAGGCGGAGCGAGTCTGTGCATAGACTTGCAAATAATCTGCGCTTTTACAATAACACCCAACAACCACCACCATTATCCCTGTTTCTGCCTCTGTTTCCTCGCTGTTGTCCTCCAGAAAGTGTTGCCGTCATGTGATGAATTTCAATCACCTGACAACTTAGACTTCGCACAGCTACTAGAAACTTCTACCCTCCAAACGTTCCTTTTTTTTGGACTACTTAAATTTATCCATCCTTTCAGAGCACCGTGTTTCACATGTGGACAATATTCTATTTTTGTGGCTTTGCAAAATGCATCTGTAAAAACTGTTGTTGTTTTCCTGAGCCCCGTCATTTAATAGAGTAGAGGCTTATAAAGCTGTAGTGAATTATTAAGCAGGGTGAATTATGGGGCTGGAGCGAGCGAGTAAGAGAGAGATAGAGAGAGAGAGAGAGAGAGAGAGATAGACAGAGAGAAAGAGAGAGAGATAGAGAGAGAGAGAGAGGAGAGCGAGGTCTGGACAAAAATAGGTCAACCTAGCAGTGGCAACCCAGGGAAGTAGAAATGATTCTCTCTCTGAGGAGGAGCTTTATGTGTGTGTGTGTGTCTGTGTGTGTGTGTATCAGGGGAGACTGCGTATTTGTCAGCAGCTCGTGGTGTAATGCTAATTCGTACCCCACAACAAAGAGAAATAAAAAAGGAAAGGAAAGGTTCCCACCGTCAAAGCCACAAAGAGCAGTAAAAGTCATTACACAGGTATGTGCTGTCAGCACAATTAAACACAGACTCAACAAATGAGAAGAGGTGAGCCTGAATTAAATTCTTCCTGATTAGCACCAACAACATAATAATTTCATGAGTTTAACCTCCAGTTCTGTAAACTTGTAATCTAATGAATCCATTTGTGTTTATAATCAGTCAAATGTTCCTGTTTTATCGCTCTACTCTTTCATTTTTTATTATCTAATTTCAAATCTTTTTCATGATATTAAAATTGAAGGTCTTCACTGAAGGTTTACCTTGAACATAAACAGGCATCTTTAAGGTGCCACTTGTTCATTTAGAGATATGTCTTTCCCGCTCTCATTTATCTCTCTCAACCAGCCAGATTTATTTCTGACCCTCAGATGGGGTCAACAGTTACGGTACACTTTGACAGGATGTTAAAACAAATAAATAGGAGCCAATAAATATAGAAAGATGATACTTTTATAGCCTTTCAGTCTTCACATTTCATATATTTATTGGACATCAGGGGCGGCACAACTCAAGTAAAATCTTGGAGTGTTCAGTTTTAATAAACAGCCGGCTACATCTTAGTTTTTCCAAACCACACCAAACCTTTTAACAAAAATTTGAGCTTTAGTGTTTTTCTCCTGTTCAGCTACAAGCACATCGAAATGGTTCTGGTGCTAAATTCTTAAGCATCCAACGCTCAAACCAAGATATGAAAGAGTCTTCCCCAATCTGTCGCCCAAAGTTTTTAAAGATACATGTATCCTTTCAATACCAAGTAGAAAAAGGTATTTAGTAACTTTTTTGGACCACTGTGCACACTGTAAATATTCTAAGTAATAAAATACTGAAGAAAAGTTTCAAGATATAAACCCCATGCATATATTGAAAAAATCACTCACCTGAATTTGCCTAATTTTCATGCCATGATTACCACTGGGAAGTTCAAACTTACTCATATTCATTATTTCATGAGGGTTGAAAAAACACCAAGAGAAGTTAAGATCAAAGCCATGTTTTAAAAAGTTTTAAGTCTTAAATTTGTCATTTTGGCTTAAATACACATCACAAAAAGACTTCATCATTATTACCATCAGCTGTTATCTCCTACTGTCATCAAAACCTGTACACTCTAGCAAAGATGCCCTGGCCTTAGCAGGTCTCAAGATCAAACAGATGAACCACTGATACCTGAGAAAGCTCTGCTTTTCACACTGTGAGGAACAAGGTTCTGCTAAGGAAGCTCCAGTGATTCATCTCGCCTCATTTTCAGTCCAGTCCAAAAAATCCTCAGCTTGAAAATAAAGATAATCAGTCATACTGTATAACTTCAGACACATGGGTCTTTCATGAGTTTCAACTATTTTCCAACAAATATTACCTCTTTAGAAACAAATATCAAAATACCGTTTATAGGGACTTTAAATTAGTTAGCTGCACACTACTCAGATTTTAAAGAAGTGTTTAAGTTCTCCAGATTGTTTGGTCAGGGTGTAAAAAATCTGAGAGTTTCAGTGGGAAAATTTGCACTTCTGACCCCAGTACTTTAAAAATCCTGATACCAGTACTACATTTTCAAAAATCACACCATGCATACATTTCATTATTTTCTTAATCCAGTCAGACTGCTCTATTCAGGTCTGTGATTTACCGTCTATATATAATCTGTTGGCTCCTATAGCTGCTGCTCACATCAAAACCCTGCTCGTGCTGTACTGCAGCAGAGACACAGCAGTTCAACAAGAGTTCAGGGGAAACGCAAGAGTAGTCTCTCTTCATTTTTGGTACTTTCCCATTCTTTCACTCTATAATCAATATTTTGTAATCGGTGAAATTATTGGCTACTACAGGCGAACCCTGACGTCTCTTCAGTCACTCGTTCGGTGAGGTACAGATCCGCCAGTTGTTACCAAACAGCTGAAAGCGTCACCTCCAAGCTGTGCCACTGCCACCCCGCCCTGTGTGAAACTGAGTGTGTGTGGAGGATGAATTGTGCGCTCTTGAGTGTGTGTTTGCAAGACACCACTGTTGTGTATTTGTGGTTACATGTTTGAGTGTATGTGTACCTATGAGATGAAAATACACACACCCTTATCTGTTTTCAATGGTTGTGTCTGTGACAGGGTGAAGAGGTTTATGTGTGTGTGTAAATGTGTGTGTGTGTGTGTGTGTGTATATATGTGTGTGTGTGTGTGTGTAAAAGTGAGAGAGAGAGAGAGGAGAAGCATGACCTACATTTGGCAAAGCTCATCGTATGAGCATGAAACTGCCTAACATCACCCCAGAGCTCCTCAGCACGGAGCCACGCGATTGGCTGCTTTCAGCTCCAGCCTGACAACAGCACTGGCATCACCCAGGGGGAGGGGGAGGGGAGAGAGAGAGGGGAGAGAGAGGAGGACATGGGGAGGAGGTACATACATTAAATCCAGAAAGAATAAAAGATGCAAATAGATGATTGCATGGAAGCAGGAAAGAGATGAGGAGTGTGAGTGTGAGGTAAAGATGCCAATTAGAGACTGTGAGGCTCACTGAGGTGCAGATGTGTGTTTGTGTGTTTCTCTGTTTTAAGGGAAGAAATATAATCAGTCATGTTTGAGTAACCACCTGCTCTGTTAGAAAAAGGTGATCCACACAAGATATACGTATTTAAAATAGAGAAATATGTCTAAAGACATGACAACACAGTTTGGACCACCACTTCAAGGCAGGACCACAATATCTCAGAAACTACTTGATACCAAATTTAACACAATCACTCATAGTTCCATGTGGATAAATCCTGATGATTTAGAGATCCCCTGATTTACCAAGAGGCCCTACAGTGAGGTTCAATTTCATCCTTTTCAAGCAAAACATCTTAACGAAAAGTTCCCTGAGGATAAACCGTAGTTACCTCCACTTTGGATGCATCATTGGGGATTTTTTCAGATAGTTAAAGACAAATTCTTGAAAAAAGAATCATTCCTATAGTCCTGCAACTTCAGCCCCTCCTTATTGTAGGTATTGATTTACAAATTTGCAAAAAACCCACCTCTTTCCCTGAACACCCTCACAGAGCTTTAAACAGTTGACTCCTAGTAGGTGGAGCCCAATTATCGTTTAATGTCCCCATCCTCATGTCTATTGTCTAAGTACTGACTTCAATAGCACTGAGTGTGCAGTGTGTGAGGGCTTGAGATGGTTTTCAAAATAGTGTTTTTATATTTAAGCAAACTAACAAAAAAAATTACAGATGTTTAATGCGCGCATCGTTACTGCGCAGCTCTGGTTTCAAGGAAGTGGAGAAAAACCCGGAAATATCGAGAGCTTCTTGGCTTCAAATCCGTATACAGGCGGAAGGCAGAACCAGGTTGTCCATACTATATACAGTCTATGTTACTTACACAGAAATGCAGGATGGAAAGTGCATAATATGGTATTATGAAGTCCATACTGTAGAGTTTACACGCTTGATGATATGACAGTGGGGCAGCAGTAAACACTTAGAGGCTTTTGGATTGGGTATTTGACTTTTTCTCGCTGTGGAGAGTTTAGGTAAAGGTCTATTTCAGCTCGTCTGCTGAAATGATATTAAAAACTCCAGACACTGTTCAACACACTTTCTCCTTACTGTTAATAAGTTTAATCGTTTTTTTTTACAGCCACATGATTGTATAGTTCAAGGCTAGTAACCAGTGGCGAATAATGAGTGCACTGCCCTTTTATTGTTAAGAGTAGGGGTCGAGTCTGTCTTAGTATGACTAAGGTTAGGTGTTAGGCATGTACAGTTAAAGGTTCAGACAAACACCCTTTGCTCCTACCTTTTGGCCCTACACTTGCATTTTGCACATTCATGTCCAGGGGTTAAGTGTTCCTGTTCTTGTCAGGATGGAGGGGTGGAGCAAAATGTTTGGCTACACGGCCCACCAAAAAGAGGAGATGCACACTCCTAGCAGAGAGTTATTAGAAACCTGATTTGTGAATCATTGTTAAGATTGCTTTAACAGTGACTAAAGACATGCACAAATAAATGTTCTTACCATGTTTTAAAATGTCAGTTTAACATTGTTTTGATGAATTGTAGTCCTTTGCTTATATACCAGCTTTGAAAATAGTCACTAAAATGTTAATATCTTGGTAAAACAAGCAAGCAAGCTAACTTCCCATCTGTTTATGAGAATGCCATTGATGCCAACTGATGGTGTATCAGGGTCTTGAGGGGTTTTTCACATTTTGTAGAGGAAGGTTTCACTACCTACCCCTTTAACTCTGTTCTGAGGAGCCAAAGACAACTAAAAATGAGGTGTAGGGGTAAAAATGAGAAGAAGGTTTGAGTCAAAATTTCCAGGGAATGAATGTGAGTCAATGTAGTGTCATCTCTTGGAGAGAAAAAAAGGTGTGCACATGTTCTATATTAGTGTGTTTGTGTACTGAGTTTGGTACTTAAGTCATGTGATCTGTCACAGTAGAGCAGGGATCTGTAGCATGGCACCTCCAGAGCGGACAAACACACACATATACACACACACAAACACACTTACACACTCCCTCTTCTGCCTCTGTGTCCCGTTCTGTCTGTCTCCCTTCTCTCCCTCTCTCTCTATCTCTATCTCTCTTTCCCTGAGATCCCCAGGCACAAGGCATTATGGGAATCACTCTGGCATGGCTCTCGCTCTTCACAGCTTTAATCTTTAAGTTGTTTCCATAGAAACGACTACATTCACTCAGTTGATAACTGTTGGGATGATTTCTAAAGCTATAGAAGAATGTCCTCACAGAGCAGAAACCTCCCCCACAAACCAACAACTGAGGAGCGTCTTAGTCATTACGGGCTCATTGATCCATTAATTATAAATAATGAAGAGTCAGTATTGACGATGCCAGACATGCAGGACCAAAGTAACTGCTTCCACTTGATACTTTTAACCTTATTGTCTGTCATCCACTGCAAATACCATTATTGTGTTATATTTGATGGAAAGCAGATAATCAAATCTCCATTGTTATAATATGAACGTTAAGTGACCTGTTATGGATAATGTGTTAAGAGGACTTTCAGCCCATCTCGGGTTATTTCAGGTTGAGGAAGCACCCCCTCCTCCTCCCCATCATGAGGAGTTAGGTGTTTTCTCAGTTGCCTTAAAAGCCCTCTTCCCTCTCTCATCCTCTCTCTCTCTCTCTCTCTCTTTGGTGTGACATGTACCATGCACACACTCACACACACGCGCGCACACAGAGTGTCACACCCACAAGCCTCAGCCACTGTTAAATACTAGTATCAAAAAGTAGGCTTATATTCTGAGACACGTATCTCCAAAATAATAAACATTTAATAGACTTGAGCGCACACGAAATGTTCATGCACACAAATACACACATCCATTCACACTATGACCAGCAGCAGGAGTCCTCCTTAACACACGTGCACAGCAGGAGATCCCCCCTTCCTGCATATGTGCCGGTTTCCATGGAGACACGTAGTTAAAAATAACATGGGCGATGGCTTGTCTCGTGCCATTCCGCCAACATGGCTGAAGCACTCACAGACACGTACATCACACACACACACACACACACGCGCACACACACACACACACACACACACACACACACACAGTGGCACCGAATGATACTTGCTGAGGAGTGTTTGATGAGCACACACAGAACAATATGACAGCATGACCACACACACACACACACACACACACACACACACACAAATACACACACACTCTATGACCATCACTGTTGGCATGATAAGGATGTGCTACCGATCTATAGAGAGAAGATAATTCTCATTTCCATTCATTCCTAAAAACAAGTGAAAATAACATTTAAGAAGGTAAATCACTGGACCTAGTTCCCACCAATCAGCAGCAGTTGCAAGTATTAAAAACGACCATAGAAACACGAAACCTTGATGTTTGCTATTGTAGTTTATACAGAAGCATCAACATCAATTTCAGTTCTTTTTAATAAACAGCAGAAAACTCCATACAGGACCTTTACGACATGTTGGCTTGTTGACGCGTCTTTGACAGTGTCCATTTAGACAGCATTGGGGCTCTACAGCACAAATTTATCACAAATCAGGCTTTTTCATATAACGCAGCATGAGATAAAGACATTTTACAGGTATGAGTGCTATTTTCAAGTGGGTACATAGTTTAGATTAAAAGAGCTTTCTGACCATCAACGACCATTACACTTAAACTGACCAGGTCCACATTTCTCTTTTCTTTGCAATACATAAAAAAGGGTCGCTAATTTCTGCATACCGAGGTCTTAAAGTCCGCCAACTATTGCTCTGATTTTAATGTTGTGTTCCTTTTAAACTAAAGAAATAAATCAGCATTTACAGAGTCTGAAATCCAGACAGAAGAGCGTTAATTTAACTAGTTAGTAGCATCAGAGCGAATGTCATGGAGGATTCAGCTTATAGATTAGAAATGATCTGAAAGACAGCATAAGAATAGAGGAAACCAAAGCAGTTGTAGCTTCCTGTACCTCAGACATCATAAGTGCTTGACATTGTGTATTTGTGTGTATTTTCATAAACTCATACATCTTTGTCGGTTTTTCTATTCAGGTAAAATTGACAGAAATTCGTATTCTCTAAATAGACAAGAACAGAACAGTTCTCCTTCCCCCCCTTTACGCTGCTCTATTATTCTCTCCATATTTCCTTCCCTGATTACTGCCTCTTTAGGAACAATGCTGCAATATTGATGAGGTTTGGGGAAATACAGAAGCCTCAAAAAGTGTGAGCAAGGAGAAGAGGCCCTACAACAACATGAGATGATAAAACATTTATCCACTGCTGTTGCCGCTTTTCTCGGCAACCCTGTGTGTCCACTGGAAACACATGAGGGTTTTTAGTCACTCTCCTATTGTTTTTATGCCCCACCCTGGCATGTAAGGTACCAGGGTCCTCTTTTTCACATAGCAACAAAACATTTGCTGCTATAAATCAGGACATTTTTGTGGGATTTTTGCCTCATGAAGCTGACCCACCACCACAATTCACTTGAGCCAGACAGGTTAAGACTTCACTGGCTACCTCGGTTATTTTACCTCGTGTCCTACATGACCAGCTGTGCTGAAACAGGGATCACCTCTCTATTCATTTCTGCTTTTGTGTGAATGTTTCCTTGTTCTCAAAAATTGAAGCAGTTATTAAACTCATCAACTTTCCAGAAGTTAATACCTCTAAATGTTCAGAAGAGCTACAGGAAGAAATTCATGACAAATCATCTCTGGTGGATTATTCAGTTTTAGTATATACATTATAATGAAAAAAAGTGTTTTAAATTATAGCAGTTATGTGATTTGAAGGAATACCTTATCCTTTTAGTGGGGTTGTTTGAGGTACTCATCAATAGTGGCTGCTTTGTTGAAAAACTGGCTGAAGAACTAGATACACTAGATAGGCCTTTAACAGCTGCAGACAGAGTCAGCTCTAGCTAATTATAAAATTCTATGTGTATTTATCAGACAGTTTCACTATCAATCTGGGAGTCAGTGAGTTTAGCTTTGAAGCTTGAATAAAATACAGCTTACTGAATAGTGAAATAAATGGAAATATGTGGTTTTGCTTGTTAAACTGACTCAAAGCAATTAGCTCAACTTGGAAAATGTCAGACTATTCCTTTAACAAAGAGGCAATAAAGCAACCTGAGTTGCTGATCTTCCCTCTTTACAGTATGTCAGTTATGAGATAAACATGTGGAAGCTCTTACAAACCACTAAAACAGTCAAACAGGATTGACTCCATGTCTGTGCAGTATCAGTGTTTTGCCACTAAGGGGCAGCGCAGCAGCACTTTGACTGGAGTGAATGCATACTGAATAAACAGTAAAAGCAGAGACAGGAAATAATCCTGGAACATTTAACCTGCTGTTTTGTTGTAGAGATTTTCTGTGGCTGAGTGTGACGTGGTGAAGGTTATAAATAAAACTTTGAGCTTTATTGTTGGACTCAGCGACTCGACTAATTACAGGCAGACCTCAAGCCTTCATACAGCTGTGTACACACACTCACTACACACACTCACTTATTATAACATGAATGCTGTGCAGGTCAGAGGGGCAGAACAGAGGGACTGTGGAGGGAACAATAGTGCAGGTGTGCAGCTTGGGAAGGGAATGGGGCTGGTATGGTTTATTCATTGTGTGAGGCAGCGGGATGGAGACAAAAATATAGTAGAGCCAATACAGGGTGGGATAAAAGTGAGGTATTTCATGCATTATATATACGCCAATCTGAGAGTGCCATAAAATATACAAAAAAGTGTGTTTTAAGTGTCTTTAAGGATAGCCTCAGCTCCTCAAACCATTAGAGCTCCATCCAAGAGGCTCAGGTTATGAGGCTCAAATGTGGTTAAAGACCCGTCCCGATGTTTCAAGGATCACTCAATATCATGACTGACAAACAACCCCAGGGACGATCCGCTATTAAAGACCTCCCAGCAGCCCTGTTTAGAGAAACTGCTGTAAGTAGCCGAGGGAAACCACAGGTCGTATCCATATTCACAAACATGTTCGACCCTGCTGGAGCTGATGTTGACCACTGGGGTGAAGCGTGTGCAGACACGTGGTGGTCCCGCATGTGTGTTTGTGAATATTTTCAGTCTGTCTGAGATGTTCCCGGCAGCAGTGGGAGGCTGAAAGCTCCTCGAGCAGACTGCCAGCTCTACTCCAAAGTCAGTGAACTGCCAGAGCTCCAGATTACAGCAGATTACCGGGCAGGGTGCTCGTACACTCTCCCTGTCACTGCTTTTGTGTGTGTGTGTGTGTGTGTATGAGTCATGCTGTTTACTTTGCTAGCACATGGGGATGTTGTCCCTTCATAATTGGTGTAGATGAACAAGTTTCCTGAATTTTATTGACTAAATTAACTTTGCTCTTTTCAAACTGTTGTCAAAAACCTCCAGTTTGTGCCTTAATATCTTCAAAAATTATCCTAACTTCACATGAAAACAGACGCCAGTATACCTGCTCAAAGCCAGGTGCTCTCACTACCTTTCATAAACTCATACAAGCATTCACACTTGCATCCTTAGATCATCTCTCTATGGTGGATGAGATTGAAGGATTGAACACGTGATACATATTCCCAGCATGAGGTGGATTAATACATTAATACTTTGTGGCTGAACCCCCTCCACCCTCTCCTCCCTTCACATATTACTGCATCATAAAGAGATTACGGTCAGGGACAGGCCATGCCCAGGCAGGACCCTACCATCTGACACCAGCAGACGGGGGTGACTCAGAGGAAACAGAAATGGGACAGAAAATAGTTTGAGTTTGTGGTGATGCATAAGGGTATCAATCCATGTGGTGCACTGTCACTACCTGATAGCTCAAAGTGAAATGTAAGCCTTTCATATAGAGCAAAATACTGTTTCTTTCCAGTGTCGTATTGGGTCATCTAAAGAGAAGAGAGAGATGGGACAGCAGGTGGGTGAGGAGGTAGAGGGGGAGGGTCTGCGTCTGCAGATGTGGCCAGTCTGAATGCTGGACTTGCACAGGAATGTTTTAGAGGGGTCCGAAGGAGTGAATAAGTCCGGGTTATCAAGGGACAGATGACCAGGAGTTTGCAGGAGGAAAGGAGGAGTGACAGTGAGAGAAGACAAAAAGCCAAACAAGAAGCAAGAGTGGACAGCTGCTGATCATGGCTCTGGCCTGTCTTGGTCTGGGCTGCGCTCCTGTGCAAACCAAAGGTACTGTCGGTGACATCAGTCTGTTCCTGTTATCATTGTTTACGAAGTTTGACTGCTTTTTGTCAAGAAACGACTTAAGTATAACGGTCAGTTATTATTCTGACAGTCCTGCTGTGCGAGACTTATTCACACGTATCTACTTGCTTATGAAAAGATGTAATTTGAGCTGTTAATGCAAACAAACAAGATTTAGGGTTTAAAGATACTTTTTCATTCTTTAGATCATGCGCTAAGTGAAATGTCAAACACTATCTTTAGGAATGCAAAAACTACCCAACAAAACGGGGATGGTATTTTTCTTTTTTGAAGAAAATTTGAAGTAAAATTTTAGTTATGACACAGAGGGAAAGAAATATCAACATTTCTATATGATGATACTATTCAGGAGAAAAAATGAAGAAGACTTCGGGATAATTTCTCATATTTTCTTTCTGTAATGAGTGGTGGCCATGATAGCAGAATAAAACTTGAGAGACTTCAGTCGTACTTACGGATGTACCAAACAAAACTGGCAAAATGATTTGGGTTCAATTTTATCTCATTTTTACCTCTACCCTTTGAAACTGTCCAACAGAGTCAAAAGGAATAACAGGGAAATCTTTACCTACAAAATGGGACAATCCATTTCATCAATGGTCATCAAGGTGTTAAAATAGGCGACTACTAGCTATTTACACTGAGACATCAGCATCACAGCTATTGTTTTAGACCATAATACACTGAAACAACATTAAACTATGACAGAGAGGAGATTTTTGTAATTTTGAGATTTCAGTAGAGAAAACAAAATGTGTATTTCTTGGTAATGACTCTCAACACATTCTGAGAAATTACTTATAACACTCGGTTTGCTGTGTACTTCTGAGAAAAAAACTCAATTTCAACAGCCATGAAGCCCTAACCTCCCCCAATCTCAACAAGAATCAGGACACCCTACTTCGTCACGCAGTCACGAAGGAGCATGGGATGATTTCGGATCAAGCCAAAATGTACTACTTGGTCCACAGGGGTTGCCAAAATCAACTGAAGCCAAAAGATCCTCACAGAAGTGTTCATCATTTAGTCATTTCTGTGTCACATTGCCTCATGTCTTCTACTATTGAACTAAAGCTATTTGGGTTAGTTGGCCAAGGGAACGCATTTGAAAATGTCACTTTGTGTTGTGGGACCTTCATCTTTGATGTACTTTAACAATGAAAACAGTAACTGTAAGATTAATCACTTTAGGAAACCGTTGTTCACCTTCTCCAGAGAAATGGTATGGATCATTTTAACAACCATTAAGGGAGGAAACAGTACATGAAACAAAGAGCAGATAAAAAGCACAGACTGTTGTGTTGTCTGCAACATTGTACACAGTTCATCAAAAGTAGCAGGACTAATAATAGAGGGAAAACGCATGCATCGAAACAAAAAGTGAATATTACTGCTGGTAATGAGGTGAGGTGGTGCGTGATGTGACTACTGAGCCGCTGTACACCCACTAACTGTGCTCAGTTTTCCCTCTGCAGAACTGGCCGGCTAGTGTATCTTATATAACAGCTGTCTACTACAACAAGATTCTGCAGCTACTGCTATAGGGAGTGTACCGCCTGACCCAGATACACCCTAATACATTCTCCACTAATGACTTACATTCACTCACATCTGGACCACTGAGAGAGACAGAGGGTTGCAAAATGATATAGCTCTAATAGACAGAACAATAATAAAGCAGTCTGGTGTCTTATTTTAAATGTAGATGTTACAGATGATTGTGCCTTGTTGTTTCTCTCTTTAGTAGCAAACTCAGGCTGTTTACATGATGGCGGTGCTTATGACCCCTACCCTCTTACTTTATTGTTTTATCATAATTATTGTTGGTTTATTTTCTTCTTATTGCTTGTTGTGCTTTATGTCTCCTTGACATTATTCTTCACCCTGACAAGTTTGTTAAATCTCATAAAGCTTTAACTTGCAGATAGGATAGAAAACTGATGCAGTGCTCGGGCAGTAAAAATAGATCCATGAGCAGGATGAGGACTAAATGGCACCAGTAAGAACATTGGTACATCTAATCTCATTAAAGCCTCTTCATAGCGTTTGTAGGTCAGATGGCTCTCTTGACATACCACCACATCTATTGTCAAAATTTTGGGCCCATAAGGGATTTTTTATTTTGCTCTGCTGTGGCATAAAAAAAACTTGGGTAAATCCTGACTGTCAGGAAAACCCCAAGGGCTCCTACCTTCCAGTCAGTGATTGATGGTTGCACCAGTTGACATGGTTTCCACATAAGTTACACCTTCATACTTAGACCTAACTCTCAGTAGGTGTAAAGCCCCTGTAATAGACCAGTTGTCATAGTACATTATTTTGAAAAATGGGATAATTTAGAGGAGGAGAAGCAGGGAATGTTTTGTGTCGATGTGTTCTCCTCAGTAGATTACATGATTTAATAATGTATGATGACTTTGATCTGTACTCCTGCTTTCACTCTCCACAAGCAGAGATATTTTCATCTGCACAGTAACAGAGTACTGTTATATTAATTCTTTTTTTGGTTAACAATTTCACCATACCATATCTCTGTTATTTCCCACTGTAGATTGATTATACCCTTATCATAATACCTTGTCATATTTTACATGTGTTTATGTTGCTGTAAGTCGATTAAAATGAATTCATCACAGTCCTTTTCCGGTAGGTGGTCAAACTGACAGAAAATGTATTTTCATCAGTGATATTTTGGTTCGTTTGTACGTTAAACTGTTCAAGTTAAGATGAACCTCATGTCTGCATAGTTCAACTTAAAGGGATACTCCGGCATAAATTTAAGTTATGGTCGAACACACCATAACACAAAGTTAGACACCCCCTCCACAGATGAATGTTGCTCACTGCTTGCTTCTTTAGTTACGTCAACTTTAGCAACGACGGCACGATAGCAATACGCGGCGGTCTACATCTCCACGCGCAAACCTCAACCAAAAAGCCACTCTATAGCCACAAATAATACTCAGAACAGTGCCTAACTTTATCAACAGTACATATATGGTCCCAGCCATAGTACTAGCAATCAAACATCGTTTTAGCTTTGCCTAATTTCTTTAGCAAAGAGACTAAACACAACTCAACCACTCTACCGAGTCAATCACCCCAGAAAATTTATGATTATCACTTCATGGAAATGCAATCAGACAGTAATACACATTCAAGATACACAAGAACTCTGATAGTATTTCCATGAAGTAATCATCATAAATGTTCTTCCTTGAGCTGCGAAACTCCACTGCTCTCTGTGATAAACTTGATAGAGTTAAAGAAGGAAAAAAGTTATGTAGGCGTTCATGTTACAAACCAAATCTGATGCAGCTCTTCCTCCTGTCCAGGCAGTAGGATTTTATGAGGACTCTCAACACCCTCATAAAAGTAAAGGTTAATCACAGTTAGTCAACCTTTTCATCCATCTTTCTCTTTTTAACAATCTTTTCTCAAATTTCTATCCTTGAGTAGTTCTTTAAATCCCCTCTCCCTTCCTCTTTTCTATCTAAAAGTATTTATTGCAACCTGCTGTTTAAAACTCAAGCATCCTTTTTTTGTTTGAGACAAACATTTTTCATTTAACTGTTACTGCAAATCTGGATACTGCAGTGATTTGGTGCTACCCTCATCCTAGATGCAGCCCTCTATCAAAGATTTTCAAACATAATTATCTAAACTTCATCAGAGTTTCCTCAGGGGTTAAACATTTTTCGAGATTTTCATTTGATATTGCTCTGGAAGAGTTTTTAAACTGATCTGATTCTGTGAAATGCTACTGCCCTCTCTGTATATCTGTATTTCTTCACTATATTGTGTCTTGTGCCCTCTTTCTTTGCTGTACCTCCTCTATTGGTGCTGTTGGCATGCAAGTCCTGATGATGACGGTGCAATCTGCTGACACTGCACCTGCAGATTTCAGGAGGAGGGGAAACAGATGCAGGGATACAGTAAGAAGAGAGATGGTGGCTGAACACAAAAAGAGGGATAGAGACTGTGCATTAGTTGAGAGTGTAAAAGTGCTCAGCCAGGTTTAGATTGTCCCTGGATGTTTTACGAGATGGGCAACACCCAGCACAAGACTCACAAAAATCAGGTGCAGAAAAGAAAGAAGAGGTGCAGAGCAGCACGAGCAAGACAAGAGTGTAACAATGCAGGTAGGACAGAGAGGTGGAATTTATTAGATTACAAAATATTAAGATTTTTCTGCATGTTCTCTTTTCTGAGGGCTGTCTGAGATAATGATATAAACTTTGATTCCAGCGCTGCATTATTCATGTTTTGCTGAGTGTTTTTGGAGTCATGTGCTTTGCTGCCTGAGGGAAGGTCAGTGAGGTGCTGAGCAGAGTGGTCAACACTGACAGACCCTGTGTAGACCAGTTAAACTGTTACTGAAGGTGTTTGTTTAGTGAAAATAAGAAACTCTGCAGTATTTTCAGTCTTTGTGGGTCAGTGTTATAAGTCCAAAAATGTTGCTTCCCTGGTGCCACGAATTTGAGCTTTTTCGATGACTTATGTAAGGGCTTTGTTTTCAAAAGGCTGGTTTTATATCCATCCGTTTTGGAGGAGAGCTCTTGGTGCTGCTGACCTCATCTCTGAGGTTAAACACTAAACTTGAGTTTCATTATCGTGACTATTTATCCGATGAGGAAACCTGAAACCACCAACCAAATATAAACTTCAACAAGCTAAATCTGAGTGTTTGAGATAAACAAATGATATTTTCATCGTGTAGGTTCAGGAGAAGCAAATGTGATAGGATGTTTAAAGGCTGTTTTCTTTTATTTGTTGAACAGCAAAGTTTTAATATGAGATTTTATTCATAGATTGAACTTTTTCATTTTATTCTTGAGTTGCTCTTTCTGACTCTTTTTTTTTTTTTTGTCTTTTAGTCATTTTTTCAAACCTTCGACTGGACCTTTTTTTAAATGCTTGTTTATAAATAGTCTCAGTATAGCCCTGCTGCCTCTAAGTCACCTGGGAAACTTTTTTAATGGCTGTCAATGAGTTGCTTTGCATGTAACACCCAAAAAAGTCTCTTAAAGTTCTGCTAAGCAAAGTTTCACAAAGAGTGGGGTGATAGACAGTTAAAAGGAACCAAAGGGAACTTTCTATTGGGGTTTTGTTTGCATGCAAATGACAGGGTCAGCAAATAGGTTAGATACATAGCTTCCAAAAAGGACACTAAATAAAAAGTTTTTCATCACTGCTTTAAGTTTTAAATCATAATAGTGTGACTATTTCTTGGTGACAGACAGAATAAAACAGCAGAGAATCCTTAGCCGAGTAGTGCAGCCTCAGCATTTACAATCGGCTGATAATGATGAGAGGAAAGCTTTAAAGGTGGCAGGAAAAGTGGAAGGAGAAAAAAAGTATCAAAGAGGAAGGGATGATGAGGAAGAAGATCAGGGGAACAAGTGGGCTTGTAGGTAGAAAAGGCGCTGTTACAAATCCACTAATTTATCTGTGCCACAACAACTAGGTCAGCACGTTTTCAAAGAAGCACCTTTGTTCCTCCAGGTTTCAAGACTCCCTTTTTCACATCACGACCAGGTATAAGAAAACAGTCGAGGTATTTTTTATGCAGGTTTAGCAGATCTGTCATTGTAATGAGCCGAATAACTCTACGCAACTAACACTGGGCTCTCTCTTTAAAAATCACATTATTTCATCTTTGAGGGAAAATAATAATAAAAATAGTAATAGTCTAGTAAGTTCATTATATATTTTCCTCAACATTTCTCATGTGCAATCCTCCTATATGTACATGTGAACTAGTGTCTGTATGTCAATCATTTCTCCTTTACTGTTACATTCAAGGTGTGATGTGCAAAGCAAGGAAAACACTGAATCTGTATGTGACAGTCTTCGGTAGAAAAGCTGTGCATCTGTTGGTTCAGTTTGAATAAGCTGGCCAACTGCTCGTCTCTTACAGAGTAGATGAAATTAGCAGAAAGCTGCTGATGTGAGCGTGCTGATTTAATTGCAGGTGAATGAGAGTCTTGATTAGCGATGAAAGGTTGCCTGGCTACTGATGTACAGTGATGCTTTCAAGGACACAATTGCGATTTGAATTCTGAGTTAAAAGAGGGGACATGGGATCCATAATGAAGCACAAGGGGCTCTAAGAGAAGAAAACAGAGATGGATTATCAGTCTCTCCTTCCTCTCATGTGAGTTTTAGAGCGTTTGTGATGACATTTATGTGTTTTAGAAAATAATTTCTTCCAGATACACACAGTATAGACACACTGGTGCATGCAGAACTCCAGAGGCGAGGTGTGTTTAGATGCCACCTGCTGGTGTGCCACAGGCTTGTCTCATGTTTAAATAAAGAAACCAAAACATGGTGCGGCTTACTTCAGATTTCCTGTTAGATCTTCTTTGTCTCAACTTTCAGTACTTTAGTTATTTTTATTTTTACTGTCATGTGTTGACCTGCTTAAGTGTAAGGCTCCAGTTTGCTGGTGGCACATTGGAAAGCCTGGCCTGGATCTCGGCCTCTTGCACGGCATCTGACTTTTTTCTCTGCCGCTATTGGGACGGACATTAAGAGCTACATTGTTATGAAAGTCTTATTTAAAAAAATCATATACACACAATAGGAAGAGAAGTGGGTGTTACCATTGAATATTAGGACACAAAAACTTGGTTAACTTCTTGTAGGGATAACAACCTGAACAGCCTTGTGTTTTTTTATGTCGTGATATCTTATTCTGCACATTTAAGTTGATGTTCTCTTCTATCAAAGCACTGGGGGGTTTAGGAGGCAAATAATCTGTGAAAAGTTGAAGTCTGCTGTGTGCTCAGTTGTAAATGAATCATAGAAGGTGCGAAGTGAGCAGGAAAAGCGGGAGTTCAGCTTTTACAAAAGGTTTTTGCCCTGATAGGCCTGCGAGCTGGTTAATGGGCAAACACGTTAATGTCCTGGTGTTTGTTTGATTGAATAAAATCACACAAGTCTTTCTGAAGAGTAAAAACTGCATCATAGTGAGACACAGGGGCTATTATGATGATTATCACTTATCATGTTCTCTGTCTCTTCTGACTCCTTTCAGCGGTGTCAAACCTGGACATAGAGAGCAAGCTGTCAGTTCACTATCAGGCTCCCTGGCACCAGCAACACAACATCTTTCATCCTTGTACCCGACCACCATGTCTCGAGGAGCTGCACAGAAGTGCTCAGCTCAGCCTCAGAGCCCTGCACCGAGGTGAGAGAGGCCGATCCTGTCTTTGACGTGTTTTTGTCCGGAAATGACACAAGATGAAATGCTCTTATAAGTTTCCTTTATTTGTTCCATAGATGAACAACAACATCAACGCTCCACAAGTCGGGAAAGGAACAGGGTTACTATCTCTATCTCAGTGGCGCCACCTATGCCCACGTTTCCCTCACCCCACTCCATCCGCCGGCAACAGAGGAGTCGGCTGGCACGAGCGGTAAGGTCTACTCCAGTGGTTAATTGTGATTGTGTTTTTAATGGCCGATACTCATAATTAGAGAGCAGGTTGGCCAATATTAAATGCTGATACCATGTGGTTGTTGAATTGAATCAGATAAACAATAGAGACAGATGAGAAACAAAGCTGAGCTTGAGTGAACAGTTCATTCAATTAGTGTAGATGGGAAAATATCTGAAAGGGAAATATTTGGGTCAAACAAAGACATAAAAAATATTATTTCATGCACATTGACATCTAATATACATGATTATTACACCTAGTTTTATGTTTTGATATATTTAAAATGAACTCATTTAGAAGGAAAATATATTTTAAGTTTCAAACCGCGACTTACATTTATATCAGAGGCTAAATAAAACTCTTTAATTCTAATTGTCATAATTAAATTTATACAGAGGACTGATCAGTAGAATGTACCTCTTTAAACCCAGAACAACACTGTTCAAATTTTCTCAGTGAACACAGAGTTATCATGTATTATAAAAAGCAGTATAATTGCACATACTCTAGGAAAGGTATTGGCTCTACTGTTTTTCACTCAGGTAACATCAAATGAAATCCAAAGTTTGCATGTTTCCCACGTTTAGATGTCTGGCCTCTGCAGGTTTGCTAAATAGATACTAGAGGGAGTGCTTACTTTGGTGCAGACAATGAGACAGCAGCCAAAGGCAACCTTCCTGACATGTTTAAAAACATGATTTTTACATGTTTGTTTACAATCATCTTTATGAGGGCTGACATTGGCCATGCTGATACTCAAAAATACTATTAATTGTCTTAATTCATAAAGTCAACCTCTAGACTACTCACTGTGCTTTAGTGAAGATATACTTCAGGGTCAGCCAATCAGAGACAGTTATCCATACGTTTTCTACTTTGAGACTTCCTTAAGCACACAGCATAGTGGAGAAGAAATTAGACGTTCACTCAGTGGAAAATACTTTTGTGTTTCCTCTTCAATTGAAAATTTTGATCGTGAAATTTGTGGGGGAAAAAAACAAACTGACACAGCTTGTTATTCTGATGTCACCATGCAGCAAGAGAGAGCAGAGAGGGAGCGAGAGTTAGAATACCAGCCCAGGAAGGTAAACAGTGATTAATCTGTGTGTTAGTGTCTAATGTTGATATAAGTTTGTGTTTTATCTGCCTGTGTGTAAACCTACTGTTTTGTATGTCATGAAACTCCACAGCACAATAACACGATACACTAATATAAGAGACACCACATCATAAAATTCTGTTTCATTATTTTCTTTTGTTGGAGTCAGTCAACAATCTAACAGTATATAATATTTATGTTCGGTTTTGAACCTGTCTCTTGTAACTTTAATGACTTTGTGTCTGTTTCTCCCAAAGGAGAGAAACGTGAAAGAAACAGAGATCCAGACGATACAGAGAAAAGTAAGAAAATCCTCTAACACATGATCAGAAAACTTAAAAACTCAATTGTAATTTAATTATTAAAACACTTAATTTATTGTTAGCAATCTCAGCAGTGGTTCCTTGTATCTGAGCGTTTCTCTGTCTGCCACAGGAGAGGCCAGGAAGAGATGCAGATAATCAGACGATCCAAAGAAAGGTAAAGAGAGGTGTCTGAATGAAAAACTACAGACACACAAGACTATATCTGCCACAGCCTTTATCTCAGGCTTTCCTTATTAGAGGCATTACAAACAGGATGAACGGTGGCAAGAATTTTAAAGTTTAAACAAAAACAAAAAAAAACCCTGAAACTGATCTTTTTAGACCCTTAAGTCAAGATGAGGTCATGATATCGGCTAGAGGCAAAACTGGACATAGACATACAAATAGATACAATACATGAGGAAATTCACTCCTTTATGGATGGATGGAAACCATAGAAACTACCTGTGGGAGAGGGAGAGGTTGATATCATCTGGTAACAGTCTGATAAGTCTTAGAAATTTGCCACTAAAGTGTACTCAAGGTAGATTCCAGACTGAAATATTTGATAGGATACGAGTAACAGTAATGTCTTGGACTCAAGTGCTACGCATGCTGAAGTGCATCCACTATAGTACCAATAAATGCACCACCTCCTAATATCATAGAGATCCCCATAACATTGGTTTTTTTCTTGACTTGCTTCTGTGCACATGTAAGTAGCACATATATAGTCTACTGTATACTGGCTGCCACTGTCCATTAGCTTAAATAAAGACAGGTCAAAGGCGAACATGAAAGAGGTTTGCAAGTGCACCGTACACCACATACAGCATGCAATTACTGTTGTATAAGTGGATGACATTATTTATATTGAGGGTTATCACCACACTCCAATCAGAAATCTGTGAGTCAGCAAAAGAAATACTGGACCATAACAAACTTCGTAAGCACATGGGATAGCATTAGCTTGTACGTTTGTTTGCCAATGTAATCAACCAAAATACTTTGAAACCCAAGCCCCCAGTTTGTCTTAACAGTAAATACTTAGTTTTTCTATCAGTTTAGTGTAAACATCTGACAGCAAACAGCTTTGGCCATCCAATCAAATCATCAACCCACAAAGAGAGGAGGTATGGGTCAGCCCGTCTACTCTCATCATCAGCTTATTAAAATGACGCTTTCTTTTCCCTACAATTTTTCAAAGTCAGTTGCTAGTTAGAGCAAGTTCACCTGTCAAGAGGACAGTTTTGCCTTCAGCTGAGCCTCAACCACCAAAAAGACCTCACAAATTAAGGTCAAGAAAAATGACTCTTTCATCGTTTGACTTTCTTTTCAAGCTTTTATTTCAAACATATTTTGTATTTTCACATCATTTGTCCTTTTGTTTTTCTTTTTTTTGTATCTTGTGTTCTTAGTTTGAGTGCTTTTACTCACTTCACCCTATTGAAGGTTGCATCTTCATTCCATGGAATAGAAAGGTATCAAGCATCTCTGTTTTAATTTCTTATTACTTTTAGATTATGATTTTTCTTTACCCCTTCAAATGTGAACTATTGAACGGTTGTTGTTAAAAGTATCATAAAAATAGTGGCAGTGAAGGCTATGCCACACATTTCTATTTTAGTAAAAATACTGAGATCTGCCTAAGAAAGTATGTGAAAGTTGCGTGTATAAATATTGTGGCTGTAATGTCTGTTTTTAGGCTACCTCTGCAGAGGAAGGTGAGGTTGGCGAAGTCCTGGGAGGCCACAGAGTCAAATCCTCAGTCCAAAATGCCCCCTCAACCCAGGATAAACAGACAAACTGGTCCAAGGAAAACCACCCACCATCAGATCAGAATACGTCTGATTCTCTCATCTCCTCGTGCATTATCCCCATCAACGTCACGGGTAAGATAAAAGGAAGAAAAATGCAAATACAAATGAAGTGTTATTATGCTTTTTAAAATCTAAAATAGTGCAACTTGCAAGTTAAATTTTTCACAATATATGACTTAGACAATATGGGCTCGAAAGGTTCCAAAGAATTGGGTTTTACAAACCATTGGGGCTGGATTTTTAAGGAAAAAAATGGCTGTTTTCAGTTAAGCTGTTTAGAACAGGCTTTACTTTTTATATCCCGTAAAAATAACCTCACATGAGGGATTCAGGTTCTCTCAGTCTGCCTTCACTTGACATTAGTCTTGCAACTCTGACGAGAAGGCTACTGAAAATATGGTCTGATTTTTCCAAAGAAAAAACTGATCAAGTATTGGGACGCTATTATCACACTCTCTCTTCCTCTCTGTAGTTCTCTCCTGCTCCCCTTTCTTAGCTTCAAAAAAAAAACAGAAAATAAATAAATAAAATGGAAATAAAGACTAACATAGGGAGAGACAAGTAATGCATGAGATGTAGATCATGAATCAAATCATCAAGTGGACTGACTAAATGAGTCATAAAGCTTGACACCACGTTCACAGACAAATCCACATTTTATCTGCTTGTCATTTGTAATCATCTGTATCTTCACTCACTAATTATAAACTAACAACCAATGAGGAGAACACAGTATTAGATATGGTTTGCGAATGCCAGACACTAACCTCAGTTATTGGCTGGGGGTTACTGTTCATCAACTTCATGTCAGCTGTAGGGTTATTTCCTGGTCCTGCTGACTTCCAAACTGTGGTATACAGGTGGATATATGTTTTCTTATTCTTTACTGACAACACAGGTATTCAGTTTGGGACTCTCATTATACGTTACATTGCGTTGTCTGTTTACAAGTAAAATTCAAGGTACAAAATTGAATCCAGATCTTACTGGTTCATAAATTCATAAATTTCATTAAATAAAAACTTAAAATCATTTTCCTACACATTAATTCACAGGGGTGTTTAATTTGTAGTTTGCACTGAGTGTAAAGATTCAGACTGTGAGGTTAATGTCTATAAGAGTAATCCCAGGATGACTGCAGGCTGCTCTTACCAGCTTGATAAAAAAGTTACAGGAGATTTTTGCACGAGGTCCACAAGACTGACATGATTAGAAACGGCACTGATTGGCAAATGTTAGTGACATTCACCAAAGGCATTTACCAAGGGCATAATAAACTAAACACTTACAAAACAGAAGGATTCTGCTTTGTTCAGTGTTGCTGTTGATCTTCTTGTTTTTCACCTTTCTAAACTTCCTGCGCCACAAAGAAAATGGCTCTATTTCATCATTTGTCAATTAAAATGTAGAAATCTGAATTAACTCAACAACAAAATTATGGCTGGCAAAAGTGGAGGATTTTTCTTAAGAGCTGAACAGTTGGAAAGTTGGCTAGCTCAGGGTTGGCAGAAGAGAGGATTTCACCAGGAGCTCTTAAACAAAGAGCAATCTTCCCAAACCATGAATTAAAACCAGACTCACTGCATGGCTTTTGTTTTGTTATTGCAGGAGTTGGATTTGACAGGGAAGCAAGTGCTCGTTGCTCTCTGGTCCATTCCCAGTCAGTTCTTCAAAGGCGAAGAAAGCTGAGGAGGAGGAAGACTATCACAGGAATACCCAAAAGAGTACAACATGACATGGGTATGTTTTCAAGCACAATTTGGAAAATTTGGGGTATTATTTTGAACTGTGGGTCCTAATTTTGGAGCTTGGACAAATTGTTATAGGTTTCATTGATATTTTACCCATTCAGTTACTGATGGCTGGGGATGATATTGGCAATACAGCCATAAATCAATGAGAGTAAGCTATCTAAGCATCAACAACAACATGAAATCAAAAACACCTGCAGTCAATTACAGCTGTTTCCAGCCTGTACTTGCAATCTATGGGCTTCATCTTGCTTCAACTTGGATCTAATTACCTGCTCTGCATGCAGTTTACTTTAATGCAAATGACTACTGCAATTTACACAAACTACATTTTTACTTTTTTTCTCTAAGTTAAAATATTTTAGTATATGCTCGAATGTTGATTTTTTAACAACTTTATCCATAGTCCTAGAGGGACTGATTCACTTCAGTAAAGCTAGCTTAGAACTAATGGCCAAAACTTCAAAAAGGGCTCTGTTGTTTTGTGGATCACCTTTCAATGTGGAGGCCATGTTTGGTTCTCTTTTCCTTATATCCTCTAAGAAAAGGTTTGTCCTTGATATTTTGGACACTCAACATGCTTTGTCTCTTCGCATTCAGACTCAGATGAATCACCCGTAGCAAGGGAGCGCACAGTGATCGTCCATGCCAACCCGCACCAACTCTCTCTCTGTCAGGAAGACCTCTCTATCAGTGGTCGCCTCCATCACACTCGTGACTCTGGCTGCCAGACAGATGATTTCCTTATAGCATGTACGTTTCTGAGAATGCACAAGTATATATTCTTCTTTATTGCAATTCCTTTTAGTCTATCAGGCTCACATATTAGTGCTACTGACTAGGACGAGGATTTCTCTTGAGTCAGTCCTGATTTAAATAAAATTACAAAATGTTTTTCTTTAGTACTATATTGGGACTATTTCTAAGATAATGTGTAGATCTGTTCCTCCTCAGATAGCTGCCATTGCTAAGTTTGAAGAGGAGAGGGGACTCCCTAAAAACACGGTGTATTACCCTGGGGCAGTGTCTCACATATATCACATACAGTGCTGTGTGCCTAATTGGAGTGTTTTTCAGTTTGCTCTGGGTAGTCCCAGAACTTTTGGGATAGGTTGGCAAAATGTGAACCTTATAAATTTTAATCAAGTTTTTTTTCAACCTAGGATTACACTTTTGTGTTATTCCTCATTGAGCTTCAATCACTAGCAGACTTTCCAGTAACATTTTCAAGCTGTTAGTTAATCTAAACTTAAACGGACAACCTTAACATTATACAAAAAAAAATGTACAGCTAGTGCTGACATGTTTAGGCTTTTATGGGATGAAAATATGGGGACATTCGTGTAGTGGGCCTACAGGTATGATGCTTTTGCCCAAACCATGATTTTCTGGTTTGGCTGCCTAAACTTGTCACAGTTGTGTTTTGTTTTTTGTGTGCTGACTTTGGGTTTCAAACTGGACACAGTGGTCTTCTTGGTGATGGATTTTAAACAAAAATACATGAAGAATTTACACAGCAGTTCAGATGATCATGGAGCTTAAAAAATATGTACAGCATCATCCTTTCCAAGCATGCCCAACCAATGAAAAACCGTGTTTTTAGGAACTCCCAACAGGACAACCATCTGAAGGCAGCCATTAAATTACCAAACCAGAATGCTTTCATCTGCAAATTAGATCCATTCAAAGTTTAATTCAAATTATTTATTTAGGGTAACTTGCTTTGGTCTGTATGGCCAACATACATGTAGAGTAAGATATATGTCCCTCTGTTCCCTTCCCTCTCCTTTCCTTTTTACCTCTTCAGGTACAGCTGCACCCTCCAGAAGGCGCATCAGAGCGCAACGTGGCCATCAAGGGATCCCTTCTTCTCTTTCCCATTCAACAGGGAATATTTCTTCTCTGGGAGACCAGTCCGATTCCGCATATACCAGTACTGCAGCTCATGGTGTACGATTGCGCTCTCGAAGTCTACCACGAGAAGGTGGACGTCTGATGGACAGTGATGAGGATGACGATGACAATTATGATGATGATGACGAGGATGAGGAGCTCTCACCTTATGAAGCAGAGGACTTTATTCCACCTGGCCCAAGTCCAAGGATGAAGATGATGATGATGAAAGACGAAGAAGAGAGCACAGATGACCAAGCAGCTCCTGAACCACTGCAACTTGGAAGCCTCAAAAGGTTGCAGCGATCCGGAGAAAGAGACAGAGGGAGCGGAGGAGGAGGGAGTCCAGAACATAGCTGGATGGAGAGGGGCCGTTCTCGCTTGCCCCGCAAGGCTGACATGGGTAGCTGTGAGATTTCATCAAGTTCAGATACCTTCAGCAGCCCTATTCACTCTGTGTCTACAACAGGGGTCCTAGGAAGTCATGTAGACCACAAGGAGGACCACCAGTCGTCAAGTGGAAACTGGAGTGGTTCTAGCTCTACCTGCCCTTCTCAGACATCTGAAACCATCCCCCCACCCTCTTCACCACCTCTGACAGGCTCATCCCATTGTGATTCAGAGTTGTCACTTAACACTGTGCCCAATGCCATTGATGAAGGATTCTCCTTGGATCCATCATACCACTCTGACCTCAGACCCCAGGGGCAGGGTCATAGGTCAAGCTCATTCACATCCTCAGCCACGGATCAGCTGGATGATGCAGGGGTCAGTACTGCCAGTGAGGGGGAATGGACATACCCCCCAGACCAAGACCAGACTGATCCTGACCATGACCTTGACCAGACCCAAAACCTTAACCAGAGCCATGGGTTAGCTCAAGATTACAGCTCTAAACAAGGTCTTGAAGACCACATCTGTTACAATGACAAGACAAGCAACACTGAAAAAGAGTCGGGCTCTCATTACCCATCAAATACAGAGGGTTTCTATTCCTCCTCTGTGCATTTTGGGGAATATGATCAGAGTTACAGAGGTTACACATATAACTATGCAGACTCAGGACCTGTTTGTGGCCAATCCAACACTGTGGCAGCACCATTATCCCATGGAGTATACCCCCCACTCTCAGCTGATTTCAGAGCAGGCACTATGACACTGGGGAGGACATGTCGTCCACTAAGGAAACCCAAAGTAAAACCTCCACCACCAAAACGGACATCGTCGTTGAAGGAGACTAGTAGTAGTAGTGTTGATGTTGGAACAGACACACAGACAGATCAGGATCAACCAAAGACTGTTAGTGAACAAGAACTTACATTGTCTTCCACAGATATGAAGTTGGAACTTGAGCTGGAGCTTGGAGGTGCTCCAGAACCATTACAGACATCTTGTTTAGTGGCAGAGCCTTTGGGGACCTGGGGAATGGGGCTTGGTGGAGCAGTGGATATTGTAGAGCCCATGTCCTTCAGCTCAGCAGATACACACTCGTTTAAGGATGAAGGTGCCGTGCAATCTGACTATGCAGACCTGTGGCTTCACAACTCTGAGCTCAAGTCCAACAATGGAGAGTACACGTCCATGTCCAACTCAAGCACAGCCACAGGCACTACTGTCATGGAGTGTATTAAGTCACCAGACAGCTCTTCCTCCTCCAATGACACTCAAACCCCAGCGCCTGCTCAGGCAGAAATCAGGGCTACTAGTCCACCACTACCACCCGGAGACTTCAAACTTGGGTCACCTGAAAAGTTAGCTGGCCTGGCCTCACCTTCAAGTGGCTATTCCAGTCAATCAGAGACGCCAACATCAACCTTGCCCTCATCTTCAGCTGCTTTCTTCCCAGGACCTCTGTCTCCCTCAGCTGGCAAAAGAAAGCCCAAAGTGCCCGAGAGGAAGTCTTCTCTCTCTTCCCTACAGCACTTCCCCAGGGATGGAACTTCCATTTCCTCTGGGTACAAGAGAGACCCAGACTTCCCGCCTCCACCATCTCAACTTGATCTAAATGTTCTTCATGGTGGTTATGTCAGACACACGCTTTCCCACCGGACACACCATATGCACACACTCCACCACAGCAAACACAGAGTAGGAAATGTTTTAGCTACTGGAACAAAGTTACTGGCCCCTGAGACATCAAATAACCACCCACTGCTTACTTCAAACTCTGCTCCAACAATTCCCAGTTCCAACCTTTCGGGGATTACTCCATCTGCTCTCCGTTCAGTGCACCTCCATTCTGTTAGCCAATCAACAGACAGTGCTACTACTGCAGACCAGGACACAGCAAGTGTAGCAGAGACTGTTACAAGACCCAAATGTCCTCCTAGTGGTTCTACTCTTGCTCCACCACCCATTAACTCTAGGCCTCTCCCTCCTCGCAGACCACCCCCAAGACCCCCAGTTCATGACCACCACACCTCTTCTCCTGAACATTCACAACATCCTCCCCCTGGCCGTCATCCTGATGGGCCTCCATCCTATGAAAGCCTACTATTTAGGCAAGACCGATATGGACCAGGAACCTTCTGGGCTATGACAGCTTTCAGAGCTAGGATGGACCCAACATCTGATCTCTCTGAGGACAGCTCACCCCTACATCGGCCAGTGCCTCGTGCTCCCCATCCTTCTCCTGTTGATCTCCACACGCATATACATTCCCACACAGAGTTTAGAGGGCTCACTCACTCAGCTCATGCACACCCTGAGTTTAGGGTTTTGGGGGAGCGCTCATTTTCCCAAGATGATGATGATGATGAAGATGAGGAGGAGGAAGAAGAAGAGCAGGTAAAAGAGCCGCCAAGGCCTGCATGTTCTAGAGGAGGCATGCGTTCTGACCACCATCCACCTCCAGCGTATGAGTTTGCTGGGGGATCCCATTTAGACTCAGGGCCCTGGGCTAGTCCAGTCAAAGTGCCTGGTACCACAATGGAGACATCGCATCCTTACTTAATCAGCGATGCAAGGAAAGGAGGACAAGAAGAGCAGGAAGAAGAGGAGGAAGTGACATCAGGTGCTACCAGAAGTGCCCATCAGCAACAGCTACCGGAGGGGAAAGATGACTCAACCACTCCTGATACAGAGGATTACTTCAGCAAAGGTAGGCTTTATACCAGCAAAAACACACCGTAGTTAGAATAGAGAGGAGTATGCAAAAAAAAAAAAAAAAAACTATTTGATTTACATATTATTTTTGTACGTTTAAAACCAGCTTTGAAAATAGCAACTAAATCATGCTGTTACCTTGCGTTAAAAACAAAGACCAGTTATGGGGATAGTTAAGTCACAAATAGTACACCCAGTGATCAGACAACCAGATGACATGTGATAGGTATGTTTTATGTTGTAGATTCCACGCCCAGTGATAATTCGCTCTCCCCCATGATGGATGACACCAAGGTAGATGAGGACATAATTATCACATCACCCTCCAAGACACGTACAACTGAGGACCTGTTTGCAATGATACACAGGTGCGGTAATTTTTTCATTGATGGTATATCTTTTTCACGTGCTGGTGGTACTGCGTGAAGTGTACATTTTGTCAGAGTTTGTGGTCCAGCAAATTCAAAAGCCAATTTTTACTGTGGTGTTAATTTAGCATTGCCTAAATCACTATTTATTTCCTTACTCAGATCCAAAAGAAAGGTCCTGGGCCGAAAAGATTCAGGAGATTTAAATGTGAAGTCTCGTCTCTGCCCAACAGCACCAGTGCCACCTGTCACCACTGTCATTATTCCACCAGCCCCTCCACTCAACATCCCAGCCACCTTGGCCACAGCAGCTGGGTCACAACGAGCCCCTGTGCCGATCTACCGCAGCGCCAAGAAATCTAGCACGTCCAATGAAGAGTTTAAACTCCTGCTGCTCAAGAAAGGTAGCAGGTCTGATTCCAGTTACCGGATGTCAGCAACAGAAATTCTTAAGAGTCCCATCACCCCCAAAATACCTGGGGAGTCTGTTCAAGAAGGGTCCATCAGACAAGCTGAAGAACCAGCTTCTACTCTACCAGAGCCTCCCATTTCTGGCTTTGATCAAATCCAGATTCCAGGCCTTTTTCCTCGGGCAAATTCTGAGAGTTTCACCCCCAAAACCCTTCCCATGTCAGCTGCATCTCGACAGGGACGTTCTCGAATTCCACCTGTAGCCAACAGCAGTCGCTACAGTACACGCAGCCGCCTCTACACAGCCCCCATGCAAGCCATTTCTGAAGGAGAGACAGAAAATTCAGATGGAAGCCCCCATGACGACAGATCATCTTAAAACCATCTAAAAAGAGATTTCTCTCCTTTTAGCTCTGTTCGACATTTGAGATAGTTCCTTCTGCTTTTTTAATATTGGAACAGTGTGTCATTGATGCCAACATTGAAATTTTTCTGACACACAAAGTCTGACTGTTGCTAGAACAAGCCCCAGTCTTGGATCTACAATTTCATTCAAGGGTGTCAGAGAGAGTGTCGTGAGATTCTGAACCATAAAGGGGTGATCATGAAAACTTTGAAGATACATCTAAATACTTTATCAACACAAATATCTTCATAATTAAAAGATAAATACTTAAAATATCAAGACCTATTTTGATTGAACTGTCTTTTCTAAAAAAAATTAAACAGTCCCAAATATTTGTTAAATTACAATGAGAAATTTTGTGGAGTACAGACACTGTGCTTGTGCATGAACAAGCACATGCAGTATCCACTGATATTTCTACTTCTTGTGTTTTGAATGGTGTGGATGTGTTTGTGTCCCAGAGGAACTGCTTTCTTATTAAAAATAAAAAAAAAATCTGATGAAATTTAACACTCTTTTAACTTCTGGTGCCCAAAGCATTGGCCATACTTCCAAGAGTCTATACCTAATATTTCTGCCAACAAGCAACGGTTCTTTCATTGTGGAAGTTACTAACAACAAAGCACCAACTTATCTATCCTATTTCCATCTGCAGACCTGGCATGGTCTGCACAACACGAAGAGCCAATGACATATTTCTTCACATTTAATATATCCAAAAAGATAACATGATGCATGTATTTTTGTAAAACTACGCCTCAGAACATGATGATAATGTTTCACCATGTTGCATGACCCAATATGGAAACATCCCCTGGATCCTGGTTTCTGTTAACATTTTGTGGTTATTTTGTATTTTCCAAATAATCTTTCACTGTGAAAGGTTAGGCGACATTTTTACCACATTGCCAGTGATCAAAACTGATTTGTTTTTGATTTGAGTGTTTAGAAGATGGAGCAAGGGCTTGCGCCTGGATGGGGCCCACTTGTCAAAGATACCGGCTAGTTTTGGACAATCGCACAGTGGCCTTTCTCTCCTAGAGGTGGGTGTAAGCAGGGCATTTGTAAGTCCCTGCACCTATACATGGATCTGGTCCATGGTTCATCAGAATTCAATCACATACTTAAACCCAACCTCAAAATCTAGTATATTGAGACTGATTCAAGCTTTTCAAGCTGCTGGCCAGTCTTGCTGTGCTGACTTAACATTGAAAAGGTGCATTTCAAAGCAGTTTTAAAGATACCATTGAGTGCAGACGGTGAAAATGCTTTAGAGGGTCCTCAATCGGTTTGACTAGAGGTTATTTTGGAAAGATTTCCAAGAGCCAACCTCGTTTTTGCACTTGATGATTTTTCAAGAGTTTTTCTTGAAACAAAATATATCTTATAATGAAATTGCATATGTATATTTGTACTGAATATAAAAAGTCATATCTATATAGAACAACAAGCAGAAATTTTATAGGGAATAAACCTGAGTGTAGCAAAGAAGAACAGGTCTCACTGGCAACATTACACATGACTCTTAACCATGTACACTGTTCTCCTCTCCTCGTTGCCTCTCCTTCATTTGCACTGACCCAGTAGTAGCATTAGACAGGTGAAAGCTCAACCCAGTGGCTGGTGTACGCCATTCTGTCTTACCCTCCAAACTTAATACTGCAAAGAAAGACGAATGGAGGAAAAGGGGAAACAGAGGAAGGAGGAGAGTCAACCATGCATCCAATGCATCGCTGCAGCCTTTTCTATCTCTCATCTGTGTTAACTATGATGTAAAGCCTTCTCATCCTTCCAAAAAAAAATCTACGCATGTTAAGTATCCGGTTTTTTACAGCAGTGAAGTGTCATCAGTGGACAGTTTGAACTCTCACCTGCCTACCACAGCAAACACAACACAACACGAATACTTCTTGCATATGGAGACCGTACTTCAGTAGAAACCATTCACTGTATTCTGTGAATACCTCAGCAAGCATATTACTGTTTTATTGTAAATGCTACGGATAGATAGATAAATAGACAGATAGATAGATAGATTGATAGATTGATAGATAGATAGATAGATAGATAGATAGATAGATAGATAGATAGATAGATAGATAGATAACAAAACCACAATTTTTTAATACTCAGCGAATCAGATTTGCAGAACTGACACTGTGTGAGAAGGGGAGAGTAAAAAGCTGTGAAATGATTATCAGAATTTAACATTCGTCAAACCCATATTGCTAAAGCGCACTTGTTCCTGTTCATTGTTTTATTTGTTGTGTTTTTATCGCATGCAATAAGTAAAGAAAAAAGGAAGAAGAAAAGAAAAGAACACCACCACATCATTATTTTTATCTGAGGGATGTCTCCATACCACGCGAAAAGATTTTGTATTTTCTGTTCCAATGTCAAGTTCAATAGTGTGTTCTATAGATGTACAAACTGTCTGGCTAATTCTGTTCTGTATAGTCGTGATCACAAACAGGGGTTTATCTTGTACTGTATATCTACTCACTGGACAATCATAGGTATAAGAGACTGTAAAGAAAATGATTTTTAAAAAAAATGTTGGGATGGAGAATCTGAACACTCTTGGTGCTGAGTCCTAGTCATGCTGGAGCTATGGAAGTGAGAGAAATATTTTGCAGGAGAAACTGCTGATTCAGTTAAAAATGCACATCTGGACAAGCCGTTTTGGTTCATACAGATTAAAAAAAAGTCACAGAAATTGGTTAAATGTCCACTTACAGACTCTTAAAGTCGTTGTTTTTAATTTTGACTCATTCAGAAATTTTTGGATTCCACATAACATTATTACTGGATCACAAAATACCCAAATTTGCTAACAATACTACTTACGACTACTTACAGCAAAGTATCTGACAAACCACTCAACTGCTTTAATGGCAAAAAGTATTGTTTACTGTGATTTTTCCGTACTGTACCTGGCATTAGTGCTCTTCATCCACTCTAAGACTGTTTCCCTTATTTGTAAAAGCAGGGGATGGACAAAATTTGAACAGTAAGGTTGCCATGCAGTCTCTAGTGAAGCACTTGTTTCTATGTCTCAAACCTCAATCCTCACCAGCCTGGAAAACTCAACAAAAGATGAATCTATAACCTTTTTTGATTCTCTGTTCCAAACTGTTTTCAAAGGTCTGACTGCATTTGACCTGAAGGGAAGTGTGACATTAACCACTGAAACATTTTTCGTTACGGTGTACAGTATGGAAGATCACAAAACAGGCTTTCAATTAGTGACAGAAAACAGAAAAATACAAATGCTGAAGAAATAGTGTAATTGTCTATTTAAAAGAGGCTCCATGTTAAAAACTAGCTAAGACTTAACAGATTTGAATCACTTTTGTATTTTTGTATAAACCTGTAAATATGTTTTTAAATAAAAAATGTTTCAAATTCTTTCTTTTGTAAAATAAACCAATAAAATCATAAAAAAAGGAAAAAGTTTTTTTTTCAAAGTTTACATGATTATTTCCAAGCCTTTGTATATTTTGGAGCCGTGCAACACCTTCAGTCTTGTATTTATTTTTGGGAGGGGTTACAACATTGTGAAAAATCCATTATTCTATATCCAATTCATTTGAACAGCTCATCAGGCTGCTTAGTAACTGTGCATAGAAAAAAGCCAATAAATGTGATTGCGTTCAAACGGAAAGCCTTTTGTGTGACATTTAATTATTTTTTTCTAATTAGAAACCACGTGCATTGACAGAATTTCCCCACAAGATGGCAGCGTTTATGTTGTTTTGCTTAAATCTTAATGACCATCTGATTCCTCTGAATCAACTAGTAAAATTCTTTCTCCAGGATGCAGTATGAATCAAAATCAAATCCAGATTGAAAAGAAGTTAGACAACAATAAAGCAATCAGTGTGAAAAAAGTGGGAGGGGGATAGACAATAATGGCTTAGGTTAGCGAAGCAGGCTTGAGTCAAGCCAGAATTAATAAGGGATTGGACTTGGCCCTTATTAGATGGAAGCAAAGCCTCCAAATCTTCAGTTTTGTCCAGTTTTAATCTTACATAGCAGCACAAGCAATAAAATCTATTAGCACAGCAGTGAAGAGAGGAGTTATCTCAGTTGAGTGTACAAAAACTGCAGCTGCCATGTGTGTTGCTGGGATGTGTAATTTACCTTGTAATTGGGGATCTTGGGGGTGATTTGTAACCTTGGGACCCATCAGCCGTTGTCCGATCACAAAAACCTTTAGGAGTGACTTCTCGGAGGAAGAACTTCAGCCAGGGCTTCCTGGGGTTTTATTTCTGCCAATGTTTTTTAGCCTCTATGCTCTCCACATGGACCGCCATTTCTTGACTCCAGAAAACACCAGCTGAAATGCAAAGAGGAAAATTCTCAGGCTACAAATGGAAAGCAGAACTATTTGTAAACCCACACATACAAGTCATGTCATTTGCCTTTAGATTCACATATTTCTGATGAAGATCTTTTTAAATATCTGTGAGCAGACTCGTACTAAAGTAATTCCCAGTTGATAACTCAGTCTCAATTAATTTAAAGAGGGGAAATCACGCTCGTTTTTCAGGCTTTATAGTGTTTCTCTGACGGCTTCATCGAAGCTTCACATGATGTACACCTAACAAGCATCTCTGCATTGGCTGGCCTCTGTAAAAGCCCTCATTTCTTCCTCAGTCTTTAACATTTGTAACAGCAAGTCTATTTAAGCCCCCTCAGCACTCCAGGACCCAGTAGCATTATTGAGGCCTCCTCTAGGGTGATGCTGAATCAAAGTCCAGTGTCTTGGTTAAAAATTGTGAATTATGAAACACACAATTTATCTTATCTCAAATCTTATAGTTTAAAAATTGAAATAAATAAGCAAAAAAGAACAGGAAAGTGTGTCGATGAGAGTCCCTTACAATTAGATTCTGGTTTTCCCTTTATTGTGGATCAAATCTCCTAGAGTGTTTTCAAGTCAACTAAAAAATATAACAATAGGCTGGTCTTTGATAGACCACACTACAACATGCCATGCTATGCTGCTGCTGCCTGCACTGTAAGGTAAGTCAAGCAGTTTTCTTTTTGTTTGGAAATTTTCTGCCAAAACATTTGCAATTTCAGTGAGTGAAATCTGACCTTTATCAAAGAAGCAACTCAAAGTGACTTTCGTGACACTTAAAAAAGCAACTACATTAGTTTAAATGCTTACCTGGGTCACCACTGTTGATCAAACCTGGGGAAGGAAAGACCCGGTCTTGTCTGTAGCCTGCTGGGGCGCCTTGCGTAGATGAAGCCCATAATCACTTTACGGTCTTTTCCCAAGTTTTACATGTTTCGCTAACAACGCAAAACAGTACATTACGTGCCGTAATAGGCTCCTGGCCCGCAATTTGAGTTTTGGGCGCTAAAAGGCTTCCGTACATTTGTGGACAGACTTGTTCTTTCTTAAACCTAAAAATAAATGTCGTTTCAACTATTTGTGTGAGCATTTCGGATTCTTACTTTTAGTATCAGTCTTGTTGTCTCTTTTAGACGAATTAAGTTTAAATAGGCTACTTTTAATAGACAATTTACCACAAAGCTGCTAATACAGTCACCTGAGTTAACGTTGAGTAGAATATGTTACTGAATATTTTTTAGAAATCTGGTTTTCAAAGTTAATTAACAACGTTAATCATCAGTTTTACATTAATAATTTATTAAACAAGACCGAAAACTAGTAATGAGTGTCCCAATTCTCCAATTCTCGTGCACACCGGCTAGTAAATACAGCTCTGTAGCTAACTCGTGTTTACGTTGTAAAAGTTGTTTTAAGGTAGACTATTTGTGGTTTCACTCTCTGTTTTTGTGGATGTTGACCAGACTTTTAAACTAACTTTACATTTGAGTGACCGTCGGAAACAGGAAACATCACGTTAGCGGTCTGCACGGCGGGCTAAACTTCCAGGTGCAACTTCGTAAATTGCTCGACTGTGACGTCAACTAGTAACATGAGTTCCTAGGAGGATTTTTTTCAGCTGTTTTACATCATATACTTGTGGTCAAATTTGTGACAGAAATTTTAAAGACTTATTTTTTCTGTACATCACTGTGAGGCTCATAATTCTTTGCTAAAACTAGACAAATACAGTGACTTCCTCTGCAGAGTTAAATTAACAATCATTAAATGAAAATTTTCATAGATGGCTAACAGAAATCATCATCTAGATATTCACAGCTGACATAGAGATAGACTATATAAAGTAATTCTAATCTGAAATGCCCAATTTTAGCTGCAGCAACAAAACTTTTCAACACTTATACAAGTTTGATGGTGGTAATTTCTCTTAAAGCAGGGGTCTTCTTACTAAGCACTGCCTCTATACCACACAGGAGGGAGCTGATCTCAAAATCATGTATAGCTGTTTGTTGTTTACGACATAAAGTTGATATGCTTACGCTGGACTGATAAAGCTTCTTTTGCAGCATGGTAAGGGTCCAGCTTCACGTCCAGAAAGCAACATATTTGATCCTGAAAGAATCTACAGAGTGAGTCATAATTAGCTGGTTCATCTTGAGTAGTGCCAGAGAGCTATTTGAACTGGCTGATCTTTTGAACAATGACTCCTTTGGGACTGTCACTTCCTTTAAATAAGACATCCACAATCCTTTGACTCCCATCCCCCATACTCCCCCTACAGAAACAAGCAGACACACACACAAAAAAAAAAAACTTCTCAAAAGACCACAAAAATAAAACGCAATAATACCCTGGAGTGCCCTTTTCTCCAGGCATTGTAGTTGAATTTTCACTTTATCTCCAGTTTTAGATGTGATCATTAGGAAACAGCTGGACTCGCTGGGCCAGGTGTTTTTAAACTGGAAGGCTGAATCCCTGAACAAATCACTAATAAAATAAGGGAAACAGGAGCAGAAAAAAATGTGTTACTTCTGTACAAAGCAATATTATTTACTTTTTTTCTGACTTCTTGGGAACGTTTTTATGAATTAATGAATCCTCTTTCTTTTCCTAGAGTCTAAAATAAAACAGGAAATGTGAAACTGTCAAATCTGACTCAGTCATAAGTCATACTGATAACAAAAAAAGGGGTCATGGTTCAAAAAGGCTGGAAAAAGACTGATCTCATATGACTTGTCCCACTCATGTAAGTGATGTACAGAAATGTTTAATAGTGTGAATGCATATCAAACATATTTAACAAACATTTTTGTTGAACTTACAGTAAAAAACTGCATATATATACACACGAGATGCTGCAAGCAATAGATCACAAGGCATTAAAAAATATACATAGTTGGTTATTGTGCAGTCCCTCTATGTTGTATTGATGAAAACACAGTTCTAATGATGAAAAACATCCTCTAGAAAAACAACCCCTACTAAAACCTGAGTTTCACAGTAAAGCAAGACAGTTTCAAGTATCCACTTGTTATCACTACAGGAGAGCAACAGAGTGAAATGCAGCTACAACACACATGATTTGGCTTAAAAATGATTCTGAAATGTTCAGAAAATTTTGAATTTCTGCCACCAAAAACTGATAAATACTTTAGGACGTGAATATTTACTCAGACACAACGTCTCCCAGTAGGTGATTAAATGATGGTGCACGCAAATACTATTTCAGGCAGAAAAAAACTTTGATTACACTTCAAACAAGTTGATACACTTTGTTCAGAAACAGCCTTTTGGCTTCACTTTTTACATAACAGTTTGTCCATCATACACTCACTCAGGAGCTCCTTATTGTTCTATACAGCATTGTATATTTGACCCAGATAGACACAGATGGCCTTGTCTTTACTTTAACGTAGACATTTTCAGTATTGCAGTCATTATGAGTGTGTCAAATCAAAATATACAAAGACATTATATCAGGGGTCGTACTGAGACTCTATTGTAAGTCGGAATTCCCTCTAGCGCTCAAATTAAGAGTCACTGTCACAAGAGTCACATGTACAGCCTGACAATAGAAACAGATGAATGGGTCCTCCCAAAATAAAAAAAAGGAAAATTGTGTTACTTCCATCAAATCTAGTTTGAAAATGTTTTTGAAAAATAATGCAGTGCTTTAAAACTGAGGTTATTGTGGAAAGTAACTATTTAACCTCCAATAATTTAATACAAATCTTAAACACTTCTTATGCACATAACCGAAGTACCTGTTTGTAATATACTGCTTATGACTATTGATCCCCAGCCTACATGAAAAAAAAATCACTTTCTGCATTCAGAAACCTTATTGCATTGTTAGAAATGAAGCAGTGAGATGTTCACTGACAGTACCTGAACAAACTTCCTCTATCTGAGCACATCCGGAAATTATGATGAGTGAAAAATAAAAAAGCTGGAAGGCAGCATTCATGCCGGTGTGTAAAAGGCAAAAGATAAAGGTTAGCTACATAAGGTTGACAAATTATATCCGCCATTTGTTCATCCTGACACTCAAATTCCCTATTTCCACCACCTTCCATTGAAAAAACAGTTAATTCACTTGTTATTGCCACATTCATTTGTATTTTGTCTCAACTTTTGTGGAACTGGCACAAGCACTTTATCGACTTTATTTTGCCCTTTGTTGGCAATGACAAAACCGAAGCAGGCAGGAAAGTCATTCTATCATCAAGAGTGTATTTATATAAGTGTGATGTTACATTTCATCTACATGGTTACAGTCCACAGTGCGTAGCCACAGGACTGCTAGTGTGACCCTTTCCTAAAAAGATATCTCTTCACTTTTTCCCCATTTGTGGCAACACAAAATGTGTAACCTGGAAATGTAATCTTCTGAAAGTTTATGTCCAAATCAATCGATCTGATGCTTAAGGAAGCAAACAAGAGTAAGAATTCTGTATACTGAATTTAATCAATGAACTTCAGCTATATAAGTTCCTTTGTGTATTAAATGAATGTATGTGTGCTGTAAATGTGTGCTTGGAAAAGTTGTTTCTAATCAACAAAAAAAACTAACTGGATGTTGGATTTGTATGGGATGTTTGATTAATGCCACTTTAATTTAAGAAAACTTTGTTGTCAGTTACATGTTTGTGTTTCTATTGTAAACTCCCTGCTGGTTATTAAAACCCTAAAATTCACCATAAAAAGGAAGACTTGACCTTCACTCTTTGTTTAGCTGGATTTGCTCTGCACTCCATCCCTGTGGAGCGATATCTGTCTGTCTGATAGTTCGTCTGCCTGTGAGAAGAGAGACGTCTTTCTCTACTGTTTGGTCTGTTTCAGCTTTTCGATGTGATGGCAGAGTTTGAGTGCGGGGCCCAGCTTCAGCCCCATGTACTTCATGATGACGTCACTGCGCAGCAACATCAGCGCTTTGCCGTCAATCTCCTGTGAAGAGTGGAGCGAGCAGTTAGCAGGGGGAGGATGCAGTTCACAGAGTTTGTCTCTGAACAATTCAAACATAAGGACTTGATTGAGGAGAACTGATGGATCCTGAGTATGAACATTCAGAGCTCAGAGAGAAATTACTTAACCAGATGACAGAGTGACTAAGTACAAAAGGTAGAAATTAAAGTTGTCAGAAAACACCAAAGCACTCACATGTTTCCTAAACAGGTCGACGTGCGGGCCAAGAGTGTGAGGATCAGCCTCCTGGACAAACCGTATGACTTCATCGACTGACCAGGAAGAGGCGTCACTCCCTGAGCTTTCCTTGTCCTGCTTCACATGCTCTGGGCCTGTTGTTGAACTTGCTGCTGTGAAGGTGTGAAACCAACAAATCAGACTCACACATTCATCGAATTATATCCCATCTGCTTCTGATTTTACTCATGAGTGTTTCAGTGTTAAAAATCAACATTTGTCCTTAAAACCACATTGACATGGGAAATCTTGAAAAATGTGGAAAAAAATAAGCTAATTGGTCCTTTGTAAAAGATCAATCAGACATTTCTGTTTCTTCAGATCGCCTGCTGGAGGAGAATCTACCATTTTACAGGCTAATTTTGAACACAGTATCTTGTTTGTAGCAATCAATGAAGCAAACATGAAGCTAACCTAAGCTTCAAAAGCTCAGAGAGATAAACAGGCGTTTTGTCTGAGCTGTCTGAAAACCAAGGCCTGTTACCTACAATTCACACAGAGTTTCAAACTGTTATATCTGTAGTCATTATCAGTGATGATGTGAGAATGAATGAACAGTAACAGTCACTGCGAACTTGGATGAGTAGAGTTGTTTGAGTCTAGTTTTAGACTCCTGAGCAGCACATCTACTGTGTCATAAATCTTGACAGCAGTCACAACAGAAGTCAGGGTTAGTGAGCAGTGTACAAGTACTGCTACTTCATTTATTAGTGATGATATGCAATTGCATAATGCTTAGATACCTCACTAGATACTGTTCCCTCACAATGATATCACTCCGCCTCTGTGACTGCTGTTTTTTCTTACCTTCTACTCGTCTGTGAGCACACATCGGCCCGGCTTCAGTCGGGTTGGAGCTGACACGTCTTAGGGGCGGCGGTGTGTGTGTCTGTCCAGAGTAATAAGGCCGTTCCTTCTTTGTTGCTCTGAAGTCGGACGGGCTGTGAAGGGAGCGGGTGCTGGGGGCAGGGTCCTTTTTAGAGTCATCTTTGGACAGGCCGTTCTCAGTGTGGGTTAGTGGTTCTGTCGGTGTTATGTTTGAAGATTAATTAAAAACAGGACAATAATGTGTCTTATTTTCATCATCGCAAGCTGCTTTTATTATCTGAAATGAGTCACTGGCTACCTATCTACCACTTCTGTTGTTTTAGTTGCTTCATTCACTCTTGCCCACCTGACTTGGTCCTGTTGTAGAAGCGCGTGTTGTTGGCGAAAGGGCTGAACGGCTGCGAGCTGAAGAGACTGTCGCTCTCCAGATGCTGGCACATATTCTCCAGAAACCGCAGCACAGAGGATGTACTGGAGACTGAGGGCAGCTTCACATAACGGATACCATGCTCGGACCGTACTGGAAAGGCAGAGGGAGAGAGGGGGCACACAGCACAAACAGCTTTTTATTTGCTTAAAGACACAAACACACACAAACACACAAGCTGCGTACATTCACAGCTAAAGAAAAGCAGCAGATGGTTTTGGGTTAGCACCCTCCCTTTTAAGCACCAACCCGCATTTTTTACCCACACCGCACAACACCCTCCCACCCAAGCCAAGCCTGCACAAATCCACAAATTACACCCCCCCTTCTCTCCCCATACATAACCATAGCTTTCCCAATCCGGCCCCCTGAGGGAGACCCGATCCCAGCATCCCAAACCAGGTTAGACGCACATGTCATTTCTGATTACAGACGCAGTGCTCACATCAGCTGCTGCCACAGGCACTGTCTTTTATTCCTCATCTCCTCTTTCCTACACACACAAACGCACACACACACACACATGCAGAGACACACAAAACCATGAGCTGTGCATGTGTGCTTTTACCTGACTGCTTATCCAATCCTCATGGCTTCAGACATACATTAAACATTTATCAAGCACTGCTTCTAGGAAGCCCATATTACAGGCATTGTTTAATATGTTTGAGTCTGGAGAGGAGAAGGACGGTCATGTCTTAAATGCATATATATTAAGCTGAAGCTGACCATAGAGACCTTACCATGGCATTACGCCTGCAAACATGGGAAGAGTGCGAGCTAGGCTACATCCAAATGTCAAATAATTGAGCAAGAAGTGTATTTTTATGACATCAATTTGTTTATCCTTTACATGTTCCTTCTGGGTGAATATCCTGTTGTGTTTTTTTTTACCTCTGATGACCTCTCCTCCGGTGTGGGACTGACTCTGCAGGAAGGACAGCAGCACAGAGGGCTGGTATGTACAGTCCACACAGGCCTGAACAGCCTGCTGAAGTACTGCGTTTACTGGAGCAGGACCAAAGTGGTCCGGGAGCTGCTGCACCAGTTTTCTATCCAGATGTGGGCCATAGTTTCCGTGTTTGTTCACATAAACACACACTAGAGTGACACAAAGAGAGGGTCAACATTAGTAAAGTTAAAAAGAGAGACTGAACATACAGACAGGTCTCCACATGCAGGTTTTAGACTCAGTATGTAATCCACCTGTGCAAACTACATTTGCTCCGTTGCTGTGGTTGCTGTCTGCCGAGACGTGGCTGGAGCTCAGTCTAGTCTCTGGAGGCGGCGCTGTAACTGATGGTGTCCCCAGGGATTGCCCCACTCGAGGCTTCTTCTGGATCAGAAAACAAACAGACCCTTTCTCATTAACTCTCTGTTACCTATAAAGGCTGTTGGTTAATGATTCTTTAAAAGCTTCATTTTCATTCATTTACTGCTTCACAGGAACAGAAAGTCCAGCTTCTAAACCAAAGCTCTGAATCAACACCAACCAAAACTTTCTGCCTCCTCTAAACCTTCGCCCTCTGACCTTGAATCCTCTTTACCTAAAACTTTTCTGCAAAGATACATACAACAAAAAAATGCCAGGGTCACTGGAGCACAGCATAACAGATTACAGCTCCTGTGACATCTCACCTTGCTCTTGGGCTTGGGTCCTCTCTTCTTGTGTGGTCTTGGGACCAGTGGAGCCTCAGAGCCGGTCCTGGCAGGACTCTGTGATGCTCCATTAACTGCTGCTGCCGCTGCCGCCTCTGCTGCAGCCTTTAACAAAGCTATGGTCTGGGATTTGGGACGACGACCTCGGACACCCTTGCGCACAGGGAGGGGTGGTAAGGGGTTGGGCAGTCTGTATGAGGTCTGCATGGATGAGGAAGAGTTGGACGAGGAGCGACGTATGGTGAGGGAGGAGGAGGTGGAGGATATGGGAGCAAGGAGCGCACTTGGGAGAGTAACTGAGGGGAAAGAGAGACAAAGAGAAACGGGGGAGATAAAAAATGTATGCTTATTCTTTTTTTTCAATGAGCAGAGAGCAGTTCATTTGAGACAGGAAGAGGTTGATAATGTTGCATTTGCACATTTTAAAGTAAATATCACAAAAACGAGGATTGCTCATTTGCAGAGGATCAATGTTGCCATGAATATTCAAAGACATGAAGCAGAAATTAGGAATGACTGACAACTGGAAGAGAGGAATAAAGGAATCACTGAGTCGCCCAGCAGACGAGATTTGTTTTGATTTTTTGGGGTCCTCTGAGATTGGCAGGTCCTTTGTACGAAGCCCCTCCCTCAGAAAAAAAATCGGTCAAAAGTCTGAAGTCCCTGGAGATCTGCCTGCTAGACGATTCCTTCAGACTCAATCAGCACAAAAATGGTTATTCTGGTGATAAGATTTTGCCTCTTTTAAATACATGAATTAGGCATTTGATTCAAGAGGCTGATGCTGAAAGATAAACATCATCATCACCAACGAGCACTGGCTGGAAAAAACAGTAACGGCATAGGTTCATCTTTATTTAAGAACTGAATGAAATAAAAATATCAATAATATGATCAAATAGATTTAAATAGGTGTAGGACACACAAGCAGATAAAATTGCAGCCTGTTTATTTAAATTCAAAACTAAGATTAAATACTCTAAACTACGGCAGAACATACAGTGAGGTAAATCTTAACGTCTCATTTAGATATCCACGATTTATGCAACGGAAAGTGTTTCATTATAACATTATTTCATCAACACATCTGGAGATTTATGTACAGACACCATTACACTCTATAGTAACAAGACTGATTTTGTATCAGAAAAAACAAACTGGCCATTCCATTAAGTTTAATAAAAAAAAACATATTTCAGTGTATTAAATAAATGCCATCATTAAACTGAGCCTGATATTTTATGAATCTGAACCTAAAATGAGTTTAATATCCAGTCAAGATGTTTCTGCTGTTGCTGTCGACAACAACCTTTCTGGCATGACAACTATCAAATATCATTATTTCTGAAAGCAGCATTATTACATCAGTCAGACAGTTTACACCTCATGCTCAGTACACGGATTTTTGAGTCCAGTATCCGCAGACACTCAGAGGCTCCTATACTCTCTCTAAATTACACCTTTCACTCAGGGAAAGAAATTTTATTCCAAGTTAAAAAATAAAGTTTGAAGAGAAGGGGAAGCCATAGTAACTATTCCCAGGAAATGAAGAATACAAAAGAAGCACCAATGACTCTTCTGAACTTTATTCGCAGTAAACGTGACTGAGCCTGACCCTGTGATACACAGTTATCACTGCAAGTAAGAGAAAACCAAGATGAGTCTGAGCGAAACAAAGAAAAAGAGGAAGAGAGAAAGATAAGCATCTCCTGGTTCAATACAAACATAATGCTCAGCGAAAGTAGATGTGGTGTCTCTCAAGGGGCCGGGGCTTTCAATAGAGCCCCCTCGACTGAGGCAATATGGAGACACTATGGAAGGTTTACAGTATCCTCTTGGGGTCAGCCGGGGCACCCTGAAAGCTGTTAATTGGGAAATGAGTGAGAGTGGGCGTACTACAGAGCAGGGTTTTGTTTCAAAGGGTGAACGGTCGCACACAGTGTGCTCGCAGAGGAACAGCGATACCAACCTTCACACACAGTGGCACACTTATTCATGCAGAGCAGGAAACCATAAGCCCCACAAAGGCCGATCATTTTTAGTTTGCAGGGTACCAGTCAGAATCAGCAGGTTTTAATTCACCATGGGAAAACGGAGTCGGGGGCCTTCTCTGATCTCTGATGGTTGCAGAAAAAAAAGGCTAATCCATTCGTGTCGTGACAGCTGTTACAGCAACATGTAAGCTACTGTTTCTGAACTGGTGATTAATGTCACCAACTATCAAATATTAGCTTATCCTCAAATGCATGTGCAAAATAACTTATCAGGTCTGTGCTTCTTACGACTTTGAAAGAAAATCTGCTCATGTCTGCATTTTCTCTGCACTGAGGCAGTATTGTCTGCGTTCTGTCTGTAATTCAAGCTCTACATAGAATTCATGTAATATTCGTAATAAATAAAACACTAAAACCTGTGTTTCATTTGAACCTGTAAAGCCTAAAAAAGTTCAAATACAAAGAAACTTTCATTACAGTTCAGTGTTTGGTTACAAAGATGTGAGAAGAAGCAGCTGTGAGATGTAAAAGTGGACAAAACTACCTGGTATTTAGAGGGTTAGGGTTATGATATTAATGTTGATTTGATGCCTGCAGCATTTAAAAAAAGTTGGGACAGGGGTACATTTACCACTTTATTACAAGACCAGTTGTTTGAAATGTTGTCCCACTCTCTGTTGTCCCACTCTCATTTAATGTGGGATTCTAGGTGCTCAACAGTTCAGGATCTTCTTTCTTGTGTTTTTAGAGCACCTCATGCTTTCAAGGGGTGACAAATTGGGATCATGAATAGTCCAGTTTTGCACCCAAACTCCTTGACAAGCCATGCTGTTATAAAGTTGCAGAACATGGTTAGACACTGTCTTGCCAAAATATTAAATCATATCTGGAAAAATCAAAGTTTGGGTGTCAGCTTATGTTGCTCTGTGACCTTTAACTATTGTTAAACTTTAAAAGTGTCTTCTCAGATGAGTAAGCTTCCCATAACATGCAGGTTTATGCATACCCATACCTTCACAGAGGTAGACTTTTGAACTTTTCACAGACAACAGCACAGTTTGGTCAAAATAATCCTCTGGACCATGCTTTAACATGGTTTCCTTTTCACTTGTTACAGTTGTAACCTGCATTTGTGGATGCAGTGACTAACTGTGTTTACTGTCAACAGTTTTTGGAAGTGATTTTGAGCCCATGCAGTGATTTCCACTACAGAGTCATAGCTGTTCTTACTGCTATACCACCTGAGATCATATCTATCAAGTAAGTTTGGGGGCTTTTTCCCTTTTGGAAAGCAATTTCTCCAGATTTTCTCAGCCCATTACTGATATCATGAACTGCCAATGATAAAGTTTCCAAACTCTTTGCACTAGTACACAGAGGAGCTTCCTGGAAATGTTGAACCACTAAACAGAGTGGTGAAACTCTTTTCAATTTGTTATAGTGTGACGTAATTTCTCAGCAATACTGTCCCAACCTTGAAATGTTTTGCTAGCATCCCAGCTATAGTTTTCATAAATCTGCGTTCCATTTCAATACTGAATCTATTTTCAACTAAAAAAGGGTTTGAATAATTTGCAAACTATTAAATTGTGTTTTTAATGGAAATTTTACGCATCATATGACCTTTTTCAGAATTGGCGTAGAAAAAAATGGACAATAGCTCAAAATCATGTAGGGGCCTAAACAACCTCATCACATTCAGACATTAAGCTGCAGATGATGTTTGTTTTGTTTGGAGAAGGCTGAAACAATAGGGTGATGAAAATCATTCAAATAGGATTTCGAATGATTCAGCCATTGAGCAGTAAAAAGTATCTCATTTTTGTTTCTGTTGGTTACAGCCAATACTTTTATCTATTATTGCACTGCATGCAAATCAATTTCACACAATGGTTGCCAGTAAATGTAAATGTAGTCAGAGTGCTTTCAAAAGTCTCTGATGCAGCAGCCAGGTTTGTAAAATGACATGAATCATGCTGAGACACATTTTTCATTAAGGAGTTAAAAATCACAAGAGCACAAAAGAGTTAAATATCCTGCAAATCTGTATTTTAAAGAGTCAAACCTGAGCATGCATCCCCTGCATTTAAACACAGACATATGTTTCTGATCATGACTATATAATTCCACGTCGACCCGCTGACCTGTGTGAGCCACAGCCCCAGGAAACATGTGCATGTGGGAGAACATGAGAGTGTGTGGGTGTACATGCACGCATGAGAACGGGGCTGCTGCTAAGTGTGTCTGCTGTCTGGGGGGATGGGGAGGGGCTCCACAGAGTAGCTCCTCATCTAATTACAACAACCCCCAACCACCCCTCCCCTCTGACATGCCGAGCGCTCTTACAGCAAACAGACCAATCAAACACACACATTCACAAACACATGGGCTGCTCTGCTGAGTGAATCTGAACCAGTGTGAAACTCATGAACTGCAGCTTCAGGTGTGTGTGTGTGAGAGAGAGAAAGAGAAGGAGAGAGAGAGAGAGAGAGAGAGAGAGAGAGAGAGAGAGAGAGAGAGAGAGAGAGTGCAAAAAGGGGAAGTAACTAAAACAGCCTTGAGGCACAAAGTATAAATGTAACAATGTGTGTCTGCACAACCCCGCACATTCAAACACGGACAATCACTTCTTTGTGAGTCTTGTGTGTATAATCAACTTCAAACTATACACAGACATCTAGGTCTGAAAAATATCTATGCTGATGTGTAAAATCAGAGTTAACAATGTTTGAGACCCACTAATCCTTCCCTAAACATTTTGCAAACCAATTCCTGATGCTTTACACACACAAAAAAAAAGCTATATGATGAAAACCACAATGTAAACATGCCGTGTTGTTAAGTTTTCTGCATTTGAATGGTCCCAAGTCTCTTTTAAAGTTGCAAGTCATTTCAAAAGTGCTGGTACTAAACAAAGAGAGTGAGAAACAGCCGCCTTTAATCATTTACACAGGAGGAGGAGGAGGAGGAGGAAGCTTTACACTTATGAGTGCACATGTATCATTGATTAAAAAAGTATATTCTGCTTTCAATGTCTCTTTTTTGAATATTTTATAGCAAAAAAAAAATAGCATCAAGAAATATGAGTATTAATTTGAATAATTAAAGTAATTGAAAAACTGGTTAATCAAAGAATAATGACTAAAAAACTACAACTTCCTGATATGGGGGATAAATGAATGCAAATGTGTATAATTTAAATTCATGTTGGTTTAACACATCTATGTGAAGTCTTAGTTAAGCACAGCAATGTAAAAAAGAAAAAAAGAAACAAAGACACTCTCATGAGAAATAGATTTTACGTGCCTGAATTTCAACAAACTCAATCTGACAGAACAAAAATCTTAAACTCTCCAAACAACAATAAAAACATGTTGAAGCACAATCCTCTCTTCCATAAAAATGATGTTTCTCGCAGAAAAGGCTGGAGAAAGATTTCAAACTCACCAGGAAACCACAAAGCAGAACTTGACGGCTGTAGTTTGGTCTTTCTTAGTAGTAGCAGTAGTAGTGGTTGTTGTAGTAGTTAAAGCGCCAGAGCAGCAGTCAAAGAAACTGTAGTAGTGATGTCCGCAACAATACAAGTCACAGTGTACAGTTGCTTCCTGGTTCTCTCTCTGAACTCTCTTTGAGCGGCTGTTGATTTGTTTCCTGTCTCTGTCAAGGTTTTTTCACTCCCTCCGGCTTTCTCTGAAAATTTAAAAAACTCGCCTCCCGTGCGTGTCACTCTTTTTCCGTCTTTCTCTGTCAGCTGCTGTCTCTGAGTTTCTCCCCGTTCTCTCTCTCTCTCTCTTCTTCTCCCTGCTGTAGTCCACAACAAAGCCCACGCTTTCTGCTATTGCTGATTCTGCTGCCGGTCGAAGCCTCCACACAGGTTCCCTCCCAATGAATGAACAGGAGGAGGGAGAAGGGGGGGGGGGGTGTTCAGATTTGCATAGGGGCACGGGAGGGGTGAACTCGGGGAAGGAAGAGTGGGTGGGTGTGGTGGGTGAGAGGGAGGAGGGATTCGAGCCCTTTATTCATGTTATCTGTAAGCCATATCGACAGTCTACATCAGTCACCTGCTTCTCAGTGAGCCTCTGCGAAAGGAGGGGGGAGGTAAAAGGGGAAAGGGGTTAACAGAAGGGCTGGTGGGGGATGGGAGGAGTGGTGTTTTGGGGGAAAAGGTTAAATCGGATCAGGAGAGACCAGATTGAAAAGAGGACAAACTCCTGGAGTTGGCGAACACATAAGAAAGCTCTCCCTCAACACAAACAGACCCAGGGCCGAGGAGGAGGTGCTGCCCCCTCAGTGTAACTCTAACCCACTCAGACATTACACTGATGAGAGATGGCCGGGGCCAGCGGGGCCAGGAAACAGTCACACAGTCGGATATCACCCTGACTCCAGAACAATGTGGAGCGGAGAAGCCAGCCTGCATGGGAAAGTCTCTTCAGTCAGAGACATCTTAATCTGTGTCTGAATGGACCGACAGCAGAGTTTAGGGGCCAGATTGAAGAAAGGAAACACAAATCTGTGACACATCGGCAGAGGAAAAGTTCACTAACAGGATATAAAATGTTGTATATAAATATTACTGGACAAAAATATCCCAGTTGTTCAATTTTTAAAATCTCACATATTGAATTGGATGTGAACACGGGTAAATCTTTCAGATAATGGGGATTTTTCCAATTAAAAAAAAACAAGACAGGAAACACATGTTTTATATCACTTATAAGATTTCTAAGCTAAACTCATCAAAAAAATTTCCGTACAAACTAGTATTAAAGTCCAATATGGTCAAACCTTCTACAACCTACTTGCAAGTAATATTTACCCTGATATAGAGAAGAAAGGGAGGACAAGTCAAATTATTTTGCCTTAAATAGACAAAAACAACCAGCCTCAGCCTGAATCTACTAAGGTCTACCTCATGCATTATTCACAAAGCCCTTTTCTGCATTCTGACCCAATTTACCAGCTAGGCAAGACAAAGACATATCACAGATATGGACAAAAAAACTACTGCTCAAAGTACACAAAGAAAAACAATTAGGCAACACAACTTGGCATCTTTTGTAGCTGATTACAAAGTGTGTGGTCAAAACAGAAACGATCATTTTGATGAAGCTAATTAGAAATGTTAAACATAGCAGTAATTACAGAGTCTCACCATTACTTTCACATGTACAGCTAATTATGAGCTCATTAACACCTCAACTAAGCCCGTTTTTATTCATCTACCCATTTACAAACAATGTTGTCTCCTCTATTAACGCGATCCTTTCTCCTCGCTTTTCTAATCTCCAAAGTAAAACTTTCAAACAAAGCATGTTGCTGTGATACATCAGTCGCACAGGCATAGATCAGTGACGGGGACAAAGCTCAGGCCTCTCTTTGGACCAAGCTTAAAGTCCAGTTTCAGTGGGATGTGGATGAAAAGATTCTGAATACAGCTTTGACACTCGTTTTTAAAACAGAAAACATGACTGACTGAGAAATATTGTCAAACGGCTGAGTCTCACACAGTTTAAAGTTAAACATGTGGAGAAATTCAGCAGATATGTCTCATCTGACTGGACATGACAGAACTCAATAGACAGACACCAGCCAGGTACCAAAGATCTCTGTACTCTTAACTGATACCATCCTAACACAATGATCCCTAACTGCACATTTCCTATCCAAACCTGATCTCTTTAACCTAACCTCACCTAAACTACTGTAATCAAACTTGAACGTACAAAACCCTCTAGCGCAACCTAACCTGACCACCCAGACTGCCTAAATTCAAACTAACCTAACCAGAGCGAACTTGACCATACAAAACCCTGTAGCCTGATCTAATCCTCTAGACTAACCTTATTTAAACCAACCTAACCTAATTTAACCAAACCACACCCATCTTTCCTGACTTAAAGAGAAAAAAACTGAACTTTATTTGGCATAACCAGATCTAAATCAGCTTAACTTAACCTAAACAAACCTAAATAAACATTAACTTGTCTGATCTATAACCAATAAACCTAAATAAAATTGAAACAAAATAAACTAAACGACTTAAACCTAATCAAAGTACTTAACTTAAACCAAGTGAACTATAACAAACTATTGAAATTTAATCCTACTTAAGTATTAAAACCTTTAGCCTTAACTTTCCTAAATACAAATAAACTAAACTACTGGAACTTAAATAAACTAAACTAAAACCGTGTTAACTAAAATAAACTAATCAAACTAAACTAAACAACTAAAACTTACCCAAATTTGAAACCAAGACCAAAACCAAATAAAATAAACTAATGAAACTAAACTAATGAAAGTAAATCAAACATAAAAGTTTAAAAACAAAACTACTGATGGATAACTGAACAAAACTCAAATCATATAGGCAAAAACAGAGTAGTGATTCTAAGCAAAAGTTAACTAAACTAAAGCTAATTAATCAACATCCATCCAGGAACAGTTTTGCAAAATAACCACAAAATATGAGCAACTTTTTCCTGAATAGACTTCAACTATGGTGACAATGATCTGACTGGGGTCAGTAAGGCTGCTCTCTAAGCCCTAAAATAACCTTTTACTTCTCCAACTTGTCATCAAAACAAGCAGCACTCTAAAACACTAATAACTCAGCAAATCTAATGCCAAAACCTCAGCTCCTTAAAGGGCTATTTAAGAGGGGGTCCAACAGCGAGTAGATCCTGATTGTGCCCCATTTAATAACTCACAAAATCAGGGCCAAAATAAACAGGTCTTATATAAAAAGCTAGTTCACCCCTTTTTATCATACCTGTTTTGAGATGATCCAAGCTGTTTTTAACCATGCATCTCCTAATGAGACTGTATCGGAAGCAACATTAACGTCTTTCTGTTTCTGCAATACACAAACGTTGGACTGAGGACGGGAACTTGCCTGCCTCCCCAACCTGAGGACAGAAAACATGGCTCCAACATGTAACTGCTGTCATTCATCAATAGTGAAGGGAAACCCAAACACACACACACACACACACACACACACACACACACACACACACACACACTAATCAAGAAGGCTGTTGGTCTTCGTTGTTTAAAGCCACATGTTTCCTCGCTGCTGGGCACCTTCATCAGGGCAAAGATGAGAAAACTCTTGAGTCTCAGCCAAAGTAAACTAACAGCAAACATAATGATTAATATTTATAACACCTGAGATCCTCAAAATTCAGAATAAACAGCCTCGTACCACAGCCATTAGTCAAAGTGAATGCAATGGATGACAAATATCTGAGAATCCCCCAAAGAAGCTCAACAGCTAAACCTCGAGCATGGAGCTTTAGCATGAGTGCACATCACATGGTGACATTCTCCAGTAACCACCGAGTGTAATTACTGTATAATTACATCCTGATTGATAATTAATAGCCCTGTACTGCATTCACATATTAATAATATCATGCAAGGCTCTAATTTGTGCAGACAGACGTGGAGCACTTCGTTTCAGTGTGGTTCAAAAATCTTTGAACAGCCGCGGAAAAGCTGGAGCACAGGCGTGTTTTCAGACAAAAAAAACAGGTATAAAAATCTTAACACGGATTATTTCAACACAAACATATACACTGATCAGTGATATATGTTTGTGTTGAAATAATCCGTGTTAAAATTTCAGCCACAGAAACTTTAAAAAGACCTTCTTAGTAGCACACAGTCCATCTACTCCACAAACACCTGACCCTGTGATTTTAGACATTATGAATAACTAAGTAGAAATAATAAATATTATAGCTTATAGTCTTCTTTGCTTCTTTATGTTATAAAGATGATTCATTATTAATTTAAGCCAGTTTACCAGCATACAAACACAACACACTCGTGTCTTTATATCATATCTGTTATCTTATATCATTCGAAACTTTGTCTGTACCTCTGTTGTACTATAAGTGACTGTATTCCTCTCAATGGCAAACTGCTCTGTCACATCTTTTAAAAAGACAGAGCCAATGGCAGCCCAAAGAAACAAAAATGTTCAAATGAGCCCACTAGTTAGTCAAGCATTAATGTATGAGAGAAATATCAAAACACAAACTTCATTCAAGCATCTCTGCTCAATCTCAAGGGGGAGTCAATGTGGAGGTCACAGCAGGTCACAACTCCACAAACAAAGACAGAGTTGTTCCATGGAGCAGAAAAAAGAGGTGAGAAAAATTCATTTTCAGACAGATTTTCAGATATAGGACACCCACAGCGGGGACTCTGTGCAAGAATGAATTAATGATACAGAAGAATCAACAAACATGTTTCTTAACAGTCAGTCATTTCCATCCCAGAATGACCCCTCAGCCCATTTATACCACACACAAGACCACCCCCCTCCCTCACAGATACATTAACACACACATAAAGTGTAATGGATATGCATCTGCATTTAACACTGAACTTTTGATAATGTGCAGCTGTTCTAAAGTGACATTTCATTCACCTGTACTCCACCATAATAAACACTGTGTGCTGATGAATGACAGTAAAGTTCAGCTGAGTTATTCTCATTCAGATCATCTTTGCAGTCAAACAGAAACTCTGTTCACAGCTGATCCAACTCACTTTGTAGTCTTCTGCCCTCTAGTGGTGAATAATGGATCATGTCATAGAAAGATCTGAGACTATCTGTGCATCACCAAACAAGAACAAATTCATTTAAGTTTTTGTGTAAGGAGATTTTCAACTTTTAATTTGTTTTTTCTTTCTTTTAAAAAGTCAATGAAGCTACATCCATAAATCCTGACATGCAAACAAATGTTTTATCATTACTGTTTTGCAACTTTTTAGGGTCATGTGTATTTTTTTATTTGTTGCAAACTGTTTACAACAACAATATCCTTTATTTGAAGTTTCAGGTGTAGTCATGTTACTACATATGTTTTCTCTGACCTTTTTTGATCAATGGAAACAAGGAACTTAAATATTTTTATTTGAGTTCTCATGATTACTAGCTACAACTCTGTGGAAGCTAATGGCAATCCAAAAGTTGAGAGAAAATTAACAAAGCCGGTGTGTTTAACTACCATAATATGAACCACAGTCTCAGTACACAGCCAAGCCTTTTTTCATATTTTATGTTATAAATTTACTGTTATATTAAGCAGATGCTTTTAAACAAAGCCACTTGAGACTGAGAACAACCCAAGCAAGGATGTGACTCAAACTGATTCAAGCCTAATCGGACACGTGCTGCCATGAGGACTTCAGACAATGCAATTCTTTAAAATCATTATTACTATTATATATAAAATCTTCACTATTTCATCTAATAGGGCCAATATTCAAAAACTATATAAAAAGAAAACTAAACTAGGCTGTTAGCCTACAGACAACATTTTGTAGATATTGATTCATCAAGTTATTTGATCTACAACATTATCATCTGAGAAACTTGATTGAAAATGTGACAACTATACAAATCTTTCCACCAGTGAAGACAGAAACATTTGGAGATCACACAACAAACAGGAAGTTAACAACAATGACAGCAATACTCACAGAAGTTCCCGGGTGGCTGTAAGCTGTGTTTGGTCAAAGCACACCAGCCGACAGGAAAGATGTCTCTGGAGTCGAAGGGGCACCAGTAATCAAAGGCGCCTCGCCAGCCGTCAAACATGACGAAAATCTCCTGGCCTCTGACCTCTCCTACTGTGGCCGGACAAATCAGGTAGGGGTTCTTCCTGTCCACCGCCTCCAGCTTCATACCAGGCTGGAAGTAGTTTTTGGCAGGACTGGCTGGTTCCTAAATACACAATACATAAATAATTACTATAAACCAACAGCATTAAAGCTAAATGAAGCAGGTGTTTAAGGCTTAGTGTGCACATAGTCACTCAGGAGGAAATACTGTCTCTGAGTACTAGGACTTTGAAATGAACACAGTTTATTCAATATTGATACCAAGACTGTCTTATACACTTGATACTGTGATAAATGGTGATAAACCTTTTGTTTATGGATCTGATCGTTTTTTTACATATACTTAATTGTTACACTTTTTTTTGTTCAACCTGGGAGAACTGTTCAGATTTTTTGGTATAATATAATTTTACTCAATTCTTATGTCTTTGTTTCTGTACATAAAAAGTCATATCTGTGTTTGCCTCCTTCTTTCACATGTTGTTACCTTTTTAAAAGCAGAGGCAGGAGCCATCTCTGCCCCACTCAGGGTCCGCAAGAGGAACATCGGCCATGACGAGGCATTCATCCTGAAACCTGAACATAACATAATTCATCTTAACGTCAAGATATAACAGCGTGTACACTTCCTTTAAACTGGGACAGATACACAGTGTTCTTCTGTCAAGGTCATTTTGGGAGTGCCTTTTAACAATGCAAATCAATGAGGATGTTCTCATGCCAATGTACACATGATTTGATCCATTACCGGATGTTTACAGGTCTATGATTTCTTTGGTATTTTATGAGTTTCCTCAAGGAAGCTAGTTGGTCAACTTTTCTGTTCACTGGGAAACTGTCACAGGTGCAGCTCAAGACCTTATAGCCAAAGGTAACAGGTCCACAGCTGTCAGAGCCCCCAGACTTTGCAGAAGTCTGCCAGTTAAGATAACACCTGCTCAATCAGTTTGCTGTTTTATTTAACCACCCAAGACACACCTCAACAAAAAGCTTACACTGTGATTTTTCTGATATTTAACTGGCTTTGTCTGTTTGCTTTTATTGTCAGTTGTGAAGCACTTTGCCACCTGCACTGAAAAGTGCTATACAAATGCTGCTATGTAATCTTTTCCTTGATCAATGGGGGATGGGAAAAAGGTGAATTCAACGCAAACAGGATCAAAACTGAATTCATTTTCTACAGTAAGATCTGGTGGCTCATCAGAGATGATCTTTGAATCCTTTATGGATTTAGCGGTCCCAGTTTTAACAGGTTCAGGTTGCATTATTAAGTCTTATTTGTGTAATTTGTCATGTTATGTTCTAAAAGCATTTGGATGCAGAGTTCATGCACTGCCCCACAAAAAAAAGACATCTAAGATGATGTTTAAGAGGTGTTTTGTTGCACTACCTTTAACTTTCCTTTCCCAGAACAGCACAGAAGCTCGTTCACAAAGAGACCCGGCAAAAGCTTCAAACTTCAACAGGAAAAATATTTTCTCCTGTCAAATCTTGGCAGACAGTGACAGTATAACCTCTTCTCACTCACCCAGTGGCGGCTGCAGCATGTCCCCGTTCCTCTCGCAGGTTCCTATTGGTTGGATTTCAGATGAGTCGATAAGCCTCCAGAAGTCGTTGGTGTTGTCGCTGCCATCCAGACGCAGGCGCAGTCTAATACCCATCATGCCCATCACAGTTGCAATACACACAGAGTTAGAGTTGCGAGGGTCTCGGGCCTCTAGTTTCATGCCAGCTTTGAAGTCATTGGACGGGGGGACTCTGGACTGTAAATGGACACAAAGGGTTCTTTAGTCTCTTTTAGGACTCTAGCATTACCTATGAATGTATTACCTTTTATATGCTTTAAACCCATATACACTCTACACACTGATGTGACGAAAAAGTACAGGAGGTATTATGAAACTGTCTTGCTTCAAGTCTAATACAGTTAAAACGAGGCTGGCTGGAGCGCTCAGATTGACTGACTTATCTTCATTGAAAAAGGTTGATGTAATCAAGTGGGTAAGAGTACTGTACACACTGGGATTATATGTTCATTTACAGTAAATAGAGGACAAAGCTAGCATTGTTAGAAGCTTTGTTATGTCAACAAATTCCATTAAAGTCCTGAGAGTAAAAAGAGTATTAGTAGTTTCTCAGCAGTTTCAGTCTTTCTGGGCCTGTGCAGGAACATTTGTTCCTACTGATGATGTAAAATTTCAAAACAAGCTCAAAAAAATGTCTTACAAATGTTTATTATGAGATAAAAAAAAAAATGAATGAACTGACACAGAACCTGAGACATCGTGATAATCATCGTCTACCTGTTTGAAGCAAGAAGGGGATGCTGCAATGGACGACGTTTCTCTCAAGTAATCCTCCCAGCTGAATGGTTCTAGCAACAAAATCAATACAAAGAAACCAATGATTACTGAGTGACTGTGTGAGAAAACAAAGTTAATTAATAATAGTTAAAGCCAAAGTTAGTTTATGAACCTGGTAGTTACTAATTCTGCTGAAGATACAAGGAATAACTCTCAGCTATTCTAACGCTTTAAGCAGCCCCTCACACTTTCATGATATTTTTGCACTTTTATTTAGTGCAATGTTAGTATAAAGTATTAGTTTGTTAGTTGGAAGTAGTTACTCGAACCTTACCATCTCACTACTCTTAAACTAAGGTGAGTACACAAACTAAGAAGACCTGTATATATTCATCTTGGAAATAAAATGATTGATAGATGAGAGAGAAGTACAAATTTCCCCCTTTCATGCCAAAGTTTCGAATTCAAAACAACCAATGATGATCAATCTTTCTCACAGATGTGGGTAAAATGCTAAATGACTCGCTACAATCGCTACAGCACAGCAAGTAACTTGTGACTGCTTGTGTTTATACTCCAAAGAGGTTAAGAAAAGAGGGTTATTCTGATTATTGTAAATTGCAATTAATACCCCTACAGAGGCTGAATCAAAACAGCTTTTAACTTAAAAAGCTTGAGATACAACCAACAATAAAGAGATTAACAATAAAGAGAAAAAAAGAGGCCAGAGATCAGAGCTGCCAACCATTAGATTTGTCGAGGGCAGAGCCTGCTGTGATGCTGCTGCGTCTCTCCTTCTCGTCTTTCTGATCTGAAATCAAAAGATGATTGAACGGCTCATCAGGATCTGGAAGCGACTGATACACAGACTGTAATTACTGTGAGAATGAGGGCATAAAACCTGCTATTGCAAGAGCTCGGAGACAGCTCCAAAATGAACCCCAAACACATCAATGGCAAAAATTCAACTGAGCGGGTTTTGATGGATCAAAGTGAGATATTTAGGAAACAGATTAAGGAAAACACAACGAAGAAAACCGCAATATCAGGGTGTACCTCTGTGCGGTGTTCGGCCCATGATGATTAGACTTTAAGGTGCTGCTGCAGAGGAGATGAAGTCAGGAACGGTGTTGTCTGGAGACACTGGAGAGATAAAAAAAAAACTATTAATATCACTCAAAAACGCCAGTATGCACAGACTACTCTAAACACTTCCGTTTGGGATTTTGTTCAAATTAATTTTTGATAAAGACCCTTTTTAAAATTCAGAGTGTACAAACTCGCATGCAAAATTCATGAAAACTTTTTTCCCCTAACAGAAGACTGTGTAAGACAATTTTTTAACGTTACTCCCTCTCCGAGGTCTGTAAAGTGGCACCCTGTTAGCCTGAGACTTGATTCTCAAACACTCCACTGTTTAAAAAGCACTGAGCGGTTCAGGGCTGTTATTAATGATTCAGACCTCTCAAATCATCTTGGACTTCTCAATGCTCCTATAGTAAAGAGTTAAACTCGCAAAAGCCATGGTTGGTGTCATTTAGATTAAGAACATATTAACTACTTTCTTTCTTACATCCAAAAATTGTAACTTTGAAGTATTTTGTGTTCTTCGTATATCTTCTGTCAAATGCAAAGCTCTCTGAATTTCTTCACTGCAGAAAGATGCCACTTAAATTAACATATCTTTCTCTATTTGTCATATTTCAAGTGTGGTAATAGGTTCAAATCTAGAGATGATTTTCTTCTTGTCAGTCTTCTTGCCAAATTAAAGTCTAATCAACATGTTTGTAGAGCCAAAGCCAAAGGTAATGTCTCCAAAAACCATTTAACTAAAGTGCTTCTTACGACAGACTGTACTATGATTTATTTAGGATCAGTTGTACATTTTTATCAAAGCTTTATCAATTCACAGCAGAAAACAGTCCCATAAATTCACTATGAAGTCCAGTTACAGAAACATTTACCCAAATCTACACTGCCTACCTATACAAAGAGAAAACTAACACTTTAAGAAAATAAGCAACCCATTAAGTCTCTTTGAGACTTTCCCTGCCAGTTAGAATATGTGGGATTTAAGCACAGTGCTGCAAAGAGGGCAGGGAGGCCTGCAGTGGCTAAACAGTTATGTTTAGTTCTCCCACAATTAAAGCCACCAGTACATTCTCCATTTTGCACAAGCCTGTTCAATGTAACAGCTTTAAGAGTGCAACATGTGAAAATAATGCAGAATAAGAGCAAAAATAGATGACTGAAATAAACAAATAATCAAACCATACTCCAGTAAAACACCACACTCTGCAAAATGCACGTTTGAACATGAAACAAAAAACTGTTACCACACTGTTATTGCTGAACGTCTGACCCATACACCCACAATTACAAAAACCCAGATCATAATCCAGCACTTGACAAAATCCATACATAGTGCCAGCCCAAAATTAAGAGGATAAGTAATCCAAGAGAGTGAAAAAAGAGGGAATTAAGTCCAAAAAGATCGAAGGTTTGAATCCCCCAAGAAGCCAGACAATGTCTCCTCTCTGTGTGTTCAAAGACTGGAGCATCTGCACTGTATTGTGGCTGCCCCCCTCCCTGAAGACCCCTCTGTATCTGCAGCGAATCCCATTGAGTCAAAAGACGCCATAAAGATTCCAAGCTGCCATAAAAAGCCATTAAGACGTGTGGATGTGGGACGTCTGCTGGCTGACATGAAAAGGATTCCAGCTCCAGACTGCTTCGCTGTTTGCCCTGGTCTGTCTGCCTCACTCAAGAGGGTCAGACGAAAAAAAAAAACCCCATCAGACCAGGAAGCACTCACTTTTACAACCTCCCTTAACACTGAGGCAGCCACTTATCTGGGATTAGTGTAACCTTCACGAACCTGAAGAGTGAGGAGATCTGAAACCTGACCTGAGATATGCTTTTGGGAAATGTGCTAACTTTTTATCTGACAGGAGGAGCTGTCTGAGTGTTAGAGATAGTATTTCCTTTCATGTAATAAAAAATATATAAATTAAACCAAACAATTTTTTTAATAAAAATACAAAATTCACATATAAAGCTTTGCAGTTTGTAGTATTTGATGCTCTTCTAAATCCCAAAACCACATAAATAACCAACTAATGACTTTTATAACTGTTAAACTCTTGTTTTAATGTCCGTTTTTAGACTTTTTCAATGCATGTTCTGAACCTTGGAGTGGAGTTTATTCTTGCAAAAGGATCACTACAAATAAGGTTTTAGTCTTCTGATTAATACTATAAAATGTCTAACATTGTGAAAAAAGTGCCCATCAAAAGTCCAAAAAGCTTAGATACAATAGATACATGTATTATTTTTGCTTAATATTGACGACAACTAATCATCAAAACTTTGAATTTAAGCACATGCCAATTAAAAGCAGGACCCCAGCACACTACAACTACATTGTCAGGTGTCAAGTTTGCATGACAAAATCAGACGGAGCAGCACTGCACTATATTCTTTATGAACAGTTAAATATTTTTGTGTATTTATACAGTATGTCAAAAGCCTGTTTCTATATATGCCTGTCTGTGATAAAATGATAAAAAATTTAATATTATATTGTAAATTAAAATTTAAAGTTATTTAAATGACTGTGGACTGATTATTTTGCTTTTCAATAGCAAAAAAAAAAAGGTTAAACTTCACTTAAAAGGAGTCAAAAATATACTGTGCTGTAAATTCATTCAATGCAAGAAAACAATCTTAAGTAGATGTGTAAGTGTCTAAATTGCTTATTTTTGTGACCTCCAAGACTCTGAGGTTGACATTACAAAAAAAACAAGGTCTGAGACCACATAACTCAAAGAAATTTAATCATGTTGCCAATCAGTCATTACTAATAATGCCACTTGTTGCTCTCTGCTTTACCTCTAAAATGTGAAAATGTACTGCTTTTCTTTGCTGTTTGTGTCTGTGAACTGAATATCTTTTAATGTGATGCTTTTGCAGACGAACATACAAAAATAAGAATCTACTCATTCAGAAAACGGTTGAAGAAGCAAACAAAAGTTAAGATTATGTCAAATTTGTGGGGAAAGGCAAATATACACTCAAAACTTTGCACTATTTATCAATTCACAATCTCTCATACGATAATGAAAAAAAAGTCACATGCTCAAATTCACTAGTCCAAAAAAAAAAAAAGAACAAAAATAGAAAGTTATGTTATTTCTTGGAAAAAGTGTTCCTTAAGCTTATCTTGGCATTTAAGCGTAATGAGGAATTAGTTTCCAGGATGGATGTGGATCAGTCCTCTGGTCATTTTGCTGAGGTGACACATTGTCACACACATCTAGACCAGAGAGAGACTTGTGAGAGGCCTTAAAATGTAAAACTTTGCTTATCATGAATACAGACCTCACAGCCCCCTCTGTCTCCTCAGTTTGGACTACGCACAGTACAAGGATGACATTTGAACTGCAGGCTGCGGGGTGTGTGAGCCTCTACAGGGCGTCACCTCCAGGATGGTCACTAGGTTTCATTAAACTGCTTCCACTTTCCAATATTTCTCATCAAATCTTTTTTCTTGATTCCTCTATTCAAATGAAGTTACAGTATGATGCATCTGTAAAAATGTAAACCTGCATGTGTGATTCAAATGTTTAATGCTATTTTTTTCATTTGCAGGTTTCATGTTTGGGGTTTAAAACACTAAAAGAGCAGATGAAAACATAATTTGCAGAAAAGTCTGTGACGCATTTTCATTTGCTTTATGCTCACATATAGTGGGCGGGACACTGATCAATACACAGGCTGCCCATTGTTAATGTTAGGTTTTCTCAGGCTTGCGTGATACTACAAGGCGATATGAATGAGCCGAGCCTTTTCTTAGTTGCACTGCTGGAAGCCAGTAAACATAAAGCAAAGGGAAATCTGCAGAGTTCAATGACGCTACACTGTACCAACAAGCTGTCCGCCTGCACGGCATAACACGGGATAAACACACTGCTGCCTGTCACTGCGGGGACGAGCAGCGGGGAAAACTGCTCTCTTTCACCTCAGCCCGGATAACAAACAGAGAGAGAAACCAATACTGAGAGAAATAATGAGACATGAGCCGTACCCACCGTCTGAACAGCGTATTTTGACGGGAGATTCCTCACTTTCTATCAGATGCAAGCCGCCATATTCGCTGCAGCTCCGCGCATGTCCGCCGCGCAGTGCTGTAATTCATATTTTTCCACTGGAGGTTGGGGGAAAAAAGGAAACGCAGACAGAGGGTGGAAATAATTAATTAGTCGTTTCATTAACGAAGATAATTTTCCATGTTGGGTTTGGATAATAAACTGTGTGTAGAGAGGAAACGAAATGTGAACGTGTTGTAGTGTCTGGTTTCCTCGGAATGAGGAAAAACTGCAGGTACACAGCGGTCACAGTGTGGGGCTGGCTGGTTATTAAAAGACAAATTAAAAAAGGCATTTTCTTTTTTAATTTACAGGCAGAAACAAACATTCACATAACTGAAGAAAAACTGAAAAAAGTGAAATGTGAGTATGCGTAATAAGATACGCCAGGAGACAGATAGAGTGATTGAACATTTCGTAGGACAAACCCAAATAGAAAATATTTTTGTCCTTTTAAAAGTATGACAATCGGTGTGTTGAAATGCTCCGTTATATGTGCTTCTACCTACCTGATGAAAACTCAGCCCCTTCATTTCTACAGTGGTTGAGGGAAGCCCATAGAAACTTCACCCTTACCTGGAGTCTCTTTATAGAATATGTAAAAGGTTTTCCATTTCAGTGATACATCCTGAATTGTATTGGACAATTACAACCATTTAAAAAAAAACATGCTCAAAACATCAATTTCCTGAGCTTAGGGGAAGAGGTCACTGTCTGACTATTTTTGTATTTTTGTTTTTTATATTTTTCTGTTTAATTTCCTTTTTGTTCAAGAGCCTTTGGGGGAGGGGGTTTATGTTTGGAAGCTGTATGTCTGTTCATAGAAAACTGCAAAATAAAGTCTCAAAAAAGAAAAAGAAACTGCCTGATAAAAGTGCAAGTAATCCAATCATTTAAATGATTTTAAATCAATTTGTTATACGATTGATTCTTTGACGTTTGCACATAGTTACACAGAGATATTAACTACTCAATAACCTGCTGCATATTATAATTCTTACATGTCATGATTATAGAAGGTAATTATTGGCTGACAAACTGGGCAATATTTTTTTATTTATTGGTGTTTAACTGTGCAAATTAATGCTCAAATCTGACTTATATATATATCTATATATCTATATATATATATATATATATATGTGTGTGTGTATACATACACACGTCATACATACAAACATACACATATATGTCTGTGTGTGTGTGTGTGTGTGTACCGAGAGAGAGAGAGAGAAATATTACTATAACACTGTCAAGACCATTACAGAGCAAATGAAACTTTTTTTCTCACAAATTTAGATAGTTCTTTCTCTAAAAGAAAAAAAAGTGGCATCAAATGTAGGTGAGAAAGTTTTTCTTTGGCAGTTATTGTGACCAAATGTTCCTCATTTATGGAGTAAAACTTTGCACTTACAGTGGAGTAAAATATGAAACCTTTCACACCCTATCTGAGCAAATCTTACTCTTTTCCTGCACATTGGTCACTCATTTGCCAAATACTTATGGATTAAAAAAAAAAGAAAAAGAAAACGTACATTCATATTTTTAACCAAGCCAATGTGATGAAATAGTTAACACTGACCTGCTCCTTAGGTGACTCCACTGGCTGCGTCATTCGGCTGCAAATCCACCTGAATACACAACATAAACATTCCTCACTTAGCCACAGTCGTATCATCTCGGTGGAGAATAATAAATTCGTGCAAATTAGTCCGTTATGCCGCTATTGTCGCCCAAAAATGAAGAAAGTTGTTGATGCTAGTGTGATAACGATCAGGTAGCTAATTCCGGTAACGAAGATGCTAACATCCTGAAGGCACTGTTATATCGCCAAACATGGGAAGCGATGAATATGCTGAAGAGGACGGTGAAGAAGAGCGTAAAAGACATGTTGTAAGTTACCTTAAGTTGTTGCCATGGGCTGAAATTAAAACTCTTAAGAGCGTGTGTCTTGAGCTTGCATTAGCTAACAGCTGCTAGCTAGCCGTAGCTAAATGGAGATTGCTTTGGATTTTTGTTTTGTATTTTGCGCATGCGTTCGCTCTTTTAAATATAAAGAACAAAAGCTGAGGTTGTATATTTGCTCGACCTTACATCCATTTTATACATGGCATTTATTGCTGTCAAAATGTGTATTTTATTTGCTCTCTGTTTGGAACACGGATTGTTCAGTTGCGCATTATGCTAATTATGTTCAGTCACACATGATTGGAACCAGGTGTGAGTTGAGGGCATGCAATAGATGATCATGCGGGTGTCAGGTAGAGGCCTGTGCTTTGAGATCATTTTGAGATGATTTCTGGATTCACTATTCCATTTGAGTCAGATTATTGGAATACTGATATAATGTTAATGAATAGGTGATAGTATCCATACCAGAGGAGCGCATTGGACATTGATTACTGATGATGAGGTTACACACCCTGCTCCCAATCCCTTCCTCCCCCCATGGCTTTTTTGGGGATTTTATTGAGTTTGTTCAAATTGCTCATTGCAATATTGGATTCTCAGTGATTGATGGTGATGTCAGTGGTGATTGTGTGTTTTGAAGTTCTTACCTCAGCTCCAGCTTAATCCATTCTTACCCCACCATTACAGTTCCCTGGAAACTACTGGTTTTACTGATATAAGACCTTAAACCTAGAACATTATCGCTGGGTGATTTTCACCCGACCAAACATGTTTACGGGATTTTCATTATGTCGCATTTGTCTGAGTATTATGGGTCCCTGGGTAGCTTCAGCATTGCCTTTGACATCTTTGAAGGCATATTTGTTTCCCTGATCCAAAACCTGCCTACGGGCACGTGTTCACAGGGGGATTTTCACCTGGCAATAGTGATAGAGGGTAAAGTAGGTTTGGGTGGATTTGATAGCTGCATGTAGGGAATAAGGTCAGTAAGAGTGGTCCTGGAATTTGCATGCTATCTTTATTTAGCGCAGTGGTTATGAATAACTGTCACAAAGTAGTGATTTTCAAGGGAATTCATACGGTGTTAAGAAATATTGTAGTCAGCTGGTCATTTTTACTCACTCAAAATCTGCCACATTTTGGTTCTCTCTCCTGCAACTGTTATTGTGCCAAGGACCCTGAGTCTTAACCAAGGAAGACTAACATGCCCCAGGAATGGGTGGAAAAGAAGCTAAGTTTACAGTTTATATATATATAGGAATATTTTGTTCATGAATGCCTAATTTCTGTCATTTTGTTGCATTTTTATATGGTCCCCTCATGGCACTTTTTTCTCTCCCCTTGGACATTGCAGTTAAAAATAAAACTACTGTAATTTGTTATGTATTATCCTATTTTGATGACAAGTAGTTTTTCTTGGGTATATTATTTCGGGTAAAAATTACACAGCGATAGTGATGGTGTCACAAATTTTCGCGATAGTGTTCTAGGGTTAAGCTTGCTTGTGATGAAATATTGATTTATGCTGTGGAATTAGAAATGATCTTCTACCACTAGGTGTAGGTCAGGCAAAACCTAAAGTTACCATGGGGAAACCAGAGTGGGTCATCATATATAGCTGGTGCCTATTGTAGGGTGCTGTGTCACTGTGGTAATAGCAAACGTGTGGCAGTAGCTCAGGAGGTAGAGTGGTCAGCCAATAACAGGAAGGTTGGCGGTTCAATTCCCCCCTATTCCCAGTCTGTCAGTTGTGTCCTTGGGCAAGAGACTTCACCCATCTTGCTCCCAATGTGTGTGTCCTCCACTGGTGTATGAATGTGAGTGTTGTGTGGTGGTCGGAGGGGCCATAGGCGCAAACTGGCAGCCATGTTTCCGTCAGTCTTCCCCAGGACAGATGTGACTACTAAGGTAGTTTACCACCACCAAGGTGTGACTGTGTGAGCAAAGAATGATGTATGCATCGTAAGTACTTTGAGGTCACTGACAAAAAGCGCTTTAAAAATCTGATGCATTATTTTTATTGTGCATTTGGCCTGATGCCAGGTTTATACTTATGCTTGATCTTTTTCTAAGTAAGCTAAAAAATTGAGGTGAGGCTTGTTTTCATTTTTATTTGGTCAGAGTGTTTTGAGGAGGTGTTTTTAGTGCAAGTTTCATGGTGGTTTTTTATTTTATATTCCACCAATTAATAAAAAAAGTGAAATTTATAGCTTTGGTCTGAGCCTAGTTTCAGCCAGCTAGCCAAATCCATGTAGTGGTTCTTTATCTGAGGGTCAGGTGGGTAAATTTGTCTCACTGCCTTCCCAAGACTACATCCATTTGATCTAATAATGACCAATGTAACATGTACTGATCATGAGTAATTCACTTTCTTATGATGACATTCAGGTCAAAGTACATACAGCCTTGGGGGGAAAAATGTAGTTTCTTTCTACAATGTGGCTGCAGCCTTTAGCTGCTGTACAAAGTATTTTGTAACACCTTCTTAGAGAGAAACAGTCCCATTGTCTCAGAATTCACACTGATTTCGCCAATTAGTGCAGTCATGAAGGGGAGGTGTAGGTGGAAGAGAGCGGAGACGAGCTGCAGGACGGGTTTTAATCAGTGACACAACATGGACTGACCAAAGAGGGGGGTGAACAGCAGCACTACCAAGATCTGTCTCCTGACAGCGTGAAGCCCGTGTAGTGTTTATAGATACCAGGCATGTTCAATGTTGAACAAATTACGAGCAGGATTCAGAGCCAAAGTTTTTATTCCATCACAGCTCATATGGGATGTAAAACCACTGCTGGAACGCGCAGAGACATCAGTGTTTCTATTGGCTGTGCGCAGCGTCGCTCACAAGGATGACGATTTTGCTGCTATAACCAGCTGATGCTGAGGCTATGTACACGGAGCCTCAGAAGAAGTGTTGACGGTACATGGATACCCCGTCATCGCCGTTATGCCTGCGGATTCGGTCTCATCTCCGTCCACAGATTGAGTGAAGAGGAAATCTGATCCAGTCACGACGCACAGGCCCGGGCTTTCCCCCCTTCGTCCTGCCGCTCCACATGATGTTTCATCGTCTTCCCACATCATCATCTTCATGAGCATGATGCTCTGCGCTTCACAGATTGAGCTTGAGGCGACACATCACGTTTGCAGGTAAAAGGGAGCTTTATTGGTTTGATGTTGGACGGGCTGCGGACTATTATTTCCTTATCCATTGTATGGGTTACGTGCGTTAATTACGCTTAATTATGGGGTGATGGGTAAATGCCGTGTGTGGATCTTGTTGTGCAACCCTGTCATGAACATGGTCCGTGAACAACGTTATAATGTATGCACTGGTTGCTGTGTAGGCTGAGAAACGCGTGGACAGCGGTGGAATGGTGTTGCGCTCCGCAACGCAGCGATGAGAGAGACGCAGTTTCGATGCAGAGAGAGCAGCATTACTATTCTCTCTCTCTCTCTCTCTCTCCCTCTCTCTCCTTTTCTCTGTTTCTCTCTCTCTGCCTCTGTCTCACCTCATAAACACACGCACACACATACCTCGTGCACGCAAACACACGCATCTGCCCGTTAAATTCACACTCCTAAAGTCTCTCTCATCATGGTGGTTTTATTTTTATTTTTTTACATGCAAACACCAACAGGCGTTAGTTGCAGGTTTGATGCTTCAGTCTGCTCCGTCAATATTTTCAGCACTTTCTCAGTGATGTGTCCACCTTGTTTCCTTTTACCAGCTGTCTGCCTGATGGCTGCAAGGAGAAGCAGCAGCTTATCAATTAACCCACCCTGTGCTGTACCCGTTTTTTAGGAACACTCTTTCCTCTAGCACACGAAATAATGCAGAGCTCCAGTCGCAGGCGTTAAGATGTCCTTAGAGAGCAGATCTGGTACGGATGTTATCACTCCCCAGAGCAGCACCATATTCTTAAATGACTAGCCATGGATGGCCTCAGCATCCACCTTATCACTTCTCCTGGAAAGACTTTCCTGTGTGGAGTGTACACTGCATAGGAAAACGCCCACACAGGCACATGAGCCAAATCAACAAAGTTGTTTTTCGGTGCTGAATAAATCAAGTGTTATACAAATGAAGTTGGACTGATACTGTGAGGAGCTCTGATGGTTTTAGTCCAACTAAATTCGCATTACAAAAGAGGCGTTTAGTAACTGTGGTCAGTTTTGGATGAATGACAGGAGATGTGAGCCTTTGGATGGGATTGTTCTCAGCTTTTTTGTTGGTTTTTCTTGGACAAAAATACTTTTTTTTATTTGCTGTGTGTATAAACGCAGAATATGTTTTTGAAAGTAGGGAGGAAAGCAAACTAAAAAGGTCAATCTTAGCCATGGGAGGGTTTGAGTTTTGAGAGTTTTGAATCATCATACAGAATTTAACCCCTTTCAGCATTATGAATGGGGTAGATCAGAGTTTTGCAGGTTGGTATGAAGTTGATACAAAAGCAAGTGAAGCTGAGACTGATGGTTTAGGCCAGAGCATCATCAGAGTTAAAATAAATCAACCTGAGATTGACATATATCATTAAATTTCACAGGAATCCGTCCAGGAACAGCTGCTATTGCTTATTCTTGGAAATATGTCTGTGGTTGTGAGGCACAAGCTAAGTAGGTGTAGGTCCATCATGGTCCCCCATCTTAATTTGATTTATTAGCATTTTAAATGTTTTACATGCACTTAAACACAAAAGTGAAGTTGATGCTGTTAAAATGAGAAGAGTTGTACAGCTATTTGGTCTTGAATTAAGGTAATGCATCGTTGATATCATCATAATTCAGCACAAGACTGAACCGAGTGTCATGCCAATTTATCTGGTGACAGTGTGAACACTCCCCTTCAAAACATAAATGTAAACTTGCCGATTTGCTACAGAAAAGTCAAGGAAGAGGAGGACATCATCCAAGAACTGTGAATGTCTTTTTACTGTGACAGAAACTGTGATTTCTGAACAAATGAGTAAAAGCTTTGACCAAGAAAAGTCATAGATCACTAAAGCCCCCAGGACTCTTGCTTTTGGCTCACTGAACATTTCGATCAAGTGTGATGGCAACCAGCTCCAAGTTGGCACCAAGAATATTTGCTCTAAATACTGACCAAAATGTTTATGGCAATCCATCAGAAATGTCAAGACACAGATTCACATTTTTGTCCCTCCCTGAAAGAGTCTTCGTCTGAATGTGGCGCAAAAGAAACGGTGGATCAGCGTTAAGATCAAAGAAGTTAAACTTGATGTTGATTCAACATCAAGGGAATGTACTAATGTATGGACAACATTTTTGTAACTATACCTCTGATTCTCATTCAGCCTGAAACTAAGAGCCAATCCAACTACCTCATTACACCTTTGCAGAGCAGGATTGGTGTAATAGTGCTGCCAGACATTTTACTTTCACTCTCTGGACTGTCACCCTCTCAGCTTCCTTCGGGTTGAGTGTGGCTGACAGGGATGGATGGGAAAGGATGAGAGTGTGGAAGTCATGCTTAAGTCATCCATAATTTAAATGTGTCCTCAAGGAAGTGTGCCTTCCTGTACATTTACTCGTCCTACTTAGCCACCATGTGTACCAGGAGTACTACCAGCATGCAGAGGATGATGGGAAGCTGAACCTTGGAGTGATCTTTTTCTCTTTCTCTTCTAACACCTTGTTTTTTTCTCTTTATCTCTAATCTTTTCAGGTTAAACTTCATTTGGATAGAAGTACAAGACAAACAACCTGAAGACATGAAATAAAGAGTGTGCTGAGACAACGGGAACAACTCGATCCATAAATAAAAACTGACATTTAAAGGCTGGATCAGATCTGCAGAGTGAAGGAGAAAGAAGACAAAGTGGAGCGGGAGTCAAAATGGGGTGTGTTCACAGATTTGCTACATTTCTCCTGGACGCTTCACTTCACTCCCTCAGACGCTGGCCGAAGCAGGAGTATCCTCACTAAAACAGGAGCAGCTAATTTCACCTGCAGGAGGAGCCCTCGCCCTCGGTGATGTGATGAATAAGTTTGAAGTCCTTGGCATTGTGGGAGAAGGTGGGTGGTTTTACACAGCAGATTGAACTGCATGTTTGTTGAATGTGTGTATGAACAATCGTTAACCTTCAGCTCTGATCCTTGTTTCATATTCGCTGTATTTTTATGGGGATTTGGAGCTTGAGGCGCATTGCACAATGAAAAGCTTAAATCTGCAAAATGGTTATCAGACCATATCACCAGTACGTCCCTGCAACACTTTTCACACGGTGCAGATTCAAGAGCCTGAAAGGTTGATGTTTTTCTTGGAGTAGTATGTAAGTCTTCCCTGCTGTCCTTTCACAGCATTAGTCATTTGTTTGCCTTAAATTCTCCAGCAGTGCCCTTGTCCTTTTTTATAAACCTTATCTGCAGAGAAAAGCAGACCTTTATCTGATACAGGTTTCGTATAATACACAGATCTCTATTCCTGTATTTGACTTTCATGAGTGTTTGTTTTTTTAGCTGAGAGCCCTCATGATGATGTCCCATTTCTCATTCATGCAAGCTCTAAATACCATCTCAACATTTGCAGCACTCATTCATCAGTGTTACAACAGTCATGCCATGTTTAGCACTGTGCTGGTTTTTCCTGCTCCTCGGTTTTATTCATTTTCTCATTTATTGTTATCTTTCTAGACATTTTTTAAGAATGTTACATGAGCAAAATTAAACCGTTTTCCTTAAGTAAATTTTGAACTTTAGGCTTCAAGTTTTAGTTTAATGTGTCACAGACTAAAGCTTCCCCAGGTTAACAGAAACCTACACCTAACTGTCATCAAAAAGGTCAACTCAGTGAGTTTATGCAGCAGCTTAGTGAGTCTTGATATGGCTCTTCTTACTGATTTTATTTGTGCTGAGGAATTTAGTGTTAAAGTTAATTTTCCACCAGAGCAGGTAATTTCAGCACCTGATGGTTTTTTTTTAACCTTTTTAGCAACCCTGGCTGTTACTTGACAGGCTTGAATTATCGGTATACAAGCTCTTGGTTTAGGAATGAAAAAGTAAGCACTGGTTGTTTTATTCATGGATCTCATATGTCAGACACAAAGATGGATGCAGCTTGAGGGCGGTACAACTTGGAAATATATGTGATAAGAGGTCAGGATATATAGTTTAGCCTTTAATGTAAGAGACTGCTAGTCAAGTTACATTTTGACCAGTTAGCTAGTATTACTTTATTTACTTGGGACCATAACTTGTCTGCAATTTTCCAATACTTCATCTGGCATGGTTTCAATCTGGAATCCGTCCACTCAATATTGTCACTTATTCTCACTGTACCTTTGATGCTGGTGGCTTGGTCTGCTTTTGTGGGTCATGAAGAGACATTACTTTTGATGTCTGCCTGTGTGTAAATAAAAGCTAAAAACTCCTTACAGGAGCTTTAAACGTGAACATCCTAAGAGGTTTCTGGAATGGTTTTAAAGGCTGCGATTGTATTTGAAAAGCATGCATTTGGACTGGAGTAGGGACACCTCAATTTTCAGGAGTGAATGGATCAGTCAGCCTAACTATATACATAATAATAATAATAATTATTATTATTATTATTATAATAATTGATATAATTCGTCAATGTGTAGCAACAGTATGCTTTTTTTGTTTAACTTTTCTCAATGTTTCCTCTGAGAAAAAGATCTTTGTGTACATCTTTTTATACTTATAGAGTTTGACAGACTTTAAGATTACGTTTAGATGTTTTAATCTTTGACATGTGTAATTATTCTAATACATTCTGACTAAAATTCATTCATGAAACACAAGTGTTCCACTGAAGAGCGAAACACTGGTCAGCTCCAGCACTAGTGACAGTGATGGCTTGCCCAAAAATCATATTAATGAGGATAATATTTTAAGCTTCCAATAACGCCTCATCCAGGTCTTTTACACATCAAACCATGCAACCTTCATTTCTTGCAGTCGGCTGCATCATTCCTCTCTGATTTGAGTGCATTGAACTGACGTGCATCCTTGGCTTTCTTCTAATGGAAGAGGACGGAGGTTACTGAAGTGCAGATAATTCTTCTCACGAACACTCCTCCACCTCAGAACTGGTCAGCCTCAGATGTCAAAAAGACAAACACGAAAAAATATAAATAAAGCGTTACTCTGATATTGTTGCCTTTTCATGACATACATGATAAAATGAGATTATCAGTGACAAGATTGGTTATTTCTTTATTTCTTTATACTGAACTCTAGCGCCTGTGTATGGGTCAGATTCTCCATGAAAAAAGCCAAGTCAATATTCGACACTGACCCTGAAGTGTCTATATTTAAAACTCTGCTGGTAAAGTTTGGCAGTGAAAAGTAAGTTAGCAAGCAGGAGGAACTTTTTGTTTTCTGTAGATAATTTCTTTTTACAAAATATCTTGGACTCATGGCTGACACTGGAGCAAGGTGAGCAAGTAGATGTACATTTTCTGTGGAGGTGTTGTTTTCGACAGAGAAACTGTACAACCAGGGCATAAGAAGAAAGTTAAATTACATTATTCAGATGTTAATTGAGAGCACACATCATGACACGAGAGCAGAGAGGGGTAACATTAAACTGGTTCACCTGGTCACCTTTTAAAAGCTATCTGAGAGTCATAAATGAGAGTTTACAAGCTTGGTTATCATTACATAACAGCCAATACTTCATGTAGCTACAAATCAATACATTACCTCATCACTCTGCATCTTGTAAAAAGTCTGCCTGAACAAAAAAAAGTGATATAAAACAGCCGATCTTCAATCCGTTCATGTGCTTTGGCAAGAGCTGCATCTTTACAACAGTAGGTGATGATGTACATGGGAAATGAAGTCCTCCTGAAAAAAAACATGACCAAATTTGTCAGAGGAGTTCATCAGAATCAACACCAGCACTGAATAGTGACTCCTCAAATGATCTCAGTCACTCTTTGTTCTTGCTTGTAGTCCCTCTTAGACAAGTGTCATACAGTATCCTGGATAAATGTACTTTCTTTTAATCCAGCTTTACTGTCAGTCACACTTCTTACAATGAGTTTTATAATGAATAAGGTTTTCTTGTCTGTTTGGGTTACTCGTGACTCAACCAGAACATTTTTCTTTGGATTCATAAGTGATGAATTCTGTCCAAAAAAGGACTCCAATCCTCCTGATGATCAAATGTAAACAAACACCATGGCCAAAGGAGACTATATGAATGAGTTTAAAGATAATTTATAGATTCTTGCTCCAAAGGGTAGTTTCACCATCTTAAATATAGTAAACAGATAACAGAGAGAGAATATTGAGACAACAAAAATCAAACTCTGGCAGCACTGAAATATTTAGCTTCAACTGTTCAAGTCTGACTCTTTGCCAAGCAAACCCATTTGGAGCCAGTGACATGAATTCTTAATTATAGACTAACCAAGAACATGACGTGCTCAGCAAAGACACAAACCTGCAGGGACTGAGTGTGTATGTGTATCTGTGGTGTTAGTTGTCAAAGGTTTGTGCATACGTGTGTGTTGAGTGTGTGGGAGAGTATCTTTGCTTCTGTCTCACCTATTAGCTGTTCCTCTGCTTGTTCTCACCTACTGCTCTTGTTTTCTATGAACATGTTTGTTCGAGGTTTAGGAGTTCAAAACATAATTAAGATGTCGAAACTTAACACACATCTCAGCCTCCTTATTATTGATCTTTCGTGTCTTTTTCTCTTTTTCCCTGTGCAGGAGCATATGGAGTGGTGCTTAAGTGCAGGCATAAGGTAAGACAGCTCTCCTCATTTCTGATTGGCTTATTTCTATGACAAGATTAGATTGTTGCGTTGTGATGTGAAGTCTAAGGCAGGTCTTGTTTTGTGACGTTTGGATTAAACAAAGTCTTTAGTCACCAATAGTAGACTACTTTTTATGGCATTTAATCTTTGGCAGAAACTGCGCACAAGAAAAAAAACTACACAAGGTTGTAAACCTGGTCAAACAAATACAGGCCCTTTACCCAGAGGACTTCTGCCTGTGAAACCAAAGAACAAAATGGACTCATGTTGATTATAACAACACAAAAGGAGCTGTTGTAAAAACTGGACTAGGGGTCCGATTGGCATGTCAGACACAATCTGTTTTGAGGAGCTGCCAGAAAAAAAGAGGTTTAAACTGTGTTCCTGCACAAAGACTCCCATTTATTTCAGCAGGGTGCAGTTTCTGAGCAGATGTGTCGCTCTTTCTATTATTGCCACCCTGCCAGCTACTTGTACAGTGGTTGAGCACAGCCTATGGTGGCCTTGATAGTTGTGAGGTACAGATGGACCCACTACCCGGGACCAATACACAGATTTGCACCACCCTCTTACACTGTCTTGCGCAGAGGAGTCTTTTCAATCAAGCAGAACTCCAGTGTTTCCTTTAAACGCAGGGTTACAATCTCATGAGGAAGAACAGCCTCCTCTTCACTGGTCTGCCTTGAAAAGTATTAAGCAAGCGGACTGTTATGAGGGCCTTCCTCTGGGTAAAATACTGTAACCTTCGTTGAATCAACATTATAAGTCTTCACTGACTGTGGAGCAAAGAGATTTAGAGCTCCCCCTGCTGACTGGCTGCAGCATAGGTCATAAAGCCAGCCTCCCCAACATAAACATGGGTCAAGTTATTGAATCAAAATACCCAACCAATTGAATTCAAATGGTTTCTGTGGTTGTATAAAGCTCTTATGGTGCTGTTTTTAAAGTTTCTAACTGTAGTTGTTTCGTTTTAGAAAGTTGGTTGAATGACAGCTCTGTTGAGGAATGCAGGAACAAACAACATCATCAGAGTCACTGAACTTTCCATATTGCTTCAACTCATCTGTTTTTCTGGGGACTGTACTGACCTGAGGGATCTCACACGTTTGGTAGAATCTCCTTCCTCTTCCAGCCAGGTCGTCGTGTGTTGGCTGCACAAGTACAATATGTCTGCTGTCACGGAAGCAGTCTTTTGGCCTGGTATATCATGGGAGGAAATGAAAACACATTGTCCATTCTGTCTGCACACAGGCTTGGATACACTGTCCAGAGTTTGCACACAACTCCTCACAAGCTTAAACCATGTGATACTGACCCACTCTCACACACGTTTATTTATGTCACATTGTACGCATTAATCAGAATAGCTTCTGAGAAAGGCGACTGTGTTACCTACGTGGCTCTGAGAAAACATATTTAAATTTATGCCATTAATGTGCTCGGTATGCATGAGAGGGGGGCCTGCTGGTGTGACTCATCCAGCACTTCCTACCATACGTGACTGCATGATTCCCAGCTCATGTTTTGCTGATGTATCCTCCTCTACTCGCTGATTCTCAGAGTTCATAGAGCAAAACTGTTCTCTTAACCTGTAAAGTTGTTGAGTGAATTCAAAAGAAGATTAAAAAAAGAAAACATCATAGCTCTTTTGTACGATTGTTTCACTTCAGTCTTTTGGGCTAGCCACTTTTAGATATGTAACTTGAGGGGGATCAGTGACAAACATTACGAAATAGAAGTGACAGTTGTGGGGCCCTTGCTGATGCTCAACAGTCAGTTGCAGAAAGGACTCAGTTTGACGGTCCTTTGCTGCGTTTAAATTCAGGGGCCGCACTGTCCACGGGTGCATTTAATGACCAATGGCGTCACAGCGGTGTCCAATTTCAGAGACTCCTTGAATGTGTCCTTGAGTACATTGGATGCATCTTTCTTGGCCAAACTTACACCGATATTAATTGTGCTCTGATTCAAGTGACTCTGAGTTTTAATTCAAATGTGTATTATCACTTCAACTCAACCGAGAAGCTGCCAATACGAATGTTCAAATCAGATGAGGCCTTGAATTACTTGAGTTATATTACCTTGCTCTGTCGCAGCTTTTGTGGTTGCTAGGTGACAAGAGAGCATTAGGTTACAAGAGGGTATTAGTAGAAACAGCTAATGATGTGTTAAACATGTCATCTTCCACAATAATATCTCATGTAGGATCTGTACCATAAACTCAGACTAAAACTATGTTAGCAAATGCCAGCACACATTTCTCATATAAAATAAAGGCTCTCACATTTCCAGGAAATAAAATTTAAGTAAAAGATAGTTATGACTTTAGGATGTTTTGTTTAGATCCTAACATGAGGCTGAATCCCATGAACCCCCCCAGTAATTGGTGTGCTTTGGTAGGGTGACCATACGTCCTCTTTTACCTGGAAATGTACTCTTTTTTGGAGGCTGCCTGGCTTTGTCCGGGGAAGTTTATAAAATCCTTCAAATGTCCACGGTTTTGTACGTAAGTTTCGAGTTTGTGTCACGTGGACTACCTGAGTTAGAAGCGCGTAAAAGACACTTGATCGGACCTGAAAAACTCTCAAAATTAACTTTGTGCGACTCTGTGACTCCGCCCCCACATAGTTGTGTCCTCCTTTTGTGAAGTCAGAGTATGGTCATCCTAGCTTTGGTTAATTCAACATTACAGTAACCTACCTTGAATCAGTCATCTTTCCTCAGCATTTATTAAAAATCCTTATTTGTTTGCTAGATTTCTTCATTTCCAGTTAGCAGGCTCACTGATAGAGTAGGTCAGTGTTTAAGTTCACTTTAACTGCAGAACAAAACTTATCTGCTTCTACATAGTATATGATTTTTAGTGTCTGAAAATGGTGTAAGTGGGTAGGTGCCAGCCACGCAGCCAGAGAAACCGTCCTGTGTTTTTACATTATCTATTAAGTACCGTCAAAATAAATAGGACTTGGCTTCAGTGAGGAGATGGCAAAATAAGCAAAGACTGCTTTGTCCACAGGGGGAGCCAAAATTGACACAAACCTTAAGTTCCTCACTGGAGCTTTCAGTAAGAAGGGTTATTCAAATTAAAACAATAGTATTTCATAACTGATATCATTTTTTGCTGGACTATCATAACCATAAATGCTCTTGTTTACATGTTTCCTTTCAGTCTTGTCTGCATGTATCTGCTGAATTACATTTTTTCAATCACTCTTGAAATAGTCGTGGTGTGTTGATGCCTTTAAGAGCAGTAAAGTGAGAGGTGTGAAAGTTGAGCTATTCGGGTGGTGGAAATTCATCAACATAGTCTGAATAAAACACCAAACTGATCAGTGAGAAATAAGGTTAATGGCAGATTAATGGAACTCTTATTGGTGACTGCACCCAAGCCTCATTAGTGAAGTGATGTTTAATCTGAATGAATGGAGCGGTAATTGCAGAGGTGACCCATAAATGACGACACTTCCTTTTGAATTTATTTCAGGATTTGGTATGACGCAGTTTACCTGTAAAACTCATTTGACCTTAATTGTTGTTGAAACATTTGATTAATATTTTAGGACGAACACAAGGGTGAAAAATAATCGGTTTGGTGACTCTTTGTGCCTTCATGCTTTTTATTTTTAATCAAACCTGTACCAACAGCAGCAAATACAAAACAGTACTGGAAAGCATGCCGGCAGCTCACAAATGCCAGACGGTGATCAGACAGAAAGGGTTGAACAAAAAAAAAAATTGCCCTTCATTGAAACGGACCCAGACAAATTCTGTCCAAAATAGAAAGCCAAAGGCAGGGTTTGATGAAGAGTTCAGTTTGTGTGAGTCACACTACTCCCCACTCTCTGTGCCACATTTTTACTGTCACTGTCTTTTAAGTAATTACATCAGGCAGTCCCACTTAAAAAATCACAAGAAGCAGATGACAGGCTCTGACATGACTGAAGAACACAGACTAGATATAAAGAAAACTAAATGGGAAATGCCTGAAGACAGTGGAGAGCAGTGGTGGAGCCAGGGGGGTTACTAGAGGTGGTCAAAACCAGCACTGATATTAAAGTTAGTTTTTAGGTTTGTGATTGAACAGGCTGGTAGTATCATCTTTGCACTTTCCTGTCCTTGAAAAGTTTAAATTGGCAGATTTGAATGTTGTCACTCTGTTAAATTGAAACTATATTAAACATTATAACATTATTTGAAATCTTAATATTAGAAGTTAGAGTATACAGTACAGTATGGTTGATTTGTGAGAATAACATTTCTTGATGTGGGTTTAGCCACAGATTAAAGGACTGATCCGTGTCAGTCCATCAAAACATGATTTTTATACTGCGTCATGATTTTGAAGAGTCACTTAAGTTTTATCTGAATACCCTGTGGAACAAAGTGTGTCATATTTCATATTAAACCAGTGTCTTTAAAGCTCCTGTGAGGAACTTTCTGGACACCCCCTGTGGGTGAATTAGTAATCCTTTTATCATTGCTAATTCCATGTCATCTTTGGAAAAGTTGGTGTTAACTCATCCTGAGTGTGTTTCTTTAGTGCACTTCCCCCGTTACTGAAGTGACAGGCATAAAAACTTCCAGTTTAGACATCGTGAATCTCATTATTGATGGTCTCATTTGCTTTTATACATTACAGAGATGCAGCACAGTGCATCCTAGTCTGTTTCATAGCCTATAAAAGCTCTTTACATGAGCTTTAATTACTATTTTTTTACATTAATAAACATCAACCTCAATCTACACTGCATAAATTGAAGAGTTTGTTGTAAATGTGAGATTTAACTGTGAAGACCAAGAGGGGAATAGAGTTTGCTTCTGCAGATATGTGTGTCATTTCATTCATCAGAGGAGACAAACATTAATTGAAAGAAATGTTGATGTTATTAAGTATATTAATCAAAACATTGATTCCTGTGTTATAAGGGAAGGCTCTTTAAATGAATCAACTTTAGTGAAATAGTGATAAAAACATGTATGTGTGGATGAAAGAACATGCTCTGCTTTATCTGCAACTCCCAACTTGTATATTTCATTTAAGTTTTAAATCGGTGCCTCTTTTAGCACATTTGTGAACATAAATAACATACTCATGAAAACACCTAACTCCCCATGTGGAGTGAAAGAGGGACTGAGAGTCACATCAGAGCTGTGTGGTGATGGAGAGTGTTAGAGTTGGAGAGATATATTTTAAATGTTTAATGCTGCTGCCATCCCAATGTTGCTTCTCAGAGAGATTTACATGAGGAATGAGTGAGATGTCATGTTTGGTTTCAATTTTGACTCCTGCTTTTTTTTTTCATATTGTAGAAATTTGGTATTTGGAGTAAGTTTGAAATCCCTGCATGCTTGATTCCCTGACTAATTCAGTCAGTCCGTCCTGCACTTTACAACAGATTGTGAGAAATTTAAACTAAACTTGGATGAAAACAGAGAATTTGTGCCTCCCATTTCATGTGTTCATTCATTATGAAGGACTGAGTAGGCTACTTGCTGTTTGCCCCGTGGTGGCTTTTTTCCCTATATGTGTAATTTATGCATGCTTTATATTTTTAGGCCCTACATTCGTCTCTTGACCAGGAACTTCTGTCACCGTTTCCTTCATGAAGAATTTAAACTAGCCATGAATTATAAACATTGAGACAATTTTCAAGATATGCAAATGCGTGCACTAAACAGCCATGAACAGAATGACGCGGTTTGCAGAACATGAAGGTTAAAGAGAAAGTTGCCGCTGCACAGAGGCAGATGAAGCAAAACTGAGGGACAATCAGCGTCACACCAGGCGCTAAAATGGGGACATAACTGTCAGCGAACGTGGGATTTGTTGTCTTGTTTCCCTGTTGGCACTCTGGAAGATGTCTCTCTGGTGAATGCTGCAACTGTGCAACGAATGCTTTTTATTAACACTAGATCAAAATAAATAAATACTATTAATGCTTAAAATAAAATAGGTTTCTCCTTTCTATACACTGCTGTTTCTGCAGAGGTTGTTTAACAGTTGAGATTGCTGAATGGCTGTTGTACTCGCCACTTCTTTATAAAGCATTTCAGGTGGTATCTGAGGGATTTAGTATGGTGGTAACCAAAAACAACTTTTTATTTTTTTTTAAGATAGTAATTATGCAACTTACTGAAAGATTTTTATTTGAGAATAAAATAAAAGAGTTACAGCATCAAACCTGAGATTAAAACACATAAGCCTTTGTTACTAGTGTTGTCTGTCTGTGTCACCTGCAGATGCACGTTTTTCTAACAACCATGCAGATCTTAAAAGGGGAGACTCTGGGCTCCTTAATCATGAAGATGTTATTAAAATCACTGCTGGAATCTCAGGTTGTACTAAGATTAAAATGTAGAGCCAGTTAAATGAAACCTTTAACTATTAAGCCTGGCTCTCTTAATTTTATTAGATTTAAGAAAATCTTCATTTTGTACTCATTTGGATACCACCGATAGAAGCGTGTTTTTGTCAAGCATGTCCTTTCAGCTGCACAATGTTACTAAGAAATGTTATGTCTCCAAGTGCAGGGGAGTCATGTTCACATGTAGAGCCAGAGACTTGGACCATGGCAATAAAAGCTTTTAAGCTTTGCTGCAAGAGAGCAGTTATTTTTACTTTTCTCAGCTGGAAGCAGGGCATGAAAGAAAAAGAGTGGCAGAGGGAGAGAGAGACAGGGAGGTAACGTGTGTGTGCTGGAGAGGAGTTATGTGCAAGGGGAGGTATTGAATGTGGAGACCATGCTGACGGTAAATGGGTCACCCTGTTAAGAGTCTACAGCAGACCTGTGTTTGGTGGAGGGAGTCATAGGGAATCTGTGCACTGGGCTCAGACCCAACCAGGTGACCCAGAAGAGACTTGAGCTGTGCATTGAAGTCAGAGTACATTTTAAATATGTATTCCTTTATAAATGATGTATTCAGTACAGTACGTATTTAAAGGTAAATTTAATTAGATGTGCGACTGTGTGCTTAGGTTTGTGCAATGTTCTGCCACTTTATGGAAGTGTTGTATTAGCGTATGTGGGTGTGTGTACGGAGGCTTATGTGTTATCCTGAATTTGTGTTTTTGGAGAGACAATAGCTCAACCTACACACTAGCCAGCATTTCCTGGTGCCTATACAGCATCTCTTTTCTGTGTAATAATGCTGGGGGGATATGTTAATTAAAAAACAGGCCAGTGGAAATTAATCAGGCGTCCTGTGATTAATGATTAACGGCCTTCCAGCATTACAATTTTTCTTGATTGGTTTTTGGCTACAGGTTAAACAATACAAGCTGTTCGCCAGCCAGTTTTTGTTTTTTTTAGCTCTTTGAACACCACGTGCCATTTTTGTGCCGCATGATAATTAAAAACAATGACAGTAACTTGCTAAGTGCCCGTCAGTTGTTGTTTTTTTGTTGTTGCGAAGTTTGGTCAAACTTTTCAGAATCAGAATCAGAAGGGGTTTTATTGCCATTGTCAATGAACAGGATTCCCAGATGAGGAATTTTTTACAGCGTGATGGTGCAACATTAAACAGAGAAAAATATATAAAATGCTAGAATAAAAATTAATAAGATCAGATCTGATCAGATAAAATGACAGTATTATGATAAGACAAACAAAGTCACTCTTGCCAGGACTCGCACCTGGATCTTCCACCCAAAGGATGGCTGTGTTACTTTCCACCACAAGAGTTATGTTTTGTTGTCTTTTTTTTTTTCTGTCTTCAAAATTACGCCCAATAAAAACAATGCCACCCATAGGCGGAAACAATACAGGATGGCTCTGTTTACTCACACACACATTAACACACATTAAACACACATTAAATAAAAAACTAAAGAGCACTCTTCCACTCTGCAATGGTGAGCCCAGATGCTGGACAGTACCGTATACCTCTTACTTGGGTGTGGCCAGTCGTTTCAGTCTTTGACTGACCAGACATTTTGCATACATATTGGTAATCTTCTTTGGCACGTCTTTTCTTCTGAGGCTCTCCTCTAGTCATCCGCTCCTGATCCTCCTACCCTCATTTTTATAATTACATACTTGAGTATTGTTTGGAAGAAAAACAAGAAAAAGAAGAAGAAAGAAAAAAAGGATCCAATGGCTTCAGCCTATCAATGGAAAAGGCCCATGACACCTGATTTGCATAACAATGATAACCTGTATTTAACAGACAAGTATTATATTTAAATAGAAGTGAGTGACAGCAACATCCACATTTAAATGGTATATACGGCAGCCTGTGTTGCATTTACGATGTTACATTCATTCATAGCTGATTTGAATAAAAGAGAAACATTCGAGCCTAACATCCATGTGTAATGTGACAACCAGGACATCGTGTCTTTTGCAGAAAATTAGCAAGCTTGAGGCTATTTTTAGGTGTGCTGACTTAACAGAGGCACGAAAGGTAAAACATCAGAGGTCAGAGACAGCACACATGAGCATAATCATGTTGAAGGATGCTGCCACAGTGCTCGAAATCTCGCACGTGCTGTGTAATGTTGGTATGTGTGTGTTCTAACTTGCCTGGTAAACACGGTAAATCTCCCAGTTTGCTATGCTGATAGACTTCCCCTCTCTGGAAAATGTAACTTTACGCTCAGGATTAAGAGTTTGTTAGAGTTGCAAATCCCCGGTTTCATTTTTCTGCATAGTGAAAATCTCAAAACAGACAGCATTGTATTTAAAAAACAGTCAGACAATAGTCTTATGTGAGCCTCAGCACTGGCAGCACTCACAGCATGGCTCTTGTTGACACTGAAGCTGACACTGTTGTTTGACCCTCCATAAACAAAGGGACCTTCACAGGGACAGGAGAGCAGCAGAGGATGAGGGACACTAGTCTGTATGTTATAATTCTCTCTGGCCTGTTCTGTCACCCATATCAGCCTCAGGGTCCAACATCTAGACTGAACAGACACGTTTCCTATTCAACTAAGCATGTGGGGACACAATGTCCCAACAACATTCACATCCACAAGTTTGATATCATGGATGGGATTATGCTCCTCCAGCAAATCCATGTTACTTCTACTTATCTCCCATTAAAGATGAGGTATCAGATTAACACACCTGAGCTGTCTTAATGCATGTATTAAACCCTCCCTAATTTTAGGGTGAGTGGAGTCTCAACCCTGATGTTTTCCTGCCAATGTAATGGTTAAAGTAATCGAGTAAAAAGCAGCAGTAAACAAGTTAGTCTGTACCCTGTTTTTAAAAGAACTGAGAGTCTCTGCACACAGACATTTTCTGCTACTTTATTCCAGAGACTCGAAGCACAAAAACTGAACGCTGCTTCTCCATGTTTGGTCCAGACTCTAGGGACAGAAAGCAGACCTGCACCAGATGACCTGAGCAGTCTGGATGGTTCATACTGTACTAGAAAATCACTGATGTATTTTGGATCCAAACTGTTCAGAGTTTTATAAACCTGCAGCAGGATTTTAGGATCTGTTCTCTTATGAACAAGAAGCCAGTGTTAAAAATCTTAGAACTGGACTGATGTGATCTACTTTCTTGGTTTTGGTGTGGACCTTAGCAGCATTAGATGGAGTTGTCTGAGTTTCTAGGGACTGTAGCAGTGTGGACATGTTTTTCCAGGTTCTGCTGGGATGCAAGTCCTTTAATTCTAGATATTTTCTTCCGGTGATAGTTGGCCGACTTTGGAATCATCTTTATGTGGTTTTTAAGGTTCAGGTCTGCGTCCATTACTGCACCCAGATTTCTGGCTTGGTCAGTGGTTTTAAACTGTAACGTCTGAACCAGCTGAGAGACCTTTAATCTGCCCTGTTTGGCTCCAAAAACAACTACTGTAGTTTTACCTTTAACTTGAGAAAACTCTTGCACATCCAGTCATGTATTTGCTCAAGGGCACTTATCAGCACATTAGTGCAATAACTCATTATGTCAAGGGACCAAGGGTATATCAGAATCAGAATTAGAATCAGAAATACTTGAATAATCCCCAGGGGGAAATTGCTTTTGTTACAGAACTCCAGTGCAAATACAGTAAAAGAGGAGATAAATAATAGATACAATAAAAGATAAAATAGATAAAAATAAGTAAAAATATAGAGATAAATAGATAAAATAAGTAAACTAATTAAAAATATAGAGATAACATACAAGTATTTACACTATAAACAACACAAATAGTGACATCGTATGCATGTAAAACAGTGAGCAGAGTCCAGGTAAAGACTTCTGATTTAGGGTGTCAAAGTCCCTGAGGGAGAAGTTAAAAAGTCTGATGAGCACCGGCAGGAAATATTTCCTGTGGCACTCTGTGGTGCATCCTGGAGTGAGGAGCCTTCTGCTGAAGGTGCTCCTCTGCAGGACCAGTTCACTGTGGAGAGGGTGACAGACATTGTCCAATATGGAGTGGAGCTTGGACAGCAAGCTCCACTCTCCATAAATGGAGAAAAAAAAGTAGTGGACCCACAATTGATCCCTGAGGAACACCTTGGATAAAGATGAAAACAGAAGATGGTATACTTGTAGCAAGAAAAAGAGAATAGATTGGATTGTCTCACTGCATCTGTGTAAACTAAAATAAATAAGCCATAAGTCTTTCATGAAATATAATCAAGAAGCATCAAACCCAGCGTGAATAATAATGTTTTTGCTAGCTATCATATCTGCCTTCGTAACAACTTTAATTTGACACCTGTACTGCATGTTGACAAAACTATATTATTACATTTGCTGCAGAAGATACCGGCCTCAATATGTGTTTCTGAAATCATTATAACCACTTACACTCACAGAGGCTAACTCATCCTTTAGGAGCAGACACTACAGGTTCATTACATGCATTTTTTTTTAGTCGTAACTCTGTGAACACAACTTCTGTTGCAGCTCCAAAGGGATGTGTGTGTTTCTTTGTCTGCTCAGGCCAAATATCAACAGTCTTCCTCCAGTTGTGCATGTACCTTTAACTTACATGGACAACAATAAAATTACAAACCAGGACTAAAGAAGTACAGAAAGTATTGTTGCCAATCTTTTCTTAGCTAAAGAGCAGTGGCAGTAAGACAGCTTTTGTTGCCCCAAGGATCCATCAGACATTAGATGTATTGTTGAAAATGACATCGTAATACAAGCCTGCAGTGTAGGCATGAAAAGCATGTGCCTGCGTGAATCACCTGCATCAGCCTATGTTGTGTCTACTACAGCTTTTCTATTTCTCACAAATGAATCACAACAGCAGATGCATTTTCTCTCCAAATTCCTCAGTCTCCCCTCACATTTGTCATGAGTTATATTTAGCCTCTGACACTTCTGCACTGTTCATTAATCTTAACCTTAAACCAGATATTTCTCCCTTACCAGCTTCTCAGCAGAGACCATCAACTACATTTCAAACACAGCACAGCAAGGAAAGATTTAAGCTGCTATAACTTCACTGATATCTGAGCCCTGGGACAAATGTCACTGCACAATCAGAAAGAGGCTGAAGAAGATGCATATTATTCACTATGAAGACAATATGCAGGATTTTAGTGTGCAAGTGCCCTGTTTCATAATAATTCAAATGAGAGAAGCAGCATTTCTTTTGTTCTGGCACTGACAGTAGCTTGGACACTCTGAGAGTGGGCTGGAAATGAATATCTAGTTCCTTTATTTCTCCTTTTAACCTCTTTTTCTAATCTTATTTCTTCTTTTTGATATATATTGGAGACTTTTAGGAGTCTTTCCGATAGTCGATACGCTGATTTACTTTTTTAGTCTTAACTCACCTTGTGTCTTTGTGTCTTTACAGGAAACCAATGAGTTGGTGGCCATTAAAAAGTTCAAAGACAGCGAAGGTGAGTGAGGCAGTGATGGAGAGAGAAAAGGATGGAGGGGAAGAGGAAGAGGCAAACAGCTGTTTCATGTCTGTCTCTTCTAATTCTCTTCAGAAAATGAGGAGGTCAAGGAGACGACACTTCGGGAGCTGAAAATGCTTCGGACACTGAAGCAGGACAACATCGTGGAGCTGAAAGAAGCATTTCGCCGGCGGGGGAAACTCTACCTGGTCTTTGAATATGTTGAGAGGGTCAGTATAATATTATTTACAGCTTTTTGGACAAACTCATTCTTAGATTACATCGCCGGTCTGGTCTATCTTCTCTCAGGATGCTGAGACTGCTCCGTTAAGCCTAAAAAAAAAAAAAAAGCATCACCATGGCAACATATGAACTGTGCTGCTGGTGAATAATGGTATTCCCCACTGTGTTGCCAGGGTTTTCAGCCAAGTGTTTATTTCATGACTGATTTTTTTCATACTGTACTCTAGTCATCAAAGCGCGGTGTCTCCTTTCACTCTCTGTCAGGGTTTGAAAAAGAACACGAGCAGGGAGGAGTCCCCACTGAAAGAGGGAAGATGGAGGAAAGTTTGATTGTTTTAAGATGCAGTGATGACCAATGTGTTGTTTCCGTTTGCAGAACATGCTGGAGCTTTTAGAGGAGCTACCCAACGGTGCGCCACCTGATAAAGTCCGCAGCTACATCTACCAGCTCATCAAAGCCATCAACTGGTGCCACAAGAACGAGATCGTACACAGAGGTGAAGATCTTCATATCTATATCTTTTTCTCTACAGATTACACTTTCAGAAAATAAACCAGCCACCGGGGCACTAGTGGAGTGGATTATCTAGGCAGAATTTGACATGTTGTTAAAGTTCAGGGAACAATCTCTACAGAGATTATTAAACAATTTCAGCGATCAATGATTGGTGGAGTTTTGGTGTTAAGGGCCTTTCTTGCACTCACCTATCCTATCATACTAGCCTAGAAAATGCCCCTTGGTGTAAAACTAAAGATTCTGAAAAAAAATATTTTATTTCAAAGATTCTGAAAACAGCACAAATGCTGAATCTCCCTTCGATACAATAGCAAAACATTCATTGACAAAATTGTCCAAAACGATGCGAATAGCTTCACTTGGGCCTCACCATTCTGAAATACATATGCCAGTTATTTACATATTATACTTCATTGATATTGCTGTATCAGGTATTGCAACTTAAAAGTGATTCATTTGTATAAAGGGAGAAATAATACTGACATAGGCTTAAATAAAAATATGGCAGGGCAGTAGATTTTTTGTTGTGATCCGGTGACACATGCCAGTCAGTGGAGTCATTTGCATACTCAGGTACACTTGGACACAAAAACGCTGTATGAGCCATTTTATATTATTTTGGGGGTTTTATTTTGTTACTCGCACAATCACCACAAGGGGCACTTCGGGTGAATGGGCAGGTAAATGCTTCAAAGGGACACAGGTGAAGCAGTGATGTGGGGAACGGGAAGAGCAAAGGGGTTTTACCGCTAAACTCCGACACCACTCTCACCCTCATCACGAACATCACCATTGTAGTAAGTTGGACGTATCTGTCTTTTTTTGTTTGTTTTTCATTAAGTCAGTAAATGGCAAAAATATAACTCAACAACAACCTTGGATTGGACATTGAATTGTACTAGAAGCGGGTCAAAAACATCTCACTCCCGCACCCAGACAGTGACTAAAATTCAGGTCAGCATAGTCACTACAAACACTCATGTGCAGGAAAATTTCCACTGAATAAGGTTGAAAAAGTCAAACGGTGAATGCCTGGTGCTACTGTTCAGTTCATTCTAGATCATACAATAATGTAGACGGATTTGATGACAAGGTTTTGGATTAGAAATTGACACGTATCTTTAAAATGACTGCCACAGCTGTGCTTCAACTCCACATTTTTTCACAGTTTAATGAAAAGGAGGGTCTAAAAGAGTCAACACTTGACTGAATTACTAGTTCAAGGCATGAAATTATGCATCTTTACACCTTCTCTATATTCATACTGAAAACACATCTTAGAGCTCTTAACAAGGTAATTTCATTTCCATCTTAAAGAAGAGTAAGGAGATGTTGAAGGAGAGGAAAGAGAGGCTCAGAGGGGATTTTTGGTAATAACTGTACTCCCAACAACACTCATATCCTGCACATCTGTTTGTCAAGACACAGAGAGCCTTGTTTTTATTTATTGTGTGTTTCTACATAGTAATTTGAATATATAATGGAAACATAAAGCTGTTACGTCTTTTTGTCTGTTTAAGATATCAAGCCAGAGAACCTCCTCATCAGCTCAGAGGACGTCCTCAAGCTCTGCGACTTTGGTGAGTCTTCTCTCGCTCTGCGGCATCAATATTGACACGAGAGATTTACACGTGAAGCGTGATAAAACTTAACAGTCTCTGCACATTTGCCTCATCAAATAAAGGAAACTTCATAAAATCCATCTATGAAATAAACCTAATCAGCTTGCAGCCATTTATTAGATGTTCTGCTATAAGTGCAGATCCATCATAATGATGAACCTCCTGGGACATCTACAGGAACTGTATGTTTTTTGCGCTCAGTTTACCTCGAAAAACTCTGCCATGAATGTGTCAATGTCTCAGAGGGATTTTGCACCTGTAAAGCTGCCAGCCAGTCCTCTAAAGTGTCCTTCAGTGTTTGTTTTCACAACCAGTCAGTCAAATGTATATTTCACAAAGTTTCCCAGGTGTGAATTCGCCATTTGAAGGATTCTTTGCGAATCACACGGTCATTTAGCTTTGCATAATTGGCTAATTCAGCCCTGCTGAGTCAGCTGGGGTGAGATTTGTTTGTTATTCACTGTTGGAGCTGGCATTCTGTTTATTGTGATTTTTTATGCTTTAAACGGACTCTCTGTTCAGCAGTTATCTAAAGCAGGGTCTCAGCCCGCCTGTAGTGACATAACTAATTAGAGCCTGGACACATGAAACACTGAGCATGTTGTTAGTGAAGCTGTCCAAATAATTTGAGTGCTGATGGTACTTATTTCTGACTAGGATGTTATTTATATCTCCACGTGGAAGACTCTAAGTTGTCTGCTTATTATGACAGACTGCTGAATGTCTAAAATACACAGTGAGCTCGCTGTGATTTATTTGTTTTCATGTTACTCTGGCTCAGGTTTTGCTCGTAACCTGTCTGAAGGAACAGATGCCAACTACACAGAGTATGTGGCTACACGATGGTACCGCTCGCCGGAGCTGCTGCTGGGGTGAGTCTGTGTTTGTGTGTGTTTGTGTGTAGGAGACTGAGGAATGAGAAACAAGAACAGAGAGAAACAGACCTCATTCTGTTGCTTTTTGCAGATCATCCTCAGCATTTCTTTATTATTCTATTATCTCAGAGCACCAAAAGGATGGAGATCTTCCATGAAATTGTTTCATATCCATCGTTTTTTCCCTCAAATAGCAATTCTGGTACCTAATTTCAGGAGATTAGCCAATACAGGACATCATTGCAGTATTCCCTCTGTTCCCAAACCTCTCTAACTCACTGCAAAACCTTACCAGGTTTGTCTTTTTGAGTCAGGAATTACTGATTCACTAAAAACTAACATCGTCAGGGAAAGAATCTTACGGCCCCGCGCCCTGGCGACCATCCATTTTCTGGATACACTGTTACAATATCAGCTGACTGCATGCATGCAGTTTTCTCAGACTGTCTTCATTCCCACTGTCTCCTATTATTTCTATTCTAGGTTCTTTGATTCGAAGAGGACAGAGAGCAGTAGTCTGAGACAGATAGTTCGGGCTCCTGCAAGACAGCCTTGCTTACAACCTCAGGGTTATGAGGCTGACCCTGACCTCACCAATACAGAAGTGCAAACGTGCAGTTCCTCAAAGGCCCACTTGAGGCTGTACAAAAAGCTCCCTGTAGGGACCGTGTTAAAATTCCCATTTTTACAGCAGAACTGAACATGTTTACATCCTGGTGCAAAAATATAATTGTGGGCGCATTGTAGCTTTTTTTGAGGAGGTTTAAGGTGCACTGCATGCTCCAGCATTTGTCATCATTGAGCTTCAAAACATCTCTTCAGAAATAAAATGTTTACAGCCTGATCTGACATAAATGAACTAAATTACCAGGAAAAACATCAACTTTCTTAATTAGACAAGCTGAATGAAAGGCTGAGCTGGGTGTGAAATGCTTCCTATTTGTGTAGAATACAGTTATAATGTCAGGATGTCTCTGTTTCCCCTTCAACAGTACAGAGACATGCAGGTGGGTTAATTAGCGACCCTAAAATAGCTTGTATTGGTGTGAATGTGAGAATGCATGGTTGTCAGTGGCAGTGTGTCAGCCCTCTTATTGACCCTCCTCTCGCCCACTGTCAGTCGAGATTGGCTGCAACTCCCTGACACCCTCAAGGATAACCCTGTTTAGCTTAAGGAGAGATGAATGATAGAAAAAGACGAAGAAGTCATGGCTTATACCTGATATGTTCCAGAAGCTACTAATCAGATACAGATGTTTACACTGATCAGGTATAGCAGATTGGTGTGCCATGAGCTTGTGATCGAGTAAATTGTGTGACAAAATAAAGTTGAGCTACATATTCATAACAGTGGGTAATTTTGCGGTTGATCCTCAGTGGGAGCGCAGGTTGTGGAGCATAAGAAGTGCAAAAATATGACTAATATGACATTGTTTGCACCTCATCAGTTTACCTCCTGACAGCCTTTGAGGCTCATGCTAAAGGTAATTTGTACAGTTTATTGATATGACCAGAGGAGATAAATAGCAAAGAAAGAAAAGCAAAAAATGTTGCTAATTGGTCTTTAACCATTAAAAAGGACCCAGGTAGTTAGTCCAGTTATGATGAGCATATGATCTCTGTGAAGTCATGTGAGCCTGACACATGAATCCAAGCTAAGGGAAGATACTTAATTTTACAGGAAAGCCTTAAAGATTTGAACTATTTGATTTATATACCAAATTGTGTACACTCACTGCGGCTCACTGCGGTTGGTTTATTTCTCTTTGATGTAAAATAATGTACAAAATATTAACTTTACTCTATCTTTATGCGATGTCATTAAATATCTGTTTCTTCTGATTACTAGTTACAAACCCCAAATAGTACAAACAACTTTTTCTTTTTTTTTTTTCTGCACTCTGTGGCTTTTCTTCAAGTCAGTCGTGACGCAAGCCTGAGGGTGGGGACATTTGGCAACTCAACCAGGAAGTCCTCTGAAGGGTAGTGTGTCACATGTGACTGCATCAGGCTGAGCGCGCTTAAGCGCACTGCCATTATGTGGACTGGGGTACCCTGGGTGAGATGGTCCGTCGGGCTCGCATCACGACTGACTTGAAGAAAAGCTGCATTTATTTTTTAATTGTCCGACCTTGCACAGACACAAAATAGTAGATACATACAAGCACAGATATTCCCACAAAATTCATCCAATGATTGTTTTGTATGAAGGAGTATGAGGGCCTTATTGAGAATTTTTTTTCGAGATTTAAGTCGTGAATTTACACGAATAAAGTCATGAATTTATGAGAATAGTCGTAGCTTGTTATTTCAGAGGAGAGTTGTTAAAATTAGGGCCATGAAGCATTTAAAGGAACTGTGCTTCAGTATAGGTTTCACAAACAAGAAGATACTTCATTCTTTGGCACATCAGCATCACATTGTCACAAGTATAAAGACTTAAAAAAGAATATATGAGAAAGACGTCTTTTCCACAGGGAAAGAAAAACAGGTGTACTTGAAAGAAATCGCTGCTTTTGTGGAGGCAGAAATTAATATGCTGAGGATATATCCGTTTATGCAGCCATAAATATCCGTGAATTACATTGAGCTTTAGTTTATGATATGAATCCATATGCCATAATAAGGCGTTGGTGTCCATGCAGGTGTAGGTTACCACTGGTGTCAGAGACGTGGTGCTCGTCGGAGTTCGACTCCCTCTGGATCACAAATGTTGATCATCATCAGTTGGATTGTTTCTTCAGAAACCACAAAAACTCTCTGAATGACCTGCTGATACATCCACCGATAACCCTGCAGTTGACCAGCTTCAGTCATTTCCCCGTCCACAAAAGCAGCTTTATGACTTTATTTACTTTATGACTTGATTCTCCTAAATTTATAACTTTAATCTCTAAATCTTAAAAAAAAAAAAAAAAAAAAAAAAAAAACTCAATGTTGTCCTGATTCTCTGCTGTAGTTTTGTCAGCTTTCTTATTTCTAATGATTTTGATAGTTGAAGCAGAGCGGATCAGTTCGTCTCTAAATACTATAATGTTTGGTTTACAGATTTTAGTGAGTTCAGAGATCATGCGCTCATGCAGCCTGAGCTGACTGTCTGCTGTTTTTGGATTTCTTGTATTTTCTTTGAAGACGCGCTGTGTCTCCAAGCGAGTCCAGCCTCTCACCCGAAATGCGCAGCTGTGCAGCGGCACACAAAGAATTCTGGAATACCAACGGCACAAAAGCGTGCATAAATGCACGCTTGAAAATGGGGCGGCAGCAGTGTGATTTTGAGACCGAATTTGAAGTGCGCTCAGCATTCCGTGCCAAATGGGACACCGTTCGTGCCGCGTGATGACCTCACGCACGCTTCAAATGCGCCATTCCACAGTGCGGTCTCTGAAATGAGACACAGACAGGGTACTTAAGTCTACATAACGGCAGATAACGGCAGTGCGCTCAGCTAAGCGCGCTTATCCTGATGCAGTCTCTGAAATGAGACACAGCCCCTGTCTCCTGCTTCCCCTCTCGTGGCCCCTGCTGTGACCTGAGATGGATTTCAGGCCTCTCCAGACCTCCCTTGCGTTGTTCTGTTGCAGAAAGGTTTTCCATCCTGGTCTTGTAGCTGGCCTTCCTTTCTTTGATCTTCTTCGTCAGCTCCTTCTGCACCCTCCTCAGCTCCTCCTTGTCCCCAGATTTAAAGACCCTCCTCTTCTCCTTCAGGGGGGCTTTAAGTTCAGGGGTCACCCAAGGTTTGCTGTTGGAGAAACACTGTACTTTCCTGATGGGTACGGTGTTCTCAACACAGAGGTTTATATAGTCCGTGATACAATCTGTCATGGTGTCGATGTCATCACCATGTGTGGCCACACAGTACATCCCAGTCTGTGGTCTCAAAACAGTCCTGCAGCGCCTCAGTGGCCTCCTCAGACCACCTCTTAACATACCTGATGGTGGGGGGTTGTTTCTTCACCATAGGGGGTATGTAAATGGGCTGCAGTCTCACCAGGTTGTGATCTGAGCAGCCCAGCGGGGGGAGGGGGGAAGAGGTGTATGCATCCTTGGTGTTTGCATACAGTAAGTCCAAAGTTTTATTGTCTCTTGTTGGGCAATTCACATACTGGCTGAAGGTAGGGAGAGTGGAGGAGAGCGATGCATGATTAAAGTCTCCAGAGATGATGATCAGAGACTGAGGGTGTGATGTCTGCAGTTTGGACACTTCACTATGGAGGAGTTCACAGGCTGCAGCAGCATCAGCCGAGGGGGGATGTAAACAGTTAACGCGATTACGTGCGAAAAGTCCCTCGGCAGGTAATATGGCCGCAAACTTGCAGCCAGCAGCTCAATGTCCTTAGAGCAGCGCTGCTCTTTAACACTGATGTGCCCAGTATTACACCATCTCTCATTCACATACACCGCTATCCCGCTTCCTTTCTTCTTACCACTCTCCCTCACGCTCCGGTCTGCTCTGACGAAATGAAATTTGTCCAAAGTTACGAGCGAGTCCGGAGTGAGTTCGTTCAGCCATGACTCCGTGAACATCATGAGGCTGCACTCCCGGTACTCCCACTGCAGCCGAGTCAGCGCTGTGAGCCCTTCCATCTTGTTGGGGAGAGACCTCACGTTTCCCATGACAATGGACAGGACAGTTGGTTTATAACGTCTACGCTTCGCCCAATGCTGAACTCCGGCTCTTCATCCTCTGCTGCGGAGCTTGGCGGTGATGTCTGGTCTCTCCCACGAAGGTGGCCGGGCTTGGCGCAGCGCCAACAGCTGTTCAAGGCTGTAAACAATAGAGCTGTTGAACGGGTTACGAGACGCGGACTTAAAAACTCCAAAAATTAGAAGAAAACAAAGTGCTAGAGTCATGAAATGCACATCCATGGTTGGAACATGCAAAACACAACACTGCTAATTGAAAAAAAAAAAGACAAATAATGTGCAAAAAACAACAATAAAATGGCAAAAACGTAAACACTGTGAGTAGCTGCTGTGACTTGCTACCACTCTCAGGGTGCTCAGTCACTTACTTATTCACACACACTTCACACACTTGCCTTCATATGGGGTCCTCTGCTTGATTCAGTATAATTCGCTGCACCTCTATCCTTAGTTAAGTACTTTTCTGATATTTTAATCCATTTGCCACAAAGAGCTTTTGACTTTCTGCTTATTAATTTAGCCATCTGTGTCTTTTAAAAAGTGAAATGTGTTGTTCAAAAGAACGGTGGTGTTGGTATTTCACATCATGGCAGCAGCAGGATGCAGCAAGATTCAGCGGCCTAACTATGGTGTGCCTAAAGGGACAAAATAGCATCATTCAAAAAATAGCAGCTTAATTTCAGACTTTGATTGCATCATGCCTGATGTATCAAAAGTTATGACTTTAATCAAAAGTTATATAATATTTGGAATCATGATCGCAACAGACATTATGTGATTTCATCCTCATTGTTTTAATTCAGATCTATGAAACAATATTTCACCTACCACACCATTAACCACCTTACCCAGATATCAAATCCCTGTCTGATTGATATACCAAAGTGTGTACAGTTTTGGCTCATGCCATCAACACCTTTGTGGCCTCTGGTGTCATCATCAGCGCTACTCCTTGGGTGTGGTCATGGCCCAGGTCTTCATGGCCAGAGTAGATGATGGTCTCTCCTGAAGTCAGTCTGGTTTGGCCACTTCCGTTGCATCGTGATTCGCTTAAACCAAGGAGTGCGATATTATATCTCCTCATTTCGCTTGCCACTTGGGCTGATTTGCTGCTCTCATACAAGGTTCTGATGTTCCAGGTTCTATCCTGGTTTTTGCCTTCATCTTCAGTAGATTCCTCGGTGAGCACGTCATGGGCTCTTCTACAGAGGAATCTCTCTGACTAGGCTCTTGCTGTAGTAGTGTGTTTCCGGTTTCTGTAGCATATGCAATTTTTTACAAGTTGGAGTTGCTAGCCCCAAGCCCAACTTTCCACCATTTCTGGCTTCAGGTGTATGTTGGAGTTGGTTTGTTAGTCCCCTTCCCCTAACCTTTTGTCCTCCAGGCAATGGATTACAGTCTCATACCACGTGAGACCAGACAGGTTCGGGGTCGTGAACAAGCTGTCCCGGCACGTCAAGCCCAACCAACTCCTGCTGCTGTGTAGTGAAAGCTGTAGTCGAGGCACGCATTTCCTACCAGAAGCACGAGACAGTTTTTATTTTTTATTTTTATTATTATTATTATTTGTAATGCTATGCGCCAATTAACCTGCTCATGCCGGTTTTTTGGCCACGTGGGAGGAAACCGGAGCTCCCGGAGAAAACCCACACAGACAGGGGGAGAACATGCGAGTCTGATCTCTGTGAGGCCATCGTGCTAACCACTAGGCCACCGTGTCGTCCGAAAGATCTGAGAGAGTTGCAACAGCACAGCTACCCACCTGGAGGACCCCACATGTGAAGCGAAGCCTAAAGCCAGAAAGCATGTTCCTCACGTTCTGTCAGCGCTGCGCTCCGTCCGAGGCCAACAGCACACGCCACGGCCCACCAGCAGCGTAGCAGCAGCGCATCACCAGCCCTAGGCGGCTGCTCCACTGCTGCCACGCTGCCAGTGAGCGACGGTGCATGCTGTCGGCCCGAGGTGGAGCACAGCGCCGACAGAACGCGAGGAACATAGGTCCGGTGGGTTTTTGGCGTCAGGCCCCACTCCACGTATGAGATCCTCCAGGCGAGGCACCGCAAAAACTCTCCCAGAGAGATTCAGTCGGTGGCATGCACAGTTGCAGTGCAGCGACAGAGCTTCTTCCGCAGCCAGCGACCGAATCAGACCAGACAGCTTCCACCTTTCTTCTTCCTCTTCTTCTTCTCCTCCTTCTGTGTCTTCTCATCTGGAGCTGGGTCACCTGAGGAGACGGTCCTGTCTACTGAGGTCTTCTCTTCAGTGTCACTGTCCTCTGAGGTCTTCTCTTCAGTGTCACTGTCCTCTGAGGTCTTCTCTTCAGTGTCACTGTCCTCTGAGAAATATGGGGGAAGACGTAGCTCCACAAGTTCGTCTTCTGTGTCTTCTTCCAGTTTCAGGCAGCGTTTGGGGGGGAACAGGTTTAACCTGGATCAATAAGGGTGTCTGTGGGGTCTGTTTATTCAAGCCACTTCTGCTGCTGCTGGGGTTCTCTTCAGTGTCACTGTCCTCTGAGAAATATGGGGAAAGACGAGATCTCTTTTCTAGCTCCACAAGTTCTTCTTCTGAGTCTTCTTCCAGTTTCAGGCAGCGTTAAGGGGGAGCAGGTTTAACCTGGATCAATAAGGGTGTCTGTGGAGTCTGTTCATTCAAGTCACTTCCGCTGCTGCTGAGGTTGGAGCTTTGCTTGAAGTTTCCTCTGGTGATGAACGGATGGGCAAGGACTTGGCTCGGGGTGATCCTTTTGCTGGGATCCATCTGAAGCATGGCCTTCAAAAGGTTGATGCACGCCTTCTTCTCATCATTGTCCTCGTTAGCAAGGTGGGTTAGTTTTTCCAGCTGGTCCAGGTTTCTGAAATCATAGCACCTTGTGTCTTTAGGTGCACTTCCACCAAAATACTCCTCAGGGGTCTTCAGCCTCCATTGGTCAGACGGGGTCTTTTTGCAATATAATGTGATAAAAATCCCACCATCTATATTGTCTGGAAGAGCACCGAGGAGCTCCACCATGTATTGCAGAACTGAATAATCCAAATCTGATGGAAAGAATTTGTATCCAGTCAGCATGTACCCCATCACCACACCAAGAGACCACATGTCGATGGCCCCTGAAAAGGGCAGTCCTAAAATAATCTCTGGAGCCCTGTAGCATGGAACTTGTACGTTAGCGCCCTGCTTCGCTGACCTGGTTGGAAAAGCCAACCCAAAGTCAATGAGCTTAACCTTTAGAGGCTGCTCTTCATGATTCAGCAGCATGATGTTGTCTGTCTTTATATCTGAGTGGATCACATTGTTGGTCTTCAGAACATCCAAGGCTATGGCCATCTGATGGATGATGCTTCTGATGCTGGCCAGATCCAGAGGGGTTGAGGTGCGGAGTACTTTCATTCTCATATGATCATTAAGAGTCTGATCCAGCATCTCAAGCACTAAGGCTCTCTTGTTGTTCTGAAGTGGGAACATCTCAATATACTTGACGATGTTCTTCTCGTCCAAGTTTTTAGTCATGAGGAAATTCAACATATTATACTCATTTACAAAGTATCTGTCAGCATTTTGGATCTTTACAGCGACGATCTCTTGAGTGTCCACTTTGATACATTTTAGTACAACCCCAAAGCTTCCAGATCCAACCTTTTCCAGCTGAATGTAGTTCGACCCAAGGTTGTAGCTGGTTGAGCACAAGCAGTTTGAGAATGAACAGCCCATGATGACGTGATTTTTCTCAAAGTATAGGGATGAATGATGAAATGAAGATCAGCTTATTCTGAGTCTGATGGGCTGCAGAAAGAGCGGATGGTCACGAAACTTTTCTGTGTACTGCCGGAGTTTAGATCAGCCTATGTTGATGTCACTGTGACATATCAAAGCCCTGGAATTCTAGAAGCAGGTTTGAAAAATGCTGAGGAGCTTTGATGTGTCACTGTGACATATCAAAGCCCTGGTATTCTAGAAGCAGGTTTGAAAAATGCTGAGGAGCCTCTTGTTGCCATAGTAACAGTTAACAGAAGTAAATTGGCTTAGGCCATTATTTGACTGTATTCATGGACACTTTTGGATCCAAACCATAGACTGTATATATAATGGACAAATTTGCTGCACCTCCCATCATTGTGTGAATTTGAAGCCAACTTCTTCACGGTATTTGTAGGAGTTGTCTCTATTTCCTGAAACCAGCATTTGCACAGTAGCCATGTATGAGAGACAAGCTGTAATAATGCTCTGCTTAAACAGCGTACTCCGGGGATGTCCTCCACTACCTTCTTTTTTTATTTTATTTTATTTTTTTTATTTTTTTTTTGTATGGATTTTTCGTTTGTTTGTTTGTTTGTTTTTTCAATGTAACAACACAAACAACAACAAAAAAATCTTAATTAGATTATGTTGAAATAAATATATAATAATAACTATGTATATATATATATATATATATATATACACACACACATAGTTATTATATATTTATTTCAACATAATCTAATTAAGATGTATGTATGTGTATATATATATATATATATATATATATATACACATACACACATACATACAATCACCCCGAATCACCGACACAACAGTAACGATACAACAACCACAACAGCATTAATAATAATGACAATAGCAATACTGGCAATAATAATGGCAATAAACGAATGACAACGACAACAATAATAACAGTGATGATGACCACAACAAGGATACAAAACAACAAGAATCACTACAATATATAACACCATAGTGTGGACCAGAGGCCGGCCCGGCCCCCTGCACTGCCAAAAAGCGGGCCGACCAGCACCCACGTCCGCCATGCTGGGACGCCCATGGGGCACCCTACAGGGCCCCGCCCCGCGACCACCCGCCAACCGAACTGACCACCCACTCCACCTCTAAATACCTGGGCCACACATGACTCTCATCTTGTGTGTTGTTCATGTGGTGCATTAAAAACTTCACTGTGATGTATGCATTAAAAAGTGGGGTGTGAAGAGTTGGTGTGTGGTGCGTTAAAAGTCGGAGAGGGGTGTGAAATAGAACTGGACCAGGGCAAAAAAGAAACTGGAGCAGAGTGGGGCCAAGAAGGGGTGAGGCGCGGCCCATGGCCCACACAGGATCCCCACATTCTGCCTCCACCAGGTCCAGGCAGCAGCAGGCAGGGCCAGCCAATCCCAGGACACCAGGGATCCATGGGCCCCAGCCAGCCAGCCTGCCCTCCGGCTGCACAGGGACCCAAGCCAACCCCCAATCTAGACTACACGTGTGTGTGTGCGTGCGTGTGCGTGCGTGTGCGTGCTTACGTGCATGCGTGTGTGCAGGGATGTTATTGATAGAATTGATAGATTCATGTATAATTGATTGGTTGGCTCTCAGACAGAAAAAAAAAAAAATTATATATATATATATATATATATATATATATAAAATAATGATAATAAAAAATAATGATAATTTGGTCGGATGGAAATTGGGGTGTTTAAGTTGTTGAGAAGTCAATGACAGTGGACCAGGGGGATTGAGATTCTGTTGTAGTATGGAGAGGGGTGGGTGTATATTCCAGAGAGATGTGGTCAATGAGCAGGTTTTTCCAATGAGCCAGATGAATGGTGTACCTAGATTTCCAGTTCATGAGGATAGTTTTCTTAGCGATAGTTAGGGCCACGAGAAGAAGGTCATTGTTTGTTTTGTTTATTGTGAGTGATGATAAGTCTCCTAGAAGGCAGAGTAAGGGGGATAAAGGAATGCGGCAGCCCATGAAGTGTGATAATGACTCGGTGACTAGTTTCCAGAAGTGTTTGATTGGGATGCTGAGTCAGATGGCGTGAGTTTAGGTGTCAGGACAGTTTTGAGTGCAGTGGGTGCAAATTTCTGAGGTGAAGCCCATTTCAAACATTTTTTGTCCAGTGTAGTGAGTTCTGTGTACCTAAATATCTTATATTGTATGAGTTGTAAATTAGCAGTTTTAGTCATGAGATGAATGTTTTTGGGTCCAGAAGTCGGCATCAGGAGCAATTGACAGGTCTTGTTGCCATTTTTGTGATGGTAGAGATATGATTTTGTCAGATTGTAATAGTATTTTATATATTTTGGAGAGGAGTTTTTTTGGGAAAGGATATTAATAAATTCTGATATTGCAGGTGAAAGGTCTAGATTTGTGGATCTGATGTTAATTTTTTGATTTGACAGATGTCTTAAGTTGTAAATATTCCAGAATTTGATAACTCCCGATGCCGTACTCCTGGACCAAGTGGGGAAATGACATCAGGGTGTTATTATGGAAAATGTGTTTAAGGTGTGTGATGCCCTATGATGCCCTAATAGTACAAACATTTGCTTTGACCAAGATTTTAAAAATGTTATTATTTATTTAGTAAAGCTGAGCACAAAATAAAACTGATGCTAGGATCAGAATCAGCTGTATTGACCAAGTTTGTATACGCATATACAAGGAAATTGGCTTTGCTCTCTATGTAAGACAATAACTTATTTATACAAGACTATTTTACATAACATACTTGAGGTGGATACACATTGTTTTGTATACATTATCAACATTAAATACAGAATATTTAATATTTAATATTAAATATTGAATAATGGTATATTGTGTATAGTGTGTTTGTCGGGCACATACACGTGAGTTAATTCTGAGCCATTTCATTGATTGGTCTACAGTTATAAAATGTTAATCTGGTACAGTCAGGAGGAGTAACTACTTTGATGCTTTTACTATCAGATTGAAAGAAAAGGAAAGATTTGAAAAAGAAAAAGTCGTTTGGCGTTTCACACACACTCCACACACTTGGCTTCATATGGGGTCCTCTGCTGGATTCAGTATAATTCGCTGCACCTCTATCCTTAGTTAAGTACTTTTCTGATATTTTAATCCATTTGCCACAAAGAGCTTTTGACTTTCTGCTTATTAATTTAGCCATCTGTGTCTTTTAAAAAGTGAAATGTGTTGTTCAAAAGAACGGTGGTGTTGGTATTTCACATCATGGCAGCAGCAGGATGCAGCAAGATTCAGCGGCCTAACTATGGTGTGCCTAAAGGGACAAAATAGCATCATTCAAAAAATAGCAGCTTAATTTCAGACTTTGATTGCATCATGCTTGATGTATCAAAAGTTATGACTTTAATCAAAAGTTATATAATACTTGGAATCATGATCGCAACAGACATTTTGTGATTTCATCCTCATTGTTTTAATTCAGATCTATGAGACAATACTTCACCTACCACACCATTAACCACCTTACCCAGATATCAAATCCCTGTCTGATTTATATACCAAAGTGTGTACAGTTTTGGCTCACGCCATCAACACCTTTGTGGCCTCTGATGTCATCGTCAGCACTACTCCTTGGGTGTGGTCATGGCCCAGGTCTTCATGGCCAGAGTAGATGATGGTCTCTCCTGAAGTCAGTCTGGTTTGGCCACTTCCGTTGCATCGTGATTCGCTTAAACCAAGGAGTGCGATTTTATATCTCCTCATTTCGCTTGCCACTTGGGCTGATTTGCTGCTCTCATACAAGGTTCTGATGTTCCAGGTTCTATCCTGGTTTTTGCCTTCATCTTCAGTAGATTCCTCGGTGAGCTGGCTTCCATTTGGTTTTGACCCGCACACGTCATGGGCTCTTCTACAGAGGAATCTCTCTGACTAGGCTCTTGCTGTAGTAGTGTGTTTCCGGTTTCTGTAGCATATGCAATTTTTTACAAGTTGGAGTTGCTAGCCCCAAGCCCAACTTTCCACCATTTCTGGCTTCAGGTGTATTTTGGAGTTGGTTTGTTAGTCCCCTTCCCCTAACCTTTTGTCCTCCAGGCAATGGATTACAGTCTCATACCACGTGAGACCAGACAGGTTCGGGGTCGTGTACAAGCTGTCCCGGCACGTCAAGCCCAACCAACTCCTGCTGCTGTGTAGTGAAAGCTGTAGTCGAGGCACGCATTTCCTACCAGAAGCACGAGACAGTTTTTATTTTTTATTTTTATTATTATTATTATTATTTGTAATGCTATGCGCCAATTAACCTGCTCATGCCGGTTTTTTGGCCACGTGGGAGGAAACCGGAGCTCCCGGAGAAAACCCACACAGACAGGGGGAGAACATGCAAACTCCACACAGAGTCTGAACTCTGAGGCCGTTGTGCTAACCACTAGGCCACCGTGTTGTCTGAAAGATCTGAGAGCGTTTCAACAGCACAGCTACCCACCTGGAGGACCCCACATGTGAAGCGAAGCCTAAAGCCAGAAAGCATGTTCCTCACGTTCTGTCAGCGCTGCGCTCCGTCCGAGGCCAACAGCACACGCCACGGCCCACCAGCAGCGTAGCAGCAGCGCAGCACCAGCCCTAGGCGGCTGCTCCACTGCTGCCACGCTGCCAGTGAGCGACGGTGCATGCTGTCGGCCCGAGGTGGAGCACAGCGCCGACAGAACGCGAGGAACATAGGTCCGGTGGGTTTTTGGCGTCAGGCCCCACTCCACGTATGAGATCCTCCAGGCGAGGCACCGCAAAAACTCTCCCAGAGAGATTCAGTCGGTGGCATGCACAGTTGCAGTGCAGCGACAGAGCTTCTTCCGCAGCCACCGACCGAATCGGACCAGACAGCTTCCACCTTTCTTCTTCCTCTTCTTCTTCTCCTCCTTCTGTGTCTTCTCATCTGGAGCTGGGTCACCTGAGGAGACGGTCCTGTCTACTGAGGTCTTCTCTTCAGTGTCACTGTCCTCTGAGGTCTTCTCTTCAGTGTCACTGTCCTCTGAGAAATATGGGGAAAGACGAGATCTCTTTTCTAGCTCCACAAGTTCTTCTTCTGAGTCTTCTTCCAGTTTCAGGCAGCGTTTGGGGGGAGCAGGTTTAACCTGGATCAATAAGGGTGTCTGTGGAGTCTGTTCATTCAAGTCACTTCTGCTGCTGCTGAGGTTGGAGCTTTGCTTGAAGTTTCCTCTGGTGATGAACGGATGGGCAAGGACTTGGCTCGGGGTGATCCTTTTGCTGGGATCCATCTGAAGCATGGCCTTCAATAGGTTGATGCACGCCTCCTTCTCATCATTGTCCTCGTTAGCAAGGTGGGTTAGTTTTTCCAGCTGGTCCAGGTTTCTGAAATGATAGCACCTTGTGTCTGTAGGTGCACTTCCACCAAAATACTCCTCAGGGGTCTTCAGCCTCCATTGGTCAGACGGGGTCTTTTTGCAATATAATGTGGTAAAAATCCCACCATCTATATTGTCTGGAAGAGCACCGAGGAGCTCCACCATGTATTGCAGAACTGAATAATCCAAATCTGATGGAAAGAATTGGTTTCCAGTCAGCATCAACCCCATCACCACACCAAGAGACCACATGTCGATGGCCCCTGAAAAGGGCAGTCCTAAAAAAATCTCTGGAGCCCTGTACCATGGAACTTGTACGTTAGCGCCCCGCTTCGCTAACCTGGTTGGAAAAGCCAACCCAAAGTCAATGAGCTTAACCTTTAGAGGCTGCTCTTCATGATTCAGCAGCATGATGTTGTCTGTCTTTATATCTGAGTGGATCACATTGTTGGTCTTCAGAACATCCAAGGCTATGGCCATCTGATGGATGATGCTTCTGATGCTGGCCAGATCCAGAGGGGTTAAGGTGCGGAGTACTTTCATTCTAATATGATCACAAAGAGTCTGATCCAGCATCTCAAACACTAAGGCTCTCTTGTTGTTCTGAAGTGGGAACATCTCAATATACTTGACGATGTTCTTCTCGTCCAAGTTTTTAGTCATGAGGAAATTCAACATATTATACTCATTTACAAAGTGTCTGTCAGCATTTTGGATCTTTACAGCGACGATCTCTTGAGTGTCCACTTTGATACATTTTAGTACAACCCCAAAGCTTCCAGATCCAACCTTTTCCAGCTGAATGTAGTTCGACCCAAGGTTGTAGCTGGTTGAGCACAAGCAGTTTGAGAATGAACAGCCCATGATGACGTGATTTTTCTCAAAGTATAGGGATGAATGATGAAATGAAGATCAGCTTATTCTGAGTCTGATGGGCTGCAGAAAGAGCGGATGGTCACGAAACTTTTCTGTGTACTGCCGGAGTTTAGATCAGCCTATGTTGATGTCACTGTGACATATCAAAGCCCTGGAATTCTAGAAGCAGGTTTGAAAAATGCTGAGGAGCTTTGATGTGTCACTGTGACATATCAAAGCCCTGGAATTCTAGAAGCAGGTTTGAAAAATGCTGAGGAGCCTCTTGTTGCCATAGCAACAGTTAACAGAAGTAAATTGGCTTAGGCCATTATTTGACTGTATTCATGGACACTTTTGGATCCAAACCATAGACTGTATATATAATGGACAAATTTGCTGCACCTCCCATCATTGTGTGAATTTGAAGCCAACTTCTTCACGGTATTTGTAGGAGTTGTCTCTATTTCCTGAAACCAGCATTTGCACAGTAGCCATGTATGAGAGACAAGCTGTAATAATGCTCTGCTTAAACAGCGCACCCCGGGGATGTCCTCCACTACCTTCTTTTTTTATTTTATTTTATTATTTTTTTATTTTTTTTGTATGGATTTTTCGTTTGTTTGTTTGTTTGTTTTTTCAATGTAACAACAAAAACAACAACAAAAAAATCTTAATTAGATTATGTTGAAATAAATATATAATAACTATGTATATATATATATATATATATATATATATATACACATAGTTATTGTATATTTATTTCAACATAATCTAATTAAGATGTATGTATGTGTATATATATATATATATATATATATATATACACATACACACATACATACAATCACCCCGAATCACCGACACAACAGTAACGATACAACAACCACAACAGCATTAATAATAATGACAATAGCCATACTGGCAATAATAATGGCAATAAACGAATGACAACGACAACAATAATAACAGTAATGATGACCACAACAAGGATACAAAACAACAAGAATCACTACAATATATAACACCATAGTGTGGACCAGAGGCCGGCCCGGCCCCCTGCACTGCCAAAAAGCGGGCCGACCAGCACCCACGTCCGCCGTGCTGGGACGCCCATGGGGCACCCTACAGGGCCCCGCCCCGCGACCACCCGCCAACCGAACTGACCACCCACTCCACCTCTAAATACCTGGGCCACACATGACTCTCATCTTGTGTGTTGTTCATGTGGTGCATTAAAAACTTCACTGTGATGTATGCATTAAAAAGTGGGGTGTGAAGAGTTGGTGTGTGGTGCGTTAAAAGTCGGAGAGGCGTGTGAAATAGAACTGGACCAGGGCAAAAAAGAAACTGGAGCAGAGGTGGGCCAAGAAGGGGTGAGGCGCGGCCCATGGCCCACACAGGATCCCCACATTCTGCACCCACCAGGTCCAGGCAGCAGCAGGCAGGGCCAGCCAATCCCAGGACACCAGGGATCCATGGGCCCCAGCCAGCCAGCCTGCCCTCCGGCTGCACAGGGACCCAAGCCAACCCCCAATCTAGACTACACGTGTGTGCGTGCGTGTGCGTGCGTACGTGCATGCGTGTGTGCAGGGATGTTATTGATAGAATTGATAGATTCATGTATAATTGATTGGTTGGCTCTCAGACAGAAAAAAAAAATTTATATATATATATATATAAAATAAAAAAATAATGATAATTTGGTCGGATGGAAATTGGGGTGTTTAAGTTGTTGAGAAGTCAATGACAGTGGACCAGGGGGATTGAGATTCTGTTGTAGTATGGAGAGGGGTGGGTGTATATTCCAGAGAGATGTGGTCAATGAGCAGGTTTTTCCAATGAGCCAGATGAATGGTGTACCTAGATTTCCAGTTCATGAGGATAGTTTTCTTAGCGATAGTTAGGGCCACGAGAAGAAGGTCATTGTTTGTTTTGTTTATTGTGAGTGATGATAAGTCTCCTAGAAGGCAGAGTAAGAGGGATAAAGGAATGCGGCAGCCCATGAAGTGTGATAATGACTCGGTGACTAGTTTCCAGAAGTGTTTGATTGGGATGCTGAGTCAGATGGCGTGAGTTTAGGTGTCAGGACAGTTTTGAGTGCAGTGGGTGCAAATTTCTGAGGTGAAGCCCATTTCAAACATTTTTTGTCCAGTGTAGTGAGTTCTGTGTACCTAAATATCTTATATTGTATGAGTTGTAAATTAGCAGTTTTAGTCATGAGATGAATGTTTTTGGGTCCAGAAGTCGGCATCAGGAGCAATTGACAGGTCTTGTTGCCATTTTTGTGATGGTAGAGATATGATTTTGTCAGATTGTAATAGTATTTTATATATTTTGGAGAGGAGTTTTTTTGGGAAAGGATATTAATAAATTCTGATATTGCAGGTGAAAGGTCTAGATTTGTGGATCTGATGTTAATTTTTTGATTTGACAGATGTCTTAAGTTGTAAATATTCCAGAATTTGATAACTCCCGATGCCGTACTCCTGGACCAAGTGGGGAAATGACATCAGGGTGTTATTATGGAAAATGTGTTTAAGGTGTATGATGCCCTAATAGTACAAACATTTGCTTTAACCAAGATTTTAAAAATGTTATTATTTATTTAGTAAAGCTGAGCACAAAATAAAACTGATGCTAGGATCAGAATCAGCTGTATTGACCAAGTTTGTATACGCATATACAAGGAAATTGGCTTTGCTCTCTATGTAAGACAATAACTTATTTATACAAGACTATTTTACATAACATACTTGAGGTGGATACACATTGTTTTGTATACATTATCAACATTAAATACAGAATATTTAATATTAAATATTGAATAATGGTATATTGTGTATAGTGTGTTTGTCGGGCACATACACGTGAGTTAATTCTGAGCCATTTCATTGATTGGTCTACAGTTATAAAATGTTAATCTGGTACAGTCAGGAGGAGTAACTACTTTGATGCTTTTACTATCAGATTGAAAGAAAAGGAAAGATTTGAAAAAGAAAAAGTCGTTTGGCGTTTCACACACACTCCACACACTTGGCTTCATATGGGGTCCTCTGCTGGATTCAGTATAATTCGCTGCACCTCTATGCTTAGTTAAGTACTTTTCTGATATTTTAATCCATTTGCCACAAAGAGCTTTTGACTTTCTGCTTATTAATTTAGCCATCTGTGTTTTTTAAAAAGTGAGATGTGTTGTTCAAAAGAACAGTGGTGTTATTTCACATCATGGCAGCAGCAGGATGCAGCAAGATTCAGCGGCCTAACTGTGGTGTGCCTAAAGGGACGAAATAGCATTATTCAAAAAATAGCAGCTTAATTTCAGACTTTGATTGCATCATGCTCGATGTATCAAAAGTTATGAATTTAATCAAAAGTTATATAATATTTGGAATCATGATCGCCACAAACTCTTTGTGATTTCATCCTCATTGTTTCAATTCAGATCTGTAAGACAATACTTCACTTACCACACCATTAACCACCTTACCCAGATATCCAATCCCTGTCGGACAGTTGTGTTTGTTGCAGATGTTGTTCTTCGATGGTTTTGCTGCATTGAACGTCCATTCTAGCTCAGAGACAGAAGAACGTCATCTAGCTTCTCTGCTGTAGCCTGATTTAGTAAATGCCCTGGAACATTTATTGAGACAGCGTTTGAATGCCGCCCACTCAAATACTCTCTCCCTCCAACACCACCACTCCTCTGCTTCTCTGCTGCCAGATCTCTTGCCGTTTCTCACCAGACTCCTCAGCTCGGCTCCCTCAAAAATAACTGTCTTGGTTATGAGCTCCTCCATCTGAAAGACAGCATCCATGATCTGATTTTACTGCTTTCATGCCACTTGTATTATCACCCTGTCACTACCATTATCATTATCCTCATAACTATATCCTCTTCATGGTGGGGGCTTCATTTTCATCCCTTTCAACACCATCAGCACCCCTGCTGTTGAACTGACAGAATTGTCACAACCTCTTGTTGACTTCCTTTGCAGTGATGATCTTTCCTCCCTCTGTCTCTCTCTCTCTCTCTCTCTCTGTGTTCAGGGCTCCATATGGAAAAGCCGTGGACATGTGGTCGGTGGGGTGTATCCTGGGCGAGCTCAGCGATGGGCAGCCCTTGTTTCCTGGAGAGAGCGAGATAGATCAGGTTTGTGTGCACTGAAAAGAAATGCGATGACACGAAATTAATTATTGACAGTTTCAAACAAGAAATTAATCATTGTAAGCCGTTTTCGCATCAAACAGGTAAACAGTTATTTGAAGATACAAGCTTCTCTGCTGAGAGCATTTGCAGCCTTCATGCATCTCATATCCGCTCATTCTCTCTCCTTTTTTCAAGACAAAACAAATGATCCCCCTGTACCTGAGAAAAAGCAAAAATGAGCTTAAAAAGTTGAAAAATAGATTTTTTTTTTCTGAGGAGAATTTGTAAGTGTTGTAAAAACTTGCAAGACAAAACTCACAGTTACAGTCTTTTGGACACAACTTCTGAGCAAGACAGCTGTGTGTGTTATTTGCACACAGTATGAGACCAGCAATTGGAAGATGATATGGTGGGCTAAACAATATCCAAAGAGTGTCCCAGAACAGGTCTGAAAATAACTCCAAATTTGAAATCTGATGGTGTGTGAATAAAGAGAGGAATACATCTCTTTTTTGATTTACTATTTGTGTTTTATCGCTGATCCAAGCAAGTACATGAAACTGGATATGTTTGATAACAACATGGAAAAGATTGAGAAAAGACTGAGCAATATTGAGACATTTGTTTCTGTGGCGTCCTTGATTTTCATATCTTTCTTTGTTTAAGAGTGTCTCCATATACGATGAAATTAAGAAGGCAGATGTGCAAATGTTTTCAGGACTTTAGTTAATTGTTTTCCTCTTGGCACAATTATTTATCAACATTATGAAAACAGATGTCAAAATAGTGCATAAAGCTGATTAACATTTTCACATTAAAGTTTAAAGGAAACAAATCAGAAAACAGAAACATAAAAGATGCAACACTATACGAAACACAGTCAGTTATGAGCATAGACTGTATATACTATGGACAACTTGGTTCCGGCTTCCGCCTGTATACGGATTTGAAGCCAAAAAGCCCTTGGTATTTCCGCAATTTTTCTTCCTTTCCTGAAACAAACATTGCACTGTAGCGCTGAGTGCACTCCACCAGTAAACTAAATGCGAAGTAAACTTCATACGCCCATAGGCTGTATCAGGTGTCAATCATAGAAAACATAAACCCCCTTAAAACTTTTAAAAACGGAGCTGTACATAAAAAAGGGAACTTGAGCACAAACCAGTCTTACAGAAACTACTTGTCAACATCGCAACCAAGGGGGAGAAAAATTATATTCTGTGTAATCAATTTTTAAAGTTTGTCCACAGCTCCATAGGAATTGCTGGAGGAGGCGGGATTCATGGCCTATACTGCAGTCCGTCGCCAGAGTGTGCTGTTCTTGGAGTGGCTTCACCCAGCGAGGAGGCTGACAGTGTCCATTCTATATACAGTCTATGGTTATGACAGATTCTTGACAGTGTTATACCGTATTAACTCAAATATAAGTTGTTTTTCCTTTAAAATCCATTTAAAAAACATGGATCATCTTATAGTTTTTTGAGTTTAAGTTATAAAATGGTGCCAGGAGGATGAACAATTGAGTGACTTTAGGACAAGTTAACGGGCAACTAGAGCAGAGTTATTACACCTTTGAGAGTCAGAGACTTAAAATAAATGTCAAACAGCCAAGAAATACAGAGCTAGGAAGTTGTCTAAAGATGGTAAGCACACCCAAACTGAGTAGAAGTGTGTGTAAGAGCAAGTTACCAAATAGCAGAATGAAGATGTGCTTATTATCATTGTCAGCGTCTTATATTTGAGTTAATGTAGAATTTAGTGTTGGGATAAAAGAACTTAATTATGAATGTTACAAAGCAGCAAAATTACTTTGTTCGTGTGACACAAAGTAACGCTTAGTTACACAGTGGGTGCTGAGTAAAACATGGGAAACTAAAAGTTGGATTCCTTTGACCAAACCACTGAGGGAAAAACATGAAACAAACCAATCACTGACTGTGTCTCATCCTGTCACGTTCCCCTTAAGAGTCAGGTGCACCTGCAGGCAGACATGATGCTCTCAGCCTTTCCACATGAATGCTCCAGGTTTGAGCTGGTATATTTAACTCCTCTCCCACTGTTGAGCCCTTAAAGCAGAACAGACACACAGGTCACTGCAGAGATCTGTGTTTTATTACGTGTGAGAGAACTGCTGTCTGTCTGTGATGACATTTTAAAAACAAAAGAAACGCAGATTGTGAGCTCTTCTGCCCGTTGTACTATCTCTCTCCCTTTGAATATCAAGGAGGTACAACACCACTTTCGACTCCAGCCCAAGTCTGCGTCAGTCCTGACTTTCGTTGATTGAGGCACAGGTGCACTGTTATCCCTTTAGATCTCAACATGTCACCTTTGCACCATCACACACCTTAGGGCGCTAACAAAGCAGCTACAAACTGAACCAATAACACAGACTCATGTAAACTCAAAATATGTGTGTTTAGGTGCTCTACTCATTCTGGTTCTGCTCCATTTTATCTTCAGCTCTTCACCATTCAGAAGGTTTTGGGACCACTTCCTGCAGAACAGATGAAACTCTTTTACAACAACCCTCGCTTTCATGGAATCAGGGTAGGAAACATTTGTATTTCATATTTGCAAGAGAAGCTTGTGTTCTTTTCCTTTTCTTTCTCCTCCTCCTCTTTGTTTTCACCTCTTTTCCTTCTCTCTGCAGCTTTCTCTGCGTCTCTCTCTCTCTCTCTCTCTCTCTCTCTCTCTCTCTCTTTTCTTTCTTTCTTTCTTTCTTTCGTGGCAATGTTCCCAGCACCATGACTGAGTAGATTGCTATGACTCATGAGATAGGTGGTTGGTGTTCAGTTTAGCAGCTAGAGAAAATGTCCCAGAAGGCCGAAGAAAGACTTTGTGAGCAAGTGTGTGTTTTTGTGTGTGTTTTTCGACAGTTTGTTTAGTGTGAAGCGGTGTTTGATTTCTCTGCGATTTGAACTTAGAGCAACTTTTTTCTACAGGCAGGAACATCTATTGTTGGTCGGAAATTGTAGTAGTAATTTTAAAGGTATGAGAAATTTGGTGTGGATACCAATTTGACATAGTAATTGTGTGTGTGTGTGTGTGTGTGTGTGTGTGTGTGTGTGTGTGTGTGTGTGTGTGTGTGTGTGTGTGTGTGTGTGTGTGTGTGTGTGTGTGTGTGTGCGTGCGCGCGCGTGTGCCAGTTTCCATCTGTTACTCATCCTCAGACTTTGGAGAGACGGTACCAAGGCATCTTGAGTGGTTTGATGTTGGATCTGATGAAGGTAAAACACCCAAAATTAATCTTAGTCCTTCAAATGCAGATATGAAATTAGAAAAGATGCCTCATCTTATTATATTCCGTCTTTGTTAAGAGTCCATGTTTCTATCAGTACTTCTTAAAATCTACTCCCTCTGTATTTTCCAAAAAGAACCTGCTGCTGCTGAACCCCACTGAGCGTTATTTGACTGAGCAGAGCTTGAACCACCCGGCCTTCCAGCCTCTGAGGCAGGCAGAGAGAGAGCGGCCTCCTCCTGCATCTCCCAACCCACCACGCTCCTCTAAGAGGAAAACACACCATCATGGAGAAAACACAGTTCCTACAAGGTCAGAAGAACACACAAACACGTACTTTTGCAGCTCCTCTATGCCATCCTAACTTTGAAACTGTTATAAGTTTTTTGCATATATATAGTGAAAGCCTGCCAAGGCACTTGTGTATAGACTATTTCCTCAGTCATCATCTGTTTTTTTTGTCCTGGTATTAGGGCTGGGCGATAAAACAATAACGATATATATTGAAAATCAATTTCCCTCAGTATCAATATAAAACATGGTCAATATGCTTTTGGCTACTCGGCATTCTGCCATGTTTTGGTAAACTATAAAAAATAGCCAATGAAAAGGGGAGTTTCTCCGGGTCCACTTCGCACTGAGCCAATAATGTGCTGAATTAGAACCAAGTAGCAAACAACTGCGTAGTAGAAGGCTGCAGCTACACACAACCATACAACTTTAACACGTAAAGCCGACAGCACTGTTGGTGAGAAAAAAAGAAAATGAGTACTATCCCGGCAGAAATGCAGATGAAGGCGCAACAGATGATGACATTGTCGACAACACTGGCACAAAAACGGTGGTGTGGAGGTATTTTGGTTTTTGAGGCAGAGTAATGTACACTGCAAATTATGTCGAGTACATGTTCTCACAAAGTCGGGGAATACCTCAAATATTTTTCACCACCTGAAGCAGTGCCACACAGCAGAGCACGCGCAATGAAAAAGGTTACAAACCCCGAGCGGAGCAAAGAGCCCATGGCACCTGTGCAGCTAAAAGAGCTGAACATTCAGTCCGCTTTCTCTAGCGCAACGCCTTATGACAAAATGTCGAAGAGACACCGAGACCTCACAGATGCAGTAGCTTATTGTATTGCAAAAGACATGCTACCAATAAGCACTGTTAAATTTCATTTTTTATATTGTGATATCAATCGATATCGACCAGCCCTATATAATTCATCATGCCCAAGAAAAAAATTAAAAACAGGTCAGAAAATGTGGTAAAATACAAGATGTGAATTAATCATCTAAAACAAGAGCAAACAGAGTTTGTCTGATTCTTTATCAAGGATTTGAAAATACCAAAGGGTACCAAAATGTTTGTTTTGAAAGTGCTCTGCAAAGAATATCAAGTGGATGGTGCATAGAGACTAAAAGCTCAGTACAGACTGGAGGCGCTTATATGTAAAGTCAGTCATTCGACCGTGTCTGATACAGTCCAGATGACCAAGCAAGGAGAGATGTGATGTACATTGGCAGTTTTCCTGTAAGGGCCTTATAGATGGATAACACACACAAATGCCTTTTATGTCTCTCAGCAAGAGAGGACAACCCTGCATTTTTATATAAGGTGTTGTAAGATCAGCAGTTATAGCACGGTGGGAAACAGCATCCAGAGGTTTCAGAGCAGATGCATGTATTTAAATCACATCTCAGTAATCTAAAACAGAACGAAAAAGAGAATCCATGTTTAATTTCCACAGAAAACATTGGAATAGATGGTTTATTTAATTTTTCAATGAGTTCATCTGTTTCTCTGCTTCTTCTTTAAGGAGTCACAGCAAGAGCACGAGCCGCCGCTCCAACAGCAAAGAATGTTCCAGCCTCCCTCGCCATGGGGACCTTCATCACCTCAGCAACAAGAGTTTCCTGAATGGAAACAAGCCGCCCCCCTCCAGTTTAAGTCCTCAACTTCACCCCAAGGGCCAATACATGTCCCAGACCCTCAATCGGTCTGCCTCATCCAGCAAAGACCTGGCTAACAACAACCTGCCGCACCTCCTCAGTCCAAAAGAAGTCAAAGGCAAGACGGAGTTTGACTTCAACCTGGGACCCTCCCCCAAACTTTCAGAGCAGGGACACGGAGGCAAGTACAGCCACAGCAAATCCAGCTCCTCTCGCTCTCAGCAGCAGCAGCAGCAGCAGCAGACCGGCCGCCACACCTTCCTGGAAGGCAAGAACAACACTTTGCAGTCTGGAGGAGAGAAACAACATGGCCGACACACCCACAGTATGGCCGACTCTGCCCACGGCTCCATGTCCTCGTCCTCTAAGAGTTCAGCCTCCTATCTCAGCCTGTCAAAGAGTCACAGCGCCCTCAGCGATTCTAAATCTGTAGGGAACCTCAGCGATGGTCGACTCCATCCTGACGACCCAAACTCCAACACCACAGTGGGGATGCAACCCAGCGCACGCTTCTTCCCCACTAGCTGTTTAGACCTCAACGCTCCCTCGGGTCCTCCTGGGCCGCCTGGCAGCCCATCTGCCCGACACAGCGATCGATCTGGACATAGCCCGGCTTCTCGGAGCAGCGGCAACGTCCGCATGGAGAGCAGCACCCTGGACTCCTCATCCAGACACAAATCCAGACATAAAGCTCTTACACCAGGTACATTCAAAAGTCAGACTCACTATCCAAAATCAACTTTGACTAAAGTAAAACTGACAACAATACAGTCATTAACAAGAAACTATTAAAACCTGATTTTAAACCCTAATTGTTCCATTTTATTAGCTTGTCTGACAAATACAGTCAATAAAGTGTCTAGATTTAAATTTTGAGTCAGTAGAACCACGAGTCTGACAGTCACTGGTCACTTCCATGAATCAGTGGACATAATGATAAGTGTTATTCAGCTCCAACTTTTTAAGTAGGAAGATTTTCAGTTTCACTTGAATTCACAGATACATTTCTAGATTTTGATGGTCAGAGTATGTGACCTGTCAGACTTTTTAAGCCATGACCCGGAACTTTGCCCAGAGTAGAACGAGAGGTGAAAATTGTCTTTCTTTCTACGTGTCTTTAAATGATATCCTTTTGATTCTGGACTTATGCTTGGATTAAGAAAGTTTGTAGATGTGGCTGCTGTAGGCTGCCCGTTTTGTTCAAGGACATTTTCTAGGGATGATTCATTCAAACTTATTTTTCTCTTCTCCAGAGGAGGCCGGTGCTCCAGAGCTCTTAGACCCCGGAGGAGCCGGGATGCCCTCCACCCACACTCTGCCTTCTCCACACGAATCTTATCATTATGGCCTGGGCTACACCTCCCCCTTTTCCTCCCAGCAACGCCCTCAACGCCACTCCATGTATGTGAGGAGGGAGCGCCACCGCCCACACGGGGTGGAAAGTGGGATGGCGGGCCTCCCTGCTCCGGGGCAGGCGATACCGACACGTGCCAGCAGCCTGCAGCTCCTCTCCCCTCAGCTGCAGCACCGGACCACCCTGACCGGACACTCAGTGAGCTCATCGAGAGAAGACTGCACAGATGACATGACCAGGGTTGGTAGAAGACAGAATTACAATTGAATGATTTGAATTACAACCACAACATTCAGAGGAATGACACTAACGCTGATGAAGGGTCCATTAGCAATATGTTTTGTTGAGCTTTTTCTATTCTCAGATGTTGACTGCCAGTTGGAGACACGCTTTACCCATGTTACAACACTGCTGAAAAATAGAGCAACTCTTTAAGAGAGTGTGAGGATGTGAGCAACTATAAGAAGGGCAAAATAGTGAGTGTTAGATGGTTAGGTTAGAGCATCATCAACAGTGCAGCTCTTGTACAGTGGTCCCAGACTGCAGTGGTCTATATCTACAGTGCCTTGAAAAAGTCTTCATACCCCTTGAACTTTTTCACATTTTGTCACTCTACAACCACAAACTTCAAAGTATTTTATTGAGATTATCTGAAATGTGTGGTGTCCATTGGAGAGCGTCTGTGAACAGCAATTTTCAAGTCTTGCCACAGATGCTCAATGGGATTTAGGTCTGGACTTTGACTTGGCCATTCTAACACATGAATTGATCTAAACCATTCCATTGTAGCTCTGGCTGTATGTTTAGGGTCACTGTCTTGCTGGAAGGTGAATACAAATGCACACCACACTTTTCAGATTTTTATTTGTTTAAATTTTTGAAAACCATGTATAATTTTCGTTCCATTTCACCATTATGTGCTACTTTGTGTTCGTCTATGTGGAAAAATCTCAATAAAATACTTTTAAGTTTGTGGTTGTAGAGTGACAAAATGTGAAAAAGTTCAAGGGGTATGAAGACTTTTTCAAGGCTCTGTACCAGAAGTTGTTTAAGGAATAGAGACCAGGGCTCATGAATGACACGACAGAAGACTTAGACTTTAATATGTTATTGCTGAAAAGGAGATAAAGTAGAACATTTTTGGGGGGTATGAATCAGAAATCTGTTTTTTATCTCCTATCTATATTTTTGAATCCATCAGTCTACAAAGATAGTTTAAAGTTATATCTTTTATTCTATGATGAAGTTTTATGCCAGATGATTTAGTTTTGATTTTCTTTTAGGATACTCAAAAGTGCATAAAAAACTAAATAAAGTGTATTAAATATTTGTGTGCGTGTGTGTGCGGGCATTTGATTTGCAAGGTGATGCAAGTGTGCAGGTTTCGTCACTGTCTCACATTATCATTGCCTCTGCTTCATGCTGCTTTCTTGTCTGCTTTGACCTGCGCCTGTCCGTCTCCTCAACAGAGTGAGCAGTCTCCTAAAGACATGAGCCACCCCTGTGCCCCCATCAAAGACTCTACGAGGGACAACACAGCTGCTTTTCATACGCAGCGCTCTAAAAACGAGGTCCGACCCCCAAAGATGATTTCACTAACAGTAGCTCTTCTGACCTGCTGGTTGCCATAGCTTTCTCTGTTTCTATCAGGGCGAACAGCTTCATTGCACGTTGTCGCTGGTATAAATGTAACCTCACTGAAAAGCTCTGATTGTCCTGAATGTCAGCCGAGAATGTGATAGCTAATGATAAGCAAAGAAGTGATTTTATGGAAATGATCGAACCCAACGCTCCAGATTTTGAGGACGTATCTGTTTTGTGTATGTTTCTCAGGTCGGTATGTATCACGACCCGCATGTTGAAGACGGAGGATCATCGAAGGAAAACAGGATGATCTTCACTGAGTCCATGCCACGGAGAGTAGGCAGCTTCTACCGAGGTGAGGGACAGAGCCGCGCAATATTCACAGTTTCACTTTTTAAAAAAATATTAGCATTTGTAAAAGTTCTTAAAGTCATATAATATATAAAGAACAGCGGACACACAGAGAGACTGTGATTTGAAGCTGTCCTGCATACTTCAATGTTTGCTCATTTGATGCAACCTTTGACTACATAGAATGGTCAACATGTGTGATAGCATGCACAGGAGCAATCTGCTACCCAAAACTGATAAAACATAACTGATCAATCAACTAATTAATCACTCAATCAGACTTAATTTGTCTCACACTTGTCAGCTAAAGTGTAGAACAAGGTGCCTTACGTGAATGTCAACTTTAATCAAAGCCCTGATTCATGTGCACGGTTTACAACAAGCAAACAAAACAAACAGACAAGATCTTAATAAAAGATAAATAAATAAAATGATCTATTAAAACAGGATTGAAAAAAAAACTGAAGAACACTAAAATGAGTTTATCCTGAGGAAACACCAGAGGTACGACTTGAATGTAATACAATACAAGAACTTTATTGATTTACTCAGGGAAATTAGGCTGTTAAATGTTCAAATTCAAGACAGTAGAAATAAAAGAACAAAATAAATAGAAGGAAACACTTACATCATAAAAATAATACATATGATAATAAAACAGTAAAATGCAATAACAGAATACAAATAAATCAGTAAAACAGATGCAAATTTAAATAGATATATATGTTAATAAATTGTAAAACTCAATGAATTGCTGAAAGGTCAGGTCTTAGGTTTGTTTAATCCCACAATTAGGAAGAGTTCACTGTCATGGATTTGTAAACTTCAGTGTCAGCATCTTTCTTCTTTTTCTCACTGTCCCTCCTTCGCTCTGCTGATAAACTGGAGGAGCAGCAGGTATTTATCGATAGAGCTTCAAATCAATCACCTCTTAACACCAAACAGCCAATTGAACTTAAACTCTCCTGAAAGACAAACACTTGCATATTCAGTAACATGATAAGAACAAGCTGTGGTGACAGAAAGAAAATGTTTGACATGTATTTGATAGTTTTAGAGTACAGTCTTTGAATACTTACTACTCACTCTATATAATCTAATGCATATCTGGCCAAAAGGGCTGATTTCAAATCAAAAAGTGTGTTACAGGAAAGTGAATCACCTAGGCGGGGCAAGTATACTTTCAAAGGGATTGATATAAAAAAGAACAAGGGACCTTCACATCCTGATATATGGTACAGAGGACTGCATGTTTACCACAGATCCTAAGTACTAGAAAACTGAGGGCCTAATTCAAAGCTTTTCCACCCTGTGAGCGCTTCTAATGAGCCCTAAAAGACATCGTCTGGTTCACAGATCCAGCAGAGGTTTAAATGCCCCTCTTAACAGCGCTGCAGAGGGTACAGCGTCTCTGTGCATGAGTGTTGTTTGTGTACATTCAAAGGGGCCATTATGCATTCATATGGAGAAAAATATGCTTCCATCTATGCAAATTAGCCTTATTGCAAATAACACCTAATTCACAAACACGACTCTTAAAGCCATACATAGAGTGAAATGTTTACCGTCTGTTGAGAGCTGGGGGTGTGCAGGAGGACGTGGAAGCATTGCTCATTTCAAACTCTGCAGGGATCGAGACACCAGCCCCACCACTGGATGACCTGCGAGTGATATATCTGTACAAAAGTCTGTTAATATTACTTTTAAATGACTGTTTATAATAATGAGCTGGGCTTAAATATTATACAATATGTTACTATTATCATTATTATTATTGTTTTTGTTGTTATTTCATTATTTTCATTATGGTCATTATTTTTATTGCTATTATTATTATGATGATTAATATTGTTATATAATAATAATAATAATAAGAAGAAGAAACTGTTAAAGCACGTTATAGATAAAATTTATTATTATAATGAATATTATGATATATATGTAAATCATTAGTGAAGAAGAAGGGGTGGGACTAGATAAGTTTCGACTTCTTCCCACTCCTTTTTGAACATGTTGTATTCTTTACTTTTTTATTATTTTTTTCATATGTTCAAAATAAAATTCAATCAATCAATCAATCAATCAAAAAATAAATCAGTTTGATGTTGTCTCAGGCTCAATTCCTGCACATACAGGTTGTGTCATTCTTCTTAAAACGCTTTAGTTTTCCATTCAAAACTGGAGCAAACTGCGCAAAGCTGCAGAGCTTTGTGGATGTTTCTGTGCTTGAATATCACTTTGACGTTCTTTAAATTTTTGATAACATTTACTGTCACATTTTCAGCTTATTTTGTCATCATTGGTCAAAAGACACAAAGTCCTGGTGAGATGTTGTGAAAGTTGTGCTGGATAAATTCATTCAGGGTTATTGAAAGATTAATGGGAAACGTCGGGTTTTGAGGGTGACGGAACAAGAGTTTCCAACTCCTCCTGCCATGCCCTATTAAGCTCTGCAGGAGGAGATACATAATACAAGAGGCAGGCTTTTCAACTTGGACTCATACAAACAAGGCACAATGGAATTTGAGGAATACGAGTAAAAAAGATGAATTTGTAGATTAATGCTGTCCTGTTAGAAACTTGCAGAGATAAATCATATTTTTGTAACCACTTCAATTTTCTCTTGTTTTGTTTCTCTTCAGTCCCGTCTCCCAGACCAGACAACTCCACTTCTTTTCATGACCCGGTTGGGCAGGGTCGAGGGCCGGTAGGACCTGTAGTACCCGGAGACCCTGTTGTCATGGCTAACCACTCCAAACGTCCGACAGCTTTTGACTGGTGAGGGTGTTTTTTTTATCGCTACAATGTTTGATCAAGAAAATCTCATAAACAAAGTGTCCACATTTACAAATCACTGCAGATGTTATTGAATTTAAAGTCTGAAAAACTGTGCGAGTATTCAAACCTCAGAGGTGTCCTTTTGCATTGTATGAGTGTGCAGTACACATGAATCATTTTTTACATTTTCTGCATACGCCTTACAGGACTGCAGCAGAGGCGATGGTCATGAATCCTCCGGAGCCGACCAAAGAAAAGGAAAAACAAGGCTTCTTCAGAGCCATTAAAAAGAAGAAGAAAAAGACACAAATAGTAAGATGACTGAGGCGACCTGCTGTCAGAAATGTCTTCTGTTCAAAGTGTGTTTTTTTTCTTGTTTGTGCTTCACTGTTTTGGTTTTTGTGTAGTAAAAACTGATCAGTACGCTCTCTTAGTCTGGTGTAGTGATACACTGAATTTTCTCTTTAACCAAAGAAAGTAACAGTCTCTTCAAAATCATCTCTATTAGTACAAAAAATTGCTATTTTTTTATTTTCTTATTTCCTTTTCTTTTCTTTTTTTTGCTTTTTTTCAACATTTAACTGCTACTTTAGGGGTTAGCAATGTTTAAATATTGGCTTGTTTACTTATCTAATCAACCAAGTATGGAAAGTATGGAAATAAATTTGATCAGTTTCCAGGTCTTAAAAAGTATGGAAAATGAAAAATAAAGTATGGAAAAATATTTATGATCCCAAACTATTACCACAGTTCTAAAATACTGTTTTCTAAAATAGAAATGTACATATTTCCAAAAATAATTCTAAAAATTAGGGTAGGGAAAAGTATGGTAATTCCAACTGTGTAGGAACCCTGAACCTACCGTTTATCTCTTGACCTGTCGGACCTCATGGTATTGATGCCAAAGTCATCAAGTTAAAAAAATGGAAAAATTATGAAAACAGTCTCATCAAAACTGTCTCCTAGTAATCGAAGCATTATACTGGTATTGAATATCTTGTGTCTAATGTAAGTTTCATTTCTTTAAAACTGTAGAGTTTGTTTGTCTAAGTTTAGTCCAAGCTGTCAGAGATGATTTGTGTTGAAAGTTGTGGCTTTTGCTCCACAGACAGACATGGAGGACGGGAGGAACCCCAGCATCAAGAAAAGCCTTTTCCCCCTCTTTAGCTCTAAGAATAGCTTAAAGCACAACTCAGCAGTCAAAGTCCTACCTGTAGTGGCCTCGCCTATGGTACAACACCAGCCTCCTGCGCCCTACCCTGCCTCACCAGTAATCTAACCTCGACACTTTCGCTGCATGTTAACTCACACTCATGACCTACTTTTTGAAATCCTCTCAAGAGCTCGATGGCTGATTGACTGTGAAATACTCCAAATTGAAAGGATTTCAAATACGTTGAGGGGTTAATAACAGCACGCCGTTTGTGCATCCATTCTGTCTCACTATAATGTATGTCAAAAGAAGCCCCCCCTCCCCGCTTTCACATTGTATTGTTAAGACATTGATTTCATGCTGCAGTGTGTGCTGTTTGTGAGGCCCACACGTCGAGACTCATCCTTTTCAAAGAAAACATCAGTGTATCATAAGAGGGCCATGGATGTATTCACCGCATTTGTACGCACGTGTACCCACACATGTATTCAAACTCATTCTGGGAGACATTCACTGACTGCACAGTGCTGTACAATAGCCCTGTAAAAGTCGCTTATTAAAGCTTGTTAGTTTTCTTGCAGTGTTAAATGAGAGGGTCAGTACTGCTCTTATATCTGTTTGAAATGAAGCCACAGCAGCTGGTTGACCTAGTTTCACTTTAATGCTGTAGGTTTGGGGAAACAGTTGACTCCAGTTTATTTACGCCCCTTCCTCTCTCCAGTTTGTCAGTTTTAGCTTCTTAAACATGAGAACTTGCTCATCTCCAAGATTCGGTATCAGTTCAAACTTGATTTGTTTTTGAAAATATAAACCTTACGAAGAGAAATCTAGAAAAATTCAGAAACCAAACAGATAACCAGCAGATACATTAGAGTCTAAACTTACTCAGAGTGAAGACATTCACAGAATTTCTGTATTCTCTTCACATCAGTCATCGCTTTTCACCACCGCCACCTTTGTGTGACATGTCTGCTGCTCCCAGAGGGATGCATGAAGAAGCTCACCTCTGAAAATGTCCCTCAAGATGTGAATATTCTTACTAAAAACGCTCCTGTATGTTTTTTACACTCAGGTTCCTGGTAACGGACAAGAGCACATGTCTCTGCAGAGAAGCTCAAAGTCCACGTCCCACCACGGCAGCCGACGGAAAAACCGCGAGCGATCCAGAGACCGGGAGCGGGAACAGAGCCGGGACCGAGAACGAGACAGAGAGAGGGAGCGAGAACGGGAGAGGGAGAGGGAGAGAGAGAGGGAAAGAGGGAGGGAGAGAGAGAGAGTGGGTGAATGGCCAACAGACAAACCAGTGGACTCGCACTCTCAGGTACGGATGCTCTGAAGACTTTGATTTGCTCTTTATGAAGATCACACAGAACATCAACTAAGTTAATCAAAGGGCCAAAATGACACAACAACAATACAAAGCCTCAGTATTAATTATCGAGCGTGGTATGACAGAGTTTTAGAGCCAGTCGTTAATTTAGTCAACAGTTAGCTGCAGAAGACTGTTTTGAAAAGGGGGTACCAAATATCACAGCTTTTTTTTACACAGTCTTTCCAGAGTCCTGGTTCTTACCACAGTGTGATGCCGAGGTGCCAAAACATTAAGAACAGTTTGAGGCGACACTCCACGTCCCTCATTTGAGTCCAAGCAGCTGGCTGTTTGTCAACCATAAACCAAAGCAATGACTTTATACTCATAACATGGTAGCTTTTTTATTGAAATATTGTGACTTTACTACGACTTTATTTTAGTGATAATGGAACAGCACAGCTTGGTTTGCTTATGACTTTATGAAATGACAAAGAAAAAAAGTGAAAATCTTCAAGAAAGAAGTTTAAATCTTAAATAAAATACAGATGTGTGTTTTATAACTTTTGAACTTCATCATGTTTAGATAAGGAAAGATTAGATGCTTTGAGTAGAAGCTGTTCACATACTAAGACTGTTTATTGATCTGTATCCAGACTGAAACAAGCTATGTTTTCCATGATTCACCCTTATACAAAGTTTTATGAAAACTGGGCAAGTATATAAAATGAATGAATGAATAAAACGTAACATCAGTCCACAGATCAGGGATAAATTTAGATACATTGGTATTTAGTATGATCATCTAAATATTGTGTCTGTTTTTTTCTAACAGAGTCAGCCTCTGAAGTCCCTCCGCAGGCTCCTTCATCTCTCCCCGTCCTCCTCAAATCAAGGACAGCCTCCTCCTCCTCCCCCTGACCTGCGCTTCCAAGCCCCCCTCCCAAACCCCCCTCAGCCCTCCTCCAAAGCGGGCTACCCCGAGGGTCGAGGGCACACTGAGAGCAGGGCACACACCGGGGTGAGCAGCTCTGCCCAAGCCAAGAGCCGAAAGACCAGCTACCCCCTCCCCGGACAGATCGAGTCCACCTGGCACGTGTCGGCCCTGCAGCGAGCTGAGGGCGCTCAGTTCACCCCTGAACAGCTGGGGATCAAACCGGGACAGAATGGACCCACTTTTACCCGGGCGTCCCGCAGCAGGATGCCCAACCTCAACGACCTGAAGGAGACCGCACTGTAAGACCCCTGAACCACACCTCTTGCAGCGTGTCTCCATCCTGAAAGCATCTACCTGACACGAACATCCTGGTACTGTAGTGAAAGTTTACATGAAAATTGATTTCATTGGATCGAGTCCTTGTTTAGAGAAGTAGTTCTTTTGTTGATGCTCGTGTCTTTGAAACCGACAAAAACTCAACTCTAACAGGTCAAACACACACGACACTAACAGTGCATTTAAGAAAGTCAAAGACAGGAAGCAGCTCTATGTTATTCTGATCTTTCCTGTTGAGGAGACACTACCTGTGTGGCCTCTCTGCTGCCATCTGCTGCTCACAGGACACTACAGCAACAACATCAGACAGCCACTGTCGAAGCAGTGACAGATTACTCAAATGTTTTTCATGCTCTGATATTTGATAAAAACAACAACAACAGAAAAAAAAATATTTATATCAACATTATTTATTGAATATTTTTTTGTTTCAATTCAAGGATATAAGCTATAAATGACACAGTATGTAGGCTATATGGGAATATTATAAGGTAATATAGAGATTAATGTGTAATTGCAAGAGCTTTAGTTTCAACAGAGAAAGGCATAGATATTTATGTGTTGATAATACAGTATGTCGAGAGAAATATTTAATAATGTTGAATGTCCTTTTTTTGTTCAATTTGATATGTTACTAACAGATTTTCATGTTATATCATGTTATTTTTACCCCTTTTCTTTTTTTTTTCATCAAAATGTAAAGAGATATTGATAGGTATTTGTCACCCTAAATAGAAAAATATCTGGGACATCACATCTATTACAAATCTGCCAACGACCCTCAAGATATCAGTTTTAATGTTTACGACAGGTCGGGGTTTTTGCCGACAGTGTTTGGTAGCAAAAGAGCCAGAGAGAGACTTGGCGGCTCTGTGCTTCACAAACAGTCATCATCAACTCTATGTCCCACCTCAGTCTCTCAGTGCATTTATCAGCAAACACATCTCTCCAGCTCCATGCTGCCATGTTAGTTTTGTCTACAGCCTTAACAGCAAGAAATGTGCATCCACACTTTGGTGCCCATCAGTGTTGAAAAGTTGTCCTCTTTAAATGAGGCTGTGTTGGAAATTGTTGTGGATATCTCTGAAAAAAGGCAAACCTCACCTACAACCTTTAAGATCTTCAAGGTGAAGTCTGGTGGAGTCTTATCCTGTTTAACTGTCAACAAAAAAGATCCCAGCTGAAAAAAACGCCTAAGTGTTGTCTATGTATCTTAAATCTAATAATGATTATTACTCTGAGTTAAAAGCTGTTGAAATAACTTCCTTTGTAATAATAACCTTTCATACTACTCACACCACACCACACTGATGTAAATCCTGACTAGAGAGCCAGCTGTGTGAATCGACAGCTGGAAATGATACTTTAACAAAAGCATTATCTGCTTCTGTTTTAATAAGGTCAACTCAAAACAACAATATTCATCTGGGTTTAGGTAAAAAGAGTCCAAAATGAAAAGATTGTGCTTGTGGATTCCTCTTCAGGAGAGTCTCACTGAAATATTCTGACTTTAGAGATGTTTTAAAGTAGTGATGGGCACAGCAGTTCTTTAAGATGTACTGAATCACTAGAAGCAGTTCACCAAAAAGATTCGTTCAAAAGATTCGTTCACCAAATCACCGAATCATTAAGCGCTTGGCAGGAGAAGCCTGCGACTTCAACCTCCCGAACTGATACACAGCTGAATGTTTCAGGATTCAGTTCAGATCGTAGCTTCTGGAACTGGGAGACGAGAGTGTTTGGCTGCGTTGCTTTGGCAAACAGGTTTGGAAAATTGAACTTGTTCATAGGTCATGATGTTTTAAGTGTACTACCTATGGTATGCTATTTACCAGGTCTGCTCGGTGAATAGGGCTCAGTGTGATTCGGTCACTGAACGTTTAGAAGAATTCAAACTGAACATACCCCCCTCTCCACATCCTTGTGTTTTGATTTGTTGACAGAAAGCAAAGTAAGTCCCCCCCAGACTTCTCCTTTAATTTACATGTTTACATTTCTCTGTGTGCATTTAAAAGCTTGTGTCATCAAATTCTTCTGTAAATGCCTTTTGTAAATCTGAATTTGGTTATCCTACCGTATGTGCGTAACATTTTTTTAATATTTATACCCATAATCAGGGATGATTTTACTTAACTCCTTCATTCATAAAAGCATTTATTCCTCACTTAGTGACAATTAAAATTAAGTTGGAACTAAACACTATTTGTGGCCGAGGCAAAATACACAGCAGTGGTTTTTTCCAATCTTCCCTCTTTCTCTGTTTCTGCAGAAATGCTTGTATACCACAGAAAGGGGGAACAGAGGAGAGACGGATGGATGCATTTGTTCAAATTTAAAGGCTCGAAAGAGAATCTAATGTTTTGTTGATGAAGTCAAACAAGAAAAAAAACACAGTTGACCCATGGCTGATTGAAAGCAATAACATGCAGGAAGAGAGTCAGACTAATTATTAAGGTCAAATCTGTTGCTTGTTAAATTGGAATCAAAAACAGCATTAGATAAGGAGACTGTGATTAGATTTAGTGTAATTAAAACATCATTCTGCAATATGTTTTTTATTTTTTCGACTGTCCGTAAATGTGACTCCTGACAGGTTCAGCTGCCCCTTGTTGTGTACTTTGAAAAATCCTGATTGTAATGACTGTACATGACTGCTGATGTGGGTTTTTCTGTATTATTCATTGGACAGAGTGATGACTAAGCTTGCCTTGCCAGTGACCCGAAGCCTTACATTAGTCGACTGTCTAAACACTTCAGATGGAAACAGAGGCTTCAGTCCCCAGTGAGTCACTTCTGCTCAGAACTGAGGGTTTTTTTTTTCTCACAATATGAATGTGTTTCCTTAAACATCCGTTTTTTTTTTTTTTTCATGACGCTGTTCCCCACTTCTTACAGGGTGTAAATAGAAATAATAGAGTGTATCTATACTGACCATTCTACTTTAAAAACAATAGGGTCTCATAATAAAAGCCAACCGTACATTTTTGAACGGCTCATGTATGTTTTGTTGCGCAGACACATGCACACACACACAAACTGAGACAAGTAGTGATTTAATGAAGGAAGCAATTTAAAGATACAATAAAGAGACATTTTTTCCCAAAGCATCATGGGAAACTGATTTGAAATTTTACAAAAAAAGTCAGGAGTGAGCCACAATCAAAAAAACACATTTGAATATTGGCAAGTTGTCCATTTATCAATCTTTAAAACACATTTCAGAGTGTTATATTTCAGAGATTAAAAACGATTTTTTTTTACAGGCGAGGAGTGAGCAGGGGATAAAATCACAGAGAGGTGTTTTTATATTTGTTAAAATATATGATGTATAGTTTATCATCAGTGAGAAATACCAATATCTTTGTAGGCCTGTCAGTCTGTAATCCTGATCATTACAATAACATTACCATAAGTAGCTTTAGCAATTACCCTTGAACGCTGGGCAGATGGTGTTATGTTAACAAACAAGCATGAGTACAAACAACATCTTTTGGAGGCTATTTGACATTAAACAGGATACTTAAAAGGTGATATAAACTCTGATGCCCTTGTTTTAATAGAGTTAAGCAATGTGTCACTTTTCATGCCACCTTCTGATTATTTTATGGTAAATGAATTTAAATCAAAAGGATCACACAACATCAGCTCAGTAGGATCATAACTTGTCTGGATCGGATTAGTGAGTGTCATGAATAATGTAGACATGCATAACCTGAAGTAATCAGGTAAAACTTTCCTAAAGATATAAGCCGGTTTTATTTCTAACACATCAGGTGAAGCACACAATCAAACAGACCTGTCACAGGAGGACACGCGGGTTTTTGAGGAGCGTGTCCCAGACGGCTGAATCAAACCTCCATAGCAACGCTGCCCCTCTCACTCTCTCAACATCTAATTATTGCTTTGAATTTATGCCATTTCATTTCAAATCTATTGAGAACTGAGCAAATTAAAGCCCCCACAGTGAGGCAGGTTCAGCACAGACAATGGGGAGTGGAGTGAATGGAGGCTCACTCTGCATATCAAACAAATATCTCAAGTCTAACTGCTTTGTTTGTTTTTTTAAACGTGCTTCAGCGGAATATTTTTTGCGGTTTTCTGCATGTAGCTGGAGGGTTTAATCTGGGGATGTAATGACGGGCCACAAACTCAAGCTGTAGGGAAAGATGAAGTTCAGGGAAAGGTGTAGGGGGATTGCGGGGGGGGGAAAGGTTCACATGCATTTGTTCATGCAGAGCAGCAGCTCCAGGCGCAGGGCGATGCGTGTGTGCCATCCCAGCGGCAGGATGCGGATGTAGCGAGCAACGATGGGCGGCCTGAGGAGGTTCTGCACGGATGAGGAGCGGTCAGAGTTTCCATAGAACACCTGTGGAGAGAGAGGCTCAAGGTCAGGACTGGACAGGTGAGGTTAGACTGACAAGTATGGACTGACTTGACCTTTGTTTAGTCATGGTGTAATTTTTCAGGATAATAAACAACTTGAAGGTGCCGCCAAAACAACAAGAATGAATTACATTGATGTGAAGTGAAGAGGGCATATTTTTAGAGCTGTAATCTGTAGATTTATTATGAAACACGATTTCAATCATCATTAAATTAGTAACATTATCGATGAAAATCTCTTTCTTTCCAACAACAAATCATCATGATCGAGATGAGGGATCTTCATCAGACCAGATATTTTCAGGTTTTTGCCCAAAAGTCAAAACAGTTTAAAAGATAAACTTGTTAAATAGTTCAATTGGAGAAATGACACTGAATCCAACAAAACAAGATCAGCAATGTCTGAGATATAGTCTGAACTGTGTTTTTTGAGCTTCTACTGGTTCAGCTGACCCTGTTGTTCCCAGTCTGGTCCTTGTAGTAGATCCAGTTGAGTTTCTCATCGGAGCGGTATTGGATGCTGTACTTGGTGACCCACTCGTCAGCATCGCAGCGGCCCTGAGTGAGGATCCCTGAGACCACCATCACCTCCCTGAGGTCGATCTGCAGCCACTGACTGCTGTCCTGGAACTTTGACAGCCAAGCACACCTGCACCAGAAACACAGTGAGTTTAAGATTTAAGGTGATATCACCTGGGCTCATCTTTACCTCCCACTCTGATCATGTTTGGTTTTTAGCTCTGTTTTGCATCGCACCACCCCAGCAGTGATGCTCACACAAATGCTCTGTAGCACCTATAGATGCACCCTTAACTGATGTCATGAGAGTAATCCTGCACAACACTGCAGGCAGAGAAGAAATGTAACCACTGGAGGTCAGCAAACCTTACGATCAGAAGTTTAAGACTAGTACAGTCAGAAATCTGGGAATAAAGTTCTTTTTCTAACCTGCTGTGAATCACAAATTCATTTTCTCATGTGTGAATTTATTAACACCAGCAGAAAAGACACTTCTCTCTTAGTGCCACACGTCACAGCTCCTCTGACTAAGCGGTTTCATGTATCATATCTTGTCATGCATTGCTTGATTGAATTTATTTGTATGAGTTTAAGCAGGACCATATTGATGCGTCAGCCACACAAAAGCACCTTACGTAACGCACAAACGGTCACATTTGATTAGAGTGCATTTTTTTTTCCAAATTCCTCACAGATGGCGAGCGCGCCGACGTTTGTTCATGAGGGTCTCTCCCCTGAGAAAGGACAGTCATCTGTGTCTGGCAGAAGCCTCATTTTTGAGTTGAAATTAAATCAAACTCATGCATTTGTTGCCAGAGACTAAAAATACTCGCTGTTATGTAATTCTGCAAATGTTATGTTTGTTGTCTTAAAATTGTCATGCATTTTTTTCTAATTTATCACTCTGCATTTCAGTCCTCTCTCTTTGCGTTGAAGCCGAACTTGACAGAAACAACATTGCCTTTTCTTACCCAAAGCCCTGGGTGTTGAGGCGGGCTCTGCTGGGGAGCCACGAGGAGAACCAGCCAGTGTACTGGTCCTGGTTGGAGCAGGTGATCTGGTCTGGGTTTACCGATCCAGCCTCAAAGCCCATAGGCTTGTGGTAGGGACACTCTGCAGTGAGATCAGACACATGGAGGTGTAAACTTAAATCTGTTGTTTACTTTTCAGTCATTGTTTTTCACTTTGAGGCCTCAGGGCTGCGTGGATCACAAAGTCACAAACATGTTAGCTAAGCAGAAAATCACTAAAATGATCTTCACTAAGCCTCCGTCTCTCTGTCCTTCCTACTCCCTCCAGTCCTCACGCCCTCCCGATCCCAAAGCCCCCTCCTGTTAGAAGCCCTAGTGTGACCCATATCCCCCTCCTAAAAGCCCACAGTTTAATTCTCCACAATGAGAGAGATCAGTGATGTCCATTAGGGCAGCAGGCAGACAGATGGCCATGTTCTCCTCTCCACAGCTTTAGCTCTGTGTTCCTCGCATGTTTTCATCTGCCATTCTACTCTCTAACTCCCACTCAAATCACATTAAAGTAAAACCCTCATGGACTTTGAGATTGCACGTTATAAAGATATAAACAGGAAAGATAGGAGAGCTGTGCATGAGGGATTTCCTTCCCCCTAAAGTTTATGAAACATCAGCTGTGGATGTGTGGAGCTGAAACCTGCTGCGCTTTTGTTTACTAGTGGATTAAGCCTATCCGGTGCAGGGTCGCATCCTGTCTAATCCCTGTATTACAATGTGTACAGCAGCAGCAGAGTGTGTGAGTCAGGAGATAAGTGTTTACATAACTGCAATGTGAGAGACACTTGTTCCTCTCTAATGTGTTTTATGTGCAGATGGTTGACTCACGGGGGGGAAAAAACAGAAGTGGGACTCAAAGAGAAGGTCCATACTCCCCTCATCTTTTATCATACAGGCTGTGGTAATAACGGGTTTCTTTAATTGTGTGAACAGCGCAGTCTGAGTCCCATAATCTGTTCAAATTGCCCTGAGATGATGATGATCTGCTGAACTTGCTCCTCCTGTCAATCAGCTGCCGCAGAGTGTTTGAGGCTCATTTGACTCACAGTGAATCCCCAGCTCTGCAGCCCTCCATACATCGACAAAGCCAACACAATTCATGCACAATACATGCGGCTGCACTCACATGGTTTTTCACTCTTTTACTTAAGCAAATGACCTGCACTCAGATGAAAAAAAATCGACCACATACATCATCTGATGGAAATAGAGTGCAGGGTTTTAGCTTGAATGGGGGCATTTGTGTTTCTTTTCATGGCTCCATCTGCATCATCTTCACTGAAAATGTCCAGTGGAGCATGTCCACCCTGTGGTGACAAATCTGGAGTCTAATTCACTCATGCATGTGCATGTGCATGCAGAGATCCTCCTTCTATCTGTGTAATCAGCATTATAGAGATTAAAGGATTTGTTGATTAAACAATGACAGAGATTTAAATGGAGAGCTATTTTAGTAGCAGTATACCTGCTGTTTGTTTTGGTCATTTTGAGAGTGATCTGACAAAAGTTGGTAGTTTCATCCTCGCCGTTGTGAATAAATGTAGATTTAGTCACGCTCAAATAAGAAAATCAGAATATATTCATTTCACTTAAAGTTTGATAACAGAAGGATCAGTCTATAAAATGAGAAAATATCTGCCAGATCGATTAATACGGAGGAAAAATTATCATGTCACAGACCTACAATGTCAGAACACACTGCAAACTGTGATCATTGTCTTCTTTTTTGGTGAGGAAACCAAATGTTCATTATCAGTGGATACAAAAACCAGTTTGGTGCAAAAGTTCACAAAATAAAAATCCTGTGAGAATTGTAAATGGGCTTTTTCATGACAATGTTACATGGGCAAAACCACAGTTCTGTGTTGGAAGTGTATTTGGTGAATCTTACCAGGCATGCAGTCCACTCCTCGCACCATGGAGCCAGTACCAATGGTGGAAAACTCAGTCGGGGTCTCTCCTCCTTCACAGTCACATTTGCAAGACCTGCTGGTCCATGTTTCAGACACACCCGCCTCACAGACACAAACAACATTTTAATCAGGACTCAAAAAAGCATGATCAGACACCTGATGTCATTTTCAACATTAACTGTAAAAAAAAATCTCATGGATCATTTGTTAAAAGGCAAAAATAATGTCCGTTTTAGAGACAGCTTTTCTCTGAACAGATATATTTCTAATAGATGTACAACACTTTGACCTGCATTTTGAGCATTAACTGCTGGTTTTGGTTGATTAACATTAAAAAAAAGATGTCTTATCTCTGCTGAGATTCCTTCATACCTCTTGAGCATGAGTGTTGATGAAGACTGTTCAGGCAGATGGACAGAAACGGAAATACAGCCAGCCAGCCGATGATGCACAGAGAAGAAAAGAGACTGTTAGGACACAGCACTCATCTATTGTAGCAAACAAAATCTGTGCATCAGTCTGTCTCCATTTAAACAAATTAGGAAAAAGACAAGCCAAACATGTCAAAGAAAAACCTGGATCATCATCATCATTTCAAGGATTTCTGAAGGAATAGACTGCATTTAGCTGTATTTGTCAGATTCTCTGTCAGGAACCAGTTTAACATTTGAGATGTCAGTTTCAAAGTTTTAAATCACAAAGATCATGTGTTCATAAGGACTAGAGTGTAAAGACTGAAATCATACCGTTCACTCCCAGAAGAAGCAGAGCCAGCAGGAAACGCTGCAGGATGAGAGCCATCTTCAGACCTGCTCCAAACCAGACAAGAATGACTGCAGAATGAGCAACCAAGCCAGCAGTGATAGAGAGGCTGGATTACAATAATCCACAGGACACTAATGGCTTTATCTAATGCTGTCCTTATCTGACAAAGCCCCTCCTACAGCTGTTCACCCCCCACCATCAAGGACCACCGGCATCTCACATTCTGGATCCAGTGCTCAAAACACTGCAGCCACAAGGTCACCCATGAAATCCTGCAGGAGAAACAGAGGGACGGCATGGACAATCAGAGATGGGGCAAATTTTTGGCTTGTGTACCCAGTGTGTGTGTGTGTGTGTGTGTGTGTTGTGTGTGCATGTGTGAGTATGCTGGAGGGTGGTGAAGGCCTCTGCTGGGCCTTCTGATCCATATAATTGACCAGAAGGTCTTTATTTGGGTGAAATTAAGGCTTTTCACTTACTTTTGTTGTGTTTCCCATCCACTCCTTTTAGTAAGTAAAAGCAAAATAAGTGAATAATCTAAATGGAAACACATTACAATTATTTTGAATAATATGATGATTGTAATATGATTTTTATGATCATTTAAGGGATTAAAATAATTTCTACATAAAATAAATAAATAAATACAAGATATACACCACAGAATATGTATAAATAAATACAGTATATGTATATATACATAATTAAATATATGTATACATTTAATTCCACTTCTGAAAAAGTAAATAATATATATATAAACCAAGTAAAAAGAAAGAAAAGAGAGAAAGTGGAAAAAGAAATAAAGAAAAAGGTTGAAAGAAAGAAACAAAGAATTAGATTTTTAAAACCAAACCTTTCTTATCAGTCTGTCATTTGTCACAAAACTCTATCAGATTCAATCACAAACTTCCGACAGAGACAACCAGGACATGGTCAACTGAGCAAAAGATGAAAACAGAAAAGAGTCCAAACTTCAAGACCAGTGAGTCCTGGACTGGACTGAACACAAAACCTAATTTACAGCCAGGGTTCTCACAAAAACCTCTGTTTGCTCAGTCAGCCTAGAAAAACCGAACGCCACCCTGAACCGAGCGGCCAGCATCCCCGTTAACGTAGGCACCATGTCCTGTGACCCCTGACCCCTCACCCTGTTCTTTGTTTTTCCAGGTGAAAGACAGAAAGATGAAAATATGACAGGCAGATGAAACTACAAGGGAAAAGAAAGAAAGAAAGAAAGAAAGAAAGAAAGAAAGAAAGAAAGAAAGAAATGTGAAATTATGACAGACAGATGAAGCTACATAGGAAAAAAAGAAACCAAGAAAATATTAAAACAGTCACGTGACATCAGCTGTTTAGTTTGTCTGATAAGGTCCATGGAAAAAATCAATAACAACAGTTCAAAGTAAACTATGAATATAAAGAAGCCAAATCACAACTTCTACTTTGTTTTCCACAAACTTAATCCTTCCTATTTGAACAGTGCATGAGAACAGTTAGCTGAGGATCTCTTGATATTTGTGATAAAGACAGAATAACAAATGAGTTCCTTATAATTCAAAGCTTGTAGCTATTTCATGATCTCCTCCTGAATCATGGCAGATGTAAAGTGTGAGAGAACGGACATTTCATTCAAACCGGCAGAAACTCCTATCCCTGAAAACTACAACTGATAAGAAAATATGTAGGAGTATAAGAGCAAACTAGACACTGTGTGACATTTTTGGACACTGATGAATTTTAATGTCGTAACCCTTATTGAAAATGTGGATTAAAAGGCTGAGATGTTGAACACAAACATGTCATGTTTCTGCTTCAGTTTGACATTTTTCTGAGGTAAAAGCTCAACAGTCTAAAGAAGCCTGAACTCACACTGAATGGTTCAAAGCCTGCTGACAGGTGAGAGTGATTAGGTCTAATTAAGCAAAGCTGTTTGAATTTCTGCTCATTAAAACACCAGACTCACTCTCTCACAGGCTCTGTTCAATCTTCACAGAGAGCTCTGGTGTATTTTATCAGCTGATTTCTGTTCAAGAGTAACATCCTGACGAAAACTGAGCATCAATTGAAATGAAGGCCCCTGTAGGAGCAACACGTAGGACTCATTCACAAACCAAGAAGAGGACAAGAGCTCACTCCACGATGATCTACAGAGCTCATAAAGAGGTTTGAAATTCTCTTGTTTTCATTGACTAATTTAAATAATAAAGCACACTTAAAACCTTCTCCACATTGCTTCAAATAAGAACCAAGAGACACAGTTTTCTGACCTTCCTTGACCTTCCTCTTCCTCTTCTCCTGCAGGTCAGTCATGGTGGAATGAGGAATCTGGATTTCCTGGACAGCCGACTCAGATTTCCCAAACCGGTCCTGCTCAGACTAGTGAGCTCAGAGGCCTCAAGACTGTCAAAAACCAACAGGGTGGGAGTGATCACTGTGCAGGAGATCAACGCTGCTGTCAGACATGTACAACAGAGGATTCACACCAGAGCGGCTGCATAAAGAACAGGATAATAATTGTATTTTATCACCTTTATCATTATTAAAAAGTCTTATACATTTTTTAAACTGATGCCTCTTTCTGGAAGATGTGCACGGCAAAGTCAGTGATGATCTTTAAAGATGTTCTATGTGTTAAGGAAATGCAAACAGACAACTAAATAAGAGACTGGAGTAGATTACATTCAGAAAACTCTACCTTCAATTCTCCCATTGTTTCACAGATTTGGCAGGCAGTGGAGTTCACTCGCCTTTGTTTAAACAGCTGATTGAAGTTGGAGGGATCTTTTATCAGGCTGTTTATTTCCTTTACTTTAGATGAATGCAAAAATGTCAGCATTTAAAAGAGCAGTATAGCCTCTGTTAGCTCCTGTAGTCAGGCCTGTGGATTTACACGTGGTGAGTCGAGGTCAGAACGGAAAACAATTTCACGTTTTACTTTGAACTAGCAAACAAAAAACTAGTTACTGTATGGAGTCACTCCTAGAGGTTGTAATTTGATCCTTTGCATCCAGACTCCACAATGACAGAGCTGCAACTGTAAAAACTAGAAACTGCAGCTCCTCAAAAGTGCTCAGCACCAGAGGCAACTTAGCCTGGGAGTGCTAGGGGTGCAAAACTGAAACGAAACAAATTCTGCCATAACACTGGTCAGACTGTTACTCCTACTGTAAATTATCTTAAAAATTTAACATTTTGAAACTGCTGGGTGACATAAATGTAAATATATGTCCTGATAAAGGCTACACTCTAGATAGGTGCTGCTGGGTTGTGATGGATCAGGTGAAGGCTTTTAAAGGGATATTCCGGCGTTAAATTAATTTAGGGTCAAACACACCGGAACACCAGTTAGACACCCCGTTTCGATGAATGTTGCCGACCGTTTGCTTCTCTAGTTAAACCAACTTTAGTAACGACCGCAGATAGCGATACAGAGAGCCACGTGTTCAACCATAAGACACTCTTTAACCACATATAATGCTCAGAACAGCACATAACTTCAACAACAGTACATATAGGGTCCCAGCCACAGCACTCGCCACCAAACATCATTTTAACTTTGTCTGATTTCTTCTGCAAGAATCTCAGCGGCTGCTTGTTTGTAGCGAGAGAGACCTCCGGCCAGTCCATTGCGGACTGCTGCGGGGTGACGCAGCTCAAGGAAGAACATTTGTGATCATTTCTTCACGGGAATACAATCAGATCGAGACGCTAAGACAGAAGAACTATCGCGTCTGCAGTGCAAAATGATTAATATGGTGATTATTACTTCAAGAAAATGATAAAGAAATAAGCATAAATGTTCTTCCTTGAGCTGCGTCCCCCCGCTGTAGTCCATAATGGACTGGCCTGAGGTCTCTACAAACAAGCGGATGCCGGAAGAGAGTCGGTGAGTTGTTTTTAGTCTCTTTGCTAAAGAAATCAGGCAAAGCTAAAAAGATGCTTGGTGGCTAGTACTTTGGCTGGGACCCTATATGTACTGTTGAAGAAGTTAGGTGCTGTTCTGAACATTATTTGTGACTATAGAGTGGCTTTTAGGTTGAGGTTTGTGTGTGGCTCTCTGTGTTGCTATCCGCGATCATTACTAAAGTTGGTTTAAGTAGAGAAGCAAGCGGTCGACAACATTCATCTCTAGTTGGGCTGTCTAACTCGGTGTTACGTCGTGTTTTCCCAAAGATTGTTTGACCCTAACTTAATTTTTCGCCGGAGTATCCCTTTCAGGGCTGTTTTGGCATTGTCCAATAAACCACTTTGTCCAGAATCTACCTGGCAGCAGCTGCTTCATGCATGTATTAGGAAAAAAAACTGTAAAGATAAGTGATGGTCTTATCTGCTTTCGTAAATCGGATTCAGAGTTTGCTTTGCTACTCGCATCTCAATGGTATTTCAAGTGGATCCTTCGGTCCCTCCCCCCTGTGGTGTCTCTCTCTCCACCTGTTTAGTTGGTATCTCCGCCTTCCTCTCCGCGCACTGCAATCCTCCTTCTCCTCCTCTTCCTCCTCCAACAGCAACAGCATCCACATCGACCCCAGCTTCTCAGCTGAAGCTTGTATTACACTTTGAAATATCCTGAAGGTACTGTGAAGGAAATGTACCTTCAGTTTCCGTCTGTAGTTCTGTTCTAAGTTTATTTTTCATTGTGCGTCTCTCGGGTTTTTTGTCCCATTCACGATTTCCGGATCGCGCGGGCACAGGCAGCAGGTAAGGGACATCAAACACACTCCTATATTCTGTGATGATTGACCGGTGCACTGTTTCTGGGTCACGAGCGATGCGTGTGAGGGATACTGATGCGGATCAATATGTTTATCTCCATATTTAGTGAGTTAATCCCACATGACATAAAGCTGGAAAACATGGGCTGTCTGGAAGCTGCCATTCATGAGCTTATTTTGGCTCTTGTGCAGGATTAGATCTCCCTTATGTGGCACTTTTTGATGATCACTATGCAACAGGTCTTTCTGAAATAAATCCTTCAGTGATCTGTAATTAAATACAGTGTTTGTTGACAGTGATTTAACCAGTGTGCAATAAGCCAGCTCTGGTTTTTCTCCATGTGTGTTGCAGCGCATTTTTATTTCCAGGTTTTGTTGCAGTGGTTTCATGCAACCAGCCAGAAGTGACCCAAGGCTGCCAGTTTGTGACCCACTGACCGATGCAACAGCGAGCCTTAATTTTGGGTCATCATGGGATGTGGTACCTCTGTTGCTACAGAAACACAAGAGAAAAGAGCGGAGAGAGGTAATGATGTGCAGCTGGTTCAAAAGGCAGGAGGAGGCTGGTTTTTGTGGTTCCACCAAACAGTCCAGGTCTGACACACATTGTTCCTGTGCTGTCAGCAGGAAAACTTTACCTGTTCCCCCCTGAGGAGGATGTGAAAAATAATGTGGGCGATATGAATTATGAGCTGACATGTCAAGACAAGATGAGCACAAATAGGGGATAAGTATTCGGTACTAATTGGAGTGCAGGAATGGAAATCACTTAGATTGGTCTTTTGGGAAGAATTAACAGAAGGAAACAAAATGTAGGTTATGTTTTGATCCTTCTGCAGACATTTCCCTTCAGTGTCCCTGAAATTTGACGTTTGCACTTTTCACTATTTTCCAATATTTTAAATCTCCGGTGAGGAGATTATTTATGATGTACAAGAGCAAAGATTGACTTTTTCATAGTTATTCTTAAATTGTTAACATCATGCAACAGAGAAAGCCTTTGTTTAAATTTTTTCAGCGCAAAAAATTACTTGATACTTAAGACTTTTCAAAGTAAAAAAGAAAAACAAGGTACCACATTGTACAAAGTGGGCACCAAAGTCAACACATTGATCTGATCCATTGATCACCTCTCAATAACTCTCTGTGCCCTTCAAGAGTAACTAAACATGTTTTTATTTTGAATCTGTATTGGTTAAATATTGATTATTTACTATTTTTTTCTGTTTATATCAGAAAAGATGCCTGTTGGTCCCATTCTGTTGAAAAAGATTTTTAAACAGTGTACTAATAGCAGTTAACATCTTTACTCGAGTATTACTGTGAAGTATTTCCCCACATTTTACTGTCACATTTTGTAGAATAACAGTCTTTAATAACATTTCTGCTCTTGTAAATTTTCCACAGACTTGTTGACGCTGCACACACACACAGACACACAGACACACACACACACACACACGCACACACACACACATGCAGACGTAATGCAGATGGTGCGTTTCCTTCTCTTCAGTCTGTCTTGTCTCCTCGTTTTAATGAGTACTCTTTGTCCTGAAAGAACTTTGAACTTGTTCAGATTTTCCAGTCCCACTCTTGCTCATGATCTCCCTGGTGTCTTGTTATTTCCCCTATCATGTTTACATGTGTGCAAATGATTTTATTCAGTGACCATTGTCTTATGCTGTACCATGGTTTTTATCTCCTTTTTTTTCTGATTTACAGATGAGACAGTTAAGAGTCCCAACCCAGCTCTGAGTAAGACCCTTTTTATCTGTTGACATAAGTCAGTTATATGATTCACCTAAAGTGTGCATGCTTTCTTTTATGTGTGTGTTTGCATGTAACAGTGAGCTGATGATATTTCTCACCTTGGACTTCGCCCATTAAAATTAAACGTTATAACAGCTGATGTACTGTTGCAGCTATGAAAGCAGCTGTTCTGATCCAGCGATGGTACCGCCGCTACATGGCCCGTCTAGAGATGAGGCGTCGCTACACCTGGAACATCTTTCAGTCCATTGAATACGCAGGAGAACAGGACCAGCTACAGGTGGGTCTCTGCAGCTTCATGCAGTAAAACTGCTCATGTTTGGAGGCAACGTGAATCTAAAGCAGGTCTTGTAACTGTTTTTCAGCTCTCCAGTTTCTTCAGCTTCATGCTTGATAACTTCACTCATCTGAACGGACATGGTCCAGGTAAGAATCAAAAATACTATCATATACACCCATGGTTATCAACTTTTAACTCCTATTGGTGTTTAAAAAAAAAAAAAACGAGACCCTCACTGAAAAAAGCTGTAAAAAATAAACACCGACCTCAATGTTGTCACCAAAACAGTCAGACTTAGTCTAGAGTTGTGTAAACACGACAACCACCCCCAACCCTTGGAGCTGTGGCACCCCCATTGTGGGATCCTGAACCCCAATGAGCAACACAATACACAGGTCTAATAGGAAATCTCTCCAAAACTCTGATTCCATTCTTGTTACTTGGTTATCATGACTATGACGTTGTTTTGGTGCTATATTCTTAACTTAAAGGCTGAATAATTTCTGAAACTCAAACCTCTGAGGTTGTTATTTGTTATTTTCATTTATTTTAATAGCTTTAAGAAAGTTTTAAAAGCTAATTTCAATGCTGGTTTCCTATTTGTGGAATAGAAATGTTAGAAGAGTTACAATATTTCTTGACAAGAAGAAAGAAACAGATAAAATTCAAACATATAGTCACTGACATTATTTATGAGTCATCAGCTGTTGATAAGTGGTTGTTGTTGTGTTGTTGTGAGCATGCTCTAACACAACAGGGTTATTATTAGATCTATTTTTCACCTACATCACATTAACACTACATTAGCTGTCATGCCTGTTATTTTGGTCAAGATTAGACAGACCCAGTGCGTATACCCTGTTGCTTAGCAACTAGTGTGAATGAAGAGGCTGGTGTGTGTGTGTGTGTGTGTGTGTGTGTGTGTGTGTGTGTGTGTGTGTGTGTGTGTGTGTGCGTGTGCTTCTCTTCTCTTAAGAATGCATTGACCCACTCATCCAGCTAAAAAGCATATGCTCCATTGATGAGGTAATCCTTAGGTCGGCCCTTATGAAGCTCTTCATCAGTTAAACATAGAGTTAACATAAGTGATGCAAAGAGGCTGCGCTTTGTTGTTTGTGCTCATTATATTCAGCGTCTGTGTGTATTTGTGTGTGTGTGTGTGAGAAAGAAAGAGAGAGAGAGAGAGAGAGAGAGATGAGAATAGAGGACATGTAAAATATAAGGCATCCAGGACATAGACTAACAGAATAGACCCAGGCCTGTGGGTGGATGTCTGTTCCTGCCTTGTTTTTTGCATAAATTAGAGAGCATCAGTTTCTTATTAGCATATTAGAGTGGTTGTTTAATACAGTACTGAGGTCACGCGCTGAGGGTGTTGTTGTCTTTTGCTGTTTATGACAAGGATCTACGCGTTTAAATCAATGTATGGAAAATTATGTAGTTTATTAGACCATATATGTCTCCAACCACAGAAAAGGAGCACCAGACAGATGGTGCCATTCAGCTTTATTAAAAAGTACTTCAGTAATTACATATAGGTACTTTGGAGAAAATGGACGTCAGATGAGGTCTCTTTGTAACATGAAAAAAGAGAATATAATGATTTTGTGAAACTCTGCATCTCTCCACACTGTGTCCTCAGACTTGATCTCTCAGCTGCTGGACCCAGTCGTGGACCCCTGGTTGGATAGAGAGACCTGCTTCAACACGATCACTGTCCCAGAGTCATACACCGGACCTCACCTGTCATTTCCTCTCTCTGTGTCTGACACAAACGCTCTGCTCAACAGTTTTAAGGAGCAGCAGGTCATTTTTTTTTTTACCTTTGACTTTGTGTTTTTGGATATCAGGTGTTTTAAAGCAGTGTTGTTTTCGTCAGGCAGGACGAAAACTTAAATGACGACGTCAGACCCCTTTTTTCCTTGACGAAAATGAGACTAAGACGAACGTCACCAAAGCTCTGTAAAGACTAAAATGTGACGAAAATTATATTCATTTTCGTCAGACGAGAACGAAACGAGACTAAATTGTTATTAGGTGGACGAACAAAGTTTCAAAACATGCTTTTTTTTGTCCTCACAGTCACGCCCCCATCACACATGCTCCAAAAGCCTCGCTCGCGCACAGCTGCGCGCGCACACACTCATACACATACACAGAGCGGCAGGTGGACGAGGCGCGCGCAAACACACACCGTGGCGGCAGGCACAGCAGCGGTGCCCGAAAAAAGAGGGATGATTTTTGGTCCTATTTCAGATACAGTCCAAGTGACAATAAAACACAATGTCTTGTACGGGGACGGGGAGACAGACGACAGTTGTGGAGCCACAGCTTCCTCATGCTGCGACTTCAAACTGTCGGGAAAGAACCTCAAAAGGCACCTTTTCGTCGACTAAAACTAGACTAAAACCTCTTGAGTTTTCGTCGGACTAAAACTAGACGAAAACTATCAAGGATAGAAATGACTAAAATGGGACTAAAACGAAGAAGCATTTCGTCAAAATGACTAAGACTAAAACTAAATCTAAAATGCCTGCCAAAAACAACACTGTTTTATAGGACTCATAACTCTCTTTTCACACAGACTCTGCATGCTAAATATATTCTGGAGCTGTTGTATGAGACCAAAAAGCTCCTAAAACAGATGCCAAATATCATCCACCTGTCGACATCATACACAAACGAGATCACTATATGTGGTGAGTCACCAAAACCAAGTTTGTCATTTTTCACTTTTTCTTATGAAGAACAACAAAATTAAAACCATTAGAGTTTGTTGTGTTTACTTCTTTTGTTCCTGCCCCATCTCACCAGTCAGCTGCCCACCAAAGAAATGAATGACCTGATGATTTAATGACTGACCACTAATGTCTGTAAACAAGGTTGGCTGCATCTTAATGGCAGCAGTCCAAAAAGAGGTCATGTTTATTCACACGGATCAGGTGCTTGACTGCTTTTCCACAGCTGCCTCCTCCAGCTGATCTGCATGTCGTTAAACTCGAGAACACTTGTGACTAACACTCACAGTTTTTGGCTTAAAGTGTAGTGATTCACTTTTCTGTTTCCAAACCACTTCACTCTTAAAAAAACAGTATCAGTGTAGCCAGAAAGTTTCTCAATTGCTCTATTTCTTTTTTTTTTTCTGGTGCAGGAGATCTGCACGGGAGGCTAGACGACCTACTTCTCATATTTTATAAGGTGAGATTTTTTTAATTCACACATGCTGAAACAAACAGTTTGTGATGATGTCTTAAAGTCATGCTCTCTGTCAGAATGGCCTTCCCTCTGCAGAGACGCCGTACGTGTTTAACGGGGACTTTGTGGATCGTGGGAAAAAGTCTGTTGAAGTGGTCATCCTCCTGTTTGCCTACCTTCTTCTTTACCCGGACTACATGCACCTGAACCGAGGGAACCACGAAGACCATATCATGAATCTCAGGTGAGCCGGCGGGGAGGAGTCAAAATGATAGAAAGATCATATCTATTAAGGAGAGGTAATACCTCCATTTGATTTTATCCCATTGTTGTTGCAGGTATGGATTCACCAAAGAGGTGATGCAGAAGTACAGGGTAAAGTAAACTACTCATACATGCCTTTTTGTGTGAAACTAGGATTTACAAATGAATCTGGCTCAGCAGATGTGGACTTCATTCTTTTCTGATGTGCGCAGATTCATGGCCGTGAGATCCTGCAGCTGTTTCAAGACGTTTTCAGCCTCCTTCCTATCGCAACGGTCATCGATGGGAAGATTCTGATCGTGCATGGAGGGATCTCAGACCAGACTGACCTGGACTTCCTCGGCTCTATAGACAGGCACAAGGTCAGTCAAGAACTTTTTTTTGAAGTTCAGCGAATACAGCTACATCCGTACAATTTTTTTTAAACATAATACCCCCCACCCACCTCCAATCCCTCTGGCAGCATCCCTTCCTCCCCTCCCAGGTCTCCCCTGGACCAGTCAAACATCAAGTATCAACAGTTCATTGTAGTGAGTGGTGTCCCTTTGTTCACAACTGAAGAGGTTTATCCTTTATCTGCGCAGCTGGACCTAACCACGTCTCCAAAGTGGAAGTTTTAGCATTATTAATCCCTGCTGTAGACAACTCAAGTAATACTATATCATAAAAATAATTCAACCATTTTCTAGTACTAAGATCATGAAGTGGTAGCCATCTTTGCACTAGGAGTGTTTTGGCAGCTGTGAGGCCGCTCAGCGATAGTTTACGCTGTTTCTTACTTACGTGTATTTGAGAATCATCATTAAGGTGTAAAGTAAAGTAAAATTGGATTGCATGTTAGCTGTACCTCGTAATTCAGACAAGACTATGGTCACCCAGCCCCTAAAAGCCTGGACAGAGGTACATTCCCACATCATGCGTTAATAACATCCTATGCGTTAAGTTGGCACATGGTACAGCTTGGACTTGGTATCAGTTTCATGCGAAACCTAGTGACAGGTGTATAATAGAGTCTGTGACACCAAGGTCAGTCTTTTATTCATACAGTATTCATACAGATGCAATGATCAGCTTTGGTCAGAGATCATTATTCAAACAGCTGCAGAATATTATACAATCAATAGACCTAAAAGGGTCTGAAAAGGAGGAACACAAGGTTGGCTGAATATTGATACCAAGCATATTAATTCATGCAAGTTTCAAGTCAAAAGTCCATGATTTACACATGAGCTCTTAAAATCAACTTTTTATCCTGTAAGTTTAATATTCAAGTCTTCATCACTGTACAGTCTGTCGTGTACATTACCCTCTTCTCTGCACCTACAGGTCAAATCTGCACTCAGGTTTCCCAGACGTAGTTTGGGTCAGCTGGACATCAGTCAGTGCAGCAGACAGATGAAAAGAATGAGATCTACCGACAGCTCTCGTCCAAGCAGCGGCTGCAGCCACGGCAAAAGCCAAAAGACCCCAATCCAGAGGTCTGACAGAAGTCTGCAGATGCTTATCAATGTTTTTTTAGATCCAGGTCGGTGTAAAAGGAGATGTCTTTTCTTTGTTATTTCTATAGAAAGAGGAGATGCGGGCTCAGCCGACAAGACAGTGCACACTCCACTACTTCCTCTTCCTCCTCGTCCTCATCCTCCTCTCTCTGCTCTCCTCGAACTCCATCCTGCCTCACGCCTCGGCAGTGCCCGTCCTCCCCCAACTCGCCTTACACCATCAGTGTCCTCCAAGTGCCTTTTCTGGACTCTCTGTCCTCTGTTGGCCCCCCTTCAACTCCACAGCATGAGCGTGAATGGAAACAGGTCAGAGGAGGTTATCTCTGCTCTGTTATGAGGCTCTCTGTCTCATATACTACACTTTTAGATTGTCTCCTCTCTCCTGCAGATAGTGGATATACTGTGGAGCGATCCTAAGATACAAGAAGGCTGCAGTCCAAACACGTTCAGAGGAGGAGGCTGCTACTTCGGCCCCGATGTCACTCAGAGACTTCTGCTCCAACACGGACTGCAGCTGCTCATCAGATCCCATGAGTGCAAACAGGAGGGATACGAGCTCTGCCATGGAGGACAGGTAAAGAGGGACAGCAGATTAACTGAGTCGCTTAGATGTCTGGAGAAATGCAAAAACCTCTTATGTACTCTGCAGGTAATCACAATTTTCTCAGCATCAAACTATTACGAGGAGGGAAGCAACCGGGGCGCCTACATCAAAGTGGGCCGAGAACTGGTCCCCCGTTTCTATCAGTACCAAGTCAGCCGCACAACACGCAAACTCACTCTCACACAGAGGTATGATGGACGTTATTTGGCTTACAGTGAAAATGTGTCAGTAGAATCTGTAAGGTGGCTCGATACTAGTCAGTGACCTGTATTCGTGTGTGTGTGTGTGTGTGTGTGTGTGTGTGTGTGTGTGTGTGTGTGTGTGTGTGTGTGTGTGTGTGTGTGTGTGTGTAGAGTAAGAGCTGCAGAAGGCTCTGCTCTCAGAGCTCTGAAAGAGAAACTGTTCAGCCATCGCTCTGAGTTGATGTCCGGCTTTCAGCAGTACGACCAGAACAACAAAGGTTCATTCTACTCATCACCCCAAAAATCTGAAATATCATGAAGTTTAAAAGTGCATTTATCAGAATGAAGCATGTCTGTCCTCAGGCAGTGTGTCGGTCAGCGAGTGGGCTCTGGTGTTGGAGGCTGTTCTGAGACTGGACCTGCCCTGGAGGACTCTCCGCCCGCACTTAGCTCGTCTAACACCAGATGGCAGCGTGGAGTATCAGTCCTGCTTCAAGAACATGGGACCAGGAAATCCCCTGCCGCAGGTGAGAGAAATAAAGATTCAATCTTTAAGTCTGTATCTCATCTGAGTGCTTTCTTTTGTACCCACAAGTAGATTTGCCAACAACCATTTTAACTTTACGCAGCACATAACACAAAAGAATTAAAAAAATTAAAAAAAACACTAAAACATGTGAACCAGCACTCCAGGCTCCACCAATAAAAACTGAAGAGAGATGGAATATTATTATTGTTATAATAATAATAATAATAATAATAATAATAATAATTATTATTATTATTATTATTATTATTATTATTATTGTTTTTGTATTCTTATTTTCTTATTATTATTATTATTGTTATTGTTATTATTATTATTTTTGTTGTTATTATTTTTGCATTTGCATTAAATGCTTTGGCAATATTGTACCGTAGTTACAATCATGCCAATAAAGCTCATTGAAATTGAAAACTGAAACGAATAAAATCAGGAAATGAGATAATCAATGAATTAGCTCTCAGGTTGATAAATAATTACCAAACTGCTGTATCCGCATCAAGATTTTGGTCTTTGAAAGTTTGCAGAAGAATACTGTATGAGTCTTGAATTTGTATTATGATGCATCACTTAAGTTAAACTGCAAACTGTTATCAACAATCCACCTAAAAAATGGGGGCAGAGCTCTCTAAATAGACAAGTAATGATTAAAAAAAACAGAGGTAGCACTTACATGCAGGAAAGTGTGTTTTATAGGCACTATATGCAGAAATATAGCCAGTTAATAAAAAGTGATAATCATGACAATAACAGTTTCACTGAGCAGCAGCTGCTCCTTCCAGAATTTACTTTGTTTTGCCAGCTGAAGTGCTTTCTCACTTTCCTACCTTTTTAAATGCATTATTTAATTAAAGACTTGGTTTCATCTGCTGCTCACAGCACCAAGACACTACTTTTATCTCAAAAAGTGACATTTAAAGGATTAAAGTACTCTCGCTGAGTCATTAAAACGTTGGTGGTGTAGTTAAGAAGTCTGATGTCTTTGCTCTTCTTTTTCCTCTTCAGGTCACTCCAAACTTGGCTGAAACTCTCTTCAGATACAGAACAGACATCGAGATCATATTCAACATTATAGATAAAGACCACTCAGGTACAAAAAGTTCTACTACTTCTCAAATATGATGTGAATGCAGTTTTAAACACGACCTTGTGTGTGTTTTGTCTTTATAAGGTCTGATCTCCATCGAGGAGTTTCGTCACACCTGGCGCCTCTTCACTGCACACCTGGGTGTTGACATAGACGACAGGGCCATTGATGATCTGGCCCGGAGTATTGACTTCAACAAGGACGGCAGTATAGACTTTACAGAGTTCCTGGAGGCCTTTAGGGTGGTTCACAAACTGGACAATAAGGATCAGCACGCCAATGGAAGATGAACAGAGGGAAGGGTTTGTGAAGGAAAGAACACAAACACATCAGGGACACAGAAGGAGGCGAGAAAGTGAGAAAGAAGTCCAGAAAGTTTCCAGAAAAAGTTTTAAGCAGGTACTGAAGTTAGATATTTAGGTACTTTGAGTTACAGCTCAGACAGACGGATGAAGAGTAGAGCTCAACAGACACAGAAGAAGCACCAGTGTGATGCACTATAATCACGTACAGATCAGCACTGTAGTATTACATGCATTGACTAATAAAAGCACAAGTTCTTGAAGGATGACTCTTTTCTTCGTGTCGTTTTCTTTTTTAGGATTTAGCATGTGTGTTTCTATGTCCCCTCACTCTGGCATCCTGCCCACTATAATTACTAAGGTGTGAGAGCAGTTAAGCAGGCCCAGGCATCCTGTCAGCAAAAGGAAATGATGGGTTCAGATTTTACTGATGCTCTTTTGCAGCTCTCAGACACTTCAGCGTGCACATTTACTACAGCTGCAGAGGGAAGGTGAGAGACTAACAGAGAGGGGTGGAGACTTTTATCATTTTTAAGTGCAAAGTGACTTGGATGTTGGCCTCTATTTTGTCATAAATTGTTGATTTAGAGTAAATTAAATCACATCTGGTTGTAAACAGCATTTAAAATTCGTAGACAGAGGTAGACAGAACATCTCCCTGACACTCCCCTATCACTCTGTTTTGTAAATGCATCACCTCACCCTCCTTCCTCCCTCCTTTTGCCCAACAGTCTCCCCTGTTGTAATCTTAGACATTTCTCCTCCCCTACATCCTGAACCTCTCAAATGCCTCCCTCTTACCCTCTTAAAGTCCTGCCTTAAGCCCTCCCATTCCCTTTTTGAACCCTAAAACACTCATCTCAGCTCAGTGGATCACAGTCTCATCCTGGAAACACATTCAGATGGAGGATGAGATGGGACTCCTGGCAGCACTGCTCACTCTGCTCTGTGTCTACGCTCCAGGTACTTCTTTTTATCACTTTTCCTAAATTGTGTCGATGAGAAGCAAAGGTTGACTGTAAAATTGCCCACAGTGAGTGGAGCTGAGGGATGCAGCGGTTTCAGACACCTGGAAAATGGGCAGACGTTTTTTCGTTACGGTGGACTGCTGGTGATCTTCCGCTGTCGTCCTGGATACAAGCTCCATGGATACAAAACCAACAGCTGTGTTTCTGGGCACTGGTCCCGGGACACCCCAGTCTGTGTAGGTGAGGAAATTCATGAATGAACACGCACCATCAACCTTTTAATATTTTCCTCTTGATGTACTACCTTCTGGACCGAAATTTAGTATCTCTTAAAGTGACACTCTTCTGCTCCTTTAGGGTCTGGTTGTTCAGATCCAGGTCCGCTCCCCCATGGTACGAGTAGCATGAATGAGGATGGCTCATTGGCAGTGTTCAGCTGTGATCGTGGCTTTAGGCTACATGGACCTGCAGTGTTGTACTGCAAGGGCCACACCTGGAACAGCACAAAGCCTGAGTGCAGAGGTGGGAATAAAAATCACCCTCATGAACCATAAATAAGTGTGACTTTATAGAAAGTAAAGATATTTGCTCCATTATCTGGCATCTAATTGGTAAATTTGGCTTTTAACTGCATTGAATCAGAGCACCTCAGGCTGATTAGATATATATTATATTTTCTTAGAGTCTTACATGTCTGTTCAAAATCGTAAACAACAGAAATAAATACAGCATTTCACTTTACGAGCTTTAATTTCCTCTTTTGTGCGAAACCTTAACCTCAACATTAGAGTCTATATTTCCAAACATGCAAGTCTTTCAGTCATGTTTTTACAACCAATGTCTTTGCTATTTTTTTCCTTTTAAGAGGGGTAATCTGCATATTACCTACACGGGATGCCAGTAAGCTCGGCTTCTTTGTTAGCAGCTGCTATTAAATGGTCCAGCCAGGGTAATTTCTACCACATTATTTAGATCATTTTAAGGAAGTCCTACCCAAACCATGGTGTTAGTGTCAGTATACACTCTATTTGGCAATTTTTCAGCACTCTGCCATCAAGAAGCCCGATCATTTTTGCATTATTTGTTGATTCAACACAAAGGCATTCTTCCACCCTCAGTGCACTGATCCCCCCATCATGGTGTCAGCTTGATTTAAGCCATGTATTTTGATGATTTTGAGATTTAATTCAACATGACTTTTTTGACAAATTCATGAGATTATCTGGTGAACACAGTCATATCTAAAGGGTTTATTCAGCTACCTTCACCACCAGGTAACTTTGGGTCTCTATACTCCTCAGTTAGCACAGCAGCTTCTCCATTGTTTCTTTTGATCCATCAACTTTCCTCCTTCCTCTCTACACTTCCATCAAGATGCTGTCCCTTGTCAACAATGTGCTTTTTGCTTTTCTTTCTACTTCCCCTCAGAGTCTGACATGATGAGCTCATTTTTGGGTGTACATCTGCAAAAGCCAAACATCCAAGACCAGAACCTGCAGGCTGCTGTAGTTCTGAAAACCCAGCAACAATCCCATCATGACACTCCAGCTTCTACTGCCTCCAGAGGAGCAAACCTCAAACTTGGCCTGTTGTCTCACACACCATCCCAAGTGTCCAAGAGCGAGAAAGACAAAGTGACTCATCCCAGAGTCCAGCAGCAGACTTTTAAAGTTGAGGATGGGTCACAAACAAGGCATCATGAAGCTCCACATCAGGGGACGAATGAAGTTCAAGTACCAGAGAGGAAAATGAACGGGGGAATCTCAGAGGAAAAACCGCTGATGAAGGAGGACAAAGAAAGTGAAATGTTTGCCCCAAAATCAAATATAGTATTCACCACCGTGTCATCTAAGTTATCATTAGTTTCAGGAGCAGAGCGATCAGTGTCCTCTTCACCATCATTTTCAACTCTCCAAACACCAACCGTCACTGCTCCAGCTGTCAAGAAAACACTCACAGTTTTGACGTCAGCTTCAAACTCTTCTACTTCTGTGCTTGGAGGTGATAGGACGCTCAAGTTTGGAGATCACAGCGTGTCACTAAATGATGTTACTACCACTGAGGAAACATCAGCCTCTTTAAAGGCTGCGGATGAAGACCAACAAGCTAAAACTGACCTTTATTATCATCAAGACAAGAAGGAGGAGGATGTAGAGACTGCAGCATTCACTTCATCTTCATCAGCTTTTTTAATTTTAACCAGTTCTCCTTCCACTTCCTCTGTACCCTCCTCATCACCCCAACTACCCACTTTTTACGCCCAGACCTCCACAACTCCCAGCTCCAACCAGCCCACAGAGAAAACACACCTACCAAACTCCTCCACAACCAACAAGCAGAGCTCTCATTGGACTGAAGACCATGACCTCAAACCAAATGCCACCTCCAAACCATCTCTGCCGGCCTTAATCCCTCTCAGACGACCCATATGCCCGTACCCACCTGTACCTGCTCATGGGACCTTCTACTTTAGGAATGTGAAGAATCCAGATCCCAGAGAGTACAGACACTACATCCAGTATGCCTGTTACCCTGGTTACACGCTAGCTCATGGAGATGTTTACAGCTACTGCCAGCAGGGCAGGTGGAGCGGAGTCACACCTGTTTGTTTAGGTATGTGAGATTGAACTTTAAGTTGTTTTCTTAGTTTATCTGAATAATGCTGCTGATTTGAAGTGGTTTAGTACAATGAGTAAATCAATGAGCTGCCAAACTGCCAAAATTTTTACTCTCACGTAAGTTATTATTTACATGCTAACCCAAAACATCCATTTAGGATATAATGACATCCAGTAGATGAAAATAATTAGCTACCAAATGCTAATTTCTGAATGCTTGTGTTTAAGTGTTAAAGACTTTTTTTGTTGCTGAATTGAATGTCTTTGAAATGTTCAAACAATTTCTCAGTCATTGAAAAGATGCTGATTCCATCTTAAAACCATCAAACATCCGTACTTCTGTTGTAAATATCACTTCAATGAACAATACATGAGGTTGAACTTTGCACATGGTCAGACTTTGAATGTATAATTTTACCCCAGGCAAGAAAGGATGTTTTTTTTACTGTGGCCCTGAAAGTCAATAGCACAAATATTTTCATGAAACACAAAAACATTTCATCAACAAAGGAAAACTGAAGTTTTTTAAGTAAATAATTGACTGAAAATATCCCCTCTTTGTGCTACATAGAGCATTTAGTGTTTTCAAAAGCTGTAGTACAGGAATGAAATGAGGCAGAGACAGTCATGTTGCACAGATGCAAAAACAAACACGCCATGTCTTCAAAAAATGAAAAAGCAGCTCCAGACTTCACCTCATTTTTGACTGAAATTAGACAAAGAAGGGAAGAAAGTCTGTTTTTCTCATTTTCTTGTGTATTTGTATCTGACATGAAGTTAGACATTCGTACCTTAACTGTAAGTGAGTTGAGGCTTTTAGTATTGTATCAGATTCAAACTCATCCTCTCTAGTCAGTTTCAATTTCATTTCCATGATTAAGTCCAGTTGTCTCACATTGTATCACCTTTTTCATCCCAAATCAACCCTTGTTGTTTTTTTTTGCCACTCATTCATTCTTACTGTATGTCTGCAGAGCTGACACCATGTTCAGTCAACAATGGAGGCTGTTCCCAGCTCTGCTCTCACTCCCAGCACTACAACCAGAGCTCCAAACAGACTCACAGCAGGACTGAGTGTCACTGCAGACCTGGATTCACTCTGCTGGATGACGGGCGAACATGTCGAGGTGAGTGTGGATGGGTTCCCCCCCCCTCCTTTGAGCTTTTCCTGTGCCTGTTACATTCCTCCTAAATCCTCTGTGGACCCCTGCTCTCCTTCTAATGACAACACGGCGAGCAGCGAGGCATGTTACAGCACAACAGAGACTCTGTGTCACGTTTTTATGTGTTTGATGTTTCACAGCTCACAGACGAGCAGAAGTGAGCTGTGAAATTTACTGCAGCATGACCATAAAATGGTCTGTAATGTCTGAGGATACACGTGCCCACACACACACACACACACACACACACCTGTCTTTTAAAGAACCATCAGTGGGTGGTGTTGCTGTTATTTCCACACTGTGCTTTCACCAGTGTGTACAGGCACAATAGTTTTACAATTATCGATGAGTTTTGGCTACATAGAAGTGAAAATCAGTTCCTGTCTGTTCATAAATGTGTCTCTCTTGGATCTGAAGTCAGTCCTTGTGGTTCAGTTTTAGGTTTTCTTGGCCTATATGTGTTAGAAACTGGCATTTTTCTCCACTAAAGGTGAGTTAAGCAGGTTTATCTGTTGGACCGGGGGCAAAGCTGATCTAAAAGCTCGTTGAGTCCTCCCTGTGCGTCCTTGTTTCCTGTCTCTTAAGAAGAGGAGGTCAGAGGAAAACCTCTGTGGTCTGGTTTTCTCATTACAGGCCCAAACATGAAGCAAACATGGAGCAAACATCAATGAGGTTTCTTGATTCAGAGCGACAGAGGAGACAACCACCTTTCATCTGCTGATTTTTTCTTTCATCTCTTTGCAGGCTGGATAGTGCTTTTCTGTCAGATTGACTACAATGTTTTGTATAATGCGTGTTATATGTGTGTGTGTGTTTGCATGTGTGTAGATGTAGATGAGTGCGTGGAGCAGCAGCATCCGTGTCAGCAGAGATGCAACAACACCTTTGGTTCCTTCAAATGCAGCTGTGATGATGGTTATCAACAAGCTCCAGACCAGCTCTCCTGCACAGGTGCGTGTTGTGTGAATGTATTTGTGGATCTGTTTATGTCATTAACATCTATCAGCAAAGTGTTCCTCTGCTTTGCTCTTCATCCTCCTGTTTGTGAATGAGTGCCTGATGCCTGCAGCTGTAACAGGCTGTGTTTCCGGCTGTGTGAACCCCCCCTGAGAGCTTCTGCTGTCAGTGTCCTGCCGGATACAGCTCTCAGACTGCAGACAGATACTGCCAAGGACACATAACTGTGCTCCTTTATGACGTGCTTCAAAAAAGGATGATACTATCGGTCCAGTGCTTTCAAACTACTTAAAGGGATATTCCAGCGTAAAATAAATTTGGGGTTAAACACATGGTGACATCGAGTAAGACCCCCCCCCCCCCCCAAACCTGACATATTGACATGTTTGCTTCACATTGCTAAGTATTATAATTTTAAATTTCAGTGATATGAAATGTGACATGATGCGGCATGCTGATGTTCATCTAGCATAGCTTTAGAAAATCTAGATTAATAGAAACCATGATATATACTATTGTTTAAATATTAATTTTAAGTCTTTTTGACTTGATTAAAAAGGTTAAAAAAGAGAAACCAGACACGAGGCAGACATCACCTTTGAATGAGTCCAAGCTCTACAAACTGAGCTAAAGCAGCTCAAACCAAAGGAACCAAACAAAAGCGCTGTAATCAAATAAGGAAAAACTAAAAATGAACAACTCCAAGTACAACAGTTTTTTATGGGGTGCCGTTTGTAAAGCAGCCCATTATAAAAACAACAGCAAGATTTGGTCACATTTAGCAAAACAACAGCAAGATTTAGTCACATTTAGCTTCAAACAGCATTTAAAAAAGTGATGTGAATTTTCGGCAGTCATTTTTTTACGCATTTACAACAACATTTAAATACTAAAACTAAATGTTAAATGTTAAATCTAAATGTTAAATCTAAATCTAAATGTTAAATCTAAATCTAAATGTTAAATCTAAATCTAAATGTTAAATCTAAATGTTAAATCTAAATGTTTAATCTAAATGTGTTGGGCGAAACTAAATATTTAGCTAATATGCAAATTCACGGTCGGAAACCGGAAGTGATAACCGGAAGTGCCAAAATAAAAGCTCCAGAAGGTCATATTGATGATTCTTGTGTCGAAGAAAACGAATTAAAACCAATTTAAGGGGGGGGGGGGGACAAATACTTGGGGTGACGTTTCGTGTTAATAACTACCTACAATAGCGACAGCAACAACAAAAACTTTATTAGAAAGACTCGAGTTTTCAGTGTCGCCTCTCCGTATGGCGCGGATCCGTATTGTTGGTCGAAGTGGAAAATCCGCCCAAAAAAAAAAAAAACACACACGAGATTTGCTGACAACCTGCGCCAGACTCTTCTAAATGGCAGTGAATGAATTAAATTAAGCTAATAAATAAATAAATAAATGACCCAAAAGACAAAGTGGAAGACAAAAGACAGAGTTTCGAACCCCGGTTTCCTGCGTCTCAGTCGTCCACGTTACCCGTATGGCCAATGCATTTCTTGAATCGGTGAAGTGCCATGGATTAGTATATAGTGTGTGCGCCTGCATGTGCGTGTGCGTGTGTTCGTATAGTGTCCGCGCCATACGGAGAAGCGACACTGAAAACTCGAGTCTTTCTAATAAAGTTTTTGTTGTTGCTGTCGCTATTGTAGGTAGTTATTAACACGAAACCTTACCCCAAGTATTTGTCCCCCCCTTAAATTGGTTTTAATTCGTTTTCTTCGACACAAGAATCATCAATATGACCTTCTGGAGCTTTTATTTTGGCACTTCCGGTTTCCGACCGTGAATTTGCATATTAGCTAAATATTTAGTTTCGCCCAACACATTTAGATTTAACATTTAGATTTAACATTTAGATTTAACATTTAGATTTAGATTTAACATTTAGATTTAGATTTAACATTTAGATTTAGATTTAACATTTAGATTTAGATTTAACATTTAGATTTAACATTTAACATTTAGTTTTAGTATTTAAATGTTGTTGTAAATGCACAAAAAAATGACTGCCGAAAATTCACATCACTTTTTTAAATGCTGTTTGAAGCTAAATGTGACTAAATCTTGCTGTTGTTTTGCTAAATGTGACCAAATCTTGCTGTTGTTTTTATAATGGGCTGCTTTACAAACGGCACCCCATAGTTTTTCTTTAAGTCTCAGTTATATGATTTGTTTTGTTTGTGTTTGATAAACACACAAGAACCCTGCTTTTCATGCAGATATAGATGAGTGTGCTGATCATCTGGGGCTCGGGCCGTGTACGGAGCAGTGCCACAACACACCTGGATCATACCGCTGCTCCTGCACACATGGACACATTTTAGCTGTAAATGGACACAGCTGCACCCCTGAGTGTCCACCTGGATACAGGAAGCAAACCACACCTGAGAATTCAACCGCACAAGCTCTGAGGGAGGAGTGTGTAGGTAAGGGGGGGGAAATATCCAAATAACTGTCTTATTTTGGGGAAAGTCTAAGATCCCTTGTTGTGTCCACACACAGATGTAAATGAGTGCCAGGAGGAGGACAGGTGTGGGTGGCAGTGTGTCAACCTGCCAGGTTCATACGGATGCATCTGCCCAAGAGGATACAAACTCATGGGAGACGGCCGGCGCTGCAAAGGTCAGTGGGGTCAAACGTACACAGATAAGTACTGCATCAACAACAACTGTAACATGTTTAGAGAGAAAAAGCATAAAGTTAGAGATAGGAGGGGAGTACACTTGTGTTTTGCTAAGATGAGAAGATTTAAGCAACGACACTGTATTTGTTAATTTAGTAAAAAGCTGGAGCCAGCAGCTGGTTAGCGAATGAAAACGAATGAGATTGAACAGCTAGCATGAATTTTGTCATTATTGTGAGATTTCTGGACAAAAAATCTGAAATGCTGAAAGTTTTTTGGTCTTTAAATCAAAGGTTGACACATGTGCCAGTGTTGTAAACTTGGCTTGTCAGAAATGTATCTCAGTTTACAAGTGGACACTTTCAGGCAAAGTGTGTAAAGTCAGATATTTATACTCTTGGACCAAAACTCTTCATTTCATTCGCTACTTCAAACTCATAATTTAGATAAAAATCCATGAACAAATGAATGGAAAATGAGATTCAAAATAAAAGCAAAAAAGACAGAAAACAATGTTTATTTTTATGTTTTCTCTATTCTGGGGTTGGATGCTTTTATTTGATATAGGCTATAGTCTTAATCGTTTTGCCTCTACCTCCATTTATCTATTAATAAAGTTCACATACATCTAAATGTTTCTACTTGTTTTTCTTTTTCTGTAATGTTCAACGTGAAACATCTGTTTTCCAGACATTAATGAGTGCAGTCAGAGGAATGGAGGGTGTTCCCACCTGTGTGTGAACCAGAAAGGTGGATATAAATGTGCCTGCCCTGCCTCCCATCGCCTCTCCCCGTCCAGCTGGAAGAAATGTCTGCCAAGGACCACAGCAGGACCTCAGTTAAAACCACCTCTTGGTCCGTCCCCTTAAGCAACAAGTGGAACACTGATAAGCTTAGCTGTCGCCAATCACAACAGCAGCAGCAGCAGCAGCTTGTACTAACAAACAGATAGTGGTCATGGGTAAATGAGAGGTCAACACAATATATATTTTATTATTGTTTGAGTCAAACATCCTGTAAACCACTTTTTTTTTTAATGAACATGAACTTTCTTGTTGACACAATTCAACAGGTTCAAAATGTTTTTACGCATTATAACAAAAATAGTAATATATTTTTATATTTAGCTGTAATTTTATACATATTGAAGAGCTAGAGTTAGAAGTAAAATATACAAACGTTGAACTCGTACTTGCTTTCAGAATCAAAGCGCTGAGATAAAAGTTATTTGAAACTCTGTCTTTATGTCTTTCTATAAAACATGCACTCCACTGAACTCTTTTATGACTTACAGAGACTCTCCATGACGTACTCTAACCCTCTGCGGTACCTCACTGACTCCTGGTTTTAATGTCACTTCATTCATTACAGATACATCATGCATATACTGTACATAGAAATACTATAGGGATAGACTGACCTACTATGTTACAGTATTTCCACCTCTTAAAAAACACGTAATAACTTATCCTCTCTGCATGTACATAGTTAATCTCTCAGTACGTAGGCACACATGCACACAGTAGCAAAAACAGGGAAACACTCAAACACAGACAGATGGGTTACATCTTGTACGCTGAACACAACACAGGTTTACACACAGACAAACATTGTGGCATTCAAGGAAATCAGAAATTCTGTCCTCACGGAGGTTATTGTTAACACAAGGCAACAACGACAAGGAAGTTTAAGTTTATTACTGCATTAAAAGAAGTTATCAGAGGGGACAGTTCGGTGAATTCTCACGAACAAATAAATCATTTGTAGGGAAAAAACTAATAATAAATAAAATCCACTTTAGATTACAAATCATTTTGGTTGCTTTTTTCCCTACTTTTTTCTGTCAGCTTTATAAAACAGCAATAAATTACTATACTGATAGATAAAAATAAAATAAAATGCCAACAGGATAACATATTACAGTACGAATAATTGTTTTCAGTGCAATAATTTCATTCTCAAACTGTTCCCTCTGATAAATTCAAGGTTTAGTAGATTTATTACACGACATGTTGAGTCACAAGACATGAAAGCTAATAAAACCTCACACACAACACCAAGAGCACACGTGTGCTTTTAGCTTTTTAAGCAAATTTCTACTGAGTAAATGCTTCAAACATGGAAACATGCATTTGAGCAGCATGTTAAGGTAATAAAAAAGTCTAAAGTAAAATAAAGGCTCATGTAGTGGTTTGTTATCAGCTGCCAAGGCCATAATGTTACATCATAGAGTATATTTCAAGTGAATACCCAATACTTACAGGCAGTTCATAAACTCCATGAGCAGATGATGAGATTTTTTACTGCCTTTCCCTTTAAACCTGCCTATTTAGGATGTTTTTATTGCATCTGACAGCTGGAACTTGGAAGGAAGTCTTGGACATAAGTGGTCACTGCCTTAGACAGATAGGTCATAGTGCCGTAGCTGCCACTAGGGGCGCTGTCATAAAAAAAGTTGCAGATTCCTGTGGCTGCGTCCTTCTCCATGAAATAATCACTGGCACTGTGGGCTTTCTGAGGATGAAGAGACAGAATAGTGAACTCTCGTAAAATGCAACATGGGAGCTAACCTCCAATAGTTATCTTCTCAGCTGTAGTACCTGGTCATTGATGAACATATCATTGGCCAAATGCAGGATGCGGTCCACGTAGATAATCCCCCCGATGCTGTCCACATCCACATCAGCCACAAGACCGAGAACCATCACCGTCTCCACAAGCAGCTGTCGGTATTCTGGCTGAGGGACGTGGTTCAAGACGGACTCCACCTGCACTGCAAACTTGATCTCTCCTTCTGTCATCTGCACAGAAAAACACACAAATACACATTAAAATACACAAGTATAAAGTCACCTGCAGCTAAAAATCCTGGAATATCTACCTCTCTTGTGGTAGAGGAAGGAAGCACATATCCATCGATAGACAGGCCATGACACTTCTGCAGGATCTTCCAGACCTTCTGGTAGAAACCCATTGGTACTCTGTTGATGGCTCCATCCAGTCTGCGCCGCCTCAGCCACTGACCCTGCCTCTCCTCCCAGTGCAGCTGTCCATCACTTGGACCAGTACTCACAGGAGACAGGATCCCACTCGGTGTGGAGGGGCTGCTGCAACGCTGCAATTACAGCAGAAGATACTGCTAAAACACTTTTGGTGCGGAACCCCTTTACGGTTTTCAACCTTCTCTCCATGTACATCACATTAGTACTATGACTATACTACATGGCAGTAGTGTCACTCTGATAATGCACCTGAACATGCCATGCCAGCATCTATCAATAAATATCTGAATAAGTATCAGAAGTAAATCTAATGTAATTATAATTCTGTTTAAACGTAGGGGCTTTGAAGCCTTTCCTACTACTTTAATCTTTTCAAAATAAAAGGTTTAAATCACTGCAGAACCAACAGCGATACCTCCTCTTAAACTCCAAACACTATTCATGCTTTCTCAGTCTGGTTCCTTTAATACACTGGAACATCCAATAACTGTGAGATTCAGGTACAACATGCAATAAGAAGTCAGTACAGCTCGAAGCTACCTGCACACAATCTACAGTGCACTGTAAAGAGCAACAGTATAGACAAGGTTTGCATCGTGTTACTTGAATAGACAAACTTCTGGTTCATCACTTCTTATCTTAAAACCATAAAAATACATGTAAAAAAGGTTGAAATGTTTTCCTCTCTCTTGTGATAAAATCTCAGATTAAACACTCATGTAGTTGCACAGTTCATGCAACCATCCATGCACGATGATATCATGCTATATCACATTCGTTAGAACAGGACACTGAAGCAGATATAACAAAGGACAGAGCTGGTGTCGTTTTATACGACGGAGTATTAGGGCCACATTAAGAAAAAAAATTTAGACTTCAAGATTAAAGTTGTTCATGTACGAGAAGCAAGTAATTACGAAAATAAAGTCGTAGTAAAATCATTACTAACGGGAATAAAGTCGTAGTTAAATCATTACTTACGAGACTTAAGTTGTAATAAAGTAATTACATACAAAATTACAGTTGTAATAAAATCATTATAATACTTCTGATAATTTGGAGCCAAAAGATTAAGTATCTCCTTATTTGAGAAACTAATATTTAAGTACATTTTCACAAAACGCTCCATTACTCTCATTTCAACAACTGTCACCTTAAACAACAGGTTTGAATAGAAGGACTTTATACTCGTAAGTAATAATTTCACTACGACTTTATGTTCATAAGAAATGATTTTATTAGGACTTTATTCTCATAAATTACGGACTTTAATCTTGAAGTCATTTTTTTCTTAATGTGGCCCTAATACTCTGTCATAATTTCTGATTTTATTATTAGAAAGAACAAATACCCTAAAAAGAAGAAATACTTATTCAACTTATTTAAGTGTTAACCATTTAACTACAGCCTGCTACAGCTTACACTTATATGATTTATTCTTCTAAATACTATGCCAAATGAGCTTTACCACCACAACTGCTCACGTACTAAGTCACTGAGCTAGTATTATTTAATGTACAGAGACCAAATTCACAAATTTAGCCTAAAACGGACATCAAAAGGCATCCTTTTTACCTTTGACCCTCAATTTGTTTGAGGAAAATTCACAAAAAAGCCCCCAGCTCAAACTGGGAAAAAGAAGTCTTTTGTGAGGGTATTTGCTGAAGATAATAAAAAGATAAACACCAGCTTTGTCCTTAAATTATGCTGGACATGTGGAATCTTTTAACCGACTGTCTCACTACATTGACTCTTTGACAGCCAAACGTCGATCAATTCGGATCATTAAAAGCAGATGAGGTGAAATGGTTTACCGTGGAGCGAGGAGAGGTGACTGTGCTATTCAAGGAAACGCCGCCGCTGACGATCTACGCATGAAAATGAATGACAGATGACAGAGAAAAGTTTGATATGTATGTCACGTTTCTTCAAACAATGGTCATGATGAAACCGGAGACATTTCATCTGAAAAATGTCAAAAAGTTAAATTCTTTGAAAACAGCATGAATGATCCCGAGACAGATGATTCGGACACGTGTCCATGAAATGTTATAATAATGAGCACTACCAACTATGGAGGGCATTTTGGCTCATGAAATGGAAAGTTAGCGACTGGTTTAGACTGGTTCATGATGAAGATTTAGCCGGCTGTTTGATTATTTAGACAGACGTTAGAAAAAAGTCACATGCTCAAAGTTATGAGACTCAACCCACACTGAGAGGCCGAGAGCCATCCAGCTGTAAAAAAAGCAAGAACCGTTATCATTAGGATACGAAAGACATTAGATTGATTAAACAAATGAAAGACAGAGAGAGAAAGAAAGAGAGAGAGAGAGAGGCAGAGTACATGAAGAGCACACCTCAGCATACATATAGGGTCACTCTCTCTTGTTGCACCTGTGCCCCTCACCTGTTTTATCTCACTCTTTAGCTTGTGTATTCCTGAGCGTTCGGTCTTGGTGGCTCCTGTGTGGCCCAGTTCATGGATGGAGATGGCAGGACTGGTGGCTGTGGACTGGATCGGGCGCACTGATGGACAGGGATTAAAACAGGTCCAATTTAAGAAAATCATAGATACTGTGATCAAGTTATTCAGTAGGCTGGTTCTAGACATCTGGATTATTGCTTAGGTCTTCAATTTCTGCACGCCACTGATGGTCGCAGCTATGTGACTGGCAATGACAATCACACGCCTTTTACAGTTATTTTGACATAGAAAATCTTGCCTAGTGCCTTAAATGAATGGTGACGTAAATGAAAGCATATGTGTGGTTTGAAGGCAAGAAGAGAGGAAGGAAACATTAAAAAAAGAGAAAAAGCTCACTGCTTCTCTCCACCCCAAACTCTTTTCCGCTGAGGATGTGATGCAGCAGACTTTTCATGCCAAAGGGACTCAAGCTCATCAAACTCTCAGAAGCCTCCTCCCCTGGAAAAGCCACACAGTTATTTTTCTTTCTCACAGTGCAGGACAGTCTGTGTATGTCCACAGCTGTTCGTGATTAATGTGATCTTTTATTTTGAGTTTTCTGTACCAGAGCAGTGCAGACTACGAGCTAGCTCAGTGGCCATCACTTGCATGATGAGTCCGATTCTGAGCCGCAGCATGTCCCCGAACAGAGCTGGCTGGGAGCGCACATACATGGCTAGATAGACCATGATTTCCTGAGCGAAAGACACACACAGACACAGTTATAACTTGAGGATAAGATTGAAAGGGTTTCATAGAAGTCTTCAAAGTTCATGTTTTACCTGAGTGAGAACAGCGACACTGATGTCCTGACCACTGGCTTCAAAGATGAGACTGTTTAACTGCTCAGGAGGGAGTGGACTGAAGAGAAACAGCAAGAAAGAGTTGGTTTGTTTTGTGGTAAATAAATCCTTTAATCTCACAACCAGCTCAGTTTTACAAAAATAACCGTGTCTTACATTGTGATGACTCTTTCCCTTGGTTCAGGAGGAAGACCTACAGTCAGCTGCTTGTGATGGGAAATCAGATCTGTGCAGGCCTGAGGGATACTTTGGATTAGACCTCATTCCAAGTACAACATTTGGTAAACCTTTACTTGATGCCTCTCTATAACGCATTATTAATATATTTATAATGCATTATTATCACGTTATAGCACTGTTTAACTATAGTTATAAACAGTCATAAATGATCATAATGCTTTACAGCAATAATCATAACACATTATAAAGCATTTTATCATGACTTACAAAGTCAGGTATTATAATGTGATATAACTATTAACAACTCACTGACAATGCTTACATAGATAATGCATTATTCATATATTTATGATGTGTTATAATGTGCTTATAAACTTGTATAACTATCATTATAAACATTCATTAGTTATCATAAGGCTTTATAACAATAAGTAAGACACAGTAAGTAACACATTATAATATCTGACCTTGTAAGTCATGATAAAATGCTTTAAAACGTGTTATGATTATTGCTGTAAAGCATTATGATCATTTATGAGTGTTTATAACTATAATTACACGGTGCTATAACATGATTATAACACATTATACATACATATGCGTTTAAGAGATAGGCGTCAAGTAAAGTGTTACTGAACATTTTCTAAACAAGCTATATGAAGCATGCAAATACTGTTAAATCTCAGGCGTATTCTTTGGACACTATTGCCAGTTTAGGGTTTGCCTCCATTCTCTGCTTGTGTAACTAAGCCCGCAGTAACTGAATCCAAGTGTAGTACAATGTTCCAGATGGAGCTGATGAATGTTGAGCAAAAGTTTAGCACCTTGAAATTGGAGGAGATGTAATGTACAGCTTTTTGAAAGTGTAAGTGCAGGAAATGATGATGCTACCCAGCTGACCAATCACAAGGTTTGCAGCCTCTGTTGCATTCATGTCACATTTTTGAGGAGTCTGCACAGGTACAGATATGTGAACCTAAGACATACGCTGCAGCATAGATTTGACATAGAAGAATAAACCAGGCTTTACACTTTCCTTGCTCAGTGTGCTTAATATTTTCTATTTCACAGAAATCAGATTGACAGAGAGAAACGTATTTAGACTTTGAAGTTCTACTCTCTACAAAACAAGTCTGGCTAGTTTGTCCTCCCTCACTGTTGCTGACAAAGTCTGGCCTTTTCTTGATTTCGATTGATAAGTGGGGGGAAGTGACGCTAATGACTTTGGCAGTGTTCCTGAAGTTGAGCTATCTTGATCTGAGAGTGCTGCGAGTGCAGCAACAAAAAACAGCTGATGCTAAGGGTATTTTTTTTGCTCTGGTAACACTGAACGGACGGCTTTGTAAAGAAAATAGACACCACAAGAGCAAAAAACACTGTTAGCTGACGGGTATGACTGGGGTTTCAATTAACTGAGGTAGCTATCCAGAGGTTTGCAAGGTTTTTTTTAGTTACGAATGAAAAAAAAAATTCTCAGACTACTGTCCCTAAAGATGCTGTTAGACTAAATGAAAGGCTCAGATGTCAACGGTGTAAATATGAAATTTAACGACAGAAGAGCCGGTACTTTGTCACTGTGACTGACCTCAGCAAGGACCTCCACTCTCTTGCGTAGTATTCCAGAGATATATCTGATGAGCCCCCACTCTTTGCAGGCTCCAGCTTGTACATACAGCTCCTCCAGCAGGGCGCGCACACTGACCCCGCCCTGCCCAGGACCTGACAACTCCACCAGCCAATCAGCTCCTCTGGTCATCAGAAGACAGCAAAAGTCAGGTCAGGATAAAATCACTCACATTAAGCTGTGTGTGTGTGTGTGTGTGTGTGTTGACAGTTTTTTTTTTTAGCATACTTCATAATGTAGAGGATGTAGAGGATGTCGGCCTGGTCCTGCAGAGTCGGACACTCCTTCAGTTGCCTCACCAGCGCTGCAAAGTCCGTGTTGCCCTGGGAGTCTCGGGGCAGGTGCAGATCAGCAGCACTGTGAGGCTTGTGAGGGATGACGGTGTTAGAGAGATACACCTTAAATTAAGAAACTAGGCTGGTGGTAGAGGAGATCTGATGTACCTACCTTGTGCTGCTTTACATTTGAACTATGCTGATAATGAGGAACCTCAAGTAGGTTGAGGGATCTGCGGTGTTTGCTTTTTACAGGAGTGACAGGTAGATACATGGAGGTCTCTGAAACACGTAAAAATACAAATTAAAACTACGTGTTATGAAGTCAGACAACACTGATCTTTGAAACAATATCTATGCAACTTATCTTTACCTATGTACCTATAAAATATAACCCCAACTGTACCCCACCTTTAACTCTGCATTACCTTATCTTATCAATTACTCCACCTTTGACAGCTGCATCATTCAAAGTGAAAACTGACTTCTACCAAATTATTAAACTCATAAAAAAAAACCTCACTGGGTACATTCAGACCCTGGACCTGGGCCATAAAAGACAGGATGTCTCTGGTGGTGTGTTCAGCACTGAAGACATGGTGCTGCCCCCTCTGGATGGGAGGAAGATGGCACTTGACGGTGGTGCTGTGGAGCAGCTGGGTGAGGTACTGGTCAAACATGTCTTTTGAGCCCTCTGCAGGTAAATAATGAACTCTGTTACTTACAGTTATACTTAATCACATATGACCCAAACACTAACACACACAGTATTTGTGCTCTAATACCTGCGGGCCCAAACTTGCTGTACTCCTGTCCATACTCGTCGTCATCAACGTCATCCTCATCCTCGAGGAGGCTGTCGTCATTCTCTTCATCCAGGAAGCTGAGGCGAGTGTGGAAGGAAGTGGTCTGGAAACTGGAGAGGTCTGACATCTGCACTCTGTGGTCCGATGCACACAAAATACCCACACAGGCGGGAGAATGAACACATACTGTTGTATGAAAGGTATTTAATGACTAACATCACATAGTAGCTGTGTGTTCGAGAAGAAAACAGACCTCGCTCCACCAAAATACCCATCTTGTAGTTTCCTAACGGTCGCCAGGATACATGAGTCAATGACATCTCCATCTTCTCCTGGACATAAAGAGTATATATATAAAGATATTAAGTGGAATAATTTGACAAAATATCAAAGTAGGGTGTCATTTAGATTGGCAGAGTTGAAATTGTTCATTTTGTTCAACTTTCAGAAAGTTTTGAATGTCAAAGTTTGTCTAACTACTAAAAACAGAATCTTCCAGATTCAAACAACAAAATAAGATTGAAGTTTCTGCTGAAGAGTGTCATCTGAAAAGGGACAGAATAGACTAAATGCTGCTCTTAGCAAGCAAAGACTAACAAACCTTTTTAGGCTAGAGTGATTTATATGGTTTGTCCTGCAATGCAATGCGCTGAAAAACTAGATTATCTAGTTTAGCTCCAACTGCACAGTTTATTTTATTTAAATTGTTTCCTGCAGCTCAAAGCTAAAGCGCAAAAATAGATTCAGTGGTATAATCGTTTCCTTAAAAGCTAAATTACCCAACATGCTGCGGGTGATCGGGAAAGTGAGTGTGGGCCGTCCTGTCATCCTCCAGCAGGAGGAGAGGTAGGCCAGCTCTGTTCGTAACATCTCCACAATCATCTGGTTGTCCAGAGCCAGGTAGAAATGATGCTGATCCAAAAACTGGACAGATACAGGGAAAAATATACAGGCAAAGAACGAAAGAAAGAGAGAAATTAATAATTACAACCCTTTATCTTTAATCTTATTATTGTCATTATGAACATCTCATCTTCACTTCACCTGTGGGATGAACATATAAGTGCGATCTCTGATCTCGTAGAACTTGGATGTACCCAGGACTCCGATGTGACGGTACGGCCTCCCGCTCAGATTCAGTTTCTTGCAGTTACCTTTAATAATCAGACGAGGTGTTACTTTGACTATTAGACACACCTGAACACAACTGAAAAGAGTGATAAGCCCTCCTTTACCCAGTCGAACGTAGACATGGCTCAGGATACGGGCAGGCATGACCCTGATAGGCAGAACTTCTGACATGGTCTGGACCGTGATCCCATGATCACTCAACAGCTCCTGAATCTCCTCTGTCTCTGCCAGAACACAAACTTACACACAAATTGAGAAAAATAATCATTACAACATGGCTGCTACGAAGACATCTGTAATTAAAACACCAAATCTGACATGTTGGAAATAAACCTTCCACTTGTTGTGTGTGAGTGAGGTTTTATTTCTTTAAATAACAAGAAAACAGAACAAAAACAGGTCCTACTGAGATGAATGAAAGCTGTTGGTCTGACAAAACAAATCTGAGTTTAAAGAGCTACTTTTTAGAGGATCGTAGTGAAGATAGAAACACTGATCATTTTTATCCTAAAGTGTTTAAAGTAAAATGTCCAAAGTCAGATTTTGAGCTTTTCCAGGATCCAGGATTTTTTTTTTAAGGCTTACATTTTCCTCTAATAACTGCTCACCGACCTTGAACCACAACATCTGGCTTGAAGCTTGTAGAGAATCTCCTGTTGAGGGGATCGATCTCCCCTGGTGCCAAAAAACCCTTAAAAACAAAGCAGAGAGAGAACCATCACAGAGGGAAGAGGAAAGAGTTTGTAGTTAAAAACACAAACTGTCTGAATTTCTGTGCACAGCACTGCAACAAAGGTATTTCATACCAGCAACTGTTTAACTCATTTACAACATTTCATCCACACTCACCAATGACTTTTGCTTTAAAAATACAGTTATATGTTTAAAATCTAAATAATTAAGGGTGATGTACAAAGACTTAAGACTACCTCAGCCAGCAGACAGCCCAAGATGTAGAGTGACTGTCCCCACATGTGCGGCAGCTGTCCCATAGCCACTCTGTCCACTGTGTGAGGATTGCTGTACTCTTCCTCAACCTGGAAAAAACATGATCAAAATGTTGATAGGCAAGAAAACTGACAGTCTGTTAGTCCCTGATGTTCCAGACTTTATTAAAACCTATGCAGGATTGCAGCTTATAGCAGGAGTTTACACCTAAAACTATGTCTATGAGCTAACATGCTTACAATACGACTAGCGCGGTACTTATCACAAATGAGGCAGGAAGCCAGAATAAAACCCTGCACCTCAGTTTCCTGTAGGTGCTGATGGCATAATTGGTCATCACCTATTCAGGCCAGACTTCACCAGGTCTATTCACAGCAGGGAAGCTCAGAATAAGACACCCAGGAAGAGAGATACAGCTCTGCCATTCTTGCTGACAGTTAGCTCATGCTGTCAGTCAGGTTCATGGTTTACCCCTACATTTTGTATTAAGTTGTCTGGTTATATCTCTACCTTTCACAGGGATGTGACATTTAATGTTCAGCTTAGCAGGTTTGACAGTAAACTGTTGCTGCTAGTCTGGAAACACTTCATGCAGTTAAAGAAAGATGTGGCCAGTCAACAAACAAAAGTTGCTTCCTGATGGCCGGGTTAAAAACAGAATCTGATGTCTTTCATGAGGCTTTGACAAACTGGTTCGGCTGGTCAGACGAGTTAAAAGTGTACACTGTTTTTATTTTCTCTTTGAGATGACATACCTTGTCATGAGGTACGGAGTAAAGTTCAGGCAGCAGTTTGATGCCATTTTTCCCTCTGATCAAAATGCCCTCTAGTGCCTCACGGTACTCCTGGACCTGAGGGGAAAACACAGAAATCTGTTCACATTACATCTGCATTTAAATTCTGACATGATATTACAGGACTGTGCACACAATTCAGTATGATCTGCTTAAGGAAAGGTTCTGTTACCTGAACTTGATCTTCAGCAAAGATACCGTCCAGGATGAGGTAAGTCCAGAACACAGGCCACTCACACTCAATGTTCTCAAACAGCTTCAGCTCTGCAGGATCGTAGTGAAGCCGAGAAGGGTCCTAACGGGATAACAGACATCAACAAACTGCCAGCTCGGATTTTAAAACTATCTTACACAACAATGAATCAGACAAATTATGAACACAAGCATTAGGAATTTAAATAAGAGGAGTATCTGACCTCTTTGGGACATCGATACCCATCCCTGATGAAGCGGCAGCAGCCATAACGACCCTCAAATGACAGTCAAAGTGGACATTTGAGTATACTGGCTGACATGTAAATTTCTATTACCTAATGTTACTTCTACATGGGTGCTCAGGCTGTACCTGCAGTTTGCTTATGATTTCAGACTTGGTGATAGCCACCAGGTCGGCGTCTTCAACAGCAAAAGCTGGAAAGGAAATGACGGACAGGAGACCAGCATCTATTTCTTTTGAGGTTGAAGCTCTCGGCAGCATAGAGCAGAGGATGGACTGTAGAGAAAATAAACACACAGACATGCTGAGAGGAGGGAGAAAGAGGAAAAACAATGATAGGGGGGTTGGAGGTAAAGCCAACAGTACCTGACAATGCTCCACTTCATCAGGCAGAACATGGATGACGGATTTCGGGCCCCCGTGGGCACCAAAGAGGTCCAGCTCATCGATGGCCTCTAGAGCTGCCTGCAAACATGTAAGCACACATTCATGCGTTGCCACGTGTTTAAACTCTGTTTTCTTGTTTGATTCATCATGTCAAGAGTATCACAAATAAAGTTAGTGGCTCCTTTACTTTAGCAACTCCCACAGAGCTGCCGTTGAGCTCAGGGATGCCCTGGTTGGTCTTGTCACCGCGTTCCCACATCCCATAATCCTAAAGGGCAAAAAGGTCACAATATATTACTCAATTCTTCAGTCTCTAAACTCTCCCTGCTTTTTAATTACTCCTTTATTTCAACATATCTCTACTTTAGTTGTATTTTGAGACAAGTGCTTTATTAAGAGTGGTCTGGCTGCAGACCTTCACTGAGAGGAGACATTAGGTGACATTATTTCTCACGCATTCCAGTTTGTTGTGGTCATCCCGTTTTGTATTTTGTTTTTGTTGACCACATGAATACACAAAAAAATCTTATTAACATTATGAACATAAAATAAATCCCGAAGAAAAAAATACACACTTCCCGGTGTTCTCACTTTTAATAAACTATAGATTTAAAAAAAGAAACATACTCCTGATATATTTGCTTTTATATTGAAAGGCTTCAAACTACTTCCAGTACGCTCAGTGGAGGTCTGCAGCTAGACTGTCTTGGCTTTATTACAGCTTTGTTTTGATCCAGTGAACGCCTAGATTTGCTTTATTTCAAAGCAAATTTGCATCTGCCACATAGAAGCACTGAAAAAAGGCTAGAATTCAATCTTGTTTCAAAAATTGCTGTAAAATTTTCACGTCTTGCTTTCAGAAACCTTTAAGTATGTCTCTCACCGCCACTTTGTATGCAGCCTCTATGTAGAAGACCAAGTTCTGGATAAATGCCACCTCATCCAGGTTAGAGATGATACAAAGACCTGCGCGGTGACATGAAATACTCAAGGATCAACAGACAGACAGGTAACCAAGCAGCAAACATGTCTCTCTGCTGTCTTATCTTACTGATACCACAAAGGAGTCAGACATTTTCCATTCCATATTCAATTTGAAATAAAAAAGAAAACACTTTCTCAATAATTGCAAATAGAATAAACAAGAAACTTCAACACGTCTTTACCTGAAGCTGTCATCTGTGCCAATATCAGCAGGTAAATAGAGGTGGCGTCCACCTGGAGGTGACCCCACTGGTCATCTCCGACAACAGTAGCACATGTTGGAGTATCATATTTGGCATGTAAGCAATCTTTTGTACTCTGGGTGTGTTTGAACTTCTCAACTTTGTCCACCTGAGGATACACAAACACGCAAACAAGCATGATGAAAATACAAAGTGCACAAGAGGGCAGAGATTGGTGCTGACGCTCACAGTTAACAGATATTAAGTTGGGATAATTCAGCTTTGTGGACAGCATCTCGAAGACCAGTGGATGTCCTTACTGTAAAATCTGCAGTCACATTCATCTTAAACAGTGTTTCAACATGAACAGTTATCATATTTTACAGGGCATAATGTAGACACAGTAAACAGTGACCTTTTTCATATCACTGTACGGATTATTAAAACATTATCAGGGCTCTCACTCATCGCCCTCTCCTCAACATCTCATGAGTCATTTCTTAAAATGTTTATACTGCTGCAGCAGAGGATGATTCCCCCCTGAGCACAGCAGGATTTCAACACTCTGCTGAGAAACTGGCATCTCCATCTTACTCCCAGTCATGTAAGGAAAGAGCAATAAACAACACGTACTGTCGATGCAGCCGGGCCTTCACACACATTTGTTTTCTTTACCTTCCACCTACTGTATGTTCCCACATGCCTGTGCCAAATCTGAGCAGAAATCTGAAGAAAGAGTTTACATCAAAACAGTCTGTCTAAATACAAAAAAAACCTCCTTTACATGGTGAGTTTTCCCTTTAAACACATTTATGGATAACAAGTTTTAACATGTGAACCAAATATTTAATGAGATCACAGTCGTCTCTTACCTGTCTCATCATGCACTGAAGAAGTCCCTTCATCAGTTTCACCACACTCTGCCAGAAAACAGCATTATCAGCACACGCTGCAACAATGACACTTATTTTCTATACCACTGTATGCATGAGTAAAAATCACAGATCACTGCTGCTCTAAACACTCAACTGAACCAACTTAGAATACATGGAGCCAGTGAACGTGTAGTTTTTTCCTACACCCTCCAAGTGCACTTATTTATTTATGCCAGTGCATCACAGCTAAATGCACATTAGTATAGCAGAATAGTGAAAGAGGACATCACTGTAAAATGTGAATGCATCACAGCTCCATTGAAGTACAGTTTTTGAATATGTGATCACATATAAATTATTTAGATCTACTGCAAATCATCAAAATCAAACTAACAAGGTCAAGAAGGATATCTAACATATTTATCTATTCCAAACAATAGGCACAAAATAAGATCATGAATTAAACAGTAGTATTTATTTATAAGATGCCACATAACTTTCTGAAGTTATAAACTACATTTTAATCTCCATTGTTTTATTAGTTTTATTTTCATGTTAGTCAACTGTCTAATTGTTGTGATGACTTTGCATTTTATCATTAGAGAATAGTTGTTAGACCTCTATTTAAGAAAACTAAACTAAGCTCGATAGCTGACCGCTCTTGAATATTTAACCCTTCAAATAACAGAGAGAACAAACAGTCACTGGTGTACATATTGACCCTCTCTGTGAAAAACACACCTGTTCCAGTTCGTAGGCCTTGGCCTTGTCTTCATCGCGGTCTGCGTTCTTGCGGTAGGCCATGCCCAGCCCCCATACTGCCAGGATGCTGTACACATTATCCCTTACCCAGGCGTCCTTCTTCTCCGTACTGGCGGGCAGAAGTCCTGTTACTGCGTTCTGAAACAAATACACACACACCAGAGCTTAATAATGAATCTCAATCCGTTTTTTTTTACTGACTAATTGCAGTAATTTAGAGAGAAAAGGTCAGACACTATTTAATAGTTATTACAGCTTAAAGGTCATATTTGTTCATTGAATTTTGCTAATGTGCTGCTAGAAACTTCAATTATTTGGACAATGGCTCTTAAGCCACCATGTTATAAATTGCTTAGTCATACACCATCCTCAAGGTATTATTTATGGGCTTTAAAAATAACTATATAGAAATAGTTTTCTTTCACATGTCATGAGCATCAGTTTATATTCTTATCTGTTTCTAAAAGAGTTTGAAACAGATCAGTACAGCTGAACTCAGTATCAAGTCTCAATCAGTGACAGATGATGCTATCTTTAGTCAGGTTATTATATTTAAAGTAATAATTAACATTGTTTCAGTTGTCCCTCCCTCCTTTGAAAGACGGTAAACGCACACTCTTGAATGTATATCTGTATGTTGGCACTGTTTTCCATCGTCTGTCATCTCTCCGGGTCACAGCTTTAAACTTAAACAGCTGTTGACTGTGCCTCAATGTGAACTCAAGTGTTTGTAGATAAGAGGGCATAGCGCGCCCGGCCTCCGCCTTTTCCAGGGACTGAACTTTGCTCACACATTGTTTGTTCCTATGAACCTCAGTCTGGTTAAAAAAAAACAACTTCTTCACAATTTTAACTCAACTCTACATGCTTCCATTAAATTTGAATTCATACTTCATACTTCACCACATTTTTTTACATTTTTTTTTTTTTCCAGGCACTGTGTTGAGAGTAACTTCTCAATCTGGTCAATCACAGAGCATGGGGAAACTTCCGCTGCCCAAGTTCTTATAAATAGTTGTTTACATATTTTCCTGGAAAAGGGAAATTATTTGTTCTGCTCTCTCAAAGCATGGAGCCGGGGAAAAAACAGACCTCAGCAGAAACAGAAACTTTGATGAAGTTAACAAAGTTTGGCTGTAAGAGGAACTGCTCAATAATGCTGTTCATTGACTTGTGTATAGACAATATAACAGCAAATACCTGTGTCATAAACTTGTCTTTTGAAGTGATACAAAAGGCAATCAATCTAAACCTGGGTTAACATTATTCACACTTTTACCAACTCTACAACTGTATACTTCACATTATTGCATCTATATTGATCACAAATCACATCCATTTTAACCACTTTAAGTATATTTAGATTCAAATACTAGGCTGTATAAGTGACCAGAATATGAAATCGGTCTCCTGTATCCTGCTTTGTATGTGTGGACAGAAGACTAACCCAGTGTTTTTCAATTAGGTAGTCAGGTGTACCCTGAGAAATTATCCAATTTTACTTTACTGGTCTATTTTTTAACAACTTATTATCTGCAAATACTATGCAATTCTCAAGTGTCTGTGCTGTAATCTGCAGCCCCAGGTTTCACACTGAGTGAGTATGAATAAATTGAGAGATTATATTGTCATTGTATAAACTGTATTTGGGGCTACAAAGTGGCATTTAGTAACGTTTTTGTTTGGTTGTGTGCCTCCTGATTTTTCTAATGAAAAAATGTACAATGGCTTAAAAAAGGCTGAATAACAGTGGACTAACCTGGTGTTGCAGGATAGTCTCTTGGACCAGCCTGGCATATCCATCCAGCCTCACTCCTGAGTTACTGCGGCTCCTCATCTTCTCCGATCACTGCACACACACAGCAAAACAACAGGTTAAGGTCAGAACTAGGAGCTACACGGTATTAAACACTTGATTATTTCCCTTTCTCTAAGCATGACAACATGATATATGAGACGACCGAGTTATGCTTCAGGTAACTTACAATGCAGTGGTCCATCCTTGAAGTCCTGCAGCACAGACCGAACCTGACGCCTTCTGCAGAGGCTGCAGCTCTGCTAAGGCTGGCGGGGCTAACCGAGTAGCATCCAGCTGTTTTTTGACGACACTGAAACGTCCCGTTAAATTAGAGCGTCATATTACGCAGACAGGGCCAGGTGTTTGGACAAATCACAGCAGGAAACGGGGGCGAGCTCAGCAGGTGAACACACAGGTGGTTTCACAGGAGGACATCCGCGTTGAAGGTAGTTATGTCCTTAACTACACATCCACTCCTGAGCCGGAAAAAGGGACACACTACAGTCCTGTAGTTCGAGTTTTTGCTCGACAGGGGGAGCCAAATGACTTATTTTTTTCCCCCCCCTACAGGTATTAAATATCCTATTTCTTTCATTTTGGGACAAATTCTTCAATCATATTGTAAATTTTACCATTTCTTTTAAAGGTTAATAAAAGGTTACTTTTAAGATATCTGATACAAAGTATGAACCCTAACCCTAATCAAAAAAATCAAATCAAACTTTATTTATACAGCTCTTTTCATACAAAGGATGTAACACAAAGTACTTCACAGTCCAATAAAACAAAAAGCAAAAACAAAAAAAAGTCCCATACAAATTATGTGAAGGTTTGTTACTGTTAAAAGTTATTCATGAAGTATTGTATGCAAGATATAAAGCTGCACAGTTATTGTAGTTATTTCCCATTGGCCTTTTAACCTTATAATAATAACACTAACTTTATTTTTATAGCACTTTTAAATACAGAAGTTTACAAAGTGCTGTGACAAACAGTTGCAAAGCACAGAACATCAGCACATGGAAATAAAAGCAAATAAAAACAAGGCCTCCGAATTGAAGGCCAATTTAATTTTTCATAAGAAACCCAGACAATACAAGAACCATCCAACGTAAAATGAGACCATGAGGTGAGTGAGTTTTTAAATTTGACTTAAAGAAGTGACTGTCTCTGCATGCCTTATCTCCTCTGGTAGGTCGTCTCAAAGTTGAGGAGCTCTGATGGAGAAAGCTCTATCACCTTTAGTTTTGAGTCTCGTGTCTAGTGGTTATTTTAGGTGTAACATATAACATTAATTCACGTTTTTTGTATGTTTTTCTATGTAGGTTAAGATATCATAGGATCAGAGCGCTTGGATATAATAACAAAGCACACTTACACATTAAAACAGCAGTAGATTATGTCCTTTTCCATTACCATCTTTATTTATTTTCTCCGGCTTTATTGACATGTCAGGAATTACATCAAAACACAAAACGAAGAACAATATAATGCCAGGGGGTTAGAGTATTCCGATAGAAACCAATTCATTGTTATTAGTTCAGTTCAATAAAATATGATATAAAATGCATAACTCTGTGGTTATTATCGCTTTTTTGTTTGATGTTTATTGTAAAGTGGTGAAGTATTGTTCGAGTTTAAAGTTTTGGATACTGAAAACTAAGGATATCTACAAAAACGTCACGAATAACGGAATCTCCCAGCCAATCAAATCCCTTCACTACAGCTTTTTCCACCAATCAGAACGCCGCTTTCTTCAACGTTGTCACCAGCAAATACCATCCAGCTAGTTTAGCATCAGGCTAACCAAGAAGCTACCCTATAGACACAGGAACATCTTTTCACTGTTTGGTTTGTGTATTTTTGTTGAATTTACTGAGCTCATCGGTCGTTGAAAAGACTGAATCGGCGGCCAAGTCGAAGGTAAACTGCCGTGTTTACTTCTCGTGTTTGCTGTAGCTAGTTAAGCGTCGCAGGAGGGGGCGCAAATGACACTCGATGTGTTGTTGATGTTAATGTGGTGATTTAGTTGAGTTTAGCGCATATGTGGTGATCAAGAGTCACTCCAAAAGCTTAAAGTTACCGTATTACCTTCATCAAGAGTCATGTAATCGGATATCTTGGTCGCTTGTTCTTTATAAACCCGCTTGTGTTTCCCCGTTAGGGCGTTTTCTGATTCATTATTCTGGTAGATGCTCCAGCTGCATCAAGTGTCGTGTATCACAAAAGCAGGATTGATATCGATCATATGTATTTTCGTTGCTGATGTCTTGCAGATGCCTCACCATCCCTGTTGTTTACCAGTCTTTAAATGTCCATCTTATTCAAAGCAGTGCTAACTTTTCCTCGAAACTTCCTCTTTTAGATGCAGTTCATGCTGCTGTTCAGCCGGCAGGGAAAGCTGCGGCTGCAGAAATGGTATGTGCCTCTGTCAGACAAGGAGAGGAAGAAGATCTCCAGAGACCTGGTTCAGACTATACTGGCCAGGAAGCCCAAGATGTGCAGTTTCTTGGAGTGGAGGGACCTCAAGATAGTGTACAAGAGGTAAATAAATAACACAGGCTCCAAAAGTATGTGAAATAATCATATTAGGGGAGAGTGGGGTAAGTTGAGCCACCCTCTGTTGCTTGGAAATGGTTAAAGAAATTCTGTCTGTGAAGGTTAGAAGCACATGGGTGAAGGGGTTAGACATTTATTTCCAAAAATTCTCATGTTCTCATGTTTTTTTTACAAAAAAGCTTTTTAGCAGTTATATGCAATAACAATAATAAAAAGAATTATTGTACCCGTTGAATAGCGTATAATAGATAAAAATACACATGAACATGAAGAAGTGACTGTTATTTAGGGAGAGAGAAGGTGAGGGAGGGCTGGGGTGGAGAGTAGGGGGGTAGTAGGGATATGGCTCAACTTATCCCGCTCCTATGGTCGACTTACCCCATACACTAGTTAGAGACAAAACTATGATTGCCTTGATGTAGTGATCTGAAATATAAAAAACGGCTCATCTTACCCCACTCTCCCCTACCTCTATTTGTTTTCTCAAGGAGATATCCACAGAGTTACAATGGCATCTTCATATATCTTTGTAAAACATTGTCAAAAATCCTTTTTTGTCTAAATCAACTGAATGAGGCTCTGGATTTTTTCATTTGGGACTTGTTTCAAAACTGACTTCCATGACTTTGAAACTTATTTACATGGAGAGGAGTACAGTGAACTGTTGGATGTAAAATTGGTAGTTTGACATAATTTAAACTCCAGGTTCACTCCTAAGTCTGCATCAGCAGATAGTTGATGCTGGTTTAGGTGTAGCTCTATCACATAAAAGTCGAGGGATAATGGGAGGGTGAAAATGCACAGCTAGTTCCTATTTTGAAGAGTGTAACATGTGGCTGTATGTCTGTGGAAACAAGGGTGAGAAAGGTTGAGTCTTTAAGTTGACTTTAAAGGTCCAAAGTTAAACAATGTTTCACAAGAGTTTGAACCACCCTGCTTCATTGCTTTGGCACTTGATTTGTTATGCCAGGCTTCAGATGATTTGGACTGATTGACATACTTGTTTGTTTGGTTACATCACTGATGTTGGCTTATTAATGTTGGTTATGAAAACTAATGAGTCACTGGTTACTTTGTCGAGAACTAAGATTTCTGGCAGTTAGATATCACCTTCTGGTGTGTTATGAAAGCCAGAAACACCACCTCTCTGTAAACAAACTCTCAAACAATAGAGGACCGTGGTACAAATGTGTAAGATTTGCCTCTTTTTTCTCGAACATATGACTGCTGAGTCACACAAATACAAGACACATCATCGTGTGTGTGTCCAGTTTCACAAACACAAAAGTAATAAAAACAAGAAACAAAACCACCTGGTGACTGTGGCACAATGCTGCTGTAACTTAGACTCAGTTTATTTCATCATGAAATAATTTTACAGTGTTTTTTGATGCTCATGCACAGTCTGATGCAGTCCAAGTAAAAAAATAAAATCCTGAAAATCAGTCCTGTTAGTGTTTATTTTTATTATGAAAGTGTTCAAGGTTGAAAGTTTGTTGGGACTTAGCTTGTTTGTTTGGTTGCACTTCTTGGTATTATACATGGAAGATAATATGGAAAAAAATCTGATAGAGAAAAGCACCAATATACGCCTGTGACTACATTTCACTATATCTAAAATCTGCACCCATCACAGCCTTGTTCATTAATAATAATTAATGTTGATATGCCATCTTCATTTCCCTCTTTTTTGCAGATACGCAAGTCTGTACTTCTGCTGCGCAGTAGAGGACCAGGACAATGAGTTGATCACTCTGGAGATCATCCACAGATATGTGGAGCTGCTGGATAAATATTTTGGCAGTGTGAGTCTCAAAATTATCAACAGCAAGAAGCTGGTTCATAATGTGGAGGGGGGGGGGGGGACTTAACGTTCACTGATGTTGAACAGTGTCCTGATCTGCTGCTGCTTTTTGTGTTGTGGCCTCACAGGTGTGTGAGCTGGATATAATCTTCAACTTTGAGAAGGCTTACTTTATCCTGGATGAGTTCCTGCTGGGTGGAGAGGCCCAAGAGACGTCCAAGAAGAACGTGCTGAAGGCCATCGAGCAGGCGGACCTGCTGCAAGAGGTAGGCCGTGTTTGTACAGATGGATAGCTAACTGATGAACGACTGTCAGTCAGTTAACCTGATAAGAAATTGAGCATTTGAGTTTTAGTAAAGGCAAACAATGCTACCACCAAATATCCCCAAAACCTGAAAATATGATTTGTTTTCTATAACATACAACAGACCAACTCCAAATCATTTCTGTTTTAAAAAGATGGAACCAGCATATTTATGACCTTCATATAAAGAAAGAAACATTAAATAGCCAACCTGCTGTTTAGTCACAAAGTAGTGGTAGCTGGTATTGGTTCTTGCCAATATAGAAACCAATTATTAGTTGTTCAAAAGATCTGAAACTTATATTGGAAACTGATGAGTGTTTACAAGAAAAACCAAATACTGTCATTAAAAGTTTTGACTTTAAGAGTCAGAGTGAAAGTAGCAGGCTTTTTGTTTACATAGTTTTTGGGGGAATAAGGTTGATACAAATAATCAGCCAAAGCAGGAAGAATGTCAAGAATCAGCTGTTTGGAGTGGGGGTTTTCTTGTTTGTTTCTATTGTTTTTGTTAATTGAAAATCATTGCAGGTGTAAAATGTCGTCCTACTCAGGGTTTTTTTTGTTGAAGCACACAGAAGGGGAACTCTACAATAAAAGATGTGTCAGTGTTTTCTCACATTATCGCCCTCTGCAGCTGGTGATTTTATGCTTGTAGTGTTCGAGCACCACTTCTCTCCCCCTCAAAGCAGTGCGCCAGAGCACTGGGTGTCCTGCGTGTTTGCTCTGCTCTCTGGCCGTATTCATTTGCAGTCAACAGAATCAGGGCTTTGTGGTTTATTTTTAGTAAGGCATGCAGTACTATTGTCATTACAGCCTGGCTGACTGCGCAGGCCTTTGAAAAGTTCAGCTGTCTGAAAGAGCCTCATGATTAAGGGTGTACATACAGTCTGTGCTTATTAAACATTTTACAGCTTGTATTTATGAACCATGTAATTACTCATATAGTCAAATTTTTGTGGGTTGGTTTCAATCTTTAATTTTTTGGGTTTGGTTTTTCTTCACCTGCAGGAGGCAGAGGCGCCACGGAGTGTCTTAGAAGAGATTGGGCTCACATAAACCATTTCACGGCTGCTGCGTCGCAGACCTCTCTCCCAGATGTTCATTTGGAAATGTCCATGTCTTCATCCTGTCTCCTCCTGATTGTGTCAGTGTTGTATGTATAAAACCACCACCTGTGTACTGTATTTCTCTGTACTGTACTATCCTGTTACGTGCTTTAAATGTGGTGCCAACTGTGGTTTTGATGTGTTTCCTCTGCACAAGCTCCCTCACTGTATCTCGCAGTATTACCCGCAAACATCTCTTTACACCTTCAAACTCCACAAGGAAAAAAATGTAGCAAAGACATGAAAACTCTAGCATCATATTAAGATCATCCATCAGTATAAGTCAAGAGTTTTGTTGTGCCGCTGGGCGAAAAGACTTCCTGAGGTGCTGTTTCTGCTGTGGTTAGTACCTCCTATAGATTCCCAGCATGTTGGAGTCAATGTTAAGTATTGGATTTGATGAATCATGAAGTGTTTGACCATCTTTGAGAAATCCAGGGGATCTTTTTATTTATTTTTTTAAATAAAATATTCGCCCGATCTGTCAGTATTTTCAGAATCCTCATGACATATTCCTATTTATCAATCCAGACATTGATAAAAAGTAATCTTCTTAAATATCACGATGATTTCCAGAAAGGCTTGTAGACAGAAATGACCAACACAAACACATTAATAAAAGCATTTTGGGCTATCATCATGAATAAAGTATTAATTATGAAACAGGCAGGACTCAGACAGGGTGGTAGTTTATCAGAGGCGCTGACTGTGGCAATCATTGACACTGTTACAATCACTTGTAACGTGCAGAATCAACCCACAAACTCACAGAAATTAAAAGTACCCCTCATCTGTATCGGTGATCTTGTTATGTATCTCTGTTCAAGTTTGTGTTTGGTGTTTCACCCTCAAGTTTCATCCTTTTTTTCCCCTCTTTAAGACTAGTTGAACTGTTTTAATGTAATTAGTGTCACGTCTGGTAAAGTAGTCATTTGTCTTAACCGTGTTGACTGATTTTGTTTACAGAGATCTTGAGCATATATCTGAGGTTAGTCTCTCCCTTAGTCTTAGATCAGGATAGGACAGAGACCCATATAAAAGAAAACTCTACTTTAGGTATTGTAAGATTTTGGCTTACTCTTAAAGACTCACATGACCAAAGAACACTGTGTTTTACCTTCTCAATGGTGTCTATTGAAGGCGAACATAGAGGAAAAGGGATTTAGAAGTGCAGGATGTCTGACAAATTGTATGTGGGGTTATTTGGCCACAGTTTACCAGTACTGTAATTAATGTAGTTATCGTAATCTTATCAAAGTCCGGTCTTTTTTGAGTCTCTTTACAGAGAAGAAGAAAAAACTGCACATATCAGGGTTACCACCGTGAATATTCATCACTGCTGGCTTGTTCTTTTGTGTATATGAAGCTGGAAAACAGGCCAAGTATTGACTCCTCATCCCAAACTGTATGGCAGTCTTTTTTTGTTTTGTATGCATTATTAAATCCACAAAGTATTTTTGTTGAAAATCAGGATCGAACAAGTTTAACTTTGATTTGTAGAAAAGAGGAAATCACTTTTTGTATTCAACACTGCCAACACATTTGCCAACTTTTTGTTATATTTGAAAGTTAACAATAAATGTATTCAAAAGGAAAAAAAAACAGACTTGATCTTTATTTTAGTTACAAAACCATCTGCAGCTTCCAGCGTCAAACTACTGAAACACTCACTTTTCATACAGTTAAATATTTACATATGAACATACTGGTGTCATCAATATCAATGTAAGCTAAACTAATTTATCACACTCAGGAGCTAAAACTACCCTCTTCACCTAATCCACTTTGTGTTTCTGTGTCAGATTCCTTACTTTTCACTTCAGCATCTAACTTTTCCTCGCTGTCAACCACTGAACTTTGATCCAGGTCTGTGTTTTTCTGAATACGTTCAGTGTCTTTTATCTCCTGACTTGGACTCGCTGCACCCGTCTCTTCGTTTGAGTCTTTTTCCTTCCCTGATTCTTCAGATGAGCTTGTTCCTTCAGGCGCGTGATTCTTTCTCTTCTTGCTTTTCTTCTTGCTCTTCTTCTTGCTCTTCTTGGACTTTTTGTGGCGGCTGCGGTTCGTGATCAGATCATCTTTGGTGGTTTCTTCATTTTGATCTGGTTTCTTGGGGCTTCTCTCTCTACTCTGCTTCTTTCTCTCCCTCTCTGTGCTCGAGCTTCTGGATTTCTCTTTTGCTTGTCTCTGGGTGTCTGTATCTCTGTCTTTACTGTCTCTCTCTTTACTTCTCTTCTTCGTGCGCTCTCTGTCTTTTTCTTTGCTCCTATTCCTCTGCCTGTCTCTGTCTCTACTTCTACTCCTTGTTCTTTCTCTGCTCCTGCTCCGATACCTATTACTCCTCTCGCTGTGTCTAGACCTGGACGACCATCTGTCCTCTCTGTGATGGAGGGAGGCTCTCCTCTCTCTGCTCCTGCTCCTCCTCCTGTCGCTGTCTCGCCTGCTGTAGGATCTCTCAGATCGTGGTGGACTTCTGCTACCGTGACGCTGCCTCCAGGATCGGTCTCCGTAGCGCTCTGACTGCCACCCGTCCCTTCGGCTGCCCTTCACACTGCGGTCTGGAGACAAATGCAAGTCCCTATCGGCCTGCCAGAATTCATTGCCGGGGTTTCTGAATACATGCAGGAAATTACAGTGCTTTCCTTTTGGGCACTTCTGCCTGTCAAACAATCCTGAGACAGGAAAAAGAGACACAAGGTTGTGAATCTGATAATGTAATACGGCTGCATTTAACAGCATCTTTTCTGTCAACATTAGTAAGATACTAACCACAAATAGCGTTCTTCCATCGCGTAACGGGGCAAACTTCACAGTGAAGCTGCCGCCCTGCGTACCACCGCCCGTTAAACTTGATTAAAGCTTCTTTACATTGCTCATCTCTGGACAGACGAGAGATGAGAGTTAAGGGAACAAGAACTGAATATGTTAAATGTAAAATCTTAAAAACTCCAGTATCTCAATTGTAGAACTTTTGCAGGATACTTACGTATCAAACTGGATGTATACGTTTCCCCTCAGGTGTGGTTCATAGTTGCAGCTAACCTACAACAAAAAAAAAAACACCAACAAAACCAAGTAGCATCTCAGTGGTAGTTAGATTTCAGCAGTTTCAACCAGCACCAGATTGAAAGAAGAATGAAGCCAAGAGAGCTGGACACAAAACTGTCATAGTCTCGTCTCACCTTGAACTGCAAAACCTTGCCGACGCTCTTTAACTCCGGCAGGACGTCATGATAGAACTCAACGAAAGACTCCTGCAGCTCCTCCTCACTGTGCTCCAACCAAGCATCAGTGTCATAATCATCGCGGCGAGACTCCTCCATGCCGAATGTCCTAAACATGCCGCGAATCAACAGAGTCGGGCTCGATGTTGGATAGACATGCTTCCGAGAACACCTGGTTTCACACAGGCAAAAAAAGAGGATACTGAAATACAAGTTCAATGCTGTAATGAGTCTAAACAGTGGCTTTTAAAACAATAAGTTGGGTCATTTAGAGCAGAGAAGAGAAAGCAAAAAGTACCTGTCTCCAAATCGACAGGCTCCAGTTTTCAGGAAGAAAGGACAGTTGGCGACATCGCGCTCTGTTCCAAAGTTGTCAGAGTTTTCTGTCACAGGAGCCTCAGGATTCATCCAAGGTCCTCCATTCTCTAACTACAGTTCAGAACAATGAACAAAACCTGATGTGAATACAGACGGCAAACTAAAAGAACACTCTGTCAGCACTGACAGAATGAATACAATCCACAGGTGGTAGAAGAAAAGTCCAAAAACAATATTGATACTTTAAAGTTTAAACAATATGACGACCAAATATACTTGGTCTTAAAATGTAAAAATATATCTTAATATTTCTGGTTGGAATAAATAGTAAATTTGATTATGCAATAAAAATGTTGTGGGCAGTTGAGTTCACAATTTAGTGAGAAAAGTTACTAGTTAAAAAAAAAAGTAAAACTTGTGATTTAAAAGAAAATAAAATTACAAAATATTGATTGAAGTGTTTTTTATCTAAGCCTTACATTTATTAAAGAGAGTTCAAAATAAAAAAAAAAAAACTATAGATGTAAATGGCAAAAAAAATATATACATATTGTTTTAAAAAAATGGGTGTTTTTACCTGATTTTCCGCTTCATCCAACATTTTCTGAACAGCCTCCTACAAATGGTGTAAAGACACGGCTGGTGAAAACGAGTAGAGGTCAACATACTGCAGCATGTCTGTTACGGCGTGTTAAGATCACATTTACAAATACTGACGTCACATAACTTCTGGTCTTAAGGAAACCCCGTCCACAGAGTGTTTTCACATTGTTCAAAAGATACATCCTTGTTGTGACAGTTGAGGTTTTTCTCTTTGTGTGTTTCTTAGTTAAGGAGATGGATGGTTGCTTGTGCCACTCAGTCAAGGAATTTTTACAGAGCCGTGTACAAGTAAAAACACATCAGAGGAACACTGAGCTTTTGAGATATCCTTAATTATCTGAACCGCCCTCTTAGATAAATAATCTGAATCCATAAGATTGAATAGAAGAGGATATATTTCTTTAGTTTCTATCCTCCTGGTGCACGTTTCACCTCTCTGCCTCGCTTCTCCTGCTGTTTCTGCTCTCTTTCTTCTTGTTCTCTTCTCTGCTGGGCCTCCCATTCCTCCTTTATCATCCGCTGTGGAAACAAAAGACAAATTCCCGAAAATATGAACATTTCAGTCAGTCGAACAGCTCAGCTTATGTTGGCTTACAGATGGAGTAGTAATGAAATATGCTAAACCGGCCACAACTGATCAAGAGTGACACCGAAGACCAGCTGAGGGAGTTGCTTCAATCAAAGACTGTTCACCTCTGAGCAACAGCGTGGGAAATCAGTATGATTTGGGAAACAATGTTTATCTGTTGCGTGAATCAAGAACTTATAGCAAGAAAAATCTGACTTGGAGGGATCAATCGATTTTTAGTTTTGGCAATCAGGCTGTAGAACATCAGTAAAACATTACCAACTAAATCAAATCTTAGTGATATGAACACATAAAAACCTGCTTTATTTGCTATGTGCTGATATATCTGGATTTAAGTGCAGATTGCACTTATTGGTTTACCTCTTCCTCTTCTTTCCTCTTTCGTGCAGCTTCCTCCCTCTCACACCTCAGTCTGAATTCCTCCTGAGCTTTCTTCTCTCTTTCCAACCACTCTTCATGAAGCTGCAGTCTTAGAAAACACATCAGACCAAAACAACAAAATACATATCAAACTCTGTGGGGTCAAGATTTCTGTAGGAACAACTAAAGGACAGCAGAGTAACAGTGGGCAGAAACCTACCTTTCCTGCTCAGTTGTATCATTATCCTCTTCATCCTCCTCCTGTATTCCCTCTTCATCAGCAGGTCCATTGATAACTTCATTGTTTAAACCTGTAAAAGTTGAAATAATGTAGTGGTTCATGAGCAGGTATAACTGTATGTTAGCAAATTGGGCACAGGGTCTGACACAACAGTCATCTTACCACATGCTCTGGCTTGGGCGAGCGCTTGGCGTTTCCGTTTCCTTCTCTCTTTCCTGAGAGCAGCCTTGCGTTGCTTTTGACTAAAGTGAAATATGGCGTGGAAAAAAACTGATCAGAGTTGTACAAAGATGTATAATTTCCACGAGGGTTAAGACAAAATGGGGTGAATAGTGTGGACTGAAACTTGACATTTTTTCCACATGAGTTATTCTAGAATTAGGGGTACATTTCAAGTTCACCAAAAACTCCAAATATCAGGATTCTTTTTGATAAATAAACTAGATGTTTCTATGATATACACCCTTAATGTGCTAAATCAATTAATCGGCAAGCTTAAGCTCAAATGGCTTTTAAATTATTTTACCGAAAATTAACACTTGATTCATCATTTTGCAACTGTGTTACGGACAAATGTTGTGTCATATAAAACGTGTATAAAATACTAAAGATTTGATAACACGTTTGTTTGAAAGTGTTTGAGTCTGTACACCTGGGTTTCGAGTTTATCTGTCCAACTGACTTAAAAATGTGAATTTTGAGCTTCATAATGGTGACGTTATGGGATACTTTGATGTAGAATGCAACCTTTCTCAACGTAAATTCACATTACACTGAATTTAGAGTTATTCACCATTCTTTTATAAGCCTTCCCACTCCAGAGATATCCTTCTTCCTTTTATAACAGTTTATTCAACATTTAAGAGATTTATGATGTAAAAATCACTCGTAACACAGTCGACAGGACAGGTGAACAGGACGAACCATTTTAAGATAAAATCTTTTGGTGTTATTAAATGTATCTTTGAAATAATTAAGCTGATGAGTTCAATTGAACTGATTAAAAACATAAAAATAGACGACAATTTATAGAAGCTAAAACCAAGTAAAATTAAACATTTTAAGGAGCCTACTGGCTACTTTTAGGGACACCTTTGTAACCCAGGATACTCCTAAATATTATTATTATTTTCTGTCTAACCAGTAAAAGACAGTTTGTATGGCAAACATCTGTTGCTGTTCATTTGGTGTCAAATGTTTTGATCAGCCAACAGCCTTCTCAGTTTCTACAGTAAAAACACAGTTAACTCTTGTTTTTTCTACAGTAAGTAACAGTGAAGAGCAGATTCATTAAGCCTGTTGTCATCAGTATAACCTTAGATCACAGGTTTGTAGATTCAGCTCTAAAATGTAAAACCAGTTTCATGCAACAAAGGTTTATGTGATAATTTTACTAACATGGGACTGCAGGTTCACACATTTAGTTTACAACGTTAAAATAACATTTTTTGCTCTATCTCTCATGACCTCGATAATAAATATATAAGTGAAACACACAAACCTTAAAGCTGGAGCGGAAATCACTGGAGCTGCCATCATCACACCTGACTGCAGCAATACCAAGCTACTTTAGCGCTAGCACCCACACATGATTTACCAGCCTTAGCGGAATATTCTCCTCTGCATTTCATCAAAACTTTACACCAAATATTCGGTAACAGAAGATGTTGCATCCGAAGTGGATTTTGTCCCCTAGCGTACCAGTGAGGATGATATTTCTTCGTTAAACATGTGTGCTAGCAGCATGCGATGTTGTTTGGTAGTTGTTGCGGAAGAGGCGGAGCTAGTGTAAGTCACTTCCGGGTACAACTGGATGTAGTTTATTTATTGGTTCAATTGTCGTGTTTTTCAAATGTTGATAATTTATCACGATGAAATTTCTTAATAAATATAATTAAAACATTTGAACATAATTCAAAGCTCCATTGCACAACTAGTTAAATCTATTGAACATTATAAAGTTTTGAGATCACATATAAATAAAATATAAATAAGTACTTACAAGTCAATTTTTCAACTAACAATATACGCAGAGCACAGCCAAATTGGGTTGCAATATTTTTTGATTAAAAAAAAATTTCTTGGGAGCTACAAGAATATGACAAAGCACAAATATTCAATATCTAATGTAACATTTACCATACAATTCAATGTCTTTTAAATATTTCACAATGTTTATGATATAATGAAAAGGTTACTTTATAATTTAAAACACACACAAACATTTCAGTGATTTCTTTTATTGTCTGACATATTAGCAAAAAGGCACTTGACAGAAATTTGAGTGCAAACAAGACAAAGAATGTATCAAAATATAACAAAGAGTGTCATGAAGTACTTTAAATGCACTTATTTACTGTTCTAGAGCACACGTGTCTGTGCTGTGACCTTCTTCAGAGGACCTGCTTATCAACATTTCATTTTCAACATTCACATTTTCAAAATAGGCAAAATTTATGCAATATGATACAAACCCTAACACACGGGTACTTGAGTATGTTTTCAATAAATTCACAAAGTCTGAAGGTGACTGGTGTCAGCCCCTTTCTAGAAAACTACAACTGCAAACACAAGGCAGTACTTTAAAAGCACTATAGCATTTTATTCATAATGGAGCATTTCTATTTTATAGCATTTTTACGTTCTGGCACTCTGTCATTCAGTCTTCTTGTCTGGCGTTGACGTGAGGAAGAAGGCAGGTCTGGTAAAGCACCGGTAGCACAGAGCCTGAGGCACCAGAGCATATACAACATTGACCAGCAAGAAGACCAGCTGGCTGTCAGCAGGCACTCTGTAGGAGAATGGTGTCCGGGTGTGAAGAGATGCACCAATGTGAGAGAACTGTGCCTGTGCAGAGCAGCAGCAAGGGTGATGCATAAAAGCTTTCATTCATTATATTCACAGAAACAGGTTTTTTAGGACACACTCAAAGGGAGTTCACTTTAGTCCTCCAACAATTTTGCACTTCTGCACTTCCACAACAACTGGGAACAGTTTAAAGAAATTACAAGTTTTAGATTTGAAACACAATTATTTCAGGGTAGATACACCTATCGTTGAATTATAATGCTGCCACCCATTCTTAACTATTTTTTCAATCTAAATGACACCTACTAACTGATGTTGCATAGAAAGTCACTGTAAAAACACACACACACACACAATGTCTCATAGCAGCCATGGTTGTCGGAGCATCAGCTTGCCTATTTATAGCCAGCCAGAACAGCTGACATTTAAGTGAATACCACCAATACCACCATTCCTCTCAGCCTGAAGTCAGCTTCTGCCCTTGTCTCACTGATGAGTGACGTGTCAGCATGCAACTTGAGCACAATAGCTGCTTTGTATTCTTGGGTTGTGATCGCTTTACTTGCTGTTTCAATCTCTCAGTTTTTAACAATGTTGTTTATGTCACTGCTGTTCATGAGGAACCACAGAGCACTGGACATAAGAATAGGTGTGACAAACCAGTGTGCAGTGCCTGCAGCTGCAGAGAGTAAAGTTAGATTTGGGATCTCCACATAACACAGTTAATTCTCTGCACTGGCTGAGATCAAAGTTTGGGTTTGGTGTCGACAACCATTCTACTATTGTAACTGCAGAGTACAAGATTTTTACTTCTGTCATACAATATAGACAGCTGCTGTATTAATTTAAGTGCTTCAGAAAGTAAAAAGTGGCAACCTCATTTAAAAAAAGAAGAGAATAATGATCGAGCCTTCAGGGAATGTTCAGCAGCAATGTTTATGGTGTTTCTCTGTCACTCACTTATGGGGTTATAATAAGCACATTCTGTTTTGTTTACATAGTTTTCACTTTCTAGCCAAATGTTTACAGCTTTGAGTCAAAGACAGAAATCTAATGGGGGAAAGGGTAAATTGATCATATTGTATCATTTCCTGTTTCGTAACACTTTTTGATATTATAATGTGTTTCTGATAAGTGCGTTCCTAATTTTGATGTGTCTGTTTATTTTTTTAGCAAAATATTTGCAGTTTTAAGTCTAAAACAAGTCTTTATAGGGGACAAAAGTGATAATATTGTCATGTTTCATACCCCATTATACTGTATCAAATTACATCTTATTTCCCCTTGACATGTTGCTGTTTATTATTTAGCTAAGCGTAAGCAGCCCTGGAGCACAAGATAGGTTTCCTTGTTGGGACGATAAAAATGAGTTGCATCAAATTGTTCTGTACTGACTCTGTACAAATCTGTCTATATCATAGTGCATCATATCATACAGTGTCATAATCCATTATCTCACGTCTGTATGGTGTCATTTGATATCAGCTTTATTGTCTGACATTGTATCATATTACATCTTCTTTTCCTTTTTAATGCAGCTTATAATATCTTACATGATCATATTTTACCAGATCTTTCAGTTCATACTTCACTATATTGGAACTTACCTGATCATACTATTCTAAAGCTTATCATTTCATCTGTCTGACTAATCTCAAACTAAGCCTGATTCTAGACCAAATCAATGCTAAGTGAAAACAATGCTGCTTTTTCCTTTTACTGAAAGTCTTTAAGATCCTTATAGTGATCCCTACCTGTGCCAGTGCTCCTGAATGCACCAAAGTCAGGTCTGGCATCCATTCACATCCTGGAACCATCAGCCCATATAGAGTAATAATGTAGTATGGTCCAGAGTACAGCATGCTCACCAACATCTAAACAACACAGATGTAATTCACTGCTTCTGATATTTGTGTTATGACACTGAAAGATGAAGGTTTTATGATTAACAGTGAGTTACCTGCAGTTTAGGGTAGGCTGAGGGGTCTTTCAGGTAAGGCTCATACTGCTGTGTGTACTCCTGACACCATTTACTGGAGCAGTCCAAAACAATCTAAAACATAAGAAAGAAGGAAATACTGAAGCTCCAACCTTAGAGAAACAGTTTCACCAAAGTGTGTGCAGTTTAGGGCAGATGATAAACGAAGGGTTTCTTACCAGACCTCTAAAGACACAGAAAGCAAAAGCTGGAATGAGGTAGATGATGAAGAACAAGTCCAGAGGTCTCTCGAGTAAACTTTTTCTTTCATCTTCCTGAGTGCTCTAAGAGAAAGCCACAGTATGATGTTCAAACATGGCTCTATAATACGAACACACTGGTACTAATATGTTGTTGTCCTATGATAGTCAAAAATTCTCTGACACAACTTACTTGCTTGAACTGACCAAAGGGAGGACAAGTTTTCTATCATGAAGTGAAAATTAAGCCCATGTTTTAAAGGTATATGAATGATTTTTAAATGAATTATTCCCTTAAAATAATAAGGTAAAAAAACTTTGTATACATTCTTTGCAACAACTTCATGACTGAATAAGTCTATTTTAGACACAAGGTGCAGCTTTTTCTTGGCAGTTGAAGATGTGTGTGCCTGTTGCATAGTACGTAGTTTGCTTCACTTCTCTATTACTTTAACAAACGGCTGTCTGTATTTTCCATCTCTTCAAATATAACTGTAAACAAGAGAAGGTGGGAATCTCCATTAAGATTTTTTCCCCCTTTTCAATCCTAACTTACTGTCAGCTGAATGTCCCTCGTGGTGGGCTGACTGAAGATGCGAAAGCAGGCCCAGATAGACACTGAGATATACAGCATGTGAAGGATGAAGAGAGGGCTAACGTGGGTCCCATATTTCCCTGTGGAAAAAAACAAGCGGTACAATATTTTCACTAAAAAATATGTAAAATACTGTAGACTGAAAAAAGTCAACGAGAAGAGTACCATATGTGGCAATGTGTACAGCAGGAAACGTGTATTAATCTTTGTACTATAAACATCTGTTTGCACCATTTTCAGGAAAAGCCATGTAGAGGAGTTTCACAGGCTACCTTGCACAGGCTTTCTAAAAGCACCTCATTATTTTTAGTATACTTACCCACAGCATTCCCAAGAATGTAGACTATGGCACGCATGAGAAAAGAGCCTACCCAGTACAGTCCAATAGCTCTGTAACTATCTCTGTGAGAAAAAAAAACACACCATTGTTAAAGCCAGACAAACACACAGTAAATAGATAGATAGATAGATAGATAGATAGATAGATAGATAGATAGATAGATAGATAGATAGATAGATAGATAGATAGATAGATAGATAGATAGATAGATAGATAGATAGATAGATAGTAGTGTTGTATCAGGTCCTACCCCCATGTTATTGCAGCAATCATTAGCAGATACATTAGATAGTGCACACATCCATCCCAGTACAAGATCATGTGCCCATGTGCTGTGTTGATGTGTGGATCTGCCTGAAACAGGGAGGTTTTATCAGAAAAAATATTGTGCAGGTACCTTAAAAACAACTTATAAACATTAAAACACTTGCCTCTTTGAGGTAAAAGGTCACAAATCCATCGATGATGTTGTCCTGCTCCAACCCAATGATAAGATTCGCCACACTCAGGAATGCGTGCACTGCATACACTGAACAGATGGAGGGATGATTTTGAACAAAACTACATTTCCTTAATGCTTACACAATGTCAAGTCATTACCGTACTCATTATATGTTCTGTATCTGTGTCACTCTTAGTAAAAGCTCCTGTGAAGATTTTTCAGATTGTGCAAATTTTGGTGGCCCCTGTGGACAAAGCTGTGTTTGCTTAATTTGTCTCCTACATGTGTAAACACAATCTTCTGACAGAAAAGCTAATCCTACTCACTTTTGATGATCAAATGTACTATTTACATGAATAATGTGAAAACAGGGCTGTTTCTTCAGCTGTTTGGCTGACACCTACCCCCTCAAATCTGTTCCAGGCATCAAAAATTCAGGGATAAAAACATTACTCTTGTCACTAATTGTCTTTTTTGCTTGTAAGATATCATAAAAAGGCATCAGTATGAATTTCAGTCTTTTTCATAAGTACCAAAAGACTCCTCACAGGAGCTTTTTAACAAATATTGTGTGGAAAACAGAATAAAAATGACCATGAATAAAGTTAATCTTATTTCATTTTAAAAGTCAAAGCCTTATGATTTCCAGCTCATAACTAGATATTCAAAAGAGAAAAAAAGGAACATGCTTTTTATATCATACCATAGAAAAGAGGATCTACAGGTACCTTCCTCTTGAGAATGAAATGTGCAGAAATGGCTAGGATGAAGAGAGTCGTGCATCCAGCAAAGACGAAAGCCTCAGCACTGCAGTGTTAAAAACAAAAGAACATTTCTAAAAAATCTGAGGCACATTTTTAAAAATACAATTTGTTTGGCTGATAAATTAAAATGCTCAGAAGTTATATTTGGACTCACCTGTCGCTGTAAATGAGTGAATTGAACAGGTAACAGATGGGAATGGACGTCAAGGAGAGAACAAACACTCCTGTCCCTGCAGACGCGCTCATTGTGAACAAGGCTGGAGTGATTTCTCCTAAAGAGAGGGACTGAGAGGTCAGAATATTTCAGCCGCAGAGACACAGAGAGCTCATGTTTGGCCTGTTGGAGAGAAAAGTCACCGTGTGTCTAACAACTTTTACACGGTATAAACTTTCGCTTCCGTCATTGAATTCATGCCCTGTCCTGTTCATCTAGTCTGCCTCGCCTCTCTGTCTCCTAACTTCTGTCGCTCATTCTCAGCATGTTTGGGTTCGTGTGAAAGTGAAGGTGTAAACTCTGACATCTAGCGGTGGCTTGAAGAACTTGCAGTAAGGAGCAGTGGCTAAATTAAAAACAAAAACAGGACAGGCAATCTGAAACCCAATTTTAGTTCACTTTAGTCATTTGGCATATTATTTGCCAAATAATATGCCAATAATATAGTACCAATAATAATACATGCCAATAATATAGTGTATGCCTCCTTCCCAATAAGGCATCGCTTCATTACAGTTTTTCTCAGTCGCTTTGGTGCATTTCTCACGTCACTATTAACATTTGTACAACAGTTGGTGAATTTCTCAGAACAGTTAGTACAAACTGCCAAACCTAGTGGATAACCTGCAAAAGTGCATCACTTGCTTAAAATGAATAGTTGAGTCTTCAAAAGCAAGTCTTCATGTCAATGAAAGTGTCTGTGTCATCAAAATAATTAGTCCTGACATCATTGTTTATGAACAAGACAGTCAAATGGCTTTGTCGTGTCTATGTGTTTTCAAATGCAAAAAAGTCAGATCTTGGTGACTCCACCTGAAACTGGACAAGTGGCTTGTCATTGGTTACAACTAATGCTTCACACACTTTCTCATGAGTGAAAGCTGAGGTTCACCTGAGTGCAACTGAAAAAAAATGAAATCAACTTGACAGATTTTGACAACTGGTTCAACAATTTTGTATGTAATGATTCAAGCAATGAAATGAGGCGTATTAGTTTTATAGGGAACGACTATTCAGCATTCATAAATATAGTTCATTTTGACTGACATGACAGAAGCAAATGATAATGTTATAAAACAGCAGAGAATTATATGAAAGTAACTGATACATGTCCATGAGCATTTGCAATTTGTTCAGAGGAATGAGAAACTGCTATGATAATGTGCACAAATGACTCCATGTTGTGGAGGTTGAACTTATAGTTATGAGAACTTTCATTCTGATCTGAGAAATGCACCAAAGCGACTGAGAAACACTGTTTTATTCCTCTTTATTCTGAGAACTGTTCTTCCTTTCTCGTTGTCTCTTATTCCTCCACTAATTCCGTGTTTTTTAGCTCCTTTTCCACACACACGCACACTCACACACGCCCTGAGTTCAAAGATAAAGGTTGATGAAAAAACTGTTTTCAAGTATTAATGCGCATGCGTCACTTCTGGGATACGCAAGCTAGCGAGTGAGTAGCTAAACATCAAAGGGTGATGGCGTCTGCAGCGATGGAGACCACGTAAATCAGTTATTATTATTATATGGTATAAGCAGACGTATAATAATAATAGAAAGGTCTCGTTATGGCGACCGGGAGCGGCGGGAGTGTCGGCGGCGGCTTGGCGTCTAACCATGACGGTCAGGAGGCAGCATCAAACTCGGCTCAGTCCGGAGCCGCAGCCGGGCTCTCCAACGCATCAGCCTCCGGTCCTGCCCGGCCCGCCTCCCCGCCCGTTCTCGGCCTTCACCGGGAGCCCATGTACAACTGGCAGGCGACGAAGAGCTCCCTGAAAGAGCGCTTCGCCTTCCTCTTCAACAACGAGCTGCTGAGCGACGTCCGGTTCATCGTGGGGAAGGGCAGACAGGCCCAGAGGATACCGGCCCATAAGTTCGTGCTGGCCGCTGGTTCTGCCGTGTTTGATGCCATGTTCAACGGAGGCATGGCTACGACGTCGACTGAAATCGAGCTGCCTGATGTGGAGCCTGCTGCTTTCCTTTCCCTGCTAAGGTAGAATAAATGATCACCATCAACCATCACTGTATGCTGGGAATGAAATATCAGTATTACACATTTATTACTGCAACCCTTGCATACAGCTAGATAGATAGATAGATAGATAGATAGATAGATAGATAGATAGACTTTATTGATTCCCAACTGGGAAATTCCCACGTTACAGCAGCAATAAAAACACAAAATAAAATTAAATATAAGAGGAAGTATGTACAATACAGACTAAATACACTAAATATATACAATAAATACAGACTAAATATACTAAACATCCTAAGAGAAAAAGTGCGATATCAAAGGGAAAAAAGTGAGATATGAAGAGAAAAAGTGAGATATGAAGAGAAAAAGTGAGATATGAAGAGAAAAGTGTGATATGAAAGAGAAAAAAGTGAGATATGAAAGAGAAAAAGTGAGATATGAAAGAGAAAAAGTGAGATATGAAGAGAATAATTGAGATATGAAAGAGAAAAAAGTGAGATATGAAGAGAAAAAGTGAGATATGAAAGAGAAAAAGGTGAGATATTAGAGAGGAAAAAGTGAGATATGATACAGACTCAAAGGCAGCTGTTAAAATTTTTGCCATTATTAAACAGAAACAAAGAGTTGATTGATGTGTTTATAAATCTTGAGGGAAATTGTAATCTCCAGCTATTATTGTAATCCACTTATTTTCAAAGTCAAGCTTAAGTGTCACGTATTCTCTGATTTCAGCCTGTAATTGTGAGCTTGTACCACATTTTCTGTGGTAGTGACTGGCTCTATATAGTAGATCGATGCATACCTTTTGTTTTATGAAATCAGACATTTTAAACATGTCAGTGTCAGTGCTGTAACTTTATCAGCATTTCCTCACTTTTTTCTGATAATCCTGATAAACAAATCAGGATAAACAAAGACCAAATTGTCAGAAAAATTGGAAAATAGTTTTTGAGAAGTTGAATGTATTTGCATCTGACTCATAAATATGTGGCTGAAAGATCTTTGATTAGGTTCCACTTGGATTACTGGGGTCAAACATAAATCTAATCTTGGTTTGGCATACTAACGTGAGCCAAACCAAAATTCTGTATTTGCACTTGTTCTATAATTATGCAGTTTTATTGTTTTTCCTGAACAAAAAGACTACCAGACCTTTCTTGTGCACAGGTTCCTTTATTCTGACGAAGTCCATATTGGACCAGAAACTGTGATGACGACCCTGTACACGGCTAAGAAGTACGCTGTCCCTGCCCTCGAGGGTCACTGTGTGGAGTTCCTCACCAAGCACCTCAGAGCTGATAATGCATTCATGCTCCTCACTCAGGTTAGTATCATTCTTCTTACCTGTGAAGTAAAAAACTTAAAACTCAAGCAGCAGTTGTGATCTTCCACTTGGAAAGTCAATATTCATATCCTTTAACCTTTTGGTATCAGATCTTATTCACAGACACATTCAGAGACTTGATATTGTTTTTCTGCAGATACTTTGAGTAATTCTTGAGTTTTATTTTCCATGAAAGACTTAAGAATGACCTTTAACAGCGACATGTTTTCACAGAAACTGGTCTGAATAACACAAAGGCCTGACTGTGATCAGTTTTTAGTAAACAGTCTTTCTGCTAGTATTGGGGCTTTCCTTGTACCTTTGAAAAAAGTCGCTTGAGGCAGAGCATAGGTCCTGTGTATTTGTTTGACACGCCGCTGCTGTCCCAAAGAAGCACCCACAGTTCATCAACGTTTTCGGAGCTTTAATAACAGAAAAAAAACGCTTCTACTATGGCCAGTGATTACACGCGCACATCCAATGTAATATGTGACCACTTTGCGACGTGTATCATTTACAAAACAAAGAACATAAAGCGCGGTCAACAAAAATTACAGCTACCGTGGCTCACCACTCCACCCCAGTGCAGGTGAGACTTGGTGAGACGTGACCCAAACCCAGCGAAACCAATGGCAACCTGACAAAAGTAACTGAACACAGGATAACCGATCAGCAAAGCAACATTATGGCTCCTACCGTTAGGGAAATAGTTCTAATATAAACTGTTTAAAAGAGTTTTTAACTATTGTCCCGTACATCCGGGACAGACCTTTTTGCAGGAACACCAGCTGTTTTTAAGATTTTCCAAAGTCCGATAAAATAATGCCTGGAGCAGCACAAATTAAATGTTGCCCTCACAGTATATTGGACATTTGCAACTAATGGTATCTCCGACTTTTGTGCACAAAATAAAACTCACTGTTTGGCCATAAACCAGGAGAAAGTAAGAAACGTATCCACCTTAGTTTAGGTGAACTCTTCCTTTGAGTCATTTTGCACCACCACTAGAGCATTTTAAAACAAAGCAGGGGTAGATAGTTTGTTTTTCTGGGGCACTGTGTGAAACAATGCTGCAGCAGCTCTAATCATCTACTCCAAACTCTCCAAGCGTTTTCAGAGTGGAGGATGAAGCTGTTTGTTTTCTCTGTGTCAACACCATCCCTGTCATCCCGGCATTGACGGTTGAGTTTTCACCACATAAGAGGTTCTATTTTTAGATCTGGTCGCTGTTTGTTTTATATCAGCTTTTTTTGGTCTGACTGCTGACTGAAACATCAGGCTGCATGTACAGATGCTTTCTGATCAAAAACACTTTTAGTCCACGGCTGGCAAAGAAAGACTATCAAACATCGAACGGTGTACTTGACAGATAATTTCAAGTTTGATATGACAGATTTCCCTTCAGAGCAGAAGATATGGACAAATTTACTGTGAGCTGTGCATCAGAGTTATAAGGATTCTTCCTTTATAAGGGTGATGCACCTATATAAAAGCAGCCACTTGTAATTGGTGCATTTTAAATGTTTCTTTTGTTCTCTCATGACAGGCAAGGTTATTTGATGAGCCTCAACTTGCCAGTCTCTGCCTGGACACCATTGACAAAAGTACAGCAGACGCAATAAACGCAGAGGGCTTTACAGACATTGACCTCGGTATGTACGTCCTCTGTGCCTTATTTAGTTTTTGAAATATCTTCTTGGATGAATAATAATGTAAAAACTGTGCTGTTCTGTGTTTCCATGAGTAGATACCTTATGTGCAGTGTTACAAAGAGACACACTCAGCATCAGGGAGAACCGTCTGTTCGGGGCGGTGGTACGATGGGCAGAGGCTGAGTGTTACAGACAACAGCTTCCCCCGACCTCAGAGAACAAACAGAAGGTTCTGGGGAAAGCTCTCCCGCTCATCCGCTTTCCACTTATGACTGTTGAGGAGTTTGCTGCAGGTAAGCGCACCGTGACGAGACAATTCATGCTGTAATAGCGCACTCACTTTTCAACTCTATACTTACAAATTCAGCCTTTACTCAACATAACCGTCATGTTTCCATACAACTCAAACCACAGAAACCAGCTTGATATTCTTTCTTGTGCCACAGGGCCTGCCCAGTCTGGAATATTGTTCGATCGGGAGGTGGTAAATCTGTTTTTACACTTTACAGTAAACCCCAAACCACGGGTCGACTACATTGACAGGCCCCGCTGCTGTCTCAGGGGGGAGGAGTGCAGCATTAATAGATTCCAGCAGGTTGAGAGTCGATGGGGGTACAGTGGTACCAGCGACAGAATCAGGTGAGATCACAAACATCACAAGCTTGTTTGAAATCAGAGCAAACTGATTCAAGTTGTAATTTTTTTTAATTCCCTCTCTCTTTTTACTCCCTGTGTAGATTTAATGTGAACAAAAGGATATCCATTGTTGGTTTTGGCTTGTATGGTTCAATACATGGACCCACTGACTATCAGGTCAACATACAGGTAAGTAAAACTTCAAAAGTATCTTTAAACTAAATCAAGGACCCAGCTATCCTTTGTAGTGAACCCACTTATTCCCTCATCCTGCAAGTGTGTGGTTTTTGAACAAGTGCATTTAATTGTGGCTTATGAGTGGGGTTAAAATAGAGGACTAGAAACCCAGTACAGGATAAGTTTGCCATCAGACTCATAGAGCGTCACAGAGTACTTTGTTGGAGCTTCTATAAAGCAGATATTCCTCTGCACCTTGTTGTTCTCTCACTAAAAACATGATCTTGCTTTGTAGATCTTAGAGAGTGACAAACGCATCACACTGGGACAGAATGACACAGGCTTCAGCTGCGACGGCACAGCCAGCACTTTCAGAGTGATGTTCAAAGAGCCTGTGGAAATCCTCCCCAATGTCAGCTACACTGCATGTGCCACCTTAAAGGTCAGTCTGAACTTGCTGCTTGTAAACGTGTTTCCTCGTAAGTCGTAAATGATATGAATGAAAACAGTCTATTTTTAAACCACGGTAGATTTGACCTTTTTGACGGCATTTTCATTCACACCTCAGGGCCCAGACTCCCATTATGGCACGAAAGGACTGAAGAAAGTCACCCAGGAATCAACAGTGGGGACCAAGACGACATTTTTCTTTTTTAGTTCACCTGGAAATAACAACGGTACTTCAGTGGAGGATGGGCAGATACCAGAGATCATCTACTACACCTAGACTCAACCTGTATGTACACTGGACTGACCTCAGACTGCTGAGAAGACTGGACTGCTGGAGATTTATGTAGTGCCTCATGAACCCTTTGAATAAAGAATGTGTTTGACTGAGTGTGCGTATGTGTGCCTGCGTGTGTGTGTGTGTGTAGTGCTGTACAGACATAATCAGGAATGTGGAACCCTTTTAAGAAATTACAGTTCGGGTGTGGAAAAAAAGAAACTTTTGGGCATAAACTCTTCCATCAGCTGTAAACGATCAAAATACTGATGCATTATCAGGAGACTGCCAGCGCAGATGTTCAGTCTGTGAAAGGATAGAGGCAGTTACCAATTCTTGGTCAAGGCCATTTCAATTTATTTGGTCAGTTTTTTGCTGATGCATTTACCCGAAGTATAAAATTTGCATTTTTTTTATTTTTATTTTTTTTTTGTGCACTGTCATCATTTATTCAAGAGTGCGTCTTTAATGCATTTTTATTGCATTGTATTAAGGATATGTGTGTTATGTAACCTTGCCAGTGGTACATAATGTAATTTATGACTTCATGTTTGCTTAGCACTTCATCCAAATGTAAATAAAAACAAGCAAGACCAAAATACTCAAAAAAAAAAAAAAACACACACACAATTTCAGCATTTTGTTAGTCAAACTAATCAAGAAAAAGCCTTTTTTTCAGTCACGTAGCGATTTAATGTTATAAATCTAAACTATGACTGATTCATCTGATGTATTACACGTTCTACTTGATCATTGTTATTCTTCAGCCTGTCACTGGATGGTGCCAAATACTCCATATATAGTGTGTGCAGCAGTTGAATGGGAGAGAAAGGAGGGGTTAGTGCTTCCCAACTTTTGAACTTTGTTGTTGACATCTTAGGGGTGTGAAAAGATGAAGAGGACAAGGAATAAAAAAATAAGTAATGATTAGCTTCTTTTTGTTTTAAATCACTGACATAAATCAAAAATTTAGAGGTCAACAGTTGCATCTATGTTGAAAAGTAACGTATGCTATGTAACTTTGAGGCATAATAATGTGTAAAGGTTTCCAAAGATGTACTTCTGAGGTGGAATTTTGGCTTCTCACTTATATCAGTGAATTAGATTGAAAGAAAAAACATGAAGTACGTAGGTTCCATCACATTTTATTACCCCTTAGTTGTTGAGGAACTAGTTTTAATCAGCTGTTAACCATAAACTATTGCAGGTCAGGTTTCAGGAGCAAGAAAACACTCAAAACTGGAACATTTTATTTCACCCATCATCTCAGATTTGCCAAAATGCAGCGTAGTACTGAGTTCATTATATCAGATCGAGCATTGTCTCAGTCTCTGGTGTCCTCCTAAATCCTGATGCAAATCTCTGTAATGCAAGATGAGTTCTTGTTGGATGATGCGCTGAGTTCTTCCTCTGCCACAGAGTAAAGCTGCTGTGTCTGCTGAAAGCCATCACACTGAAAGCGATCTGCAGCATGGAGACGAAGTGCTCTCAAATTGCATAATCTGCACAGTCACACTAGAAAGGCGGTGGAAACATGGCCACTTTAGACGGCTGTGAGTGGGCTTTGACGAGGAGGGTGATCCACGGAGGCTGTCAGGTGAGTCAGCGGGACCTAAGAGCCTCTCCCGCTGACTGACTGCCTACTTAGACAGCATTTATTACAGAAAAGAAGTAAGAAAATCAGTTTGAGACAGGTTTTTACCACCCACCGCTCTCTAAACACTCAAAAACCAGGAGAACAACTTGACTACACTCTCTGCTCTTACCTGCTTTTTGTAAAAAAAAAAAATCTATTTCAAGGTCAAAAAGGTGTATAAAAAACAGTTTTCCTGAAAGCTCTTTGCTGTTTTGAGAGAAAGATTGAATGAATTTTCCCACTGATACATTAAAGAGGCAAACATGGAGCTTATAGTGAGAAACTCAAGCACGTCAATGTTTTCTGGGAGCTGTTAGAGCACAAATCCATGACAGTGATTTGTGATTTTCCTGATGAGTGTGGTTGTATTACAGTCTGTTGGAGAGTGTGTGGGTGGGTAGATAACGCAGGAGTGGGTCGTCTTTCTCACTTTTTGAGCAGTCTACTTTGAACACTGACAGCAGGGGAGAGGATTTATGCCTCTGCTGTTTTCTGACAGCCCGTGACATGAAAATGTACAGGACTGAAGAAGTGCTGCAGAGTCAGACCCACTTTGCCTTAAGCGCAACAGAGAAAGGCTTTTTTCCTCCCCTGTTTGCCTCTGCAGCAGAGCCCTCGTTCTTAGGTGAACACCATCCTGAAGTGGTGTTAGAAATTTAGTTTCTCAGGATGCCAGGCAGTATGAAGCTCGCCTGGACCGCATTGCCAATCCACTTATTTTAGCCTAATCTTTATTATGTTTCAGGTTAAAAATCTGGACTCAAGTAGGAAAGACAACTTTGCAATATGAAAGCAGTCAGGAACTCGTAATAAATAAGAGATAAAAACAGATTAGAGTGATGGCTGAAAAGATGTAGGCCGCAGTCAGAGCTCATTACGCCTACATTTTTCACAGTACAAAGATTACAACATTAATGAGCAACCTACACGGTACAGACGGTGGATAAAAAGTGGCTATGCTCTCAAAAAGGCCATTCATATAGCACAAATACACAGCATGCACATTTAAATACATAGGATACAAACAGGATTTTATACACATGAAAATATCACAGATTTGGATTTCGCCTTTGCAGCAGAAACACTTTTTTTTATCAAACATGATGAATATTATAAACTCAAAATTCATTCCATAATATGCTTGTCCTTTCTCACAAAATTGAAGTGAAGTGAATATCATTGTGAGTAAATATTTTATCTTTGCAGATTTACCTCAACGGCATCAGCCTACAGAAATTTAGAGGCTGATTAATGTTTCATTATCATTGCATTAATTACCAGCGATACATGCAGTTGATAAAGTGGTGCATTAACTATGTCCAGACAACAACAGCTCCTGCACCAACAAATGGTTTCAACAAGAGTTTTAAAGTGTCATAAACAGACAGCAGAACAGCTCTTTGCTTATGAAGTAGGTGAGGTGAGGAGGACCAAAACAATACTTCTTTAACACCAACAGGATAAATGTGCATCTAAAAAAACGGTCATCTTAAACAGCATGAAGAGTTCCTGGAAAGTAAGAATGAAACAGTGCCAAGCTCCAATTCAGTTTATATCTAAAAAAGAAAAGCTTTATTACTGCATATAAGGTAGAGTTGTGCAATGAGAGTACCAGGTCAAATGTTGGACAGGTGAGGTTGTTTTTTTTACAATGAAAAAGTAGTGGAAACAAACCGGTGTCAGACAAAACGAGTCTGACAATATCTGTAAAAAATCCAATATTCTGCACTACTTATTTATTGTTATTTTGTTTTACAATGAAATCACTTTAATCAGTCAAATATCATGTTTTGTCACATTGTAAGAGTTCGTAAAAAAGCACAATTGTAGCCTGACATCTTAACATAGTGCAGTGATATTAGATATTCTGTTAATATTGGCAATGGTCAGGGCGATTACACATTACAAGATTACTAAAACAACAATAGGGTGAAATAAGATCATGTGATGTGGAAGAAGTCGAGCAGTATTAGGGCACTTAGGAAACAGCTGGTGAATCACAGATGTTGAAAGTTTCTTGGAAATGCAGCAAACTGTGGGAGTGAAAAACAGCTGAGGGGTGAGGCAGAAGGACAGAATGTGTCCACATGACTGTACAAACCTCTCAAAGAGCAGAAGACACTAACATATGAAGTTAGTTGACTTTCCTTGTTAGATATGAGTTATTTATGGCCTTATTCAGTCGTGTCTCTTTATCAGTATTCCTTCATGCTGTCTGGCTCATTTAAACCACTTTAAGCCATCCATATACACCCACTTTAGTAAATGTTCCTGGAGACAAAACAGGATTATTCTAAGAAAAACGCTCAATCAGCGTGCCTCAAATTTTCCATCAGCATGTAGATGATATACGGTTTGTGATTTATCAACCGTCATTTTATCTATTTGAATAATCTGTGCACTCATTTAGGATGACACATCCTCATTGGCTTGAATCCATTTAAAAAAAAAACATCAATACAAAATGTTCTTGTATAATATGAGGCTATGAGTGAGAAAACTTCACAACAACATCAACCTGAAGGTGTGTATATGTTTGTGTGTGTGTCTGGATTAGTGTGTGCGTGTGTCCTTACTTGTCCAGCTGGTGGGAGTTGAGCAATCTGTGTTCTAATGATGTTTGCGTGCAGGGTAATTAGTTATCAAGTACATCTATAAGACTGTGAAGTGAACCTGACATGCCCTCCATGTCTTCACAGAGACACTTGTTTTGTTTTTTTAACTTCTTACACTTCACAAACCTCAGGAGAGTAGAGAGAAGAGGCTGATCTTTTTCAGTCTTTCTGTATAAAATATAAGATTTACATTTGTGGTGATTTATAATAGTTTCATTTTAGTAAAGGATCTGAGAAGTTCCTCTATCGCTGAGTAATCTCAGAGCCTGCCTCAGTCTTCCTGCAGAGGTACCACCAGATATAATCAGACTAACAAGCTCCCCTTGGCAGCAGAAGCAGCAGAGTCCACTGTCTTTACATGGCTGACCTGAGCGGCTGCATCATTAACTTATAGAGCACGCAGCTGGATGAGCAGAGTACAAGATGTTATTAAAACTGATCTGCAGGAGCAATTAAAAGGCTCTAGTATTGAGTCTGAGTGCATGTATGAGTGCTCGCACACAATCTTCACGTGTGTGCTCATGTGACTGAGAGCAACTGTGTACAGATTTGAATGTACCTTAGAAAGCTTGGGGCGATTTTGTTTTTCTACAGAAAGAGCAGAGCAAGTACACTCCTCCATTCACACACGTCACACGCTACATAACCTCTTCCCACTGTCTGCTGGGGGGGCGGCAGGCTGGCCTGGGCCAACCTTAGCCCCTGCACTCTCTGACACCAGATGTAGGTCGGTGAGCGCTCCAGGGGCTGGGGGATGTGTGTGCGCTCGTATGTGTGGGGAGTTTGGATTGTTTTGTGCGCACACGTGTATGTGTGTTTGCACTTGGACTGAGGGGGGAGATAGAGTGATGATTGTAGTGGATGAGTTCATCATCAAGGACATGGCCCCCAGCACACTGTCTCCATTGCTGTCACATTACATTGTCACAAACAGACCACATGAAGCCTGACAGCCCGGCAGACCAGACCGAGGGGGCTCTCACTGGTCCTCACTCTGCCTCTCTGCATTGTTTATTTTTTCTCTCACACTCTCTGTTGTGCACAACATTAACAACCCATTAATTAAAAAGGAATTCATGATGGTTTTGGTGATACGGGGCGCACTTCAACTTCCTGAACCTCTCTTATGCTAATACATGATGGATAAACACAAATTACAGTGACAAAGAGCTTTTTTATTGTTAATGAAAATACACGATAATATTTACTCACACTAAAATGTAAGTGCGGTTATAAATGTTTAAGTGTGAACGTCACAAAGGGTCAATCTCTTTATGACCTCATTAGCATATTTTTTTACATTAAGAATATATCAATTTAATCAATCCATCAAATGTTTGTGAAGATTTTTCACCCAAAATCATAAACATTAACCTCTCGGTGGAACATCATTTCAACATCAATGTCCAAACAAAATTCATGGTAATCAACGAAAGACTGTAAGAGCTCCTGATTCCACTTTTTAAAGATTTGATATTTTCAGTCAGACTTTTTTCTCTGTGTACTGAGTTAAAAATTAATTAAAGTTGTGAATGAAAAAGCAAAAACTTGTCATAAATGTGTTGTTTTTGGCCTTTGGAGACTCCCTTATGTGGCTAACTGGTTAGCCTTGTTCACTGTCTGATTGCTAAGTCAAGCTAACTAGCTCTCACTGTAGCTTTACACTCATCCACATGAGAAATAAACCCTCTTACTCTCTGCAAATCAAGCTTTGAATTCTGTTGAAAACACATTTAAACTATAAAATTTAAAAAGTGGCTATACCATCAAATTTGTTTATATTTAAGTGTTTCTTTACCAATAATCCCTCGCACATATTTCCTGTTTTAGTCCCAGTCTGGCACATTCCCACTCTGTGAGGACGCAGCAATCTGGTGAAGTCTCTCTAATCTAAACTGATGACAGTGGTGATGGCAGCCTTCAGCGCTGTGTGCCAGTTTCAGCACATCCCCCACACACTCCTCCTTCCTCCCTCCTTCATCATCACAGCTGATTGCACTGCTGAAGTCCAAATGAACTGTTAACCCTCTTTTCTTCAGCCATAAATAGAAGCAGCGTTCAGGCAGGGATAAAACAATGCAGAATGTTTCCGCCTTTGTTTTGGATTAGTGGAGACAACCAGCGTGAAAGTCACCGTTTGTCTCAAATTAAAGATCTGCTGTGAAGGAACAGATATACACAAACCTTGACATCTAAGGCAATGAGCTACATATGCCACAGCCAATGATCTATGAAGTAATAATGTATTAATGATGCACATCAATATTTTAGTTGACCTCACAAAGTGAACTATTGGTCTTCGCCTGCTTATGGACCATTTACTGAGACGCTGCTTTCTCTTCCATTTACACTGCAGTTGTTTCTGTCATATGGTTTAATGTGCCATGCATTACACTGACATTAACGGTTCAAACAAACAAGTCTGATGCAGCTTTAGTAGAGGTTGATTTCTTTTGTTTTGAACAAATAATCGATTCACAGTAGATCTTGAAAAAAATTGAGGTGATATCTGAAACGGATCAAATTTAAAAAGTGACCTGACTTTGATGCTAGATTATACACAATCATGGTGTTATACTGGAGGGTCACAAAGTTTTAAACTAAAGTAATCAGGATAAGAATGGTCAGGTTATGGGGCACTGATCGGCTCAGCAGTATAGATGTACACCCCACATACAAAAGCATTAACCCTCAACCCAGTGGTCACTGGGTAATGAAAGTTTGATTCGCAACCTCCAAAAAGTTTGGGCCAAATGAAAATTGATTTGATAATTTTCAAATGATTTAAAATCTATGTTTAATTGAAAATAGTGCAAAAACTACTTCTCAAAACACTGATACTTCCCATTTTGTTTTGTTTTTTTCTCTGGAAAAACATCTGCCGATTTTAGATTTAATGCCAGAGATCTTTGGGGCAGAGACATATGAACAAAAAAAGTGAAATAAATGGAAAAAACTTCACCTGAATAATTAGATTAATTTACAAAGACAACCAAGAGTGGCTGAGTCTTAAACATTAAGATGGCCGGAGGTTCACTTTGTGAGTGACTGTGTGAGCAAATAATTCAACAATTTCAGATGAATGTTCCTCAGAGTAAAACCTGAATTTGGGGTTTCATCATCCACATAATACCATTAAGAGAATCAGACAATCTGGAGAAAACTCTTTAGAAAGGAGACAAGGCCAAAAACTAAAACAGACGGCTGTGAGCCTTGGGCCCTAAGATGACTCTGTAGTGGAAATTGCTGCATCCAAAAAATGCAAGAGTAAACCATATATTAGCAACTTCTCAGGGCCCAAGCCAATTTACAACATACTCATAATTTGACTTATTATGGAATTTATGGATGCTGCATCCTTTGCACTAAAGAGGGGGAAAAACCACCCAGCTTGTTATCAGTGCTCAGGGTATACCATTGTCAATACTGAACAACACAGGAGAATCAGGGTGCTGAAGTGGCCTCCAGATGGTTCTTGTCACCCTTGAAAATGTCTGATATATCATGTTAAAAAAAGGAAAATATGACAAAAAGAAAAAAACAAATGATAAAGCAGCTTGAAAACATTTTACTTTTAAAAATCCAGAAACTTTTCTCCACAGTTGGAAAATGTATATAAGGTGTAGTAAGAAGAGGGGGTGATGCAGATCTCTGGGAAACATGCTTGTCTCAACTTTTTTTGAAACGTGTTGCTGGCAAGCAATTTAAAATAATCATTATTACTTGAAAAAAAAATCTGCCCTAACATTTGATATTTCATTGCACTATTTTCAGTCAAATACAGAGTTTAAGTAATTTGCAAACTATCAAATTCTGTTCAACAACTTTCTCAAAGTCCCAAACTTTTTAAAATAAAAATACTGTCATGGACCAAGGATTTTATCATTTCAAATTGATGCATTTTGGCTATAAAGTTATCAAATGTACTGAAACTCACTTGCTTGTGCTATGTATGTTTAAAAACTGGAACATCTTTTTTTTTTTTAAAAATCCACAATTTTAAAGGGTTAAAATTTGAAGCAGAAACATTAGAAGGCCCCTTTACTTCACTAAAGAGAAACAAATATTAAGAAAATAGATGTTTATTGGTAACATCTTTGTTCATATGTGTCTGCATATAAAGTGATACAGAAAAATAAAACTGCATTACAAAAGAAAATGTTTCTTGAAACTCAGACACACTGCTGTATCAACACTGTCCAATATAATCATTCACAATCTAGTATCAAAACCTGTTCGACGATACAACAGCAAAATCAACTGAATGCAGAACAACCTCTCAGCCATATCTTCCAGTTGTAATTTTGTTTAAAACAGTCAAGAAAGCTGAAATATTGAAAATAGAATACACTGAGAGTACATTTCTCATTATATGAGATCAAATAAAGGACTGAGCAATATAAGAAAGTACCAGTTTTATGTATTTTTATGGAAAAAGTCAGTTGAGGTAAAAACTTTCCAGCCAGCACATCACAGAAAAATCCTGAAAAATCTGTTATTTTGTGGGTAGAATTGCTGTGAAGTAGTATAAATACAATGCTATGACAGTAAAACATTCATATTCATACAATACTCAGCTCCAGCTTACAGAGCTGTGCCACTAGGACTCATACAGTAAATTTACATCACCTTTCACATTGCAAAATGTAACTGCATTGCAAGCTCCGAGTCATTTAATGAAAAAAATTCTGGCAACACCTGAGAGTTTAGAGAACGGATTAATAGCGGTCATGGTGTGGTCTTTGTTGGTAGGAGCTGTAGCCCTGGCTGGAGCTTGAATGGCCCGATTGATGCCCGCTTCCATGCCCCCACTGCCTGTCTCGATCTCTACCTCTGTCACCATCTCGGTCACGGTCACGGTCTCGATCTCTGTCTCTGTCACTGTCGTGCCAGTTTTGCTGCCCGTGACGATCCCCTCTCCAACCCCGGTCTCCTCCCCAACCTCGGCCTCCTCCTCCCCAGTGACCTCCGCGACGATCTTGGTACCTTGATAGAGAATGATACAAAATTTTAAGTCTTTAGAAACAATGCACAAAACACCAATACATGCACATCAAGAAACATGTAAAAAAAAAAAAAAAAAAAAAGGACTGACAAAGAGAGAAATTTAAGAAATTAGAGAAACTAGTTTCTCTAAACTTGGTTGTTATGACATCAGAGTTATGGACAAAGTTATGAGAAACTTTCAGGGTCGTGTTGATTTTTACAGTTTGTGCAATCAGTGTTTTAGTCTACGGTGGCCGAGAATTGCCACTACTGCGAATAAGAAAGAATGGCATCTTTTTTAGAAGCCTCAACAGAAGTTACCAATCCAAAAAAATAAATAAAGAAATAAAGAAAAAGAAAGAAAAGAAACCGAAGGATTTGATGCGCTCGTTGATGACTCATAACAAGTCGACAATAACGTTGTGTGTTGTTGTGCTTAAACAGGGCAAGTAGAAATTATTAGTGCTGCATTGATATCAATGCTACTGATGCTATTAATGCTACTTATTGACCGTGTAAAAGCTTCAACATTACCTTTAACGTTGATAGAAGAGGGTCCGACAGGATTTGATGTGCTCCTTGATGACTCACAACAAGTCGGAAATAATGTTGTGTGTTGTTTGTGTGTCACACAGTGCGCGTAGAATCGTCAGTGGTGCATTGATATTAATGATCATGTGAAATTTCAGTAGCGGCGCATGTTATTTAGCAGTCGCTGCTGGATGAATGTAGGGGAAATACTGCTAATACATATGAGTCCGAGGTAGAACTATGTGAGATAAAAACTATTTTTTTAATGTGTGGCGGCTTTTATTTAGCCGTGGCGGTGCGCCACGATCAATCGCATGCAGGGGAAACCCCGATATTGTTTGAGCCTAGCATCATGACAGTGACTCTCGGTGACTCTCCCGCCGAATGCGTACAATGCTACTGCGCAATGTCAGTTTCAAGAAATGAAGAAAACTCGCAGAAATACGGAGAGCTTCCTGGCTTTAAATCCGGAGGTGGAACCAAGTTGCCCATGGTATATACAGTCTATGGTTGTGACTTCTTTTTATTTTTTTGCATTCTTTTTTGTATTTGCAGCGGTGGCATTTCTCGGCCACCGTATTAGTCTCTATGATTATTACATAGTGTGTGTCGTAAATCATTTAGTAAACAGTTTCTATGTCATGTCTGTCCCTTTGATATTTTAGTCAATGTCTTTCTGTTGAAGTCCTCTCAAAGTCTTTGTCAGTTTAGAACCATTCACAGATTGCAGGATCATGACAGCTACCTGTTATCCCTGCCTCTGTTGCCTCCTCCACGACTCCTCCAGTCCTCCACGATGGGTGGGGGGTCAGGGGGCCGGCTAGCATACTGCTGGTACTCCCGGTCCTCTGAAGAGTATCTGTGGGCAAACATCTCCTCGTACTTCTGCTGGTTCCCCGTGGTCTCGGTCGTACTGCAATAACAGAAGAAAAGACCTTAAAGAACCGGATATTTGCATGGCATCTGTCACACATCCGTAAACAAACAACAGAGGCTAAACAATCAAAATGTACACGACTAATGCCTGGAGTACTAGTTCGATTCAAGCGGAATAAAAACACACATTTAACACAGTTATAACCACAGCTATAGGCTTTAAAATGTTTGATTAAATTACACACCTTTCAACGACGTCCGTCATAATCTCGTTTCGCACTCATGAAACGACTTATCGGAAGAAGTGCGGCGTTTGTACGTCTCCCATATGATCCCCCCGGAACAAATTAACAAGTTTAAAAGGTTCCGGGAGCGCACGCAGCTGAAAGTGATTGACGGTTGTTTGCTGCCAGTTTGAAACAGATCAGAAGTTAATATTAAATGTTAAAAAGTACGCAATTTCATAGTAAATGTTGACTTTAAACGCAAGAGATATTTAAAGCTGGAGAAGCTACTTTGTGGCGTGGATAAAAACAAATCTGTTATTACCGTTATTTTGCCTGATTAATGAGAAAGTGCCATCTGCTGAAAACTGTCAAACTAAAATGTAAGTAGACGACACTTTTAGTTAACTCATTTTTAACGCAGTATATTTTCGACATACATTTTCTTTTAAAATATGTTTATAGTTCGGGGCTAAAACTCCGTCTGAATCCGCAAACATCATTGGACACACACCACAGGTTGGGAAAAGTGTGGGTGGGTGGCACTGGCAGAAGCGTGAGCAGGTGGAAGCCGCTCCGTGTCGCTGCTGCTGCCCTTCACTGAAACACAATCCCGCTGGGGAGGAAGAAACTCTGCTCAGCCAGCAAGCAGTGAAACGCAAACATTAACTTAATTCATCGGCGCCGATTGTTTAAAGACAGCGTGGGGAGCTTGTTCGCAGAGGGATTCACACTGCTGCGTTTCTAAAGAGGGAATTTAAACAAGCAAAAGGAAAAAAACTTCCCGATACAAGCGGGGTTCTGTGAGACTGAGCTTCATAACCCGGTGAATCGAGTTTACGAAGAAGTGCTCTCGTATTTCACTTGTCTCTCAGCGGCAAGAGGACTTATTCGAAGCCGGTGAACGGGGAATGAACTCTTTGGACCGCTAATCAACTGTGGACTTTGCGCTTTAAAACATTATTTCCCACTCAACCAGCCGCCGATATAGCCTTCAATTTAACAGGAGTTGTTCCTGAAGTCCGCGCCATGGGGTAAGTAATCCAGAAAGCGCTGCTGCCCTTCAGAGCGCCTCTAATGACACCTGCACTGAATGAAATGGTGTGCGTGTGTGAAAATGCTGCAAAATACCTCAACAACCGCCTTTTCCAATATATGACAGCTCTGTTATTAAGTGTCAGTAATGATCCCGTTTTTCCCAGTCCATGTCCGTGCGGGTTGGAGCCCTGGATGATCCCAATTTACTCTTTTACAGCATGAACCAGTGGTGTTTAGATACATTTACTGTCTTAATAGGTTTGATGCCACATATCTAATATGGGATTTGTTCTCGATTTTTGACAACAACTTGAGATGTTTTGTTCTGTCTTCTATTTTTTCCTTTTTATCAGTCAGAGGGATTATGGTGTGAGAGGGTCATGATATGGAGGTGTCAGAGTCGACACTGCCCACTAATGAGAGATGGTACTTCAGAGAGTGTGCGTATTTTAGTGCGTCTAAGTGTGTTTATTATCCCCAAGGCTGGAGATAGTGCAGTGCACTCCCACAGTTGTTTACAGGGCACAGTACATTATTTTGCCTCCATAGTGTATTGTGATGTGAATGTTGACTCTGTGGCTCAATGCCATAGTTATGCAATCACACCACCTCTCTTTGCATCTACATGTACTGTATAGATCACAGTTTCTTTCTGTTGTACCCACCTAGGTGTGTCTGAAAAGTGTTTGACTTCAATGCATCATAAACAGTTTAGTTTAATGAAAATACATCACTGAACTCTAGTGACCTCGTTACATGTAAAATTAAAAATCAAAGAGTTAAGAGCTATCAATATGAAAGAAGGGATAGTTATCAGCTTTAATGTTCAGTAATGACGTAAGAAGTGCATTGTTTTTTTTTACATCAGTAGACATGCTTTCCTAATGAGTAAGAAACCAGTTCAGCAGTCCTGACTCCTCCTCAAGAGTTTGGCTCACTCATCCAGCAGGTTTAAAAGTGAAGGGAGTCAATAGTTTTGTCATGAACCTGGCTCAGACCAGCAGCCGCAAGGCAGCCAGCCCAAGGCTGGAGGTCACACCTACTGACAGAGACATGGCAACAAGTCTCCTTTTTCCAGTTGCCTGGTTTCAGTGTGTGCCAACCAGTGGAATCACATTACAGCTTTCTTTAAGGCCTTAACACACTGGACACAAACTGGTCGGATTTGTTTAGGGTTGTTCTCAACTTGTCAGAGGCTGTCACATACTGTAAACACCTTCCTCAAATGATTGCATAATGATCTAAATACAAGGTTGCAAACAACTAATTTCAATCATTTAGTCAACCGTTTGTTTCAGCTCTAACTGAGTCACGATTTCACAACTTCTTCAACTGGTAAAATGCCTGAAGACAAACATGAATAATTGTTTTAAGTTGGTAGCGCTTAAGATTGCCTTTTTAATAAACAGTCACCAACCACCCACCCCTCAAATATTTATTTATCACTAGAATAAAGTAAAACCAGCAAATATTTACATACAAGGAAGCCTATATCTTTAATTATTTTGCATTTAGGTAAAAAAAAAAACACCAACAATTTTCAGTTTTCTATTAATGTACTGATAAAGTTGGGGATATGCACTACTTAAAAGCAGTGGATGGAGCTTGTCTGACTATTTGTAAAGTCATGATTTCTTCAGATCAGGATTTGAAATGTTGCCATCTTGGATTTCTAGGAGCCATGGGTGACATTCTGAAAGGCAGGTTGTGGTGGTGGCAACTTATCAATCACTGGTTGCCCTTCCCTAAAGCTTACTCTGCTGTGTCTGATTTACTCTGAGTGGGTAAATCCTGTCATATACAAAATGAGCATGAAGTTATAAAGAAAAGACTTCAAACTGCTGATTGAAGCATTTTGACTGAGGATAAAAAACAAATGAGAAGTAAAGTTATTTAGTCCTTTCTATGTTTATAAGGATGACATTTTGAACTATGTGAAGTCGATCTCACTCGGGCGTGAATAGGAGTGCAGGTGGATGGCAAACAGACTTCAGCTTTGAAACTGATATCAAATGATATTGTACAATGTATGGAGGCAACCAAATACTTTTATTGAGGGAAGTGTTTGATTTAATGGCTCTTATATTACATAAATGTGATTTTTTTTATAGAGCAAGAAAAAGAAACACACATCCTTAAAGGAAAAGCCTAAATGAGGTCATATAAGTTGGTATTTTTAATTGAAAATGGTTCAAAAGTTGTTTGTTCATTAGTCGCTATAACTCATTACTTAATTTTTTTCAGAGAAATCCTTTAAGCTCATAATTTTTTTTAAGTATATCACAAATACAAACCAAGGTTGTGCCCACATGCGTGCATAATTGTGTTACTCTTCACTGCCTGATTATGCTCTGAAATGACGCAGGATGTCCTGCCCTAATTGACAGGTCGATAAAATAGATAATGTGTGAGTGTGTTCATAGTGAGGACTATAGATTGTTGTGATATTTGCAGGTTTCCTTTTGTTCCTCTCCGCTCCTAAGTGCAGTTATAAATTAACCTCAAGCCAGGCAACGCCACCTTCTTGTCTTGTCTCCTTTCTACTCTAGATCGCTGATCATGTGATCTGTCAATGTTTTCCTGACCTTGTTACATTTGTTATTGATCATGGAATTTCCACATGACGTATTTTACACATTAAAACAGGCACGGTAGAAAATGTTCATGATGTAATTGAAAATAGCTGAATTTAAAGAAGTGTTGGAGAAAGTAAAGAAAGGACGTGACTGTAGTGGTATTTTTAAGTAAAGTTTGTTGCTGAACTGCTATTTTTCTTTACTTATTTTCTAAAAAAGTTCAGAAAGCCCCAAAACACCTTTTAAGTAGAGAATCACTCATATGAATTTGACGCAATCAGCATATTACTTCAGAAAATAAGCCATGCTCTGGGCGGTTCTAACACTGGGATAGATGATAATCTGCTGGCTGGCCAGAGAGTGACCGCTGAAGGCTTAACACTCATTGATTAGGCTCACTGACATGTGACGTGGCAGTGAGTCTCTTGGCTGCCCAGGCAGAAGAGTGACTGTGGCCGTAGGCCTAATCTGGTCGTGTGCTCTCTGTCTGTGGCTGTAGGCTGGAGGTAATGGTTGCTGAGGTGTGTAAGGGGAGTAGAAGCAGGTTTTGCTGTTTAAGAATCATGGGAAATGAAAGGGGACAGACTGACAGTGGATTGGACATCTCTTCACCAGATGGTTGAGGCCTAGGAAGCCATCTGCTGCCATGCTGTGCCGCTGTGGAGACTTCCTCACTTCTCTTTTCTCTGAACACCCAGATTACGTTGGACCCTGCATCATACTGCCCCAGTGTGATGGAGGAGGACTTGCTGTGGTGGCTGGTTTGAATCTGGATGGCTGCCTTTGTTTTATTGGATTGTTTGTTGCCCTCCTATCAGTTCAGTGAGCTGCACTGGCATGAGGTACACCCCAGATTACAGTATGATGCCAAAACATTGGTAATAAAAATGAAAGTAACCTTAAAGACTGGCTGTTTTTAAAAGAATGAAGAAAAGGTGAAGAGTACAGTGTTACACTAATATAGTCAACATTTAGGCTTCACAGGGTAGTTGAGCTTCAGAAGTCACTGGACGCACATAAAAGTTCAGGGTTAGAAAAGAGAAACATCTTTGTCAGATACATTTCTTTTTGCCTTTTTGTTCTTCCTCGTGAGAACACAGGATGCATATCTTCAGGGCTCTGAAATTTCTTCAATTAGAACAGTCTAAATGATAAAAGCTCTTCATAGATGCTTCAACGTTTAGGAATCACGAATTTGATAAAACTACTTGAGCATAAATAACCGGAGGCAAGTTCTGTGAAAATGATGTGAAATTGTATCTTTTTGTTTCAGACTAACTATTCAGAAATCAAAAAGATGCTCTTTTCAATGATGAATCATTTGTGTGACTCATTTGTTAAATGTGTTTAATTCTTTTGGTCAGTCATTAAAATGATTCAGCCACTTAACATTTCAGCACTTCATAAAATTAAGTAAATGCACCAAATGATTAAAGCAGTGAATTATTTTTTGAATTCAGATTTTTTCTTTAAATAAAGTGTGTTTCTGATAACATACACTTATCAAATAAGGCTTCCTGTGCTGTGAGAAATCCTCATGGTATCAAACTTGGAGCTACAATAACTTATAATGAAATCAGATCCTAGGAATAAGTTAAATCTGAGCTGATAAGTTAATGTAGTTTCTGCTACCAAGCTTTATATGTTAAATGTTTGTATCACTCAAGACAGAGCCACCAATCCAGGTTATTGCATAATACCGCCTATGGGACAGCCTGCTCTTATGTGACCTCTCGACATCATTAGTAGAGCCTGTTAGAGGGGATAAAAGCCCAGGTGGAGTTTCAGGTATGATCCTGCAGAGCTCTCTGCTCCTGCTACTTAGCTCATTCACTCAGACAAAGCAGTGCTCTCACTAACGAGGCGGCTCTGCTCGAGCTGCTGAAATGAGGGAGTCTCCACTCTGATCAGCTGACATGCAAACAGGGTTACAGGAGATAATGAGAATTCAAGTGATTTCACAAACGAACATCACTTTGGTCTTCATCACACATTTGTTTCTCATTTGCTATTCTCAGATTACTGGAGTCACCAGATCTGTGTACCTTGCGACCTAGATAGGCATTTCTTATTTTCCCTCGCCGACAGATTTAGGAAAAGATGTTCTTTTGTGCTGCAGAAAAGCCAATTGAAACGGAAAGTGTATTGTTGTCAGCGCCTCCACAGAAAATGAGGAAGAATAAGTGTCAGTATTCCCGCTGCACCGTAGATATTTGACAAGTGACTAACACAGCTTTTGTTGCTTAAGTCCGTCGAAAAAGGGAGCACTTAGGTTCAAGGACAGCAATTTACAGACATTTAGTTCGTCATATGCTCACAATAAATTTCTCCCCTAAGCTCTTTAGTGTGTAAAATTACTCTGCGGTGATTAATATTAAGCTATGCATGGTTTCCCACATACAAAAGAAAAAAAATGAGGAAAAGGGCCAGAAGAATCTGTCCTCCATGATTGAGAAATTCTGTACCGAGCATCAATCTCACCCATGACCTCTGCTGATGCTCAGACAGCTGCTGAAGGTTAGCATGACGGTAGCTAGCTTCAGGGTGAATATGGAGAGATTATTTAGTGTAGGAGCCCCTGTCTGAAAAGGAGATGCTAAAGCACCATTGTTTAGGTTCTTCCACATTGTTTGACTGAGGATGAGTATACAGTATTTTATGGCAGATAGTTGATGGCTTCTCTTAACTCAACCCTCCTTATGTGCTCTTGAGGTTTCTTTACCTGTTTTTGTTGCACCGAAGACAGTAACCGCCCCTCACTTTTTTACATATCAAGTCTACCTCACAGTGTAATTTAGACATCAGTTTTAAAGTAGTACATTACAGAGACATCTCCCCCCGTCACAGAGGTGTGTTAAAGCACATCTTCATTGAGAAGGTTGAAGAGCCGTTGAAGTAAGTAGAGAGGAGTTCAAACACCTCAGGGCACCCAAGAAAAACACATTTTTTGAGTGGACAGGAGCTTCAAGTTATTGATATCATGGTGATTGTCCTGTGTCAGTGCCTGTCTTATTAAAAGATCCAGGCATCTCAAAGTTGACACCAGTGCTTAAAGCGGAGGAGTTTTGTTTACTGCCCACAGGCTACATGATGCAAGTTAGCATGCCAAAAAAAATTCTGAGGATCTTTTCATCAGATTACTTAGAATAATACACGTTTTTCATGAAAATGTCAGTTTAGATGTATAATTCTGCGTTTAGATGGATCATAGGGCTAAAATGTAATTGTCAATGATCCAATCAAGTCCTGCTGTCAGAGAGATGTCGTCTCACTAATGAAGAGATCCTGTTATAGTCTAACAGGCTCGCTTACTGCACTGCGTCTGTGGGTCTGAGGGTGGTTGTATACCTGGATACAGTTGACCATTTTACTCTCCTAACACACAAAGCCAAGGTGTTGGGTGTTAATACCATCTTTTTCCCATCGGAGGAAAACTGCACACCTCTGACAGGACAGCAAATTAAGGTAAAGTTTATCATTAATTTAATGCATAAAAGGAACCAAAGTAATCAAACTTAAATAGAAAGTATAGGTTTGCTTCCATTATTGAGTTTTCAAGCTGCAGCTGAGTAGTTTCTGTTGGAGACAGTATGTGCCCGCTCCTGATATATGTTAAACATGCTGCAAAGCCTGTTGGAGTTCTGTTCGACCTCATCCCAAATAATTTACCACAACTTATCTAAACAACTGACAGGTGTGTGTTTCCTTGGGCAAGAAGTGGGTGACTGTGATTGATGGGGAAGTTTGTTAGGGGAATGAGACTGAGTGAATTCCAGTGCTCAGGAATCTGGACAAGGCTGTTTCCCCGCTCACTGAAAAAACACACCTGAATTCCTGAATTCCACAGGTGAAGCCAAACTCGAATGCAATGTGATATCCCCCTGCTTTAAAATTACCAGTCAGACTCAGCTGTTGTTTCATATCAGGACAGAGTCATGCTGCATCTTTTTTGAAATGTCTTTTTTGGAGAAGGAGGATTATCCCATTCTCAGCAAACTTCAGGCTAACATTTCAAAGGATTTAAAGAGAGTAAGAGGCAGGCAGGCTCAGCCGTTTACCACCTCATGTATTACAGTTACATGTCCCCATAGGGAATGTTGCAAAGTAATTATCCAGCATGTTAAAATTGTGTAATGGCTGTTTGTGTAAATTGTATACTCTTGCAACAAAATCCGGAGCTGTACCAACAGTTGGATGAAGTCCTTTTTATTTTGATTATTCACTGCAGGTTTGCAGCATCATGGGTGTAGATTTGCCTGAAGTGAACATGTAGGTGTATGTAGGCATGGACAGTGCTGGATTACTAAAACCATCACAAGCACAGAAACACGCAATAACCTGTAGATTATTAAAATAAACCAGATTGGGACAGAGTACCCAAGAGTCAGTCAGGTGAAGAATTCAGCACCCATAAAGTCCCAAATGTTGTCATCTTCTTTTTTTATCTGGTGAATCAATCAGCCTAATGCTTTTTATCTGGGGACAAGCAGATCACTGGATTCCACCAACAGTTTGTGTGAGTGCATCCATGTGTTCAGCTGTGGCCTTTCGCTTCTCTTCCCCTGCCAGTGCGAGCTGGCTCCAGACACTGCCACTGCAAAGGTCAGCGTGTGTGTGTGTGTGGGGTTGTGTGTTTGTGTGGCTGTGTGTGTAAAGCGACAACAGTGATCTGTATAATGGGTTTTGTTGTTCCCAAAGCAGATGAAGACTGAGATTAGGCTTAAAGGGGGCTGTGAATTTATTAGGCTTTCATTTCTGTGAGAACCATAATCCCGATGGAAGTAAAAGCTTTATTAGCTCATGAATTTTTCGCTGCCTGCTGGCTTTTCTGCCTGTCTGTCGCACATATTTTTCCTCTCATAGAAATCTATATGTTCGCATGACAACTGGCTGTTGCTAGCTGCTGTAAAGCTTTTCAGCAACAATGGCACAGTCTGTACCCTGCTATGGAACTCTCCAGTCTTATGCTATGAACAGGTTTTGTGTCTGTGTTTCTGCTCGTTTCCACAGTCTTTAGCTGGAGAAAATGTTGGAACCCAATAAGAACAAGATTTGATTTGATCTGGACACTTTTTTCTAGAAATGTTCTTGTGCACAAAATGCAAAAATTCAACATTTATTGTGTGTTAATATTTTTTGCAATGCGTTTGAATGTGGCTGTGCCATGATCACTCAACACCTTTGTGCCTGAACATTTGACTGAAACCTCTCCAGAAATATGTGGATGTTTGCCCTTTTACTTCTCCAATAAAGGAAGAAATGTCAAGAGCACACAGCCTTTAATACATCTCACCTATAGCAGCATGATTACAGCCCAACAGGAGGACCATGTGCGATTGAGACGAGTTCAATATCGCATGTTATCATGTTAGATTTTTCATATGGAGCCCAGAGCCAAGTTCTGCTAGAATCGAACGATTACTAAGTGTTGTGTACAAATAACTAAAATCTGCATGTTAAACAGGTTTACCTTTTGTACCTTCTGTAGTCTCAAATCAATTAGCTTATTTCAATAAAACCAATTTGATTAAAGAATAACCTAGAGACGAATGGGATGAAACTTTCTCTGATATCTGATTTCAAATCATCTTGACAGTGCTGACTCAGAAGGAAAAAATGAGGAAAACTGATGTATCATCAGCTGCACTAATATCATTTTTAACCAAACTGTCTATTCTGCATGTCAGAGTAACAGCCTTAACCACCACATTGAAGCCAGAGGTTACTAAAAGACTAAAATTGATTTCAACTTTGAGGTACTGTTAAAATATGAAATATATTTCATGAGAAGGAAATGTTTTTGTTTGTAAAACCTCAGATTATCTTGCAAGAAAACATTGTATGCCAGTGTAATTTATGTTTGTTTTACAAGAAAATTGCAGCGGGGCACCACAGCTCATTGTTGAGAACTTGTAGTCATTAATTATGAATGCAAACCTTTCTCAAAGATATGATAGCTATGATAATGCAACATTCAAAATGTGCCAAGAAAACCCTGAAAATGTGTAAATGTATCAATAAAAAAAGAGAGAAAACAATTTATTAACTTTTTCATGTAGGCCAAAAGGAGTCTTACAATAAGTTATAAGTGCTCTTGATAGCTTTACCAAGTCTGAAAGCCACTGTAGTTTCCATCAAGCTACTTTGCATGTGCCTCCCTGACGATCTTCATCTGCATCCATTATTGGGTTCTTGAACCACCCTCTGACCCTTCCCGTGCTGCCACTCCACTTAATTATTCCTCACTCGGGTAACTTTGTAGAAGAGCATCTCGACCACCCTCACTGGCCTTTGAAATGAGGATAATTTAAACCTGCTGGAATCATTTTCTGTGGAGCACCATTAAAGCAAAGTGCAACTATTTTTTCTCAATCAGCGCTGTTCTTGCTGTGTTCAGTGCCTGTACCGCTTGAAACTGAGCTTGAGCGCGTGGGGTAGGGGTGCTGTGATTTTAGCCACATGCTGCATCTAAACAATATAGACAAAAAAATCCTTGATTGGAAAACGTGGCTCTCAATGTTTGATCAGGTAAAGGTAGAAAAATCAAAAAAGCAAAACCTTTTTCCTAAACTGTATATAGATTTATCTTCTGTGATGATTTTATTGCTTTCACAACAATAAAATGACCAGATCAGATATATAATCCACACCAAATGTGTTGAATTTTATATGTATATACACACTGTTTTTCACTGTAAACAGCAAAGACTACAAGAGAATTTTCTAAGCACGTTTCACAAGAGCTCTTAACTCTTGACCTCGAGGTCAAGGCTGTTGTTTTCTTGTGCACAACGACTGAGGGGCGGAGAGAAAGTAAGAGGACACTCAGTGTACAGTGGTTGGTGTGTCAGTGCATTTGTGTGTCCCACAGACAGAGAGTATTTTCACTTTTTAAATTTTTACTTTTTAAATTTTTACTTTTTAGCTGTTTCTTAACACATCAGTGGTTTTCTCAAAACAAAAGTTTCATAACTGCTCATATTTATTATTCAATCAAAGACATTATTTTCAAATTGTCCAAAAAGAGTCTGAACAGTTTAGTAAACACTTTTTCAATTTCATGGTATTACCTGTCATTACTTTAGTAAATTGTGTCTGCTGACTGGGACTGTCATGGTTTAGTTTTGTTTTGAATGCTTCACCTACGTTGTCATGGTGTCTCATTCCTTAAAAACACAGTAGAAAGAGCTGATATGCTTAGAAAGAAATGATCAAAAGCAGTCGATAAAAAGAAGAATTGAACAAATCTCTGTTGATGTGAGATGTAGGATTAGAAAACCATTTGAGGCCAGTTTGGTTAGCAGGTCTGAGAGTTGAGCAACAAACAGTAGAATTCATTTATTCCATTTAATCTGGCCACAAACAACAATGCTAAATCAGCCCCCTTATTATAGTTATTAATTTGGTCATTCAGAGAGACTGTGGTGAAGGTTAGTGAAGCAGTAAACACCGTTCTTTTTCTGGCATATAATTATATTATGAATAATTACTGTTTTATTTTGGTAGAGTATGGATCATGATGTCATTTGTTTGATATTTTTATTTATTGAAATGTTTTTTTCGTTCCTTTACCAGAATAGTCTTCCCTGACAGAAATCTGGTTCCTCAGAAGTACAAAAGCCAGCAGGAGTTCTCTTAAATGTCTGTGAAACCACATGCAGAAAATTGTCTTGAATGTATCTGGCGCACAAGGGAAATTTCCCATCAGACCAAAGACATAGGTGCAAAAACAAGTGCACAGTCACTCACAAACAGCAGTCTATGTTACCGTCACAAATGAGAGGGGAGCGAGTGTTGATGTGCTAATGGCTTTGGGTTGCTATAAGGATTGAGGGTGTGTGTTACATTATCACCTGCCCATCTGTGCTGCGACTCCCATATCTCTGCATCTCTGGAGGGAGCGTGTAGTGTCTCTGCAGATCTGATGTGATAAAGAAATACCAAAGACTCACTCTAGCTCGGTTAAATGTTGTCATTTATCTTTTAAAAAAAAGTAAATATTGTCTTGATCTTTGTCTTTGCATGTTGTGTTCTCCGTCTCACGTTGTCTCCTCTGTCCTCTGCTCTCCAGGGAGCAGCCGATCTACACCACCCGAGCCCATGTCTTCCAAATCGACCCATCTACCAAGAAGAACTGGGTCCCTGCCAGCAAGCAGGCCGTCACTGTCTCGTATTTTTATGACAGCACACGCAACAGCTACCGCATCATCAGTGTGGATGGATCTAAGGTATGTGTGCGCAAATACACTGTGTGTGTGTGTGGGTGTGTGTGTCTGTGTGTGTAACCATATCAGTATGAGATAATGAGAAACATTTAACTGCTCTCTGGAGAGACGGCTGGCTTTGAGGAAGAGCACTCAAAGCCACTATTGAGCAAAAGGAATTATGAAGAGTGCAAATGTGACATGCAGCTTCCACCTGATACGGAAGGATAATGAATTTTTTTCCTACATCAGAAATGTATACCGTCTTCCCCCATCAACTAAACCTCATTAAAACACTGGAGAAAAATGTAGATTGAAATAGTGCATATATGGAAATGTGTACATTGCTTATGCATAGAACAACTCTTGTCCAAAGTAATGATCAGTGTCCAGTCATCTCCAGCTTTATAAGGGGCCAAACTCATAACTCTGTATGTAAAAAAACACATTTTGTTTGTATTTTAAAAACTCTGAGAGTGTAGCCATTTCTCCTGTTTAATACTTAATTTCTATTTCAATTGATTGAATTTTTTTTTTTGTGAATACCAGAAACAAGGTTTTCTTAATAAACAAATCATATTATTTATCAATACCCCAAATCAGAGTCAGAATTCTGGTTTATTAACTCATTGATTTTGGGGCTAATCTAAGTAAGTAAGTAAGTAAAGTTTATTTATAGAGTGTTTTTAAAAATCACAAAGCGCTGTCAGAAAATAAATGCAATTTGAAGAACAAAAATGGTACAAATATACACATACACAAATATGAATACAGTACAGGTGGGTACAGGAATAAGTGCAGATACAAACGATAAGTAAACGAGACAAACAAAACCCTGTTCATTAAAAGCTTGTCTAAATAAAAGAGCCTTCAACTGCTTTTAAAAGCATCCACTGAGTCAATCAAACAGAGGGAGAGGAGCAGATCATTCCAGAGTCTGGGGGCTATGGTCTTAAAAACCCCGGTCTCCCCGAGTTTTAAATTGGGTTTTCGGCACCATTGGTGGGTTCTGGCCTGATGACCGAAGGGTGCGCCCTGACCATGCAGCGCCCGGATAGTCAGAACAAAAATTTTCAAATTAATATGAAAATTGACTGGTAGCCAATGAAGACGGGATAAGACAGGGGTGATGTGAGCAAATTTGGGCGTGTCTGTCAGAAGTCTGGTGGCTGAGTTTGAAGTCTCTGTTTGTTTATTTATTTGATCAAACCCATAAATTCTGGCTGAGTGTCAATGGTAATACTCAGCCTGTATATTTGTAAGATGTGGGGAATTCAAACTGCAGAATGCAATTTTTTATCATGAGTATATGCTTTGTGCATCACATCTAATAAGAGTAGAGATATGCTCATGTAAAATATTAAATGTCAGGACTAATTCCTATAATAACTTGTGGTCTCAATGGCCATCCCCTTTAAGTGCCACTGACCTGAATCAGCCTCCATTAGGAGAAAAGTATACAAGTATGTGTAAAGGTTAGGATCGTAACATGTAGACTTGAACTTGCCCTGCAACAAAAGAAAAGTAGAGGCCAAGAGCTGCATGCTTGTTGTGTTGCAATTAAACTTAATTATCTGTAATTTTCTGTAATCAGAAAGGGGCCAACACTTGTCATCCTTCAAGGACCAAAGGGCTTTTAAATAATTGTCACTCTGGATCAGCTTTTCTTTTTCAAACTGTCAAATCCCTCAGCAGTGATTTCTTTTGACAAGATTTGATGCTTTTCTTTTAGATTCTGTTACACGCATGTGTTTGGAGGAGAAAGAATCTGTTGGTAGAGCTGAATGTGAACCTTTTTTCAGAAGCTTTTCGCTCTCATGAATTATTTTGAAGATTTTGATTCGTCATCATGGGAGCACACTGAAATTTGATCACGCATGTGACAACAGACACCATATGAGCGAGCTCGTGTCTCATATTCACACCACCTTCCTCCGCTCACTCAAAGAGTAGATTGTGTGTTTCCATGGCGATCAGAGTCTTCTGTCTGTGTTAACACAAGAGGAGGGTTATGGCAGCAGTATCCCTCTGCTGACACAGTCAGGCGATCACCTTTTGCACAATCTCAAATTGTACAGATTACCCGCAGAGCCACTTCAGACACTGAGCAGGGTGGGTGACAGTTGTTTGGGTCTTTTTTTGTCCTTGGGGGTCGCTCCGTCTAACGTGCTGCACTGTTTGGGTAAAGTGCTGCTGTGTTCATTGTTAGGGTACCAACCCAACAGCTAAGCGGTGGCTCTTACAGGAACTCAACACTGATAAACCTCAATGTGGACTATCTGCCTGGCAAGCTTCTTTTTAGTTATTTATTTATTTATTTCTGTAGCTCAGTGGAGGCTCGTTTTTTTTTTTTTAAGACGGTGGATGAATGCAGAAGGCATTTCAAGATTTTAGCTGTGTGTGGATGTGATTTATTTATATTTTTGCCAGACGGGCAAAAGGCAGAAAAACATGAGAGGACTTTTAGATGAGAAAAATATTTTCCTCTTCATTTGAGCCATTTCAGGAAAAAAAAAACAAGTCTTTAACATAATTTAAAGTGCACTTTTTCCTTATTCCTGCAAGGCTTTGTTGAGTCAAGCTCTGTTAGTATCAAAATAGCTCTCTTCCCACATCTAGAAACCGAAGAGGCAAGACTCTTAATTTGTTATGTCATCAAGCAGCACTTATGGAGCCACAGATTCCTAATCTAATACTGCTTGCGTGTTTGTTTTATAAATAAAACAAAAGTTACCTTCGTCCAAAAGAGATTGAAAACGGACATTTTCTCTGGCTGGGTGCTTCTATATTTTTGTCTGCCCTCTGTGTCCCTGGGGCATGGAGTCCTCTCTCTGCTTCTTCACTCCTGTCATCCTCCCTGTCCTCCTGCCTCTCCTCTCTCCCCTAACCTTGAGTAACAAAACAGTGTGTGTCATAAAGTGTCTGCAGGCAGCAGCTCTATGTGAGTTTTGAGGATTAACATTTAAGAAATGAACGGTTACCTCGGTTTGAATAGTGATGTCTCCTGACGATTTTTTTCCACTTAATTTAAGTCAAAGAGATGTCGGTATGAGCAAAGTAACCGTTAGCAAGAAAATGTGAAGTCATTTCAGATAAATGTTAAATATAGTCTCTAGTTTGTGCACTTGCTGCAAGGACGACAGGTCTGTCTAGAACAATGGTCTGTGCTGCTCGACACACTAACTGTGACAGACCGTCAGCTTCTATTCATCCATCCGTGATGGCTGTGCAACTCAATGGTGATGATATGCCAAGTAGAGGAGCACTTCAGCACTTTTGTGTCCCGTACAGAGCTTTCTCAACAATCTATGAATAATTCTAAGGGTGTTAGTTTCCAGATGAGGAGGAAATCTTTTCATTTGAATCTTTTTCTTTCTTTTTAGGCCTCATTTTGTTCTCCTATAAACCTAGAATTTCTTTAATTTTCACAGACAGAGCCCAAATTAACATGGTTTCAGATCTCTTGCTGTTATCTTATTTATTTATTTTTTTTAATTTTATTTATTTATTTTTTTTGTGTAGTGTGTTGTTAAGCGCTTTGGGTATCTTGAAAGGCGCTATACAAATGTAAGATATTATTATTATTATTATTTATTATTACATGTCTTCTGCTCACAAGGACCAGATATCTTTAAAAATGAGTGTCTGTCAAAACCTGATGCCCTATGTTATCACCGCCCCGCTTCTTATATATCTGAGGGTGCAGCCTTGTTAAACGATGTAGTTATCTACCTTTTCATCAAGTTCATTAGTTCATAAAAGTGTTATTTCCTTTGAGGAGGATGAGACTATGCCAGTGCTTCACTGCAGAGATGAGTACCTCCTCTCCAACCTGTTCGATATTAGATGAATCATCAAAACAAAGCCTGATTTATCATGGCTTTGCTGTGCATGTATGTATAGCTGTGACGCTGAGTAGCAGTCACACTAAGTAGCTGTAAATGCCCACCATTAGACCGCCTTGTATTGTAAACAGTTTTTAATATCACTGTGACGAATAGACCAGGATAACAAATAATGAAAGAATCATAAATGTCATCCAAAGTACAATATGTATTTATTAATCTCTTGTTTACAGCCTGCTGTGCATTAGTCAACAGTTTAGACATTAGGCAGAGTAATACCTGCCTGAGGAGCATCATTTTCTGTACGCTGTAGTGCAGTGTTGATGTCTGAAACGGCCTCTTCGTCGTTGTGTTTCAATCTTGAATTAAACATCATGTCCTAACGATGTTTCATGGAGCCCTGTTCCTCACAGACTGATGAATTGATTAAACTTTTTCATTACGTTGATATTCACATTACTAATGCATGTTTGCAAATATCTAGCCTGTACAAGCATAAACCATGATTACCGACTGCCACTGCTGTAACTGTGGGAAATATGGGACCCATTTCAGTGTTAGTACTGAGTTGACAAAGCTTTATGAAAAACAGGGAACTTTCTCAGCTGTAAATTTCTACATAGTGACTCATCCTCGACTGCAAACTAAGCTCACCCTCGCCTGTTTTTAAAAATTTAACCCGCATCATCGCCACCAGTGAATGATTTTGCACCTCTTTGTATACGGTGAGCTTAATAACATCAGGTCATTAAAGCAGTTGGCAGATGTACAGTTTTTTTTTGGTATCTCTTCAACCACATCACACCTCTGCCTGATGAGCAATCAGCTTTCCTTTTTTTTGATGAGGGAACGCAGTGACTATATCTTCTCTCTTTGGCAATCTTTCACTCACTGCTGTCACTTTCACCTGCTCATTATCGTAGCCATCCTCGCTGCCAATTCATCACTTTCCTCTTTTAATAGACAGAACATCCTTCAAAAGCAGGCTTTGTGCTTTTCACGTCGCTAGAACTGAGTGAAATCTGCAGTTTTTTTGACCACTGTAAAACAGTGAGGGGAGTTCATGTCAGAAAAGCTGTAAATAGAAAATGTAGACACATCGGTGTCCAGGGTGTCTCATTTTAACATTTGCAGAGGGTTGGTGTCTTAGTTTGCTTTAAAAGAACTGACCTCAAGTGAAAATGTGAGAACAGAAGAAGTCATAATCATAATGAATTGATTTTACTTTCTGCACATCCCACCAAAATTTCAGCTTCCAGGATTCACTCGGCCAATTAAATCCTGGCACAGTTCGATTCAACCATTGACAAATTACACAGAAGGAAAGAGAGAGAGAGAGAGAGGAATTATCAACAACTTTATAAAACCATAAGGTGACTGTGTTCCCTCAGTGTCCTTGCCTGTTTCAACAGAACAAATGAATCCTATTGTTGTAGCCTTAACTCACAAACCTTCTGTGAAATACTTCAACTTTTCTAATCATAGATTTCACAAGCGAAATTGACTTCGCTGTGATCCACTTTGGCCTCTTTTTGAGACAGCAGGGTCTGAAAAAAAAGGTTTTGAAGGCTGAGCAGTTTCCTTGACCATGGGAATCTTTCACTGTAATCAAAAACCAACCAGTTTGTCTACTTCCTGCCTCAGTGTCTGGTTTCGTTAAATGTTATAATTGACTTATAGATGTGTAATTACAACGCTCCTGCAGGGCTCACTGAGGTGTCTGTAGGATCACAAACTTAAACAGACAGAGTGAATTCATTTGGACAGCTCTGATATAAAACTAATTTTGATCCCAGAGCCAAGCTAGTCTGATATTTTCTCACTTTTTTTGTGATGTCTACAACCTACACTGAAGATTGGCAGTGGCACCACATCATCTGGTATTGGCTCTCCATCCGCTGGTCTGGGTTTTGAAATTCTAAAATCTTGACAAATTCTTGCTCTGCAGAATTGAATAGTAGCTGGATATTTTTGGAGACATGTCCCCACTGTCCCAATTCTGAGCCCTCGGTATCTGGTGTCCTTTTTTTCCAGCCATGACAGAGATTTCTGGCACTCGGAGCGTTGACGAGTGATCACATCTCTCTCCCCTCACACTCCTCTGTAATGCTCTACATCTCTTATCTTACTCACTGACTCTGCAGATTCTGTTTGCTCTGTGGACATATAATCAGCCAAGGAGGATATTGTTTCTAACCTCCCGGCCATTTCAGAGTTTCAAGTTGACCCTCAAGCCGTTGGTCAGCGGGCTTCCCGGTGCGCCGCCTGCGCCACTTGATCCTCAGGCCCGGCACAGCTGCCAGCATCACTCTGCTCTCCCTCCCTCTGTCACAGTCCCCACCGATTCTCACCCGCTCGCCCACTGAGACGCACACTCCTACAGTACATGCCAGCTTACAGTCAGATCTAGAGCCCACGAAGACGAGGACAATCAGAAAATCTGATTTGGTGGGATTTAAATGTTATAGTGCTTATTGTTTCCTTATAGATAATTTAATATTGATATGGTGAAAATAATGAGATAACACCATTGATGTATTTACTAGCTGTTTAGACAATTTGGCAGGATATCAAGCAGTTTTGCGCTGTGTTCAGTGACTTGATTTTCTGACTGAATTTAAACTGATTCAGTTAATGATCATGAAAACAAAAAAAGGACTGAAATGACTTAAAAAACAAGGAGCTGACACAGAGATTCGTATTTTTATGTGTGGTATTTTTTGCATATTCCAGGGTTATATGTGTTTTATTGATCGCTAAACTAAATGACTGTTTATTTCAGCTCTAAAGAAACCTAAACTCTTCATGTGTTTGTTTTTTTGACGCTTTGGTTAATAAGATTTTGTCGCTGTCTCCCAACAGTCACTCATCAATAACAGAGTTTTCTTTGTCGTAATTTCAGAGTCAGCTTTGGTTGTTCAAGGAGAAAAAAAAAACCTGCTGTGGGCTGTAGTGTAAGGTTTTATTATCCTGTTGCACACACTGACAGAAGTGATACATTCAGTTCCTTTCTAAAACCGCCTCTTAATAACTGAACCTGTCCTGTTTTACCATTTTGACTCCAAGATTGTATTTTGAGTCATTTCTGCAGGCTCTGTTTTGTGTAATACCCACAAGAGTTGGCAAAACTAGACATTTGCTGTCATAAAATCCAGCACCTCCAGCATATCAACTAACAAAATGAAGTTTACCCTCCTCAGTTCAGTCTGCAGTCACTTTAAAAGAGGTACGATTTCAGGCATAAAGTCTGAACATAAAACAGAGAGCTCTCTGACAGGGTTTGGAGTTAAACTGGTTTATTAACGACATGCAGCTCAACATGAAAATGACAGCAGAGAATATATATTTCACTCCAGGACGTTACATCCTACGGTTTAGAGAAGTCTTTACCTTTCTTTCTTTGCACAACAGCCCAGTATTCTCAAGTTTTAGTTAATCTGAACAACACTACACTATGAGAAAGCTCTGATATTGGCCCAACTAAGTCCACTTTTGAATGTTCATCAGTTTTTTCAGCCTTAGAATCACAGTGGTAGTATTTGTTATGATGAAGCCTCACAGAATTGAAGCCAAATTAGTGACACTTCAGTATTTTGCCACTCATCTTGTATATGCTTTAATGCAAGTGTAGCCTTAATCAAAGGTCCTGACTGTAATCTCTTTTAGTATGACTCATCTAAAGGTCTTCTTTGTCTTAGCGCAGTAATCACTCTCCTCCATTAGCCATTAGCATCGCTCTGAACGGGACACAAATGTCTAAAAGAGGTATTGATTTCAAGCAAATGTGCTCATTCTGTCTGCTCAGACTTGGCTTTTTGGGTCCCTTTGCCCAGTAATGATGCAGTTCAGAGTGTTTTAACACCTCAGTCTCTGACGAGATGGAGAGAGACAGTGGGGGTGTAGAAAAGGACACGAGTCTGTCAGCAGTTTGAGCTCTTGAATCTCGTGTTTAGGGCCATGTTGCTATGAAACGCTGGCGCACTGTGATTAGACTGTCTCCTATTGTTTCCTAATTGTACGGGTAATTTGTCAGTGCAGTTTCCAAGTTCTCTTATATCTTGGTGGTGGAGAATGTGTTTCTTTAAATGCACAGTTCAGTATCTAAGATGTTTGCTGATTGATTCGTGAAGCCGGCTGATTTCATGAGACACATCTGAAGTGAGTAAACACAGATCAGTGCAGTCAGGCTGAAATGTGTTTTTAGCGGTCACTGCCTTCTGCGCTGGTTATTTTAGACTGCAGCAGATGTTTTCTGGCAGCTGATTTACTGCAGTGCTGCAACAGGTGAAAGTGTACTGTAACAGAGAGACAGACTGTAATTTGACTACTTAGAGGTTAGTAGGTTAGCACTCATCATTGCAAGTTGTGTCCTCATCTGTGAGTCAGTATTTACTTATTTTTTTCACTTTGAACTCATATTTTTAATCAGGATTGTGGAACAAGAGGCAGTTGCAAAAAAAAATAAAAAATTGACAACCTCACCAAACTTTAATCCACCCCATGGGGTCTCCAATGGACCACTTAAACATCCTAAAGTAGGTGTTGGGTTAAAAATAGTGTCAGGGGTTTATAACCTCTGAAAAACTCAAATAAGAGTTGAGATACTTTACCCCAAACTCTTCCAAAAAAGGAGCGACCTGCACAATGTTTGGAAATGTCTTACATGTTAGCAAACACACTAATCCAGACTGGGAAACAGAAAGTAATGACTGTTCAAAGATTGCTTTGTGTTGCAGAAAGCCTCTCAAATATTTATTTGATTCAGGCCTTTCAAAAGAAAAGTATTAAACTGATTATAATCAAACTTTTCAGCATTGGAAGGGTGAAATACATTAGCAGGATATCACAGGTTTACTCTGGACTGCATAGAGCGACAATAGACGATTGTTCTTTTTGCTAAATCAATCAGATTATTCATTTGGGGAATGCAGCTGCTAAAAGCTCCTTTTCTGATACATCTGGGCTGAAATGCTGACAAAACTTTTAAAACCAACAATAGGTGTCTTACCAATAAAAGTGAGCCAGTCTGCTGAACCTCTGAAACATGAAGGGAACCGAAGCACCTCTGTAGATTCTCAGTATGATTCTTTGCAGGCTGTAGAAATAACCACAAGGCATCTCGTCTGAACAGGTGATCATCAACAGCACCATCACACCCAACATGACGTTCACCAAGACGTCTCAGAAGTTCGGTCAGTGGGCCGACAGCAGGGCCAACACTGTGTTCGGACTGGGCTTCTCCTCAGAGCAGCAGCTGGCCAAGGTAAGAGGAGGCGAAAATCACATGGAAGTCCAAGAGCATTCTTACACCAGAGAAAAGGCCAGACGGATTGCTGTGGTTTTGTTTGAAGCTTACAGTGACATTGAAAAGTTGAGAGTGAGAAATCAGGAATTAGATTGTCCCTTCAACCTTGAACGATAATAATCTTCTTCCACTTTATTTCAGACTTAAATCATCAGTATTTTAGTTTCTTAACATCCAAGGAACAAAAATAAAACTGAATATATGAGTAAATGCAGCATGTTTGACTTTTCAGTAAATTTCTCATATTTCCACGTTTTCATTTCCAGTTTGCTGAGAAGTTCCAGGAAGTGAAAGAATCAGCCAAGCTGGCGAGGGACAAATCTCAAGAGAAGGTGGAGACGTTGAGCAATCACTCACAGGTAAATGATATCTCTCTACTGCCTGGACTCTGGATCAGTTTACTCCTTTTCTATACCTTTACATTTGTACGTAACATTTACTGCCTGCCCTTCAATGAGCAGCCACACAAGAACTTCCAACATTTCAGTGTTACTCACTTTTCTTTACAAACAGAAAAGGGCCAAATATTCAAGGTTTTGTTACAATATTTTCAAACGTTGATGTGAATCAAATCTAATAAAGTTTTGATTGTTTTCCTCATGACAAGGGAACAAAATCATAAAGGCATTTATGTTAATCACAAAATATGAGAGGCTTTCAGTACCAGGCTGGCACACATGAAACTGAGAGGATAAAGAAGTCTTGGTGAGTAATGAACAATAAAAGTCTCTGAGCTCCACTCTTAATAATCTCAAGGTAGTTATTCTGTCAGGAAGTAAACAACGTTGTTTGGAGGTAAATCCAGCAGTCAGCGGCTGCCAGCGCTGCTCTCTGCTTCTCTGACTCCAGATGGCAGGAATCAGACTCACTGTGAGCCACACAGAGCTGCTCGGGCATATGACATGATAAATACTGGCAACAGTTTTCCCTCACCCCTCCGCTGTCATGGCTGACGTGTCCAGGGTGTTTACAGTGCTGCACTGAAAGAAGCTCCAGGCCTTTTCTTCAGTGAGAGGAGACTTTTTAAAAAAAAGCTGCAGGTTATCTTTAACTGAATAAAAAAATGGCCCCCAACCATAACAAGTCTCTCTCTGTCCCCTAACAGGAGTCTGGACGTGAGACGCCTTCAACCACCCAGGCATCCAGCATTAATGGGACAGATGATGAGAAAATCTCTCACGTCGGTCCGGAGGCTGCTGTGCTGAAGACCGAGAACGAGCGCCTCAAGAGTGCAGTCGAGCTGAGGTGAGATTTCAGGTTGTGGACAACCTTCAGATGGTGACATGAATCTGAAATCAAGGTCCTGACACAAATTACTCCGCAGCTCGTATGATGAGTCTATTCTTTGTGCATAAACAGTAAATATGATGGTAATCTGTTAATTAGGATGGAAATAAAAAGAGATGGCACTGATTAATGGATCATCCCATAATGCTGCACTCTTTATTATAAACACTTGGTGTCTGCATGATGCTTGATTCACAGAATAGATTCTTTAACAGCCTTTTTATCCTGCTGCCATCAAAACAAATCAAGTGTTTAATATCAAAGCTGAAGTGTTCACATGTATCATGACAACACAACAATACCAGTGAGAGTTGTTAGTTTTACTGATTCATCACGAGCGTGGCACCCCTGATTGGCACATATCTCACACGATAGCGAAACCTCTCCTCAAAACACATCATATTATTTAACACCGCAGCTCCTAACAGCTTTTACATAATTCCTTTTCTCTAATTGTCTCTGCACCAAATGGCTCCACTGATCTCCCTCTTCACTTTATTGCTGCTGGGATGATACCATGTTCCCAAAGGGCTCAGGCATCATCTGATATAATCTAATACAGGGATGCTGCTTTCCTCCACTTTAGGTTATATCTGCTCTTTATAATCCAGATGCTGAGTGTATAGATGGGTAATCACAGGAAGCACCAGATGTGAGTCCAGATGTGATTAAAAGGTCCCCAAAGCAAGAGAGTTAAAAAAAAGAGAAAAGAAAACAGTGGGCTAATTCAAGCAGATTTAGATGAGCTTGTTTATGTGGTACAGACAGGATAAAAGACCATGTGGTTAAAAAATAAAAATGAACAGTCGCCAGATCTGTCAATACCCTGACAAGAGTAAAGAATTTATACACACAGGAAATGAATTATTGAATGTCTGCATCAGAAGCAATGTGTGGTAAATTCACTGAAATTTAATTGGTACACAGTAACTATGAAGGTTACTGCACAGGTTCAGGACCTCACAGATTCAATCTGCTCTTGAATAACATCCTGTTACCCAAAGACACAGACTGCAGTTTCCACTAATGATTCAACCAGATGATTAAGTGTCCACTAGGGCTGTGTGATATGGAAAAAAGTTTATCACAATATATTTTTTTCATATCAGTCAATATCGATATATATCACGATATAAAAAATTGAAATTTTACAGTGACTATTGGTAGCATGTCTTTTGCAATACAATAAGCTGCTGCATCTGTGAGGTCTTTGTGTCTCTTTGGCGTTTTGTTGTGAGGCGTTGTGCTAGAGAAAGCAGAATAGTCGGCTGTTTCGGCTGCACAGGCGCCATGGGCTCCTTGCTCCACTCGGGGTTTGGAACCTTTTGCAGGTGCTATGGTTGTGTGTAGGTGCAGTCTGCTACTACGCAGTTGTTTGCTACTTGGTTCTAATTCAGCACATGCTTGTTTCAATGCAAAGCGGACCTGGAGTATAGTCTATAGTCGTATAGTCTACCAAAACAGGGCAGAATACAGACTATTGAAAAGCATATTGACCATGTTTTATATTGATATTGAGGGAAATTGATTTTCAATATTCATCCTTATAATTTTATCGCCCAGCCCTTGTATCCACGTGGTCTGATGATGTTTGACAAACTTATTTGTGTTTTTTTATTGAATCACCTGATAAATGCTTCAGTTTAATCCAAAAACCTGTTTAAATTCAGTAAGTTTGAATTATTTTACCTCTCTTATGTGGACACTTATAAAACAAAATATGTATTGATAGATCTTTACTAAGAATAGATTGATTAATCAGTCAGACAGTTTGATGATGCCAATTAAAGGCATTTTGAAATAATCAGCGTGTGCCGATGTCTGCGCTCTCAAGGCCAATTAAAAAACAATGAAGGCGCTGCAGGAAGTATCATCAGCATGGTTGTTGAGAAACGATAACATGTTTTCCTCATCCTGAATCTCAAAAAGTTACCGGCTTGTGTTGAGCATAAATTCTGTTTTGATACAGATAAGGATGTAAATTAACAATGTGAAATCAAATCAAAGCCGGGTGTTTTTGACCAGAGAAGTGTTGTCCCTCGTGTTTTAAAAAGGGAGCTGTTTCTTTCAACTGAGTGGATGAAGCTAATGTGTTGTTTATGGTGGTAAAGCTCAGTCTGGTCCACCAGTGTTCTCAGTCTCCGTCAGCCCTATCTCGTGCCTTCACACAGCTTTGGGATTTGGTCGGGGGGGGAAGTGTGTCACAGCAGAGAAACAGCCGAGGACTGCAGAATGTTGCGGTGCAAGTCTGTCCACATTTGATGGAGCGCAGCATACTTTCACCCAGCCATGCATAAGGAAGGGAACAGTGATGCATACTAAATATACATCACAACCCCTCCAGCCTTATTGATAAGACAGAGGCACACACTTGCAGTTGTATAAAAGTTTTAAAAGACCAGCATTGAGTCCTATCAGGGTCTCAGCTTATCTTTCAGATACTTTCCCACTATTATTTTAATTCAATGGACTAAATATCTCCTACCAGACCGATCTATATAACAACTTCAATACTTATGACAGTAAGGATTTCCTCAAGCATTATATGTCCTGTCAGTGTGCTCATGCCCGAGACATTTCAGCTGCAACCAGTGTAAAATTTTCCCTCCATTAATATCAGCCCTCTGTTTTTCTGTCTTTCGCGTCTGACAGCAACACCAACGCCAAGAAATGGGAGACAGAGCTGCAGACTTTAAGAGAAAATAACGCCAGGCTGGTGGATGCACTGCAGGAGTCCTCTGCTAATGTAGAGAGCTGGAAGAAACAACTTAGTGCCTGCAAGGAGGAGAGTGACACACTCAGGGAAAAGGTAATACAGCCATGCACTCCTACAGGGAAGCTGAATAATGTACACACTACCATACATCCTGCTGGCAGGGAAGGTGACAGCAGAGCCCTACATAATGAACTTTCTGTTCTGGTTTAGTTTGTTTTACCTTGACTTCCATAAGTGGGATAAAGCCCTCATCAAATTTAGTTATGCAAGTTTCTCCTCCGAGTGTGCTGTACACTTTATTAGTTTGTGTGTTCCCTGCACCGAAGCCGGAGCTCCACTCAGTCCACTATAAATAGAATCATTTTAGTTTCATAATCAATGTGGGCTGTAACTGCAGCTGGCCTGCTGTTGCAATGATATATTTCATTTTGTAACATGCGCCAGATTTTTCATCTAATTGTTAGTGTGGGCTGTCAAGATACCTGCAGCGTGTTTAAGATCCCACCAGTACAAATAAACAGATGAACATTAGGGAAACAATATTGGAAATATGTTGAAAAATCTGGCATCCATATTGACATTTTCATAAAAACCACTTCCTCCTCCCTTTTTCCTTCTGTGTGTAGATTGCAGAACTGGAGGCTCAGTGCGCTGAAGCCGATCTGGAGAAGCAGAAAAACGCCCAGCTGACTGTACGAGTGCAGGAGCTGGAGGCTGAGCTGAACGACAAAGAGCAGGTAATATGTCTCAGTGCATTCGCTCAGGAACAACAGGGCTGGTTTCTTACCTTCAGTATGCACTCAGTGTCCTCCATCCTACCTCATTGAAGAAATCACACCCTCCAGACGATCCGTCTGTTACCTCCTGAAGTTGAAGGCTAATTTCACTCCTTTATTTGAACATATCAGAGCAGCTCTTCACCTCTTGTTCTTACTCCACTCCTCTCTCAGGAGGTGATTATACCTCAGCAGGCAATGACAGGTCTTTTATGTGAGATCATGGGTTTTGTATGAATTGGTCTTGTTATTTTTGCCACTCGACTTCTTGCCCAGTATATTTTTCTCTCTAAATGACTCCTTATTTTCCATGCGGCCCAATTTTCTGTAATCAACCTTATTTTGAGTGTTTAGGTGCATCTCGCTCGGTTGGAAACAGTCCACCGCAGGAATATTAATTCATCCTCTGACTTTGTCAAGCAGCAGGGAATTCTGACTCAAATACCATTAGCAGCATTTCCCTTTGTCGGCTGCATCTATCATCCGTAATCAAAACTTGCTGACTGTCAGCTCAGCGCAGCCTAATGCTGCTGTTATATCTAATGAGGAGAAGCCCTGCGCAGCCACACCAGCTCTGACCTTTGTTCCCCGCTGTTTAAAAGCTGTTTTTGTCCGCAGAGGAATGATCAGGACTGACTCCAGCGATAGTCTCTCTGCCTGTTTTCCACAATCATGTGACCATGTGTCCCACTTAGTGTGATGAATGCACAGTACCTTTCAAGTTTACAGTGGAATCAAAATGTCAATTACTTCTGGATTACGTTCTGTTGTGAGGGTAAGATGAGAGGGTGAGGACATGGATATCTAAAGCTCCAGCCTGGTTTGCACATCTAAACAGCCTTGTCCCTTCCCCAAACAACAAACCTGTCTGGTGCAGAACCTCCTGTAACGTGGGAAAGTATTGATTTTAAAACTGTGGTTGATGTAAACGTACAGAATGACGTACTGTCTAACTTCTTTCTGGGAGAGCTTTTAGGGTCGGTTTTATTTCTGGATACTGCAGCAAATCTGCCTTTGCTCTCTCTTACATGTAACAACTGCTTTCACCCATCTGGGTGTTTTGCTCTAATATAATATTGCTAATAGCAGTGTGACATAACAGTGACGTCTGCAGCTATGCTTAGGTTAAAGCCTCTTTTTTCCCTGAGGTGAACTGTGTGTCTGAGATGGTCTAGTTTAGCACCTGGCAGTCTGAGTATTAATAGAAGTGTTTTTTTGAGGGCGGTAAATCATAGAAGAAGTGGTTCGAACTGAGCTGGAGTTGTTTTCAGACGAGGAAAGGTAGAGAATCAGGTCCTTTGGGGGGCCTCAGTGTCTCCACAGCTCTGTGCATCTCCTGACACTGATCAAGGAAGTCTCCGTGTTTGCAGAGTGTGATACAGCAGCAAAAAACCCACAGAGACTCATCTGCTTAGTGACTCACCCCCTAGAAACACACACACAAACACACACACATACTCAGCTCCCCCCCAATTATAACATTCCCATGAATTATTAAGCATTCACTGCTGCGTTGACCCCAGCGCTGACCACCTGTGAACCACATAACAAAGCAGCAGCAGGTGACTAGAAAGACACGGCCAATTATTCCTTCCTGTAGAAGTGTTTAAAGTTATATTGGAAGCTATGAAGGTGCACAAGGTGGGTTTGGCTTGAAGCAGAGAGAGATAGAGCGTCAAAGACAGGAGGGATCATCAGTAAAGAGGAAAATAAACAAGAGTGCAGCTTCAGAGTTCATCTTAGTGCTGTTTGTCTTTACTTATTTAGTTTTTCCTGCTTTTATTGCTGCCGTCTGAGTTTATAAATGCTTTTTTTTCATAAGCAGCAGCACAAAAAATCTGAAGTGACCTCTTCTAAAACATCAAGGTCATGGCTGAGTATTCATGTTCATCCAATTATTTTTAAGTACAGACTGAACTGCCAAAAACTCACAATGACCATGAGCTTGCAACAGCTCAAAGCAAAAGTTTCTGATTTGGGGAAACTTGCTCAATAGCTTCTTATCAAGAGGAGACTTGATAACAGGGCCGACACACAGGAGTTAAGTTTCAATAATGTGAACATTTGGCTTGGCTTTACATAAACAGTGGGGAACAGCTGCCTGGCTTTGTCCGGATGTAATGAAAGGTGTCTTCCAGCACCTCTCAGCCTCTCAGAAGGTCACTGCTCTCGTTTTCTACAGGTGCTGTTCTTACTTAGTGTGTGAGAAGGCTAGACTTCTCTGTTACCATGAATGTGTAACAGCAGCCACCGGTAACCTCTGTTGCTGTTTTTATTCATCATAGGACAAGGACAAAAAAAGTACTCTGGCTGGAGGAAAGTTGAATCAGTCAGAGTCTTTAAATGTATAAAACTGTAAATTTTCCCCTCATGTGAAACAGGTGTGTACAAAATGCCAGGCATTACCAAATTGGGTTAGTTTAGACAAGGGCTGCACCGATCCAATATTTGGATTGGACATCAGCTCTGATATTGACAAATTAACTGGATCAAATATCCGATGAGTGACGCTGATCCAGCGTTCCGATCCAGTCTTTTATTTTTTTCTTCTTCTAAGTAATTTTTCTTTGATACATGAAAGTCTTACTTCTTTTGCTGTGTGCTGATGTGCAATTTGTTATATGTTAATAAATAACATCAATTAAATTTATATCTGAGTTAATTTGTTACTATTTTTTAACAAGGCTAATGTCAAGCCTGATGTATCGGATATCGGCCGATACGCTCAGCCCAGGTATCGGTATCAGACTGGATCTGAGAAAACAGATTTCTATTTTAGACTTACAGCTGTTAAATAACGTGTATTTCTCCTCTCTCTGTTCAGGTTGTTACTCAGTCAGCCACCCTGACATGGTTTGTCTGTGTTTGATTCCCTTTTTTTGTGCTTGTCTCGCTCCTAGGAGCTGGAGAATCTGAGGAAGCAGGCGGAGATAATCCCTCAGCTCATGGCAGAGTGCGAGAGCATCACCACTAAAATGCAGGTAAGTACGCAGTACCCAGAAATCCCTCAAACCCCTCATTTGTCTCAGGTGTGAATCACAGCTGAGCACAAAAGGCACGACAGAGAGCTGTAAGGCTTGGAGCCCACGTGAGAACAGGATGGCTGTGGCAGCGAGGTAACACACTTAACACACCGAATGCTTTGAGGCATAAGCAATGCTCTCAGACGTAGATATAAAAAAATAAGATTTCCCATTCAGCATTCTGCCTGAGGGCTGGTGACACAACATTCCTATCACGTGTCTCTTGAATTCACGTTGTGGCTATTAAATCTATTAATAAAGGTCCATCCCCATACAACACACGGCGGATTATCACCCCTTTGAAAAGGTTTCCTCTTCCTTGTCTGAGAAGCAGATACCACATCTCTGCCACGGCTTATTAGTTTCCTAGCAGCACAGATTTGATCTGTTAGCTAACAGAAAAATCCACCAGGATCAGCTGCTGGTGCTGTGAGCTTTAATGACTGTTTCATAACATTTTCTGTAGGTGTGTTGATCGTGTCTGCGAGGTGAAGTTAGGTGTGTTTCCAGAAACCCCGGAACAAAAGAGATTCACACCCATCAGTCTGTCGGCTAACAAGGAGCACCTGTTCTTCCAGGCATTATTGAGAAATACTCTCTGTGAAACTAGAAGTGCCAGGCTCTGTGACTGACTTTACACCCCGCGAGTGCCAAGTCTGACATGAGCTGCACTGATAGTGACGCTCATGTCGGCCTGTTCAGACTGACTCAGAGCAGGATTCTATCATCCAAGCTGTCATGCATGTGCTGCCTTTCAGAACAGAGCAGAGAGGATAATAAAACCAACAGCGGCATGCCTGAAGTTCTTCTGCTTCACGAAATAATACTGCTGGGTTTGTTTCTGCAACAGCCAGCTGGATGAACGACACTAAAGCAGAAGTTTATTTAACCGGCTAAAAAAACTTGGCAGACGCACGGAGGGTTGGATATCTCAGATTCCTCCCTCTGATACCTCTACCAAGTCAAAACCCCAGGCCGCCGAATGCATTCAGATAAGAGTTAGCTCTTAAAAATAGCTTCTCTGCAGCACTTTGCCCCTTCTGTGGCACTCTGGAGAAGAGTCTGTCTACCCTTCCCGTGTTTTGGGTCTTTGCTCCCCTCTATTTAAAGACAGCACCCACGTGGTGATCAGGTTTCAGGAGTCAGCTGCAGGATACAGTCATGCAGACGCAACACTCATTTAGCACTCCTATTTTAAACCCCTCCCTTCAGTGGTATCTTCACCGTTAATGTGTCACCCATGTCGCCTACTTGTCTGAAACACTCATGCTGCCCTCCCTTCCTCACACACAAATTTCTTTTCTTCTATGTCAAGCTCATGTTTTAAAACCTGATTGTGCAAAAAGAGGTTTTTTTTTTGTCTCATCATTTTGCTAAAATACTGAAAAATCTACAAAAGTGCTTTTATCTTATTTTTGTCAGAAGCTGTAAGAAGCTCCGTCTCTTGTTTGGCATCTCTGCGACAGAAAAAAAAGACAAAAACAAAAGATAAACCAGTGATGCTACATCAAAAGCTCAGACGTCCCTCTGAAGAAATCCTTTTTCTTTGTTTCAGCCAATTGCTCATATGTATTTGATGAAATTAGTTTGTACTGTTTGTTCACAGGCTGCGGAGACGAAGAACGGCGAGCTGGAGGGGCGGATAGGCGGTCTGCAGTTGGACATCAACGACAGCCAGCAGAAGCAGACCCAGATGAAGGGCGAGCTGAAGAAGTTCATGGATATCCTGGATGGAAAGATAGATGAGCTGCATGAGTTCAGGCAGGGGCTCTCCAAGCTGGGTGTTGATAACTGAGAAAAGTGGCACTGAGTTGAAAGGGTCAGAGGTCAGGTGCGAAGGATTCACTGCAGTTTGTCTTCAGGGCTGAAAACTATGTGGCACCTATTCCCCCAGGTGATGCCCACTCAGAAACTATCAGCTTTGGCTTCTAATAAACACTACCATGTGAGGAAGAGGGTATTTGGAGAGGGAGAGGGAGATACTGGCAGGAGAAAGGCCAGCGTGCTCCAGCAAATGGCTCCATTTTTGTGTGCTGGCATTCTGAAACTAATCAAGAGTCACACTTTGAGCTTACTTACCCGTTTCTGTGGGGGGAGACGGCTTTAAAAAGCTGGTGGTGGGTTCTTAGATTCTGTCTCTCCATCTGTCTTTTTTTCTAAAGGCTGCGGCTCTTCTTTACAGACGGTCTGATTTTAGAGTAGGAGAGGGGACTGAAAAGGGCTCAAATAAATAACACTCAAAGACAATGCTGTTCAGCATCACTCCAGTAATAATTGGTGTTAAACCTTGTGGCCCCCTCAGAGAATCTGCAATCTTTCTACTGACTGTCCTTGCTGATGCCTCCCGTCTATCTCAGGTGTGTTAGGTGACAGTTTGAACCAATATAGGATTATATGCACATACATGACAACCGGCCATGACACAAAGTGCCTCCAGGTGAGTCTAAACCCACCTGGCAAGGAGAACTGGCCAAGTGATGACCATCACCACAATAATAACTTGATTTTTGTGAAAAAAAAAAAAAAAATACTCGCTAATAAAATGAGGTGCAGGCAAGCCCATCCATCCTGAGGATGCTAATGTGATTCATGGATGTCAAACAGGTGTTTGCACTAAAACTGCTTGTTGAAGGACTGTCCCCTGTGGGTGTTTCCCGTAAGAACACCTTTTTTTATGTTTGCATAAAGACGGACGACTCCCTCGTTTCAGGAGCTTTCCGTCACAAACATCCAAATCTAAAGATAGGAAACGATTTTGCCATGAGTGTAGTGTAGTGTTCAAAGGACTTTGTGTATGCAGTAGTTTTGTCCGTTTGTAGAACAAAGATGTGTCTCCAAGGCTGTGCTTCCTTACACACCGGTTTTTGTTATGGTGGTGGTTCTTTTGGGGTGAGGGGACTTGGTGCTGCTAGGTGGGTAAACAATGTGAAAGTGTACTTCACTGAAAAGACGGCATGGGCCTTTTCACTACAACCCTGTCAGATTCTTGGTTTTTGTTTAACATATTTATTTATTTTGGTGCCTCTAGTGTTTCTCGAACAAACCAAGTAAATCAACCTTTACCTAATGTCTCTATAGTGTCTTTCTAGGTGTACAACGATATATAAGAAAACCAAACTGTCAGGAGTCGGAGGCTGTGTTTGCAGGGTGGTGTCAGAGCTGCTTTGGGTGATCCATCTTTAATCACGGTACATTTGAAATCAAAGGCATATGTTGTAATGGCATATATTTACCGAGTTATACTGTAGTGTTATAAGTATATTTTTTCATCTCTGTTTTGGGATCTGATCTTGTTGACATTAAGATATCTATGACCAGACTTTTTGCTTCTCTCTAATTCGCCCTCCTGAACAACACGACGTTTGCTCCTTCCTTTTGAACCAATGCCTCTTGTGCACTTTTGTGACTCCTGTTCAATATTGTACAATAGAACTGACAATTGTTAAAATTTAGTTTAATTATAATGCTGAGTTAAGTGTCTTCTTTTTTACTTCAATTAGGGGGGTGGGAACATTTTTACAAAGTGCTTAAAGAGGGGAGGGGAGGTCTGTTAATCTCTATACCTAGAGCTGAAGCTCACAAATCTGCTGACGTTGGAAATGTCTAAAAGCATTTTATCTCCTGTATGTGAAGCTCACAGAAGGAGGTGGAATGAACCTCCAGTGCCAAAGCTGCATCCTGTTGAAGCTCCTGCACAAAAGCTCCGCCACCGCACGTCTTTTTCTCTAATGTTGATTTACATAACACTAAATATAGCTGTAATCCTAACAGAGACACACACGGGAAGAGCAAAAGAAGTGGGACTTAATCACAGCCAGTGACATGTATCAGTTTCTCCCAGGTCAGAACAAATAAAGACAGATATGAGCTTGTTTGTGGGATGAAAAACACTTTGAGTCCAACGTCCTCACAGCACCGAGGAAATAACTGCAGGGGTGGATCAGACAACATGTTGCCAGGCAACTTAATCCCACTCACTTCTTTTATTTTTTTGGATAATATATCTGTGTGTGATTGACAATTAGAAGTAATGATTTAGTGCAACCTCCTAACAATTATCTATTACACGAGAGAGAGTCAGTCATATCAGGGGAAGACACTCTTAGATGTTGTTTTTCCTGAGGGACTTAAATCATCTTTATCACTTTCAGAGATCAGCTGTTTGGCACAGGCACGCAGAAAAACTAATCAACATGCAAAATGAGCATCAATTTAGAGGTGAAACTATCTGTTAAATGAGCAATTACTGAGCTGGACTGCAGGAAAGTATAATTTTTATCATTTATTGAATTTATTTTCATTTTTATCACTAAAATGAAAATACTAATTATGGGAAAATCCCTTGTGAACCAAATGTAGAGTTTTGAAGTGGTTTCTTTTTTCTCCGCTGACAGTCCAACATCCTGTTTAACCTTGCATGATAGTGAAGCAGCGCATTTTCAAAACAAAGACGGCAAAACTCAAACATTCAGTGTGAAGTGCTGCTCCAAATACCTGCTGTTAAGTCGAGCTACTTGTAAAATTAGTTGCTTTTGTTTCTCCATTTCATCTGACTTATTGAAATCTCAAAAAAACAAAAAAACCTTGAATGATTTTACTTCTTCTGACTTCTTATCAGCCCCCTAAAAAGAACTAATTGAATTAAAAATGAGTGAAACATTTATCAATAACAGGAAAGATGACTTTTTTTTCATGCGCTATCAATCAAACTCAAACAGGTGCGTCCCCCGGCGTATCTCTCTGTCTCTTTAAGTCTCAGTGCTGCTCATTGTGTGGCTGCTGATGAGTGGGCGAGTTGGTGAAACATCATTAGGAGACTGTGCTGCTCTCTACATGTGTCTGAGAGAGAAAGGAGAGAGAGAGAGAAAGAGAGAGAGACATGGTACTGCAGGCCACTACCGTTTAGACTTCCTGTTGCCATAGTAACATGCTGCGGTATTACATGTTGACACTCGACCTGTGGGTTCGCTGCATGTGTGTCTCCCCGAAGGTCCGTGACCCTGTCTTCCACCTGATTTACCTGGATGATGCTGATAGATGACACACACGCGAACACAAACACAGAGGGAGGCCGAGCAAACATCATGACTGTGAAGAGAGGCCTAACTACCTCTGATGGAGGCTGATCTCTGAGTACACAGAGCTGAATAAACCCAATCACAGCTGGACGGGGACATCTGATCTGTCACTGCAGGAGGGAGATGTGTGAGAGCGGCAGTTGTTACAATGACTCATCCCCATGTGGGCTTCAGATCCGCGCACACACATCTTTACGTCGGGGTTCGCTGGCACAGAGTTGATCAGGGGTTTCATGTCAGCTGTGATGATCGGGGAGCTGCACAAATGAATTAAAGACGAACCACACGCTGCTATTATCATCAAACTTGTGTCTTTATTGAAAAAACACAGCAGTACAACTTTGTATGTGTGAGCCGCAGACATCATGAGCTCATCCCTCACACACTTTTATGTTACTTTGCAGATTCAAATGCTGCGAAACTGCAGGAATTAACCATTCAAACTGTTACATGTTTATCATACAGCATATATTTTAATCCATCCTTACTTCATCTTTGTGGAAGTTCAGGTAAGTCAAGTGCTTTGTGTCACAGGTATAAAGAAATTAAGTGCACATTTCCCCTACATAAGTCTGTAAGCTGATTAGAGAGCGATATGTATCGAGTCATCCTATATTCAAACGAAGGTATTGGTTATTGAAAATAATTGGCATTATTTGCTTTGATATGACATCACAAAGGCATTAAGAAGTAACAGATCATACATGAAATTGCACCTTAATTAAGCCCAACACATTCTCACAGTCTCCGCTAAAGTAAACACGGACAGAACAGTGCATCGAACAGCCTGAAACACTAACAATGACGCAGACTTTAGACATGTAGGCTGTAAATAATTAACACTGCTGCACCTCAGGACATAAATGTTCTTTAGTTCTGCAATAAAATGCAAAAACTACTAAAGCCCTTATTGGGAAAAACGAGGCTACAAATACATGAGCTCAGTTCACTACATTCTGAATAATAGAAGTCTGCTGAGTTTCGACCCAGTGCTGCAGTAAAATTAGTGTTAGTGACAGTGGAGTCGTGTAGTGCGGTTGTCTCTGCCTGCAGCTCGGGCTTCCCCTGCTGTGTGACAGGCTCACTAAAGGCCGTCAGATGCAGAGTTGGGAGAGATTCAGTCATTTACACACTTTGTACTACAGCACTGCTCGCCTTTTCTTCTTAATGAGCGCTGCAGCACAACGCCTCATTTGCTCAATTTTAGAGTTTCTGTTGCGTTAGAGGGAAATAAATCCTGGTTCTCATTTGAGTAGTTTTGGATGTATTACAACATCTAAGGGCTATTTTCAAATATGAGAAATATGATTATTATTATTGGACTGCTAAGACAAGCTCTAATGCTGCAATAAAAGGAGGAGTAAACCCATCATCTGACAGAAGAAGAAGAAACTTTTTGGCAAAACTTGGCAGTGTTAAAAGCTGCAGCTCAGGAAATGCAGCAGGGGGTAATCCAAAGGACAGCTTCATCTGTAAGAGTGTGTGTGTGTGTGTGTGTGTCTGTCAGTGTGTGTGCACCCTCAGCTGTCCCAGTCTGCACTCTGCATCTCCTCCTCTCCTCTGTCCTCCTCGTCAGAGTCGGCTGCCACCTTCTTCATCCTCAGCATAGCCGCTTTGATGCTGCGCTCCAGCTCAGTGTCTCCACTGCTCAGGACTTCAGCACGTGCCGGAACCACCTGCAGCATGACGAGAGTCGACTTAATACGAGTTTTCACCCGGGTTGCACGTGATAGATGTATATACATGGAACTTTTCTTTTACAGAGAGCAGACATGGTTTCAAAACACAAATATACATCAGAGCATTTATGATATATCTGTAAGGGTTACCATAAGCACTAAGATCATAAACAACTCCAGAGTACAGGAACTCCAGTACCTCAAGAATGACCTCCACCAGAGAAGGTTGTTTTTAAATTCGCCTTAGTGATGTGATCAAGTATGAATGCAGTTGAAAGTCCCAATCCGATCATTTTTTCTACTTCTCACTGGTCTTTAAAATTGTGATTTTGAAGTTTTTAGCCAAAATCGCTAAAATCGAGTTACTCTATCTTCAGAGTGCGGCCTGCATGGCGGGGCTCTGGTGGCAGAGCTTGGAGTGGTTACGTATGAAATCTCACTGTTTCTGAACCTGCTGTTTGGGTCTGCGGTGTTTCGTTTTCACAGTGAGTTGAATGAAGAAATACTCGGAAAGCAATTTAGAATTTAGTTTTCTCATATGTCCTGTAGCACCAGAAAAATGTCATATGAACGTATAAAAAACAACAAAAACATGATTTTCATCAGAGTGGGTCTTTAAGTGTAAAGCATTTTTACTAATCCTCTGGTGAGTTTTAAAAAAGCATGTAACTGAGAGCTGAAACAAAAGCTACTTTTCAATAAGTAACATTATCAAAGGTTTCTAGAGAATAATTTTGTACACACTGACTCTCTGACAAATATTCAGGGGTTGACAGGACCCCTAAAGAGAAAAGCAGCAACAATACTTTTTTAATGCAAGTGAAAGGCAAACTCAATTCTAGGCACATACTTCATCTGCAAAGAGACCTGTAGAATGTATTTTTATTCTTTAGACGCAAACACCAAGTAAGCAAATGTTCCCCCATCCTTAAAAAGTTTTCAAAAGTCCACTAAAGCAGTAAAGTAGATGATTTTGAGACACAACAAATAAGACTACAGACAATTGAATTTTCCTTTGGGGATCAATGAAGTTCTTCTTTTTCTTAAAACTTTTTAAACATTTTGAAATTCAACAGTGTATAAATCCTAACAAAGACACACCAGTTTTAGTGTAAAAGTAAGTTTTTTAATTATGAGTTATTGAAATCTGCTGCTCTAAGTTTGAAGTGAAATTCAACTGGTGAGAAGTAATTAGTGTGATTTCTCTTTCAGACTGAATTTGTAGTTCCCCCTTAAACCTGTGTATTTATGAGCTATCAGCTTTGATTTGTGCATCCTCTTAAACCACAGATGCTAAAATCAAACTCTTCTTCTACAATGGTAATAAGGCTGGACCTCTTCTACTCTTTTTTGCTGATGTTAACAGCTCCACTAAAAAGACTGTCAATCAATCTTTCAATACTTAATGACCTCTCCAGCCTGACTTTAACAGCGAAGTTTACTTGCATAAAGACTTTATTAGATAATCAACCATCCTGACTGATTCCTCATCAAACATTGGGCTTTAACAAGTTTTCTCACCTTCTTAAGAGCGACTCCTTGTCGGATGGCAGACATCAAAGAGCTCCTCGGGTCCTCAGCAAGGGGGCCCATTCTGGGAGTTGGGACCTTACGAAGCTGGATCTGTCCACGCTGCAATGAGGCCAGCACTTCATCCATTGTTCCTACAGTAACACAACAACAACAAAGAGAAACAGACAGTTTTAGCGTGAGAGGAGGCGCTGAATTTTAGAGCGTTGTTTTTAATTTTGCTGCTGAAAAATGATCTCCTAAGTTTCACAACAAAGTAGTCTGCACTGAGCTCTCCAAGGTTTTCACCGGTGCAAAATTTCAACACATATCTTCCTCTTGAATGACCCCCATTTCAGAAAAAAGCGATAACACATATTCGGAGATGCTGTGTTGGATGTTTGAGACTCCCTGGAGCTGAGTGTGCGCATCAGCAGGACCGTAACTGATGTAAAATGCCTCCTCTGGCCTCACGGGGGAAGTTGGAAATTCAGGACAGAACACTGTGTTCAGACACACACACACACACAACCCTCCCTGCAGTCAGACAAATTCACACAACCAGCTCCATCTGAATTGTGTTTTTTTTTTTTTTTTTTTTTTTGATAAATAAAAATCTAAATGTTCTTTTCTAATCCCGCAGTTTGACTTGTGTTTATTACACACACATGAAAAGTTAGTTTGTCTGGATGTGTCTTAACTCTCACCTATATTCTGTTTGAGTGTGTTCTTAGCCGGGAAAGGAGGGTCCTCTTTTTCACTGAGAGGCAGAGGGGCGTCCTCAGAGCGAGGTGAGGCATGGACAGGAGGGGGAGGAGGTACTGCAGGTGGCAGAGGTGGAGGCGGCGGAGGTGGTGGTGGGGGAGGAGGAGGAGGAGGGTGTGCAGGAGGACCGGTTGTCGAAGGAGGAGGTGGTGGTGCAGAGTAGATTTGGACAGGGATCTCTTTCGGCTGCTGTTTTTTAGGTGCTTTGTTTCGTCTGCGCGCAGGACGGATGGAGGGGGGTCCTTCTGAAGGGCCGATGCTGATGATTGACAGCGGCTGGGAGGGACATGTGACATCTGAAGGAGACAGCCTGGACTGAGGAGTCTTCAGGATGAACTGGCCCTGTCGCTTCTGGAGGAAGAATTTAGAGGAGGGAAAAAAAAAAGCTTTCAGAAATAAGGACTTCATCCTGAGAGAGACAGCGAAGACACAAGACGACGCCCACTCAGCAGTATGATCTAATTCTTTTGTTTCAAAAAGGTCCCACAGTGAGTTGAGTTTAAACTGATGTGGCAGAGGGAGACACACAAACACAGTTAAGAATCCTCCTAATGCACTTCAGACGGACAAGACTGTGACGTTTATTTCAAGAACACAATTCATAAATTTAATCAGAGCACAAAACAGTCTGACAAGAAAAGAAACTCAGACCTTGTTCAGGTGTGGGTTCCACCAGATATTTGATCATCTACGTCTTAGTCTTAGCCAACAGAAATACACAAAAACTAACCTCAACAATTTCTTTAAATTTTGAGTCAAGAGATGAAAGAAAACATGAACAAGAAACCCTCAAACAGAAGTAAGAAAACCTACATGCTGACAAAGGTCATGATATGATTGAAAGCTCCTGACAGCCAATAGGTGGATGCATGTGAAGAGACAGCAGCTGTTCTTCAAAGTTAAAAAACAAACTGAGAGGCAGTTTTTGGGGAATTATAAAGAGGTGAAAAAAAAAGTTCATGTTACAACAACTGAATACTGATATTTTAACTTAGGGAGTGTTCAGACATCAGTATTTGGTGGAGTAACCCTGATTTTTCATTACAGCATACTCTCCATCAGTCTCTTAGATTTCTTTTGAAGGACTTTATGACACTTTTTATGCAAAAGTTCAGTTTTGTTTGATGGTTTATCAATAAATGAGTGCCTCACTGAGCAGAAATAGGTGAGCGCTGGCATTGAAATTCAACAGACAGTGGGACAGAACGGCTTCCATGCATGTAGAAAAACTGATTTAAGGAACTTTCTGGAGGGATCGGAATTTTTTCACAGTTCCAATCATGACAGTTTTAAATTGTAACGAGTTTTCAGTTTTATTTTTCTGCCTTTGTAGCCCTTCATAAAAGATGATTATTACTGTACTTAAGGTGAGTAAAGAAAGCGTTGATGCAGTATCAGCACTCCACTGTACCGGTGATAGTTGGCACAGCAGCACATTAAATCAAGCGCAGATGGACATGTAACTTAATAAAACCTAACAAAAATCACGTTTTAAAAGTTGGTCGTCTAGATTTAATTTCTGAGGAGAGTGAGTGAATAAAGTGTACATGAAGTAAAGGTTTTCTATAGGGGCTAGAGGAAGAGGAGCCGCTGCAGAGCGAGTGACAGAGTCTGACCTCTCTGAAGGATCGTAATCTGCTCAGAGTCTTCTCTCGCTCCTGGTCCACCCACTCCTTCCTCTTCTGCTCCTCCTCTTTTTTCCGCTCTCGCTTCTGCAGACAAAAGAAGGAGACAGTGAAAGACCCTGACAGGGAGAAGAGTCGGACATGCTGCGGTGTTTGTGATGTAGGGTTATCTCTGTTGGCAGTGTCGTTGCCGTAGTGACATACCAGGTGGACTTGATGATGCTGGCTGTAGAGAATGGAGCTGTGCTTAGCTGATTGCTGTTTCTGCTCATTGGCTTCCATACATTGATCCTAAAAACACATGATGCATCAAAAATTACAAAAGCAGTTTGTAATTTACACACCATGGTGGGAAAAACATGGTGTTTAGATGCTTCAAAGGTAGAAGAGCTGATGAGACTGAGGCTTATCATGTTTCAGTTAATCGGACAGCTTCTTTTCTCCTGCTTTGTTAAATATTCATGCATGTGATCCTTTTTCTCTGTAGATTACTGTGGGTGATTTGTTGGAGTCGCTTACCAGGGGGACTCCTCTCCTCTCACTAAAGTCTTTTTAAAACAGACAAATTACCTTGCAGCCAGCAACAGGAAAAAATGCCAACTGCACCAACTGTGCTTAAACGACTCTGTCAGCTAAAAATAAAACAGAGATGTAAACTCTCAAGTAAAAACTCAGCGATAAAAGACTTTTAGGACACAGACAGGGAGGAAAGTCCCCTTATCTTCTTTCTGCAGTTCTCTTAACCATTGAACAATCTGTAAGTTAGTTTTAATTAATGGATAGCTTGTTTGATCCATATTTCATCGCACAAAAGTGAAAAAGTTCTGCTGCACTTTCCTCAAATCTTTGTTTCTGACTTCAAAAAGGACTGAAATGATTCATAAAAGTTCATCTACATCCTCCCCGGTGTTTACACACACCTTTTTGTTGCGAAGATAAGCTCGCCGCGCGCAGATGTTGCCTCTCTTGGTTTCCAGGTTTTGTAGTTGTCTTTTGAGATGACTGACAGCAGGAGGGTCTGTTTGGTGAACACTTGTGTGGAACAAACTATGCAGCTCTTCTGGATCCTCACACACGTCGTAGTACACCACCTCGTCCTTCAGCTCTGAAAAACATCCACAGTGTAGTCAGCCAAACTTTCCTGTTACCTGTTTTTACCCACTAATACAAATCTGAATCCTCAGGAACATAAACATGAGCTGCTCTTGAAAAGTGTGTACAGTTATTTCTCTTCATGGGTGTAAACACACTTCTGGAGATGAAAACTATGGACCATCAGGTTAAGAAAAAGGCGTTAATGCAGGTCTATTCCTGCATGATGTCACCTCTAAGCTTAGTTTGTGAACCATTTGTGCGTGACGAGGCTTATGTAAGAGAGCATCATGGTGCAACAGTAGGTGTTAAAGCAGAAATATTGACAACAGAGCTGCATATTCACACAGGGCAAGGGTGTTAGAAAAGTCCTCTCCTACTCCTGATGAGTCCGTCTTTTGGTTTGTTAACTCTAAAATCATAACACAGGCTCCATCAATTCAGCAGCCTTCTTTAAAATGTGCTCATCTCATGAATTTCCCTGTCCTCCTGTTTTCCTATTCTGCTTCAGGAAGACGACACCTTGCTGCCTTTACGTCGGGAAACCAGCCAAGGTGAGGGTAACAACCTCAGCCAAATTCACTGCGGACACAGATGCAGTGTGTACACACACACACACACACACACACACACACACACACACACACACACACACACACACACACACACACACACACACACACACACACACCACTCAGAGGCAAACATCCGTCAAGTCCCAGGAGGTACAATTAGGGAAATATGTAGATGTGCAAAATATTCCCTGAAAGTAAACCCTGTGCACAAAACACCGAGTGACCACACAAACAGACACCCCAGCACTTCATAATCCAGGAGCATGAGATTCTAAGTAATGCATTCACATAATGTGGCCGTGACTTTAAATTGAAGCTTAGAGGAGTTGATTCTACTGTATAAGAAGTGCAATGTCAAGTTACATTACACTATAAAACTGATTAAATGAGCTACACCAAATAAAAAAAAAAACATAAAAAAATAGATAAAAATAAATACATAAAAAAAACATAAAAAAATAAATAAATAGATAAATAAAATAAAATGAAACAAAATAAAATAAAATAAAAATAAAAATAAAAATAAAAACAAAATAAAGTAAAAAATACAGTCAAACAGGGGGGCTCAACATTTTCATAAACCCCCCAAAAAGTGACATCGTACCTAAACCTAAAACCCATGCAGGCATCTAAACTGAGAGGGGAAAACACATTCTTGACCACTGTGATTAACCAGAACTGAGGCCACATCAGGGAAACTTGGTGCCCGTTTACAGTAAGAGAGACTTCTGCATTAAGATTATCTCAGATTTTCTTTGCTGTTTACTTCCACAAATCCACCCACAATCGATCCACGACACTTGACAAAAGGCCTGAGAAGAATCTTCATATTTTTACACTTTTCTTAATAACAAAGTAACCCTGTGAAAGCTGTCAGTTCCACCACTCAAAGACTGCTGAAGGAGGACTTGCTTTAACTTAATTCTGCATACTTACAACTGTGCCAAATTTGCTAAGATGCAAAGAAACAGGGACTTAATTTTAGCTCAGATGACCTTTGGATGAGCTTATATAACGCTTTCAACATCTTTGAGTTAATATTGCTCAAGTGTTTTGCAATAAACCGAACAAGGACGACACAGCCTTTAACTCAGTGATGTAAGGCTGCTGATAAAAATCTACTGTCTGCCACACGTGTTGTTCACCTTTGATCTGCCGCCGCAGGGCGTCTATCTGAGCCACCAGCAGCTGCTCCTCGTGCTTCAGGATGACAAATTTGGTGTCGTACAGTTCTAGCTGGGTCTCATAGAACTGCAGCTCCAACTGGTCAACCGTGTCCTGCTGCTGGTCACTCCTGACTTCGCCATAGAGGCTACCCATCTGTACCACAACAAAAAAAAAACACATTAGTTCAAGCCAGATAAATTAAAAAGTTTATACAGAGCATGCTGCGTCTAAGAGCATTCCTCGTGTTTTGATTTACACAGCCGATCTTGACTCCAGGATGGAATTTAGTTTAACTTGTAGAGACTCAAAACTTGGTGTGTTGATGTCTCACACAGAGCTCAGATGGTAATGCAAACAGAAGCTGCTTTTGAAAAAGTATCTCGAATGTTAGACCTCAAACCAAAACCTATTCAGTGTAAGAATTTCCTCCGGATTATTCTTTTTTTATCGCATCTATGAATCTTATTGTCCGCCTCCATACTCAGATTTTTGGTTCTTTTTGACATTGAAGTAAATTCCGGACGTGACAGAGTCCTTGAACACAATCATATCCGATTATTTTAAGACGAATCTGCTCTGAAGTGCATCATCAGGTGGAAAATAAATCATTTGACATTATAGGAAACTGAGAGGATAAGTCTTCCCAAGTTCATTGTCAAAATAGTGATGAAATAAGCTGAAACAAGAAGCTACCTGCAAGGTCAGACGGTAACATTAAGTATGCATGATATGAAGCGATAGAGCTGATGAATTCAAAGCACAGGTATGTCCTTTAATAATCACAAAAACAAATACACTGCTCACACTGCTTGGATGTGACATTGTGTGAATTGTTCTTTAGACAACACAGCACACACAGTATATATAAGGAAGCCTAAAGTTGTGTCATCTGCAGGCAAAATGTTGAACTCAGTGGAGTCCTTGCTGCGGGATTCTGCGTAGGTGTAGCTAACTGATCCCTTCTAAACTCTCACACACAGCTGTCTGGGGAAGAACTCATGTAGGTTTCACAGTGGTAGACACTGACAGCACCCTCATACCTGCTTTCTTAAAACGCTTAATCATATGAATAATGCGACCACATGCAGGTGAAAGTACTGAAAGTGTTCCCTGTTGTCCTCCAAAAGGCTCAGATGCACAGCGTGACACCTTGAGGAAGCAGGAACTCTAATGCAGCTTTCCAAAAATCCTGTGATCCTGACATCTGTATTCACAGATATGCATATAGCAGAGACGTTTGGAGTATGTTCAGACACACACAGGCGCACTCGCTTATTCATGAATGCAGGTTTTTGGGGGGTGTATCGAGGGGATTCTCTGTGTTTTTAGAGACGCTTTATAAATAGATCAAAGGACTATAGCAGCCAGAGATTCAGATCAGACTGGAATACCAAGTGAAAGATAAAATAGAGCAAGCAGGCACCGTGTCACATCTCTACAGTCTTACATCCACTACAAAAGCAGTGTTAGCCTTGGCACTGAGATATAAAGATCTGAATGACAGCTGAAGCCGCAACACCGAGTCCAAGACGCTGTTGAGGAAAGTGCTGACTAATGACAGGAGAGCTAGAAAAAGCGGTTTTATTTTTAATCAAAAGACACACACACCTTCTCTCTGATGCTGTCTTTCTTGCGGCTGAGGCACATCTCTGTGGTTCTCATGTGCTGCAGGGTCTCTTTGGCCAACAGGAAGCGTAGTTTCTCCATTCTGGGAGCTGCAGACGCCCAGGCTGCAGCTCCAAATCGGCATTTATCCTCCTCCATCTGCTTCAGCATTCCTGATTATACACATAAAGCTCTGTTAGGGCAACGTCACAGGGAGCTCAGGTATATTTTAATCAGAAAAAAACACGATAAACAAAAGAAAACACTCTTGTATGATCTCACATAGGTTGATGTAATCCTTTTGTTTATTTAAAAAGGTTCAGAGATTGAAAATTTCCGTTTGGTAGCAGATGTGATTGTCTTTTTGTCTAAGCAGGCTCTTCTTTCAAACCTGAAGGTATGTATGTATAATTATGAATAATGAGTTATAAGCAACATAAATGTAGCTAGGATTTCTAGACATCTGCATCATGGAGCGTGTCTATCTATTTAAATGCTTGTAGCTTCTAATGGGAGCCGTACAACACCCACATACAAGGCAGCTGCCAACATCTATATTTTTAAATCTAACTGAAGAAAGCAGGGATCTCTTCCCTTATTCCCTCATGTGTTTTCTTTCTGGCAACACTTAAAATGCTCGATAGCATAATGAGATCTTCCCACACAGTCTGGTTTATTATTCTTTTCTTTATGTTTACATTTGATGAGGTCTGAAACTCCACCACACCTTTTTAGATTCATCTGACGGTGGGGTCGTTTGAACTCTTTCCAACAACAAGCCGGTTACCATACATCATTCATTAAAATGTGTTTTTGTGCGTGTGCGTGTGTGTGTGTGTGTTGTGTATGCTGAGGAATGACAAACAAAAGTAATTAATTGATGCATCAATTCATAAATAGAGAAATGAAGACAACAACTCGTACCAGCCAAGGCCTTTGAAGTCTGAGCAAAGTAGGTGACGGTGATGTCCTGAATCGAGGTGACTGCATCTTTTGCTTTCATTTTCCACTCCTCTGCCTCCTTCTCCAGAGCTGCAATTCTCTTAGGACCCAAGTCCTCAAACTCCAAAGACTTCTGTAGAAAACCACAGTGAGATACCAGAGGACATCTTTACACATGATTTCAGGTACACATACACTTGGCTTAAAGTATAATTTTGTTACCAGAGAAGATGAAATTATATGCCCTACTTTTGAGAGACATCAAATAAAAGCCTGTTGACATTTACCAGAATCTCCATCTTGTATAGGCAAGCCAGCTCTCTCATGTCCCTGAAAGGCTGCAGCAGATACTGGAAGAAGGTAGTAGCAACAGTGACCAGGTTCTGGTAGGCCTCATCCTCGTCTTCATAGATGCGGAGCAGCGCAACCATCCCGTCTTCTATGCCATGACTCTGCAGCAGCTGCAAATATAAAGGGAAGCCCGCAGTCTTGTTTATGCTTAGTGTGACTTTTAATGTCTCAAACACACAAATCTCTAAAACTCCTGATTTAGGTTTTTCCTTGATTGCAAATTTATATAATTTTTATTTCTTTCTTCTTATTTTTGGTTGAGTAAGATCATATCTAGAAAAATAAGGCTGAACAATAATTTTTGACACAAATCATCTACAATAACAGAGAAAACGGCATATATTAGGGTTAGATGTTCTATTCTATTCAAGACAATGCATGAAATACCTTAACTGTTTTGTATTTCAAGTGTTTCATTATACTTAAGAGATTTTGCTGATGCATTTTTACACTGAATCTAATAACTGTTAAAATCAAATGTTAAGTTTTCAGCTTCTATTTCACTGTCAGGCATCTCTGAATGTGTTGTTTGTGTAATAAGCAAATGTCAAGTTACACTTCTGTGCTCCAATAAACTCAAATACACATTCAGCTTTTGCTTAGTCATAGTAGAATGAAAGTTTGCCACTGTGTGGTGCTAGTTCTGCAGGGTACCCATCAACTATGAAGTAACACACTAAACATCAAAACTGAGACAAAGAGTAAATCTCAATGTCACATGAGACATGTTTATTTTCATATTGATGAAGATAATATTTACTGACATGTATTTCTTATTTAAAAAGTTTATATCGTGTTGCTCATGTCTTTAATTTGTATTAGGGAAGAGTGGGGTAAGATGAGCCAGTTTTCATATTCATGATCACTACATCAAGGCAATCATAGTTTTGTCTCTAACTAGTGTATCTGCATATATTTCAGGATGTTGTCCATCCCTGCAAACCAACAGAATGAGTGTAAACATAACTGTCTTGATAATAAAGCATGCTAAAAAAAGTGGTCTCCTATGGTCAACTTATCCCGTGTATGGGGTAAGTTGACCATAGAAGCGGGGTAAGTTGAGCTGCATCCCTACTACCCCTCCACTGTCCACCCCAGCCCTCCCTCACCTTCTCTCTCCCTAAATAACAGTCACTTCTTCACATTCATGTGTATTTTTTTTATTATACGCTATTCAACTGGTACAATCACTCTTTTTTATTATTATTACATTTAACTGCTAAAAAGCTGTTTTGTAAAAAGTCATTTTAACATAAGAATGTCTTTAAGTGATTCAGAACATTCACAGCTGTATTTTGGAAAGAAAAAGTAAAACATTCAACAATCTGAACTGAAACTCTGATCCTCTCATCAGACTTCTTTACTCTCTCAGTTGAGTCACTGGCTCAACTTACCCCTGAACTAATATTATGACTTTATTAGTCCTCTAAGCTAAAATCGTGGACTTTTATACTAGGTTTTTGACCTCATGTTGTAGCTCATAAATACCCAATTGATGTATAAAACAAATTTAAAATGATCCTTTTGGTCTGAACCCAATTCTAACTCCATGAATTGATGCCCATCTCCTAAATATTTGGTAACATGATCAATTTCTTTTACCATTTCCAAGCAACAGGGGGTGGCTCAACTTACCCCACTCTCCCCTACTGCCACTTTTAATGCATGATGTTTACAGGATATCAGACACACCTCAATAACACACAAAGTAAAGACACCACAATGCCTCTGACCTCGTTTGAACCAGGTGTGCTTATGAAACAGCAACATAGTGGATAAACACTTCCTAAAGTAGACACCTGTGGCTGAGCTCCCACTCCCCCTTATGCTCAGGTGTCAGCCCCCCTCACCTGTCGCAGGTAACCCTTGGCCCTGTTCATCTCCTCCTGCATGGTCTTTCTCTTAAACTCCTGCAGATTCTCAAAGTACTCCTCCACATCCCGCTCATCCTGCGGGAATAACGTCTCCATGACTATTTTCCTCCCGCAGATGTCGATGGCAGCGCTGAAATATTTCTCCAGTTTCCTACACGGGGTGTCAAAGTCCCTCTCATCGTCGCCTTCAGGACCCGACCTCCGAGTCAGGAAGAGCAAATCCCAAATGTTGCTCTCCTCAAACTCGGACAAATCAGGGAAGCAGGCCGCCAGGGTGTCTGCCACGCATGTGAACTGTTGATGGACATGTTTGAGGTCGTCCACAGAGAAGAGACCAGCCCAGCTCACCTGAGGGTCTCCAACAGCAGCGACCTCAGCTTTTCGTTTCTGCCGCTGTAACGTCCGGTTGTGGCAGGTGACCGCGAATTTACACTCGATAACGTTCCACTGAACGATAAAGCCGAGCCGAAATGTCTCCGTTTCCTCAAATATGTTACTTTTCACCGCCACCCAGCCCTCCAGGCTGTCTAACCGCTCACACTCCACGTTATTCATCTTTAAAAGTGATGTTTCACTTCGGCCTCCGAGGAGCTCTTTCCTCTGTTTACAAGGTCCGCCATTACGTGACGTAGGCCGCGTTCAGGTACCTCACACACTATCGGAATAACCAAAAACATCGGATTTGAGGCGGTACATCTTCTTTGAAATACATTATCATCGCGTTTTTAAAGTCAAATAAAAGTTTTTAGAGAAGCCAAAGAAAATTACTTGCTTTTTACACATCATTCAGCCATAAAAATCAGTAAAACATCACTTCTGTAATGGCTGGCATGCAAGTTCTCAAAAATATTTCCCTCCTTTTTAAAAGTGATGAACGTTTTTTACTATAACCTTACAGTCACATTTAAATATACAAATTACCCTCCAATTTCAATAATTAATCCACAAAACGTGTAGGGGATTCCACAGTTTTCTATCATGTTCGCAGCAACACGTCTGTATAGCTGGAATTTACGAGGGAAAACGAAGCTACCACAATGATTCTGCTCATGTTTTCAACTCTGACCTTTAAATCACATGTTTTCGGGGATTTCCACGTCTCGATCAAGAAATCTATAATGCTGAACTCTAATCTTGGTCTTTTTTTTCCAGGTTTACTGTGTTAACTGGCCCCAGGCTGCTTCGCCGTTTATAAAGTCTGTTTTATTCACACAGTTAGTGACTTCCTGCCTGAATGTTCGACATGCCTGTGACATCTGAGCTGTCCAAGTCCCATCTATTATTATCACAGTTTCTGGGTGAGGTTGTGCTGCTTACACTCGCTTGCGGACACCAATGTGGGCCTGAAATGGTTGTTTAGAACAGACTGGTTCACTTAATTTTCCAGGTAAATTTTCCATTCTGCACAGACTGCATGGTCCATTTTTAAAGATCTTTTCTGCTGTTGTGTGTAGACAAGATTTTTGGTAAATCAGTCTGAATTTTTGATCTACTGATAAGTGGTTAAGTGTATTGCAGAGCTAAAGTAAATGGACCTGTATGAAATCAGAGAGGAAAGACTGGGGACTATTTCAGAAGAAGCCGAGCATCAGGAAATAAGCAGAGAGTCGACCACCATGGAGCCCTACCATGTGGTATCAGATAAAGGAGGGAGGACAGCCCGAGATGTTTCCACCTTCCAGAGGTTTTCTGTTGACACAAATGAGTCTCTACGTTTTGAGCCCTGTGAGGACATGTCTCCATCACCCACTGGGGCGGAAGATGGAGATGATGAGGATGAGGTGTTTAGGGACGGAGGAAAAGAGGTGGGGACACCAACACAGCTTTGACCTGATGTCTTCTATCCTAACATTCAAGTATTTCATCTCCATCTGAAAAAAAGGCTTTGGGTCACTTTTAAAAATGATTTGGAGGATAAATACAGAAAAAAGGAACAAGTCATTCTAAATGCAGCATTTGACAGTCGTACGAGAAAAGTTCTGTTTTATTTTATGTGAAATTTAAGAAAAATGATTGACTTTAAACATCTGATCATTTTCAGAGTGAAACAATCAGGAATCGGCTACAGGAGAAGGTTGCTGAGATGGAGAGCTTTGCAGGTCATTTGGAGGAAATCTTTCTCACCGTGGAGGTAACTGTCTCTCTCTGAAGACTTCTTATCTGGTAAAACAGATTATGTGTTGGACAAATTGCTCTTTTACATCACTGGACTTTTGAGAATACTTCTTTTAATTCATTTTCTGATGTGTCAGATTTCGGTTATGCAATAACAAAATCCATCTTCCATCCATCCATTTAACTCTCTTCCTTCTATATCTTTAACCTCATTTTTTCCTGCCCTCCATAGGTTTTTTTTTTGTGATAAATGACAGATGTCTACCACTGTGCTGTATATATGTGTGTACAGGAGAATTTTGGCCGTCAGGAGCAGCACTTGGAGCAGCACTACAATGACGTGCTGCAGACTTTGTCCCAGAGGTACGATGAGAGGGCTGCTGGACTGGAGGAGGAGAAGAAGGGTAAGCTGGAGTCCCTGTACGGTCAGCTGCTGGCTTGTGGTCGGGCCATGGATGCTTCGAAGGAGCTCATCGAGACGGCCCAGGAGATCTACCGCTGCCAGGACAAGAGGCTTTTCCTGAAGGTGCTCCAGCTTGTGTTCTCATGAGTTTTCTTTAGCCGGTCAAAATATGCAGATGATAGTTAATCATTTCAACAAGTATTACTTATGTAGAAAGAAAACATATGGGAGTTTGAACATGACTATTTACCCTGTTGTTCACTTGTTGATGTACTTTCATTGACAGACAGTTATGCCAACTATTAAAAGGTAATTTTGATGCGCAGTGACTTGTTTGCATGTTGTGACACTGCACTGACTGCAGAATGGTTTTAAAAGACTAATAATTACCCACGCATGGCTGATCAGATGTTGGTCTTATCTGCCAGTAGTCATCTTAACTAAGTGGAATTATGGTGTGAGAAGTATTAAGATCCTTTGTTTTTAATTGAAACACTCATGCATGGTAAAATACAGCCTAATACAACTTCATTATAAACCCAAAAGTAGTGAGTAAAGTGTTGATATTATCAGAAAAAGTCTAAGTGCTCATCTGTCAGTGTTTGAATATTGTGAGTGATGCTTTTGAATGAAAAACAATGCTGAATTATTCATATGTTGCATTTATCTGCCTATTTTTTTTTACCTTAATGCATATTTTTCTTCTTTCTTTTTAATGTTCAGTTGTTTTGGAATAATTTTTATAATAAACTTGATCTAAACAGCACATTTCAAAACAGAGTTACAAAGTGTTCAAACAACATAAAAAAGTTTTATCCAATAGTTTTTATCTGGCTCTACATGATTATCTTATGTTTAAAGAGCTGTACTGTCAAAATCTGAACTCATGGTCCGCTTACTAGCTTTTGACAGAACACTAAGGTGGACGATTTTCCACAACAAAGTGATTATCAGTCTCCATGACGACTGAGCAAACTACATCCAGCTAAGGCTAGCAAGTGGACCATAATTGAAACACTTTGAGTGATCAAAATGATTGTCATGATGCGAGCTCGTTCACCTCAACTGGATGAAAACTTCAGTGTTAACTTGTTTTGTTTTTTTATTTTATATTTTTGTGGCTTCGCTCTAGAATCGAGGAGTTCGCCAAAGAGGAGATTGACCTCACCTTGAACACACATCTGGAGTTTAACACACCACTGGTGGACTTGTCTGATGTTAAAACCATGATGGACTCCATCAACATTGTTCCAGGTCAGAGTTTCAGACTACACCCTGAGGTTAGCTGTATTTTTTGTGTGTATTTCAAGATAAAATGGCAGTGAGAGCAGCAAATTTACTGTCAAAAGAACCTCCTTTAGCTCCAAGATGGCTACAGCTAGGTGATTATTTCTTTTTTTTATCATACATTAATCATTGTGATGAAATTTAATAACAAATATCTCAAAAAGGTGAACTTACTGCGGCACTACATTGTACTGTGAAACTCTTCTGACCATAAATCAAAGCCAAAAACCTCAGAGATGCATTTCACATTTAGTTTGATGCTTGATAGCACTAATTGTAGTTGCCCATGTTGGGTAAATTTCTGCTGGTTTTAGACATGATTGGAGCATTTTTGTGTAGAATTCACCTTTGCTGTGGCGTCGATAAAAGAGACATAGGATATTATCATGACTTAATCTTTGTTCTCCATGACTGTGCGCTATATTGGCTCAGTATGCCAGAGCTTAAAGGTTCCCCCTGTGTCCACAGTCTTTGCCTATTTGGTCCCTTTTATACTGAGGTTGTGTCTTCTCACATCCTGCTGATTTTTGACCATCAAATGTGTCATTTGATGTGAATAACTGATGGTAAAAATGTAAAAACAGGGCTGATTCTTTAGCTGCAGGACTAACACCTACCTATGATTAAAAGTTATGGTCTAAAAACAGCCAGCCTTGTTGCTGATGGTTTTGTTTGCTTTTGTATATCATATAAAGACGTCACTGTGAATTTAAGTCTGTTTCATCAACTTGGGAAAAAATCCTCAAAGAAGCTGTAAAGAAAACTTTCCTTTGTTACTCAATTTTCAATTTTCTCAATTTTCAAGTAAAAAGAACCTTTTTCCTTTTTCTGTGGTTATTGCAACTTAGTGTCCCAATTTGGGGATACAGCTGCAAGAAGAGAATTCTTGTATAGATAAAATAGAAAATAAATACAAGCACAAATGTGTCAGCTTCCATCAAATGGCATGTCTTTTTACGCGAAACTCCTCATCTCTAATTATTACGGTTTGACATGATAACAAAACTGTATCACTGAAGTTTCTCCACCATAAAAACAGCTCCATCCGCCCCGGTCATCAACCCTCAGATGCCAAACTCTGCCACCCAGACGTCGCTGCGTGTCTGCTGGAGCCTGTTCTCAGACGACACGGTGGAATACTACGAGCTTTACTACAGACCCGTGCTGGAGGACACACCAGCAGACAGCACTTGTGCAGCACATGGTACAACACAAGCACTGACAGTGGATTTAAACTGCATGATAACACCATCTGCTGTTGAAAAACGACTGACTGAGAAGAAAAAAAGGGGATTTTGACCAGTGGAGCCACAATTAAGTATGTGCTTGTTTTTTCAGAGAGCAAGGTTAAAGTAAAAGAGACCCACTGCACTGTGACTGATCTGCTGCCTAATGCTCAGTATGAACTCTGGGTGACGGCTACGAACACCACAGGGATCAGCCCGGCCAGCGAGAAGGCCTTGTACATGACAGGTAATGAATCTCACTCTCCTGCCGCATGATAACCTCCTAGTCACTGGAGTTTTGCTCTTAACAACATTGAAGCTGTATTTTTGTGTGTTTTGCTGTAATTTAAATGATCATTGTTGGGTAATATCATCACTCTTCTCTTCCTAGTGCCATGTCCTCCAGTGATTAAGCAGAGGGAGTGTACCAGCTGCCCTGAGGCCGCCCTGATCCGCTGGGAGTCAGGGAACACCAACCCTGTGGACTCTTACACCGTGGAGCTCAGTGAGATGGGCACAGACGGCACACAGAGCACTGTGACAGAGTAAGAAGAGTGTTCATAACAGATTCATGATTCAGTTGTGCTTTTCTACATAATGTTCATTATCATCAAAAAGTTGAAACACAAAGACGAGGCCAAATTCCCTGCCAGATTTGCAGCTTCAAAGGGTGAGGAGCCTCATGATGTTTGTCCTCACAGGCCTGTCCTTTATTAAAGCTTCTGCTTCAGTGCATCCACAAACAAGCTCGCATTAATGCTGACCTCGCATTTTTTAAGTCTCTTGGTTATAGAGCTGCTGAATCAAGACTCACTCTGCCCCAGAAAATCTATTCTTAGCTTTAGCTCCTGCGGCATTGTTGGCCTCAGCAAGAACACTGTCCTCACATTAATAGTTTTTATCTGGTCACTTCGACAAAAGTTAAAGACCCACTCTGGTAAAAATCATGTTTTTCTCGTTGTCTACATGTTCATATGGCATTTTTCTGATGCTACAGCAAATATCATGAGAAAAATAAATGAGAAATTCTATTTTTGAGTATTTCTGCATTCAAATCGCTGTGAACCTCTCGCAGACCCAAACAGCACGTTCAGACACAGGGAGATTTCCTATGTCACAACTGCAAGCTCCGCCCCCAGAGCCCAGCTATGCAGGCCAGACTCTGAGAGGTAGAGATGACGACTGCAGAACAAGTGTGTACGTTAGCGGATTGCAATGCTCTTAAGAAAGCTAAATATGATATAAGCTTTCATCATGCCCCTAAATACATCAGTGTCCTAGAGCTGAATAGCTTCAATGTTACCTGCCACTTCTACTACACCAACAATGTTAGGCTGCAAGGCAACGTGAAGAGGAGTGTGCAGAGCAGCGCTGTCTCCGCCCACTGCAGAAGAAAAGCCCTTGAAAATGACACAGGTGACATGATTTTGGCTCATTTAGAGACCACTGAGTAGTTAAAAAAATAACGATAGGAGTGGGACTTTTATTTAGCTATATGATCAATATGAAGGATGACAGGAGATTTAATCACTGTGGACTTTGAGACAAGATGTGTCTTCAAGGCTCATTTGTCATCATGATGCTTTACATGTTTAAAATCTGTGAGTTAGCTCACTGTTTGATTTCACAGATCTGTAGTGGCTGTGCCCACCTGCCAGTGTCTGGTTCAGCTGCAGCCAGGACGGCGATACCTCATATCTGTGAGAGCGGTCAACATCGGCGGGCCCAGCAACAGGAGTCAAGTCATCACTGTTTCTACAACAGGTGAGACATATCTCAGATTCAAGTTTTTATTGTTCTCTTAGCCTGTGGTCGAATATTATCTCCCATCGTTTACAAAATAAAAGTATTAACTGGAGCTGATGTATTTGAAACAAAATGTACTTAAAGGGAAAAAAGTCAAAGTTCTGTGTTTTTTTTGTTGTTGTTTCTAAAATAGACAAAAATGTGTGCTTTTTATGATATGCAGAAGCAAACAGAGCAATTACCAACAAGATTAGCTATTTTTATATGATGAATTTCAGTGACTGAAACAGGTGTGAGGATGTAGGTGTCAGCCAAACAGGTGAAGTAACAGCCCAGTTTTTTTCCACAGTAAAAGATAAAACTGTCTGTCGAAAGTCAGAATGATGCAATTTTTCAGGGAACACTACTTAAGCAAGTTAAGTACAGGATTGTCCACAGGGGGCACCAATATTGTGTGAATGATCCTTACAGAGGGGATGTAGGGTCTCTGTCGTTATTTGGTGGACACCATCTCTCTCAACCTTTTTGATAAGCTCCAAACTTTTGAAAAAACAAAACCATAATAACTGAAGTTTAAAAAGGTCAAACTGTACAGTGAATAGAGAGAAACACAACATTATAAGAAGTGGCATAAATGATTAAATGTCTCTCACCTTGTTCTTTTTGATGACAAATAAAGGAATTGAAAATGAAGTTGCATCAAGTCTGTTTCTCCACACAGGTACATACTTTCATCTGGTGGAGGACACCGCCCACCCTTGTCTGTCCATCTCTGAAGACGGCTTCACCATGTTTTATGGAGACGAGGAGCTGCCTATCAGTGCTATGGCCTTAGATGATAACACTTTTGCCAGGTAATGTGTCACACTTCTATTGTGCGTCAGAGGACTTATATAAACTCTGTAAGTGTAGATGTGTTAAAAGGTGTGTGCGCCTGCATGTGTCCAGATGTGTAGCTGTCCTGGGTGATCTGGTTCCGGTAAGAGGAAAGCATTACTGGGAAGTCGAGGTGGATGACGAGACTGAATTCAGGATTGGAGTGGCATTTGAGGACACCGAGAGGAACTCATACCTCGGAGCCAACAATACGTCCTGGTGTATGAGACACATTCTCACGCCAACCAGGTATCAACACATAACCTCTGTTCAATTCAGTTTGTACTTCATTGCAGTTGTCTTTATTTGCTGCAGTTTGCCTCTGAAAGAGTTCACGCCTTATTAGGGGGGAACAAAGAGTCATGTTCACAGGACAGCAAACATTGTTAGTGCAGATTTTTCTGTCGATCTGACACAGAAAATAGCACGCTGATCCTCTGAGGGACTATAACTGCAGTTCATAGAAAATAGGCCAAGACTAATTTTAGACTCCAGAACTTTCCCTATTCTAAGCAAAAAAAAATGTGCATCTGCTCTGTGCAAAAGCCCATGGTTGAATATCTGTTACTTTTATAGCGTTGCTATGGCAACCAATCCTGGAACAAAGCAAGAGAGTTGAATCGTGATACAGAGCAAATCAGAGTTGCATATCACATAAACCCTGCATGGTATATAAATACTCCTGCTGCAGTTTAACATTCGAACCCCTCCCCTGTTTTCTGCAGCCGTCTACTCTACATTATTAGCTTTAATAGTCAATACTGAAAAAGGTGCATATTACCAACGTCTTTTCTTTTTTTTCTCTTCAGGCACAAATATGAGTTTCTGCACAATGGCTGGAGTCCTGACCTGAGGATCACAGTGAACCCAGTGAGGATAGGAGTGGCGCTGGACTATGACAGGGGTACTCTGTCTTTCTTTAATGTGGATGTGGAACAACATCTGCACACCTTTCAGTGTAACCTCAGAAGTTACGTGCACCCCTGCTTTAGCCTGGACAACCCAGGAGCTCTTACTGTCCACAATGGCATAGAAGCTCCAGAGTATGCCTTTATTTGATACCATAGATCATAGTGAGTGTTAATATGAAGCTCAACCCAGGGTTTGTAGGAGGTAAATAGCTTGTTTTAAGACCCTCACCTGGGGGTGTTGTTATCCTTGAAGAAAAACACCAGTGATCATTTTAAATGAAATATCTGCTGACCCTCTGCAGGAGTATAAAATGTATGAGAACAAGACCATGAGTAGTTTTCAGCTGTTTTATTATAATATTCCATGGGAACAGGCATACACCATTTTTCAAGATAAGAAAAGGTTTCACTAAATTTTACAATATGTATTTATCTCATCAGAACCTGCAGCAGACCAAGTGTTTCAATTAAAAAAAGGGGTTTGTTTTTGGAAAGCAAAAGGTGCTTTAAAAAATGAAATAAAAGTATTTTGAAGGGAAACAAACTTTATTATACAATCGTATTCACATCTTAAAAGGAAAAATCCACCCTTAACGGCTCCACACTGTTAAAACTGGCTTTTTGTTTGATAATGGTGTGTTTTTTTTAACTGAATTCTCAGCTGGTTATGAAGTTTTAAGTGCACCATAAGACCATATACAAAAAAAAGGAGTGCTTTCTGTAAAGGCAGCAGCTGTAAAACAGTGAAGAAAACCCCAATCCTTCCTATAACCATGAGGAGTGAAGCGCTGACTGTCATGGTACAAATAGAGGCTCAATGAGAGTGAACTAACTATCAGACTATATTTACAATTTCTCTTTCATCTAGCATGTATTTGAATATGCCCACCTTTAACTAAAACAAACTAAATCACATTCACTGTGTGTGTGTGTGAGGCATTTTATGAGATCCATGAAAAAAATACACAAAGTATGAAAAGAAAAAAACCTACAACAAGACCGAAACATAAAAAAAGATCCTCGCCAAAACCGGGGAAACAGAAACAGCTGATTAACTGAGACCATAACAGAGGTGTTAGTTCACTTCAGCCTGTTTAATACAAATACTCAGAATGTCGTTTCACTGCAGCGTTAAGATTGTCAGTCCGTCAGTGTGTGAAGAGCGGGTGATTGTGTTTGGGTTCCTAAATTGGATTTCAGTGCACAAAGTTACAGAAATGTGTGAGAGAAACCACACAGAGATCACTGACCTCACTTCCTGTCAGCTTCGAGAGGAGTGGACATTTCAGTTTATCTATTATTATTATTATTATTAATAATGAGGGGGTTAAAAACACTGGTGTAGTTCAATAACAGTGTACGATCGTGGAAGGGTGGATTTTTTCTTTTAACGGGATTGAGAACTTGTCTGATGTGCTGAGTGTAGAGACTTTGGGTTTGTAGGTATCCCGGGTAGTGAGGGTGGGACAGGGCAGGGGTTATGAGTTATCTGTCTTACTACTACGAGTCCTTTCCTCCTCTTCATCGGAGGAATCCCCTCCATAGGGCACTAACCCCGATGCGTCTGTGTCGGCTTTAGGCTTCTTCTCCTGCACCTCCTTGTGAACACCTGTGAGGGCACAATAAAAACAGAGAGACAGAGAAAAGTAGAAAGATGGAAGATAGGCAAAATGAGAGAGGGAGGGGGGGAGTAGAAAGAGTAGAAACAAAAAGGAAACCCAGTGAGGAGCCCCCATGTTAGCGGTGGTTTTGGGTTGATCCGCAGCCAGGGCGGGAGGGAAGATATCAAATGAAACGGCAGCAGAGCACACATCCAAAACAGGCAGGTCCGGGACACATGTTGAGAGAGAAAACAAGGGAAAGACAAAGAACATATACAAGAAGAGCGTGTTAGTGGGTTTCATCAGCTGAGGGGTTCACACAGGTCTCCACTCCTCCCCCATAGCTCCATGGGGGGGAGATGCCATTTTATGCAACAGACAACTCTACGGAACAAACGGCAGAGCGCTCAGGCTCCCAGTAAATTCAGGAATCAAAAAGTGCATACCCGTTGACACGACGCTGATGGGTGGACTGGCTGGATCTTCGGTCACGGCGTCCCTCGGCCTTTTGCGTGCGACAGGGGCGGGAGCCACGAAGGGAGGCGGCGGTGGAGGCATCAGAACTCTGAATGTATGGAAAAAAAAAAAAGAAATCATGTATATCTAGACCACAAAATTTTAATAAAGAATATCATATGAGAAAAGAATGTGTTCAGTTCACAGACCTTTCTATTACTTTAGTCTGTCCAACACCGGCAGCAGGAGGCGCAGACTCTTGATGAGCAGGACCCTCTGGAGAACTGCTGGCAGACTACACAAGAGTGCAAAGCATATTAAGTTTCATCCTTCAGTAAAACACTTGAAGGCCTCTATGAAGACTATCACAATACCTAAAGCTCAAATTAACGGTTGCTTTGAGAATCAACATTATTACTATGAACCTATTTGCTACATAAATAGTGTAAAGAGTAGCTTATTTAGAAATCTGGACTGATGTAAACCTCGTTCTCGGAAATTTCTATAAAACGCTTTTAACTGTGAGCCTTACAAATCTGTTTTACTGCAGCTAATTTCTGAGTGGAGTCAAGCCGTGTCAGATGAAGACAAGTAGTGGGTTCTCATTAAGCATGTCAGTTAATATCGGTATGGAGTCCTTCGTGGAATAATTGTTGTCGAACATTATCACTCAGTGACGCAGCTTCGATCCATGCCTGTGGCACCAAACAGTACTTGACTTTGTGTGAGCGTTAACTATCTTCGAACCAGTGTAATGTGATTAATTCAACTGACTACTTAAGCTGTCAACCATCAAAAATTGGACGTGAAAGCTGAAATAAAAAAAAGGACTAATTCTGGGTAAACTGGAATTGATTTTCAGAAATTTAACACTTAAATTGATCAGTGATGGAAGAGATGTTAATGTCCAGACAGTGGACTCCGAACCGATTGATGAAAACATGTATTCATGATAAAATAGTCAGAATTATTCTTCAATACAATTATCGCTCGAGTCCTCAGCTAACCTGTTCCTCTTTGGCTCCCTCCTGGAAATGACGTTTGGGACTTCCCGACTCTGGCGTTGTGATTGGAGATCCTTCGGCCTCCACTTTCTCGCTGCTGCCAGGATCCTTGAGTGGAGCAAAACCAACAGAAATGCACTGACGCTGGCAGCAGGTTTTAAGACATAGACCTCCTTAATGGCCTCCAGCCTGACTGTTTTAATAACATTTTAGTTTGGGTTTATATAAACGATTAGGTTTAAACCAATAAATATCAGCTGATTGTTGATGTGTCAGATGATTAGTAATGCCAGACCAATGCTGCCTGCTGTATAAGAATTCTGGAGGCTGATAAGATTTAACCTGTGGCATTGTAAACATTTTAGCATGATACTGTCTTAATAAGATAATAAAATATCTGTGTATTATTGCTGAACACAATCAAACATGGCAAGCGTCATCTTTCAGAGTTACCTGGACGAGGTAAGGATGTGGTTTCCTAGGACACACCGGATACTGAACCATTGCCTGAGAAGATTGAGGGTTTGTCGACATGTTAGAATGACTTGGGGGACCATTTGCATTACTCCAATAACCACCGGCTCCTGGGTACGCTGAATAGCCGCCAGCATACCCATTTGCTGGGTAGTTATACCAGGACCCCTGGGTAGAGTAATTGCTATTAGGAGGAAATCCATGTGCTGGGTATGCTGAAATGAAAGTATAGAACGTGGAGTTAATAACATGTCAAATGAGTTGATAACGGTGTTTTGAGAGCTGAGAGCCACTTAATGTTGAGCCCAAAAAGACTTCAAGGGGGGGTCAGCTGATAGTATAGATTTGGTCAATATAGATGTCACCACTCTTCAATTTCCCAATTCCATTAAGCTACGATGGGAAAACTAGATTTGAATGGAATTGTTTTGACTTTTATGAAGCACTAATGAAAATGCTGGTCAAAAAAAGGGATTGCCTTTTTTTTTTTTTTAAGAGTCTTGTTGTTCAGTTTTTAACTCAGCAGTCCTGCGCATTATAACCATGACCCTGAAGATAGCAACATCACCCAGAAAGCTTGTCCACAGAGTATAAAATAAGAAAGGAAGAAAAAAAAACTGAATCCTTGAAACTACGTTTACAGGTACAGTGTGTAGATTTCTGTGGCACTAAGCAGAAATAAAATATATTCACTTGCAAAATTTTAATTCAAAATAACCTTCGATACGTAGCACAGGACACCCTGACTAGTGTCACACACATATTTACATTTAGTGAGCAGCCCTGTGAAATGCACATGTTGGAAGACGAGGAAGAGAAGAATGAAGTGGTTGTTCTGGTGTGCAAAAGCATTTGTGATAGGATTTTGGAGGTAGAAACGAGTGCAGGCTCAGATTTGTCATGCACCATCAGAGCTTCTTGTCCTCAAAGGATTCAGTGCAATTACTGACAGGAAGAGTGAGCAAGGTTGTGTTTCAATATAAGATCTGGTCATTGCAGATGCTGCTGAATATTCCCTCTCCACACACACAGTACCTTTAAAAGGCAGGTTACAAATAAAGAAGACCACGTCAAAAGCACTTTCTAATTAGATCTTTAGTATCAGACCGTGTAAACGTGTCTCACCTTGTGAATATGATGCAGAATTTGAAGATATTCTATTTTGTTTCAGGAGCATAAATACGGACTAACCAGAATCTCAACTACTGTTACAAGCTGAGATACAAGACGTGCATTTAGAGTCCACTCTGTGTCTTGCAGACAAACCCATGAGCCAGCAGCTTGTAAGGCCAGGGTTTATCCGAGTTTTTGTGGCTGTATGTAGACAGGAATTTATGTGGACCGTGTATTTGACTTCTAAGAGGGTCACTGGCTGCTTGTTGGTGTTATTTATCAAAAACTAAGTCAGAGCACCCATGGCGGTTTCTCTCAAGTGGGTTACAGGTTGATAAAGAATACTTACATTGGGTTGATCCTGTGGCTGTGTACATGGACACCATGCGGGCATGTTCAGCTCTCACCTGCAGAATGAGAGAAGAAACACAATGTGAGACGCTTGATGCCTACCTACAAGTCCATGCCATCTTTAACTGCATTTCTTCAACTGTACATTTCAGTTGCATTGTCGGTAGGTGCAGGGCACTCTAAACCTATTCCTGGAGATCAGGTGGTTCGCGCTACCACTTTCACTTTAGGAGGCGGGTATCAGTGAAAAACTATATGCCTTGATAGTCTCACCTTCTTAAACCTCCCTTCATATTCATTTCATTCATATTCCAACACTTTATTTATACTAAGACTTCATGGACTTACAGTTTCCAGCAGACTCTCTGTGAGTTTCTTCGCTGCTTCTAATCCTGATGCATTGGGGTGGCTGTAACACAAAGGGCAGTTTGTTAAATATGATGAAATTAAGACGGAGAGTTGACTAAGGACTGAAAAAAGAAAAAGACTTAAACCAAAACTGAGATCAGAATAAATTCATTCTGAAAACTGTATTCTTTATTCAAAGCATGTTCAGTTATGTTCTATTAGGACTGAGAAAAATCCTTGCCAAATCCTTGCAGAGGAGACAGTTGGAGGGAGACACACAGACATTTTTTGGCTGTGCGTAGCTATTATTTCACTTTCTGAACTCTCAACTTTAACAGCTGACTAAAAAGGCTGCCAAAGAAAGATACACACTCGAAATCCTATGAGAGTCTGCTGAAAGGTGAACATTTTTAACATACCTGATGTAGACATAAAGAGGCTCAAAGGACTCCCGCTTTGACGCTTGTTCAATATATCCAGAACCTTTTCCCCTGAGAAAGACCCGAGCCCCCGTCTCTGTCTGGATGTGACTCAGGTACGTCCCCCCAGGACCCTCGACTTTTTCGTTCACATTGAATGAGGGCAATGCCTGGTCTAGTCCCACAAAAATCTTGGTGTGCACAAAACTCTGAGGGTAAAGAAAAAAGATAATTCGCCATGTTACCTTGAACATTTAGAAGATTTTCGCACACACATGTAGAGTCAGAGCGGCTTTGTAAGCAGATGCAGCAATCCAAGGCTTTTGCCTGTAGACAAGGATGTTCTCTCTGCTACTTCATTTGGGAGGTGGGTATCAGTGAAGGCAACATGGTCTTCATTTGCCTCACTTTCTTAACCTCCATGAGTTAAATCCTCATCCTGACTCAACAAGAAACTACCAAAGGTCAATGTAACAGATATCTGAGCTGCTTTTCTAATTTCTTTTCTTTCTTTTCTATTTGCATCATCTTTGAATAAAACTCTCAGTTTCAGTTTCATTGCAGTCAAATTTAACTGAGATGTCATATCAGCCTACCCCTGAATGTGGAGCTGCGGGCCGATGCCCCTGGCCTGGCACTGTGTTGCTGTTGGGCATCCCGGGCACTGATGGGGGGATGACAGGGCGAGGAGGCTGAGGGTAGAGTGTGAGAGGAGGCATAATGGGCACCTGTTGTCCTCCTGATGCTGCAGAGGCCCTCAGCACATCCTCAGAGATGATCTCTTTTATTCTTAGCACAGCTTCTGATGATGGAAAAAAGTCAGACAAAGTTGGTGCATTAAAAAATGCTGAAAAGATCAGAAGGTTGGATTAAACCAAGAAAGAAATTAAAAATTAAATAGATTAAAATGCACCACTTACTGTTAACCTGATCTTGGGTTTTGCCCTGGACATGCAGGTACAAAGGTCTTTGTCTAGAAACAAAGAAAATCAAGAGTTACGGACCCTTCAGAACTTTTGTACTCTTGTAGGAAAAAAAACAAACAGATTTTTTCTTTGCCAGAGCCAAAATCTCTCATCAAGTCAAAATGAAAGAGCTTACCCTCCTCCTTTTCCCCTGTCAGCTTCAGATATATAATGACCTTTTGTTGAGACAACTGCGCCACTAAACTGCCTGATCTGAAAAGGGTCAAAGGAAATTGGATTAAGACATTAGAGGGATACTTAGAAAATGTTTATTTAAAGCTGTTAACGGCTTTCCTACATTTGATCACTTCCTACATACCAAAAACAATGCTGCCACTTACCTCTTCCTGTGTTTTTCCTTTTGTCAAAAGGTCCCTGCAATTGAGTGGTACATCGTTTATATCAACCTCTGTGACCACCATCTCCTCTGTTACAGCTGGTGCAGGCACACTTGAAGGAGTCTAAAAGAAACAAAAAAGGAACCTGTAAGCCCAGAATAACTAACAGACACTTTGGACTGATGTTTTACAGTTTGTAAATAACGCGTACCTTTGCAAGTAAGGGTGGAGGCGTCAATAGTTTTCCTTTTGCCATTAACATGGCGTTTATTTTAGCAGCCATGGCTGCAGCCATTTCAACTCCTCCAGGAGGCGCGGGCTTTTCACCTGGAGGAGGAACACTGCTGTTTGAAGCAACCCCAGGTAAGGAGACAGGGTGGGCTGCATTTTCACTGCTCTGCTGCTGCTGCCTCATATCTACATTCTGTTTAGGTTGCGCTGGCTGATCCCATCGGCTTGATAGGCACCTAAAATAAAAACGAAAAATAATTAGTGCTTGAATTTAATCAACCAGGGTTAGCAAGATAATGCAAAGGTCAAAGTTACTTGGAAGAGTGAGGGGCTTGGTTGGTGCTCCTGTGAATAGAGCAATATCTCTCATCTCTCTGCTGACCATGTCATGTGCATGCATAAGCAAAGTTTACTTAAAAAAAAAAAAAAAAGTCTTTTTTATTAGTCTGATTCTTTGAGGTGGAACAACTCTGAGAGTATGTGCATTTTTGTTTGTGGTGTTAAACTCTGGAACAGCCTGGATATCACTTAAAAGATTCATGTAAGTAAACTACCAAAAATTTTTGTTTTATACTAAATATACTTGATTGCATAGAATTAACATTAATTCTGAATATTATACCACTGGTTATTACTATAATATGAAAATAGTGATAATGAGTAACATATGTAGTGTTGAGCAGATATCTTTGTGTATAATAAGTAGGTTTTTATACAGATCTTTGTCATTTATACTAATTTGCAAAGAAGGGGCAGGACTAGATAAGCTCTTTGCTTCATTCTGTTCCCTCTCAAACTGTTTATTTTGACATACATTTGTTGTGTAAATTTGTCTTTGACATGTACAGTTGTTTGGTGTACATATGTATTATTTTGTTCTGTGTTTTTGTTGTTTTTAAAATTTGAGATAACTAAAGAAGAAAGAAATAAAGAAATGTTTACAAAAGCTCCTTCTGCAGGCGTAAAATAAAACTCCAGAAAGAAAAAAGTAATCTACTTCATGATGGCTTTGTTTGCCTAAGATCATAACCTAAACTTGTGTAAAGGTAACTAAAAGAGACATGAATGGGTTTGACTGTGGGGCTGTGAATGAAGAAGACTATCCCATCAGGTCTTGGCCCTTATAATCTGAGGTAGGTTAAGTGAATAAGGGGCTGAACACGGAGGATTAGCGCCAAACACCCTCTACTATCCTTGAGTGGTTTTGTTGGAACAGTTTCACACTCAAAGATCACTAATTTAAGCTAAACTAAAAGGACTTATCCCTGACCGTATCAAATACCAGCAGAGATCACTGTTTAATAAAGCGGTAACATGAATCATGTGTAAGTATAAAACAGTCGCATAACTCGATAAAACTGTCATTTAGGAAAACTTCTATACTACTTAGATGAAATTAAAACATATAAACATTTTATTACTCGTCCAAGTTGAGTTTAGTTTTCGTAGCTGTTTGCAATCGGCTACGCTAACAACAGCTACATTTAGCTGTTAGCTCACTGTAGTTTACGGAAAGCATGAAGCTCTTTCACCACATATTTCAATTATTTTACGATATGACCACTTTGAAAAATAAATTTTTCAAACGTATTGTAACTTAAATACAAGTATGCAAAGTTAAGTTGACTCCTAATGTACAAATAATGCCCAACAAGCTAAACATATGTTAGCAGGCCACGATCGTGTATGCTAGCGTGTGCTAAAGCTAACCTCTGTGGTTGTTTTACTCTCATCTCAGTCATATTAAACTAAAATTAATACCTTAAAAATTAAAAAATTATAATCTTACGGTGTTTGCCCGGTCATTCCTGAAGACATAGCACCAGTCCGCTAAATCTGCAGTAAATAAAAACAACTTCTAATGTATTAAACACAGGAGGACGGCAGCCATCGGTCTGCTGTCTGTCTGAGGCGGTTTCTCCTGACGGCCTGTCGTAAAGTCTGATCCTCAAGAGTCCGGCTGAGGTTATGTAACCCTGTCTGGGTGGACCAGTCTCTTACTGGGACACAATCCATTAATGTGTACACACAACCTGGGCTGTGTAAACTTCGTCTGAGTAGAACATACAGGTAATTTCAGCAGCAGTTAGATAATTTTATGAATATTACAAAATCATGGTTCTGATGTATGGCTGTAAATTGTGTGTAAAATGGCTTTAATAGGGTAGTAGGGATACAACTCACCCCATACACTAGAGATGCACCGATCCATTTTTTTCCGATCAAATCCGATACCGATACCTGGGCTGAGCGTATTGGCCGATATCCAATACCGATCCAGTACTACTGTTGAACAAATGAACTGTATACCTAGCCCTGTGAGTAAAGGCATCAGGGTTGAAAAAAGCCTTGTTAAAAATAAAAGGTAACAAATTAACACAGATATGAATTTACTTAATATTACATATTAACAAACAACAAATTGCACATTAGCACACAGCAAAAATAAAAAAGGAAGACTTCCATGTATTGAAAGAAAAATTAATTAAAAAAAGAGACTGGATCAGAACACTGGATCGGCATCATTCAACCAATATCCTATCCAGTTGATTTGTCAATATCGTGCATCCCTACCATACACAGGGTAAGTTGACCATAGGAGACCACATTTCTTTGGCATGCTATATTATCAAGACAGTTATGTTTACACTCATTCTGTTGGTTTGCAGGGATGCACAACATCTTGAAATATCTGCAGATACACTAGTAAGAGACAAAACTATGATTGTCTTGATGTAGTGATCCGAAATATAAAAAATGGCTCATCTTACCCCACTCTCCCCTAATAGTTATTTACGTTTTGTGTGATGTGGATGGATTGTCCTCATTGTTTGCTGTTGACTTGGTGACAAAAGAGTTTTCCCTCTGGAGATAAATTTCACTTTCATATCTAAATCTGCACAGTCAAAATGACTAAAATTACAAACACAAAATCAATTATATCTAGAAAAAATCTGTGTAACTGAACTGTGCAAGAATGCAACTGCGATTAAAGTAAATAATACAAACTGTATGGAGACAAAGCAGTTCAGATTAAACAAGTTAAGTGACAACTTTCTAAGCATGCTAGGCGTTCTTGATAATGATATCATAAAAAATGCACCATCATAAATGTGTCTAGCTTGTCCACACACAGAAACCACACTGCTGGTCAGTGCAGAAATAAAAAAAATGGTTTGACTGTCTTCTTTATGGTAGTTTTTTTTTTTTTTTTTTGCTTTAGACACCCATCCCTGCCAACTTACTGATTAAAATCATTGGAAAAGAGAGACCAGTTTGGTGAAAACAAACTCTGGTACATAGTTATGTTATATATCACTTTTTTATGTCACTCTTAAGAAAACTGGTTTAAAATTCACCACTGGGTGCAAGAATAGCATTAACAAAAAGTTAAGGCCTTTAACCAAAAGTTCATTCTGCATTCAAGATCTGCTGAGGTCCCACTGAAAGGTTAGTTTTAACCTTTTTTTTAAAAGTGGGGTATTCATCCACAGCAACATGCCAGTCAGCATGGCCCCTGTAGGTGTTTTGTCAAGTCTGTTTTTAACAGGGTCTGCAGCAAACATATCAGGGATTGTTTTCTTCTTGGTTGGCTTGAAAACATTTTGTTTTTTAGACCAAGGCTGCCCAGCCAGGTTCCTCAAATCTTTACCCCATACCACCCAACATCCTATGTAAGGTAATTATTGAGGGGTGCCTCATTCTGCCCCAAAATCTGAGTCAGAATTGGCCTGACTTATGTCAGACTTTGTTTCCTACTTATTTAAAGTTTATACGAGTTCACCAAAGCCAAGCATTTAACTGCCATTTCAATAAAAACTCCAGTCTACTTTGCTCCCCTGTTCCAGCTAATGAGAAGAACTCTGGTGATGTAACACTGCAACTTGAAAAAGTCCAATAAAGAGCAGAGAGGCCGTCCTTATATGAACCATGGAAGTATTCAATGTTTCTTCAAAAGCTTTTAACAGCCTGTCTATATTCAGATGACAAAAATACTCCAGCGGCAGTGTGGATTATTGACACTTTGCCAGAAATGAAGGAGGAAGTCGAAGGACCTACCCTGTAGCATCAGGACACCTTGGATGAAAAAAGTTGCAGCTGAAGAAAAGGTCAGCAAAGTGATAAAGACTGGGAAGACAACAGTAAATATTCTTTTTCCAGCAAACAACCAATCAACACTCTTTCTCAAGGCCATGATCACACACATCATATTATTACAAACTCCATATTATTTCTCTGCATGACACAACTTCCTCTAATCCATGCTTATAACATGTGAAAGTCTACTGGTGCAACATTTACACGTCCTGCTATATTTCCAAAATGATATTAAATCTGTGAAAACTGTTGCTCGAGCTTATTTCTACTCCAAAATTTAACAGGTTCCTCTATTGTGTACTCTGCAACCTCTAGTTGGGTTTATGAATATCAGGCTAGTGTATCTTTTAATCATAATGGTGACAAAATATCAAATGAATAATGTGAAATACTCTATGAGGGAGACAATAGCTGGACAAACTTAATGCAAATATTCAGTTCATTCATGAGGCATTTTGGCTGTTTATGAAAAGTGACACATGGAAAAAAATACAGGAGAAAGACAGCAAAATAAGAAGGCAGACACTGAATCATTGCAGAAAACAAACTGCAAACATATTATTGACATTATTTTATTTTTCATTGAATAGTTTCTAATTTTCTTCCGTGCCTTCAGACCAAGATGTGAATCAGAAGGAACAAACCAATCCCCTGATTGAGTGTACAATTCTGTCATAAGAGAGAAACAAAGACAAACCTGGTCAATACATCTTATTAACCATCATTTGCTTAGCTGTTATGGCATTTATATACTGTTTAAAGAGGAAATATTCTCAATAAGCAACAATCTTTAACATATATTAGTATCCTAATCTGAAACCAGCCTCGAACAGAAAGCTGTTCCCTGGGTCTGTGCATAAGGATGTTGGACAAGTGGCCAAAACAGAATGATGTTTGATCAAAAAATCAATGCAAGCCGGCCTCTAAGAGACTGCTTAAAGACAGTGATAGACAACTCTGCGATCCACATCCTTCTTAACCATTTAGTTCTCTGTATACATGCTCTGCAGGACCGTCCAATTCACAGGTATTCAGATCGCTAGAATGGTTGATCTCATTTGCTGCAAATCCAGTGTAAAATTCATTGTCTATAAAAATATTGAGATTTTACTTGAACATAACCTTCTGACTATGTCATAATAAAAACTCCAGATGTCCGTTGCAGTTGCACAGTGGGATGTACTGTATAAATATTGTATAAAATAAGGCAGTCTTTTCAGTAGGATAAACCAGATACAAAAATTTCTGGGAGAAAAAATTTTCAAGTCCAAAATGTTTTTTTTTCACATATTTCTGCTGTTGTCAAATGTCAAGCGGTTTACAGCATTAAACCAAGAGTAAGGGATCGTTGCAACAATGAAAACACCCACGCACCCACACCTACAGCCCCCCAACCCATACACACACGCACACACAAACACACACACCCACGCAGTCACACATGCACACACACTCTCCTGATGATCAACGATAACAGCTTATTCTACAATGCAACATCCCATCCCTGGACAAATCACTGAGACGTAGACATTTCTAATATTGTTTACAGTGCAATACAAAAGTGTTCATTCAAACTGGTACTGTATTTCTGATAAGAAAATAAAAATGTTTAATATGGTAATGCTCAATATGAATAATATTTGTGAACTTTTGAGAGTGATAGTATTATTTCTCTGCATCAGCTTTGGCTTTTCGCTCTCCTTTTGAAACTCATTTTTTGTTCTTATTTATCAGCTAATTCAATTTTGAATTTTTAGAAAATGTGGAACATCTACGAAAAGTTAACATACCAAATCATCTGTAGTGTTGAGGTTTTCGTCTCTCAGCGGTGTCCTTAGTTTAGGATCCGCTCCCTGACCACAAAACAAAAGCATCCTCTCCGACATGTTTACTATGACGGCTAAATGTCAACATGGATGTGTTTCAGAGGGACACATGGATATATTGCCAAGAAAAAAACAACAACAGTGCAGTGTTCTCTCATTTTTGAGGTTTTTGTCTATCGGCAGCGGCCTTCAATCAAGGTCCACTATCTGACCATGAGACAAAACATCCCCTCGCACTTGTCTGTAGTGTCAAACTGGATGTGTTTCTGAAGGACACATGAGTATATTGCGAAACCAAAAAAAAAGAAAGCAGTGGAGTGTTCTTTCATGTTGTAACCTCCGGGGGCAGAGGGAGCAGGCCTGTCATGCTGCGAGCACAGGCATGCAGGTCAAAGGTGACTGGACACCCTCAGATCCAGACCACACTTCATCCTGTCCTTCAGTCTTGCTCGCTCCTTCATGAACATCAGTTTTGTACTCAAACAGCAGCTTCACAGGCAGACAGGAGAGCCCACGTGGTTATCTTATGGACGGATGCTTTGCAAGGAGACCTGTGCGAACCCTTTTTTTCAGTCATGTCACTTTGTCCAGCTACACTGCGGTTGCCTGAGAGGCACGTGAAGTTCATCAAGATGCTGTGTGTTCATCACAGTTCTCATCTGACAAGGCTTTGAAGCCGGCAGCGTCAAAGCTGCGACCGCCTGTCAGGAGGTCCTTCTGTGGTTTCTGTATGGACGGACATGTGGACGCTCAGCGTGCTACAGAAGCAGGAGAGTGAAGGCGAGGAGGCCCTTCAGCTTGCAGGGAAAAGAGACCCCGGCACAAGAGAGGAGGGCTGCCCCCGGACTGCAGAGTCACCAGGGCCATCAGATGGTCTAGCAGCCTACTCTGGAGGCGGTCGTAGGCTGTGCAGCTTCCTCTCATCCAGGCCTTTCCAGTACTTGAAGTTGTTGTCCAAGTGCTGCATAAGATTAGGGAGGTCTGCGAAAGCTGGTGAGACAATGGATACATTTTACAACTTTAGTCTTTTCTTAACATCCCTGTAATATGATTTTTATAGCAACACAGACACATTTTTGAAGAATGAGAGGAAATGACCAAACTATTTTTTTTCTATGACTTATTGTTACACCTCAGCTCAGGATACGGGCTACAGCAGGCTGCCATTTACCACCACCTGTCCAACACCCATATTCTCTGTTTTTTTTTCAAATGCTCAAATCTGAACCTCTTATTGTATTTCACTCATTTTTATGGTGATTTCAACCCCTCCACACCTCATGAGTGTAACTGAGTGTGAATAAAAATATATATTTCATTCTTACATTCACAAGAACAGGCCGCAGAGTTGATGATTTCCTGCTTATCTGTCATTTCATTAAAAAAACTGCTGCTTATTTTAACTTGGAAAAAGATACAAGTGGACCTGAAGATTAATAAGCTGTATCTTTGGATTCTTTTTAGGTACTTTTGAGGCACAAATATTGACCAGTTTTAGGTTTTTGTTACTCTTTGTCTTTTAATAAATCATAATTATATACTTGATTTTATGTATGCACGGTTGCTCTGAGTCTGTCGGAATCTATGTGAACCGTCTCTTTCCCAGGATGCTTGAAAAATCATTTTTTAGACTTTTAGTCTGGGTGAAATAAACTGTGCTTGATTTTAATTGTTTTCTGAGCGTTTTCTTCCTTTAGACTGGTCAGTTAACCGGAATTTAAATTTCTGTATAGACAGCTTGAAAATAAAGGAAGATCCCTTAAACTGACAAAACTGTAACACTCAGCACTGGCTTCTAATCAACACTGCTGCAAACTCAGTTTAAGTATGTTAAAGGACTTTTTGCAAAGTGTAATGTTTTACTTGTCAGAAGTTAATGGCTTGATTATATTATTCAAAGTCCTTGCAGTGTTTTGGTTGATAAGGAATGTCACAGTTTTTACTTTCAACATGACAGAAAACCCCCAGAAAGTTGGCAGTTCATCTGCAAATACAACAAACAAGAATATGCAGAGGTATCATGTAAATAAAGATGTCCATATTGTGCAGATTTTTAGTGTTGTATGTGTATGAAGTGTTTGTCTTACCATCCCATGCATCAAACATATCCGTAATGAAGTAGTCTATGAAGGAAATCTGGGACTTTGGGATGCTACACGTGTTTCTGTCAAACACAGGCATGACCACTGGTAGGCCTTGTCTCTTCTCCTCATCAGTCTGCACCAAAGACAGCGACAATAGTGATCATCACAAACAATAACTATATAAATCAGATTAAAAACAGTCCAGCTGCTGCCTGCCGGATCCATCAGCATCACAAATATGTTATTTTTTCAATGACCTGTGCAAAATACTCCTCTGAGATGCGTCCTGCCCATTCTATGCAGAGCTCCAGAGGCCTGCATGGATTGGAGATGTCTGCACACTTAATCAGCATCCTCTTGACAAGGATGCGGTTCTCGGGAGATGTCAGAATGCCTTTGACAGATTCCTCATCATTGTTTCCCTTTAAAGACAAAAAAAGGGGGCAGAGCATTAGCATAAAGACGGCTTAATAGAGAGCTCAGTAAACCACAGCACACAGCAGATGGGCCGCTGTGAAAATAACTCGGCGTACACAAACCAGAGCGGCAAGAAAAAACACAGCACTCTGGCAGCTCATACGGATTTTTTCTTAATGGAGGATGAGAGTGTGAGTTGAGAGTGTGTTCATTTTGAACTCTAGCAACACTTACATGTGAAAAAAAGACAATGCAGTCCACAGAGTCACATGGTTTGAGGCCCACTGTATTTTTCCTCTCATTTTTGTCTCAGTAGAGGCAAAGAAGCTCTTTTTTAGCAGAGATGAGATAAGAGAGGCCTCTGTTTGTTTAGGACCACCTCGTATATAGGTTAAATGAATCAAAGTGCATGTTAAACAAAGGCCAAAAATCAGTTTTCATCCATGTCAGCTTTATAAGATTAACTCTTAACTCTTGAAATGCTTGATCTGTGTGTAGTGATAAGCCCTTAAAGTATATATATGTATTCAGTGCTAAAACCCTTTACAATCATTTATTTACATCATTCCTGCCTTTAAAAGGGACGACAACTTTTAAAAGTCTGTGTCGAGCATTCCACACACAGACGAGAAAGATGGTACCGAGTTGTAAAATTCTCCCCCACAAAGCTATCTGTGCGCGGGCAACAACAGGCCGCAAGTCCCCTGAACCAGGATCATAATCTCTCAGACTCCCACACTATTGTTGTTTGTGAACTGTTGGTCCGATTCTGCGATAGCCAGTGACAGAATGAGATTACAATGTTTATCAAGTGTCTGAATGCTCTTGTGTGTCCTTCCTGCTCTGACGCACGACTCTGATCTATTTAGAAAAAAAAGGAGGCTAAAATTAGACCTAGTCTTTCCACCCAGATAGGAAATATCAAAAACGTTTGAAAGCTTTATTTTTTAATCTCACCCCGTTCTCCTCAAGAGCAGCCAGCGGCTTGTTGATGCTGTTGACGAATTTGTTGACGTGTTCAAAGTGTTTGGTCATCTCCGTTGCGAGCACCATGTCGATGATTGCCTGTCGTAGTGTTCGATACTCATTCCTAGAAAGACAAGAGGCGGAGGTGGCAGGAATCAGGTGAGGAAAGGAGAGTGAGATAGAGAGGGCAGAAAAGAAGGAAACAGAAGGATGACAGGGTTTAAAATAGCATAAAAAATCCGTGTGAACAGTTTTTCCCTTCAGACTGTAGTGACAGTGGAGATGAATGGATGCTTTGTTCACCGCCTCCCTCAGAGGGGTCCAGCACATGTGAGCTATTCTGCTCCAGGACTCAAATCACATTACCGCACCGCCGCTGTCAACACACACAGTATTGCTTTTACTGGAACACACGTCGGCCTTTCTTATCTCCCTTGATGCTTCAGGTGATGCTTCAAGAAGGGTTTTTCATATGACTTTAAGTTTATAAAGAATGAATTTCCTCAGTTTGATTTTGATATAAACAACTTTCTTGCTGTTTGAGAAAATTAACTAAAAAAAAAGTACGCACAAAGTTAAATTGAAGATTTGGTGGCTGGTGCAATTACTCTAATCGGACTTTAGCACAAAACATCAGCAAACTCACTTCTTAGAAACAAATTAAAGGGAGAGTCTGTCTAACGTTTGGTTTGACTCAAAGTTTCAAAGATAATGAGTGAATTGAAATTTTTGGCTGAGCAGTTTCTTTAATTGATTCTAAATGAGGACTTTGTTGACTTCTGTGCATGTTTAGAACTTTTGCAGATATAATGAGAGTAAATTTAGTAGATATGAACATTCGAAAACATCCTGAGGTCTACATGAAAGTATTTCAGGTCTATTTGACTTTTTCTTTTCTGACAACAGCTCAGAATAACAACAGTGCAGGATATCTTTATCTGTTTGATGCTGCTGTGATTTTCATTTGATAAATAAGCAGCTAAAGCTATTAGCATAAAAACTGTTTCCAGGGGGGGATGAAATTTTGCTAGTGTAACGACTCTCCCACCTTTCGATATTTTTAAAGATGTTGCATTTATCATCTCTCGTGGTGATCTGGAAGGCCAGTGCAGCATGGTGGCTCTCTAACACAGCTGTGTCGTTGTAGAGGATGGCCAGCTCGCTGCCTGCGTTGCACAGGAAGCTGTTGGTGCGTCCAGGGTGGTCCACGTCGTGTACTGTAGCAGCTATCAGGGCGGCGACCTCATCGATGGGATCCAAACTTTGCTGTTTGGGGGGGAAACAACATGAAACAGTGGAGATTTGTAAACGGACAGATTGTTGTGCATTAGAGGTAAAGTAACATGTGAGTCTTACGAATATCAGGAGCACATTTTTGATGTTTCAATTCTCTGTTCTCTGACCACACTTGTTATGTCCTACTCTTAACGCAACTGTGTGGTGCATGCAGGCAGGACTGATGGCTAAACCGAGTAGAAGTTTTGCTGACAGTCTTCACCAGGATCAGCAGGATAATCACATTTATTTGTACCAAATAGTTTTCTATTATACACACAACTGACTGATTGCAATATAAGTTTATTCTATTACTGCTACCCAATAAAAGCAACCGTGTGAACAAGACAGATACACAATATTCTGAATCAAGTAAAAAGGTGTTCATCATTTTCATTAATTATAGAATATTCTTAATTTATTTGAAGGAAAATTGTTTTAGATTATGACTTTTATATTAACAGCAATAATTAACAATACAATTTGGTTCAAAATAGGGTGACCATATTCTGACTTTCCAAAAAGAGGACACAGCTGCGCGGGGGCGGAATCACGGAGTTGCACAAAGTTAATTTTGGAGTGTCTTTTATGTGCTTCTAACTCAGTAAGTCCATGTCACGCAAAATCAAAACTTGCACACAAAATTGCAGACATTTGAAGGATTTTATAAACTTCCCTGGACAGCCCGGGCAGCCCCCAAAAAAGACGACATGTCCGGGTAAAAGAGGACGTATGGTCACCCTAGTTCAGAATGCAAAAGCTGCTCTCAACTCCTTGTCAATTTAAAGCTTCAAGTTCCTGATGCCATTCGTTGTTTTCTGGGTAGTTTTTCATCAACACTCAAAGGACTCTGGAAACTTTAAAAAGTTAAAGCACAGAAAAAAGAAAAAGTACCAGTCCACAGATCATCAAATTAAGTGCTCTTTCCTAAATTAATCTGCACCATAACAGAGCTGCTAACCTGTAGAGTTCCAGGGATTCATTAACCTTGGGTGATGTAACTTCACAGTTCAGTGGCTAAGCCAATGAAAGATCACTGGACTGAGATCAGAAATAGACAGTTTTATAATCAGATTAACCAGCGCACGGTCTCAACCAATGAGCCACTGACACACTTGGGTGAAACCATGACTGACTCTTGGATAACAGAGGCTCAGACAAGACATCTGACCCTCAACCTGAGTGCAGAGCTGCTCTGAATGGGGGAAAACTCCACATCTACCAGTGTTTGGGGCCACAAGCAAAGAAAAAGAAAAACATCTTTGCTTGACTTTTCTCCCACATGTGTGAGGAGTGTTCGAACGAGAAATCTTACTCTTAGAGACAGTTGAATCATTTTCTGTCCATCAACTGACTGACAAAATGAATTCCCCAGCCCATGGACCGTTACGTTTCCTGAGAACAAAACTCGTGTTGTACTTTTACAGGCTTGATCGAAATAATGCAGATTATTTCATTAGTTTACTTACCTTGACCCTCTCTTTGCAGAGGAAATACGCTGTTGCATGCAGGACATCAGCTGCGTGGGAAGAGTTGTGGTAGGAGTTACTGGAGTGGTAGTTAGCTTCAATCACTTGTAGCCAGGAGCGCAGGGTGGCCTCAGGGCAGTTTAGGAACTCACAGACCCCGAAACGGGAGAAGATCTTCAAACCCAGGTAGGTCAGAGGCCTGTGGAGGATTCAGCGCAGAAGTTGAACATGAACTCTTTTTATAAGTTCTCATTTAAGACTCAAAATATAGAGATCCTAAACTGTGTCTCCTCACCGCTTCAAGGTTGCAGCTTCCAAGTTAACAATGTCAAAATCCCAGGAGTCCTCGTTCTCCATGGTCTGAGCGATACGAGGGGGGATGTCATTCAGCGACAGAGGAGTTGTCAGGTGACTGGGGATATGGTGAGGTTCTGTGGGCGGGAGAAGAGACAAGATGGGAAGCATGAGATAAGAAATAGGATGAATAACGTGACGGAAATCATTATGGCTGGAAAAAAATAAAACAAAAATATACTTTTAGCATCTCTTCGTAGATCTGATATAACTTACGTTTTGTAGAGAAGATGTATTCATTTCCTGACAGTCTTCGTAAGCCATCCTGTGAACAGAAAACAAAAAGTCAGGGACTAACAAAACTTCTATGCAGGACCAAATTTCAATCAAAAAGCTAAATAATTAAACATTTCTGTGTATTTAAATCCTTAAAGCACTTAGTCAATAGATGAATTGAGTCACATTAAAATTAAATCATAGTTTGAATGTTTTAAAATAACTTTGAAGTCAATGATCTTTACAGGTTTCAAAGCCTGAAAAATAAAAATCAGACTACAACTACAATCGTATATCAAAATCATGTTTCTCCTGATTTTCCATAGAAACACAATGATGGGAGTTCTTCCATCTGCGCTATGACACAACAGTTTCAACGCTGTGTTATGTTGACACCTCGTATTGTTTCCCCAGCAGCACACAGAGGGAGGGGAGGGAGGAGGCAGCAGCAGCCGAGCTGAGCTTATTAATGAAACCAATATGCAGCTTTGAGAAGGATTTCCATATTTATGAAGTGTGATAGTTGTGTCACATATGACAACATGTTAATTTATGTACATATGTCAGATAATCTACAGTTAATTATTTCATTATGTCATCTGCCTTCCTCCTGTCAGTGCTGCATGCTGGGATAATAAATTAGGGCCTAACAGCAGGGATACACACCATCACCTGAATAATCACACACAGCTCTCAGTGGTTAGAGGTACATTGATCTGGTCCCTACTGGACTGTGATTTGTACCAGATGTAAGACTGTGTAAATCAGAGATCAAACACTTTTTAGGGAGTTGATCAATTCAACTCTCCACATTGTTCATTGTGAATTTCCACCACAGAAACTGAAAAATCTAATAAGTTCAAGACTTGCAACCAGGGGCGGATCCAGACTTTCTTTTTTTAACTTGGGTGGCTCAGAGCGCTGACTAACAACTCGTGGTATGTGAACCAAAACACAAATGAGCGTCATTCATTAACCCTTTCTATCTCCGCTGATCACTGAATGGGGCAATCAGATATCAAGAAAAAAAATTCCTTACTTTCCCATAAGGATGCTCTTTCTTTTTGCTAATAAGGTGATGTTGGTGTGCCAGCAGGTCACAGAAAGCTTGTGAATGCAGTCAAAGTTATTCCCTTCAGACACTAACATGCAAGCGTATAAACATTCGCATGTAGCAGGGAGCTCATATTCATAGACAGCATGACTCTGTCTCTGGTTATGTGATCAGAAAACAATCATAAAAGTAGTTTTGCGCCCATTTTACTTCCTTAAAATTTAAAGAAACTTTAAATAAATCCCTTAAAGGATGTGATGAGGAGGTGCGTGAGCTTAGTGTAACCTGAAAGCGAATTTTTCAGTGTAAAAAGATCGTGGACTCATGCTACTGTATATCATGAAAATGTAGGAAAGTAAAAAAGGAAAGGTTGTGAACATTAAAACCTCAACTTTTCAGCTCTTCATACAACAGCCTCAAATTAAGCAGTCATTTTGGACGATACGTATATTTTGGGTGTCTGTGAATTCATGGGTGTGTGTAGCAGAGTGAAATGTTTACTTCACAAGTGAAAAAGGAAGAGGAGACTGGCTCATCTTTGACCCGAGCATTGTCTGATGGTGGTGCTGCCTCTGTACACACTGGTTATTTTAAGTCTTTCTCCCTCGAAAAGATTACAGCTCCTTTCTTAATGTTCACTCGGTCTTCTGAGGTCAGACCCAGCACACCGCACCGCACCACAACAAAAAGGAGGAAATAAATAAGGAATCAGGCACGTCTTTATTTACTGTGACCAGACCAAAATATTTATCCCCACCAAAACTCACACCAAATATTTTTCTAGTTTTGTCAGCATTTATCACTCATGCAGAGAAGGTTTTTTTTTCTGAGGCGGGACAATGTGTAACAGCTCTCTGCCTCCAAGTATCTGTGGTACATGTATAAGTAAAGCCATGCTTATTCATCTGATCCAAAGAACAGGATGTTTCCAGGCATGTGGAGTCAAGAGGAAGAGGTTCATGTGAGTGTGACTGTGTGCAGAGAGAGAGAGAGAGACACAGAGAGAGAGAGAGCGAGGGAGAGAGAGGGTGGGGTGGGCTTTCCTCTCCAGCCTACAGGAGCACAAAGGACAATCTAACACTTCCTCTGGGGTTGTTGCCAAGACTGCCAACTTGGCACTCTTTCTACTTCTGGACTTCACCATTGCTGTCTGTTAATCTCTGTCTCTCTCTCACTCCCTCTCTGTGTCCCTCCCTAAAATAAGAACAGAAATCCTCTCAAAACAAACCCCCACAAAGACCCTCCTGACTCTGTTTCTGTCATTAAACATACTATCACAGCAGCAGCCACTCCAGGCACATCCTCACAGACACATGTGTGTGTGTTCTCATATAGGAGTCCATTCATTTGCAGGGGAAGAAAGCTGTTAGAGTGTTCGCCCTTATGGAGGACCCTCATGCTGCTCACCGTCATCAGACCCCCCACCAGGTCGTTGGTATGAGGGTCCTCATCCTTGGTGCCTAACTGTGGGGAGTAGAGCTCAGTGGTCCTCAGGATCTCCAGTACCCGATCCAAGGCCTCTGCCACGGGCATAGGACTGCTTTCCTGTGCTGCATTGATGATGTTTATTACCTGGGAAACAGAAATGAAACAGGACACAGGTTTAGCTTAGTTGGTGGAGTACACTGTACATCCTGGTAGTCTGTGTCACGGCCCGTGGCTATATGTCCTCCACACTGGCTGCTCTGTATATTTCCTGTCTTTCTTCAGGTGTCCTTTTAAATTTAAAAGGCAAAGTGGCTTAAAAAATAATCTAAAATCACACATCACACTTCCTACTCCTGCTCATTTGCTTAGCGTTATTAAACAACACACCTATTAGTCCATCAGATAGAGCGTGAAAGGGTAAACTCTGGAAATACGGTGAAACAGCTGTCTAAAGGTTAAGGTAGAGGAAGAAAATCAATACAAAAAAAAAGAAATGTTTAAACAGACTGGAAGATGAACCCAGACAGAGTAGATTCCATACTTTTGTAAAGGGTAAACAAACAAGATTTAACATCCCTGTTGTGACGAGTTACCTAAACACCGAATCAGGGTAGCTGTTTCCCTCCGTTTCCACCTACATAACTAGAAACAAATCTGACCTTCTTTTCAAAAATATCAAAGTGTTTCTTTGACTGAGGAGGTGGATGCATTAATGTAGACATGAGATAACAGAACATTTAAAGTGAAGAAATCAAGAACAAACAAGCCCTGATGAAACACAAAAGTTATTTTTAACACCAGAGCATGAAGATGGAGATTTTAATAAAGGGCACCTGTGGCGAGGTCAGCAAACATGTGCAGTAACACAAGTTCTACGTAACTCACTTACACACACACACACACACACACACACACACACACACACACACACACACACACACACACACACACACACACACACACACACACACACACACACACACACACACACAGTGAAGCAGCAGTTCTATCAGTGCTTTATTCTGTGGAGGATGATGCCTACAGGGACTGACTCCACAGTCAAATGATACAGCGGTAGAACTGCTGTGTGTCATATGACCCATCCCCGGGGACTTTCTCTGTTCCTGACTATCCAGGCTGCAAACTACACAAACCACATAAACCACAGAAACAGCAGGTCATTCTGGTCCAACATGCTTTCCCGTCCTGTGCATGAAATGTGGCATTTTATCTCCTCTCGACACAGCATGCCCACCCTCTAGCCTCAAGTCTCAGTTGTGGTACAAGAAGCGCTCATGGCTGTTTTAAAGCTGAAGTGTTCAGTCATGAGATACAACACTTCAGTACAAAGTGATGATCATATGATGCATGCTCAGAGGGGTGATGGAGAGAGAGAGAGATGAACCCACCTTGGTGATGGGAGCTTCTATAGTCATGGAGTGGATTCGAGCCATTGAGGAGTGCCTTCTCTGCGAGCTCCCTGTCAGAGTGAAAGAAATACCCCCCAAAACACGTCCATGTTAAGATTCAACCACATATTAAACAGTGTATTATTATTTTCTGTCTAATGAGCATGTTTGTGTTCATGTCCAATCAACTATTAACACAAACAGGCAACTGGGACGGTTTCATTAGCTAACAAACGCCCAGAGTTTCCATCGTCTGTCTCCCTTCACTCTCACCATCACTCCCTCGAGACGTTGTAGATCTGACGTCCAGAGAGCCTTTCCTCCGGTCTTTGTGCTTACTAGATTGGATGTCTGGGGAGAAGACAACACCTTACTTTAATATGCACACAAACAAACACACACAGCTCAAGCTAAGTGAAAAGGCCGGCTTTAGCCTTAATCGCAATACCGCAGGAAATAAGGACGAGGTCTGTTATCCAGCAAAATCAGACCTGAGCAGATGATGCAACTTGACTGATGAGTCAGAGATTGAGCTTTTGAAGAGTTTTAAGATGTTGTTCCCAAAAACTGTGCAATACTTTAGATAAAAGACACAAAGGAAAGAACTACGCCATACTTGACAAAATAAAACACAACATTTAGAGGTGGTGATTGACAGTTTGAACATAAAAAATATACTTGAAATCCAGTACTCAGAAACCCTGGGGGAACACAGAGGTGGTGTGTGACAATAACTATGAAATAAAACCTGCTGAGAGACCATGATAAACTTGTTTGAAACAAACAGTAAGATTAAAACGTGAATTTATTCTGTAACTCAGACAGAGATACGGTATATGTTTTGTTTGCCTGTCAGCGGTGTAGCTGCTATATTTTGAAATCACAGCTCTGCATTGACTTTACAGCTGATACCATATTACAAGGGGGAACAAAAGTTCAGTTCATACAAAACAGAAAGCAAAGGAGAAAAGTCAATAAAGGAGAAAAGTTCTCTCTTTTTTTTAAGGTCTTTCTCTCAGCTAGATAAAACAGGCTTTGACACTTTAAAATATGTGCAATAATTACAAAAACTGTGATTTTCTGACACTGGAGCAACAAACTGCTAAAGTAAAAGGACCCCAGAATCCCCAAAATCTGAAATCTATTGCTTTCAATGTCTCAATATTTGGTGATAACAAATTGCAAAATGAAAAAAGAACCAGTTAAGACTGGCATTGTGCATCATCACAAACTCTAGTCTGACCGCCTTAAATCTCATGACACATCCTCCATCACGTATTCTTACAGCGGTCCTGTATAGAAAATCTGAACAACTCTTCTTGACTTCACGGTTTTTAACCTCATAAAGCACATGTCATGTGTTTCTGACAGCAGGAAGAGTTTGGATAAAGAACTTTAGGGTGGATCATCATACCTGTTTGAGACTCTGCCTGCACACGTTCACTGGATTTATCACTCTGCAAGGACAGAGGAGAGAAGCATATTAACACATGCAGACCTGTACGCTTCTTTTATTTATCATAAATTTGTCAAACAGGAGACACAACTCACCTTATTATTATCATTTAAAGGCCAGTTGATAGACACATAGTGTCTGGTTTTTCTGTGAATGACAGAATACAATTAGTACACCATGAAAATAATCAGAAATCAAATCAAACATATTTTACCTTGAATAATTACGAAGCTTTTAAAAATGTAATTTGCACTTAGCAAGACCGAATGACCTCAATGTACTGACCCCCCCTGTCCAATTACAGGTGTGATCTTCACATTTTGCTGAATGCTGTCTCCATTCTTCTTTTTGGCATAATAAATCCCCTGCCACTCCTGGAACATAACAAACCAGAACAGAGACAGAGGAACTTTACAATAAACCGGAGAAGCTGCCAACATCACTAAAATATAACTGCTGCACTGACAGTATCATGATATGATTGTGGTGCATGTAAGGTGGCGAGGTGTTCTGGGTCAGAGTATTTCAGAGAGCAGCAAGTCAGCTTTAATGGATAGGGGGAGCGCTCCTGGAGTCCGCTGCGTTTGTTTCATGTCCCCCCTCCTACAGACTGCTGTGTGCAGCTTAAAAAGAGCCTTCCTGCTGTTCGCCTGTCTGGGACTGACCTTCGCTCTCTGTGTAGTAAGATTACAGCACAGCCATCAACCACTGTTCTTGTGCACATGAAACGGAGCTGCTGGATGGCCAGTGGTGCAGTCTCACAGCACACATGGATGCACAAACACGCATGCATGCACAGACACAAAGGCCGGAGCAGAAATCTACAGTCCTAACGACAGCGATCTGATTCTGATTCAGCACTCTATGAGGATTACTAGAAAGCATTTCCACAATAACAGTATCAGAAGAATGACACGCAAAACATCAAGCTCCTTCATATACTCTGAAAAACCACACTGTTAATTTGTGTTGAGCTCTGAGTGAAGGTGTGGTTCTTACCTTTCCTTTCCGTATGCAGGAATTTATTGTTTCAAGGAGATCAGGCTTATTCTTCTCACTTTTAGGCACTTCTATTATTTCCTTCCCTATTAGCTCGCCTTGTTGGTAGCCCATAATAGACTCATAGGCAGGGTTCACGTACTGTGGAGATATAACAAGATTATTCAGGCTTCATCTGATCTGGTGATCTCCTGGGTTTAAATGTACAATCAGTAAGAGTACAAAAACAGACAAAACCCCCCAACAACACATGAACCTTGATGAAACAACTCTTTTTATAAAAAAAAGAACCCATTTGTTGGTATTTAAAGAAACACAGGCTAAAGGCTTTAACTGCTGACAAAAGGAGCCATTCAGAGGGACAGAGGCCGCAAGTATCACCACTGAGATCTTGGATCATGAGACATGAGCGCTAAAACGAGAGTAGGACAGAAGGAAAAAGACAGCGAGGGCAGAGAACTGGTAATAAAAATAAACCTAATAATATCAGTACTGCTGGAAACCCACCTGAATGACTTGATCTTCAGAGGTGATCTCTATGGCCTCTTGGCTTTGTTCTAGAGCTGTGAAAATAGCATTTCCAGCCCTAATAGGAAAACAGCAGTGACAAAATCATTGTTTAAGTATGCAAAAGACAGAGTTCTTCATTTTAACACTTTAAGGTTCATGACTTACCTCAGTTTGAACTGGGCCCGCACCTCCCCGTGCTCCAACTGTAGCAGCTCATTATAGCAGGCCATCATATTGGCATTCTCCACATATCTCTGAGGGTCACAGCGACACACAAAGACACACAGGTCAGTCACAGACAACTAAAATCCAATTTTCACATCAATGTTTCCATTAGAGGACACATTATAATGTTATAAGTAACAGCGGTTCAGCTTCAGGGAACTTGATTTACATGTCTACAGAGCAAACAAAAAGGATTAACACTCTGAATTCCTGCTTAAAGGAAACTGCAAACATGAGCATCAAAGGACACATGCACACAATCCCAACGCCACTCACCCTATTAAAGCCGGCATTGATCAGGGGCATTACAGAGGCTTCCTCTCTGTCTGGCCTTCAAAAGAGAGCACATGTTTGCACCAAATCATCACTGTGACAAATCCTTGTTTAAAGAACATCAGAGGTTTTCTCCAGATGATAGGCCGCAGGCCCAAAGACCTCCACAGAATAACATTTTCTTATAATGATAACACTCCTCATCATTATCTACTTTGAAAGGCGCAGAGGTGAAGGGGAAAAGGGTGAGGGGGAGTTGGACGTACCTTTTCACAACAGCGACTATCACAGTGTTTTCTGAAGAGTTGACCGCTCTAATTGACCTGAATGTAAACAGAGGGAGTCTTTTTAGTGAGTGAGCAGACTGGTGGAAAAGCCCATGGCATCAAATCAAATGTATTTTTCTCATTTTCACGCTCCGATTATCCCAAGCAGGCAGGGCCCAGTTGTGGAGCTCTGCGAGCAGGCCCAGGCCTCTGAAAGAATGCAGTGTACAGGGCCACTCATCCGCCTGTGGTTTCCCCCAGCCAGTGGTCATAAAAGGCCCTTTAGTTCCCCTTCGGAGCCTGTGCGTGTACACTGAACATATGGATTGGCCAAAATGAATAGGGTTAACATACACGCTGGGCAGGGCCAATGAATGTTTGTAAATGTGTTTTTGGTTTGGGCAGAGGCTAAAGATAGAGGGTGGTATGGGCAGGCACCGCTCATTTCTCACTGACATGACTCCACTAGGTAGCAAAAGAGGCGAGTTAGTGAGCCCAAAGTGAGCAGGTTATTTACTCCCACACAGGGCCACGGTCACCATCTCACCAAATGTACAGTAAGTGAAGAAAAGAGGCCTGTAATTGGCCCTGACACGATCATCTGGTCTGGGTTATGTCACTGGTTTTGGACAACAATTGCTAACACAATTCTAATTCAATTTCAGCCGGGGCCCCCACATAAGTGATTTCTAACCAAGAGTAATTATACCTAAATGCTGTGCACAGAGATTTTGGATTAGCTTAAGTCATATGAGGGAAAAAGTAATTATATTTGATTAATATGTAAAAAGTCTACATAATGTAGTCCGCTACAACACTTGAATACATGATGAACCAACTTGAAGCATTTCCGAACAAGGATACAGAAAAGCTGGCATACAGGAAGGAAAAATGGCGAAAGTATTTTAGCCTGATGGATGAGAGGTAAAGGTGTCCAAACTGCTAAAGTTTGTAATGAAAAAAATCCACTAAAAACAGCAAAGCTGGGACAATAAAAGTAAGAAATTCAGTGAACTGGTTACTGAGGAGAAAAAGACAAATGTTTCAAACAGTTGTGAAAAGAGACCTCCTCTGTAAGACAATAAAATAGTAAAGTGAATAAACAAAGACGAAGGTAGAGGCTGTCCTACCGGCATAGTGCTTCAGCGTCAAAGTGTCTGGAATGTCTGTGGTCAATGATGATGAGGTCGTGATGCTTCTCCAAGAAGCATTCAAGAGCCGACTCGGGTGTCCGTGCAATGCTGCACCTGAAGTTGGCCTTCTCACATGCCCAGCAGAAGCCATTACTCTGACTGTCCTCTTTGGCAAAAACTAAAAGTACCTGGAAAAGAAAAATGATAAAAAAAAGGAGAGATGACTAAGCACATATGCCCACCTGAGTAATTCATATCATCATGTGACCAGTTGCAAGGTCACAATATCACCAGCAAAAATGTAGTTTTGCAGAGGGGGCAAACATATTTCTCACATTCTTACATACAAGAAAAGAAAACACTAATAATTACAGAGCATCATGGAAAAAAGTGGTAATTTAATAAAAAGTTGTTGAACCTATCACAGATAATCTGGCTCCATCCTGGCTGTACGATCATTTCAGTGAAAATACAGTCAAATGTGGTTTTGCCTCAGCTCTGAGACGTCAAGTCATCACTGATGCATTCATGCTCATTTGTGTCTGTCTCCCTGATCGGGCTGCAGTGCTGGCTGGACTGTGACCTCAGGCCTCCAGCGGACGGACAGGCCCTGATTGATCAGGCTCGGTTCCTGCTTGGGTGCGTCACAGATTTTATTGTCCACTGCCGTGATCTATGACACAATTAGTCGAGGTGGCCTTGAGTGGCTGCGGCCCCTCCCATGCATCTGCCAAGGCTGTGGCAGAAAGTGCTGCGGCTACTGTCAAACCGGTCATTGAGGGCCCGCTCTATCCCCGCCAGCATACTTTCATATAACCCCTCACTTGCGTAAATACCGGACCAGAGATCTAGGCCCGCCTCCAGGAGCAGTGCTGCACTAAGAGTAGATTCATGAGTCACTCTCTCAAACAGACGTCATCTCCCACTGTTGGCAGGGAGCAGAATGAACGTAAAGAAGGAAAAGTTTGTTCTGCAGTTTTAAGTTTGCATCACACCTGTAAAATTGAGTTAGGGCACAAAGACCTGACTTTGTAGGGAAAACTGGAGCTTCTGTCCCCTGCACAATGAAGGGACAGAGGACCGGCTGTGCTGACGCTTGTCCTTTTGATTCATTCTGACGCTCTGTGTAGCTTTATTTCAGCACCAAAAGGCCTAAAGCAGAAAAAGCTTAAGCCTGAGAGGGGCATCGGTAATATGAACCATATTCCAGTCATGAACATTTTCTCTACACGCGGCAATAAGTGTCCAGGTCATAAATACATCACCACTGAGTCCTGCAGCTATGTTTGGTACGCACTGGGAATTAGATCAGAATTCCACATTGGGATGTTGGTAGAAAAGTCAACATACTGCAGAGGTGGAAAAATTGGGTAATATAGGCTGAGATAAGGTCCCTTCAGGCGCCTAAGTTAAGACAAGGTAGATAAAGTAAGAATAGACTTTCATGTGTAAAAGGCAGAATACATCACAGATAGTCAGAAAGGAAGAGAGAAAACTAGTTCAAAAGGGGGGTAGCAGCATTTTTGGCAGCGTCTGATCACTCTGTCTAGCAAACATGATTGGTGAAAAAAAGAGAGGGCCTGGCCAGATCCTGTGGGTGGTGAGAAAAGAGGGAGGAGGAGGGCATGACAGGATCAGCTGTGAGTGACAAAAACAGGAAGGGGATATCTCTCTACCTAGTTTTCCTCCTGGTCACAGTGGAGCTCATTGGACAATAAAGCCAAGTCTGTGCACTCACACATGGCATTGAATTACAGGACGTCTGATGAGTTTCTTTCCTTTGACTCACCGACTGTGCATCATCAATGTAAGGACAAGTTTGGCAGATGTTATTGTTTTATTGAAATAATGTCTATGTTGTGCAACCCTGAGTCAGACTGTTGTTTCAAACACTGTAGCCACTTTGGTTTGGGAGTACAAAATTTAAAAGTGCTCTTAGAGCGCTCAAGAAAATGTGTTCATGTCTTAAAAATTAGTCCATGAAATTCAAAAATGTGACAATTTTCAAAAATTACAACAGAGCAGATATTATATGAAAGCAGTAATCAGTTTTTAGCTCAGGAGGCAAATAAAAAACTGAAGTTTTCACAGCAGCAGAAGTGCATGCCAAAGGAGCGGGCACAGCAGCAGACTGTATAATGACCCAATGAACGTCAGAGAGAGTCCTCAGCTGGTCCATGGGTCCTCTGTGCAGTTCTTCCATAACATGCATTGTTCATTATACGTTCCTGGTCATAAATGTTTGGCCTTGTTGCCTTGACAACTCCCCATGGCACACAATACAATCATTAACATTTTTTCTTTTTTTTTCATCTTAAACTTTGAATGTTTGCATGATAACTTTTTTTAATGTCTCGAAATGTCTCTGCTGACAAAAGAAGTTGACATTTTGAAACACTGATCCTTCAAAAAATGTGACCAAATATTAACTGTCATGCTAGATAGCGCTGCAAATCTCTGCCAAAGGAAACTGCTGTTTCAAGAAAGGCCTCGGCTCATTCAAAACTATCACCACTGAACTTTGGGAAGAGCTGCATCATTGTACAATACCTGAAGTGGGTCTTTAAATAGCTTCATTGGTCCAAATTGCACCTCTGTTAACGTGGTCTGAAAGACAAGAAGAAGATACCAAGATTAGTGATAAGACATCAGACAAGTTAATTTTTTAATTCAGATAACAATGCACAAGTATGAAATACACTTAGGCGCAATATTTGAAATATATCCACAACATCCTGCATCCATACACATTATCAAAAAAGCAATATAATTTCACAAACCTATCCCATAAGCGGACAATTCTCTGAAATAGAAATAAAACTTTTCCACATATTTGTTATGTCTGTCTAACATGATGCTTCTTGGTAACCCTTTCTTTTACGGTACACTTATTACCAGGTATTTAAAAGGTAATTACCTGGTAACAACATGAAATTATCTGGTAATTACATGATAACTACTAAGTCAATACTGTCTAGCTACCAGGTAGGTAATCTTCCATCATCATACAAATTGCTGAATAGCTGAATTGCTCTGGTATTTCCAGGATTTTCTCCGCTTCCTGGAACCACCACTTGCGCAGTAGCATTGAGTCGTTGTGATAATGCTCGGCTCAAACAGCGTATCGCTACGCAATCTCCGCACGGCCATAGGCTGTATCAAGTGTCAATCATAGAAAATAAGAACCCCAAATAGCTTTTGAAAATGGAGGTGCACAGAAAAAAGAAAAAAAAGGAAAACTAGACAGTATTGACTTAGTAGTTATCATGTAATTACCAGATAATTTTATGTTGTTACTAGGTTGTTAATTACCTGGTAATAAGTGTACCGTAAAAGAAAGGGTTACCTGCCTCTCCCACCTATAACTTACAGTTCAGCTGGTTTATATAAGAACATATCATTTCCCCATATCACAAAGAGAGTGTTAGTGAGGCTGTTTCTCTGGTTTTACTTTTCACAATGAGAGTCCTTGTTTTGTTGAAGTGTTTTAATATAAGCAGAGGACGAGTTAAATGTAAACTCAGCAGAAGGCCTTCTACCACGCCTCCCTAAGGCCAAATTCAGCGTGCTCAACTGCACAGCCCAAATTTATAAGACTGTAACCTGGGGCGTCTGCTGTTCTTTAAAAAATCTGACGTCTGTTCAGATGAGAGGATAAATTATTTTGAAACGGACACAACATGCTCTATTTTCTCTATTTGGAAAGCCTTTAATGCCATTATACACGGTGCGTTAAAATTAAGGGTTGCATCACCTGATGTGAACCACTTTCAGGCATCCACAATCAAATAGCAAACTCTGACACAAGTGTAAGTGTATATAGCAAAGAAATACAAGTAGTAGAAAGATATGTGATGACTGCACAGTGGGGGAGGGGTAATGCAAAGAAGCGAGCCGGGATATTCAATGAAGGGGACAAGATATAAAAGTGACAATCACACATTATCTACTCCCCATATAAGGAAGTAAACGGTCTGCAGTATGTTATATGAATAAATCATCAAGTGTTATTCAGGGTCAAATTGATTAAATGAACAGCTGATGATCAAATTGAACTGAAACACTCTCATTTGGGATTTATGATGCATAGTTTGATAAATAACAACAAAGTACTGTTGAAACCATTGAGGACACGCAGAGATCTATGGTTTTTCTTTTTCACAGACACGCTCAGAAGATTAATATATATCACAAAGCTGATAGATGTGAAGTGTTTTTATGAGCTGTTTAATGCAGCCTCTGGGACTGCAAACTGAACACTGGCATTAATATGAATCAAATCCTGGGTATGAATAAGCACATTTTCTTAAATACTGTAATAAAGGGCTATTTCATGCTACTTTATACTTTGACTTGGATAAATTTATCACAACACTGAGATTTGACAACCAAAAGCGATGACTATCAAACTACACCAGCACAATGCTTCTATCAATAATATGACTTATCAGATGTTGTTATAGTTGTGCTGAATAGATGTTTTGGGAGTTTAGGTGGTGTTTAATGCACATTTTGCTCAATATTGAAAGGCAGAAATTACACCCGTTATAAAGTCTTTATGTGCTTTAGTTCAGTTTTAATATGTCTGACATTGCTGGTTTCGTGGCACAATTTTAACTTGTAATGTGAGGTATTTGTGAAAGGGGGTGGGGAGTTTTGAATTATAAGCACTTTGAACTGTTACAGGAGGAAAACGCTTCTTATGTGTAATTGCTTTAATGATAATCCAATAATCTGATTCGCTTATGAAACCATAAAATGGATCGTTATCTACTTTTATACTTTAAACTTGAAAAAATGACATGTTTTTACTCTTTAATATGGTGGTTTAATAAGTTTTTCTGGCGTACTGGATTTCTTCACCTTTCCTATGACAAACTGAATAAAACTGATGCCTGAGATTTCACGTCCTGATTTCCAATTAAAGCCGACATCAAACTCGACCAAAAATATTTAAAAATGAAAAAAGTCCAATTCCACACAGACAGGTTTTCAACTCATTACACTTCCCCTTCATGAGCTTACTCTTTTCTGTCTGCAAATAATTTAGCTTCCTTCCTGCTAAATGGGACCCAGCTCAGGGGTTAGTATCCATAGCAACCAAGCCCCTTGTGGACCGCCATCCCTCTAGAATTCCTCTTCTCCGTAAACAATCCACACATGTGAGGGGGAATACAGAGAGGAATTTCAGAGCACGCCGGGCGGCAGTAAATCACTTCTTGCTAAATTGTAAGCCTTTTGAAAGCTTCATGAAACAACAAAGGGGAGGGAAAAGCTGATTAGCCCTCAGTTGTTGCCAAATTGACGTCATCATGACACTGGGCCGTTTGTTGTAGCTGCTCCACAAACAGAGAGTATGGCATTGGGATGGCAGCTAGCTCATACTCCGCAATCATCTGATCTTTTACAGACACGAGGACCTGGTCGCATGATGGGCTCATGTGCGCTGGAGACACTGTGCATGTGTCAGTGTGTGTGTCTCTCTGCATGTATGTGTGCCAGAGGCTATATCATAGAGCCAAACATAAAGAGAAGCCACAAACACATGCTTCTCTGTGAGGGTTTAACCAAACAAGACTCCGTTTTTCTTTCTTTTTTTGTCAAGTACAGTTTGAATTATTCTGATCATGCTGAATTGGGACTGTTTTTTGGTCCTAAAATCAGACCCGTATAAACATTACAAGTTTTGGTACAAGCTCTGCAATATAAAAGAGCTCAGGTCAGTGCAATAAATCAGGATAATCTGCTCATATTTTAATATTAAGAGCTAGGTACTGGACAACCTATGAGCTACAGTCTAACCTCTACTTTTGAGGTCTGTATCCTGGTTTCTCTCAATCTGGCAGTAATCTGATGTTGATTTATCTTTAAAGACAGAAATCTGCACAAAAATTCAGTTAACAATCCATTCAGAATTTTTTAAGTTTAAGTTGAGGCACAATTTGCCAATCAGCAGCTGGATTTACCAACTACCTTGAATGCATCACAATTGATCAATTTGACCTCAGTTTCAGAGTTCATTTTTCACAAATCTGCATCATCTGGTGAACTTGAGACTCTTAAGTTTCTGTTATGAGCTTATACTGCTGAAATAAACCAGAGTGAAGTCTCTGTGTAATTTACTGTCCAATGTTGAACTGAGACCTGCTTCAAATCCAGACTATGAGAAACCCACCTTACTTAGAGACCTAAACACTAAAATTTATGGTGCCTGAAACAGATGAGCAGGTGCTGTTGTAACTTCTTCACGCTCAGAGACTTTTATTTTGAAAGTTTGTGTAGCTGTAACAAAACATTTACTCCTCTTTAATGGCCACTGCTGGTAGAGACAGATACACCAGACATAGAAAGCATGTTTTCACAAATGCTAGTTTTTCTGACTCAGTATCAATTAGGATGAAGTTGAATGCTTACGTTAGCTTTTATTTCTGGGTTATCCTGTATCTTCATTTCAGCCACACTTTCCTTTTAGATTTGGTCGTTCTTCCTGAGAGAAATCCTCGTGTTTGGATAAAATTATGCTATTTATTGGAGAATCACTCGAGGTGAGGGTCTTTACTCATGGAGCTGAGCCACAGCCTCTAGCTAGAGAAGAAGGTCTGGAGGGAGCAGTGTGCAGCGCTCGGTCTCCATCCAAGGAAACTTCCCTCTCTAACTGACAACCGATGCAACTGCGGCTGTGGTTGTGTAACTTAAATACTAAGCCAGCTACGCACACAAACACACATACACACACACACACACACACACACACACACACACACACACACACACACACGAACGAACACATGGATGAACCAGTCTGCCAGCGTCTTTGGGCAACACACTCCTCCAGTACATTACACACACACACACACACACACACACACACACACGGATGAACCAGTCTGCCAGCGTCTTTGGGCAACACACTCCTCCAATACATTGCACACACACACACACACACACACACACACACACGAAATGCACTGCATGAATCACTCACTCAGCCATGCATTTGCATCCCACAAACATCATGCTGGCACTCAACCAGAGGCAAACAAAGCCAGGGAAGCGAGTGAGCATGTAGGCCAGGCAGGCAAGGAGTAGGACTCAGTGCGTAAGCCTACGTAATCCTTGTCACGCCCTCCTGCTTCATAGTGCTGTTAGTACCAAGTTACACTAGTCCAAGTCCCTCTGTTTTGGTCTCTTTTCTTTCCCTGCACAGGTCCACTTGTTAACCGGACAACAAGTATGTTGAGCAGCAGAGCACAGTGGGGATGGAGAGACATTGGCTCCTTGTGCTGATGAGGCGTCAAAAACAGAAACATGCAGCATCACAATAAAGTTTAATCTTAAAAGTAAGTGAAGTGGCCCTAAAAAACAGACTGGATTTATTTCAATTTCATCATTAATGAGGTTTGTATTAAACAGAGTCAAATATACTGTAGTTAAAAACCTTTCCTCTTTAGATCCAACACCTCTACTAGAGCAGCAAACCAGTACCAGTGTTCCCCCTTTTCATGTTTTAAATATGTATGCCAATCTGTGAAGGACTCACTGGAATCATCTGTCTGTAAGGCGGGCCGGGGATGCTGCGGTACTTTCAACACTGAGTCATAAACACAACAGTGATTTAATGTCATACTGATAGTGATAGAAAAAACTCTGATCATGAAGGTGTCCCTGTCCTCACACCGACAATCTCTGACGATTGGCTGAACTGCTCCAGTGTAAATTTTTCAAAATAGCTTCTATGTTGGGGTGCATCGATCTAAAACTGTCACTATCTTCTTAACTTAATCAGATATTACCTCAAAGCTGAAACAGATATTATAAACAGTTGATCAGATCCAAGAATGATCTACCAAGTTTAATTCTGTATACATCTTTGCGCTATGTATTTGCGTTATTTTGGAGAGTAAAAGTAAGAACCTGGTCCACACTGAGGGAAATAAATGAGAACTGTTTGATGGTATTTAAGGCTCACTATGCCGACATGTTCAACTACAGTTTAGAAAGCAAATGTTTAAAGGAGTTGATCTGTAATTTTTATTTATAAAGAGAGGAGTATTTTACCAACTGGTTTGAGCAGTTTGATTTTATGAACAAAGAACATTTTGATAAATTTATAATTTTGTAATATGAGTAGAATCTGGCTTTACAAATTCAGGGTAACATTGTTAGTGATGTTGCTTTCTTTTTTTTTTAATCGATGTTTTTATTCATTCGTTTGACAGGCAAGAATACAAACAATGGTGACAAAACACAAAAACAACATTTATTCGACCTACCAAGTTCCTGTTCCTAGTCTCTCCTAATTTTATAAAGAAACGTCTCTCTGAGATGGGATATTAAGGTGTATATTTTGGAGATGAGGCCTTTCTGATTTGTGGGAGTGTCCCAAATTAGGTCAATTACTGTGTTAGATGGGGCATTGGGGAAACAGGTACTATTTGATTTGACAAAGCTATAAAGAGAAGGCATTATCAGTTTTGGGCGGGATGGAAGAGATGATTGATGTGTATGGGGCCGCGACTAAACAATCCAAGTAGACCATAAGTACGTCTAAATTGGAGCCAAATTGAGATGACAATTAGGTTACACAAATATTGGGATGGTTGCAGAGGCAATTTCGACGCAAGTAGAGCCAGTAGCGAGGTAGAACAGGATTTAGCCTCCAGTTCACACCAGTGTTATTCAGGTTCGGGAACCAACAGAATCATTTTGATAAATAATAAAGTCTTAGATCAGGGAGTGACAGACCACCAATGGATTTATGTCTCTCTGACAATCCTAATATCCCAAACAGATCATCAACCAAACTCTTGTCTTGGTATCAGAAGTGAAAAGTTGAACAGCAGTGTGGTGAAAGCTTTTAGACTGACATCTTCAAACAGCGATGTCATGTCATATCACACTCACAGCGGCCCTCCTTGATCAGGTTGATGTGACCACATCAGAGCCGCTGAGAGTCTGCAGTCACCTCAAACTGTGCTCAGGACGGGGTCCTGCTTCCCTCATTCAACACACCTAATGTATTTACATAGCCGAGTCTGCCTCTGACCCTATATCCTGCTCCCAGTGTATCCGGCTCTATGGATCTCCTCCTCCTTCTCCTCCTCGTCATCCTCCTTCTGCTCTTCTCCAGCCCACCAGCTTCTCTGTCTCACACTCACACGCACACACTCACACCATACGCACTGGGAGAGTGGCTTTCCACTAAAGTGAAAAACAGGAAATTGGATGACATTGTTCGGTGCGCCGACGTCAGCAGTGAGAGATAGAAAGAGTAAACAGCTTCCTCCACCCCAGAGCTGGGACCAGGATGCAGGGAATCTTGGGATGCCTGCCCTGCTCGTGCTTCTGAGGAAAATCTGCATGGCTGCCCAGTTTGCTAACAATCTCCAGATCCCTCCAGCTAACATGCGCCTCTCTCCCTCCCACTCTCTTGGTACCTCTTAAAACTTCTCCACATGTGGTTAGGTTGAGTATTGTGCGCAGAGCTGAGCTGATAACACAACAGCAACACAAGACAAGATCAGAGTTTCTTCCTTACAAGGAGTCAAAGTGTTTGGGTGTCCTGTGTGCGTTCGTCTGGGTGTCTTTGTGTATGTGTTCCTCCTGTCTAAAAGTGTGAATCAAATGGAGATGAATCAATGTTCTTCATTAGGCCTGATTAAGAAGAGCAGCTCCAGCCACAGGTGTGGACGCACACTCTGTACCAGACAGACAGACAGACACACACACACAGATGCTCACACACACTGGGCTGTGCTAAATGGCACTGAGTGACACATCAGCCTCACCGCATGCTGAGCCTCTTAGATAGCGCTGCTAGCTGCTCATGCTGTGTGCGTTAGCTCAAAGAGAATAATTCACTTTCATGTGAGGCGGCGCGTTACATTCACCAGATCTGCTCTAAAGTCCTCAACAACAACCTGGTTTCACACCTGCAACCAAGTCCTGGTGGCAGTCCGGTAAACAAATCAACTCATTTATAATTAATTTATGTTTTTGATCACCATCTTGATTTTTATAAATTAAGATTCATGCATAACAGTTTTTTTTTTCTCATGTGGGGTTCTTTTTTAAACTACAGGAGTATCTTATCAAGTTTTTTTTATGTTTTATCCTCTAACAGTCTAAGTGTGATGATAAATGAATGAATGCAGAGTGAGGGGGTGATGCATTGTTTGTAGCTTTGTACAACTATTATTTAAAAAACGGCAAAACTCTGTGAACTCTTATTCATGACCGTCAGTTAATTTCAAGTGGTGACCAGGCACACTGGTTGAACATGCCCGCCTTGGTGTCATGATGTGTGCTCCTATGTCCCAATAAACGCCAGAATAACACAAATAAGCACCAAGTTTAGTCCTTTTGTCCTCAGAGAGCAGTGCAGGACTTACACACTAATATTAACAATAAATAAAATTAAAGCAATATCCAATCTTGTCGCCAATAATCTCACTCAATTATCAAGTGGCATCAGAGTTTTCACAGAAATTTTTAATGCCTGACACTGATGGGAAAGGGTAGATGTCAGCCCAGGAACAGGAGAAAAAGCCATAAACACGCTTAAGCTCAAGTTTATGTTGTTTTGCACTTTGCTCAGATCTGGTTATGATATTTGATATTTAATAATTAACCACAGAAAAAAAAATCAAGACTTGTGTTTGCAAGTATCAAGAGGTGAAAAGCAGTAGAGACAAAGGCAGCATTGTTCTTTCCATACCAGGGAGAACACATCCTAAAGCCTGTATACATCTTTTAGATGAAGAAGTCTGATTTAGTGACAAGGACAGAAGTAAAGGAGTGAAATAAATGCCACCAGAGATTGACTTCTTTGTTTCTTACAAAAGAGTGATTAAGGAGGTTTTTCATGAATTTACCAGCAATAATATTTCTGAAATCTTCCAGAAATTATAGTTTTAATATTTGGAGTTGTTGGTCTTAAAGCTGAAATGATCAGAAGCTCATTTTTTCAATTCTCTTTGAGCCACCTTCAGTTCTGGGCACAGTGGAAGCAAGTTATGAAGTGACAGAGTGATAATTATATGCAAGAAGTCAAAACTGAATGTGTTGAGATTTTTTTTGGCTAACCTTCAGCAGCAATTTCACATTTTCATTCGGACAAAGTGATATTTTATTTAGGGCAGAAACAGAATTCATTACCAGACTCTCTAACTTTTTATCCAGCTGTGTTTATTCCTTTATTCTGATTGGTGAAAAACTAACAATAATTTATAAGGTTCATGATTTCACCTCCTCCTGTCAAACTACTCTCAATTCATTTAAAGAAAAACAAAACTTATGATTTGTGGTTATTAGATCATTATCCACCAGCAGAAAAAAGAAGAGAAGGGATAGAAAACAGTGAAGCAAACTAAAAGGTGAGCTAGCTGAGCAGACGAGACATCAACCAAATTAAAGAAAACAGGCATGAAGCAACCACAAATCTAAGCTTTGTAGACAGTGTAACCAGACAGGGTGAGTATAAAGGAAATAAAACTGTGATACAGGTGTTGCTGTTATTTCCTATATCTGTACATAACAACCTGCTCACTATACATCATCCATTGCTTCCTGAGTGATCCTTTTCTTACTGCAGACACACACACACTGCCAATAGAAGAGACCCAGAATCAGGTGGATACTACAATGCAACCTCCAAGCTTTTACTTGCTTTCCTTAAATACCTGTCCCTGATTTTCCTGCACATTTGTAGATGTAGTCAGTCATTAGTGAAGATGCAAGAGTTTACACATGGAGACAATCCAGACCTGTTAAATGTAAAATTCCCTGTGCAAAAGTCTAATCTTACCCCAGATCTGCAGCAAATGCATCTACAAACCTTTCAAATTACGTGAAAAAAGCTTGTCAACCCATTTAGATGATAGAACGCACAGTAAATAGTAAATGCAACATGTCATATAAACGTCTGATTTCAACGCTCCTTTTCTAGTTGTTTCATTCATTTCTTCTGCCTTGCCTACGTAATAATAAGACATTTTTCTGACATGTTGATGTATTTGCAGTTTAATCTATTCTAGCTCCATACACACGTCTAATCCACAGTGACCAAGCCCACAGTCAGCCAGGCAGAAGACTCTGGTTGAGTCACTTGCATGGTAGCAGAAACTAGGCCACCGTGGATCAGCTCTCTGAACGTCCTCGCTTTCTCTGAATTTTCATCTCTGTTGCCTTTGCCTGTCCGTCTCCCTGCGTTTTTGGGTGAGATGCACCACAGAATAAAGAACAACCTCCTGGAACAAAAGCTATAATTTCCTGTCACCATCCAGGTTATTGTTTATCATTCAAAAACTACAATCAACGATGTCCAGTCACTAGCTTTGTCCTTTTTATTGTGTGTCAGATGTTTGTTCTCCAGCTGAGTGAGACATCAAAAATTACGACATAAACTCTGCCGACAGAACGATCAGTTTGACTTGACTGTGGAGCTCTGCAAGAAGAAGGGGGACAGACCAGCAGGACACATCTACCTGAAGGATTTTTCAACTGGAAAATATTAATGAAAGTTGGTGATTTTCTGACACAGACATTATTCTTCAACAGACAATAAATAGGCAGAAGTTAGAGGCAAAGTGACACATGCATTTTGTTGTAAATTATGCTTCAATACTCATTTATATATTTTTTGTAACTCCCTCTTGTCTGGTTCTCCCTGTGGACAAAGTGGTGACCCTTATACTGTTTTTGATTTTGTCTTATCCTTGTCATCATTGGTCTTATTTGTCTAAATAAATCATAGAGATGCATCACTGTTCATGTCAGCCCGTTTCTCTGGAGCTTTAAATTTGTCATATTTCATGATTAAAAAAAAACCCAAGGTGTGTTATTGGGTTATTTCTTTTTATTCATCTTCTCAGATATCTAAAGTTTACTGAGCATGTGCCAAACACACACCAACCTACATTTGGCACATTGTAACTGTATACCAAGCAGCAACGACATGGTCAACACTGCCCAGAGTCCAGCACAACACCACAGTCCTCAAACTTTCAACCTTTATTCCACTGCATATAAAGGCTAAGTAATGATTTTTAGGTTAGCTTGCATTTTGCAAACTTACACAGCAGAAGTGAGCTGCTGTTGTTACTAGTTTTACATCAGGTCAAGGTGAGATAGGGATTTGAGTGCTATCATCTCGACTAGATGGTGATAAAAGATCTATATCATAAAGAAAAAGCTCCAAAAAAGACGCTAAAACTTGTCCAAAGTACACTCCACTTTGCTCCAAAAAGTGGGCTTTCTAATCATCCCTGAAGAACAGCGCACACATACAGATTCATTGTTTTGCAAGCAGAGCTTTTAGAGTACGCCCTGACCTTTATTCTGTCTGCAGTGACATCCCTCCTACCTCAACAGATAGTGCGGAAATTCAAGCATACGGGAATGCACAAACACACACACACACACACACACATAGAGAAAGGGAAGACACCGTGTAACTCACAGGAGACCGAACTTGTCCTGGAATTCAGTCCCTAACGCCCTCAAATGACGTCTGCGGTTTAAAAATACAGAGTTTGCAGAAAAAGGATAGGTTACTTCATCCTTGGTGACCTGTCCTTGTTTCTCGCTGGTGGTCCACAGCTTGTAACCATCTCTTCATGTGAAGCATAAAACGTTAATTCTACCCTACAACAACCTCTACTGCTTTACTCAGCAAAGAAAAATGATTTCGAGTTTCTGCATACTGGAAAAAAAACACAAGAACACACAGATTCAGCTAAGTACAACAGTTTCTCTGAATGCTTCTGGCTCTTGGTTGCCTTGATAGAAAATGTATTTACTGTGGATTATATATATACACATATATATATATATATATATATATATATACACACACATCAGTGACATCAGAGTACATGCTGCACTCCCTCAGCTCGTGACGCTGCCTGGGTCTGCATGCATACACTGTGTCCATAGTGGCGCAAGCGTGTATGTGATTTGTGCGTCACTGTGCCAGAGAGAGTAACTGAGGCCTGGCAGCGGAGCCGTCCCAGCCATCAGGCTAAGTGATGAGGGCGAGTGACTGTTCTCAGGGCGCTCACACACACGGGTCTACAGGGAGATGTGAAGGAGAGCAGAGGCAGGAGAGAGATGTACTCATTAAACATGGAAGGAGGCACAGAAGTGAGTCCACTCCATGACTGCATAAAACCATAAGCCTGGTATCCAGTAAGGCTGCTGTCTCTGCAGTTTTTCAAATTAAAGGATTCACCTTAGCTGAATTTCCAATTTCCCCCTAACTTAAAAGATATCGTGTATGTATGTTGTGAGCAAAGCATATCCAAACAAACAGAAAGGACAGAAGGTCACTGATTCCTCATACCTGAGCCGCTTTTTATGTACATGCACTTTCCTGTAGTTTAAAGACCCACTCCGATGAAAATCATGTTTTTCTTATTTTCTATATGTTCATATGGATTTTTTCTGATGCTACAGGACATATGAGAAAACTAAATGCAAAATTGCTTTTCTAAGTATTTCTTCATTCAAATCGCTGTGAATCTCTGGCAGACCCAAACGGCAGATTCAGAAACAGTGAGATTTCACACATAATCAATCCAAGCTCCGCCCCCGGAGCCCCGCCATGCAGGCCACACTCTGCATATAGAGGAGAAATACAAAGAAGCGTGTGCGTTAGCAGATTACAATGCTCGTAAGTAAGCTAATTATGATATTTGCTTTCATTGTGTCCCTAAAGACATTAGTGTCAGAGAGCTGAATAGCTCCTATGTTACCTGCCACTTCTACTACACCGGCAATGTTAGGCTGCAAGTTAACGTGAAGACGAGTGTGCAGAGCAGCGCTGTCTCCGCCCACGACTCCGAGGCGAATTGCTAATAAACGATTGGAGCTCTGCAGAAGAAAAGCCCTTGAAAATGACACGGGTAATGCGATTTTGGGTAAAAACTTCATAATCACAATTTAAAGACCACTGAGAACACTTTAAGTGTAACGCGAAAATTAAAGTCAGGTGAAGCGGCCTGCCCTCTGCACAAATCACAGTTAAAAAAAGAAGGAAATATATTCATAGATTCAACCCTCGAGGGTTAACAACGCATCAGTGAACCATTGCTTGAACAATTCTGACTCCTCTTGTCAGTCATTGTAAGGTAGACAGTGAGCTACTGGTTTCAATAGTATGAGTCTGTGAACTGGACAGCTTTTACAGTGGTCTTGATGCACAGCTCACCATAACCCCAGAGCAGAGGGACCATCCAAAAGATGTGATCCAGAAAAAGATGCTACAAAAATATTTTAGAACTTCCCCTAAACGGTGGAATTCAACAAAATAACTTCACACATTTCCCTTTGGTTTGACGCTAACAATTAGTTTGAGTTTGTGGGTCATCTCTTGCTTTTCAAATCCCCCCGGTTTAAGAAAGTCCAAAGTACTTGGAAAGCGTAAAAAGCAGGATGAGATAGCGGGGAGTGACTTGTAGGAAAGGAGCAACAGACTGGAAGAGACGGCTTGTGGCACATCCTCCGTACATGGGGTGCATGTAGGACTGCTAGGCCAGTGTCGGCCAGTAACACACCTTTTCCTTGTCTCTAAGATGGTTCACAGACTGCTTGTGTTGTTTCTACTTAAAGGTGCAGTATGCAGTATTCAGTGTAGTACTTAACTTGATGTGCAACTAAATTGTCTGAACCTGGGTTGACCGGTCAGGCTGAACTGAATAGAAACGGCTTACTCTTACCAGTGGATTAATTCCAGAGATAATTTCATGTTTCATTGTATCCGTCTTTTACAACTGTACAACTCGCTTGGCGCTGAATACTACACACTTAACTTTTAATTACTAAGCAAATTGGGATCAGTCTCTCACCTGAATACACTCTGACATTTTGGCATGAGAATCAAACCGCTAAACTTTCCTAAAGGGACACCGCTCTAGCTCAGGACCACAGGAACCAACAAACCACAAAGTACCAAGCCTCCTGAAAGGGTACCACAACAATTAATCAAGCAATACACCAACTAACTAATCAATCTCCATTAATATGGCGCACTAATCTGATACAAATGTGACATCATTACACTTCTCAAACAGGGTGAGTCTCAACTGTTTGCTTTAATATCAATACTTAGGCCCGAACTACACGAATGCGGATATATTTCAAACCGCACATATTTATGTCCGATTAGGCCTCCCTACCACACCAAAACGGGAGTTTGGAGCACTCAAACCGTATAAATCTGAATCCGGAAAAACAAGTGGAAAAATAAAAAAATATCTGTATCCCGTATCCGTAGTGGATTCGTGTGGTTGGACTTTTACGGATCGATGACGTCAAACCGCAGCTCGCGCATGCGAATTAAAAAGAAAAACAACAATGATGGCGGACAGACATGGTATTCTTTACGTTTGTTTTGCCCTTTTGGGGCTAATTTCAGCCTTGCAAGTGAACCTTGTTTTACACAATGACATCCACCAGTCAGCCAGCTCACAGACGCTTCTGCTGCGGCCAATACTTTTATTTATTTATCACATGGTCCGTCACATGGACCCGACGCACTAGCGTAGCTTCCGCAAACAATGCATGACGCATCACGCTGTTACGATTCATCGGCCAATCAGTTAGCTTTGTTCCTGAATTTTTTTTAAGCGGCACCAGATAGGATTGAGTTTGAAGGCTACGTGTGGACGCAGATATTTTTGAGAACTAACACGTGTGGACAGATACATTTATTTAGACGGGAGTACAAAAATATCCTGATAAATAAATATCCATATACGTGTAGTTCGGGCCTTAGGCTGTCAGCATTACAAGTGAATCTCAACATTATAAAGATTTGAAAAGTGTGTGCTAATCTTAAAAAATATGAGCTGTGTTTCCCTTTCCCATTTCCCTGCTCCTGCTGCCAATGTTATGGAAAATAATGACACTACCGCAATATTAAATGGCAAATTTCACGTCAAAAACTCCTAGATGACTCAATTGACAGGCCTAAAGTAATACGCCGCCATAAGCTGCCACCTACAAGCTAAGCAAACGTGAATAATCAGAGTGACGTTAGCAGGCAACAGTGTCACAGAAGCCGGTAGAGCACTATTTTGATACCACAGACCTGTGAATGAAAGCAAACTGAGGAAGTTAACTACTAGGGCTGGGACGATATGCTTTTCTCCCAAATCGATTCTTCTACAATTTTTTAAATGCCAATTCGATTTAAATTGCGATTCTACGATATTGTTTATTTTCTCGATTTTTATTGCAGGGGACAGAAGAAACTCCTGAAAAGTGCAAATGCTGTTTCAGTAGCCAGGAATCCCTGGGAGTCAGTGACTAATCAGAATGATCCCAGACTACTTTGGATCCATATTGACACTGACTGGACATTCTGCTCATTTCTTAATGTAACATTAATTTATTACCCGAGATTCAGTAACTTTATACTTGAAATGGATTTAAAACATTCTTGGAATAAAAATCGAGACAATTATAAATAATGCAATTAAATATGAATAACTGCAGTCAACAATTAATGTGATTTTAAAAATGTCTCATTTGACAGCCATAACAAAGATCTGATATTAATCCACCATAAGCCAAACAACTTTGTAACACTGTACTGGTAAAAGTGGTGATGAAAAGCCTATTTTGAACATGCAAAAACTTTGTCCCTTAAATAGATAAAGTTAAAAGATATATATACAGTATATATTACATCTCCCATGGTGCAACAGTTACTTCCATCAGACTTCCCTGACCTCCTAAAAGGATCTTCCTTCAGCCCCCTCACCTCCACTTTTAAGCAGGATTTCTGTTGCAGCTCTAAAGCAACGACCACATAGATTCTAATTTAATTGTGCTTGGTGGCACCTTTGGTGATGAGCGCTAATTTGTGTGTTTGTGTGTTACTGGACCACAGCCAAAGAAACAGTTAACTCCAGTGGAAGCAATAGCTGGGGGGGAGTCCAGTGCTTCATTCACAGGAAAGATGGAGAGAAATAAGATGGGTCTAACACAGTTTAGCTTCAATAGGTACCGAAAGTTTCCGGAGTGACGGAAAAGTCATCACTGAGTACTGCTTATGATTTCTTTAACTCCGTTCAAATATTGTAAGCAAAGCCTTAAAGCTACAGGCTTTGTTACTTCATTTATGGCTCAAGGTTTGGCCCTTAAACATTTATCAAATCTCCAACCTCAGAAACAAACAAAAAACTTGAAGCTGTGTTTGAACTTACACTCTCCAAAAAAATGCCCTGTCTCAACTTCAGGTACGAAAATATAACAGTATTGCAGGCCGAGTCTCATGCAGAGTTAACTGGACAGCATATCCAAGAGTTACATTTATGATATCGCCTGTATCTCCCACCACTGAGTGTGTAAATTCATTAAAGACGGATGACAGATCCTTGAAGAGCAGAGCACTTTCTCCCATGCTCACCTTCAAGGTATTTCTGTCCTTATCCGTCTTACCCTGAAATCCCCGTAAGACCTGGACAATCCTAAGCCATGCAGGGCTCTGGGGCAGCCCCTTACTTAAACTTCCTCCTTCTCCTCTGACCCCAGCAGCTCACCACTGGACTGTTTCACTTCCTCATCCATCCCAGATAAAAACTGAATTTCTTTACATAAACACACCACAGAATATTTATTTATATATTGTCTCTGCTGCATTTATCATAATCTTTTTGTGTTTTACTTTTATTTTAACCTAGTGTCATTTACCGATTCCCTGCAAGGTCAGAGCCCATTACAGCAGAAGGACAAGCTATAGCTATAGGAGCTTGGGAAGTCTAAGTGGGACACAGCCCAATCCAGTGACACTACAATGCACTGTAATCTTACCGGGAACCTTTCCATTGCAGTCAGCCACTCCTCCTTTAAAGTGCAGCCAAGTACATGACAACATGACAAGCAGAGGGCAAACAAGCTACACAAGAGGACCGTCTAGCCTCAATACGAGATTGTTACTCGACAGCGAATTTGCTGCCAGAGCCATACCAAACTGTACAATCTTAATTACCTCAGCGGCCCTGTGGCCTAAAGAGAGGATTAGAATTAGTAATACGCCCATGTCCGCCACACCACCCCTGATCTATCTGCAGCCCTGCATGGCTCCACCTCCGTGCAACAGCTAAGATGTTTATGAAAATATCAGAGGCGTTTCTCTGAGGCTCTTCAGATGACTGTGAGGGCATTAGATAATCACCAGCGGGCTCCCCCTCCTCTTCACCTGCTAAAACAGGAGCACTGATGTCACCGTAGCATGAGGGATCAGTGAGTGACACGAGCTGGAGCTGCGAGCTTGGCACATTAAACTGTCTTTGATTTAAACACACACACACACACACACACACACACACACACACACACACACACACACACACACACACACACACACACACACACACACACACACAAACAGGATGAGAAATGGGGATTTTTTGACCACATGCCAACACACATTCATCGAAGCTGCTAAACAAACCCAGACGTTAAGACTAGATTTCTTTCTGAATTTGTTGTTGTATGAAAAACTGTGAATGATTTTACCAAAAAGAGTTCATCGTAGAATCCTGTAAAAATATGGCGGTAAAAATAAAGAGAAAGGCAGCAAGAAATGGAATAGAAACTTCCTGTAAAACTCAAGAACAAATGTATTTATCAGCTTTAATGTGATCTACACTGAGTTTCTGTTTAAATTCATTCACTTATTTCATTCACTGTGATTATTGACCGTTCATTTCAGATATACTATTTTAATGAATGGTAAGTTTTTGTTTTTAATCCATGGTTATCTTAAAATCACCTCAGACAGGGGTGTTTTGTGATGAGACCTTTGCTGATCTGTGAAATCAGCAGGCCCATTTTGAGCATTTTAACACCAAGAGTTATGTTACTGATTATAAATTCACAAAAATAGGTTTTAAATTACTCATGAGATTTAAACCCTTATGTTTCCTTTTTCCTTAATACAAAAATCTGACATTGAAATTGAGCACGAAAATAAAAGTTCTGTTTTTACTCGCTTTTTTTCATTGCTATTGAATACAGTCAATTACATCCAGTATTGATGTAATTAAATGTTGATCTGTTTTGGATTTACAGAATTTAATTAAAGTACTTAAATCACAAGTAATTAAATCACATATTTAGAGCCCACTCCAAAAACTATACAAAGCTCATTTACGTTCATACACGTGCACTGGGGAGGGATAGTTTTTGTTATAACACACTCTACTTTATTATATCATCTTAGAGAGTTGTGTGTAAATTTGCATAATTAGGGGCATGGCTGAGCTGTTGTACAGGAGGGTGTGTCATATCTGTTTGCCAAGAGGCTAAGGGCCCGCCTCAGCTTTACCTGTTTCCCGGCTGACTGAAAGTTATGTTGGGTCAGCTTTCTTTAAATGGCGACCATTACTGTTTGGCTTTCTTAGGCCACTATAGAAACCAATGTGTACAACACTAAGGCCACGTCCATGTATTGTGGAGTTAAACCATGATAACATGATGACAGATTATACATTTTCCATTTTATTTTAAAGTATTCTTGTATGATGCTCTTAGGTGTCTGTGTCCTGATGATAGACAGCAGGTAAAGACTGATGCACTGGCTTTGAAAAATAATTATTTAAAACCTTATTTTCAGCTTCATGTTTAACATTTTTAGATCATTCAGAGCAGAGAAATTATGTGAAAACAGGCCTGAAAAAACTGGTTGTCCTGATTCCAGTTTAACACTAAATGTATAAATATGAAGGATAAAACCAGCACAACAAATAATAAAGTTCAAAATAAATATCACAATAAGGAAACAATCGACTCCTCTGCTTACACAGTTAATACAGTGACACCCGGCTAAAACAAATGACCTGTGAGGAATGTACTCAGGCAGGTGCAGCAGGTGCAATAAATGGCACAGGTGCTTTTTGACAGACACGAGGGAGCGCAAAAGCTATTGATTCACTGCTGTAGGCCGATCAAACAGCTTTCATTGTCTCTATTGTAGGTTTAAATTATTTTTAATGTGGCATGTGCTGTCATAGTTTCCATGAAGTCATTTCCTTCTCACTTCTACTGCTTCTGAGGAGTGATCTAAGTTTGTTCCTCTACTTATCATACCGCATGCAAAGGCTGACGCGTTTGGTAACAACAGAGTAACTGCGGCTGACTTAAAGGAAATGAATATTTGAAGAACTGTTAAAATTAGAATTAGATACAAACCATACTCAAGTTTTGATCTTCTTTAATATCATTTTAGTAACTGCGGCTGACTTAAAGGAAATGAATATTTGAAGAACTGTTAAAATTAGAATTAGATACAAACCATACTCAAGTTTTGATCTTCTTTAATATCATTTTAGTAACTGCGGCTGACTTAAAGGAAATGAATATTTGAAGAACTGTTAAAATTAGAATTAGACACAAACCATACTCAAGTTTTGATCTTCTTTAATATCATTTATTTTGTACTGAAATAAATACCTAAGCACCAGTACTGTTTATTTTCAAGTATATGCTGCATATATTATTTTAAATTCATGGTCTGTACAATTCAGTTTTGACAAATGGTCTGTTTTGTTATTTTTTTTAACTCTGATATGGAGCGATGGGTCTGAAATTAAGCACAAAGTTAGATATAGTTCTGGTTTATTACATTACCTCAGTCGAACTGACAGAAAAATCTTACAGGCTGATTTGCACATTCACATTTACACTTGAATTTTCCCGAGAAATTTGAGTCATTTATCATTCAGCAGAGTAACTCAGACAGGCTCACTTCTTGTTTCTGCAGCTAAGCCACAATCATCATTTGCTTGTCACACCTAAATTGATTTTAATATCACAGCTCTGTCACTGGGAGATATTCAGATGATACCTTCTCTTGGACACAGTGAAGCTGAGTCTTTGCTTCACCAAATGTTTAATTGGCAAAATCTAGAAAGTGACCGAGACAAAAAAACTGAGCATACTGAGAGACCAACACTGGAGTTCAGATTTATAAGTGTCCTTGCAACCACACACACACACACCTCACATAACGAAAACAATGAGCCCCATCTGTGCTCGGCCCCGCAGAAACTGTGAGGGATATATCAACTGAGAGTACAGTATATCTTCAGAGCAAAAGGCAAGACACTCTCCAGAGGGTTTTGCGTCATAGCCGGTCCATTAAAAAGAGGGAGGAGACAAACACTGCTGACTTAATGCCCGGTTCAGCAGGTGAATGAGTGTGTTGCGTGTTTACTACAGCCAATAAGCTGCAGGCCTGTTCGCTTAAATCCTACGAGGCTCTTGTCTGCTCAGCGCCTCTTTGGTGGAGAAAAGAGAGCAAAATGAAGTCAAATCCTCCAGAGCAGTTTGAGTCAAACTGGGTTTTTTAGATCAGCTGCCAAACTCTGCAGAGAAATACCCATCACGGTTTATTGGTTATTACTGAATCTACCTGCTGCTTCTGAAAATCATGCCTCAGGAGAATCTTTCACCATGCTGTGCAGGGGACAAACCTCTCTTTAGTTTCTTCTGGCTGCAGGAAGAGTGTTGGGACCGGACATGAAAATGGCCAAAGTGCTCCAGTAACCAGATGCTGTCATTGCGGCTGTCAGCATAGTTAGCACATCGTGTTGTACACGGTCAGAGCAGGCCACAGTTCCCACATAAAGCTCTTTCCAGGGGAGATTTGGTACACGCCTATGGACACTTTGACACTATGGCAGAGAGAGATGACTCTTGGATGAACTCTTCCTCTGGAGGAACAATGATGCTGTGTTCTGTACATGCTGTACTTTTCAAAACCACCCAAAAGTGTGGGATATAAACCTATAGAGGGTATCCACATGACACCACTGTGGGGTCTAAAGCATGCTTTCATATTCTGAGGAAAAACTAAAGCTGCTAAAAGTTATCGTAACAACAACTGAATAGACAATCACAGAATACAGAGAGGGGAAGCAGATGAATCATCCAAATGATCTAACATTTGGAAACAAGGTGCCAAAGCATGTTATAATACATGGCACGGGAACTGAGCTCAATCATATCAATACTGACTCTCTCACAGCAGTCTCACCAGGATTCACTGTAGGAAATGTTAAAAAAAAAGCAGCAACCACAAAATGCTGGGAAAGAAGCGCTCACTGAAGTCCTCTGGGATATCGAATCATTAGAAAAACCAAGACCCTCCCTGCTGAACTTTTAAAATGTTTTTTTAGTGTCATGGCAGGGTTACCTTGACCTCAACACAAACCTGACATGATTTTTCATCATCAAATTTTTGTCAAGGATTCAAGAAAGGATATGTGAAATCCTTTTTTTCTTCTTTGACTGGAAAGATCTATAACACTCTAGAGGCTTCAAAGTTTGGTTAAAGTCAGTGGTCAGCTAATTTAGTAAAAAAAAAACAAAAAAGATTCAGAAGATAGAAAAACAGCTGCCCTGGCTCTGTTCAGAGGTAAATGAAATAAAGTGAGGCAGCGTCGATATCCAGGAGGTCACTGTGACTCTGCAGTGATCAAAAAACTCTACAGCTTCAAAAACAGAGTAAAAGACTACTGACTAAAATATGTTTTCTCTGGATCTACAGTCTTTAGGTTTGTGTTTGAATAAAGTCAATATTGTTGTGTACAAGTTCATAATGCATACAACACTTCTACAAACCTCCTAATATTCAAATTAAATAATCACATTTTTGTAAAAAAAAAAAAAAAAAAACTCGTATTTTCTGATGCAAAATATGAGCTATATAAATATGAGCCGTCTGTTTCATCATGCCTCATTTATGTAGTCATTTATATTTTCAAATTTATTTAACCAGAAGGGCTTGATTGAGATTAAAAATCTCTTTTACAAGAGTGTCCTGGTCAAGATATGCAGTTTCAAAAAGTTACAGCCAAACAGCACATAAAATATCAAGTGTTTTTGTTCCAATAACGGTGTATTTTAAGTCCCACTTCTTTGGATTAACTGATTGATGGTCAACATATTGCTTCACAGGCAACAGGAGCAATATTTATTTGTAGGTTACAAAAGACATCAGAGTAACATGAGGGCCGTTAACAGGACTGCTGCCTATTAGATCACCTCATCTGTTTACTTTTTATTTATCCTAACACTGAGAGCCTCCACTTTACTCAACTTCTAAAGTCACAAAACACGAAGCAGTAAGTTAGATCTAAACCAGGACTGCACAAAATAGAGACACCTGCAGATGCTCACAGAGCCCAGATATTAGGAGAGATACGGTCGAGGAGGAGCTGAAAAGGCCACTAGTGGACTTGAGCCCACTCACATCTACATTCCTGTGAGCTCCTGACAGAGAACAGAGAGCACGGCTCCAAAGTAAACACTCACACAGCGCCTTGTTTTTGAAGAATACCATGTCCATAATCTCATGAAGCTATCACATGCTGACCTTATGATACTAAACTCTAAACCTGGAGGGGGAGCAGGGAGTCGAGTGGGCTTTGAATGTGACATTATTTAAGACTATTTAAAAAACAATGGGAGGTTCTGTGTCATAAGTACACGCACCCAATTGACACCTCATCAGTGAGCCAGCTCTCGCACATGAAGAGACTCACTGGATCTGCGTTAAGGCTGACAAAGGGATTTATTATGCTATCCTAATTTGATTTGAACACAGGATCAACGCTCATGGTGTCAGCAGGAGGAGACTTTGGTGGCTTTATATCAAGTTTCAGAGCTGCTCCATGCTCAAGAATAGATCAGTTCTAGGAAATAAAAGGTAGAAATGCTGTAACGGCACATGACATCAATCTCTGGACTGTGGGTGCTCAATGAGCCCCGTCTTAATTCCTCCTGACTCCTTCTGCTCGTGTTCCAGTGGAGATAAATGACAGGCTTCAAGAAGTGTCACCCCTGCTGCCCCTGCAGACACTCCAGACAGGAAGGAAAACAAAGTCACACTGCAGATGATGTTTTCTTTAAAGGAAACATAACGGACAGTAATGGTTGTATTTTTAAGGCTATTTCAGTAGTTTATGATGTTTTCTGTGATGTTAGTGTATCTAAAAAGTTTGACATGTAGATCTATAGTTACATTAGAAAGAGAAAAATTAAAGGAACAGTTCTACATTTTGAGAACTGTACAGTGTCTCAATGTCTTGTCGAGAGTTTCTTTATCACTGAAATGTCTGTTTTAAACAAAAAGCTAAAGACACAGCTGCTTAGCTTAGCTTTGCAGACAGACTTGAAACACAGCGAAAGAACTAGCTTAGCTCTTTCAGTGATCATAAATATGCTCACCAGCCCTCCCATAATGCTTTGGCAAAACATTTTATTTGTTTAAGCCGTTCAAAAAACTTGAAGATAAAAATCTGCACTTGACACTTCTGCTACTCCCACCTGCCTCCTTAGTCTGAAAATAACTATTAAGTGAAATAGCAAAATGCGAAGAGGTTCAGAGAACACAGACAAGCTATCCTATCGATCAATTAAACTACCATATCAATCCCACAAGGAGTGTCTGCTTTGGCGCAGCTGTATAGAAAAAAAGCTGAAAACAAATACAGTTTAAATAATCCAGTTAGATTGATAAGGGAAATATCTCTGTTGTGTTTTTTTATACATTCATTTAGTTGTGTAACTTTGTCTTCTGTCTCGTCCAGGACTCTGTAAGAGATATTCACCTCAAGGAATTTCCTGGTTAAACAACTAGAGATTAAAGTTCCTGTAAGAAATGTTTGCCTTGGTGCCTGTTGAAAGACAAAGACAGTCAAAGACGGCCTGATAGCAAAGCTTTCAGTCGTGATGCTAAACTAAACTAATGGTGGAAAGTTAAATGGTGTTAGCTGACACTAGCTCCAGTTCATTGTTATGGCCAGACTGCTATACTGTCCAGACGCTAACAAGCAAATGTCTTATCATTGCATGACATGGTGGAAATGCAGTTGTATGTTGGCTGCTCGACTAAAGCAAAGTGGAAGGATAGACATGTGGACTTCAACATGCTAGCAGTGACAAAGGCAGGTGGTGCAAGCTCTGCTATTGTTAGCCAGACTTTGAAAAAGCTTGACATTGTTCACCTGCAGACTTTGCAATCCTGTTTGATACCATTTCATAGAAACTGTGCTCAATTTTGACTGTTTTCTGAGTGTTTTCTTACCCTCAGACTAGTCAGAGTTTTAGAATTTAAATTCCATCTAAACAACCAGAAAACGAGTCGTTTCAGATCATCTCCATGTAAGGTTAGCCATCAGGGTGGTATCTCTTTTTTCTTATCTCCCTTTTTAATTTATCTTTTGACTACAAAGATAGATAGAAAAATAAAATGTCAGACTATTATGGGATTTGCGTTGATGATATTGTCTGTGTCACATCACAACTTCTCCCTGTGAGTCAAACTGCTAACTATGGCTGCATGCCAGGGGTTAGTGCCATGCTCGGCAGCTATAAAAGCCCATTGTACATATACACATGACATCCTTGATAGACACAGATAAGCAGAGTCCTGCACCCGATCCAATCAGCAGCTGTCAAGACAAAGACAACAGCAGGGCCATTGAAGTCAGATGAACGTCATCATTTCTATGGGAGACTGCTCCTACTGTCTTTAAATCATAAATGTCATTGTGACAGTAAAAAACAGAGACCAAAGAGAGGGTGTCAAATGTGCCAATACTGGACATTCAGAGTAAAACCCAAGAAGAAAAGTTTTTCTGAAGCAAGAGCAACCAAAAGAGGAAGAGCACAGCAAGTTTGATGTCCAAATGAAAGAAAGTGAAAGAGAGAGAGAATGAAAAAAGAGGCAATATCAGTCTCCCTCCTCTCAGCCGGCAGAAAAAGCACAGTGGATTAATTCATCACCATGCAGAGCCTTTGCCCTCCTCTGGAATAAATTACCCAATGACTCTAGACTTAGACTAAACACACACACACACACACACACACTCACACACACATTACTGACCAGAGGGGACACACAAAAACAGCGAGAGAGAAATCGGACAAATGCGGAGAGACTACCCAGGTCACCGGTGTATCATATCTTACTTCACATTCTTCAAAGTGCGATGTATCACATGAGGTGTTTGGTTAGAGGACTTTTTTTAAGTGTTGCAAGTTAGCAACAGTTGAGTGTTTCCCCCAGTGAAGAGTTATTTTAGAAAAGCAACCTCGTGTGCCGTGTCACTGCTGAGGATGGGAGGGTTTTAATGGGGGAAGCTTGACTGATTCTACCACTTGTGTTAATGCATGCAGAGGCTGAAATCACAAAGTTCTGCTCCTGATACACTTCTCTGCACAATACCCTTAAATGCACCTTTACACGTTAAGGAAACAGACACTTCAACTGACTTAAGCTCTGCTGTTGAGGGAGGGGAGAGCTACTTGATTTCCTTGAGTTAGGGGTGAAGCAGACTGAAAGAGTCAAGGCCAGATAAATGGTGTTGTGTTTGGCTGAGGTCTTTCTCCGTCTGTTTGGCCAAATACACGCACACACACACACACACACACACATTAAATACCCACTATCACAGGACCTTGTACTTGAGCCTTATCATCGCCAAAGCAGTCCAGATGGTAACACAGCCTTGACAAAGACTCACATCACACTCCCAAACTTCTATTGAAGCTTTCTCACACTGCAGACACCTGCGCATGCGCCCTCTATCTCTATATCTAGGGCTGCACAATGTATCGTTTGAGCATCGTCATCGCGATGTACGTGTGCACGATAGTCACATTGCAGATCCTGCGATGTGGCAGGCGAATGAATTCATCTAATTTCAAGGGAAGCTGACTGACATACACTGCATGTCGACTCTCTGTGTGCTATGCAGCGATCCACCAATCACGTTCGTTCTTTACTCAGTTGCCAAGCAGACTACCCTACCAGCTGCCAATCAAAATCAGAGGAGGAGACCACGCCCCTGCCGGTAACAACAAGTATTACAGAATGAGCAACGAACAAGAGGAAACCGCCGAAAATGAAGACTTGTTGCCACTTCTAGCAAGTCAGACGCGCCAAATCAGTTGATTCTCTCTAACATACATATTTATCTTTTCCTCTTAATATATTTACATCAGTGTAATGTATTTGTTCATTCCAAATGCTTTTTAAAGAAAATGTGTTATTTAATCGTACAGATTTAAATATGTAACATTAATATTATTGCTTTGTTTATGTATAATGGACAAAGAAAAAAGAAAATGTTTCAGAAAACACTTAGGCTTGGATTTTATTTACTATATGCAATACGTACAATGTGTCCTTTGCCAGTCACACTACCTGTTTCTTTAAATAGACCTGTCATATATTGTGCTACAGGTTTTTGTCTTACGCTACAAGATTGTCAACCTCTGAAGCACCAGCGCTACGGACAAAAAAAAAAAGTTAACGTACAGCCCGAGACGCCATTCTACTAACATTCACAAAAAGAGGTAAGATCAGTGCAGGTTAGTTTTCCACAAGATTTTCAGCAGTGTAGCATAGCATAGAGAGCTATTCAGGTCATCTGGTGAAAATTATTGTATTCTTTAATATTGCAGGTATGAAAAAATTTGCAATGTTAGTTTTTTTCAATACCGTGCAGCCCTACCCCTATCTCTCTTTGTGTATGAATTAAGTTTACTGCACATTGCGCGCGCTCCCTCAAGAATCACAATCCAGGGCAAAAATGTGCACATGTGCCCCTTAAAATGTTCAAACGTAATAAGATACACAAACTACATGAGAACATGTGACTTTGACAGTTTCATGAATTCTGCTAAGGAATGCAGCTGATGATCACTGTCATCATTAATAAATCTGCTGATCATTTCCACATAAAAGGTCCTGATCCACAATATTATATCATATTATTATAATATATCAGCAGTGGCGGGTGGCAGGCTAACACAAGTCTTGTCCTGCTCAGTGTTTTTGCCTGTTAGAAGGAGGTTTTTCCAGCGTACTGTCACTCATGTTCGATGAAATGGGTCAAATCTGTCCCATCTTAAGGTTAGGTCTGGGTAATTCATCAAGCAATGAGCGTGGTCTAGACCTGCTCTTTTTTGGAAAGCACCTTGGGATAACCACTGTTGTGATTTGGCGCTATATAAATAAAATTTGATTGATTGATTTGATTGATTGATATTACCCTCACTTAACTTCACAAAGCCAAATATAAAGTCTGGGATGGTTTATTTTGTCTGACCAGCGGCCCAAATCCAAAGATACTGAGTCTGAAACAACATCAGATAAAGAAAAACTTTTGGGAGAAGAATCAAAGACTCCTTGGCATTTCTGTTTTAAAAATACTTTTCAAAAATATTCCTTATCTTAAAAAAAAATAGTAACAGAATTAGTTTATGTCAATCACACACACACACACACAGACACACACACACACACACATGCACACACAAAAAAAAGATAATTTGACTCAGAGTTAATGTCTCTACTCCTCTGACATCTACTGGGATCTGGTACAACTTCACTTTAAAATAAAAAAGTGACATCTCATAAAAGTTTCCATTTCCAAATGTATTCCAGATGAAAACACAAAACTGAAAAAGGCCTTCCTGAACTGAGTTTGTGCACGCATGCAAATTGCCGTTATTGATCTCTTACTGTAGGAAAAAAAAAATCAGAAAAAGCTAAAACAACCAACATCAGGATTGTTTCACTTATCCTTGAATGCAACACAAAACAGCCACTGTGCATTTGACTTTTCTGAGTGCAACAGTAAATTACTTTCTACACATTACGGTAAAGATGAAACCTCTGGCGCATGGTGGGGCCGACCACAGAGGACATTAAAGATGACACCTTACAGAGGAGGGATTAACCATTTCCAGCTGAAGGAAATTTGTATACCATTAGTCTAACTTAATCATGGGACTAATTCAATCAAAGGCACAGTGGGCGTCTTGACGTGGGGGCATCTGTCACACTGACTTCTCACTGCATCCTGCGCTGACATTTGGCCACAAAATTCGGCTTGACAGAGGCCCCTCAAATAGCCTGGGGTCTGTCACACAAATGCACACATACTGAGGGAAAGAAAAAAAAAACACAACACACAGAGACTCCCTATTAAATTAACAAGATCACAATTTTTGTTTGAGCTGACGTTTTGTGTTTGCACTCGTCTGCAGATGCACATGTAAACATTACAGAAGGACCTTCCCTCGCAAACATTACCTATGCACCGCTTCTTAATCCTTCCAGATGATGACTACAAATGCAGTGAGACGTGACAACCAGGACGTCAGTTTCTTACTTTGATCCTCAATTTTGATCCAAAAAACAATGTTCTACGATCTCTTGTGTATACGATCTCTTACACAATCCAGGTTAGCCAATTATATATAGAACTATCACCTTGATCCCAAGTAGTAGTATCAGTAGTAGTGGTTGTAGTAGTAGTAATGAGCAAATGTCCTCAGCTTTATATCTTCCTTTTTATATGTAAATACATAATTTATCTAAAGTTTTATTGTATCTTTATTCTTTATATACACTGCTTTTTATTTGTTTTTTATTTGATCATTCTGTAAATACTGGCTGCTGGAATTTTAATTTCCTTGAGGGAACCTTCACAAAAGGATCAATAAAGTCTATGTTATCTAATCGAATCTAATCTGAACTCCTATATCATCCCTGAGAATAAACAGGGGAAACACATTATTGTTCTCTGTTAGTGTCATTACTTGTGGGCCACTTTACAAAATGGGACTGTTAATTTCTTGCAGTGACTTGACACACCAACGGCAAACTTTGGCCTTTCTTAAGTCACTAAATCTTGTTCAGAACAGACTCATTCTTTCCATTCAGATATTTATGTCACTAAGATATTTAATGCTTCTAAATAGGACTTGTCGCACATAACACAAGAATCAGACAAAGTTTAGGCCCGGATAAGAGTAGACGAATCAAAGGGAGGCATAACTGGTAGAAAGGTGAAGCAGAGGCCAAAGCCGTGTCGACTGGAAAGGAAACGTGTTTGGCAGCAGATGTCAGAGCTTTACGCTTTAGATTTCTGTTCTATAGAGAAGCAAACACACATGGAGGGACTTGGAGCTGAGGCAAATGCATGCTTTATCCACTGTTATATAAAAACTACAAAAAGAACAATACATCAGGTTAGTGCGGGGGCCTGTGACCCCCTGACCTTTCTCTGAGTGTGTGTAGAATTGCCTGGTTTTTGTGATTTCCAAAATAGAAAATGTTGTGATGTAAGGGATGAACATTTCAGTCTAAAGTGTCATCTTTTTGTCAGAAAATCAACTAGACATCAGAGACTGGGCCCGCTGGTCTCAAACATGTCGTGGTTCTGAATCTACTGCACGTTGCACAGATGTTTGTCCTAAAATCTAATATTTTAGGACATATATGAGTCCTTGTGTCATGGACGAGAGGTCTATTGCAGAAAAACTTTATGTAACACACTCACACTTCAACACACTCAGTTTGTTCTTGTCCCTGTAAATGCAATGTGTGTGTGCGTGTGTGTTCCCTCACCTTGCAGCTCGGGGGTTTCAGGGGTAGTCCCGAGGCAGGATTTCCTTGATGCTGAGTGGTATTAGTCTGCTGGGGTGAGTGGGAATCCTCGGACTCTTTTCCACTGTGGTAGACCACCCTATCAGAGATATGAATACTTGAAGCACAGCCCATGCTTCAGCCCACTTTAGCCTTCTCCTTTTTTTGCGCAAGTGCTTTACTTTGAGGCTACCAGAGTGTCATTCGCCCTCTTTTTTTTGTAGTGTTGTTTAAGGTCCACTCTTCCTCCTCAGGGGTTCATTTCTTTAAATATATATAAATACATATATGTATCATCTAGGCCACAGCAAAGCCAGTCCTCGAGTTTCTCTGACACAAGGCATGAATAATATATCTTTCTATCCCCCACCCCCTGACCAGGAAGCTGATTTCCTCCCTCTGCTTTTTCACATGAACTTAATTGAAGATGTTTAATCAGAGCAGCTGTCTTATCCTCAAAAACTTGGATCCCGTTATTCCCCAGGAGACGTTTTTATCCCACACTCCGGCTCCTCTTCAAGCCTTCTTCGTACCACATCACCATTTTCTCATTTCTCCTCAACAACTTCACTGTTATCAAGTAGGCCTGAAAGAAACACACACGCACACACACTCACACTCACACAAACCACGCAGTCTGTCCTCCTCTGCCTGCTTCATGCAATAGTTTTATCCATTTTTTTCATGTGTGTGTGTCCAGGGTTTCATGTGTAGTCTTCCTCCCCCACCCCGGAGCCATCAAAAAAAAAAGATGTTTTTCTCTCTTTCTGTTAAACAATCCGGTTGGCCACTCCAGCTCAAGACACGGGCCATAAACCGGTTCTCACGACACTTTGCTCCAGTCCTGAGCAGGTCATCATCAACAGGCTGAAATATTCACACTGCAGGCTGTTATTCTGGACACTCGCTCCGATGTCAGACACCCTCCGTCAAACATAATGCCATGTAATCCGGCAAAATACTCCATTTATCACAGATTTAGGACGCGGGGAAATCTTGGTGGATGCCTTGTATTCTCCATTCAGGCATCCGCTGCCCGGTTGAGGATGATCCGCCTGCTATAAGAGGTCCAAACCCCGAGTGCAATTGGTTACAGCCTTACCGGGATCCGCGATTTTTCTCTCATTCTGTAGCAGGAAAAAAGGATGTAGAGGCTGTCAGGCTGCAATATCTGGAGGTACCACCTCTGGAGATTGCAATCGCTTCAGAGAGAGACACACACACTGAGAAAAAAAAATCTAAAAAAAAAAGAGAAAAGAAAAGAAACAAGACCGCTCCGTGTCCACAAGTTTCAGATGTGAAATCAGGGACGGCAGGATCGTCCACGGTTGACGCGAGAGGAGGTAAGGCAGGACCGAGCTACATAATGCTGATTTTATGTTTGTCTTTTCTCTGCCTTTTCTGGCGTTTGCCCTTCCAATTCTTCAGCACTGCTTGACAGCGGCACATCCAATAAAAGCACCCGCAAGGATTGACCTACAGCCTTTACTGACGTTAATGCAAATGAGCTCGGCGCAGCTAATCGGCGTCGTGCTCTGCGCCGCTGGGTGGTCCTCCGCTTTCCGTGGGAACTTTGAAAGCAGGAAAAAGGAGCTCTCACACAGGAGCAGGGAGCTAGCTGCAGACACCCTGTCGGCGTATTTACCGCACTAAAGCCTTGGAAAATTGGGTAAAAGATTATAAAGGTGAGTTATTGTCGGTTATTTTGTTGAATGTTGAGTTTACTCGACAGCAACGCTTATGAGTTTTTTCTTAACGGTAAAAATTCCGGTTGATACTCAGAGCTATGGCACAGCATTTAGGCCAAAATTAATCACAGTTTGATAGCTGACTTAACCCTCGTCCTGTGTTAGAGTCTGCACTATTTGATTAGATATTAAATGCTTATAAGAACCACTTAAATTAGGTTTTTTTGAAAACACGGTAAAAGTTCCGGTTGACTCTCAGATGTGTGGCACAGCATTTAGGCCAAAATTAATCACGGTTTGATAGCAAACTTATAAAAATCATTCAAACATTTAAATAAAATGTCCACATAGAAATTTTTCAGACCTTTAAAATGGAAAAAATAAAAACTTCAGCAGGTTTATGGTAATTATAAAATAGCTACTACTCCATGTCAAAACTGAATTACTTTATTCGCCGATATAAAGAAAGTGAGATCTACTGAAGAATATTAAGTAAAAACCTCAACTGTTAAAAATGAAACCGTAGAGAAATATGAAAATCTACATTTCCTTGACATTCTACTCGAGGCCGCCTGCAAGCCAAAGGTGACTCATGCGAGTTGAATATTGAATTAACTCGACAGCATCGCTTATGAGTTGTTGTTTTTTTGACACAGTACAAATTCTGGCTGAATCTCAGCGCTATGGCACAGCATTCAGGCCAAAATTAATCACAGTTTGCTAGCTGACTTTAAAAGAATGATTCAAACCTTTTTAAAAATGTTCACATAGAAACTTTACAGACGTTTAAAATGGAAAAAATAATTACTTAAGCAGATCTATTGGTAATTATAGATAAGCTACTACTTCATGTCAAAACTGAATTACCATGTTTTTCGCACTATAAGGCGCACCATCAATGAACTTGTCTATTCGCATCTATTTTCATACATAAGGCGCACTGGATTATAAAGCACATTAGGCCAAACAAAATGGTCAGATAAGTCAAAATTTATTCAACTCATTCAATAACTCTGCGAGGCTATGGTAACTGCAGTGCTCCGACAAGCCAGAAGGATTTTAAATGGCTTTATAGTGCGAAAAATACGGTACTTTATTGGCTGAAACAAGAAGATGAGATTGAAGCATGACTTAAAAACAGTGCCCACCCACCCACAATAATATCATGGCAAGCAATTCTGTCACAACTTAGAAAAATTGCATGTTAAATTACATCACAGAATCTGATTTACTGAAGAATATCAAGTAAAAACCTCAACTGTCTAAAATGAAACCAGTCTAGAAATATGAAAATCTGCAGTTCCTTGACTTTCCACTTGAGGCCACCTGCAATAGCCAAAGACTTCCTATTAATACCCATGCTAAAGTGCCTTTTTTACCATAAGAATAAAACATGTTGACAGTTAGCAACGGTTTCTTTATAAGTTCAGGGGTGAACTTTTAATTTTGAACATATTAAGACTAGGTTATGTATCTGATTTTGATTTAGGGCATGTGTGAGTTTAGGTGGACCCCAAGTTCCAATACAACTTTTTAAAAAATTGTGTTTTGTATTAGTCCTCCTCCAGAAAGTAAACTTTAAAATACATGTTAACATGGAAGTTCAGCTAAAATCTCACCCAGTCGAGTTTATCATGGTCAGAACCCAACTGTCCTAAGTGTTTACTGGCCTAAGTATAAACACTTAGGCCAATGAATCAGTTCCTGCCTGGTGCTTGTATATTGGGAAAAGGTCAGATGTCCAGTTAAACCTATTAGATCGCTTAAACATATAATTTTGACACAATTCTGCACTTAACCCTTATATGCTTTTGTTTTAAAACTTGCCTTGCCTTCCCAAACTTGCCAAGGTCCATCGATCAAGCTAAAATCATAGATTATCCTGCATGTAAACCTACTGACAAGTGCAAACACCAGGAGTCATGAGGTTGTGACTGGGTGAGTCATGTTGGAAGGAAAATATCTTGGAGTGTTGAACTATATTTAAATGAAATATTTGGTGTAGGCAATATGATATTGCTATACTGATACTTCACCACACCCATACTGAGAATATAGACTAAAAAGTTAGAGTCTAGCCCCTGTCATATCAAGTAGTTTGTAGGCTTCCTTGAAACTCTCATCAATGTTTTATGTGATTTACTTGTATTTTTCGGATTCTATTTTGAGTCACAGAAAAACAGATTTTGGGAAGAGGGTTTAAGCATGTAGGAGAAAGAGTTGTCAAAATTATAACAACAGTCACACAAATGTAAGGGCTTTTTATTTTGTCTACTATGTATTTAATGTCAGTATAAAGTTCTATTATATTTATGGTGAAAGTTTGCCAGAATTGTTTATTTATTTGACCAAAAAGTGAGTGTACTAGATGTGAAAAACTCATCCACTGGGTAAAACAGGGTAAAAGACGTATTTGCTGTGACACTTTCTTATAAAAATATTTATCTTTCCCTGCAGCACTTGTAAAAGTTCTCATCCTGTGCTCATCAGGTGTCGTAAAACTCACTTTTCTGGTCCTAACCTACGTAAATAATGAGAGTTCACTGAGTTCCCATTTCATTTGTTGACAGGTACTAAAACTAATAAAACAAACAAAATAAGAGCTGCACAAATCATTTATTTAGGCACCTAAAAGCAAGAGGTATCTCTTACATCTGCAATACTGAAGTCTATTATTGATGCCTGACTGATATCTGATATTCAATCATTAAAACTGCTGTGATGAGTTTTTTATGTTAATGTAACAGACAAAAATTGATATTGTATGATATGGAAAAGGAGACAAAAGCATCAGAAACAGGACTGATGATTTTTATACTGAAATTTTTAATGCCTGAAACTGGCGCCGGAAGGGAGGAGTCAGCCTTCACCTGGAGAAACAGACCCGTTTTCAAAATTTACACCAAATATTCACAATAAATAATAGATTATTAGTTTCAAATTACAGACGATGACACAACTTAATCGTGATAAGAAAGAACTGCTTTGTCCACAGGGGGCGCCAAAATGGACACAAACTGAAAGTTCATCACAGGAGCTTTAAATTCAATTTGTTAATTTAGAAATACAATCCGGCACCCTGTACTAAAAAGAAGAAATGCAGCTCAATCTCCTCAGCAGTTGCCGTGAAGATTCCTGAAATTTGGTGTTCATGACAAAGTATCTTAAGGATTTCTATATTACTTTTTTTAATTGATGAAAACCCGATGAGTGCAACTGCTGAGCGATAATGTCAGCCTATCATGCGGCAGATGTATCATAAAGTCTCTGTGTGGTGGATGTGCAGCACATACAACTCATAGCATTGTGTTATCTGGGCCTGGGGTGTGCCTTCAGCGAAGACTGGGTGTTCTCGAGAGCAGTAACGTCTTTCTTGAAGGGATTAGCCATGCACCTCGCAAATGTTTTTTTATGGAGTCATAAAATTCGTCAACACTAAGAGAGAAAGGCTTGTTTGATACCCAGACTTGCATCAGACTGCAGTAGCAGGATGCTGCCGATGTGAGGGCCTGCAGAGAGATAAATGTTTGGATGTTTCTAAGGCATATTAAAGAATAGTTTTGGATTTACACAAACAGGATTGATGTACAAGTGACAGAAAATGACAGAAACAGTCAGATTAAAAGAGCCAGGACTAAAGAGATGTTGACTTCCATTCTTATTGCTTAAGACCTAAAAGGTGAAATCTAGATATCTATGAGCTTGAACCAGCTAAAGTTGCAGATGTCGCAACTGGCTGCTGATCCTCAGTGAGATTCATAACACAAGCTCCCATCCAGCAATACCATTAATGATCTTATCTTGGTATCATTTATGATCCATTTTGACAGCTTTTGGCAACAAATCACTCGAAGGTGTGGTTGAGTTGCATTACGCTGAGCATGACGCATGACTGTAAATCCCATCGTCATATGCATCATAGATTTATAGAACAAAAACAAACAGGTTTAAGACTAAGAATATGAGAGACAAATAAGGCTGTGTTTAAAATAACAGCACACAAACACATCTGCAGACATGAGGATATGTCATGTTTACTGTTCCTGCAGGTAGACTTCTGTCATTTATGAGTTTTGCTGCCGGTTATCATCTCTGTGTGTAGTGCTGCCGTATTAAAAAGGAGTCATTTAAAATAACTACCAAAATAAAAATGTGAAATTTGACCATAACCTGTACTTGAGGTTTCTCTCACACAAACGTATATAAACTGTGAATATTCCCACAACTTCATCACAATTATCTGACAAATGAGTTTTACTTTATCTTGGTGGATTAACTCATTCAACTCCACTTAATTCTGCATGCAAAATGCAAATAAACTTATTCACTTATTGACGTTTTTGACAATTTTCTTGCATTTTAAACGTTTTTTTATAATAGCAGAAGAAAAAAACTTGGTGCTATTCTTTAATTTTTGCAGTTTTCTGATGTTAACTTGATTTATGTACTTCAGTGTCTCATCCAGTCCTTCCACTAGAGGGTGTTAAATATGTGCATTTTCTGATTCTACACTCAGAGGCTCATCACTTCTTTTCTCAACGAAATTTTCTTTTTACTTTTTAAAAGGCTGCAATTATGTACTAATTCATTTATAATTTAAGTTGTTTAATGCTTTAATTTTTGACTCACTTATGTAAAATAAATAAGCAATAACTCTCCATAATAAGCCATCTCCCAGGAGCCCTGAAATTGTCCTCTGTTACAGCGAAAGTTTAAAATGATTAAAAGAGTAAAAGTAGCAGCATGACAGTGAATAATTCAAGTATTTGCAATTAAATTTTGATATTAGAGTCGGCTGCTTTAGATTCTCAGAAGTCAGTGTTTAACCAAAAACAAACATGTTTGTTGGCACAGTTTGCAGAATTTTAAATGTTCTAAATTGCCTTTAAATTACCTGGATTGGACATCAGACCATGAAGTAAACTAGGTAATGTTGCTGCAATCAGTTCCTTGATTGAATTTCATTATTTAACCATCCAGTTCTAATCAGTTTGGTGGACTAGCCTCTCACTGCTCACAGACACAACAAAGAAAACCTGGACCTTTTTTTTCCAGTGTGCTGCTGACATGCTTTGTATAATGTATTGTCTGCACACATTGTGCTCCTAGTATCTACTGTTAAACACACAGTTCTTGGCCATGATCCAGTGCAGAACTGTCATTCCAGTTACAGTCGACTAGTTAAAGTACAACTTGTTCAAAGCGTTAAATTAAAGCCGGAGCATGAAACCTTGCTGACGTCAATCCAGCCGCGCTCTCTGGGCTCACAGAGAGAGGATCCTCTCTGCTCTGAGCCTGTGACACATTGCTGTATTCATGCAGCAATGTGTCTAATTGTGTCTAATTGTACCAAATCATAAATAGTTCCAATGAACTACAGAAGATGAAATGTGTATTACAATTCCCATTAATTCACAAGCAAAAATATTCACATTTCTATGTATTTTGTATATGTTTTGTTTTTTTATTTTGGAAACTGGGTTCATTTTCTGGCTAAGTGTCCAAATGATTATGAAGACATACACCTCGCTATAATGAACAAATCATAGATGAACCCGATAGACTTAACTCATAAAGAGCTCTTTTTAGTCTGTAAAGGCCGTGAAAAATATCAAATCTCTGACTTTTTTTCAACTCCCGGAGGCCTCGAGTGCTCAAACTCATCATAAAGAGCCTTTATTTAGTGGCTGGATGGGTTTAAAAGGACATTTTCTAGGCATGAATACACAAGCAGAAGCTTTTCTTTACTTTGATTGTATATTTCAGAAAACATGGGATTTCATGTTTTTGGAGCTTGATTGAAACAACGCCTTAAAGTCAGGACACCTAATGCCCTGCTGACCTGGTTCGCATTGTGCTCTCCTTCTTTTTATAGGAATGCAATCACAAACAGATAAAGAATAAAACAAGTATCAGTATGACTACAGACACGTGTTCTTCAAAAATGCTTTATGTAGTATTATTTTTACGTATGATGCCCTATGAGACTGCAGCCACCTTGTGGTTGCTTTACTTAAAATCAGAGGAGTTTACACTTAGACAGTAGACAGTTTGTTTTATTTAAATTTTGAGTACATCCTCTTTCTGTTTTAGCACAGTTAAGTTACTGTGTATGTTGGACAAATACAGATACAGATAATGTTGAACTCATTTAACCCAAATGGCAAAAATTCAAAGGTTTTATATTCATGTCATATATGTGAAAATAAGTCATTCAGAAATCCAGAATCTCACATTGTCTGAATCAATCAAAAGTGGATATTAAATACAGAAACTGAGGCCCTGGCTGATAGTTGGTCATTAGTAGTGATCTTTGGCTCATTTCTATTTTATGATTGGGTGTCTCATCGTGTTGTTGACAAATACACTTTAGATTTCATATGGGGTTCAGATTCAGGGGAGTTGACTGGCCAATCAAACTATCAAGCACTATCATAATCAGTAAATCATTCGGTAGGAGTTTTGGCGCTGTGGGGAGGTGCTGAGTCCTGCTGGAAAAGTCTTTAAATCTAAATCCTTATTTCTAAAATAAAATGCAAATAAAATGAAGCCCCTGATGCTGTCTGCTTTAGAAATTGCTTGATAGTTGAAATGCAACAGTCTACTCTTTGTTAAGCTCTTCCAAGTTCATGAAAGGATTTTATTTGACCACGCGATCATCCCCATCCCCATTGCTTGTGCATCTTCTCCCTCCATACTCTTCCCTTCCAATCAACTTTGCATAAATAAACTTTGATATAGCATCCAGAGAACAGACAGCCTTTTGAGCTATGATCATTTCTGGGTCATCCTCCTTGTGGATGAAAGATAAGCCAAAGGGTGTCGGTGATCGTCTTCTGATCAGAGATAACCCAACCATCTATGCAGTGAATTTTTTGCACAGTCTATTGATATTCTGTACGGCCTTACTAATGATTTAAACACACTGATCCTCCTCGGCTGACTTTTCTGGACTTTATTTAGATGATAAAACCATCCAGGGTTCATGAGAACATGAGACGATGCCTTCACTTTCCTGCAGCCACCGAAGCCTGATCATTTCCAGATCCCAATCAGTTCTTCTGTTTGGAGACAGTTGTTGAAGCCGCTGCAGTGTTGCTCAATTAGGCAGCTGTACAAACAAGCAATCAATCTGCAGAGGACTATATACAGAGGACACAAGGAAAAATGAGGTATGGCTGAACAGCTGGAGAGGGAAGTGACTTAATGTCAAGTAAATATGACAAAGGATGGCTGAGAATTTGATTTATCCATAAAGGGAGCAGACGGGCATATCCATTGCTTTCAGATGGTCCTCTTAAGTTTCCAGCATTGGTCACACTTCAGAAGATAGTAAATCTTTTAGGATGAAGTGTGCTTTAAAATGTGAGCTGTACTAAACAGATTTAGGTAAAATGTTAAAAGATTGTGCAAGTGCAGTTCTGCAATACTGTGCTATATATGCATAGAGTCAGCAAGCAAAGCAAAACATGTTTTGTTTAGATGGGATTTTGGGCTGAAAACAGACGTTTGGAGGGAATGCTTGCACTGTGGAAATGTTGCGACAATCCAATACGTTGAAATTAAATTAAATACAAATATTTTTCTTAAAACAGCTGTTTAAAACAAACTTTGGTGGACAACTATCAATTTTCACCACTAAGTGGCAGCAGAACACAGACATGTCTTTGCAGCAATACTGAAGCTGCAACACTTTCATGCTTAGTTTCTACAATATTGATTATTATTAAATGAACAACAGATTGGGATCCTGATAAATTAAAACACAGACTATGTAGAATCTGGATCTGATCCTGTGGTATCTAGAGCACACCAGTAATAAACATAGCAAAGAGGTTCATAAAAACATAAATACAGCATGAAAAAGGGGGGAAAAATGTACCTGTAACTCTAAAAGTGACCCAGCCAGTGTGAGAAAGAAGAGAGTGACTAAATGATGCAGTTTTTTGAGAATATATACAGGTGAAGTGCAGTTCTTGTTTGAACAGCAGTGTGATTATTGCGCTTGCCTTTGGTTTACATAATAACATGATGTAATACTCATCTGACTGACACATCAGCCAGGTTAATGTTTGATGATATAAAGGTGTTACAGTAGATGTGGAGCTTTTTATCCGGCAGGTGAACAGGTTTCACTGTTTCAGGTGACCCATATTGATTTTCTTTATGGGACCAAATGAAGGATATAAAACTTTGCAGATCTTAAGGTTACATTTAATGTTGCTTTAGCAGAGTATTGACTGTATCGAACTGAATTCTACACGTGCTTTTTAAATAGTTTTACTTAACACTGTAATTTATCCTCCACCACATAAACTGAAGAACTTCAATCACCCCAGTACCTATTAGATTAAAAGTTCCAGCTAAAATATGATCACCTTGTGAAAAATAATGCAACCGTAATGATAAAATTACCAATCGGTATCTAAGAAGGTCTGATTTTAAGAAACTACAATGCTGATTACTCATAACTACTAACTCCTAACTACTTCATCTACCAAGTCCCCCAAAAGTAATCTTTCCTGAAAATGTTAATAAATTTTTCCCCCTCGTGTTAATCCTTCACCACTCTTGATTTGCACTGCTAGATACCTGATTAAGAGTAAGGACATGCAGTGCTGCCATATGGCGCTAATAACTAAGACAAATGCCTTCAATATAATAAATGATGTATCAAAAACCAAGCACCCAATCACAAAAATGAAACTCCTTTTTTGAATTATATTTAATAATGTTGCATAACACAAAACATCACAACAAAACATGGTTCATTCTTTAGGCGTCTTTGCTTTACACTCAAAAAGCAGCCATGCAGTTCAGAGAGAATGACTAGTAGCATATAACTGGCCCAGTTTGCAATCGGAGACAACAGCAGAGGCAAAAGGTAGACAATATCTGATATGGACCGCATACTTTTTAAGTAAATATATAAAAACACTAATTGTCGGGAAATCCAATAAAGAGTATGAAAAATATAAATAGATCTTTTGCTGTTAAATCAATTAAAGCTTTACAAAATAAAATACTAGTAGAAATAAGAAATTAATCTTGTTTAATGACCTACGTAACAACTTTTTAATACATTTCTTTAAGTAAAAAAATAGTTTGGAAAGAAGAGAATTGTGGTTTCTGACTTTTCATGAGGAGGTAGTTTAACCCCCGTGTGCCCTTTTGTTAGGTGACTCTCATACCAAATTGTACCTTGTCCTCAAACGTTCTGGCTTTTAGATGAAGAAGCCATGAACAGCTTCACAATAGCCAGGCCAGAAATGCAGTTAATATTGAGATTACTGATTGAAGTGATGTTCATTTGTTGCTATCAAGCGTAAAAATCAAGAACAAAGCTGTTTGCAAAGGCACTCTGATGCACAGCAGTGTCAATTCAAAACTATTCAAACATGTTCATTTCAGGTGGTGAGACCCCATCCAGAACAGGATTCAGGTGATGTCTGACACCCAGATTTCAAATGTGTGTACTGTCTAAGAAAAGTTTTTTTAAAATTTCCAACAGTAGGATTTGGCATCACAAAGCTCCAGCCTTCATTAACCTGTGTCTACATACACAATCGACTGACAAAACAGATTCAACAATTATAGTTATGTAAAGATTTGGGACTGAGGCTTTAATCTCCAAAGCTCAATAAAAACTGCCTATTTCTGGCATGGCTAGTGGAAGTAGGACTGTAGGGTACCACGGCGGCGGACATCGGTTGTCCAACAGTGGAAGCCACCACCCAGGGAGTTGGCATGGCGGATGCTCACCTTTATGGTCTTAATACCTGCAACACAAACAAATGTACAAATCTTTACACAGTGAAAACATTTCACATTTCAAAATTTCACATCCGAAATTGATATTTGAAAGACTACAAATAATCAAGTATGTTTAAAATGTATGAATTTACCAAGACTCTCAAACATCTTGTGAATGGTACTCTCGTTGGCGTCGACCATGACACGCTTCTCATCCAACATCAAGACATTCATGGACAGCCACTTTGAGGACATCCACAGTGGATGGTCTAAACAGAAAGGAAAAGTGTCCTTTACCTTCAAGTAAAAAAAAATGTCTGGGCATGTGAGAGAAGAAGAGTTTAGCTGGAGTACTCACTATCAGGAATCAGAGGTGTGGGAGGTTTCACAATAGTCCAGCCGGCCTTCTTGAACATGTCAATCTGAGGTCAGAGGAAAAGTCAAAGGACAAAGAGCAGGGGTGAACAAAGAGCACTTTGTGTTTCGTTATCAATCAAGCTGCTGTCTCAGTCCACAAGAGGGCAGCATGGGACACAATGTGAGCTCAAAGAAAGCCTTGTCCTCTAACAGTACCTGGCGACATGGGCGGTCAGGGTTTGATAGCACCAGTCCTGGCCCGATGATGTTGAAAGTGGCATCAATGTGCATGGGGTTGGGATCCTTGAATGAGATTATGTGGATCTTGTACTCTGGGGCCAGATGACGGCGCATCCACTCAATGCCCATGTAATTTGTAACCTGCAAAAGGATATCACAAAAAGTTTCAGGTATTATCTAATGATGCAAATTCTACATATCTTCAAGGAATAATTCTTTCATGTATCTGAAACAGATTTTTTATTTTTTTTTAAATGTCATTTACAAACAAAAAGACATCTGTGAGTTATGTCATCAGTTCAGCACTTGCACATTGTTGCTTTATCTAATCTTTCATTCTGCACGTTGCGTGTTGTTCTGCATGTGACCATTGTTTGAGTAAAAGATTGTTGGATAAGAATGGAGAATTTGTCCTTGTGCTCTCAGACAAGGAGTCGTCTATTCCAGACAGTAGCCACGCTGCTATCGCAACAGTTTTCATACCTGACTCCTCTGGACAAAAAGATCCCTTCCAGCTCGGATGAAATCTGCAGCATCGAAACAGGGCTCATACTCTGTGGTCACAAACTTCCCCTCTGCGGCCAGCTTGTGTCTGTCCTCCACAGTACGGATGGGATAGTCCTGAATGGTACCATAACATTCAATCAGTCGTGTACAGCTGGTATTTTTAATGCAGGATTTACTTTGTATTATTGAGAAATTGGTCAACAAGTGGCAAGTAAAAGTCGAGCAATAACTCAGGAGGGTACATTACCTGATCGTACAGATCATCTGACATGGTGGGTTTAGGAGCTGTGGTCCATTTAGCACCTCTTCTGAAGTAGTCCTTGATCAGGGGTCTGTAGGCCCTGTACTCAAAGAAGCGAGCCCTCCAGGCCATTGGAGCCTCAATAATCTCGTTTCCCACAACCATAAGGATGTCTCTGGGCATGGCAGCATACATTCCTGAAATGAAAGAACAGCACAGGATTAGCAGTCATATAGCAGTGCATACTACAGCCGTGTATAAGATATAGAGTGATGCAGTGTCACTGCAGGTGGCTTGACAGCAAACACACAGCAGAAAGTACATGATTAACTGCTTGTGTACGAGTAGAATATGTTCAGTATAAAGTAGCAAAAATTGTAAACATCAATAAACTTGCACTTTTGATTGCATTATACACAAAATTTTACACACAATGCAGGAACAACAGGGCATCAAAAATGGGTGGACATAAATTTAAATTGTGATCCTTTTTTCTTTAGTGTTTCTTTTGTTCTCTTTACCTGATGATGAGAAGTCTGGAGTCTTATATTCCATGGACCAGTCAATGGGTTCTGGTCTCGCCACAGTGACGCCCTCATGGCGCAGAATATTGCACATTTCTTCAATCTCGGCAACAGCTTTCTTCAAGTGGTCCGCAGGGAAGGACTGGCCCCCATACTTCTGGTAGAAGGGCCAATACTTCTCATATGTGTTAGCCTGAAGAGAAGTTAAGAAAATAAAAATGACAACATGCAGCGAATTCCAGAGTCCAGCAGTGTAAGTCAGATATCATTTTACAGTCCTGTTGAGAAACCCACACAGCATGACCATTGTTTTGCTTACTTTCACTTCCACAGTGAAGGGAGGCACGTGGGCATTTTCGGCACGACCCACAATCACCTCCTCAAGAGGGTCCCATTCATTGTAGGCGCAGACAGGGCACTCCTGCTGCACAGGCTCAGTAACATGTTCCTCTTCAACTGCACGCTGGGAGTGTGCAGCAGCTGCACTGGAAGTGCTCTGGAAGGTCCTCTGCACCCATCCAGTCACTGCCCGGCCAAGCTAAGGAAGAAAAAGACTTTCTTAAAGAAAAAAATGTAAAAAGCCCTCAGTGGGAAAGAATTAAATGCATATTAGACCAATTATTTAGAGTGAGAATATAATGTGAATTTATAAATATTGCTTTTTTTTATTTATAATATGCAAAACTGACTGTGTAGAACCATAACTGCAAGTGTGTTTACCTTTTCTTTTGTTTCAGAGCTATAAAAACATTAAAATGTGTGACTTGGCTGGAAGCTGAAACATGTAAAGGCTAATCTAATTAAAGTAAAACGGTGCAGGCTGATAAAAGAGACTGAGTGACCTCAGGTATCTTTTTTCAAATGCCTTTAGTTTGTTTGGTGCCAAAGTACACGTGTTATTAAGGAGCGTTATCAGCACAGATAGGCCTGACTCTGTGGCCTCTGTTGGCTCCGGAGCAGCTCAAGTGTCTCTGAGTTTGGGAGCGCATCTGTGCCAAACAGCTGTTCACTGTCACTCAGAGCGCAGCAAAAAACCTCCCTCCGCTTTTAGAAACAAATCAATTCTTGGACCAAGGTCTCATTGACACAATCAGGGTTTTTGCAAAAAGAAAAAAAAACTCGATAAGAGTGGATTCTTTAAAAGGTTTTGTATTGTCGCAAAAAAAAAGAAAAAAAATCAAATTAACAAATCAAACTAATTCAAAGAAAAAAGACGCAGCACTGACAGCCTGATGAAGAAAATGTCAAACACTTTTTTCTTTATTCACGTTGACTGAAATGTGTTTTTTTTTTTCGAAAACAACAACTAAAAATTTGGAAGTAACTGAAAAAAAAAACATGAAACCACCAGAATACCAACCATGGCTCCGATCAGATGGGCAGCCTCGGCCCCCCTGCTACCTCCTCTCAGACACCTTACTCGCAGCATTGTCCAAGGTAATAGTGAGTGTGTCAGTGAAAATCACACGGCAGCTCAGGATCCACTTTGCAGTTTGCTCATGAATGAAGACGACTCGGCTTTATAGCCGTGGGTCTACGTGTCTCGAAGATCATTGGTCGCTGCTATGTTGTGGAGCAACGTGACTTGAGAAAAAGCATTTCTGAAACACAATCCCCTTACGCCAGCGAATTCTTATCTGCTGGCCCACAAGCGTTAAAAGTTTCCGAGGAGAACATCTGAAAACGACTCAAGGATGGTCGTCATTTTGCAGAAATGTTTCGTCTCCCTGCAAAGCTGGGACACTGGAACTGTCTGCACTTTTGTGAAAGAAAATAAGCAAGTTTAATCCGAGTTTTGCATGAAGAAGAAAGTGCAAAATGTTAAAAAAGTGTCTGTTTTGCTTCTGGATAAATACTCAGAGGAATTTTAAATAATTGTCTGATAGAAAAGATCCAGTCTAAACAAAAAAGCCATGACCTACATGACTAGAAGCCTTCACAGAAATTAAAACAAACTTTTTTTCAACTCTTGTTTAACTCGTCCATCTCTGAATCACAGCATGTCCTGTCTTTTTTTCTTTTTGCACAGAGGCACATCTATATCTACCCAACACCAGCTCCAGACCCGGTATTATCCATGGGGAGTGTTTGGATCATGTAAGTCATGTTTTCTCATTTGTCTGTTGTTTATTTTAAGTGCATTTACAGTATGGTTTTGTTAGGTGACCACTGCCTCACACGCTCCAGAGGGTGCAGCAAAAGGTGAAAATGGAGCTCACATAATTAAAGAGATAGATAGCCTTGAGCCGGCTGTGTCACCACATGCTTCGCTGCGGTAGGCTCACAAGAGTTTCACAACCCAAAGACCTCACTGACCCTCACTATTACTTGCCCTCTGAAAAAAAAAAATCCTGGCTGATACCCAAGGTTCAGAGGATACACAGAGGATGCCCTGCTGCTCCTAAAAGAACAGATAGTTTTATATGATGCTGCATTAATCAATTAATGGTCATGCAGACATAGATTAAAAAAGAACAAAGCAAGCAGATGAATGCATAACAGAAATGCACAGCAAAGGGGCTACTCCAAGTTTTTGTGGCTGTTCGGCAAACTTGTGACAAAAGGCAGAGTTTATGAAGCACCAGAGTGGGAGAAAAGAGGGCTCCACCGTACAGGGTCTCCATGTGAGAGGGGCTCACTCAGATACAGCCATAAAAAAACATGGATATGGTTGGTGCGTGCGGGGTGAAGTGTTTTCTGCTTTAATATAGTCAGGAAGGTTTTTTTGCTCCAAGGAAATAAGTAGTCCGGCGGACGACATGTTTCAGATTTTATCAGACAATTCACCTGGCTGTTATCAGTTGTTATCCATAATGATTTAATGCTCCGGACGGGCTGTCTGGATCTACCAGAGGCAAGCAGGTTTATTCCAACATTCCATTATAGGAGACACGTTTCAAGCGTAGACCTTTTGAAAGACGGGTGAAATGATGGCTGCCCAAAAGTGATGACAAAAAAAATTCAGTTCCATTCAGTTCACTTTCTTTGACCCCTAGGGGCAATTTAATATTTTTGATGGCTTTCCTCCATTGCCTGCCTAAAATATAGGCCATAAAGCCCACCTCTTCCATGTTAACAGGTGGGCTATAGGTCACATTATATAATCAACTACACCTCAAATGAACTTTTTCCAAGCATGGTTACTGTGGTTAAAGCTACTGTTGGAGCAAAGATATACATCGTATAGCTGATCTTGTAAAAACTATTTTAAAAGTTCTCTATTGTGCAAAAGGCATATTGGTTGAAATATGATACCATGAAAAACTACAAATGAAAGAACTTTAACATTACATACGTACAGTATATGATGTACTTTGTTCTGTTCTATCAATGACCTCATAAGACTTTTGGTCTTATGTGGGACGTGCATCTTGGTCGTCTTGGTAACAATCTATTTGGTTGACCTATTAATTCCCTCAAACCACCTCCTGTGCAGACCTTCTCAATTTTTATGCTACGTTGTCTAACACCCTGACCGTACTAAATCTGGATTGGATTGGATACTAGCTGGAAGTTTGCTTTTGTAATGATTAATCAGGCTTTTAAGAGTCCTCCTCTTAATGCATCTATGGGGTGTTCCACTGAAGTATAGATCATAATGACCCACTTAGCTGAAGGTATGACAAGGCCCTAGTATCTTATACTACCTATGAGAACTTATTACAGCACTTTGATGGGCTAACAACCCTCGAATCTGCAGGGTTCACAATCCCAAGCAACCTAACTCTAAATGTGCAGGTTTGCATAAGAGCTTCAGATGTGCTGATTGAAAGTATTCATTACCTTGAATCGAGTCATGCTGAATAGGTTCATCTATTTCCAGTCTATATGCCAAGCTAAGCTTACTCGTGACTGTCTGCAGCTTTATACATACAAGGCAATAATTGGAGCAGTATCAAGCTGTCATGTCAGTTCAGCTACATGAAAGTGGCTCCCCAAAATTTGGTTTCTCACTGGTGGCCCAAGCCGCCTTGTCCTGGTTTGCCACCAATCTTCCATGCTGACATTTTATGGAAGCCAAGTTGGCAGTCTCTGATAACGCAACACATGAACTCTGCTGACTCTGTGAAGCAACTGTCCTTAGTTCATGTACTGCAGCTGTTTCTCTGGCCCTGCTCCAAAGCTTAGATGATAGTTGCAACTGAGGCCTGCCCTCCACTCCAGCTCACAGACCAGCCCACAAAACCAGGTCTTGCAGCACTGCCATTGCCCCTCAATCCCTCTCTCCCCTTAAGCCCCAAATTTCTTGCTCAGTTCTTCCAGTGCTGGTCTTTTGCTGAGCTCTCCAGTGGTCTACTCATCGCAGGCCCAACCCCACCTTTGGCATCATCTGCATTTGCCACGCAGGCCTCCATCACAGCCCCAACTCAGGTGCTAGGGTCTACCTTCACTAGTATTTGCTCATCTTTCTGTACATTTTTTTGCAGCTCTACCATTCGGTCAAAATTTCCCTCCTCCAAAGATATTCTCTTAGGCTGGATGGATTCTTGTAATGGGAAAAGAGAGGACATACTATCCAGCTTAGCACACTTACTGAACAATGACTGCTGAACACAAAATACCAATCTCAAAATCTCTATATACCTCCTTTCTTCTCCTTTCATTGTTATTGCGCCTATAGTTGTCCTTTTGTTTTATATTTGGTTTTGTGGGTGAAAAGATAATAAATATAACAGTCTTGGCTCTGGTTTTGTGAGGTGAAAGAATAAACTCTGAAATTCAAGGATCTTTTACAGGACTATAAACAAATGCAAACAAACAACACAAACTCAAGCAAAGACTAGTACCATTTATGTTGAAGAAAAGAAAAATATGTTCTAAAACTCACAAGCTATCTGAGGCACATGTTAAAACTAAGGTATCTACTTACCAAAACCTATTGTTCAGTAGCAGCAGAAAGAAAGAGCACCATCTGCAGGAATTTAAAATTGTTTCAGGGGAACAAAGACACAGCTGGGATAGAGTCAGCTTTTTAAACAGGAGTCCCTAAAAACAACAGATAAGAAAGGACATGATGCTATAAATTCACAATAACTAAAAAGAGTGATATTTCTGCCTTAAGTAGAAAGTAACAGACAAATTTGACTCAACTTGCGTGCAGTTTTGAGGCTCTTGCACTTGAAGGCATTTCAACAAAATAACCCCTGGTTCACTTTTTATACTTAATCATTTTATTAATTTGATTTCTTGGTTTGACTTTTTATATAAAGGCACAAAAACATATTAACATCAACGCAGTGCTGTAGGTGTATGAGAAGGGGTTTCCAGCCTTGTTTGGCCTTTGACCCCCTGCTCACAGTCAGTGTCTTCTTATAGAAAGGCTGCATGTCATTGGTCAGACGGTTTCCTTATGTGACATTTTGAGACCTAAATAAGATAAATTATCCTGTAAATCCTGTTTTCAAAAAATCTGTATGCAGGTAACATACAGTGATGCAGATTTGTGGGTCAGATTTTTCTCAGAATCTGTTATCACCTCTGGACTGTTTACATTTTCTTGTGTGCATCTTGGAAAAGGGATCCAACAACCAAACCTGTAAATGTATATGCAGCCTCTGTTCACTACCAAAGAAGGCTGAAAATGTGGCATTCGTGGCTCCAGGCTGCAATGTTGTTTACATCCTACAACCTTAACAATCCCTTCAACTTGACCCTGACGCTGACCCAAAGAATAAGACCCAGTTGGTATGTTTTAAGCAGTGTCATTTGACTTTTCTGTTTTTTTTTTTTTAGTGTTTATTAGCTTCGTCAGCTTAAGTCTGAAGACCATGTACCTTCTTTCTCCTCTTGCCACACAAATGTCAGACAGTTCAATTGAGCAAAGTCCCTTTACATCGACCCTTTTCTAAATAATTCACTCATTTGACCTCGCCTATGAACTCAACATACCCTTCTTTTGGAGACATTGCCCCGCCCCTCTGGAAGGAAAACTCTTGTTTGCTACATTCCCCCATTTCGCTGTGGGGGCCGCACTTTTTTTTGTTTTCTTCTTTTTCCACTGGATTTGCAGATCTTAACTCGAAAGCATCATGGAGATATACTTAGTTTCAATCGTTTTAGCAAGTTTCCTACTCATACCATTCGTCCTCAAAACTTTTTACCCTTATGTTTGGATGGATATTCTGTATTTTAGGGATCTGCTGCGTATCTTGGTGAGGTTTGTGTCGAGGCGGAGAAGGAGACCTCTCTTCTTTGTTTTGGATCGTTTCTTGGAGCAGACCGCCGCACGGCCAGACAAACCGTTCATTGTGTTTGGAGATGAAAGCTTCACTTACGCTTCTACGGATAAAAGGAGCAATAAACTCGCCCATGCGCTGCAGACTCTGCCTGGGTTTACAGCGGGGGACACCGTCGCACTTTTTATGGGGAATGAACCCGCCTTCGTGTTTACCTGGCTGGCTTTGGCTAAATTAGGCTCCCCCGTGGCTCTCCTCAACCACAACATCCGCACCAAGTCCCTTCTGCACTGTTTCAGCTGCTCCAAGGCCAAAGTGTTGATAGCAGCCGCAGGTAGACACAGCCATAAAGGAACAACTGTATGTTTCTTCAGAGCCTAAATGTTTAAAAAACTTAGGAGTAAGCTGTTATGTCTAATTTGGTTTTCATTTTAAGTCAGACTCCTTTTAAACTAGTTTTCCACAGTGGTCGTGCTCTTTAAGAGCTAACCCACACATCCTGGAATCTTAAAAACAACAATGCTTTCTGAAGTACGGCTGGGCGATATGGGAAAAAGTTTATCACGATATTTTTTTTCATATCAGTCGATATCGATATATATCACAATGTAAAAAATGAAATTTAACGGTGCTTATTGGTAGCATTAGTGATGGGCACAGCAGTTCTTTTAGATGTACTGAAACACTAGAATTAGTTCACTTAAATAGTTTGTTCAAAAGATTCGTTCATCAAATCACTAAATCATTCAGTCCTCGACCTCCTGAACTGTTACGCAGCTGAACAGTTCAGGATTCAGTTCATTTCATAGCTTTTGGGCCCGGGAGACCAGAGTGTTTGGCTGTGTTGCTATGTTAAACTGGTGTGTAAAAATGAACTCATTTATAAGTCATGATGTTTTAAGTGTACTGTCCTACTGCATGCTTTTTTATCAGGTCTGCTCAATAAATTGGGCTCAATGAGTGATTCGTTCACTTATATTTAGAAGAATTCACATTGAACATGCACCACATACACCGCTGCAATGATAGGATGCTGCAGGTTTAATGCACTACTTGTTACATGCTGTGTCTTATTGTGTGCAGGTTGTGGTGGTGGCAACTTAGCAGTAAAAATTTTAAAAAAGTTAGTTTTGTCCAACAAAAATGATTCTAGAAAGTGTAGTTCAATGTGTGATTCGTTAACCCAGTGATTAAGGCATCGGTGCATACGGTCCCTCGTTTGCTAGACATGCAATAGCATCTGCCCTGATGACAGCCCTACTGAAGTGAGGAACGAACGAAACACTTGAGGCAGTGATTCAGTTCAGTACGTTCACTTAAAAGATTTGGTTCTTTTGAATGAATTGTTCGCAAACGACACAACACTAGGTAGCATGTCTTTTGCAATATAATAAGCTACTGCATCTGTGAGGTCTTTGTGTCTCTTTGACGTTTTGTCATAAGGCGTTGCGTCGTTAAAGTGCTATGGTTGCATGTAGCTGCAGCCTGCTACTACGCAGTTGTTTTGCTACTTGGTGCTAATTCATGGTTTGATTTTGTGACCATAAGTCTCCCATAATTTTGGAGCCAAGTGGCACAGTTTAAGTGTAGGAGCTAGGAAATTATTTTCAAGGTTGCCACGCCAGTTTGATTTAGTACAGAAACATCAGATTTATCAAAATAATTAGCATCTCTGTTTACAAATCAACAACTAACGGCTAAATAAAAGACATTTTGTTTATCTCAGAGTTGTCTTTTAGGATGCTGACACAGCTATTCGACCAAGTAGGACATTCAAAAATTGTTTCTGCAGTCATTGACACCTGAACTTTGGTGTGTACTCTCCCTCTGCTCCTTTGTTCTTGCACAGGGGCACATCCAGGGGGTGGCCAAGGTTCCCCCTGACATGAATGTGGCTTCTAAATGTAGCATCACCCAATCCTGTCAGTGTTTTATTCTTTAAGTCTTAAGCTAAAATGACTGAAAAATATCCACAGGAGTTTAACATTAATGTGATTCATAAAAATTAGCAGTCAAAGTAGCTATGGTTTGAAAGACAGTGTACGAGTGCATAAAGGCTGACTTCATGCCACCCCAGTTTGAAAGATCTAGCTCCACTTTGCGTTTAATTTAGAGCTGCACATTTCTCCTTATTTTTATGACTAATATCTTGGCAAGTTTGTATAATGTAAAACAAGTAACTTGAACATATTGTGTAACTGTGCGTCCTTGTTTCAGAGCTGAAGGAGGCTGTGGAGGATGTGCTGCCATCACTGATAGAGCAGGACGTCACTGTCCTCCTCATGACTGAACACTGCGACACACCTGGAATACAGAGTTTCTGCAGAAAAGTGGATGAAGCATCAGACGCCCCGCTACCCCGATCCCTGAGATCACACCTCACATATAAGAGCCCTGCAGTCTACATTTACACCTCAGGAACTACAGGTACCAGGAGTAGCTGCATGGTCAGCTTCTTATCCAGTTTTATGTAGTAATCTGTTCCCACAGCAACACCACAAAAGATTACGGGTTGTTTCAGGATTGTGCTGTTTTTGTCTTGATGTATTTTAGGTCTCCCCAAAGCCGCTGTGGTCAACCAGAACCGCCTCCTAACAGCTCTGGTCATATTATCCTCAAACGGCGTATCAGCTAGCGATGTCATCTACGTCAACCTGCCTCTGTACCACACAGCAGGATTTTTTGTTGGCTTTATTGGTGGCATTGAGACAGGTGAGATTATTTTAAAGTAGCAATCACCACCAAAACCAAACAATCTGGAAGGGCTGTGTGAGGACTGTGCTGAGCTAATAAGAGACGAATGTGTCTTTTTAATCTGCATTACAATTTTGAATGATGAAATTTTTCCTCTATCTCTGGTTTATTGTCACTGCTGATGTCTTCAGCACTAAACAGACATTTTGGTTGTAGGTGCTGGAAACCAAATAACTCTATCAAGAGAACTCTGAACAGAAGTTTTTTCTTGTTCCAACTGCAGCAGCAAGTTTAGTCGACACCAAAAATGATGCCGTGATTCACTTTTAGAGTTTATAAAAGTGACTACCAGTGATTTATAAGCACACCACGGGTCAAGCTGCTATCATCTCAGTTTATAAGCAGGCCAGACTGTTCTTCTCTTTGCAGAGATTCCTACTATAAACCAAATTAAGCTTTAAGATCCCCGTATCAAATAAAATGATTCAGCAGTTGCGCTTAACAAGAGTTGTAAAACAGACAAAGACTTCATAAGACAGAGTTGTTTTTGCACACAATCCAAGCAGAGTGTGATGAAGAATTCAGTGCAGAGACAGTTTCCATCACTGCTGCACAGTTACCAGAAACGAAGGTGTCAAGCAAACGTTTTTAAGAAGCCATTGGATTAGCTGAGACAATAAGTAATCATCTAAAACCTTTAAATGTTTTTATTACTACACAATAACTTGAGTTTCAGGGATCTAATGGTTAACCTTCAATCAACTCAATCTTCTATTTATGGGCCAGCTGTGACCTTGAAGATTTGCAGAATTACTTAACCCTGTTATAAGACCTGTGAAAGGTTCTCACACATGACCTCAGTGTGAGGCCCAGTGCTGAAACATTGTGAACTGAAAAGTGATGCCCACGCTCCTCATTCTCCCTTAGCTTCTCCTGCCCCTGAGAAACCAAATGAAAGAGTCTATTGTCCGTGTGAAGCTGTAATCTGAGCAGAGCCGGGTCAACCAAAACCAGATTACCTCTTGTTTGTAGCCGCTTTCCTCTATGTGGGGAAAAGTTCATTTCGGTATTAGATGTCCCATTACGCAGCATATTTGACAAGTAAGATCAGTCAGTGTGGTATTATACACAATGAATATATTGGTCTGTAATTTCTCATTTTGCTTGGCCAATAATCAAATCTTTTGTTTTTTTATTTTATTTTATTTTGAAGGGTCAACTTTAATTCTGAAGAAGAAGTTTTCTGCCTCTCAGTTCTGGGATGACTGCAGGAAACACAGAGTGACTGTCATCCAGTACATAGGAGAAGTACTGCGTTATCTCTGTAACACACCAAAGGTAATCCTGTTTTTTAGGTTAGTAAGGGTTCATGCAGTGTTTTTAAGCCAACTCAGAAGTAAGTAGTATCTTAGTATTTCCACACAAGATGAGGAAACCCGTGCCTGCATTATTTGATACCATTATGTCAAGATCAGGAGTTAATTATTTAGCTATCTTAGGAAAACAAGCTTTGTTGTGTTCAGATAATGATGGTGGTTGTTTGAGTGTCATTGTGCAGAATTTCACATTTTTATACCAGGCTGCACTTAAGTCAGTGTGAAACTGAAACAGACCGATGTTACTCTATTTAAGATATCTCTCAGTTTTGTCCTCATCAGTTTTTGCAGCTGAACCAAAGGGTCATTTCCAGGTTCTTCATAAACAATTAATGGCAAGTGGAAAAAGAGTCTTCTGATCATGGGTTAGGTTAGAGTTTCATTACCAGTGTCTTAAACTCCAACAGGCGCACACAGGTTCTTGGGCAGGGTGCTGTGGTAGCCTCATGTCCTCTCTGCAGTCCCTGTCCTGTCCTGTCCTGTCCTGTGGATTAAAAAAACCCTCTCTCCTAAATACATCTTCAGAGGCAGGGCACCGGGAACCGGCTGCTGCAGGATGCCATTCAGACAGATCTACTCAGAGGTTTAATTTCCAAATCTGTACATTCCTACAGAGCAGCACAGCTGGCTTACCAAAATAGAAATCATTAAATGTGAACTATCAGGTTCCTGCCTTCTGCGTCACAATCTGTAGGGGTCCTAACAGCTCCAAACTTTGTGAAAACACTTTTTAAAACTCCAGATATTAAAGCAAACACTTAATGTGCCATTTTCAACTCTTCTAAAGGTTTAGGTACTGTATTTTGGAGTACTGTAAACATTTGGCCTACATGTTTGGCCATTCAGAGTATCTGGTTGCATCACATGAAGTGCAGTCTCAGTTTACTGTGTGACCCTGTAGCAGAGGGAGGAGTGAGTTAGTCTGTATCTGGTCACCTCTAGGAATAGATGCTGGCCTTTACTGAGGAAGACCATATTAAGTAGCCGGCTAACCAATCTCACAGGAGTAGTGTATGACTTCAGGGTCACACTGATTACCAGGCATAATATTTCCTTTAGCATATTTGTAAACTTTGGATAAGGAAAATGCAGATTTAAGTCTCTTGAGCTATTTTTGTCAGGTGGAACTAATAATAGTGTCATATTCTTAAAGTATGTAAATTGTTGTACTTAATATGGGTCATACTAAAGGGATCAGCCAAATAAATGTCTTTGTTTTACTCAAGTTTTCACATGTATTTAAAATATTACAGTCATGCAGTTGGTTCTTGTAGCCAAACGTTTTGAAATAAGTAGGTCACTCATGATTTATTTCCATCATGTCTTGCCTTACGCTTGAATGTGTTGTTTTGTTTTTATATGACGACAATGCAGAGAGACAACGACAGGGAACATAAAGTGAGACTGGCCATTGGAAATGGTGTCAGAGCTGAGATATGGAGGGAATTTATCAATCGCTTTGGGAACATCGAAGTCAAAGAGTTTTACGCCTCCACTGAAGGGAATGTGGGATTTGTCAACTACGCTGGGAAAATTGGAGCTATCGGAAGGGTCAACTTTTTGCACAAGGTAAGAAAGCTGCTTGAATGGATCTTCAAAGATTGCTTTTCTTATCAGTTGCAAAGATTTATTGTATGTGTATGGATGTACACGTGTGTGGTTTGAGGCCCGTTTTGTTTGTTTTCAACTACCAGACTTTGAGGTTCTTGGTGTTCATGTGTTTATATCTCTAGTGAAAACTCAAAAATAGTTGGAGGACTTTTAGTTAGGACTGTGTCAAGTAAAAATGTCAATTAGGGTCCAAAAGGGTGGTGAGAGTTTAATGAGCCATTGTTGTTTATTTCAAAGATTCCTTCAAACAGAGTTGTGAGGCAGTGTGAGTTTTATGTTTGACTCTGCTCACTGACATCTTTGTTTCCCCCTATAGAAACTCTTTCCCTACACTCTGATCAAGTATGACACTGAGCTGGATGAAGTGATACGAGATTCAAATGGCCTTTGTGTGGAGGCGCCTAAAGGTAAAGACACTTCTGCACATGCTAGAAACCAAAAAGGACACCATCCCAGCCTCTTATGAATGTCCTTGAATGCACTCTTGTGCTTAATGTTGTTTTTTTATAGGCAGGGAACATTCAATCAAGTCTGGGCTTGAAGGTTGGGCCGTCATTATGAGCAACTTTAGTGTTAGACTCTTTGTTTGTTTTCTTTTAGGTGAGACGGGCCTGTTGGTGTCCAAGATCACAGACATTGCACCTTTCGTCGGCTACGCACAGAATGAAGCACAAACGGAGAAGAAAAGGCTTCGTAATGTTCTGAAAAAAGGAGATCTGTACTTCAACAGCGGAGATCTGATGAGGATCGATACAGACAATTTTATTTACTTTCAGGATCGTGTTGGCGACACATTCAGGTACAGAACACCTGGGCACCATGATTTTGACTAAAGCTTACTGTTATTGACACAATTAACACCGTATACAACAATGCCAGTTATATTACACATGAAAGAGGAACCTAAAATGTGGACATGAACCCACTGACCTGGCGTAAAAGCACTTCAAACAAACTTTATCCATTGATCCATTACGATTTCAATCGAGCAGGAGTAGAGATCGTGTATCTCAGTTTCTTTGGATAATGTTCATTGCTGTAATTTTTACAAAAATCTAAAAAGAAGAATTTCAAAGTTATGATCATCACTTTAGATTAAGTCCTGGATTGTTCCAAAACTGTACAACTTTTATTTGCAGTGATAATAGCGATGTTTTCTTTCTGGGCTTATCCACTTCACCTATAAATACTTGTAATCCTGCAGCTATGCATTCACCCTGCTAATTATGCAACAGGCTCACTTAGAAACGTTTAGAGATTTTGAGAAAGCTTGTGTTTGTTGCTCAGACATGCCTGTAAATTGTTGTCAAGCCTCAGGGTAATAGCACTAATATAAAGTTTAAAATTGTTTGATCCCACAGGTGGAAAGGTGAGAACGTAGCTACAACTGAGGTGTCTGATATCATGACGCTCAGTGAGTGTCTCAAAGAGGCGAACGTCTATGGAGTCCAAGTACAAGGTGATTTTTCTCTCAACATTTGAACCTCCCAGTTTGCTCTATAATAAAATCATTACTTATAAATTGAAGAATAATAAATCAGGCTTTCTTGAGTTAGGGAAATTAAGTGTTTGGCTTGTTTTAAATGGTTGTTTGCCATGTAGGACATGAGGGGCGGGTAGGGATGGCGGCTGTGACTGTGAAGGAAGAAGTCCAGTTTGATGGAGGCAAAATATACAAGCATGTGGTCGGCTACCTACCCTCATATGCCCGACCTCGCTTTATAAGAATACAGGTAACTGAGGAACACTGTGTGATCCAGACCAGATAATAATGTTTAAAAAAAACTGTACCTGAGTGAATATGTTGATTTATTTTCTATCCAGAATACAGTGGAGCTGACGGGGACGTTCAAACAGATGAAGTTGAAGTTGGTGGAGCAGGGTTTTGATCCAGAACAGATCCAGGACCCTCTTTACATCCTTAATGACTCTGAGAAGAGTTACATCCCTCTGACTGTCCAGGTCTACAACTCCATCATATCAGGAAACACCAAACTATGAAGAGGATGTTGGTGTCCGAGGCTCGTAGACATTCTTAGTTACAGAAAATATCTTTGAAAACTTTTTTTTTTTTTTTTACCAATATTCTCAGCATGTATGTGTTTTTATTATTATATTTTATGGGTATCAGTGGGTAGAGTTGATTTGTGATGATTTCTATCAGGGACAGGATGGACCTTACAAAGGGAGGGGGAGTGGTAATGTAAGTAAATGTACATTTTCTGGAAATTAAGTATATACAGTATATCATAGATTTCATATAGCTGCTGCTTTAGTTCAATAACTGTAGTTAAACATGCTTCTGAGAGTCCGTATGTATAAAAAAATCAATGCAATGGCTTTTGTACTTTCTCCAAGACATAATATCTAATATACTTTAATGAATACTTTGCCTATTAATGGTCATGAATTTGAACAAAGTGCAGGCTTCCTGGCTTTGTTTTTGTGTAAATATGTGTAAATTTAAATCACTTTCATAAAAATTAAAGAGATTTTTAATGAAAGAACATATTACTCTTCATGTCTGCTGCAGTCTCGCCTATCACCCATACAAGAACATTTCAGACAAATAAGGAAACTACTGAAGCTTCATATTCATGTCAAACCACTAGGTGGAGGTAAATACACACGCTGCTGTGGCCTCTCTTCTCCTTCAAGTCTAGATATACACTACATGTTCTGCATGTTACAGGATGACAGATTTATGTGGACAGCTGGGAATTTCTATAGCATGGTGGCAGTTGAATACATTGTTCCTGTGCTGATGTGTAACTCTAGGTCACTACAGCCTAGCACCTAAAACAACCAGTGAAAAGATTTTAGTTTATTTATTTGAACAGGTTACAAGAAAAACAAAAATAAATACAATATAATATGTGTTTTGGCAGAGAAACAATTTAAGAGACAGCTCTGTAGCAACATAGATAATCAAACTTTGTTTGAAAGGGTTTAGGGTGAAGTTGATAAAACTTATCTTGTCCTACCCCTTTATAAAACCCCTACTCTATTGTCCTGTCTAACCAGGTAAAGCTCTAAAACAGGTAATCATTACAGACAAGAACAGAATAGGAAGGACATGAAGACCGGAGGAAGATAAGTCTGGACTTAATGTTTGAAGTGCTCTGAAACATTTTTTCCTCTGCAGTGCAGGGTGAGATCATGGGCTTTGCAAAAACAGGGCGAGTTTGTAAAAAAATTAAACAATTTGAAGAAAGTCTGAGTCAGAATGAAAGCTAAATTCATTTTATATTAGTTCTCTCACAACAGGAAATGTTAAAATAAGACCACCAGACTAAGTTTTTCAGGTATTTTTTATGAAATACATTATGATCCTTGCTTTGCCTGAATAGATTAAACACAGACTTTTTATGCATATTTACGTCTGTTAGTCTTATGTTTGCCTTTTGGACAAAGAAACTGTATAATTTACTCAAACGTGTGCAAGCCAAATCTGGACATGATTGCAAGGCTTTAAGCAATTTGAGAGATTGTTTTAATGTGTACAGTTTTCCAACCAGGCATCACTAAATGATTTTTTTCTTGGCATCTTCAGGACAGCTCTTTGTGTTTTGTAGTATTCAATGCAGCTCAGGGGGGGTTACTCTGTAGAGAAGGTCAGACTGTGGTAGTAGAACAACATAAAGCCTGTTTTAGTGTAGCACTAGGCCTCATGTAGGTTGCAGAGTCCCGTTAAACGCAGAGATGTTGGCTCTTTTGTTGCACGCCCCATGGGAGAAAGTGGTGCAAGGTTCAGGAGGCGTAACTTTGAACTGGAGTACTTCTGCCTGTTTTCAGCTGTTGTTGACTGTTGAAAGGTGAACCTCCCAGGACTCCTCCAGCTGCTGTAACAATTTCTTTTCTTCACTATGATTGCATTCATCCTGTTTACAGTTTCGGCAGTTTTGCCACTCTTGCTTTACTTGAGGAACCCCTACATTTACAGAGACTTGATGTACACAGTCGCCTCTCTTAAAATTGGAGTGAAACTCAGCAAATACGCCAAGCAAAAACCTCTCTACAGTATTTTGGATTGTTTTCTGGACAAAGTGGCGAAGCAGCCCAACAAGAAGTTTATTGTTTTCGAGGACAGCTCCTTCACGTACAGCCAAGCCGACAAAGAGAGCAACAGAGTAGCACGAGCTCTGTCATCGCACGCGCAGCTGAAGGAGGGGGACACCGTGGCTCTCTTCCTGGGGAACGAGCCCCACTTTGTGTGGGTCTGGCTCGCACTGGCAAAGCTCGGGTGCACAGCATCTCTGCTGAACTACAACATCAGATCCAAGTCTCTGCTGCACTGTTTTTCCTGCTGCGACGCCAAGGTGCTGGTGGCCGGGACAGGTGAGCTAAGATAAGACTTTTGACCACTATTTGTTTACGAGCTAAGTTGATTTTCTTTGGTCGAGATGTGCACTGAGAAAAAAAGTTAAGGGGGGCTTCTGTAGGCCCACGTACATTTTGTTTCTTAAACCCGGAGCTGAATGTGAGACATCAAATTAAAAAGTATATATCGCAGAAGTCTTACGCTGAAAGAAAACGTATCTTTTAGAAATTATCTGTTATATGTAGGGATGCACCGATCCAATATTTGGATCGGATACCAGCTCCGATATTGACAAATTAACTGATCGAATATCGGATGAATGACGCCGATCCAGCGTTCCGATCCAGTCTTTTTTTTCTCTTAATACATGGAAGTCTTACTTCTTTTTGCTGTGTGCTAATGTGCAATTTGTGATTTTTTGATAAATAATATTAAGTAAATTCATATCTGTGTGAATTTGTTACCTTTTTTTACAAGGCTAATGTCAGGCCTGATGCCTTCACGCACAGGGCAAGGTATACAGTTTATTCATTCAACAGTAGAATTGGATCGGATATCGGCCGATACGCTCAGCCCAGGTATTGGATTGGATCTGAAAAAAAAGGATCGGTGCATCTCTAGTAATATGTATAAAGTGTTTACTCCTGTGAATGTTCCTTTTATTGCACTTAAGACATGACTTACTTATATTCGATGCTAATACTGATAGGCTACCAATATTAGGGATAAAACATAACTTTAAACCATATTCACCAACTAATTTAGCTTTAACTCACTGTGAGAGTGCTTTCTTTAACATAAACTCATGATACATTAAAACTCTTGACGGCTGAAAAGTCATACTGTCATTTCTGAGCAGACTCTGCATTGTTGTGTTGATGCAATGAAAGAAACAAAGCTTTCAAACAAGTCACAATCCAAACAGAGAAACAAACTCTGCAGTGATTCTTTGTACACCATGCATGCTGCATTTTTTTTTAAATATTCCTGAATACATATTAAATACATTGGTTACAAATGAATACCCAACCATGCTGCATTCTCATACACAAAACTATTACAAACTCCTTCTCCTCATTTCTTTCAGACTTGCAGGGGGCTGTGGAGGAGGTGTTGCCTGCCCTGAAGCAGCAAGGTGTCCGTGTGTTTATCCTCAGTGATGTCTGTGATGTGGACGGCATTGAGAGCTTCTCAGACAAAATCAAGCAGGCCTCAGATCAGCCGCTGTCACCACAGCTTAGAGCCAACGTTCATTTCAAGAGTCCTGCACTGTACATCTACACCTCAGGGACCACAGGTGATCTTGAACTCTAGGTTTGACTTTTTGGGCTGTGCAGATCTTGAGTGTAAATAAGGAGACATAAAAAAAAATGCGACACCTGCTTTTAAGTTCAATGTTACATTTCAGGGCTTCCCAAGGCAGCTGTTATCAACCATGAGAGACTGTGGCTGGCAACTTACCTTCAGTCGATCGCAGGCGTTCACTCAAATGATATCATCTATATTTACCTTCCGCTTTACCACAGTGCTGGATTTCTCATGGGACTCTGTGGAGCCATTGAAAAAGGTGACTTGTAGCATCATAAAGCGTGCAAAACATGACACCCAGACTGTACTCTGATTAGTTTACTCTAGGTCAAATAGAAATGACCTCAAATAACAGCCACTCCAGTCTGATATGACACTATTTGTATTTCAAAGTCCTACAGGTCAAAAAATTCGATCACGGCGTGAGATAGTAATGTTCAGCTAAAATCTGTGCCTCTTCTTTCCCAGGCATCACTATCGTCTTAAAACGTAAATTCTCAGCCTCTCAGTTTTGGAACGACTGCAGGAAGTACAACGTGACTGTTATACAGTACATTGGAGAAATTATGCGTTACCTCTGCAACACACCAAAGGTAAAAGCCAGGAGGAAATTACCCTCAATTACATGATTTTATTGTTTTATTATGATACAACTGTCAAGGAGACACATAACTAAATAGATGAGTCCTTTTTATGGTACTGTCACTTTTCTTCCTTTACGTTCCAGAAAGACAATGACAAAGATCATAAAGTTCGACTGGCATTGGGGAACGGGATAAGAGCTGACACCTGGGCTGACTTCCTGCAGCGATTTGGTGACATTCGTATATGTGAATGTTATGGTGCCACTGAAGGAAACATTGGCTTTGTCAATTATGTCGGCAAAGTTGGAGCAATTGGCAGAGAGCACTTCCTCCACAAGGTAAGAGGCTGAGTGTAAATGCTGTCTTTTTACAGTGTTTAACTGTTAAACTACTACAACTAAAGGCATATTTCAGAAGAACACAGTTTGACAAAGCACAACAACATTTCACAAAACACAGCATTCTGGACAGCTCAGGGAAAAAGCAGGTTATCCTTTAACAGGGGGGAGTGGCAGTTTGATCTATGGCTCCTGCTGTTCACATGTAGAAGTGGGCAAGACACTGAAAGTCCAATTCCTAATAAGTTAAACTGGGATTTGATCATTACTGACGGTCAGTGAACCACTTGTTTGTGGCCTCTAGCCATCTATGTGTATGCGGAGCTCCCACTATCTGCTTTAACTGTAGAGCAATATGAAACCTTACACTGAAACACAATATGCACTGTCACAGTATCAAAATGAATGTACAAAGAGACGACAGCAGCTGAGCTGCATTACTGCAGTGCTGCAAACTGGCATTAAGAAAAGTACAGCTGTGTGTGGACGTTTTAATGTAGCTTGAACTCTTAGGGGTCAAAACACTGGAAAGGAACTTTATAATCAAGTCCACTCTCCATTTCTTGGAACACTACTTATCAAAAAACAAATTTCACCAAACAAATATTTAGTATAACACAAGAACAAGCCAGATAACATAAAAAGTTGGACAACACACAGTTGGATAAACAGAAGTGGACCATTACTGTTCTTGTGGAACAGGTCACTGCAGTTCCAGGTCTGTGTTTCGCTGATTGTTTTGGCCACAGCATCAACCAAGGAGCAATGTTGAGTTTAGTGCAATGTTGAGTGTTTCTACGATGTTTTGTACAGCTTCAGAAAGCTGTTGTGGAATAACAAAAGTGTTGTTTAGAGTGATGTTTTATCCTTGGATTCTTCCTCAGATGGGCTGTCCTTACGCCCTCATAAGGTACGACACAGAGAAAGAGGAACCGGTCAAAGACTCCAGGGGGTTTTGTATCGAAGTCCCCAGAGGTGAGCCAATCCCATCTAAAGTTGCATATATTTGGCTCTACTGTAATCTTATATCTGCTGCTAATTCATATCTGATACTGGCTGTTTTCACCCAAAGGAGAAACAGGTTTGTTGGTGGCAAAGATTGGAAAACGAACGCCCTTCAGTGGTTACGCCAAGAACCAGCAGCAAACGGAGAAAAAGAAGCTGAGTGATGTGTTTGTAAAGGGAGACCTTTATTTTAACAGTGGAGACCTTCTGAGGATAGATGAGGAAGGATTTGTCTTCTTTCAAGACCGCATCGGCGACACTTTCAGGTACATTGATGCAAAATTGACGATTGAAGCAGATGATGAGGGTTACATAGAGTTACTTCAAGCTTTTTCAACTCAGGCTTGTCATTTTAGGTCTCATTTAAGGTTGTTCTGCCCCTTTTGTTTTCCATTTAAAATACAAAAAAACGTTATGTTTCCTCACATTTTCCTTTTGAAAACACTCCAGCTTGAGGATTCAAGTCTCTGTTTTGTCATTCAAAGGTGGAAAGGAGAAAATGTGGCGACCACAGAAGTGTCTGATCTCTTGGTCATGGTCGACTGTGTGGAAGAGGCTAATGTCTACGGGGTGAAGGTGCCAGGTAGGAACAAAGTGACTGAAAATATTTGATAAGGAACATACTCATGAGAAAAAGGTCATCAGAAAGCTTTTTTGTTAAGTCTGCAACTTTAGTTCACTGAAATCATGAATCAGTAATCCTGCAAACGGAGGTAAAGCTATTGGGATATTTGAAAAAATAGAAGAGCTGATATCCTAGACTTTTACCACAGTATGGAACAAACACAGAGCAATTAGTTTCATCCTAAAACAAGCCTCTTTATTTCCTTTAACCTTGACTGATAAGGACACGAAGGAAGGATAGGGATGGCAGCCTTGAAGTTGAAAGAAAACATGGACTTTGATGGTAAAGCCGCATATCAGCACGTCAAACAATACCTCCCCAGCTATGCAAGACCGCGCTTCATTCGCATACAGGTAAGGACTGGGTGTTCAACCCAATTTTAAAGATTATCTTGCAATTATTATACATCTATTTGATTTTCCTGGGCAGAATGCGCTGGAGTTAACTGGAACATTTAAGCAGCTTAAGAAGACGCTGGCAGAGGAGGGCTTCGACCCTGCTGCCATCAAGGATCCTTTGTTCTACCTGGAGGACAACAACAGCTACGTCCCCATGACTCAGGAGACATTCAACGCCATCTCAGAGGGAAGAACCAGGCTCTGAACGAGTCCAGTGTTTATTACTGAACCATCAGTTTTAGACAGTACATTTAATTTGTCAGACAAAACAGGATGCCAGATGATGATGATGCACAGAAAGCATTGAGCACTTAAAAGGAAATCAAACTTAATGTGAAGAATTTTGTGAAACATTTCAACATATGTGATTTTTGTTTAATATACTTTTTAATAAATGTATTTTTAAAAAATGGAAATGACAGGTGGATTTCCTGTATGATAGACCTGAATGCTGCTTTCGGGGCCATTACCGCAGCGTGTCTGCTTCCAGTTGAGTCTGTGATGGACCCTTTTTGGCCACAGGAGAGGAAGACATGCAGTTTATGCTCCTGCTGGGGGATGAAAAATGTTTCTGAGCAGTTTGTGACACCCTAGCGGGGCAACACAGTGGGTGCCGGCCACTCTGCACCCACTGGTTACAGAAGCTGGGCACGCTGTAAAACTTTGTCAGCTTTGAAGGTGACTGAGTGATCTTCAGCACAGGGCCTTGTCCTGCTGTTGGCAGTGTTGGGAGAGCACCTGTAGCCTCTTCAGCGATCGGTCTTGTTGTGAACTTGTAGCCAGATATCGGCCCGATATAAGTGCACGGCAGAGGCTCGCTGTTGCAGCTGAGAGAGCGCATCGGCCTCCTTGACTGATTCCACGCCTTGTCGATCCACAGCTCTACCTCAGCCCTGTCTGTTTTGGACGTAGCTACGTGTTCAAAAGCGTCTAAGTCTTCTTTGTTTTCTGCTGCCATCACCTCGTCTTTTCCTGGTTTTGATGGGTCTGTTTTATTCAGAGCTGCGGTCTCAGCTAAAAGAGCGGAAGTTGTTTTGGAGATGAGGTTCCAGTCCTCCAGGATATCATCGGCTGTAGTGAACTGTGACGTCACTGCGAATCTGATGATACGTTTGGTGTTAATGTTTGCAGGGATGAGGTACATGGCGCCTGTTTGAGTCAGTCTTCTCAGCAGCTCCTGAGTCAAAGCATTTCCTCTCTAGGAAAAGAATGGACAACATATCCATAAACAACTTGATCAACACAACAAATCAGTTTTTTTCCAGACTAAACAAGAGCATTTTCAGTGACATACATTCAAAGTTTCTGCTCTTTTATTGATCTCGGATATTGCTTTGGCCTTCACTCGGGCCTGATAAAACTAGTTAACCTCATTCTGGCTCACCTTTGGACGAGGCGTGACTGTAACCTTGTACATCTGAACAATGATTAGCTTATATGGTGCCTCAAAACACTAACAATTAGTCCAACACTTTGATTTACTGTGCAGTACGAATTTGTGCTTCATACTTTCATACAGAAGACAACTAGACCGAGGTGTCTCTCTGCAGGAATCTCAAAATTTGGGTCACTCCTCATGTGAGACTCCAAGAGCTTTGCCATTTCAATGCCCTAAAACAGAAGAAAAATGATAAATATTAACGTAAAAAAACGGCGCCTTGTTCCTCAAACAGGTTACATGAGAGCCTCTTACATGTCTGATATGAGCCTGCAGGTTTTTCAGTCCAAAGGAGCGCATAACAAACCAGAGTTTGAGAGAACGGAAACGTCGGCTGAGGGGGATCTGCCAGTGCTGGAAAACAGAAACAAAAGAGTGACTACATGAAATGATTAACTGTGGCAGCTGGAATTTTAATTTGGTGAAGAGCTGATATTTTAGTACCATGAAGTCTGTGGCGGACTGTGAATAATCATGTTTGAGGTAAACTGGATCAACACCAAACGTCTGTTGGAGCTTGTATTTATCCTTTACCCTGAGAAAACAAAATTCAACTTCACTACTCACTGACAAACATCTTCAACATTGACATTTTATTACTTAATTTTCACACACAGGTGAGATGAAACAGGTTATCATATTAACTCACCAGAAAGCTGTGCAGTCAAAACTGACCAACATCCACTTTGATGGATTAAAAACAAAAGAGTGAGAAAATTCAATTCCTTCGAGAGACCAGCGGAGCTCAGGACACAAGTATGCTGAGCCAGCGTACGCAGCGTCAACATGGAGCCACAGCCCCTCCTCAGCACCTGTTAAAAAAGATGTAAATACAGTGACATACAGTTCCCTCAGTATAAAGACTCTCTGACATTACAGGTGGTGTAACAGACCACTTTATCAGGAGTTAATTTTAGGACTTACAGACTGGTCCCAGTTCAGAGAGGTTGTCAAAGGCACACACGCCTGTGGTTCCCAGAGTGGCACACAACTAAAACAAGAGAGAGAATATCACAAATCTGACAATACTGATATTGTTTTACACTTTGACCAGCGTTGTTTGATTTATTTTCAGATTGTTAAAAGTTAGCTTGAATGGGACTAATAGTACATGAACCCTAACATTAAACATGAGAGTAAAAGTGCTTCATTCAAAATCCTACTCCTATCCACTGATTGATTTTCATGTATGAAGGAGCTCCCATTTAGGTGTCCTTGAGCAAGTTCAACAAGGTTTGAACAGCATTTAATCTGTTAAGGACGGAGCTGTACACAAAAACTTTTCATCTAGTTGGTAAAAAGACAAGAAAACCACAAAGAAGATCAACTAAATAAATCCTTTTTTGTTTAAAGATTTATTTAGTAACAAAGTAAAATTTAGTGACTGAAATATTGAGCGACATAAAGATAACAAACTCAACAGGGGTTCAAAATGTCTGGAAAATAAGTAAACGGGCCAGGTCACATTACCCAACTGGCTGTCTGACTGATAACAACCAAAGCAAACAAACAAGCATTTTTTCATGACATCACCTTTGAAGCTTCAAAAGTTTAGCGGGCCAGTGACTGAAAAACCTCTCAGGTGTTAGACTGACGTGACTCTGACTGTAAACAAGCACTTATGTCAGGAGATAGAGATCATGAAGATTAATGTCATCTATCAGTTGACCTTCAAGTTTTCGAGGTTGAACGCCTCCTGATCACACTTCTGATGAGATTGTAAAACACCTCCAGCATGTTGCCACTAGATGGCGACCTAACCCTTAAAATGAAGTAAATGCTGATGAATGTCTGTTGCTCTCTGTCAACAAAAAACAGTCTGTACAGCATATGAATTCAACTAAACATTACTCATTAGTCTTTCAGATTCAAACACCCACCATAACAGGCACCAGTCCTCTTCTCCGGTCCTCCTGCACAGCTTGTTTCAAAGTGTTTCCTCTCAGAGAAAACTGCTCATCAGTGGGAAGAAACCGGATCTTCACCAAAGAAATCAGACCTGCCTTTTCTACAGATGAATGAGCCTGTAATGATAGTAACACATAACATCTTCTCATTATATTCAGTCTGACTGATGTGAGGATATCACTCAAACTGATGCTACACTAACCTGGTCTGAGGCGTAGGCCACAAGTCTTGAATTCAGGACTGAGTCATCCACGTCATGGTCGATCTCCGCTCGCAGCTGCAGGATTTTATCTTTTCTTGCAGCCAGGAGAGCAACCAGAGTGCTCTCACTGACAGTAGTCTAACAGGGGGAGTCAGGCGGAGAATTAAGGTCATACTTCCACAGGTATGAAGAATAGATATAGACAATAGATCAAGGGGTCTCAAACCTGCAGTATTCCCCCTCCTCTGCTGTCAGGGTGGTGATGCAGGAAGAAGGAGGGGAGCCCTAGAGCTTTACACAACCAGTCCATCATATTCATCTCCAGTTCTGTACAAGCTGGGCTGGAGGCCTGTTAAGAAATTATGTTATTTATCCTGTAGAGGCAGGAATTGACAGAAGTTTCAACCAAACTCCAGTCTAGACACAATATGTACAATCGAATAAATTATGTTTTCTGACAATTTCTGTCAGCCTGAACTCTGATGTGCCTCATCACAAACTCTGATCCACTATCTGCCTGATTATGAGTTAGACTCAGTTTTCCATGTGACTCAGTTTCCCAAGCTCGTCCCCTTACCCATGTGAATCCAATACAGTTGATGGCATCAGCCAGCATGTCCCCGAGCATGGAGGGCCATGAAGTCAGACCTGGGAAGTAGGCGTGCATGTGAGGGCTCTGCCAATGGACTATCTAGAAAACAAAAAAGAGAAGATTATTTCATTTCCATCGTTTGAAACGACTGATAATACGACCTGATATGAGATCAGGGACTCACTCCTGGCATGATGACTTTCTCTAAGTCGTTGAAGATGCTCTCCCAGCTCTCTGGCTCTGTGGGTGCCGTGTCAGAGAGAAGCTCCTTCATGTAACCCGGCTTCACATCTGGAATCACCCTCCTCTCCCTGATGGTGCTCAAATAGTGGGTGATGTAGTCCACCAGCTCTTTGGCTGATCAGAAACAGAGAAAATAACAGAATAAATTACATCCTTATTAAAATATATCATTTATCTTTATTATGTCTGTTGTTTAGTTCTCATTGTTAGCAGTAAAATTTAGCAACACAAGTCAACATAGTAAAATGGAGTCTGTATTACCTCTGCGGTTGTATTCCTCAGCCTGCATTGTCTTTAGTCGAGACCTCTTGACTTTGTTGTGTGTAACAGGTGGCTGCAGTGATGCTCCGTGTATTCAGCGGTAGAGATCACAGGACTATAAAGACTTTTTTTGTGAAAGCCCGCCCCAAACTGGTGACGCATTTGAATTAACAAGTAACCTTTGCTTATTTTAATATAGCAAAAGGTGGTTATAATACTCTGTATTTAATGTAAATATCTACCCATAGTGTTTTATTCACTAAAATTATAACATGCAAATAGGTCGATAGCAAATTTACTGTTGATGGAAAACAATGTCAGTTGGTTGGTACATGATTCATGTCCAGTTTCGTAGTTTAGTACTCGATGCATGATCAAGATCACAAAGAAAATGGATCAGGAATTGTGATGCACTCTAGATACTGGTTATGTTGGGAACACACATTAAGCCACTATCAAATATTACTGAGTGTGATTTAGTGGCACCATCTCAGCACTGGGTTAGTCTTCATCCAAAACCAACATTATGTTTTGACCAATTGTTGGTGTGTGTCTTTCCACCCTTTCTATTTCCCTTTTTTATCATGAAGAAGATAATATGATGAGACTAACACCCCACATAGACTTTTCATGTATATTAACATAACTGATGAACAGCTGCCCCCTTTCAATCAGAAATTGACCTTTAAAGGAAGACAACTTTTTATCCGACTAACCCAAAGCTTTTCCTTTGTCCTCTTTAGAGCAGAGCAACATTTGTTTAGGACGGTGACTCCTCTCAAATAAAGGGGACTTCACAAAACATATTAACAATCTCTGAGCAAACAGCTGAAAGTATGAGGATGACGAGATCAAACCCATTGCGGTCACAGCTTATTCCTGTCTTTTAAATTAGGACAAAAGCTGGAGAATCACCTGCAGCTCAAACACTGTACTATTTAATGTACATTGTGTTCAGCATTTACTCTCTCTCTCTTGTTTTATGAGGAACCCGGGGGTTGAATGCAAATGTATAACACAAACATGCTGAGAGCAAATGCTGATGTCAAACCGGAAAGGAAGTCACTTCATACAATGAACCTAACAAAGCACAAGAGGATGTTCATGTAACCTGAGCCATTCAAGACAGTATATTTGTTTTCCATAAAACACAATTTGTGAGCATAATCTTCTTTTGATTTACAGCTTAAAAACCCAATTTCTTTGATTCTCAACAATAACTACTGCACAGACTTTTGATCCTGCTGTAGGCAGGCAGCTCAGCTGCAGGCAATGACTGGGGTAGTGATAAGAGTGTGTGGTATAATACACAGCAATAAGCAGAGAACACTGCGATTATTGTGCTCTCTGTGTGCCTTTACGTTGGGTGGTCTGAGTCTGATCAAAGGGGGTTTAGTTATAATTGTACAACTGGAGCTTGTGACTTCAAAGACAAAGTGCTTCCTGTTGGCTCTAGCTCTGTGACTTTAATTCAGATAAGCAGATTTATCAATGTGACATCAACCCATCACAAAGAAAACACTGGGCTCCATCAGTCAAACACAAAGCCAGAAAGCAATGTGCAAAAAGGGGATTCTGCTATTATTCTGACACAGGTAAGAGCACAAAGAACTGATTTGAATGAGTCTGTAAGTGAAAGTGAAAATCATCTGTTGATTCAAAAATAAAAATAATTAGGATTAAATAGAGAATATTTATTTCTTTTATACAGTTTTCTTATGTGGCCTTTTAATAAATTATTCTTGGCGCTGACAAAGCAGCACTTGCAATTATATGTGCCCTCGAGCGAGGCCTTTAACCCAAAATAGTTGCAGTGGAGCCTTTTAGCAGCTAGCAGGTCAGACAGGTTGTTCTCGCCTGTTATTGGTGTGGGTGTGAGTGTTGACAAGGCCATCGTGAAAAGACACCGTCACACCAGGCTTTCTTATGTCTGTGTTCAGCTTTAAGTTTTGAAAACAGGTGTCAAAATTGACTTAACCTGTAGATATGGAAACAATATTAGCAATTAAATTAGCAGAGGGGTGCCTGATCCACTGTTATTGTAATTTTTTACTATGTTTTTTTGTGTTAATGGATCAAAATATCACTTCTATCAGCCTGTTTTCTACCCATGAACACTGAGTAATGAGAAAAAAATACGGACACTGCATGATTAACTGAACTACAAAATTATCTAAAGTACCAGTAACTTCTTCTGTAATCCTAAAATGAAAATTCTTGAGGAATCAATGTATTGATGAGTATGAAATATGGCTTATCAGTATGAACTATTCTTCCATGTCCACTATAACAAGAATGTGTTGCACAAACTGACATATTCAGAAATTTCAGTCACATTTAACTTTTGAGACTTAAACAAATGTAAATTATTGCTTTTTAAAGTTACTATTTTACAATATCTATTGTTTACCTTTTTGAAAAAGATAAACGTATGTTATACAACGGACATGGAACAAATTTATTGGAAAATAAAGAACTAGGAAAGGAAATGCGAAGTGGAGCAAAGATGCTGTATGTAGGAAACTTACTGTGTGAGAATGTCACTAGATACATCAGTGCGGTTGCTTAAGTTTTGTAGGACTACATAGCAGTGTAGTGCACAATTTAAAGTTTACAAAAGACATTGCTATGTCAGCTCTATGAAAAGCAGGAATGCATCTGACTGGTTTATGAACAATGCAAAGAATCTGAAATATCCAACATAACCTTTGTTAGCATACGGGAAATCTACGACGACGTGTCAAATGTCTGGGCGAGCAAGTGAAAAGTGAACTGCTACTGCCAGGAAGCCTCTGAATTTCCAGTTTCTGTTGACACGTCCAGACTGGTGAATGGTGTACTGAAGATTTACTGTTGAAGATATAGTGGGTGGTTGGGCATTGGAGTGTCTCTTATCCAAAGATATTTCAAGCGTTGGGAAAATATTATCAATAAATCAATCAGTCTTTATTTATATAGCACTTTTCATATACAACTATGTAGCACAAAGTGCTTTACACAGAAAAAGGAAAAAGAAAAACAGTATTAAAATGCATAAATTTAAAAAGGGCTTGAGTTTGTGGAAACAGCAGTGTGCACACTGAGGAAACGTCATTTTAAAACTCAAGATAAAGAAACACTGGAGGTTTAGGTTAAAATCAAAAAACAAAAAAACATAGATGTTTAGATCTTTATATTTACATAGATCTTTTCAAACTTGTGATTTCAACTTTCTCTTCATGTGTTTGCTCTTTAAAAGCATTATTTTTCTATTTTTAATATCGTGTTCTGATCTTTTGAACTAATCTATTGTTTGTTTGTTCTTTTTCATCTCAGATTGCCTTTAAATTGATCTTTTTTACTTTTTGAATTTCCAAGTTGTTTATAATCATTGCTGATTTTGTTATATGTATTTTGAGAAGGAGGCTGACAGTTTGGGTTAAACGTTGCCCTTGCTGAGGTTGAGCTTGACACCCCTGGTATATATAATGAAAATGTGTTATTCTTGAAGGGATTTGAAACATTTTCAAACAAAATCTGAGCGTTTTAAGAGGTAATGAGTGACACCAGCAGGTGGCAGTAACACTCTGTTTAAATATACCAGCTGCCACAAAAACACAAGCGAAGAAGAAGAGGAGGCGGAACAAGGAATCGGGAATCAGCTGTCAAAAAAGTGTAAAGTGTAAAGCAACCGACCAGATTGAGGTAAATCCTTCATTAATATTATTTTTGCACACATTTGTCAGGCATATATGTGATCTTATTCTTATCAGAAGATACCGTATGACTTCTGAGTGTGGTTGAATCGGTGTCATAATGTACCCAACCTGCCGCTGAACTGCGTGAGCTCGGATCGTATGTATGCTAACGCAGCTAGCCTTACTGGGCAAAGCGACAGAGCTAAGTTACACACAATATAATACAAATAGTGGTACAGTCGAGCTATTTTGTTTTAATTTGACTCTCCGTTGAACTGTGTTAACTTGGTTTTGAGTTAACTGTTCGGTTTGTATCCGGCTAAAATGGATGATCGGGGCTAACCGAGAAAACTAGTCCATGTTGTTGACATTTTCTGCGCCAGCTCGACCCAATAAGCTAAAAAATGCTGTTAAAGTACTAACAGTGAGGAAAATAAGCACCAGTGAGCAAACGTGATCAAATAATAACATAATAAGTGTCTTTGAAAACACTACCTGACAGTTAAAGGTAGAGGAAGTTTACTATCTGTCTGTTCTGATCAGATTAATCTAATCAAAACAGAAACTGATCAATAATTAAACCAGTTAGTTGGTTTTAAGAGAGAGTGTTTCTGAACCAGCATGTGTTTACTTTGTTTTCCTGTCTGTACTGTGTTTCCAGAGATGTCCAGAGCTTGTTTACAGCACTGACTGACTGACTGTTGTCTGCCTGTTAACACTGACTGATTCAACACACCCGCGAAGATGCCTGCAGTGTCCACCGGGGTCAAGGACCTGTACCTGTCCACATCTCTGGGAGACCTCAATAAAAAGGCTGAGATTAAGCCAGACAAGACAAGTACCAGAAGGTAGGCTCCATGGTTCCTGGTATTTAGAGTTTTATACAGACAGAGGTTGAAAGGAACTGATCATGTTTACATGTGTTACTGTGATCGAGAAGCTTTTTGATGTAAAAATAAAACAAAAATAAAATCATGTATATTCAAATGATCAAAACAGACATGTCTTACTCCCCCACCTTCACAGGATAAAAGTAAGCACTCAGTACTTTCACTGACGGCTCTTTTACAAGACTAGAAGCCCTCAGTTATCACTATTCTAAAAGCCAAAGCTTTAACCCCTTTATACCATAACAAGTTATTCCACTCTCAGCGAGCTCAGCTGTGATAATGCATTTTGTTTTACCTTTTTAAATGATTTTTTTTAACAACAACACATGTCAACTAGGGCCCGACCGATATGGATTTTTGGGGCCAATACCAATACCGATTATTAGGGGGGAAAATAATCCAATTACCGATTAATCGGCTGATTTTTTAAATTTTATATGAAGTAAGGAAAAATACATATTTACAGTAGATATCTGCTGTATACTGTATACTGTAGATATACTGTAGGCTACTGCTCTTCATGCCAACAGGATCAAACTGATCAAACTCAGACCAGAAAAGCATTTTCAACTGTTTCCTACATGGAATATTTGCTAAAATAAGGCTGTTAAAAGACTGTCTTTTCTGATACCTACCCTGTCACTGTGGTTACAGGCAGTACAAATTACGATATAAAATTATCAGTCTGGGTGTTGGTGGTCTTTATTCTTTTTGTGGGTCATAATAAGGTATTACCATTATCCTTATTCTCCACCATAAACAGCTGAAAGCACCTCACAGGGGCTTTAAATTGAGATAGATATCATCTTCCACTACTGATACTGAACCACCTGAGCATATTGACCAAGTAGGTAGTTATTTATTGGTGAAAATCAGTGAATGATTTCCCAAGTAAGGGCCCAAAGAAATGAAGATTTTATGCAACAAAGGTTCCTGGACAAAATGTGGCTCTGAGGATTGAGATCACGCCAAGTTAAGAATGTTTTTCTTTTTTTTTCTTTTTTCGGATGTTTTGCAGCTATGTTCAGAGTGCCTGCAAAATCTTCAAGGCGGCAGAGGAGTGTCGTCTTGACAGAGATGAGGAGAAATCCTATGTGCTGTACATGAAATATTTAACAGTATACGACATCATCAAGAAAAGACCTGAGTTCAAGCAGCAACCGGTATGGTGTCTTATGAAATTTTAACGTCTGAGTGTGCATTTTTGCTACTAAACAAAGTGTACTTTTGTGTAAAGCCTCATGCACCATTTGTGTAATCACTTCTTTTTTCTATGGCGATGTTAAAGGAGTATTACATGACCCTGCTTGGGCCAAACAGCTTTAAGAAAGCTATTGAAGAAGCAGAGAAGCTCTCTGAAAGCCTTAAACTCAGGTAAGAAATTCTGGTTGTTTCAGTTCATTATATAAGACACACGCTTCAAGAAAAAACATCAGAACATAAGTATGTCGCCGCATTTCTGGTCGTTTTGCTCAGCTGATCTCTATTTCTGAAAAAGGTATGAGGAAGTTGAGGTCCGTAAAAAACTTGAGGAGAAGGAGAGGCAAGAGGAGAAGAAGAGAAGAGAGGAAATCACGGAAAAAGATGGTGGTCGAGGTTCTCCAAAATCTTCACCTGCAAACAAGAAGGACAGCAAAAAGGTAGAGATGTTGAATAATTAATGCGCTGTAGGGTGGAGCTTTCATGTCCTCAAGGGGCGATTTGACTTGCATTAAATAGTCAATAGAAGTGAGCATTAAATACAAAGATGCAGCACCAATCATAGGTTGAATCCTGTTGTCTTTGAAATGTTTTTTTTTCTTCTAAATATTTGATTAAATGAAAGACCCTCTGTGTCTTTGTAATTTGATCAGCTGTCCAGCTTTTTCTCAAGCCCATTAAACATCTGCCACAGATATCCTGACTTCTACTCATGGTTGATTCAGCACATTTTAACACGGTTCCTTTTTCTCAACTGGATTTTGACCGTTTTGAGTCTAACCAAAAGTGAAACAGGTTTCTGAGACATGCAATGATGTTTTTTAGAGGAGATTATTCACAAACCTGAAATAATTTGATCCTATTTTATTCTCAGATTTCACACTGCAAATGAATTCAGAGGGCTTATTAAAACGAATGACTGTTATCAAGAATATAAACATATCTGCACTGTTATACTGGTCACTCAGTCTTCGCTTCTTTACAGCATGAGCTTCATCCTTTATCGGTTTTTCAGGATTATATGTTATCTTATCTCTATAACAGCAGCAGTAGTTGCTTGGCAGATGAAGGCAAAATTAGAAAATATATACGTAAATGGCGTTGGGATATCAGTATTTTTCACTGTATGTAACTTCAGCATCTTTTTTTGTGTGTGTCAGGTTAAGGGAGAACAAAATGAACTGAAGAATGCAACCTCGAAAGGTAAGCACAACAAACTGAACAGGAGAGGTCCAATAAAGCTGTTGAGTTCATTCTTCACCATTAGTAAGAGTCATTTTTAAATCTTTATAAAGAGAAAGCATAAAAAGAGTCACTTGAAAAGAGTCACTTAAAAAGCTTTAAAAAGAGTCACTCTCAAAGATTTTAAATGAGTCATTTTTAAATCTTTATAAAGAGTCACTCACAAAGCTTTACAAAGCGTCAGACAAAAAGAGTCCCTTTTTAAGCTTTAAAAAGAGTCACTTAAAAAGATTCATTTTAAAGATTTAGAAAGAGGTGTTGTTCAAGTTGTCATTGTTTTAATTTCTTGTCTTCTTTGATTGCTTCTTCTGATAGCTCCAGGGCCAGCTGGTGGGATCACAGCAGAGAAACTTTTCCACATGATGAAAGATCAGACGATCACGACAATTGTCATGGATGCCCGCAGCCACAGGGACTTTGAGGATTCTCACATTCAGGTCCCAGCTCAGACCATCATCTCTGTGCCTGAGGAGGCCATCAGCCCTGGGTAAGAGGGGTGTTAAAGGGTTCTTATTTGACTTTTCCGCTTGATGACACAGAATGTGTCATTTTTATCTGCTTTCGTTTACTCTTGAAACTGAACTCCTTTCTTGGCTTTTCAGTATCACTGTGAATCAGATTGAGGCAAAGCTGCCAGAGGTGTCCAAAGAGCATTGGAGGCGGCGAGGATTAGTGGATTATATAGTCCTGCTGGACTGGTTTAGCTCAGTGACGGACCTTAAACTTGGCACCACTTTACAGAGCCTCAAAGATGCGCTCTTCAAGGTAACGCTGCTCTCAGATAGGCCTCTGTGCACCTGGATTTGCCTGACTTTTACTGGCAGGAATACTAACACACTGACACTCTCCACAGTGGGACAGCATCACCATCCTGCGTAGTGAGCCGCTGGTGCTGGAGGGAGGTTATGAGAATTGGCTGTTGTTTTACCCTATGTACTCTACCAACGCCAAAGTCAGACCCCCAAGACAGAGCGCCATCAACACGCTCCCTCAGTGTGAGTACCACCGCTTCATATTGATCAGTACTAGAGCTTTATTGTATTTTATTTTTTAACTATGACTGTAGCAGGTTTTAGTTTATCGAAATAAAGTCTCTGTGATTCTGTCCATGCTGTGATATGTGGTGCTAAAAATGAAGCCAGTACAGCAGCGCCCATTACTGCAGAGCTGTGAGTGTCCATTAAAGGCTGGATTAAAAGCCTTGAAAGCCCCTCTAGAGCCCAGCTGAAAACGCCCTGTTTCTGTCATGCTTTGAACAGTGAACTTCAGTTACCCATCCCTTGAGGAACCGAAGCCTCCGACGCCGCCTCCACCAGAGCCCGAGGTTCCACCCGAGCCCCAAGAACCCTCAGCTCCTGTGCTGGTGAACGGGGTCACGCCAGCAGAACCTCCTACATCCAAAACCTCCATGGTCGCTGATAGATTGCCAGACACTGTTGATTCTCCACATCCCATCCCTACACACTCTGGGTCGGACCTTGGTAAGGGTTCTGCAACAGGCAACTCGAGCCAATCACCTTCAACAGCAAAGGCCTTCCCTCAGGTATTTTATCCAACCAGATCAGTCTTAAAATGTTGGAGAGTAGAAAAAATTATGGATTTTTGAGTCTTCTCTTTTCTTTTACAGTTTGACCGCACCAAGAAACCCTCTGTCCGTGTTTTCGATGAGCCAAAACCCAACCAGAACGGTTCGGCAAAAGATCCCACACAGAACGGCCCAGTCATCCCCGACCGCTCAGTCAAACCTCCCTTCAACTCCAGCTCCTCTCTTTCCAAGGAAGAACAAAGTCAGATTCACTCCGAGGCCGTGGCCGTGATGGAGAAGGCCAAACTCGAGCAGGAGAAACGCAACCAGGAGAGACGGTTAGAGGAGGAGAGGCGGGAGAAGGAGTTGAAAGAGAGGCAGGAAAAGGAGGAACGTGAGAAGAAGAAGAAAGAGGAGGAGGAGAAGGGACCTACTGACAAGAAGAAACTAGAGAGACAGAAAGCTGAGGAAGAGGAGGACAGAGAGGGTCGAGTGTGGGAGGAGAAAGAGAGGAGGGGGAAGGATCAGAACTCTGAAACCCCCTCCAAGAGTATGTCACTGGACTCACCTGCTCCCAACCATATTGTCAGTGAAATAAAGGTGGGTATCGATGTTTACAGTCACTACACATGTCTATTTAATGCAAAGTATTCAAGCTCTGTTGCAGAAAGAAGTAGTTTTTTTGTTTTGTTTTAATTCAGTGTACTCTGAGATGTTTCTGTCACTAAAAAGTTTTTGTATTTATTCCACAGAGGGAGCCCCTGACCCGAGCGAGGAGCGAGGAGATGGGCAGGAGCGTCCCAGGTCTTCCAGACGGTTGGATGAAGGTAAATGACGTTTATGTGGAAGAAACTTAAGTGAAAATGATTAAGACACAAGACGTTATTTTCTCAGACAAGAGTTTTCCTTTTCATCCACTAATCTATTTTCCTCCATATTTGCCCCTCCACCTCTGGCTAGTTCCTTGACACAGTCACGGGAACATACCGATACTACCATTCCCCAACCAATCGAGTCCACCTCTACCCTCCTGAGGTCACTGTTCCCCAGACCCCTCCATCCACTCCGCCAACAGTCAAACAGAAGCCGCCGCAACCAGCTGAGCCTGACTCCAACCGCGATCGAGAGCGGGAGCAGTCGAAACTGAAACGCTCCTACTCCTCTCCAGACATCAGCCAGGATCTGAGAGAGGAGGCGCAGAAGAAAGCTGCCGCCCAGACAGCTGCTCCTGTCATTCCTACCATCAACAGAGAGACCAAGTAAGGACCGCTGAGACTTTGTGATACTCCTACACGACTGTACCGTCCATCCAGACTTCTAGGACACATATCCAAAGTCTTCCGGTGTGTTCTTATCATGTTTTTTTATGCCTCTCAGACCTCCTCCTGCCAAAGTCTACTCTAAAGTGGAGATTGTGAGGCCTTCAGCTGCCAAAATCCGCAACCTGAACCCTACATTTGGAGGTCTGGGTGCGTCTCTGACAGGTCTTCGTAACATGGGGAACACATGCTACATGAACTCCATCTTACAGTGTCTGTGCAACACTCCTGCCTTGGCTGAGTACTTCAACAACAACCTGTACATGGAGGACATCAACAGGTCGGGGTTTAGATAAATAAAGTGTCATAAAGTTTCTTTTATGAGGATACTTTCTGACAATCTGTCCTCGTTGTGTTTTCTGACAGGTACAACATACTGGGCCATAAAGGGGAGGTGGCAGAGGAGTTCGGCGTGATCATGAAGGCTCTGTGGGCCGGTTTGTATAAGTGCATCAGCCCGCGGGACTTCAAGATCACCATCGGGAAGATCAACGAGCAGTTCGCTTGCTATGACCAGCAAGACTCCCAGGAGCTGCTGCTGTTCCTCATGGACGGACTCCATGAAGATCTCAACAAGGTAATGATTCCACTTAAAAACCCCTCTGACAGAAACACCAGTGAAGTTTAAAAACAAAGGATTCCGTTTACAGAGATGCTAATATCCACATCCTGATTCAAGCACTGAGTGAATAAATAATGAGTGATTAACTCCTTTCAGCTCCTGAGGCGTCGACCACACCCCTGTATGTTGTTGCACATTTTCCTGTTTACAATGACAACGTAGTTTTTTTTATCATTGTCCTTCTTTCTGTTTTTTCACCGGGTTTCATTTTGATGACAAATTAGAGAGTAAGTAAATAGCTGTGTGTCTTTGGTCCTCCTGCAGCAGTGTGAGTGTGGAGTGTCTGCGTCTGTCTGGTCTGATACTCTTGTCAGAACCTCTGTGCATGTAGACCCAAGACATGCCTCATCGCCTGTACCGACTGATTTTACTGGATTCATGTGCATTTAAATGACAGAAAGGACTAGTCGGGTTAAACAAAATGAAGGGAAAGATAATCCCATAGCTTGATTTTTCTTTTTTTTTCTATTTTAAAACTTGACAAAACATGATAACATCAGATTTTTCAATTTACTCTTTTGAACTGTAAAAGAAGCATTTAAAAAACTTTGATACTGTCTCCCCCTGGGGGTAGACTACAGGTAATACATTCGGAGCACTAAATTTATCAAGCTGCTCATTCTGTTGACGTTTAAGGGTGACACACATTTGTCATGGCACATTTCCCATCTCATCACATCCCTTTTGTGTGATCTTCAGACCCGTCAGCCATCAGACTGGTCCTCTTTATCACTCCAAGCGAACTGATGGATCAGTTTAACTCATATTGAATATTAATAAGCAGTTGTTTACCTGCCCTTCATTTCTTCCTGCTGAACTGCATGCTGGTGGAACAGAGATTTTATAACTTTGATATTTAATAGTTTTCTAAAGTTTTTTCAAACTGTAACTTCATAATTTTCTCTTTCTGCTCTTAATAATTGAGCTTTAACTGAACCTCAAAGGCAGTTTATTTTAACACCTAGAGGTGCAGTTGTTCCTGTGTAACATTCATGTTGTGTTATGGTGTCTGGTGTCAGGCGGACAACCGGAAGCGCTACAAGGAGGAGGAAAATGACCATCTGGATGATCAGACGGGCGCCGACCTGGCCTGGAGCAAACACAAGCTGCTGAACGAGTCCATCATCGTAGCGCTTTTCCAGGGTCAGTTCAAGTCAACGGTGCAGTGTTTGACTTGCCATCGCAAGTCAAGGACGTTTGAGACCTTTATGTACCTGTCCCTGCCGCTGGCCTCCACCAGCAAGTGCTCCCTGCAGGTCAGTGGGATACAAGACATAAACACCACAATGTCTGAACGACAGAAGTACGTTACTGAGAACACAATTTGGGGGAAATGTATGTTTTGGTTTTTGTTTCTGAGACCAGATTAAAATGTTCAGAGCCCTCCCCCACAGTTTCAAAAAATCATGGAGATAATCCTGCATCTGTAACAAGTGCACTGTGGGTAAAAAGGGTTCTAGTTTCATCCTCCTCATTTCCATCAACGTTGTTTTTTCCTGGTGCATCACAGCACTTTTTATGTTGAAAACGTGTTTCTGTATTCTATCATTTCGGTCTGTGTATAATGCACTGGTCTCAGATCAGCAGGAACAGCACAGCAGAACTGCTTTGTTGGAGAGTCTCAGAGTCTAAATGAGCCGACTAGACAAGAAATCCAGACATTAAACTAGTAAAGAGTGCAGATTTAAACACAAGTATTCTGACTAACCCTAATGACTAAAATACGACTTTTATTGATGAAGACTGGACTGAAACTAAAAAAGACCAAAATGTGGCTTCAGCAGATAAGACTAGATCATAAGTAGCTGCCAAAATGAAACGTCTAACATGTTTTCTGCTTCTTGGTAGGACTGTCTGAGACTGTTTTCTAAGGAGGAGAAGCTGACTGACAACAACAAGGTGTTCTGCAGACACTGCAAGGCCCACAGAGATTCCACAAAGAAACTGGAGATCTGGAAAGTTCCACCGATTCTCCTGGTTCACTTAAAACGGTCTGTAAAGATGCATGTGCTCAAACTGATTAAGGTCATTACACTGTTTAAAAAAGTGTTGACTCATTCAAAGTAGAAGGAAGAAAGAACCCGAGAAAACTTATGAGAACCTTTTTCTTTTTTCTGAGTGTAGACACCATTTTTATTTCATTGTCATTATTTCTGCAGATTCTCCTATGAAGGCAGGTGGAAGCAGAAGCTGCAGACGTATGTAGATTTCCCTCTAGACTGTCTGGACCTGTCTCAGTACGTCATTGGACCCAAACAGAACCTGAAGAGATACAACCTTTATGGGCTATCTGTAAGTAAAAATGAAATGATTTGTAGCTTTGACAGGTTTTTTTTTTTTTTTAGTGAAAACCTCCCTGTAATAAATGTTTATTTTAGTACATTCAGACAGTACAGAACAAATAGTGAAACAACCGTGGGCTTGGACAGAACATCTGTGAAGATAAATGTAAAAACTATAAAAAACAAAGAAATATACTGACTGTATGATCTTAATGTAGTTTTATTATTGCTATGAAGTGATCACTTTCATTTTAAAATCCCCACATAGATGTAAAATATACACTTAACATCTTGCCTTTAACCACAAGTGTATAAAATGGAAATAGAGAGTGTAATATATGCAGTAGATTAGAGTGAGCCCCAGCTCTGTGTGTTGAAGCTGATCTACACGAGTCTATATGGAAATGAAGCTCCATACGTTTGTTCCTGTGTTCCCACCGTGACGCATCTCCCAATAACTCTTGTAATAACTGCTGACCTGAGTCACTCTAATACTCTGCGTTGTACATGGATGTTATGTGGAGTAAGAAACAGTACTGAGGAAACAATAGGACTGCTTACAAACTTCAAAACTCTCACATCTTTGAAAAGCTTTTCTGTTTGTTTACTGGATCATGCTCGTCTGTCTAACTGGATATATCAGCTCTTTTTAAAGTCCGATGTAATGTGTACTTAAATCTTCAGTCTACTTTATAATAATAACTTTATTTTTATAGCACTTTTAAAAACAGAAGTTTGCAAAGTGCTTTAGTCATACAGCATAGAACGTCAGAACATGGAAATAAAAACAAAAGCTCAGTGAAAACAAGGCCTCAGAATTAAAGGCCAATTTCATTTGTCATAAGGAATCCAGACAGTGCAAGATACAGCATAAAATGAGACCATGAGGACCAAAATAAAAACATGAAATAGGTAAGAAAAGGAACGCAATAAAAAAGGGGGGTAGAAAGCAGGAAACAGGATAGTAAAAAAAAAAGACGATGACAATAATGATAATAATAATAATAATAATAATAATAATAATGATAATAATAATAAGAATAACAAAAATGAGCAAGAGAAAAAACAATATCAATAAAAGGCCTAGTAGGTTAAATAAGACAAGATTATAACAAAGGCTAAAAAGACAGTAAGCCGAAATAAGATGGAGGAGAAAGAGAAAAGTCGGCATCACATAAAAGCAAGTCCGTAAAAGTGAGTTTAGAGTTTTCAAAGTGACTTTCAAAGACCTTTGGCTCAATTTTCATGATATAACCGCTGAATTAACTTCCAGATGTTCTGTTTTGGGGGCTCTTGAAAGCAGGACAGATTAAAAAAGTAATAGAAGTAACTATCATTAATGTCGACTGTGTGTTTCGTGTTCTTCTCTCCCCCTGCTAGAACCACTACGGCGGTTTAGACGGCGGCCATTACACTGCCTACTGTAAGAACGCCCCCAAACAGCGCTGGTACAAGTTTGACGACCATGAGGTGTCTGACATCTCCACCTCCTCTGTCAAGTCCTCCGCAGCCTACATCCTGTTTTACTCCAGCCTGTGATGGAGCTATAAAACACGAAGAGAGAAGAACACTACACCAGGGGGCAGCGACACTCGGGTCTTGAGGTTGATTTCCTTTTTTTTCTTTCTCTTTTTTAAAATCGGGAGTTCTGAGGACCTGGTGCACGCAGCCGCGGGCTCAACAGCTTTGTATGTGCACGCTTGGACATCCTCTGGCGTGCGGCTGCGAGAGCCCCCCTGTTTGTTGCGGACTGGAAAAAGGTGCAATGCTTCAGCTACTAGAAGACTGTATACCTGTTAAAACATGCCGTCTGCTCATTTTGCTGATAATCTAGAGATGAATCAGATGCTCCCTTTACTTCTGTACCATGATGGTGGTGTTGTAGGGCAGACAGCTGGTTCAGATGCGCCTCACTGTCTTTTCTGTTGCACTCCGCCAACGCAGAACTGATTTCCAGCTTTCCTGTACGGGGCAGCCTGAAGATTGAGACGGCATGTACATACTTACCAATGCTGATGTTGCACATTTAGACATGTAAATACTCGAGGGCAAGGTGTTTCTCTGTTAAGTGACCAAATTCTTATAATTTTGTCTTCAAAGTAGCAGCCATCATAGCGTCATCATACTCAAACAAAATAACCGCCTGATTTTGGGGTTTAGCCTTCTGATGTTTCACATGATCTTTAAGATGGTAGAGACTGTGATTGTTGACATTGTGCATTCTTGGAAGAGAGGAGGGATTGAGATTGTTGCTTGTTCATATCCGCCGCATTGTTGCACTCACACAATATGCAATCAAGTTCTGTTGTTTATGTGGATCACGTTGTTTTAACAGCAGACATTAACCCTCGACTCAGAATGCTTTAAATAATACCGATGCTGTGATCTCGACTGTCTCCTCTGTCCGGGCGGAAACAGAGAAACCTGCTTGGAAAATGTCTTTGTTGTAGTATTTTCTCTCTGTTTAACGACAACATTAATATACTCAGATAAGGAATTTAGAGGAAAACTCAACTGGGAGAACTGGGCATCCGTCTTGGCTCTGACTGGCGATGCTGGATTTGAAGGAACGAGTTTCTAACAGGCTGAAATTAATATTTCTGTGACTAATTTGTTTATTTCTGACCCATGAGAATATGAATACATGACAAATTGACTTTCTCACTCTCACCAACATTTGCTGCCTGACTGACTGACTGACTGACTGACTGACTGACTGACTGACTGACTGACTGACTGACTGACTGACTTACTGACTGACTGACTGACTGACTGACTGACTGACTGACTGACTGACTGACTGACTGACTGACTTACTGACTGACCAGAGCAAGCACAACATATACTGATACTCTTGGACCAGAGATGTGGGCTGGCAGGATTTGACTCTCCTCTTACTGATTACAGTTTTATTGCCTAGCATGAGATCATAACCTGTTTTCTTTTTACTTGTACATGTTGATTTTATTTCTCTAAAATAATTTGTTTCAGATATAACGATTATATTAACCTCAAACAGCTCATATGACTATTTATTAAAACTGCTTCAAATTACTCTTCGTGTCTCTCTGAATCTCTGCTCCGGGATAAAATAGCAAACACGACCACAGGATGAGTGGACGCTCTCCTGTATATCCTTCGGTCCTGATGTTTAGAAGTGGAAAAAAATCAGACAGGCAAGTGATGGTTGGATCTTTGCATTTATTTGGAGTAAATATATAACAACACCAGACTGTGTTCCATTATTTATTATCAGACTTCTAGAAGATGTTCTGACTCGGTTGGAAGCTCCTGTTTGCCGGTCAAAGAGCTCAAAGTCCGCTGATCTTTGGCTTTTGGAAGGGTTTGCAGCTGTAGAGCAGCATGTAGGCATTTGGAGATTGAACTTGGCTGTCCTGGACCTCTCTGACCGCTGAGTCATCAAAGCAGTGCCAAGTCCGAGTCAGGGAACTGTGACACGCAGCTGTGTAGTGACCCATGTTCAGATGACCTGAATGGTTCTGGAGAAGGAGAGTGTTTTCAACCCCAGGGTATGACAGCGATCGAAGCACCAAAGAGAGAAATCTGGGAATACTTTTGTAATTAATGTGTTATTATCACATTTAGGAAGCTTTGTAAATCCATCTAAAATCCTTAAGTGGTTATAAGCACACAAATAACATTGTGAGAGTTATAACCAGGCCCGGCGGCATGGGGGGGCATTGGGGGTCCGTGCCCACCCTGGACTAAAAGCAAAAATTTCTGTTAATTTGATTTGGGGTTTGTTTTTTCCGTCAGAGTAGTCATCTTCAGTTAATCCCATCTATCTTGACATGTCAATCAATCCAACCAATCCAATTGATCAAAGGAAACGTGTTAGCCAATTACAGGTAAAGGGGGGCGGGCTGCTTACTGGGTCAAAGATGAAATAATATCTTACAGTGCCGCAGCAGCTCAAAGTGAAAAAAAAAACAAAACTGTTTTACTGCGATTGGAGCTACTTGAAACAGTTTGCCATCGTTATTTCAGTCGTCAAAAGAAACACAATATGAAGATCTAACAACTGCTTTATTTCAGAGCTGCCTCTTCTGTGGTTGTGTGTGAGAACTTACCACAACAGCATAAAGGCGGTATGAGGAATATACGCCGTTCTGCAGTGCGCTGGATAGAAACGGGTTTAGGTCGAGCCTCATCGAGAACAAAACGTTGTTTTTCAGTTTCACCTGGTTCTTCCCCTTACAACCAAACCTGCAGAGAGTTTAATGATCACAGTGGGCATTAGTACTAATACTCACAACACTCACTCTATGACAGTAGTTAGCTTGGATTCCCCCTTAGAAAAGCTGAACCATCCCTCTGGACTCATAGAAAAAAAAAAGGTGCATTACACCAAAAGGTAACATTCAGGTTAAGGGTTAAATTTTTATTAACTATCTACAGACAGTTATATGAACTGGTGAATTTATGCATATCTAATTTTAACACCCTGTCAGCATAACTCTCTCTCTTGAGATCTCTGGTGCCTCCAGGTTGGAGACCAATGCGCCCAGACAGTAGCTCTCCATTATGGAGTACAATACTCGCATTTGCCCAAAACCACAGGCTGAGTCCTCTTGAATGAGTTCAAGGCAGCCTGTTGGTGATTGTGAGGGTCTGTGGCTCAATATGAAGGTATCTTAAGGATCACTGTTACTCTGTGTATATAACATTCGGTGGGTAATAACAGTAAAACTCTGTGTTTTAATACAAAAAATAGCACTTTATGAATGTTTGAAGGCAAAAATAGAAATTTATGACCAATGAGAGGGAAGCAACACATCATAATGTAGTGAAATATTTAAACTGTATGGAGGAAAAAATTTAGATGTGGCTGATTTAACAGCATTTGAATTATTATTAATTTGTCTGCAGGTTGTTTAGTAAATGATATAAAGAAAAACTAAAGTATATGAAGATAGATCTATCACAGATGTGATCATGTGACATGATTCAGAGCCCCTAACCAGTGATGAAGAAGACCTTTGAATGAGACGGTTTTCTCTCATGTTGATTCGACTGTAAGCATCACGTCTTTGTTCAAGTCTTTTATTACAAGGTATCATCTTTATCTTTGCTGCGACTTTTCTCACCCACCGTTTTAGATGTAACATGAGGATCTCTGGAGGTTTGTCTAAACAGGTCAGCACTGCTGTTTCTCTCCTCAGTCCACACACTGAACACAGCATCTGCTCCCCGCCTGTCAGGATAGTCTGCTCAAAGAACAGCGACAGGCAGTCCTGCACATCCCAGAGACAGAATACGATAACCGAAAACTACAATATGATCATCATTCATTTATATTCAGATGTTTATATAATAACAGGGCTTTACAAAGTCACTTCAATACAAGCAAAACCATCCAAAGTAACAGAACAAGCTCGTCAGGAAACAGTTGTAAATGGTGCAGGGTGACCTGATGTACCTGAATGGAGCACTTTATGCTGCCTGTTGGTATTGGCAGAGACAGAACCGTGAAGGTCTGTGTGCTGTGAGCCTGGTGGTCACAGTGCATGCACAGGGTCATGTAGCTCAGCTGGCCCTCAAACAGATGAGAGACGATGGTGGGCTCCCCCGCTGCGGTGGCATGGCTCCTGTTCTGGGCTTGTCTTTGCTGCCTTAAGGAGGAGTGAATCTGGCGCTTGGACACCTTGTAAACAAACACCAAGTCTCTCCGTAAGTGTGAGGATTTATCTGAGGAGGCATGAAAAATCGCTGCACTAACCTTTTTGAGATCTTCATGGAGGGTGTTGAGCAGGAAGAGCAGCAGCTCCTGGGCGTCCTGCTGGGAGTAGTTGTTGAACTGGGGGAGGATGGAGGTCAGCATAGATCTGGCTTCCACAGGTGCACAGCTGGAGCTCTTTCCGAACCACATCTCCTGCAGCAGACGCACAAACACTTCAGCCACCCGGCACTTGGATCTGCATGGACATAGGTTAAACAGCTTCAAAAACACGTCTGTCAACATGAATGTGAGTCAGACACAGAACGCTGTGTGTGTGTGGTCTTACCGGGCCAGCTCTTTGCGTGTGTCCGGATTCAGGAGGTTCTCCACCAGGGGCACGGTGGAGCAGAGACACTGTAAGACTGCGTTCAGGTAGCAGGAGTTACCGGAGTTGTCCAATCCACAGACTCCTGGTCTGTTCAGCCTCTGAAGCCTCACTGGGGAGCTCCTGCCTCGCTTCTCTTTTTCCAGCTGAATAGGAATGCTTGTATTTAATCTGTAAGAGCAGAAATCAGAAACTCTAATTTTTCTGTCATAATTTTATTCAATATTTTTTATGATCAAGTGATCCATCAAGTAAAAAAACAAAAAATAAAAAAATTATAATAATAATCATACTACTAATAATAATGATAACTACAATAACAACAATGATAATAAAAATGACAAAAATTATTATTATTATTATTATTATTATTATTATTATTATTATTATTATTATTAATAATAATAATAATAATAATAATAATAATAATAATAATAACATGACCATGAGTACCAATATAAAAACATAAAATAGGCAAGAAAAAGAAAATACCTAAAAAACAGGGATTGAAAGTTGAAAACAGTATAGTAAATATAAAAGACGATATCAATAATGATGATAAAAATAATAAAGTAATACTGATAATAATAGTAATGATAAAATAGAGCAACAGAAATGAGCAAAATATAAAACAATAAAAGGCCTAAAAGGTTAATTAAGAAAAGAGTATAAGTATAACAAAAGCTAAAAAGACAGTAAAGCCAAATTAAGATAGAGGTAAAGAAGATAAGAGATGAAAGATAAAAGACAAAAGATGGCATAACATAAAAGCAGGTCTCTAAAATTGAGTTTTGAAATTGGACTTAAAAGAAGTAACTATTTCTGCACGCCTTATCTCCTCTGGCACGTCATTCCAAAGTTGAGGAGCTCTGATGGAGAAAGTTTTGTCACTTAGGTTGCTCTCTGTCTTTTAATAAAACTATTACCTAAAGGCTGATATGAGGTGGTAACGCACAGTCTCACTGACCTTTGCTTGGATAGATTTGTTGACCCTGTCTCCTGGTACGACGTGCTGTTGAGTCTCTGCAGAACAGGCACAGTGACGCTGCTGTCCACGGCCAGCTGAGAGGCCAGACCTTTGGTGAACTCTGGGAGATGAACCTGTCTGCGTGAGCCTGAGCTCTGCAGAGTGTGGAGCACAAACGTATTGATGCAGATGATGTGCAGCGCCGCCCATATCCCAGGGAGAAACACATCCACTGCGGGTCCTTTCAGATCTGTCAGGGGAAACAGAGCCGGTCCGGTCCAGCCCTGCAGATGAGCTATGAGTCCAGACAGTGAGTCTTCAGATGTTTGTTGGGCTGATGGAGCAAAACTGATGTCAACCCCTAAAGTTGAGAAGATGTCTGTGAGCCTCCCCTCCATCCAGGCAGATTTGTCCAGCTGGACCCGGTGTCTGTTGCTACAGAGAGGTCTCAGCAGATGACCCAACACCTGCTCGACTACAGTTTTACGACTCTGCTTCTGGAGCTGCTCTGGACAGTACAGATACACGTTACAGATGAATCCTGAGTTCAAATCACAGAGGATGGCCAGATGAAGAGAGCAAAGTCTCTGCTGGTACACAAGTCTGTATTTCTTCACAGCCAGGTTAGGACCAGGTATGTACAGGGCCTGGTACCTCCTTGTTATGTGGCTACAGAAAGAAGAGAGAATCTCCAACTTGTCCCCGTCCTCCAGTCTGGTCAGAGACAGAAGGTTTGTCTGAAAGCTGTTCCTCTTTAGGACACCCTGCCAGCCGTCCAGTTTCAGAGACAGCTTTGATCCAAAGCTGTGGTTCTCTCCTACAGACAGACCGCCCTGTAGGACTATGGAGAACCATGTTAGCACCTCTGCATACTCTCCTTCAGACACATCTACGCTCTGCTCTCTGTTCTGATTCTTTCCTCCTGATTTCACTCCAGCTGCCCTCCTGATCAGCTCCCGTACTGCTCCTCTGTCCAGCACCTCCAGAAGAAGCTCTTTAGCTGTGTAGTAGACCTGGTAAGTGGGTCCAGTTTGAGTTCTCATGAGCGGCTTGACTTTTTTGGACCTGAAGATGTTTGGTAAGCACAGGCCATCCCTCTGAGAGTCTTCAAGACCATCCTCTCGGTGGCACTCCTCTGTGAACCAGGCGCACTCTCTCACTGACAAAGCTTTAGCCTTCATCTCTGCTGAAATAGAAAAAAATCCATCTCCAAGTACTGACTGATGATCGCACAGCTTCTCATCTGAGACCAGTTTAATAATGCAGGAGATAAGCTACAAAAAACCTGTCTCCTGTGTGCCTGAAAGTCCTCCCTGTGGCCTGGTTGGTCTGATAATAAAAGGAGGAGATAACCAGAGGCAGAACACGCTGCGTACAACGTGTTTTATCCTATAGGGTCCACTCTCAGGTGGATCACACACTCACGAGAGTTTTGCAGCTGATGTAAAACACCAGGCATCCATGGCAGCCAGACAACTGTCTCCAGGTAACGCCTAAACAAAACAGATTGTACTTTGGTCCAGCTTTGGTGACATGTTTGTGTCCTCGTGCGGGTGAGTTCAGTTTTTCTCAAAACCAAATGATAACGAGGAGCTGAAGGGAGCTCCTGTTAGACTTTTAAAGTGTGATAAATCTAAATCCACACAGAAAATCTCATCACTTTCCCAAAGAAGTTACACACAGAAAAAATGATTAAAATTGTTTTTTGATATTCACAGATCTGGGATGAATAAATCCACATAAATTGTGAATAACTCAGCAGCTGGACTTTTTCCAAAACAATGAAAAGGGAGTGTATTACTCCTTCGTTGACACCCCATTTCTTTCAGGATTGATTTTGAATTTTTACTCATTATTTTAATTATTTTAAAACTCTTCCTGGTTATAGAAAACATCTGAAATACCGTTCCCTTACCAACTGGTGTGCAGCTTTAGACCTTCAGGAAGAAACCATCGAAGCTCCGACAAGGAACTTTTAATTTGTGGCAATTTTGGCGCCCCCATGTGGACAAAACAGGCTTTGCCTAACATGTACCCGGCATGCTTCAGTAGTGTCATTTGAGAAAAAATCTCCTCCTGCACTATTTTGATGGTGAAAGACTCAGTTTATGAAATGCTTTTAAATGTTTAGAAAGGGCGGTGTCTTCTGCGGCTTGGCTGACACTCCCTCACACCAGTTTCAGGCAGTAAAAACTAAAAACGACACCATCAACACTGCTGGTCTTATCACTGATGGTCTTGTTTGCTTTTGTGTGTCCTATAAAAGGTGTCTATATGAATTTCAGTCAATTTCATAGATGTCAAAAACTCCTCACAGGAGCTTTAATGTTGCTGCTTCAAACTTTAAAACTAAAGGAAACTCGGTGTGAGAACTTCTAATTACATTTTCTTGTAATGCAGGTTCTGAGTTGAAGCTTTCCATCCATTTCAAGAATTCAGCAACATCAAATAACCTCTGTTGTGATGGCTTGAAACATTGTCACTTTAATATTGAAGCCTCTTGATGACCCACATACAAGTTAGATCATTTCTTTATTCTGAATTTCACCATCTGGGTTTAGGTCATGTTTTAAAGCTGAGTCAATATTTGACTCTCTCCCCCAAGGTAGCTCTGCTTAGAAGTCTGCTGGTAAACTCTGAGAGTGAAAAGTGGGTTTGTGAGCCAGAATCAAACAAAATGCAGAACTCGTCTCTGACACGGACATAACTGGTTTGTTTCCACTCACACACCTGGTCTCAGTCACCTTGAACCTTGGCTTGATAAAGGCCAAGCCAAGTTTCCACATGCTGGTGTTGTGTTAGAACTACATGCAGAGATAGTCCTGCAGGCCTGTTTAGTTCATGGGTCACCATTGACCTGTCTGCATCAGTCTCACCTCTGTCCATCTCTCTAACAACTTCTCCCTCTCTCTCCTCTTTAAACCCAGTGTAGTAGCGGTTGACTGTTTTACACAAGTCTGGTCCTGTTCAAGGTTTCTGCCTGTTACAGAGAGTTTTTCCTCTCCACTGTAACCTGCTAAATGCTGCAGTGTCACAGTCATGTTGTTGAAGATGGGTGGAAGTGGGGATAGATTATGGTCTGGACCAGGCTTTTTTGTTAAGTGTCTTTGGATAACACTTGGTGCAAATCGGTGCTTGAAAGTAAAGATTGATAGAAAGAGCATTGACTAATAAAATCTGTGGGATTGAAATTAGACATTGCTTCGTTAAATGCCCTAAATTATGGATTCAAGGATGTCTGAGTGAAACTAAAGGAGGTGCATCTGCTCAGATTAATAGCTCAGTAAATTTTAAATTAGGCTGCAGGATCTCCACAAGAGGGAGCTGTTGGGTTACAGTTAGATCAGCTCTGCATGATCCAACAAGTGAAATAAAAGCCCAATTTTGTACCTAAGAACAGCACCTCCCTTAGATGAACTATGATACAGCCTTCACAATCTAAACACCTGAGCATCTTTATCACCTGTAAGAAAAGCCTGATCTCTATGGCAATCATTCATCAAGGTTTGTAAGTGAACATAAAGGTTTCTCACGTTACTAGAATGATAAAGCAGGCGGGAATGTTTGTAAATCATTCATAAATGCTCACTGGTTTCTCAGTCTATGGTCTTTAAATGCTGACTCACGTGTGTTATAGATTTGTGGTTAAAGCCCCACCACCTCCTCTCCCACCAGGACAACAGTCATTTGGGGTGAAAGTGGAGCGGCATGTTCCAGATGAACATTGGTCGGCTTAAAATTTAACATATGCACTCACCCAGCAGGCATGTAAACAAAGAAGCAAAGAGATGTTGCTTACCTGTGTTTTTCAGGTGTATCAACAATAACTCAGACAGTCTTTGTTCACACAGCTCTCGCTTTGGGTCTAAAAAAACTCACATACAATCTGGCAAATTTGAGCAAAATATTTTCTGCCAACTTTCTGTGTTTTGATTAAACACTTTTTTTTTTCACAGAGCGGTATAAAAATATCTGTTGGATGGTTTTGTTTTGGCTTTCGCACAAGTGTGGTATTCCAAGCTGTTAGGCTGTGAAACGCAGACACATTGGCGAATTCTGATCCCATCGTGATCAAAATGACAAGATTCGCCATCGCTTGTCTGAATTAACCCGTGAGGTTTATCTAACTCCTGAAAGAAAGTTTGCAAAAAGATTGTAGAGTTCGCAGGTGTCTGTACAGTAAGGAAAATGTTAAATGATGAGAAAATACTTGAGAAAGTGTGATAAAGATTTTTCCATAAGAAAAATTAAAGGTTGAGCCTCATTGTAGGGTCACATGATGTCTAGTCTGTTGCACTTTGATAAAAGCCTTCTCCACATTGAATCTATTGTATGAACTGCAGCTCTGAGGCATCGTGACAACACCCTGCATCCTGTCATTGTGTTTGGAAGACTCACACAATTACCTTAAGGGCTCTTTAAGCTCTCCTGCATAAATTAAACCCACTTTAAAGCTCAAAATATGTTAATCCATCTATATCAAAGGACATCTCCTCCACGGCGCCCTTTGAGCTTTCCACACTCTCAAAAACGAAACCTTTTCATGTACCCACAAAAAAAAAAACACGATCCAGCATCTGGAACCACAAGATGTGCTTTCCTGTGAAGAGGCTGGATTTTGTCACCCACACAATGAAGAAGAAAACACTAAGGTGCTGATTTGATTTCATGTAGGAGTCTCAAGTGATACATAAGTAGGTGATATTTTGCACCACATCACTACTCCAATTATCCGCTGAGAACATTATTGCGGCACCTGAGCTGTTTGTCTTTGAACGCTCTCTGTGTGAAACTGAGTCTCATTAGTCAAAAACCCAAATAAATCTCTGAAACTGTGACTGGTTTATGTTTAATTTTCTGTTAAATGTTCTAAAATAAGAGAATACAGACAAAAGACTGACTTCTGTGGATGCACTAGATTGAAAGAGGTGTTTCGAGAACCTCTTATCAGGTTTTGTTATTTGATTCAAATATAATTTAGTTTCATAAAGATTTGAAAAGCTTTAGAAAAGTCTAAAATTCTTTCGGGACAGAAGTTGAGCTCAGAACTTGAATCACGCCTCAGGTCCAAGTCTAAATTTGACTGGTGGCCCTTTGCTGCATGTCACACCTCACGCTCTGTTTCCAGTTTCCTTTTCTATCCTCACTACAAAGGGATAAAAAAGAAAACAGAAATCTGAGATCTGTCAAGAGTTTTCTTTACAGAACTCATAACTGTATCACACTAAATGTTTCTAATATCATTTGTAAACGGTATCATTTGAGCTTATAGATCTTTACATCTGCATACTATAGAAACATAATTCCAAATGTGTATTTTTGTTTGCAGAAATAAACAAAACCGAATAATAAGCGATCATTTAACACAATTTCTCCTGTACCTTGTTAAAATCACATCTTTGTACCTTTTTTAAAAACAGTTTTAAAGCTGGACCCCCTTTGTTCCAGAGCTTCACCCCACAAACAGAGACACAGAAACTTCTCCTGAAGTGTAAGATCCTCTTTCAAAAGTATAAAGCCCAGGCAAATATCCATGTAAATGAGTGTTTGCATAAGGATATCTAAAATAAATCCACTTGTTTTTTTTAGCTTTATATCAGTGACTGCAGTATCTTAATATGGACAACGTGCCCCTATCTTTAGGGAGGTGTGAGGCCAAAATACACAAGCGCTGACATATTGCACCTGTGGAGCCAAGACATGTGCAGAAGTAAGTGGATCCACAGAAACAATATCACACTCCTTTAACTGACCAGAACACACATCTACTTTACTGGTAACATATAAAATGTTTAAGTTCACAACAGAATGGATTCTTGTTATTATTTGAAGCAGGTTCTTGTAGTCCTATATATCTAAATGACTCTTGTGTTTGTGTTTGTTAAGTTTTCTCTCCTCCAACCTGCTAATCTGGTTAATAATGCCGCAAGATCCTGCATCTGTCAACAGAGCTGCCATCAAACAATTATTGGAAACTAAACCTCCTAGAAAATGAAAGTTTGCAGACAAATCGGCATGATAACCGTTTTTTTGTTGTTGTTGTTGCCATTTTCTGGTATAAAATCATAATCCTTTACTGCAGCCAGTCACCAGAGGGCGCTCTAGAGGTTATGGCTTCGCTGTGGGATAGCTGTTGTCATCCATTGTTTTAATCAGCCTGTGCTTTTTGCTGGCGAACTGT